GAGGGTATCCGGACACAACAATCTGTTGGTCGTTGCGTTTCCGTAGGTTGATATCGGTTCGGTGCAAGCAACATGAACGTGCGCAACAGAAGACCGAGTATACAGAAGTAGTTGAAGTATGCAGACCCAAAGAAATCCGTTAAAGCAGAACGAGTAGAAACCATCTGAGACGAAACGAAACTGCGCAAGCCAGCAAAGCAAGACAACCAACCGCAATAGAAGAGAATCCCCTCCCCAAGAAAATATCATCTCAAACAACCGCTAATATGCTTGTATAACTCACCATCGTAATCCAAATGTGAATCTTCCGATCCGTCAGGAACCAATGCATAAACGTCCCCTTGTTCGGAAACATGTGCGGGTATGACTTCGTCTTCTGCTGCTCCTTCTCCTCCACCGTCGCGGTCTGGTTATAGGCCCGCGGAGGCCGGCGGGTCAGGCGCGCCGGGTGTGAGGGCGGCCGGAATTTGTCTGGCTGTTCGAGCACGAACGGTGATTGTGGTGGCTGTTTGCCATTGCTGCCGCTGATTCCTCCGGCAGCTCTTCGGGGCGTCGAAGAATATGGCGCGCGCAAGGAGCCCATTCGGGGAGATACGGTGGAGGGAGCAGGGGTAGTATGAGGAAGTAATGTACCGGGCCTTCGTGATGCGGTTCGGAGGCATTGCTGGCATATGGAAAAGGGTGTCTTTGTCGTTCGGGACGCCATGGCGATAGTCGTGCTTTAGTGCGCGGAGGGGTCTCAGAAGCAACAAGGGGCCAACACTGTCGCTTTTTGTCTTGTCGTCGGCGCAGGAGTTTGTGTTCTGAGCTCAAGGGCTTCAACGGATGGGAGTGTGTAGCTTGGTGGTGAGTTGGATAGAGGGCTTCAATATTCCGCTTTGTCCGCCCGCAATGGAGCTGCGCAGATGTGCTTACTACCGTACCGTACGGTTTCTGCGGTTCGCGCCTTTGCGCTCGGCAGAAGATATTCCCAGCTGGTTGCAATCACGTGACTGTGTCTCTTCTCTATTCTACTACTACTAGGGCAAACGAGGCACTTTCCTCTGCTACGTGTACTTCCAATGTTCGCTTATTGTTGTTGGCAATCATGATATTTAGAGAGATACAATGGTGGCCACCTGTCCTGTGGTTTCAGTTTGGTGACACCTACATATTGATCCCACCCCCAACCATTGCGTCAAGGCCCATCTTTGCAATTTGAAACCAACAATGGTTTCCTAAAACAATCCAGTTGGGCTCCAGGACCAAGGACTATCCTGTCCATACATTTGATCTTCTAGCTGTACAGCCTCTTTCCGAGGTGAAGAACAAAAGAAACTTGTCGCTGTTCAAGCTGACTGTGCCAATATGACTGGCAAACCCAGGCCGCTGCCTGAACTCCATATAAGAAGATTTTCTTTCGACCAGAAAAGTATAACATCACAGGGCGTTGGATACCAGGTAACGTAGAGTATGAATTGCCCTGGATTCGAAAGAAAACCAAAAGTCACTGATGTGTCCTTCCTCTTTGAAAACAGCTGGCCGTTCCAACCAGCTGGTCGTCAAATCCATGTTAAAACGCCAAAACTTCGTAAACACCTGCTTCGGGTGCAGGAGCTTTTCTTTCTTCGTACAGGATATCAAGGAGCACTATGTTGTGCAGAATATTCAGATGTGAAATTGTTGGTTCGAACGAGTGTCGGTTAAATCTGTCCAAAGAAGCTGTCTCGCCATCTATCGATAGATTGATGATCCGGCCGCAAAAATACTGTTCGCAGCGGCGGCCGCCCATTCATTCTCCTCGTATGGTGGTGTGGGCCAGTGAGGAGGAACAAGCTCGTACTCGGAGCGCTTTCTGGCGATGTTTAACGGTTGCGTTTGGTGTACGCTGCCCGGGTTGAACTGGACCCCGTTCCGCTTTGCAGATGGAGACGGTGTAAGGTAAGCACTTTGCAGCAATGGGGCGCTGGAGACATGTGGCAGCGACTGGCGATTGTAGTCTTTTTGCGCAAGCGCAGTTCGATGTGGCTGCTCCTTGTTCTGGTCCAGACGTTTGGCCACACGGCTGACCGAGCGCAGGGCTTCGTCCAGCAATTCATCGGCTTCTTCCGGTGTTTCATACTGGTTGAGTTGTAAAGGACGTCGCGACCGCACCGTGGTCGCCGCCGGAATCTGGTTCAGATTTTCGCCGGATCTGCTGCTCTGAGATCGCGGGACAGAGTGTGTTCTTTTCAAACTGCCTTGATTGGATGGGAGGTCTGTCCGGGATCTTCTCTGCCTGGGTTCGGCTTCGTTGCGGTCCAGACTATATCTCACATTTTGCAAGATTTGGTCAAGGTCCGAAAAGTCGGTGTTGGCCTCAGGGATGATGTTGTCCACCATCAGTGAAGACCGGTTCGACCATGGAACGTTTGCTGCATTGGCCTCGACATCATCCCCACTGGGAGAGGCCAGCCCATGCCTGCCAGAAAAACGTCTCGCACGTTTGCGTAGGTGCGAGAAGAAACTCTCCTTGTGGCCACTAGGCGGCGATGCAAGGCCGCTATTTGCATTCAACGACCGCTCCGCTTCTTGACGGTGAACATCAGCATAGTGGTTGCCGTGGGAGTTGATGGAGAGTTGACGTCCGATCTTCTTCGATCTCTGCTCTGCTGGGTTGGAGTTCGGTTCAGATTGTACTGTAAACGCCGAGCTCGCTTGTGCCGTGATGGCGTTCGGTAAAGGTGAGATGGGCCGGATCGATGGCAGTATGGGCATTGGTGCCACACCGCCCGAAATTGCGCCGTTAGCCCACGTCGCGCGCTTGTTGGCATGGGGTCGCAGCCTGCTAACCAGACTCTCCGGCTCCGCTTGTACCACTTTCGCATCTGGATTGTGTTGTGGAACGGCAGGAGCACTCTCTCGTGCAATGAGGGACCTCCGGAACCAAGAGGGTTTGGAGGTGATGACTGGAGACTCGGCTGTGTCCTTGGATCGGAAACTCAGATCGGAATGCTTGCGACCTAGGAGTTTGGACGACGATTTTGGTCTGAGAGGGTCAACAGCATCTGCGAAGAACTCGTGCTCCATGGCTTGTTTGGATGTTGGTCGGCTTTTGGGATCCCACATCAGACACCAACTGACGAAATTGCTGAAGGCCAGCGGCCAATGTGGAGGCTGTAGAATAGTCTCGATTGCGTGAGGCGCCATCTGCCATTCGTGAGCAAGAGTCCCGGGTCAAGAACCGTTCGGCTTACCTTTGGGAACGAGAAACCGAGTTTCTGGGCCAGTTTCGTTCCTTCCCTCCATTCGCCGCCACCAACTCGAGTGCCAGATTTGGTATACCAATTTCCTGGACTGCCCATTATCTCGCAGACGCGCCAAACCTGATCGACTTCGTTGCCGCCGGGAAACAAAGGCTTGAGCGTCGCGAGCTCGACCGCCATGGCTCCAATCGCCCACATGTCCACCGGGGCAGAGTACTCACCTGCCCTCAGCAGGACTTCAGGGGCTCGATACCATCTGGTAGACACATAAGTGGTGTAGGGTAGCTTGGAGTGAGTTTCACGGGCCAAACCGAAGTCGGCGATCTTGATCGAATATGTCGGCGGCGTGGCGGGAGGCGTGACCAAGGAAGAATACCTGCTGAACGCAGAGTGAGAGTCTTGCGGTGCTGAGGTGGAGACCAGAATGTTCTCTGGTTTGATGTCTCGGTGGAAGAAATGGTGAGCGTGTATGTGATCGAGCCCGGACAGGATCTGGTACAAGATACTCTTGACGCTCTTCGCATCCAGGCATTTGTGATCCCGGGACTTCATCAACTGGTACAGGTTGCCATCCATGTACTCCATACAGATGTGTAATTTCTTGCTGAAAGGATCCAAGAAGATGTCCAGGGCGCCAACCAGGTGGGCGTGTGTCGGGAGAGTCCGTAGAAATATGACCTCGCGTAGCTCTAAGCAGGGTCGAAAGGAGTCGAACGTCTTCTTCATCGTCTTGATGGCCACCTACGCAAAGTCAATACAAGTTCATACATAGCGAATCTGCAATCAACATACCATCGTGTTCCGACGAGCGACATTGGCGCCATTTCCGCGCACACGTGCAAGAGCAACACTGCCGAAACTACCGTCTCCGATCTCCCTGATCACTTCGAACCGGTCCTCCAAGGGCGTCATGGTGTAGGACGTTGACCGTGAGCCATGGTTGCTTACGGCCATCTTGTCGCTTGCGGCCTGGCCTTGCTCCCAGGCAGCGGCTCCTTTCCGTCTCATTCAACCTCGACTGAATATACCCCGATTGTTTGTTGGTTGTCCAGCCCGGCTCCCATGTAAAGGGGATTCCTCACGACCTCAGCACGTCATCCTTCGCGGCGACAAAGTATACCAATGACCGCTGTCTCGCTGATCGAAGGTAAACGGGGTCGGGACGTGGATGGGTCTGTTTCTTTATCGCTCCAACGATTCCAAGTGAAGTATGCCGCGCAGGATTGGTGAACAGAATACAGAGGACGATTCAGAGCGGTGAAAGTAGCTGATGCTCGAGGTCCAAGATCCAAACCGAAATGGCTCGAGGACCCAAGAGACGTAGCTTCTGGGGGATGGTCAATTGGCGCAGACTGACCCGCAAGGGGTACTGTGAAAGTGGATAAACACGCAGGTCCTTCCCCTTTCTTGACTGACACGGAGGGGCACCGGCTCTGAGATCGAAGACCGGATAGTCAACTAGTGAGGCAAGGTACTGAGGGTAGGGGGGAGAGAGTGACAGATGTTTTCGGTTGTATTGACGACGTGCTCGGACAATTTGGTGGGCCAGGATCGAGGCAGGAGGCGCGTCTTGCCTTGTGTCGGAAGAGCAAGGGACGGTCGGAGGTGTGTACGGAGTGAGGATGAAGCCGGAGGGAGGGCCGAAGGGCCAGCGTCCGCCAGGTCGCAGGCGCAGCTGCCAGATTGTGGCACCCAGGGCTTGGACCAACTCTGGTAGTCCAAATCGCAGGATTCAGGTCGGCCAGCACTTGCTTCCAGCTGCCTCCCTCGTCTCGCTTTGTGGAAAAAGGAGGAATCAGAGACGAAACGAGCGAAGGCAGGGCGGGTCTGAGGATGCAAACACACCGACCCAAACTATCTGGGTTGGGTGTCAGCACCATGGCACACTCACTGTACGGGCACAACCTACCAGTCCCAGCTACTACTAGGTCCCGGGGTAGACCACGCCAACTCAGCTGGGAATATGGGTGACGTTCCGGCTGGCGGGCTGCGACGGGTCTAGGAATCAGAAACCCAATAGAAACGGTTACAAGATTGGGAACTTGGAACCATTGGAAGTTGGACTAGTAGGCATGCCTGGCGGAGAATAAGGCAGCTAATCTGGCACCGCAGCCACGGATAGGACACTCTGTAGCTTAGGTACTAGGTAAGGTACCTACGAATAGTACATCAACAGGCACCCGCAGGCTAGAACAAGGAAGTCTGTTACTAACGAGACCACGGCTAATAACCTGGAATACTACTAGCAACAGACCCAACTGGGGGACCCGGAGCCAGGCCCAAGAGTGAGGATACCTAGACCTGTAGTTTGACTTGTGAGTAAGGAAAGGGACAACGCAGCAGACAGGTGACTGCCATGGGTAGGTCTTCGGGGTAGTCATGCGTCCGTACTGTGCAGGAAGAATCGGTCGGTGAGAGAGTACTGTGGTACGTACCTAAAATCCTAGATTTAGGTAGGTACGGGCGCAGGATCGGCCTCCCGGTTACGTACCTGTAGATACCCAGTAGCTGATCTTCGAGATAGGAAGAACCTTTCAGCTGGTGACATGAGTTCGGAAAAAGCCTACTCTACTAGTATAGGTATGTACCTTACTTTGCGGACGTGCGAACCGGACCCGGCTGGTTTGTTAAGCAACTGCGACAAGAAGTCATGGCGAGGGCAAACTTGTAGCTCTACAAACACCGTAGAAGCACAGTCAAAGAAATTCAGGTGGGAAGTACCTAGTAGGCCCTTGCTTACCGACACACACACACACCGTCTACCGTCAGTCGTCACCTACTCACATTCTTCGGTAAAGATGACAGAAACTCGGAGTTCTGGCATGCAAGCTGGCTCTTGCAATCTCGTCACGGATCCTAGCCACAGCATACCTTACCTACTCTGTAAAGTAACGGTCAAACTTCATACTGCAGGTATGAGACCTACCTGAGATACCTCAATTGTCATTCGCAGGCCGCTTGGGATGCTGTCATGGCGTCCTGTCATAGTACCGCACGGCGTGGTGATGACGAAGTTCCCAAGGGTTCCACGATCACTTTCCCAGCCCCCTAATCCTGCCTTCAAGGGCGTCTCCAGTTTGCGTTTGAGCAATTTGCAGTGAGACACCACGTTCATAAAATAAGAGCCCATCTCACGGGGATACGGCTACGCTGCCTATAGTCAACTTTTCACTCGGAAAGTCACATTGCAGAGCGAATGACGATGGCGGATGCGAAACAACAGCAACCCACTTCCTTGACCAGCAGCAAGGCCTGCCCTCCCTGTGAACCGATAACTTGTGATCGTGCGTGATCTGCAAACAATGCTCCTTTCTTCACATATGATTGTTCATCATCAAGACAACAACTCACCACATCGACGAGGCAACAAGCAGAGGCCGGTGCTGAATGGTCTGCTGTGCGTCGGCAGTGCCTCCAATTTCGTCGCCACGTTGCTGGTGTGGAAATGGTGGTATGGTGGGGGGGGTTGAAGTAGCTTCAGCGGGCCGGGCGCAGGTCCTCCCTCTGGCCCAAACTTTGTCAGGAGTTCTGGTTCCTGATTTCCAGGGCCACCATCATCACCAGGACTCGCCGGAAAGTGCCCAAAACCAAGGCTAGAGCGCAACTCCGGCGCTGAATCACTCTGGCGGCCGTCGCGGGCCCGCGGCAACCAAGAACATGGACCGGGGCGCTGATGGGTTCCGACCAACGGTGCTGATCAAATCTGTGTTTTGCCTTCAATTGGCTTGACGCTTGTGCTTGACACCGGGCTAGATGTCATATGGAGCCAGCTTATTCGTTCCGCCCCAGTCCATTCGAGTTTGAGATGGAGTTCGGGCACACGGTGTGCCCCTAGTAGTGGCCACCCACTGACCCGACAACTTTTGGCTTCCGCGACAGCGGCTCACCGACCAGTGGATCATTCTGCTTGGTCCTGATGAAAGAGGTGTATCCCGTAGCATATCAATCTTCCTCCGAATCACATACTCCTCAGCTTCACACAGTGTTCAGAGAAAGACTGCGACGCCTCGTCGTTGTGGAACGGAGGATAGGTGGGAAGTCGCACTGTAATTTGCCTTGACTATGTTGATGACCCCCTTAAGACCTTGTCTTGGGAGGCAGCAATGAGGCGAGCTGATGTAGTCGCTGGGTTTGCCCCGTGAAGCGAGATTGTCACGAGACCTTGCCACAAGTAGTTGAACCATAGTCTTCTAGAAATGTTTGACGAAGGCAATATCCCCTAACAATGATTAGTTGATCTCGTTCCAGGACGTTAGCCAGAAGATTGCTCGAGTATCGGCTCGCCTTGGTGTCCGATATGTGCCACGGACGTGACTTGCTTGCGACATGATAGATTCCTCGAAAAGAGTTCGGTGTCGTATCTTGCGGTCGCGAATTGACCCTGCAGCTGCCTTGGTCAGGCGTGGAACAGCTGAAAGTGGCACAAGATAATGTCCACCTTCTGAGGGCCTTCTGTGACAGCGTTGCCAGGTCGCTGAAGCCTCGCAGCTTCGTGACTTGGATGTCCTATCAAGGTACGTACTTGGGTATCATTGAGGTACGTCTCTGCCGATGATGCCTGGCACACTCGGCCTGGAGTCAGCAAACTGAATAGTACTCGACTACTACTAGATGCCAATCAATCATTGCCAAGGAGGCTAAAGCGGCAACCCTTAGTAGTACATGATGGACACGACCACCGCACTGCACTTGTAAAGGGTGAACCGGTCGAACCATCCCATTCAGTTCACCACTGCACCAGGCAAATTATTACAGGCAGGCCCTCTCCTTCGCAAGGCTTGGACAGCCGCCGATACACATCTTTGTAACCTGAGGAGGGCGTCACGCCGTGGTCGCCGGCGCCGTGTTGTTCATTTTTCCCGTTAAGTAGGTGCAGAAGGACAACAGCCGGATACCACTGTTGGTGGTGAAGGGAAGCCGATGCTCACGCAAGTCCAGGGTTCTTGGAGCTGGTATTGGCAATAGCACTCTCCTACTACAGCACACTACTTGGCTCGTGGAGACATTCCATCCACTGGTGTGCGGTGACAGTGTTCGAGCTCTGGGAGAGCTCATCGTTGTTGGCCATCACACTGGCAGTGGGCAAGGGTGGACGGGAGCAGAGGTTGAGAAGGTTGAGGGTTGAGGTGTATCCACGCAACCGGCTGCGACTTGGAGGTGGCGGCAGCTGAAGCTGCAACGGTGAAGAGGTTGAAGTGAAGCCCATCGAGCTGCCTTCCCTTGAAGTCAACTTCACTGTCTCGACCTTGGCAGAACTTGAACCTGACCTTAAGCTGAGCTTGACTCTTGCCCTAATCCACTGCAGCTCTTTGCACTCGCCTCAAAAAATGTCTCGCAAGGAACAACAAAAGCCTTTTTGGCAAAGAAAGCAGGAATCGTAAACTCCTTGTCTTACAAGTATCTCTTGATTCGTTTATTCTTTTCGGTTCCCTTGGATCTGTCATCATTTGCGCTCAGCTTGACCACCAACCACCATGCCTTCCCTCGCATCAGCTACCGTCAAGCCAACTAATGAGGACGGCAGGTATGACAATGTGGACATCGGGACCATGTAAGTGTTGCTCGCCCGCAATGCTTGACCTCCTTCTCACGTATTCTAAGGGTCAAATGTGGCGTCTGCAATGTCAACAGATTCGTCGGCCGATATTCTAACAATCAGAGACAGAGATACCAAGAGGCAGTGTTCCGAGAGCAACATGGCGGTCCGCGAGCCCCTCGTCCAACATGCCTGCAGTGCACACCTGGAAATGTGCAGGAAATGAAGTGTACAGGCTGTGGAATCATCAAAACTCTCGATGCATTCTCCAAGGCTCAGCGAAAGAAGCCAGACCATGCGGTAAGGATGAATAATGGTGCCCACTGGCACATCACATTGGCTCTGACACGAACTAGAAATGCATCGGCTGTCAACAGGAGATTTTGGATCGGGTCCCCAATCTAGCGGATGCTGTTGAGGAGGAAGTGATCAGGGAAGAATACACAACTCGTCGTGCCGAAGCTTTTGCTGGAATGTCAAACATGGGCTCCACACTTCCGAGCGTCAGCGGCTCTGCGTCTCAAGCACCCTCTACTACCGCCAGCGGCGGCATTCTTCTGGCTGGGAGCGCCCAGCCATGGGGGGCCAACCCTGCACCTGCTCTGCTTTCTGCCACTGGCAGCATTTCCGACACCGAGGAATCCGTGGTAGCACGTACAGCTCCTCGCGCGGCCTCGACATACTCGAGCAACAATTACGCGCGGGGCGGCTTCGCCAGGCAAGGGGCATACAGAGCGCCTACAGAGGCGAGGGTGTTGAATCAGATCCATCGGGAGGAGATGCAGCAGCAACAATTCCAAGCCGGCAGCCGCAGAGAGGATTCCGATGATGAGAGCGACTTCGAATATTGAGAGGGCAGTGCCGCAGAAGGGCTGGATTCGGCGTTCTTTGCCATCCTCTCCCCTTCCCTTCCCTCCCCTCCCCTGCTCTGCTCTGCTCCTGGGTAGCATAATCCGGCTTTAAGATTCCACAAGGTTGTCGAAGTCGTTATCTAACACGAAAATACGGCGGAGCTGAGACAAGCAACAAGATAGTTCACATTCTTTGCCTTAGCTGAACATATTGCTACTACCACGAGAAGAGCAGAGAATGCAGAGAATCACTTTCATGTCAAGGTCCCGCAGTATTGAGGTCTCCGACCACTATACGAGGACGTTTTGTCTTTTGTGGGTGTCATTTGCCGAGGAATTCATCTCGCTAACGCGCCCAGTGTCAACGACTTCTGATCTCTCCCGCATCAATCACTCTGCGTACAGCACTGATGGTCACGGCGCCCAGTAGCGGTTTCAGGATCCAAGAGGCAAGCTGAGTCTTACTGAGTGTAGACAAGTGAACTGTTATCTGTTGAACCTGCGTAACCGGTCTACAAAGGCGCGCTGACAAATACGAGTGCAATTGGGAAGCATACGAGATCTAGCGAAAACAAGGCGACAGACAGTTCGGCCTGGAGGCAGCAAGTCTTGTCTCAAGGATTGGAGTGATTTGCGAAACCGTTCCATTCCTTGCTTGACGCTCTCGTAGCTTGCCGCCTGGCTGGCTCGCACTCATCCCAAAATCAAATATATCGTGTACTTATTAAATATTTCAAAGAAAGTCATGTAGAAGATTGCGCGGCCTGCTCGAGTATTTGTGGAATGACCGAGGTGCACACAGACGGTGCAGGCAGGGAGGCAACACGGCAGTCTGCTGTGGCTTCAGATGTAATCTTAACTTCAAGCGAACGACCAGCTGATATCGTGATAGCGGGTACGTTGGCGATGGCGGACGCCCGAGATGGTGGTGTGCAAAGATTGGCCAGGGTTGAAGGTTGGCCTCCTAAGCCTCTTCGTCGAACTGTTGTAGCCCGTTGATGGTTGCTCAAACAATGTCAAGAGGATCCCGGGGATTGACCAAGGCAATGACGTCGCCCCCAACACCGGTTGGCATCGACGATAAGGCGTTCAAGTTACACAGTGCTTCTGGCCAAGGAGGTATGCTCGGTGTTGCGGCTCTCTTCCTCAATTACAGGTTTCTGAGATGTGTCTGTCAATCTCTTCTCCGGTGTCTTCCTGGCGGATCGTCTAGATTGCATGGGACTAGTCACTCTCGTGTGCTCACATTGGCACGGCGTTAAAAACAAGACGAACTTCGGCACGTGGACCGGGAGGGAAGGGATTGATCGCGAAAACGTGGTGACGGTTGAACCCAGATTAGTTACATGATAGTCCTGGCATCGAAGCACCCAGCGTAGGCCGGCGCAGCTGGCTGCGTCTACACTGCATATCTAAGGAAGATAGATTGCGCCTGTGTAGGTAGATCGAAGAGTCTGCCTATTAGTAGCTCTTTCACCGGTTACATCCCATGCTTTGGATACTGTACTTGGGTATCTACGAGTAGTAGGTAGGTAGGTAAGGTTGGTCGAAAGTAACAATAAATGAACAGGAAGCCCCAGGGTCCCGATGATGCAATACAATGCTCTCTGTCCTCGCTTCACATCTCACAACTGGCACAACAAGTTCCGCGCCCTCAAGGCTGGCATCAACATTCACCCTGTATCCTACCCACGCTGGGAGCTTCCTCCTCCAACGCTTTTTCTCACAGTTCTTGCATGAACGTTCGTTCTCCAAGATCTCGTTGTTTCATCTTTGCATTTCTCTCCGCGTAGCGGCGCCTACAGCGAAGTCCCGCTGCTCCCATACTCTAGACAACACGAACACCCTACTCATTATCCAACTTCTGCAGCGCCGTGCGACCTCGAGTCCATCGCACGGCTAACGGCCTCTCTACGTCCGACCTTACCCTCCTATCGGCTATCGTCCTCTTCGCCTCAAATGGGGCAGCTCCAGATCTGTTGAAGCAAGAAACCGGCTTCGCTGTAAGGCTGGTCCATACATTGTTTCCCATCCAGGCGCCCGCAGGTTGTCTGGACTCTCAACATTCTCCGGCTGCGTTGGCAGCATATTTCAAACCACACCTGTCACAAGAGTTCTGAGGGCGTGCGCCGATTGAGTTGAGAACACTTGCTCTCCGGCGTGCCTGTGGTACCAATGGCTTCCTACATCGACAGTGACCTGGCCCAGCCCACTGCTACCGGTGCCGGCATCAGAGACAATGGGGACTCATGGACAACTCATCTAAGCTCGAGCAATGTCATGTATAACGACGGCCACGATCAGAGACCACGCGGTTCTTCAACGAGTGCACGCGACCCAGTCGATAAAAACCCCTCGAAATATCAACAGGCCCACCAACCTATAAATGATGCCGTCACATCGGCCGTCAACAATAGCAATGCGACCTCTACAGCAGCGATCTCACCAGAACTGCTTCAGCAGATTACCGCACAGATCACCGCGAGCGTCCTGCAGCAACTGAAACCCACCGACTTGCCGCCTCCATTAAACCAATCTCAGACATCTGGCTCACATATGGACGCCAATTCATCGGCCGGAGAGTCTCCTCCCCCAGATCGGAGCGCTGTCTACACGCCTCCTTCACCTTACCGAACCTCAGAGGATGGTGGTCTAGCCCAGCCGTCGCCCCAATCCCCTCCGTACTCGAATCAGTCATTCGCCCGAGCAACTTCTCCTCCCCATGAGAGAAGGGCTGCGTCGCCACTGGGTCGTGGCGGCCATCCGCCTGAGAGTGAGGTCAACCAAGAACGGCCAAGCAGACCAAAGGGCCCAAAAAGAATATCTACCGGGGGCGACGTAACAACCCTAGAGCGGGTCTGGGGTACCCTCTTTGATGAACAAGGGCAAGCCACTGAAAGGCTTGGACAATTCCTCCGAGGAGTGGCAACACATCTGATTGAGGACTACGAGCCCAAGAACAGTCTCGTGGTTACGCCCACAAAATTGCAGAGATACTATGAGGAGACGAAGTTGGCAAATGAGATCTATCCCTGGAAGGTCGTCTTCGATGACCGGACGTCTTCAATATCTCGGATGTTCAGAGAGATTGGAGCGCAGCATCATCTGGTGCAAGTTAAACTGACAGAGAGACCCGATATTCCTGGCTTAACACCTCAAGGGTTTGAAACTTGGGCGACATTGCTTCTCAAGGCGCATCCTGATCAAGAGTTCGAGAGATTAGCCAAAACCGCACTGGACATGCCAATCAGCAACCCCGAAAACCGAAGAGAACGATTTCCCAAAGAGCTATCAAGACGACTCTTCCCTGTCCATGCCGATGTTGAGATAGCAGAAAAGCTACAGAAGGCTATGTCGACCCACTGCAATGTCGTCCTGCCCTTGCGTCAGAGCAGCGCAGCGGATCCAAGTACCCGAGCCTCGCCACCCAACCAGCCATCAGAGCAGCCGTCTCAGAAAGCAGCACCCCGACCACCACCGGAGGAGCAAGCTTTTGTAAACAATGCGGTCAAAACAAGCCCGGTATTGCCTCAAACCGGACCTGGCCGCCAGCGAGAGGCACAAACAGAAGCATCTTTCGATGGTTCTGGTGCCGTCACTGACCAAAATCCAGCAGATCACCGCGCCCCACCCCCGATCGAGCGGGAGCGCCAACCATACATCGCCGCTCCAGGAGCTGGTAAAAGTCATGATATAAACGAGAAATCGCCCACCGCCCCTGGATTCAAGCCGCCACCGCCACCTGGGCCTCCACTAGAGGTCAACACAGGGCGCGCTAGCTCTGTCAATCCCAGCAGCAGAGTCAATGATAACTTCAGGCCGCCTCCCACACCTGTTGCTATCCATCAGAGGCCGCCCCCGGCACCGATCGATGTCCCTGAGACTCGACATCGATCCAACAGTACCTATCACAGGGATCAGCCTCGTCCGGGCCGAAATCGATCTCCGTCTATGGCAAAAGACACCGGAAGTTCTTCGTACATGCGAAGATCGGAGGCAGACCTCGGTTATAGCCCGACTTCGCACTACCCTTACAGTGGTGTTGACCCTTACGATGACGCGAGGCGATATCGGGAGTATGAAGCTCATCGCGAACGGCTCGCGAACGACCGCTATGATGCGGCAAGGATGGCGGCGTATGATCCGCGAGAGCGTGAACGAGATCGAGACGGTCGAGACGGCAGGCCACGCATGGGATCCGTGTCGGCATTTGATGGTCCCCAGAGCGCACGCGGTGCTCCTCCGCCCTACTCCGCCCCAGGCGCCTCCGCCGATGAGGAGTACTACCGTGACCATGGGCCCGCGTCAACGACATCATATAACGCCCCGGGGCCCATCAGTACAGGCTTCCAGCCTCCTCCATCGGTGCCTAGGGACTCCGCGTACGGATCGTATCCGCCTACAGGGAGCTATCCGCCTAGCAGCTACCGAGATGTTCGGTAACAGCATGAGACGACTCCGGGCAAGAAAACGACGAGGCCCGCCGTCGAAATACGATGAGTAGGATTCGCTGTGGATCTGACAAGCTACAGCACCACCAATATCGCCTTCACGACCATCTTCTTCCTACCTTATGTGCTATATGTCACACGGCGATGTGACTTGTGTGACTTGTGTTTCGGCGTGCAAGCGAGCGTTTTAACCATCTTTTTGGATACACCCTTTTGCGTGCAGCACTATTATCTTTATTGAATTTGTTTGAGCCGGAGAGAGAGTGGGACTCTGCAATGATATCTGACTGATGGGCCTGGTGAGAAGCGAGTAGGGCCTATTGTTTGGACAAAGGTATGGATATGGAAGCTGTGCCTTTCTCTGATGTGGCTGGTCAGTTGTTATCATATGCAGTTTGTATTATTATCATGACTATCCGACCATCACGAATACCCATGTTTTCAGTCTATATTTCGAAGGATCGGGGACGACGATGGAGTGCACTGTATAACACAAGGAGATACTCCTGTGTACTACTAGATACATGTTAGATCATGGAGAAGCCGCCGGGGTAATAAGCAATGATAAGCACGCCAAGAGTGTAAATAATCCGCCTTGTCAGGCACCAAAGGTGCCTAGAGGCTCCCTAGCCAGAGCTCTAGGCGTCGAGCGTGAGACTACAGGGGGTCTGATAAGCAGCCCTAGCCCCCCGCGCCCATGGATCTGGCCCTAGGGCCCTAGCGGACCAAGCAAGATTTATAGTCTTCGGTTACGAGTTATGTGGCAATGGCAATAATGGCAAGGATGGGAAACGCAGACTCTTCTTTTCCTGCAACCAGACTGCAAGACGTCAATAGCAAGCATACCTTACTTGTGCCGGCAGAAGCAATCGACCATCCCGAACACCGCCACACTACATTGTTACCTACCTATTGCATTCCAATCACTACTAGTACCACACGCAAATGTATCGCGCGCTCTACCTCGATTGTTGAGCCTGGACCGACGCCCACTTCGTGGTTTCTTGCACTCGTTTCCATGATGTCCACGACACCAGCACTTCCTCCACGACAGCCCTGTCATAGACGCTCGAGATACCCACCTGGCACAGTCACGCGCTGGCTTTCCTTCTGAACACACCACACCGTACGGCCGACGAAGCCGCTCTCTATAATATCTGCGACACCCGGGCGGGCCCCTTGCAAAATGTCCGCCAATCGTTCATGACACTGGCCGGATCGTGAGAATGGGCTACGACCACGCCGAGCAGAAAGAGTTGGAACCACCGAAACCCGCGTCGAGCTCGGGCTCGGGCGCAAGTTCGAGCGACGATGGGCCACAGAAAGGATGGGACGCAGACCAAGGCAGAGACTCGGCGACCACATTGCCCGATCTCGAAGGCAAACAAGGGACCGAAAATCGCAGGAAACACCGTCCACACCATGGTCGAAAGTTTAATCTCAGATCCGCCGAGGACGACCTGCCGACTGACTGGTGGTTTGCATCCACGGCCATTCCTCTCATTGCGGCCACCTTTGCGCCCATGGCCAACCTGGTGTCCATCGCCGCGCTCGTGGTCTCGTGGAGGAACAATGTCGTCGACCCGGGCTCCGAATACTACCAGGCCACGTCTGTCGGGTTCCCAGACCCAGCCTGGTGCATCGACCTCAACATCGCTTCTTTGGTCTGTGGGTTTGTAGGCAATCTCTTTCTCCTCTTCAACTTCACCCGACGAGTCCGTTACATTGTCGCGCTGCCTACGACCATCGTCCTATTCTACCTCGCCTCCGGCATTTTGATCGGCCTCACCATTTCGATGAACATCCACTGCCCTCCCGGCGAGAACCAGGTCTATTCTCAGGGCTACTGGAGCGCTGTGCTGGCTGCTTGTCTCTACATGTTCAATTCCATGATTCTCATGGTCAACATGTGGGGTTATTTCCTGGGTCACTATCCTCAGCATTTCACCCTGACTGATGAACAGCGCAATCTTATCCTCCAGACCATGATGTTCTTCATATGGCTAGGTGGTGGTGCCGGCATTTTCTCCCGAATCGAAGGATGGACGTACCCAGACGCAATGTACTTCTGCGACGTGACCATCCTGACTGTTGGCTTCGGAGACTATTTCCCTCACGACGATCTCGGACGAGGACTTGTCTTCCCGTATTCTGTCGGTGGCACCATCATTTTAGGTTTGATGGTCAGCTCCATCCACAAGTTCGCGGGAGAACTCAGTTCCGTCAATGTACTGCGGAAGCACGTTGAGCGTAGAAGGGCTAATACCCTGTCCCGGGTGGTGACCGTCGAAGACACAGAGGAGCAAAGGCGCGAAGACCTGGAAAAGGAGATAGGGGAGGACGAGTCGCTTGGACGAAAGCCTTCAATATCTTCCCCTTTGCCTAATCCCCAGATCCTGCACGATTTGGACACTGCAGCAGCACAGTCCAGGCTCTCTGCGGACAGTCGATCGGAACGAGCCCTTCAAGGCCATACTCCTGAACGACAAGTCGAATTCGAAACCACCAACGCCAAAGAGCTGAAACATCCAGACCAGGCGGAACCGCATCCAAGGCAGTTCCTCAAGTCGCCACATCACAAGGGTCATATGCATGCCACTTTCGAGCTGATCACGAAGCCTGTGTCATTGCTTAGGAAAGCTAGGTCAAGGTCTCACAAAGCCATCGTCATGCGGGAAGAGAAGGACCGATTCGAAGCGATGCGGGCCATTCAACTCAACGCCAGAAAGTTCAAGAAGTGGTATGCACTGCTGGTATCGGTGCTCGCGTTCGGGATCTTGTGGTGCTTGGGCGCCGTCGTGTTCTGGCAGGCCGAGAAGCACACCCAAGGGTTGAACTATTTCGAGGCATTGTATTTCTGCTATGTCAGTCTGCTGACCATTGGATACGGCGACATGAGCCCCCAAAGCAACGCTGGCAAACCCTTCTTTGTCGTTTGGTCTCTGATCGCCGTGCCCGCCATGACCATCCTCATCTCGGACATGGGGGACACCGTCATTTCGAGCTTCAAACGAGGCACCTTTCGGCTGGGCGACATGACGGTCCTGCCCAAAGCCGGTCTTTGGCATGACCTCCTGAAATCAAACCCTTGGCTATGGAAATTCATCAGCGGCAGGGCCGAGAAGAAGCGTCGGAAGGCGGGCCTTCCCGTCGGCCCTTCTGAAGACGACTCCCCGCCCGCATTAAGCCTGGAGGAGCTTGCCGATGACAGCCTCAGTGAGGCGGAACTGACACACCGTCTGGCCTGGGCCATTCGCAAGACGGCCGACGACCTCCAGCACACCCCGAACAAGTGCTACTCCTTCGAGGACTGGTGTGAGTTCAGGCGGCTGATCCACTTCACGAAAGACGGCCTCGCTGAGCTCGACTACGACGAAGAGACCGAGGGTGTTGTCGAATGGGATTGGTTGGAGGACACAAGCCCCATGCTCAGTGCCCAGAGCGAGCCGGAGTGGGTGCTGGATCGGTTATGTGAGAGTCTTCTACGATTGATAAAGAAGAACACGCTCGCCGGAGCCAGTACGCCAGATTTGGCTCCGCCCACGTCCAGCAGCAGTGCCACTGATCTGCCGACCTCCAAGGTCTCCAGGAGAGGCACGATATCTCCTCAAACTGGTAGGGATCCAGAGGCCGGCAATTCGGGTAAAGGCAAGGACGCTCAACCTCGTGTGGCCACTGAGGCAGAGGCACGCCGGCGCAGAGCGTCGGGTGCCGAGGCCGTCTTGACTTTCTTCACGGGTGAGAGGAGAGGCGTCCATTCTTATGTGGATGAGGCGCCGCAGTGGAGCAAGAAGGCCCGGGAGCGGATGAAGCAGAGTCGGCGCCATCGCGCGAGGACTGGGGCGGTCGGCGGCAGCAGAGGTGGTGCGGGACTTCGCGCGCTCAAGAAGGCGCAGAGTGCCACGGATGGCGAGTAATCTGGCTGCGTTGGCGTCTGTATCAAGATGGTCGGTCGGGCTTGGAATTGCGGATTCAGCAGGTGCTGGGTTTCCCAGTGATGGTGCATGAATGATACGCTTGTTTTATGATATCCCCGGAATGAATATTGTTAACGGAAAAGGTTGGAATAAGGTTGGTCAACAGAACAGAATAGGAATAGGAATAGGCTGTAAAGCAGAAATGATATTGTCATTGCTACTCAACACTCACTGTTCTGATGGACTGCATGTGGCTTGACCACTAACGGCGCTGGATTGCACGGCATTTTGACACGGACGGATACGTTTCTGAACACCAGTCGTGAGGAAGAAAGGAGAGAGGCTTGGAAAAAGATAAAGTCGCTTTGAAAACCGACAGGTACCAGAACATGCGGCAAGCAAGGACCAGTTTGGCCCAGGCTAGGTGGATGAAAGAGCCCTGTACGAAGTCAGTTGGCAAAAGTCATTGTCGAAACAGATGCAGCTCACCTCCAAGCAATGTCCTTCCTGTAGAACATATTGGGAAACTCGATTGATCGAACACCGCGATACGCATTGCTCACGGCCTCAGCAAGGGTTCCGCCCAAGCCAACGACCGTGAAGACTCGCCCGCCTGCAGTGACAATACATTCCCCATCAAGTTTCGTGCCGGAATGAAAGATAAGACAATCTAGGAGGGAGAAATGTTGTCAGCCAAATCGAAAAATCCATATTCATCGCTGGGTTGATGGACAAGACGTTACCTCCAGGAAGTGGTTCTTCAAATTCGACAATGTCACCGCTGCGAAACGACTCGGGATACCCACCGGCAGCCACCACCACATTGCAAGCAAATCCCGGCGAGAAGGAGATTTGCATCTCGTGCAATCTCTCCTTGGTGCAGGCCAACAAGACCAGCGCGAGGTCGACGTCGCTCCCGAGCAGAGGGATGATGGACTGTGTCTCAGGATCGCCGAAGCGGGCATTGTACTCGAGCACTTTGGGTCCCGAGTCGGTCAACATGATGCCAGTGAAAAGAAGACCTTTGAACACTCGACCTAAATGGGACAACTAGTTTAGTCCTTCAACGACCAACTGACCTGCGAAGGACAAGGATAGATAGTTGGCTTGCCCGCCTACCTTCTTGTCGTAGCCCCTCGAACGTCGGTCGCAGGATTTCAGTTTCGACGCGTTCCATGATAGTCCTCGTCGCAGCCGGGACAGGCGCATAGACGCCCATTCCACCGGTATTGGGGCCCATGTCTCCGTCGCGGACGCGCTTGTGGTCCTGACCAACTGACAGCGTTACGGTGGTCTCTCCATCAGAGACTGTCGACACACTGAGTTCCTGACCGACGAGATATTCTTCGACGACCACAGAGGTACCGGCTCCGCCGAAGTGGTGGTTGACCAGGATATCCTGCAATGCCCTTACGGCTTCGTCTTTCGTCGAGGGGATCATGACGCCTTTTCCTGTGGCCAGTCCGTCCGCTTTGATGACGACGCGATGTCCGACTGAGTCGACATAAGCGCGGGCTTTTTCGAAGTCCGTGAATGTCCTGTACTCGGCTGTCGGGATACCGTGTCTGCACATGAACTCCTTCGCATAGGCTTTGGACCCTTCGATCTCGGCGGCCTCTTTGCTAGGAGCAAAACATGGGATCTTGGCTGCAGAGAATCAGGCCAACTTGAATTGGACACCAGTGCTGCCGCTGCCGCTGCCACGTTCGAAGAGGATCTACCACGTCGGAAATACACTTCAGCTCCGTCCACGATGGCAGAGTCCGGTCCGATGACTGCCAGTCCTATTTCAAGTCGGATGGCTACTTCTGCCATGGCCTCATACTGGTCCATAGCGACATTCTCGACGTTTGAGACGTTCGTGAGTCCACGAGCCGTGCCGCCATTACCGGGCAGGACGTACACATGGTCGACGAGCGGTGACTGGCGTAGTTTCCAGGCGAGAGCGTGTTCTCTCCCTCCTTTGCCGATGATGAGGACGCGTAGGCGGCCTCGCATTTTGGAATAGAGGATCCGAGCAGGTTATGAAGAAAGAGGTCGGCCAAGCATACAGGGTCGAAGAGAAAGTGACAATTTCGCAAGGAGATGTGAGGGTAAAATTTCCTGCTTTGCTTGTCAGTGTACCAGAGATGGTACGCGTGAACCGTGAACCGTACCTTCGTCGCAAGTTCACTGTTGGCGCCCAATAAGAGCTATAGACCAAGTCTGGATGGGCGGGCATGTTCAAGCCGTGAGTAGTAAGGATACCCTACGTAGATTCTCAAGACAGAACTGCATCATCTTCTGGAAACCCCTTCTTACCTTGATGCACTGCGAGGGGATGAAAGGGTGCGTTACCGGTGGCATCATATCGCAAGGCTGCTGTCAACTCCTCTCATAAGGCTTACTGCCCAGGGCAGTGCATGCTGTTTATCATCATCGGCTGTATCCATAGTCGTCGAGTGAACCTCAGCTGAACGGCGATCATGAAAATGAACGAGGGATGATTGATGAAGCAGAAAAGGAGAGAATGATGGACGAGTGTTTATACAATGTCAGACGATAAAACTCTTCTAGCATTAAGAGGGCATTCGCCTCCACTTGATTGGTCTTTTGAAAGCTGTTGTCCTGTCATTCGGTGCAACATGCGGTGAGTCGGTTGAAGGGACACAACACTTCGATCATTCTCTCCCTGTTCCTCTCAGACCGATCACACAATGTCCACGGCACCTTCAAGACCTCTTGATCGCCCTGTGCAACTAGGAAGAGTCCATTCAGCTCGTCGTCTTTCCCCGCTTCCTGCTAACGCCACGCTGAAGGAAAGCGAGATGCAGCCCGCTCGGTATCAACCAGGCGACCACTCAGCAGTCACACCCTGGCCCAAATCCCAGGCCCTGCGAGTCCTTCCAAGGTGACACCTGCTGGGGCTGAAGAGGAGTGTCAGCCTCGTTCCTTCTCGCAGTTGCTCCGCTTGTTATATGAACGGTCATTCCCTCATGTCCAGTCCGCTTTCTCGCAACTTCACCGCATGCCAACCTGCATCATGGCCACATCCTTCAGGAAACTGTCTGACCCAGAAGTCCGTTCGGTAATTGCGAGGGCCCCTCCATCACACACTTTTCATCGCTCGCCCGCGGCTTGGGAAGACCAGATCCTCTACTTTCTGCTGCCAGACCGCTTCTCGGATAACGCTGAGAAGGGATACAAAGACATCGGAGGTAGACCTGTCACTGGCGGAACAACCGCCAAATATGGCCCCCAAGACAGTGCAAACGCAATTGGCATGGATGACGAGGCGGCACAGTGGAGCTCTTCTGGAACGGTCTTTGTCGGAGGAAAGCTTAAAGGTCTGAAGAGCAAGCTTGGGTATCTCAAGCGTCTCGGCGTCACTGCTCTCTGGATCGGTCCCATCTTCAAAAATGTTTCAACACTGCAGACTTACCATGGCTATGGGGTGCATCATTTCCTGGACATAGACCCCCGATTTGGGACGCGAGAGGACTTGAAAGACCTCGTTGCTGCTGCACACAAACAGGATATCTATGTCTTGCTTGACATCATCCTCAACCATAGCGGTAATGTCTTTGAATACAAGGCGGACAACCCGCACTACACAGGAGATACGTACGATGTCAAGGGCTTCTATGACGAAAACAGAGCGGCAAAGATACCACTGGCCAAAGTCGACGAGGAGAAATACCCAAGTGCTTTCCCTGACGCTGCAATCTGGCCTGCTGAGTTGCAGACTGCAGACTGCTTCACGAGAAAAGGCCAGATCAATGACGACGGCTGGGACCGGATTCCCGAGTATCTTGACGGTGACTTCTATGACCTCAAGGATATCGCGTTGGGAGATTCGAGCCCAGATAACTTCTACGCAACACCCGCTCTGAAAGCTCTATGTCAATGCTATCAGTACTGGGTCGCTTACAGCGACATCGACGGTTATCGGATCGACACGGTGAAGCATATGGGAGATGGCCCAACCAGGTATTTTGCAAGTGTCATTCACGAATACGCACAGCGTCTAGGCAAGGAGAAGTTCCTTCTCATCGGCGAAATCACGGGCTCAAGAGCCCTTGAAACCGTCGAAGCCACGGGCATAGATGCCGCTCTCGGAATTGGAGATGTCCAAGAAAAGCTCTGGAGAGTCCCCAAGGGGCAGGCAAATCCGATCGAATACTTTGACCTATTCCGCAATGCTCTCTACCTCAATAAGGGCAGTCACACTTGGTTCCGTGACAAAGTGGTCACTATGATTGATGACCACGACCAGGTCTGGCGAGGGAGTTATAAGGGCCGTTTCTGCTCCGAAGGCAACGGGACCCAGGTCGTCATAGGTGCAGTGGCTCTTAACCTGTTCACATTGGGGATACCCTGCATCTATTATGGTACCGAACAAGCCTTCGATGGCCAAGGCGGAAGCGATCGATATATCCGAGAAGCCATGTTTGGCGGAGTATTTGGCGCATTCCGCAGCAAAGACCGCCATTTCTTCGACGAGGAAAATCATGTCTGGGAGGCTATCTCCGGCCTGGCAGAGATACGGGGAAAGGAGATGGCCTTGCGCAGAGGGAGACAATATCTCCGTGATATTTCAGGTGATGGCGTCCACTTCGGTTTGCCGGGCAACATTGGTCAATCGCCCATGCGCTCTGTCATTGCGTGGTCAAGACTCTTCGCGGGCGAAGAAGTGCTATGCGCAATCACCACGGATCCGAGCAAAGCATTGTCCGTCTGGGTCACGGTTGACAGTGAGGTGCATGGTCCGGGGAGCACGATGTCGTTGGTACACTCGACCAGCACTGACAAGGTGCCAGAATCATTAATTGTTGAGGGCAGGAATGGGAGGTCGGTCGTGCAGATCACGGTCCCATCTGGGGGAGTGGTCGTCTACAAATGACGGGATACTGCGGCCTTGTGAGGAGCCGAGGTCTCCCAGTATTGTCCCTACCGGCTCTGTGACCCGAGAATAGCCTGAGGCAATAACAGAAAGGACCAGGGGTACATAATCTTAATCACATCTTATCTTCATTGTCTCCTTCCGTGTCTGAAGTGTGAGATGTAGCATCCTGAACTGAAGCCTACGTTCCCCTGCACCCAAGCAGACTATCTAGCCAGGCGATACATATCCTTCTGGAACTGGGCAAACAACTTCTGGGTCGGTGGATCGGCTGGAGGGAAGAACTGGTTGGCGTACACTCCCCAGATACCTCTATGGCGATGAATGTGATGCAGGAGAATCAACAGGAGGAATAGTTGATGGCTCAGCATCACATTTTCTCTGGTCTTAAGCACCTAACGCGTTGGAAGTGGTGCTTGTTGAATATTTCTTGATTGAAGTCTGGTACAATTCCATATCCAATCGTTCACCAACTTCACACCGAACAACAGACGAGAAACAGACAGACGACGATGAGGTACCTTAGTACTGGTTGGTATAAGCACAGCCTTGTCAAGCACGTGACATACAAGGCTGTGACAAGCTTGGCACCAAAATTCACACACAGCAAACATTGGAAACCTTTTCATACAACTCACAATGACCGGTGGAATGAGGTGATCATCTCAGACTGTAATGACAAGCTGGTAGAGTGTTATGTATTGGGTCTACTGCCATCATCGAGACTCCTCCGGCACTGATGAACCCTCTGCGGCACTTCAGCTGATCACCGACCAGAGGACATACTTGGATTGACCAGCTCAGCCAGTGACTGACTGACCTTGTACAACTAACCAACTCCGAATGTCCAACTGTGTAATGAGGTATGTGGCACCACCCCTCGTCCAATCTTCAAGCAGCCTACATGTGCTGCTATCATGATGAACAACCTTATCCAAAAGCATAGTTCAACTGAGACTTTTCTGTCACTGAACGAGAAAAATACCATCATCAAAATCTGAATTCTACTCCGCAGATCTTCTCTGACACCAAGCGACATGCATACGCATATTTGCTAACGACAATCGCCAGGTACGCATAGTTTTCGACGATCTTCGAGATCGATTCCAGCTCTACCAGATCCGGACGGCTGCAGATTATCACAAGGAAAACACTCCTGCTGGCTCGCCGGGTCGTCTATCAACCCTGTCTCTGTAGCCAGAAATACTGTGATATTTTTCCATGTGACGACTCTCGACTTCATTTATATAATTACATAGCTTCCGAAGATGGCGTCTGTTGCTTGACAATACTGGGTTTCCCGAGCCTGGGCTCTTGAGCCTCAACTCTGGCGTGCTGGAGCCTCTGTCAGCTTTGCAGAAGCGACCTTGCGGGATATAGTGCGTTATGAGCAAGGCATACTATAGTCCACCGGTCAACATCGACCAAGAAATCCCACGAAGGTTCACATGGTTGTGCCTCGGTACTGTGCGTCACTGACGGCCCGGAGGTGCGGGTACTGGTCCTGAAGAGGCACTGTTTGTCGCATTCGAAGGCTGTCGAGCTCCGGGACCTGACTCCGGTGACAGCGAGTGCTACATGCTCTGTAACCAACCTCGGTCTCACGCGTTACACAACACTAGTAGTAGACAAATCCGTCGCCCACTCAGCCATTGTCTTTGCAACTGGACGGGAGGCAGCGAATGTGGAATGACAAGTTGGCAGAGTTGGGATGTAACAAGGCAGCGTCAGCAAGAGGGGCAGGGCTTTCCCTGGTCCATTAAAGCAAGGCGTCAGCAGTCTTGCCAGCCAGAACAGCTTCAGAAAGGATGCGAAACGCACGGTACTCTCGCAGACCAATGCCAATGCCAGCGGCATGCTCAGCTGGACAAAGCTGAATGTGTTTGCAATTCCATGATCCATAAACGAGAGTCGTCGCTCGAACCGAGGACACGACACGAAGAGAGAGCATGTCACGAGATGGGTTTGTTGGCATAACAGAATGCCACGTCAATCTTCTACCTCTGCTCAATGCAAGTACGAGCTGTCCTGTCACCTTCGTCACCGGGGTTGGAGTGGTTACAGCTGCAGGCAGAGCGACCAGCTTGGAAGGCTATGTCATCATGGGCCGCCAATGGAGACTCCCCTGCTGATCACACCAGGTGCACTTCTCTCCAAACAGATGAGACCACCACGTCGTCGTCGACGACGGAGCCGTATCAAGTCACGGTGGAGGTATGTGATGATCATTCCCACTCGCCGTTATCCCGGTTGGACGTCCACTAGCTAGATGAGCTGGCGCCGTCCGCGGCGGGTCGTGTCGAACCTGACGGGCGAGTCAAGGGGCGTGCCGACGGTTTCGCTCCAGTTCCAAGCATTGCATCCTCCTGCAGCTCCAAACGGGGCAACTCTTACACGGGAAGTTTGACCAACCTGTCCTGCCGTTGTTTGTGGTGGCATCCTGCGTCCTTGTGCAACCCAGGACAAGAGACTCTGCAGCCTGCTTCGCGTACAGCCCACTGCTACTGTTTTAGTGGTGACTGGATATGGCTGTAGATTGCAGTCCTGAGAAGGAGCCCACTCGAGGCAGTGGAAGGTCCTGCACCAGCCCACTTTGGCTCACTCCCACCGCTCCTTCGCCCACCTCACCGTCCTGGTCCTGATGCTCTGGCTCTCTCGCCATCCTTTAAAGCGAGGGCATCAGCACCCCTCGTCCTCCCTCCCCTCCTTCATCTTCTATCATACCTTCTCGCTCTCTTCTGTGAAACGCAGCAGCTAGCCAGACAGTTACTCTCGCCACCCATTCCTCACTTTCTATCTTCGTCAAATCTATCCAAACAGGCCACCAAGGACACACTTCTATCCACAGGACCATTTACCAGATTAGCCGGAGAAAAAACCCCCAGGATTGTTCGTGTGCTTTGCTCGAAGTTTCCTTTATTGTCGTTGTACCACTTCCCAAGGATTCACCCAGGATTTGATAACGACCATCCAACGGATCTCTCAGCACTCACTTCAATCTGGAAAAACCACTGTCTTGAGGTACTACACAGTTTTTCTTTCTGCTTTGTTGCCTTTTTCGTCGCTGCCCAACGGCCACAGCCGACAATGGCCTTTTCTGCCCTGTCGGCTGCTCCGGACCGGGTTGGCTTCGGCCCCTCCCACGCCATCACCTGTGGTGTTCGCTCACCAGGTTGATTGGTGTTTTGATGAGTTGATGACCTGTGTCGTCCTTATCAGGGATTGAAATGAAATCAAGTTTACTTGCCACATGGAACTGGAACCTTGTTGCCATTGGATACCATAGATTGAACCAAGGATCTGGACAAATTTATCTCCCTGGAACTTATTCGATCATGGCCACTTTTGCAAGGACCCTTGCCTTTGTTTGAATCCAGTGTTACTTTGCTTAGCCCATGGATACCCACGTCTGCTCGTCTTGATCTACCACTCCGACAACCATAGCTGGAGGCTTTTATCTGGTCACTTATGTCCGTGTCAATCAGCGCACCTTGAGATCTGGCCATATGTTTACCGTGCCGCTCGCCTCTAGGAATGTATGCAACATCAGGAAAGGCTCTCTCTTCTGGATATCCCAGGAATGTTTTGTACCTGCTGGCCTGGTTTCAAAATCGGCGAAAAGTCATCACGGAACACGATGTCCATTTCGAGAAACCACCACTGTTCCGGTCATCTAAATCCTTCACAATTTGGTCTCGGACTTTCCACCAACCTACCGCTTTCCATGCTCGTTTGCACAATCTTTGTGATGATCTACACGATGCCAGGTCCCAAGCAGTTGTCAGGATCTCCTATGCCAATGCTCTATCACTCAGTCGGACCTTGAACAATAACCCCGGCCGGGCTGACCGGACCCGTACGAACAGATCGTCTGGCACCATTTGGATGCTCTACACATGACCTAGCCCGGATTTTCCCGAGGCTTCTCACACGCCATTGTGCTTGGGACTGTTTCATTATGCTGATGCCGCGAGAACAAGTACTAACCTCTATTGTCCCGACAGTACTTCTTGCTCTGGACTACCTTGCTGAAAATGCCCTCGAAATCAAGACACTCTCCATCTACATTGGCCGGTCAATCTCCAAGACTCCAGAGCCGGGTACCCAGGACTATGCCAGTGACATACGCGGATCCCATGGACTACAGTTCCGCTGCCATGACTGAAGGGTTTGCCAACCCTAATTATGCCCTGATTTCAACTTCTTCGGCGTCACGCCGATACCCTGGCTCCACAGGCACTACATACTCTTCCGGATCATATTCGGACGGTGATGACTTTTTGATGACAACGTCTTCGGCCATCAACTGTCCCTCGTTGAGCGCCTCGGACAGTACTTACAATATGCCGCTGATGTCGAGCATGGTCGGCTATGACTCGGACCCGACTTATGAATTCCTGACAGATGAGGTTCTGTCGGGGACCGGTACTTCAAACTTAAACTACCATGGACAAGGACAGACCCAGGACTTATTGCAATCCAGCTATATTGCTACGGACCCAGGCATGTACACGTCAGGGATGATGAATAACTTCTTCTCCGCGGATCTTTCGTGGCAGAACCGGGTGTTGACACCCCCACCAGAGGACTATGTCCGGGATAACTTGCCACATCATTTCTTGTCTGTCCAGGATTACCAGCCGGAGCTGTGCCAGGATGACCAGGACCTTGCTGCTTTTGAGATCAATGCCATCTCGAAGTCTCCGTCGTACAGGTCGGGCTTCCCTCTTCCTCTTCATATCGCTACGCTCCGCTAATCAGAGACCGAGCAGTACTGTGCGTCGAAGCATTGTTCAACCACGACCAATACGGTCCGCTTCGGAACGGAGTGACTTGTCTGGAGAACACGTCACCATGAGTCTTGAAGTCCCGCTTCCCAAAGACGAGGCGGTCGACAAAGTCAAGGCCCGAAGTGACCCCCTTTATGGAGCCAAGGCAGACAGGAATGGATGGTACCATTGTCCCATGTTCAGCCAATCCAAATGCGCCCATAAGCCCACCAAGCAGAGGTGCATCTACAAGTAGGTCGAGCTGAGGCGCCTGGTCATGAATATCCTCTGACGCTTCTACCTATTTTCTCACAGCAAGTACCTGGACTCCCACCTGAGGCCCTACAGGTGCAAGTTTGCCGATCGACCAGAGTGCGAGGATGCCCGGTTTTCTTCCAACGCATGCCTTTTTCGCCATGAGAGAGAGGCCCATGGACTTCACAACCACGGACTGAACCCCTTCCTATGCAAGTTCCCGGATTGTGATCGTGCTCGAGACGGGAATGGCTTTCCTCGTCGATGGAACCAACGTGATCACATGAAGCGAGTGCACGATTACATCGAAGAAGACTCGCCCAGAGATCGGCCCACTGTCCCGGACCCGTCTAAGAGGAGAAAAGGCCCAGCCACTGCGCCGACGTCGACACCTATGAGGAGGACCGGATCCTCAGCCTTGGCCAGAGCCCAGGCGATGGCGGGCGCCACCGTCAACCCCAAGCACTATAGCCCTACTGTCAGCCAGGCTCGATACAACACTCCATACATGTATACTGGCTGAGGAACAGCTAGAAGACCCTGTTATGTCAGGTCATGGAAAAGCTATTGGACGATGTCCAGTCGTCACCCCAGGATTTATTGTTCTCCAGGAAATCCATCAGGCCATTGTGACAATCCCAAGATCTGTCCCAGACTTCTGCTTCTTTGTCATCTTGACCTGGAGAATCAGGACCACAGCCGAAGTGTACACACTGAACAAACCACCAAGAAGGCCATTTCTCTTTTTGTCAACTTGGGCGTCTGCACTTGCAAGTGGGTATTCAAGTGGAGCCAGTCCACCGCTTTGAACCAGAAGAGTTCCTTTATCTACCTAATTCAGGGTGCAACAGAACAAAGATGCCACGGTCCTTCTGCAATAGTATACAGAGGATGCTTCTTGAATCAGGGGCGATCCCAGTCACGCGACAGGTTTCCTTCACAACCGGGTGCCACCCTCCGGGCAAGGGTGCTTGTTTTCCTATTGCTCTTTGTATCCCAGGACAGGCCATCTTTATCTCCGCGAGGCACATCCCAGGATCTGTTGATTTTGATATGCGTAGCGATCCGAAGGACATTCTGGTACATTTATAGAGGTTGTCGTTGTTGGGGAACATAGTCAGAATAAGGGGGAATGTTTTGATAGATCGAGTTTTGATCGCAAGCAATATTGTGCGACTAACGACTGTTGAGTTGGATGTCCGATGGCTATTGAGCCATCTCTGGAGGGGACGGCATTCTATACCCTGAAACAACATTTTGTGGTAGCTGGTGATGCTTCCTTCATCTCACTGATAGAAAGCCAGCTGGCTACTTTGGACCCGTCAAAAGAAGTATATGGAAAGCAAATGTCACCGTGGTCAGGCAGACAAGAGTTCTAAGAGTTGTATCTGGTTCAGACAACAGACGAGGTCCGTCGGGTCGTAGCCTCGAGCATAGCCAGAGGTACCAAGGTCCATGACCGATACCTTAGACAACAGTTATGATGTGCTCTAAGCCTCGATATAAAAGAAGGCTTATAGCTCACAGGGACTGACTGATGATCTGCGTGTCTCCAACATCAAGATCCCCGCAAAACTTAGATAGCGACAATATTCACTAGTAGTACGGGATTAATGACACTCGGACTCTGTAATACTACCCTCGGTTGATCCAGCTTAGGCTCCGCCAGTGTATCGACTACTAGTAGTTCGCCGCGAGTGCGGGAGAGGCAGCCAGCAAGTGCGGGTTTGCCTTGTGAGAGAGAGCGCTGGATGTAGTGGCAGGAAAGATCAGGTGAATATTGATGGTACCTATATTGCGGCAGACGGGATAAAGAAAGACTCCAGGTAATGGGTGAATGAGAACATCTAATGCATGTTTGTATCTGGCTCATGCCTTCTCTGTCCAAGTCCTTGCTTACAAGGAATTGCAGGCTTCATACAACGCACACCTGAATTATCCCCAAAGGAGTGACACGAAGGTGGTAGTATTTTCAGCAATGTGTGAATTTGTACTCAACCCATGGCGCTCAAAGAAGGTGTATAAGCATGGATTCACTGTTTGTTCTGCAGTCAGACGGCTGTCTTGGGCACCAGGTGCCTTTAGCACGGTGTACTAGTGGTGAGCGCTCGACAATAGGTATACATGGAGGGGTTGCTAGAAGCACGCGGGGATCGGCGGCGGGTTCAGGAGGCTGCACTCCAAGGTCTTCCAGCACTGAGGAACGATATTACTGTCAAAACAGTGAGACACTCAATAAACAACTATCTCAGATTCTAGCACTCGATAGGAGAATTGAGAGGCTTTCAAGTTTGGTTCTGAGGGAGGAAACACTTTCCAGTGGTTGTATGGCTAAATATGGCATGGCGTTTTGTCTTCACTGTCCATTCAACGGCCGGCGGCGGGCCAGTGAGTCCTGCCTGCGCCTATGGTGAGACTAACTGAACTGGTAATGTACAGGTCAAGCGGTCGTGTTGCCGACGTCTTGATTCTCGTTCTCGTTCTCGTTCTCATTCCATCCAACTACTACTACTACCCAAAGGACTTGACTGCTCTATACAGGGTTGTCTATCATTGTTCTCTCTGGGATATCTCAGTTTTATCTTCATTCTCTATCTCAGTATCTACTGTATCGAGACTACATATTTGTAATCCGTCCCCCGTCCATCCACCGCGGCCGCCCTTCGATGGCGGGTTAACATGGCAAATCTGCCCGCACGCTCGCCTTCAGACTTGCAACTTACCAACCGACGTGCTTCAGGCACACTTTCCTCCGGTCATTCACCTTCTTCTCCGTCAACATCTTTCCACGGACCAAGGTATTTCTCACTTCACTGCTTCTTGGCCACATAGTTTCCCGCAGACCGCACCCTTTGCTTGGCCTTTCCGCCTGCCTTGCATGTTCACCTCTTTGCACCCCCGCAAACTTACACTCTACCATCTGGCCTGCGTCACTCCTTCATCTATTTTGAACCTGCACCTCTGCCCTGCTACCTTAGCAGATACATCGTCCACGTTTCTGTTGCTGAGAGCCATTGCTCATGTCTCGCAGAGTCACTCGTTCATCCGCGAGGCTCGCCGCAGAGTCTGGCATTCCATCCGCGTCCTCGACCGATCCGACCCAAACCTCAGATCCCCCCGCAGCCTCATCAAGAAAGCGAAAGGCCTCAAGTCGTCGGACTTCTAGCCCCGAACAGCCAGAAGCAACCACCCCTCCGTCCACTCGCCGAGGAAAGAGACAAAAGTTGACCGAGCCGCCACAAGCTCAGTCATCACCTGCACGGCCAGCTCCTAGAACGAGTCGAAGAAAAGGCGCAGGGATCGATCCGGCAATGTCTAATAATGGGTGGGTTACAAGAGATCATGAAGATGCCGGAGCTACAGCTAAAGTCATTAGTTCATCTTCAAATTTCGCAGACCAGTCCACAAAGCAGACATCTTCCAAGCCGAGTTCGAAGCATCCCCCAAGCAGGAGCAACAAGAAGTCACCATCAGGTACGCGTTTCTTCTTGGCTGCTGGCCCAAACTTGCTGACCCCGATGCCAGACGCCTCGCCTCCTGCCCAGACACCGTCCTCCCGCCGTCAGAAGAAGCGTTTGAGTCAAAAGGATCCTGATGTTCTGATGAAAGAAGAGAAAGAAGAAGACGACGAGGACGAGAAATCTGCTAGAGAAGACAGAGACACTCTTCCAACCTCTCATCATTCCAATCCTAGTGATAGCGACGACGGAGACGACCAGAGCGAGATGGACGGCGACGATGACGACGGTCCCGACCCATTTGCCGCAGCCTTGTTCGGGTCCAGCCGTGGTGCGCCTTCGGGACTTTCCAGTACACTCAGAGCATTGAGCGGAATGATGAGCGGCATGTCGTCGAGATTAAGAGACATCTTGAACAACCTCCGACAAGTTGACAATCCTACGATGCAAATGATAGCTCTGGAGGAGTTGTCGAACTTGCTATTGGTGTCTAACGAGGACAATCTCTCCGGACAATTTTCTCCTGACCCTTATGTCAAGGAACTCGTGGCTCTCATGCAACCGAATCCTATCACTGGCGAGGAGAATCCAGAAATCATGCTCCTGGCTTGCCGTTGCATTGCCAATCTTATGGAAGCTCTGCGGGGTTCGGTTGCCAACGTCGTCTATGGTGGCGCCGTCCCGGTCCTGTGCCAGAAGTTACTTGATATCCAGTACATCGACGTTGCCGAGCAGGCCTTGAGCACATTATCGAAGATTTCAATCGACTTTCCAGCAGCGATCGTTCGGGAGGGCGGCTTAACTGCCTGTCTACAATTCCTTGACTTTTTCGCCACGAGCACACAGCGAACCGCTGTTACCACTGCTGCAAACTGTTGCCGTAACATCCCGCACGATTCGTTCCCGGTCATCAGGGACGTCATGCCAATCCTCTTGAATGTTTTGTCAAGCCACGATCAGAAGGTGGTCGAGCAAGGCTGTCTCTGCGTAACTCGAGTCATCAACAGTTTCAAGCACAGTCCGGACAAGCTGGAGCAGCTGGTTGACGTGCCACTCTTAAAAGCGATCTTGGGACTGCTCCTGCCAGGCACTACAAACCTCATCGGAGCAAACATTCATACAGAATTTCTACGTGTACTTGCGATTGTCGCGCGAGCGAGCCCGAGGCTGTCCGTGGAGTTATTGAAAATGGACGTGGTGGACACTCTGTACCAAATCCTGACCGGCGTCTCCCCCCCATCCGAGACCGCTGATGCTGCTTCCAAGATCGACAGTGTGGTCATCATGCAGGCCCTCATCCATAGGCCTCGCGAACAAGTCTACGAAACCCTGAACGTCATTTGCGAACTCCTTCCTCGCCCCAAGCTCGCTAGCGATCTGGATACCGAAATCTACAACAATCTGGGCGACAGTCTCTCCCACGACGAAGCTTCATCCACGAATGCATCAAAAATCGAGATGCGACGAAAGTTGCTGGGCGATTGCCAGGAAGAGACACGCCGATTTGCTATGATCCTCCTACCAACGCTGACGGACGCCTACTCTAGTACAGTGAATCTGAGTGTACGACAAAAGGTCCTCATTGCCCAACTCAAAATCCTTTCCAACCTTGAGACCTCAGTCATTGAGGAGGCCCTTCGGCCTGTACCCTACGCTTCCTTCCTTGCGTCCATACTGTCTCAGGAGGATCATCCGAGTTTAGTTATGTTCGCTCTTCAGGCATCCGAATTACTTTTCGAGAGACTGGAAGACATCTACCAGTACCAATTCCACCGTGAAGGAGTCATTGGTGAGATTAAGAAGCTCGCCGACAGACCCTTGCATCAAGGTGACAAGTCTCTCAGTCCCGCTGCGAGTGAACGCATCAGCGGCGTGGAAAGCTCTACCGAAGGTAATGGCGAAGTCGCAAAAGCCGACAGCGTCGCTGGTCTACATTCTCAGGACCAGCCTACCCACGATGGTGAGGACAAGGAGGGTCAGGAGGAGGACGAAGACGACGAGGACAACGGCGATCAAGACCCTGAAGATGAAGACAACGATGACGGCGACGAGGACGGCGACGAGGACGATGATGCTGCCAGACATGACCATGACATGGACGACTCTCAAAGCTCTGAATCATCCGACGACGACGAAATGCCATCCTCACTCGCAGTTGCGGGAATCTCAGACTTGGTTGTAGTGCGTGCAATGAGATTCCTGGAGAAGTACGACACAACGAAAGGCAAGGAATTGAAACAGAAGGCATCGGAAATCCGCAATGATCTTCACAAGCTTGCCAACGACATCGAAACATTTTACAGCCAGCCGAGGCAGATGGAAAGCAGCAATCAGCTGTTCACTCGACTCGCCAGTTACTTCGACGGAGACGCCTTAGAGAGCATAACAAGTTCAGAGTTGTTGGATTCGGGAATCATCCGGGTCCTAGTGCAGGTGCTGTCTGAAGACCTCTCCACCGCACACAGTACTGCCAGGGCGCACTTCGTGTCAGCATTCATGGAATCAACCAACCAGAACAATGTTAGGACAGCTCCAGCATCGTCCGCAATCACGCCCTTCAGCGCCCTCATCCAGAAACTCCAGGACCTGCTTAGCCGTGCCGAACATTTCGAGGTTCTGACAGTGAACAACAACGCTTCCGAGAATAGTCGAAGCAGCTCGACTTCCATGCTTTCGCGCCAGCTACGCTTGAGGCTCTCAGCGGATGCTGACAGTGACATACCACTGACATATCGAGAAATGATAGTTTCCATCCATGCGATTGCTACATTCAAGGCATTGGACGATTACCTTCGGCCTCGTTTCAGTGCTTCTGAACGTCCAGCCTCGGCTCAACGTCGTCGCGACATGCTGCAGCAGCTAGCAAACGCTCGGCTTGCCCAGCTTTCAGGCGCCGCAGAGTCAGGCCTCTTCTCCCCGTTTGGGCACGAAATTGGCTCTCCAGCTACTCCGGCAAGCGCTGATCCTCCATCTGCAATGCGACTGTCCTCTCGTATCAAGCAACGATCCGAGGAGAGAGAACCAACTGGAGAGAAGAAATCTATGGAAAATTCTGAACGAAAGCGGCCAATTCGACGCAACCAGACATCCACGTCAGATTTGCCACCTGCATCGGCTCCTGAACCTAGCACTGAGGCCGAAGGCAACAATCTCGAATGCGTGGATGAGAGGGTACTCAAAGATGACGATCCTGCTGATGGTGAAGCTGAAGGCGCTCTGGAAGCTTTCGTGGAAGGACTTGAAGATGATGTTTCCGACGATAACGGGCCTGACCCTGGTGCAGTCAATATGGAGATCGGATCCTCTGGGAAAGTGACAGCTCGTCAAGAGGATGGGACAAGAGTCTTCACGCCGCAACCAGGTACGCCAGTCGCTGGTAGCACTCGCCCGCCGTCCTCAGGCCAATCTCCTGGACCAACCCCTAACACTGGAGCTGGGCGCCCATCGTATGCCGCGGCACTGGCAAGCACACCACAGGATTGGCATATTGAATTCAGCATTGATGGGAAGGTCATCCCTAACAATACTACTATCTACCGAGCAATCCACCACAATCGAGATCAACCCCATGATCAACTTAGTCGGAGCATCTGGTCAGGAATTCACACTGTCAAGTTTCGAAAGGTCCGCGGTCCCCCGCCTGATCTGACAAGTTTACCGGCATGGGGTGAATCGCCAATGCGAGGCTCTGGTGATGGGCTACCAGCTTCGCTTGACGGTCATCCGGTCACATCATCGATCCTATCTCTGCTTCGCATCCTTCACGAGCTCAACGCAAATCTGGATGAGATTCAAGACATCGTTGGCCTGGCGAGCCCTAAGCTATACCAAGAGTCCCTTGCCTCCTTCATCAACACAAAGTTGACCGCCAAGATGAATCGTCAACTGGAAGAGCCTCTGATAGTTGCCAGTAACTGCTTGCCAGCGTGGAGCGAAGATCTTGCCCGATCATTCCCATTCCTGTTTCCGTTTGAAACCCGGCACCTCTTCTTGCAGTCCACGTCATTTGGCTACTCTCGATCTATGATCCGTTGGCAGAATAATCAGTCCGAGAATGATGACCGGCGTGATCGCCGGAGAGACGAGCGACCATTGCTAGGACGCCCGCAACGTCAGAAAGTCCGCATTTCTCGACATCGCATCCTTGAGTCCGCCATGAAGGTGATGGACATGTACGGCGCTTCGCCAAGCGTTCTAGAAGTCGAATACTTTGAGGAAGTCGGGACAGGCTTGGGTCCTACTCTCGAATTCTACTCGTCGGTGTCGAAGGAGTTTTCGAAGAAGAAGCTGAAAATGTGGCGAGAGAATGACTCTGGCCACCAGGATCAATTTGCGTTCGGAAAGAACGGGCTATTCCCGGCGCCGATGAGCGAGGCTGACACTCATGGAGAGCCCGGTAAAAAGCTATTGCTGCTTTTCAAGACCCTCGGAAAATTTGTCGCTCGGTCCATGCTCGATTCTCGCATTATCGACATCTCCTTCAGTCCGACCTTTTTCAAGATAGGAGGGATATCAAATACCATGCCATCGATAGGTTTATTACGAACGGTGGACCGCGACTTGGCGAACTCTCTGGCCCAACTACAGCAATTTGTCAAAGCGAAGACCAACATTGAACTTGACTCTTCGCTGACCAAGGCTGAGAGAGCGAATGCAATTGATAATATCACGATCCATGATGCACGAGTGGAGGATCTCATGCTGGATTTCACCCTTCCCGGCTATCCTGGAATCGAGCTGATTGAAAATGGCTCCAACGTCGCCGTCACCATCGACAATGTCCAGAATTATATTGATCGCGTACTAGATTTGAGTTTGGGAAGTGGGGTTCGTCCTCAGATTGAGGCGTTCCAGACAGGCTTTTCTCAAGTGTTCTCCTATGCCAGTTTGAGAGCTTTCACGCCAGACGAACTGGTCATGTTATTCGGTCGCGTTGATGAAGACTGGTCTATGGAGACATTGATGGACTCGGTCAAGGCAGATCACGGCTACAACATGGACAGCAAGACCGTCAAAAACTTGTTGCAGACAATGTCGGAACTGACCCCTGCTCAACGGCGGGACTTCCTGCAATTTGTCACGGGCAGTCCCAAGCTCCCAATTGGGGGATTCAAGAGTCTGACGCCGATGTTCACCGTGGTCTGCAAACCCAGTGAACCTCCTTACGCATCCGATGACTACCTGCCGAGTGTCATGACTTGTGTCAACTACCTCAAGCTTCCCGATTACTCTTCGCAGGAAGTGCTCAAGGCCCGCCTGTTTGTTGCAATCAGGGAAGGACAAGGGGCATTCCACTTGTCTTAGGCATGGCTTGTCTCTCATGTAAGTAGCCAAGTATGCGAGCAGATCGAGAAGCTGGTTGAGGAGGTTGTGGATGGAGATGGACAGTGCTGTTGTTTTCGTCCTCGTGGGCGCGCAACAGTGGGGGGTTTTAGGCTGTGAATCCTGCAGTACCAGAGTGACAGAAGAATCGCAACTTTGTGAGGCAGTCGGACTGCTGATGAACTGCCTAACGAACCGTTCAACGGCCCACAACGAAATACCATGGGAGCAGCATAGAGTGGACACAGGCGACCAGGGAAAGGCGTTTGCATGGCATTCGGACAAGGACGAGTGGTTATGCGTTCGATTATGAATGCAAATGGTATGGTTTCATCCGTTCAAGCTGCGAAATACGGCAACGCGGCTGAAGTGGGAGGCAAACTGACTCTCGCGAGGGGAAGATAGTAATTCAGGGCAAATGGTCACAGAATCCGTGATGAAAAAAGCTTGTAGCGAGTGAAAAGGGAGACTGGAAGTCGGAGACATAATTTCTTCCTTTCACTAGAGTCGAGACTACATAGTTTCCAATGACATTGACCACGATAACCCATGAGTATCCCGACAGATCCGTACGTGCTGTAGGTTGGACATGTATCTACCCGATCAGGGGGCCAATGTTGCATCATCATACCTCCGTGCTTTCAGCATCGTATTAGTTATATTATCTAATGTTGATATAGTACACCTTTAAAAAAATAGAAGGTAACACCCGGAATCTATCCCACCTAGGCATGTAGTCTAGTCAGGTAGTGTGTCCTATATGGTCTTCTATTCATGTCGTCCGCGCCCGCGCAGGTTCGGCACCGGCCCCAACAGGACTATGCTCATGACGGTGCGACTTTCGAAACAGCAACCTCCGGGAATCTTTCGACGTCGGTTCCGACGAAAGTAATTCCTTTTCAAAGGTGGCCCAGAGGCGGAGGGCCTGGTTGCGAACCTCGTCGTACTGCGGTGTAGATTGCAGATAGGGACGAGGCGACCTCGCACCATTCAGGGTAGGAGTTTTGTACTCTTCGACTTCGCGCTGACCTTGGGCGATGCGAGCGCGTCGAATCCAGCGATTTGTCTTTTCTGTATCTCGCACACGTCGTCGCAGGCTGTGATGCACGCCCTTGAAGGTGAACGCGCCCAGTCCGAGGACGCCGGAGATGGGTTTCAAGACCAACCCGCCGAGACCCTTGGCCACGCCCTTGGGCAGGCCGACCATGCCTTCGTCATGGACCTCGAGGCAGGGAAGGCGGACGAGGCCCGTGACTCCGTCGTAGAAGCCCAGCCAGAACTCCAGCCCCGCGGCCTTGACACCGGATCGGAACCCGGTGATTCGTGCAGGGGACGTCCGGACGGTCTTGTCGCCATATAAACGAGGCGCGTTGTGGAACCCCAGCGCCAGGGCATTCCACAGCTGGATGGGTAACATGGCGATCACGCGGCTCGAGTGGCCGATCCCTCGTCCGACGTCTTTCAGTATCACCACTACCGCGGGACCATGTGTGGAAAGATCGCTCGTCGTTCGATTGATCGGCCCGCTGCCCGCCGAGTCATCGTCATTGGGGACTGATGAATTGAGAGATAGCATGGCCGGTTCGGCTTCTCCCTCAAGGTTTAGCCCGCGTTGCGCCCGAGCGCGTTCCCGCCTTTGCGATTCCACACTGGTGCCTCGAACGGCGTGGGCAATGCGGCCGGGTAAGACGAGCGCATCCGCCGCCGACTTGTCGCGGTGCTTTCGTCGGTGTCTCTCATAATGTTTGAAGTCTTTCTTGGCCGCATCGTGCATCGAGGCCAGCTCGTGGAATGCTTCTTGAAACGCTTGAAGCAACACTCCGCCAGCTCCCGTGATGGGCTCGCCGGGTCCTTGGAAATCCGACCACTCTCGAAACTTGTTCAATTCCAACTCCGACCAGTGTAGATCTTTGTTCCCCACCAGCAAATCCGCCGCGAGCGCCGACAATTGAACAGTGTTTCCGCTCGTCTTCCACACCCCTACTCGCTCGGGGAAGATGCGGCAGCGCATTGCATCGAGATTCAATGCGCGATGGAACGAGTCTACGGCATTTTCCGCCCCGTCGCCGTCTTTCTGAATGCATTTGGCGATCTCTTGTGCCTTGGCTTTGGTTTCCGGCTCCAGACATTGACGAATGCCTTCGGCGAAAATGTCACTGTTGAGCTTCTTCCAGGGAAGCGCTATTCTGGCTCCGGCTCCGGCTTTGACGACCATGGCGCTCCAGAAGGGTTGGTCGCCAAAGAAAGGAATGATCATGGTCGGCTTTCCGAACTTGAGGCCGGCTGCTGTGGTGCCTGCTCCGCCATGATGAACCACCGCGTCCACCTTGGGGAACAGCCAGTCGTGAGGAACATTGTCAACCATGAAAACGCCGTCTGGTTTCTCCATGCCATCCCCCATACCTCCCCAACCACGGCTGATTACGGCACGAACTCCTGCCTTTTCCACGGCCTCGAAAATCGTCCTTGTAAACGCCACGGGATCGTCGATACCGGAAATCGACCCGAACCCGATGTACACGATGGGGCGATCATCGCTTCTCTCCAAGAACTTGGACAAATCTTCAGGAGGCTTGAAGGAGGATGCCAGATCGAGGAATACGTATCCCGCGATATCAACTTCTGGACCCCAGTCCCGAGGTTTGGGCACAAGGCCTGGTGACCAAAGATATGTCATTGGAACTCTAAGACGCGAGAGCTGACCGGGAGCCCACAGTGTTGACACCGGTTCTAACCCCAGGGTATGGACGCGGAAGCGGTTGATGAGGTCACCCAAGCCCTGCCAGGTCACCAAATCGACCAAAGGATAACTGATCAAGTTGCTGTAGCTTTCATCAACATTGGTTCTTTTAATATTGGCCAGAGGATGAGGGAAAGCCTGTGTCGGAGTATAGGGGAAGGTGAAGACCAAGTGCAGAGGGATGCTCAGTCTTTCTGCGCAGTGATAGTGAGCGAATGAGGGCGGATTGGCGATGATGGCATCGGCAACGAACGGAGGTTTGCTTCCCATCATTTTCAAGTTGGCAGCATCCGTTTCATCGTCCGTCGCGTTGATGCAGGCCCGCCAGAACCCCTGGAACATCTGGTACATCGACTCGCGTCTTCGCCCCACCTCTCCGGTTTTCAGTGTCTCCAGGGAAGGCACAAGCCCAGGATTCTTCACCATGAAAGACATGAGCTCCGAAGGATCCCCTCCGACGGAGAAAAAATCGAGACCGATTTCTTCTTCGACAAACTTCCTGAAGGTAGGATGGGTGGCAATGCGGACGCGGTGGTGGTATTTGTCCTGGAGAATCTTCCCAATTTTCAGAAATGGCTGGATGTCCCCACGGCTCCCAATCACCATGATGACGATGTTCATCCGTGGGATCACCAAATGTGGCTTGGCCTCGAGAAAGTCGGCTTTGGCCTTCTCTGCGGCGCGCTCTTCCTGGGCATGGTGTGCCTCCGTACCAAGATGGTGCTCAAGGGTCGCTCCAAGAGCCTTTGCCAGATATCCAGTATCGGCGGTTTCATTGACGGAGATATTCAGCCTGCCATCGCCTGCCAATCCGGCGCGTGACTGGAAGAACTCGTTCCCAACATGAAGTTGCGGCCGTTTCGCGCGATTGAGGTGAGATTTAGACAAGAGGTGACGGTCGGGCTGGGTCCACGACCTTCGTAGTTTTGGGTGGCGTTCCTCTTCGGACGAAGACCAGCCGTCGGATTCACTGTGTGATGTAGACTCTCTGCGGTAGCCAGGAGGATTCAGTGTGGACTGACGCCGTGTCGCAGGAGCAGGCAGCCTTCTTGCAACTGGCCGAGCTATTTCGGTGTCGAACTTGCGCTCGGCTAGAGTGGGCCGCTGAACTGTTCCATTCTCTGCTGATCGCCTGTCTGGCATCGGCGAGTCGGTCTGGTTGGCAAGGATTGGGTCATCCCACAATGTTGCATCTGATTCGATTCTTGATGCTTGCTCTGCCGAATCCCTCTGCGGGAAGGCCGTGGAGGTATCTGGGGCTGCGACTATAGGACCGGGCTGTCCTTCGACGGGGGCCGACGCCGCCTGCGTGAGAGTATTCGCCATTTCCGGTCGGATTCGCCGTTTTCGAGGGCGTTCTCGACTTTCAGGGAGTGTATGTTTGAATCATGCTAGCATGCAGGAATTGGAGCAACAGGAGCACTGGGCGCAGGAAGACTGTGGTAGGATCGCTGTGGCAGGATCGCAATGGCGGAGGATCGAGAAGGCTTTGGGTTCAAGCGCGTATGGTCAGGAGTATTGGCTTGGTTGCGATGAGCGAGCGACCGGAGGGCTTCTAGGATCGCGGACGAGAAGAGAAAGTGAGTACTCGTCCGTTCAACAGCATGCTAGGGTTAGAGTTGAGTTGAGACTGAAGAAAGGCCGTGTAGCATGTGGTGTAGACTGGTCGCTACCCAGGTACGTAACACAGTAGAAGTGGTAGACCTGCTGTGCTGTTTCGGTACACACACACAGTACAAACAAGATGGCGCCCGGGTCACAAGGATGGCCCTGGATTTTTCTCACGCGTTGCGTCATAATATTAGTTTGAGGTCAGGGTCACTGCTCTCTCACGAGTCTAGACACCTCTGTGACCTAAGGAAACCCCTAGCCTCCTCCTTAGCCTCCCGGGCGAGCCGCTGCCGGCACTTTTGGCTCCTAGGCTCCTTATAGGCCTTGGGTCTACTACCTAAGCCTTGTGTCATGCAGTGGCGGTATCCATTTATTCAAGTTACTATTATTTCCCATACGCATCCGACAGCCTGATGGACGTTGAGAACCGTTTTGGTTCCACTCACTTCTAACCACCAACCTCGTCCCTTTGCCAGGTCTAATGAGTCTGTCGCCACAGGTGTCCTACTCTTCAAGAATTTCCCCTCTCCTCATCGTCCTTCCCAGCAGCAACCAGCCGATGAACCGATCATATCAGGTACTACTATGGTGGACACGACACAACGTGTCGCATTTGATCGTCGCAGCCTCGCGTTATTATTAACCTCGGACCCAGAAGGCGGACTTTGCGGCCGCCTTGTTTGACATATATCCTCTTAATCCATGATTCTGTCAAGTAAACTCCGTACTGTATATAAGGTACATAAAAGGTACTATGGCCATAACGATTCTCTTTTCCAATTTCATCAGTTCTCTCACCAACTTGAAGGCGTCTTAAGTGAGAAATACACTCCCATAAATCACTGAATCCATCTTCAAGACCTCTAGAATCTTTTTTGGACTCCCCCATTTCTAGCATCCACGCCCGTTCTCTACCAGTTTTAGTCATCTCAGGCTATCAGCACCCATAACCACCTCTAATTACGGATTCAGAGCAATGGCCGCGGAACTGCCTGGCCAGACGCTCGAGGGAAAGGTGGCCATTGTGACGGGATCGTCCCGCGGGCTCGGGGCTGGAATGGCGATGGCTATGGCGAGGCGAGGGGCAAAGGTGGTCATCACATACACCTCAGCCTCGTCCGAAGCCAAAGCCGCGACTCTGGTCTCGGAGATTGAGGCTCTTCCCAACTCTTCATCTGCCGTCTCCGTGCGCGCCGACCTGTCGGACATCTCTGCCCCCTCGGCCATCGTGGCAGCCAGCCTGTCCGCGTTTGGCTCGGCCATCCATATCCTCGTCAACAACGCCGCAGTCCAGATCACTCAACCTCTCGCGAAAATCACCCTGGAGAACTATCAATCCGTCTACGACATCAATGTAAGGGGGGTCATCCTCATGACCCAGGCGGTGCTCCCTCACTTACAACCACGTTCCCGAGTCATCAACATCTCTTCCGTGGGTGGCAGGGCTGGGTTTGCCGACTTGTCACTCTACACGTCGAGCAAGGCTGCCCTCGAAGGCTTGACCCGCTCGTGGGCGGCCGAGTTGGGACAAAATGGCACGACGGTGAACGCGGTGGCACCGGGGCCTGTGAAAAGTGACATGCTCGACAGTATCCCCCCGCATATCGTCCAGATGCAGATGGACAATACCCCCGTCGAACATCGCGTGGGCACCAGTCATGAAGTTGCCAGCGTGGTCGCGTGGCTGGCCGGCGCCGACAGTAGTTGGGTCAGTGGCCAGGTGTTGAACGTCAGTGGCGGGTGGTCCATGTATTGATTGACCTTTCAAACAGTACTGTATAGGTAGGCATGCTTGTTTTGGATATCTGATGACAGCTGCGATGGTGATCATTCTGATAACGTGTATCTTGTTTCTTGATCTCTTATTTCGCCACTTGCACCCTCTCTTCTACAGTATCAAGCGGGACTGCTGGTCCAGAGTATCTATGAAGAGCGTACCTCAGAGCGGTGAGATTGCGAGTCTAACAGTCCTGTCTCGCCATAAGACAACGCAGCCATCCCTTGCCTTTCATGCCTGGAGTGATTCTCTCGCCGCGCAACTCCCTCAGGTAATCGCAGACCCGGTGTCTTTGGGGATAGTGGCGGACTCTTGCGGGTGTCGAACGGGTGTCTAGGGTGACACAATCTCCTTGATCGTTCAAGTTGAGGCTGCTCGTCAGGCTGAGCGCTCTCCAGCTGTCCCTCGTGCTGCGGGCCTCATCCTTGTCCTTGACGTTTGCTGCCATGTCCGCCGCACCTGGTGCAGTCTTTGTTCAATACCGGCCTCGATTGTCGATCGCTGGGAGGTGGGAGGGAATAGGTTGGATTCGAGACACAGGTTATACATGAGTCGGATCACGTCGAGCCTCTCTTCCTCTGGTAGAGCGGTCCAACTAACCCGGACATCGGCCCACCTGGAATGGGGACGAGCGGCACAGTATTCGTTATGCACCTGACGAGCAAAGTTCTTGAAGTTGTCAAATTGCCGGTCACTGAGCCCCAGCTTTTCCTGCACTTGCGCAGGCGTGTCTCGCAGCCTGATGGGCAGGGGACTCATGACGCACGCACCGATCGAGGTCCAAACGGGTCAACAATGCAGCGAGAAAAGAGGACCGGCAACAGAGGATAGCAGAAAGACCTGCCGTGCATGGAGATGACCAGGACTCACCATCATCACGTTGTCGCTCTTCTTCTCAAGGATTCGAAGACCGGGATACTTTTCACCGTCCCAGCTCAACATTGCGCAGGTGAGAGGCTTCTCAACCATAACTTCCCGCATCGCCCGTTCACCGTGCATGTGTCTCTGCCACTCTCGTTCCTAGCCTGCCTTGTCCGCTCCGTTCCAATTGGGCTTCATCCCACCGCCTCTGGCCAAACAACCAGGAAAGACTCTTGACACCATCCCCAAACGGACTGTCGGCTGCAAGCAGCATCACCTTCTTGGATGTCAGCACTCGCTTGAGCCGGCGAGGGTCGGGGATATTCAAGGCCGGACAAGTTATAACCCGAATGAGGCTATCAGGCCCAAATGAGTCTATGGGTGGCTTGAACAGGCCGAACGCGCGCCGGGGAGCTATTCTCCGACTGACTCGAGACACGCAGCAGATCATGACCCCTGACTTCTCCTGGCAGCCAATGATATCGCATTACAGGCATCACGACAGCTTGGTTCTGGACGTTGATCAACCAAACCTGTGATGGTTTCATCTTCGCGCGCCTCACCAACTTTCCCCTTAACTTGATTTGACAACTCGCCTCGTAACCGACCACGACTTCCTTCAGCAAGCGTCGCAGGTCGACTTCGACAATGCTTCATGTCTCGTCTTGTCGTCAGCTCACCCATAGATCTATGGCCTTATCTCTTGTCCCTTTCAGTCAACTTGTTTTCTTCCTTCATGATCTAGTTGATGACTTTCACTGACCTTTACTTTTGGCTGCTGATCCTTCTACCCTTCTTTTGAAAAGATCTTGCTGGCAAGATCGTATTTCTTTTCTGTCGCTGGCCAGACGCATCATTTGAGATTGCTTCAACAACGCTTGCATTGGGCCTGACGTACAAGACGCCGTTCAGGCCTCTCGCAACCCGCTCGGCCAACGAAAATGTCGAATACAAAAACCCTCATCCTACCCTCGACCTACCCGGCCGACTTCTCACCGCCCAAGTCGAGTCCGCATCACCGCCTGCGCCGTCGCTTCGGTGCTGCTTTGCACATCGGAGGGTTAGTCGCTAGTTTGATCGCCATTGCATTGTTTTCCGCAGCCATCCCGAAATGGAACGCCAACTTCTTCCACAACACCGGCCCAGCATCCGGCGATTGGACGGACGGGCTACCCCTGGGCCCCTTGGGTTTCGCATTCCTCTACCATGCGACTGTCGTGATTCACGCTCGAATCCGAACCCGTAGCGTCCTGCATCCGAGCACGCAAGAGCAGATGGTCTCGTCGTCTCGTCGCTCCGTTCTCACCCATACGACCTTCTCAGGCCTGGTCCTGCTCAGCCTTCCACCTGCATTGTTTCTGGCGGGCTACGGCTCCCTTTTCCGCGTCTGGCGGCCCGCCGTGCGCACCCAGTCCGGCCTCCTGGTGTGCAATATGCTCAACATCTTCGCCCGCGAGTGCGAGCCTGTGCTCTATTCCATTGGCAATCTCCAGATCGGAGCCATTGTCTTTGGCTCCTTGGTCTGGGCTATCCATTTCTCACTGTTGCTCGACGCCCTTCGCGGCTGGAGGCGCTACATGCTTGTCAGGCAACTTCAGCGCCAGAAGCTCTCCCACTATGGTGGACATGAGACCCTTCCAAAGAAGAGGCGCTCTCATGGACGAAGTCGTGGTGGGCACGGCAGCCGACATAGCTCACGTCTCGGGACGGTAAGCGACGCGGGCCAACACGGCCGTCAACAATACTGGGCTCAGGCCAGGCCGGCGTCCGGTTCCACCAGAGGATCGAGGACCGGCGCTCTTTTCAGTACTGATGGGACTGGAGACGAGCCTCGACAAAGCCAAACCTTGGCAGGACCGCCTCCACAAGAGTCCCATTTCATCCAGCCTCCGGAGCCGAGCCATCATGCTGTCCCTCGTCGTTGACTTTTCTTCTCTACAATGTAGCTTTGCTCTTTGCCGGCAGAGACTAAAAGATGTATCCTCTTGGTAGCTTAGTTGAGATGGTGTGGTTCCGCGGATACCTTCAAGACTGTCCAGATGACATGATGGAATTTCGTCAGGGAATATTGGTATTGCTGCAGCTTTACTTCCATATATGTTACGAGGTCGATGGTCGTCTTTCTCCATTCAGTCCCCATGTTGTGGCGCGGACGCTCTCCCGGCGCGCATAACAAGATATCATCTACAGCTCCAGGTTTCCTAGATACCTCGAGCATAAGTGCTTAGAATTCAAGGCTTTGTGTTGGGAGCGTACCCTGGAACGAGCGACCACCCGCCGTGACACGTATCAACCGTTCAGATACTGATATCTCAATGCCTCCCTATCCGTTTCAAGACTCACTCGAGTGCTACTGGGTACTAGAAAGGCGGAGCACAACAAACCTGCAACTTTGAAGTTGAACCAGCCAGCGGGCAAATACCTCTAGTTATGTATCTGGCAACTACAGTGCTACCGGAGCAGCGGTAGCCGGGAATGATGCGCTGATAGTAGATTCGGTAGATCAAATCCATATGTATTTGTTACTATGACCAGAGGTCGACCCAGATTGACTACGAATAAGGTATCTTTGAACACAAATGTTGAATACACTTCCGGGCACACTCGCTCAGAATGTGTCCTCAAGAAGTGTGGTGGAAACAGGCTAGAAGGATGACATAAGAAGACAGCCAGGAACAAGCGACCAGCGATGTCATGGCAGGTCCGCGCTCGCTCGGGGGTACGCCTCAGATAAAACCTGAATTACTTCGAACGGCTTGTGCTTTAGGTAGAAATCCTGGACCTGTAGTTGATATTTTGTTATGCGCGACGGGCAGAACGCCCGCGACATAACAAGCGACCAATGACATGCGACCAGCACTCAGCAACCAGTAACCGCGAACGCCCAACATAGAGGCTGCGCATGTTGTATGTTGCATCTTGCACGAACAAATTCAAGATCAAGATCAAGATCAGGAGCTTGACGCTCCAGCGACATGTTCATGTTCATGTTTCTCCTTTTCGACGTTCTCCGCCGCAATGCCATGCCGGTCGCCCTGGGCGGGTAGAGATTGACCATTGGTCCCGGACGCCGAGCCCGAACTGGACACCTCGCTGTTCTGTAGCATCTTGGCGTGGCCTTCGATTCCGTGGCGATGCTCTTGTGGCACTTCCGGATCGGACTCATTCTGCTGGGGTCGGTTGGGCGTCCAGGCCAGGTAGTCCCGACGGACTTCGACATAGTCGTAGGCAAATTCTCCCAATTGGTCGTCGTCCATGCCCAGGAGTTCGGCCTCGTCTGAGGCGCGGAGGTGGAGCCCTGGAATGAAATTGACCAGAAATGCGAGGATGGCGCTCATGACAAATGCATAGCCGCTACAGGCCAAGATATAAGCCAGTTGAATATAGAACTGGCGATAGTTGCCGATGGGCCAGCCGCCGACGCCTGTCCCCGTCTCGGGATTGCTGCCGCCCGTGTTGACCCCGTCGAGGCCGACGACGTAATCGACGCCCAGGAGAGCGTTGAACATCAATCCGATCATACCGGCCACGCCGTGCTCGGCGAAGACATCCATCGAGTCGTCGATGCGGATCCAATATTTGACTAAAAGTAGACACAAAACACCCAACGTTAGTAAAGAGTGAATCAAAATCGACATGGGAATCAATTGAGGCATGAGGCACAGCAAGGGTTTGGTGGGATATGCCTTACTTTTGGTGGCAAAATTGCAAACGACGCCTGTTGTCACGCCCAACACCACACTGCCCCAGGTGTCGAGATAGCCGGATGCAGGGGTGGCTGCCACAAGGCCCGAAATGGTACCTGAACACCATCCAACCATGGACAATTTCCGAGCTAGTCGGTAATCGAGAATCACCCATGTCACGGCCGCCATGCTGGCGGTCAAATTCGAATTCCAACACGCCATGACGGCGCGCAGGTTGGCGCCGAACGACGAACCGCCGTTGAAACCCAGCCATCCGAACCAGAGCAGGACGGTGCCCAGAAGAATGAACGAGACGTTATGCGGGCGGAAGTTCAGCATCATCTTCTCCTGTCGTTTCCCGAGAACCATCGAATAGGCCAGTGCTGACATGCCGGAACCAATCTCGACCGGCCCGCCACCCGCATAGTCCATGACGCCGTACTTGAAGCCCCATCCATTGACGTTCCACGCCCAGCAGGCAATGGGGTTGTAGACGAGAGTGGCCCACAGAAAGATCCAAACAAGAAACGGAGCAAGTCGACCGCGTTCAGCGACGGCTCCTGCAACGATGGCGGCTGTCACGGCGCAGAACTGCATCTGTAGACAAGGGGTCAGAAAAACAACAACACGACTTCGCTAACAGAGATGGTGGCGACAAACCTGGTAGAACGAGTATAGAAGGCTCGAAACCAGAGGAGAACCGGGACTGGGATTCCCCAGGACTCGTTGCAGGCCGAAATGCACGAGGTCACCGATGAAACCATTTGTCGCCGTCGGCGAGAAGGTGAGCGAATAACCCCAGAAATACCACTGGAAGTTGATCACAGTGCCGGCCGCCATGCAAGCCCACATCATCGACAAAGCTGATTTCCTTCGTGCCAGTCCAGAATACAGAAAGCCGAGGCCCGGAACCATGATCAGGACCAGACATGATGAAAGGATGATATATGCAGTATCGCCCGACTGATACCATTTGTTCAGGTTTTCATGTCCTGAACCACGACAGACAGTCAGTTCGTGCTCCCCGGAGCCCTCCACAGACACGGGTCACTCACTTGAATCACCACCCGTGTGCGCATTCGTAGCCAACGTATAATCGGAAGGAGCCCCGGTCCAATTATACGAGGCGTATTCAGGAATGAAGTTGGTGATGCCTGACATAATGCCAGCCCACGTCTTGAGTCTTCGATGGACGGAATCTGTGCCTCGAATACGTCCACGAGCTGCTCGAGCTGTCTCAGATCTGCTTTGTGGAAAAGAGGAAGGGATCTCCACGGACAATAATTGTAGAAAAACGACTTCCCGCTCGATTGGTCACAATGAAGCGGGTACCTCAGAGGTGGCACGTAATCCCTTGGGGGGACGTAGGTAGGTAGGTGGAAATTACAGTAGAACGGACGGCATCAAGAAGGACGAAGTGGCATATATAAGTCGAGTATACGTCTCGAGACGTGTGCTGAAGCCGGGAGTTCGCTTAGGACGGGGCAAAAAGCAAAGTGAATAGGGAGTCTTTGAAAGAGGTCTGCTTTAAAATCCATTTTGAAAGATTTCCTGTTGCTTTGCTGGGCGAAGTCGGAACAGCGTCACCAGTCAGCAATCAGGAAGGGGTTGGAGCTGGAAATTCGAATTGCCATGGAGCAAGGGTGGCAGTGGCGTGCATCAGTGGAACCCACGTCACTCGATGAAGCTCCCGAGTCACAGAATTCTATGACCGAAGCTGATTCTCTTTTTGTGGGGTTTGCTGGGCCGATGCGTTAGGCCGGGCCATCACCACGCCTCAAACAGTAATCGAGGGCCGTTGTTTTGTCGCCATGCGCTCATCGATCCTTCGAGAGACTGAACTGTTATCGAGAATTGCCTCTCTCCCGTGTCCTGGGCTGCCACCCACGGTGCCCAGCATACCCAGCGCCTTGGCCTGGGAGTGATGTGCCATCAGACAGCCAACAGGAGTAACCAGAAATTCCGGGGCACCCAGACTCCACCGGGCAGAGCATAGGGACTTCTTGTGAAGCTTAAGCTCTTCTTGGTCTCGATGTCTGCGCATTTCGGCACTAGCATACTGGGCCCGATGAATTGATGCATAGCAGAACCCGTTCACTGAATACTCGACGCGAACAGCTCTGGCGACAGGAGCTGAGTGTTGGTGAGCACAAATTCGAATCTCGTTCCGGGGCTTCGGGCAGCATCGTAGAAATAGATTTGTTTCTCGTAATGCCAAGGGCACGAGTGGCTGTCGATGGCGCTGGAATTGCTTTTGTCTGTGTGTCCAAATGTTTCGTCCTTACTCATTTCATGGACGAAGCAAAAGAAGATTCTCTCAGCCTGAATCCAATCAGAAGACAGAGCCTTATCTCTCAACCCTAGCAATAAGGTTGGACAAGGGGGTTCCAGCCCGGCCTGCAAGGGCACACCTGCTGCCAGGCCTGACATGTCGTCGACAACACCGCCAGCGGTAAGAACCCTTGCTAGCATCATGCGAGTTTAAACCCTCGTCCGCCAAGTCAAATCGCTTCCTTATCTTCTCCATGCGGCCCGAAGCTGATCATGTCGTTGGTGGTTGTTCATAGTACGTACTTGTTGCAAACACCGCGGAGGTGAACTAGTACAGTACTCTGTATTAATCCACCCGTGGACTCGAAGCTCAGCCCCAGATCAACTTTGATGGACGGCATGATGGGAACCAAGACGGTTCGAACCATACTGTCCGCATTGCTGATTCGACAGATAAAGCCTTGGGATACCTGGGGCAAAAGGCCATCGAGATCTGAGCTTCCCCATGCGTGCACTTCTCAACTTGTCCGCCCGTTGTAGATCTGCATCCCGCCAGTTTGCACCATGTGTATGTCATGCTTGTGAAAGATAAATTCCAGCTTCCAACGATCTCATTCCAGATCTCTGCAGGCTTGACATGTTGGTAAACTGCAGCTTGGAGCGGACTCCTCAATTCCACTCTCGCTTAGACTTTAGGACCGCTGGCCCAAGATGTCTGGAAAGAAGAAAATTCGCAGATTAGCCAAGTCTGTGACGAGGGTCAATTGTGCCGGCGGTCGTTATCATGTTTGTTCTTTCTTATCTTGACACATGGTTCTGCCAGTGCCCTTTCGCTTTGACTTGATGTCAGACCAGCCAAGCCCCATCATGGCTTCTGTAGCTGAGAATGCGGTTCATCCGTGATGTCAAGAGTGCGAAGATCATTTTCTGGCCCCCTGTCCTTGAAAGAGAGCTGATCGTACGACGCAGCTACGTAGTGGTGTTGACGACGATACCACGGCACTTGTTTCTGGCATGTTGCATGATACCGATCACAGCCCAGGTCTCTCACATGAGGCAAATTGAGGATTGAACACTCGGTAGGACTGCAAACTGGCAGAGCATCCGGCATCTGGTGCTCTGCGAAGTTTGAAATATTCGACTCTTCAAGCAACAGCAAGCCTCCTGTCGCAGGTTGGCTTACAATCGTGTCAGAGTTTCACACGGGCTGAACGCTCCCTCCGAACCTGCGGAATTCGGCCTGGGGCGATGTTCCTGGAGTTCAGGACCCCGAGCCGAAGGGGGTTTGAGATAGAGTTCTTGACGCCTCGCATCAGGCTAGATCTCGGACAACGCTAGACGCTCAAGCCTCGTGCAGAGATGAAAGTGATGGCCATGTTCGCGCCCCTGGGCCCCGTCTTCTCTCTTCTTAAGGCAACACGCAGCCTTGTGACTTGGATCCCCGGCGTATCCCGGATGCTTCTTGTTCCCTCCCCACTACTACCAAGGTTGTAATACATCTTGACGGCGTATCGTCTTCCGAGACCACATGTCGTAGACTCCTGACGCCTGAAGTGCTGTCGGGACAAGAATGGCTAGCCAGCATGGCAAAGTACTTTCTTCTGCGGCCCAACGGCGGCGCGTGACCCATGGGTGGAAAAAGTGAAGACCAAGTACAAGAATGTGTGGGTTTGTCGTTGGTTCTTGCAGAATAAAGAAGCCTTGTTGATTCTAATATGGTGTTTAATTGGCGGTGGGCAGGTATTTCTTCTGTCGAGGTTCTCCTTGCATCATCTTAGGACAATCAAACACTTTCGTTTGGGCTTTGCCAATAACGCAGCCAAGGTTGCAGGAGAGGGCTGTCAGGTTTCTCGCAAAGAACGATGAAGCACATCGCGTCATGCGTACATGGTCTGTGGTGTCCGAGCTATCGAAGGGTGATACGAGAGGCGGAGGGCAAGGGATTCGACAATAGCAAAGGTGCCTGGGTCGAAGTCGAGTGTAGCGGAGTAGTGGTTGAAACAACAGTTCCTTATACGGGTAGTTGGAATGACCCCATGATCTGTTTAACAGGCATCTCGAAAAACTGTAAAGATCCGAGAACATGGGAAGGAAAGATCAAGCGTTCTGGAAATCCAAGTAAAGCACGATGGCGGTGTTGGGAATCATGACCATTCATTTAGCTATCGCTCTAGCGCTCTTTTCGAGAACTGCAGTGCTAGCAAATTTCTACAGCAACATCGTTTCCAGAAATGAGTCCTGATGAGTTGGTAACGGAGATCATCAGCATCGCCATCACCAACGCAAGCGCGATTGTTCAAGCGACTCGTCTTTGTCTTGTCGGCTCTCTATCCCAGCTTGGCTGTACTTGATCTGTAGGCGATTCGTGCAAAATTCACTTTTCCTCGGGCAACGAGCCGTACATGGTCTCGACAATAATGCCGGTAATACCTATCGCACCGAGTTAGCCACCATGCTCCTGTCCTCAATCAACGAATAACTTACGGTAAGGGTCGGCGTTGGAAGCAGGTCGGCGGTCTTCGAAGTATCCCTTTCCTTCCTTTGCGCAGGCTCGGGGAATTCTGACGGATGAGCCACGGTTTGCAACACCCCAGGTGAATTTGTCGATGCTTGATGTCTCGTGTGCACCAGTCATGCGGAGCTCGTTGCCTTCACCGTAGACCTTGATGTGCTCGAGATGGCGCTTCTCGAGCTTCTTCATTGCCTCCTCAATGTGCTTAATGCCACCATCCAAACGCATCTCCTTCGTTGAGACGTTGGTGTGGAGACCGGCACCGTTCCAGTCACCTGGAATGGGCTTGGGGTTGAAGGACACGACGGCACCGAACTCCTCGGCGACACGGTGAAGGAGCCAGCGGGACATCCAGAGTTGATCGCCCACTGCGAACATTGTTAGCATTGAATTGGACATGGAAAGTCGGTGTTATCACTCACAGCTGATACCCTCGCAAGGGCCAACTTGGTATTCCCACTGAGCAGGCATGACTTCGGCGTTCGTGCCAGAGATCTCGATGCCTGCGTACATGCAAGCCTTGTGGTGGGCTTCGACGATGTCACGGCAGAAAACTCGGCCTGTGCCGACACCGCAGTAGTAGGGGCCTTGAGGACCTGGAAAACCGCCCTTTGGCCATCCGTACGGCCAGCCATCAGGACCGAGAAGCGTGTACTCCTGCTCCAAACCAAACCAGACTTCATGCTTCGCATTGGCCTCCATCAGTCTGAGGGCTTCATGTCGGTAGTTGTACTTGTTTGGTGTGCCATCAGGGTCCCAGGTCTCGCACATGACGAGGACGTTCTCGCCCAGTCTAATCGGATCTGGGTACATCGCAACGGGTCGGATGTAGACATCAGAGTTGTCGCCCGGCGCTTGAGCAGTGGATGAGCCGTCGAAGTTCCATTCTGGGAGATCGTCAACGGTCTTAGGAGCCTTGTCAAGGGTCTAGAAACAGCCAAGTCAGCGATAACATTCTGCGAGTCAGATCTATTTAGATGTGTCAATACGCCGCTGGGCCGCGGCTGAGTGGCCATTGACAGAACGGGCGCCCGCCACATTGGCGTCGCCTTCCGGGTGCCGAGACCGGTAAGTTTGGGATTGGCGAACACCAAAAGTGGGCTGCGCACGCTCAGAAGGAAGGCCGAGCCACAGCGTTCTAGGGTGCCGCCGCAAGGGCCAGGTTTCCCAACGTGGGGGCCCTGCACCCAGCAATTGCCAGTCGCTGTTTGTCACTGGTGGGCCGAATCGTTGAGAACGCAGGCCGAAACCAGGCGCAAGACGCAGGCACATGCACTGGCAAACCCGAGTCTCATGTTGGAACCGCAGGTGCGTAGGATTGAGGGACCGTGGAACTCGAGAAAGGGTCTGGTGCTCACCTTGGTCTTGTTGCGCAAGCCGTTGCTGCCGTCAATCCAGATGTATTCGGCCAGAACCTTGCCCTTCTGGTCCAATTTCATGTACTTGGCCAACTGATAAAAGAGGTCAGATAATCGTCGCAGCGAGAGGTGGTGAGGAAGAGAGCCGCAGGACGCTGCGTCGCGGGAGGAGACTCACGTTAGCGGCATTGGAAACGTAGACGGATTCGCCGACGCCAGCCTAAGAGAAATGTCAGTAAGACTGTCTTGTTGCGAGAAGGCTGCGCGGACAGAACTCACCATGATGAGCAGTGGGGTGGTGAGGAATGACTAGAAGGGTGGATGGATCGGAGAGGAGGTGGAAAGACACACGAGCAGCAGAGGGCCGTGTTCGAGAGAAAGGACTGACTTTTGTCTTGCAACAAAAGGTCAGGGACGGGTATAGGAGGAATGTGGAAGACGGGAAGACGATAACGGGGAGGAAGAAGCAAAGAATAAATAAATGGGATCTGAAAACAGCTGTGCAGGAGGCCAGCAGAGCTCCAACACGAGATAGTTGGGGCCTAGCAACCTACAGTAGTCGCCTGCTGGCGCCCACTGCACTGACTTAGTACCGCCCTCCCACCTGCCCTAGCCTCTGTATCTCGGGGTGCTGCCCCTCAACCGTACAGAGTCGCTGTAGATGACCAGAACCCTGCACACAATTCGGCCATGTGCACGTCGGCCTCCCCACCGATAACCACCACTCAGAGCTACCAGTATCTAATATCTTCTTGTCCACTGCAACTAGCCACACAGTACGTGCGCTCTTTGCGGGCTCGCGAGTTAACAGCCCCTCTGTATAAGCATTGGGAAGGCCAGAACATCCATCCGGTGCCCAGTAGTTGGTTCGGTGGTTAAGAGCCGGCCATATCTGGGCGCCAATTAACGGGCACATCAATGGGCCTATATCAGACTGCCCACCACTACTCTGTACTTGCCGGCGCTCTCCAACACCATGGGCGACTGTCCACTGGCGACTGGCCTCTCTGAGGCCTCAGAATTGGAGGTCGCAACCCTTGGAGTGTCTGCCCCCCGGCCCCTCTAGGGCTCCCCCCACCATCTATCCACAGGGTTTGACCACTCAGCAGCCGCTGAATTATTGCGCCGGCGGTGCGATAAGAAAATAGACCGGGTTCTTTCGTGGGATTATTGAAATCGCTTGCTAACCCTGCTAGAACAGCGTCTTCGTAACTGGCGGTGGTGGTGGTGTGATCGCCAACCCCATATTAAGAAGAAACAGCGAGCGCATATAAGAAGGCAGAACGTGCAATTCTAGACACAAGAAACCGCTTGTTGGTTCTCTCCGACCAAGGAATCGGTGGCCCGTCAGCTTGTGTTGTCCGCTTCGTGCATGGCAGGCTCCCAAGTCTCGGCAATATTCCCAGTGGGATTATTGGGGTCGGCTAAGAGCCTAAAAAGAGCGCACTTGTTCGCAGTATCATCAACCCGATCCAGGTGGGTGTCGCCAGGCTCTCGGTGGGCCTCGCAAACCTTCCTGAACTCGCGCCAGGCGGATATACCATAAGGACCCTTTGCAAGCAACACCCCTTGTGCCTCCTCCTTGTTCTGATCGGTCATGAAAGTCGAGTAATAGCCACGCTCGACAGGCTATGCCTACCATACAATCCCACCCCTTGGAGTTATCGTGTCATCTTCTTTGGTGAATCAAACATGAAGTTGGCCAATCACGATGCGACGATAAAGGAACGAAGCCCAGAAGCGCAGGGGTGCGGAGTTATCCTCCCCACCAGCCATCTTGCGCGTGTTGCTGTCAGGTTCTTTGTTTGACGCCTGTTCTCTACCTACCAACCGAGTTGACCATTGGCTGTCTTTTAACTGGCAGCGATGAGCTCAGTGTGTCCATGACGAGGTCCATGAAAGGTGAATTTGAGCTAAACAAAAAGCGGGAGCACTGGAGTTGGCGGGGGGTTGATGCGGTGTCGCTCGCGTGAGGTGGTACGAACAGGTAGGTACGGAGTACGAAACTTGGAAGTGCGCAAAGCGGCTTTGCTGTCCGAACTCGGGGCTCAGGAGCGCACTCCGGATGCCTTGGTGGTCGAGTCACATGATCGATATAAGGGTTTTACAACCTGTACTTTCGGCGCCAGTGCAAGTTCTGGTTTCGGTGAATTCTAATATTGTCATGTGCAGTATATATACCTTCGAAATCAAAGCTGCTCAAGACGAAGTCCAAACAGCAGGGCCAACAGTACTCATGGTTGAAAGAACTGATCGGAGCGAGAGTATACCTCTGTATGCAGTGTCACAGTGCGACCTATTCTTAGCACGTGACTCCACATCAGGTCTTGGCACTGTCAGCGGCCAGGTTGAAGGGACATCAAGTCTCGCGCGCCTGCACAACTGTACTTTGATAGTCCTTCGGATGGTACTAGTAATTCATCAGATTCAACGCCTTTCAGGTTCGTGATACTACGTACTAGTATATGAATCTCAGCTGCCAGATACACATCAGCATCAGTCTAACGCCTAGCCCGCCTAGCCCTAGCGGGCGCCCCTGAGTGTTTACCTACACCATGTACTTATCCCACTCACCTAACCTGCAATCTCTTTCGACTCTTGTGTCATGTAGACAGCGTCTTTTATATGCTGGAGACCTCTCATAGCCGCGACATCTCCATTTTCAAGCAATAAATCAAGCGCACATCGGAGTACCACATTCCACCCGGATCCTCTCTCCTGCATTGCCTCCCCCATCAAATCCCCATCTCGAACTCCTGGTCGCCTATGCCGCGAATCTGTTGCTATATTTGTCCTGCCGGGAGCCTCTCCTAGCTGGGTTGGATGTTCGTTGGCTCTTTCCTGGCGCTGGAGCATTCGTACCTATGACACTACTGCTCTTCCGAAAACTGAGAGTCACTCTCGAGGCAGCTTGGTCCCCTCCTTGAGACTTTGGCGTTGAAGCACGCGGAGGTCTTATTTCCAGATTGGCTGGTCTGCGTTTGAGTCGTCTTGACTGCTCCTGATGTACATCCCTTTCATCGTCGTGCTCCACCCGTCGTTTGGCTGCAGAATTCGGCTGGTACCGTTCTCGCATGACTGCAGGGGTGGATTCTCGGTGGGGACGGAGTTCTGGAGTGGGATCTGGAAACGGCGTCGAATCCCGCGTCCGTGTCTGAGGACCACTTCTCAATCCCTTCGGACTTCGGCCCGACTTCGACAGAGTCCGACCCCAGAGCACACTATGGTGCTGGTCGCTGTTAGCACCATTGTCTCCATTCTGGTCTTCCTCAGACTCAGACAGATGGCTTTGAAAGTCACCTGCTTGAGATTCCCTGTGCGTGACCTGGTCCAGCAACATCTGGTCGTTCAAAGACCCATAGGAGCTGGAAGGAGTTCGCCCCGTGATTTGGGGATGGGCTGGAGGCTCACCGTCCCGTTGCCGCGGCGTCTGTAATGGCTTATGGACGTGGCTTGTCTTTGGTTTCTTCCGGACAACATTGTTGGCGCTATGTTCAAGGTCGGACACGTTGCTCGTATACTCACTCAGTTCCGACGTGGAGTCTTCTTGGGATGGCGACCGCTGCGCTGCAGCATCGATCTTGGCACCTCCACAATCTGGGTGAGCATCCAACTGGGTTTCTGGCACGATCACAGAAACACCGGTCAGTTGATGTGGCAGTACAACATGAGCGGCTTGATCACTGGAGCCTAATGCATGCGCTACTCCGGCGGCAGACGCCTGAAGTAGACCATTGTTGGAAGTGCCATTGCCGCTGCCAGCTCGATCTGCGACTCTTCGCGGGATTTCGATCAGACTCATCTGCTGATCAAGTCGAGCGTTGGACACTGCACCCTCGAGGTTCAGGATCTGCTGCTGAAGGTTTGCAATATCCTCCTCTTTGTGCTGTAGCGTTTCTTTGACACCGGAAAGCTCGCTGGATTGTGCCTCGGAAAGGTCAAGCCTCTGTTTCAGTTGCACGATTTCCTCCTCCCTAGCTTGCAGGGTTTTCCCAAGAGACACGACTTGTTCATTCTCTTTTCGAGAGCCCTCAAGGTCTGCTGTAAGGGCAAGAACCCTGTCCGTCAACGAAGTGCATTGGCCTCGGAGTTCATTCCCCTCAGCCGCCGCTTTCTGAGCGAGGGTGAGCATCGATCCTAATTCAGAGATGGTCGCATCCCGTTGGTGGAGGTCATTCTTCATATCCGCCATCTCGTTGAGTTCCTGTCGCGCCGAGGCGATCTCTTTCTCCAGCATGCTCTTCTCCTCCGCCAATTTGTGTTGCTCTTGTATCTGTTCCTCAAGCTGTGCCGAAGTCTGTTTCAATTGTTGTACTTGGTCCGTAAAGGCTTGAATCTCCAAGTCCTTGTCGCGGATCTGTTGTCGTTGTGCGATAAGATCCTCCTTTAGGGTCTCAAACTCCTTGAGGCACTGCTTCAGTTTGGTGACTTCAGCAGCTTTTTCTTCCAACAGTTTGCTCGCTTGATCCAACCTCTCCTTGCTCTGCTGGGTAGCTGTCAATTTCGCTTCCAGTTCCATGACCTGACCCTGCAACCTTTGTCCTTCAGCGACGCCTGCTTTTCTCCCGGCTTCAGATATCTCAAGGTTTCGCTTGTCTTCAAACTGTTCCCTCTTCAAGCGACCGATCTCTTCCTCTGTCGCGGTCTGTTTATCATGCTCCTGGTGCAACTCGTCCTGCAATTGGCGAAGCTGCAGTTCCATCCGGTCCGCCTAAGGCTCGTTAGCGTCGATCACATTTCTAGAAACTTGCATCATACATCCTCCTTCCTGTTGTGCTCCGCATTCATTTGGACTTGTTTTATCTGTTCTTTGACCTCCTTGAGCTCTTGCTGAAGGGATTTCTGATTCTTCTGTCCTGTGAGCAGCTCGATCTTCAACTCTTCGATTTCACTCAGCTTCTCCTCCTTTTGTTGCCTGCATTCTGCCAATTGAGAGCAGGCCGACTGCCACTTGGTCAACAGAGAACTCAGCCTGTCCTCAAGCTCGGTGGACTCCTTCTTGGTAGTCTCTTTGTTTTCAGACAAAGCTGCGATGAGCTTTTCGACGTTGGTTTGCATAAACTGTTCCCGGCTCTCTGCAATACTCTTGCCATTCCCAAGGACTTCAAGGACTCTGTCCATCTGCTTTGACTTTTCATGTAAAGCAGCAATCTTTTCTCTTGCTTGGATGAGTTCCGTGTGACCTGACTGCACCTGTGAAAGTAATGCGGCTGCTTGTGCCGACTTTTCCTGTTGTAACTGTTCCTTGAGAGCCTCAATGGCTGTGTGGAAAGCCTCGGAAGTGGAGTTTGCGTTCGCAATGGAAAGCTCATGTACCGATTGTAAGGCGTCTTTGAGTGAGCCTATGTCGGTATTGATGGACACACCTGTATCAAGGAGTGTTTGAAGCATCGTTTGGCACTTCATGACATGACCTTTCTCGGCATCTGCGTCGGTCGTCCTGACTGTGAGATTGTGTAATTGATTGGCCATGCTCTGTAGAGTCTCGTTCAGCAGTTGACTTTGGCTATGCTGCCGCGAATCTTGTTTGTTCCTCTCATGCTCCAGCAGCACTATATGGGTCTCGAGCTTGCGACATTTTTGCTTTTCATTTCGTAAGTGTTCTGTTTGAGCCAAGAGGAGTCCATCCATCCGATCAATCGTGGAAACAGTTGTCCGAGCGACAGTGTTGAGGTCGCAAACCTCAGATCGTATATTCTTCATTTGCCTGGAAACTTCCCCAGAAGCTCCTCGAGCATCCCTCAGTTGCGCAAAGACTTCGTCCCGGTCCTGGGCCAAACCACTGAGTGATTTTCTGATTCCCATGGCCTTGGTTTGTAGAAACTCACAATCTTTGTTGGCTTCGAGTGCCCACTTCTTTAGTTTGTGGTATTTCTCTTTGAACCCTTCCAAGGCTTTCTTCAGGATCTCCTGCTGCTGCACACTTTGGTCCTGGGCAGTCATGGCTTCTTCGAGGGCTCGAGCCCTAAGCTCATTTTCTTGTGTGAGATGCCTGTTTTGCTCTTCAAGTTGTGCTAACTTGTCCATGGCCACGGCTGTATCTCTTGCACGTGCCATCAGGATGTATAACAGATCCTCCTCGGAGGGTTGTTGCACACTGGCATCGGCATGTGTTGGTCCGAATCCGGACGTATGGGACTGCGTTTGTCGTCCTCGGGCTTGTACTTGATTCTTAGAAACTCTAGACGTGTGAACGGGTGCTTGACCGGCAACTCTTTGACGGTGTTTGACAGCAGCGGCTGGAGATGGAGTTTGGAATCCAACATCACAGTCCTGTGCGATCACAGTGGCGGATTTGTGCCCTTCTGCCGCCGCTTGTCCCTGCCGAGGTGAGCCAGCGGCCATGGTTTTCTTGAAGTAAATTGGCGCCTGTTCATTTCCAGACTCATCTGCTTGGAGGACGACCTCTGGTAACGACGGTGTCTCACTGCATTGGGTTTCTAGGCCCTCCTTTTCTGCTGATTGAATGTCGTTATTTTCAGATGTGTGACACCCTTGGCCATGCAGGAATTGTTTCTCGTCTCGCGCGTTGTTCAGGGCAAGTGAGATATCCACAGCAACAGCATTTTCAAGGTTCCTCTCTGACTGACTGCACTCGTTGGGGTTTGAGGAAGGGTCGTCCAAGCTACGTTGGTCAACTTGGTGTGGAAGACAGTATGGCTTCCTAGATGTAGCTCGTTAGTTCGAATACGCTATATCCGTATCTTGGAGGTTAGACCACCTTCCGGATGGGATGGACTTTGACGCAGAATGTTGACGCGCGTTGGCCTCATTCCGAGGTCGGAATGGCTCAGTTGTGGGCTGCTTTTCATTCAGGCCTTTTCCGGTTGCGGCTCTGAGATTTGCAGGCATGAAGGAAAACCCCACTCGGCCGACCTCGTTTTTGAAGGTGTGCGCAGTTTGATACCATTTGGGACCTGCAGGAGAAACTCGCTCTGATATACCTAAGCTCACTCGATCTTGGGCCAACTTTTTGGAAACTGGTGTCTCGTCGACCGAGATCGAGACTGAAACGGCTGAGGGAGTTTGAGGATCGTTCAAATCGTCAGCAGGGTTGTCAACGCCACCCCTAGGGTCAGGTTCGAGGGCAGCATCGTCGGAGGAAGAGACTGTGTCTGAGTCATGCAAAGCCTGCACAGCTCCACGGAGCAGAGCTTTGACAGATGTTGCTGCACCTTCGGCCATGATTCTGGCACAGTAACAGTGTCAAAGCAGGGTAAGGGAGGATGTGCATGTAATTAGAACGCTTGTGAGGTCTGAAATCCTTGTGGCATCGATGGTCACCGCCGGATAGCCCTTGTAGACCAGGCTTTCAATTCCTCTGGAGATCAACGCAATGGCTGTAGAATGGAAGAATGAAGTTGAGAGAAAAAGGAAGGAAAGCTGGTCGGGGACCACTGGACCAGCCTGGGAGGGCATGTCCTCGCGTGGTCTAAGTCTTGGTCTTCTTCGCCTCCCACCTTCCTCATGCACTGCCTCGTTCGGCCACAGACAACATTGAAGCAAGAATTAATGAAACTTGGGTACCTGCTTAACAGGAAGACTGGTATAGAGTAGCATAGGTGGCACTCCGCCCTCCCGCCATATCAGCTCCCTTGCAATCATGGAAAACCTGAAGCCTGATGATTGCACTGTTCCCCCAACGTAAAATTGGCCCACCTTCCAACGTCCAAGCCTCGCAAGTTACCTATATCAGTAGTAGTACCGACCCAGACCAGGAGTATCTGCAACTCCATAGACAAGCTTCGTGGACGAGACCTTCCTACCGAACAATGATTGAACGCCCTTCTCAACGGCAAGAATCAGATTGGTATACCTAGACGGAGAATGCAAATTTCAGCTGCTGGCATTGGCAAGAGTAGAATGGAAAGCCATACCTGTAGAAGACATAGGCAAAATCGCAATCATAGACTGCCTCCTCCTCCTCCTCCTCCTCCTCCTCCTCCTCCTCCTCTCTGCGGAAACTGCAGGCGTCATCATACGCCGAAGCCACAAAGGCGCGGCTGAATTCGACACCCTCTGGCCATATAGGTGTTGTGGGCTGCTGACATTTCACACTCTTCAACATGGGAAGAATGGGAGACATTTCGAGAAGAGGGTGAAGACAAAAGCAACATGTTATGATGAGGGCGTTTTCTCAAAAGGGTATAGCATGCAAATGAGATCATGGTTTGACTCGGCTACTATTAATAGCACCCAGGTATCTTACTCATCCTGGTCCTTTACTCTGTGCAGAACTCCCCTTCACTGCCTACCTAGGTAGGAAGGGTATATTTCGACGTATCACATTAAAGACAAGAAATTCTTGAAGAAGAATACTAAGGCTCTCTGATACCTAACTTGATGACTGAGCTAACGTGCTTGGTTTTCCCAAAATTCGTGCGGAAGGCCACTATGCGTGGAATGTGAAAGGGGATTCATCGCCCTCCATAAAGTTGAAAGAAGGAAGTTCCAGCTCGAAAAGATCCACGAAACTGTATCCAAATAAGGTGTTTTCGGTGTGCTCGTCCGGCAGCGGAGGGTAGTCGGTCACCGGAGCCTGTTGATCGGGATCGGTTGCAGCGACAAGTTCCAGCAGGCTCATGTCGCTGCAGAAGTCGGTAGGAAAGGGAAACAACTCCTTAGCATGTATACAAGCTCCCTGGATTTCTGACAGCGTAGCATCAGGGCTTTCGTTTGATCGTGAGGATCGCTCGATGGTATCGTGCAACTTTTCCATCTTGCCTAGCACCATAGATGCATCGCCGTACCTGTCTCGCATGCTATTCAAAACAGAGCGAATAACCGCTATCTCGCTCTTGCGCATTTCCCTCCTCAGGTCAGACTGAGGACGGTGACAGAGTAGAGGAAGCGAAATGGCCAAGCAAAAGAATCCATGGTTTGGAAGGAGATAGACCGTGTCTTCCCGACAATATATCTCATCGTAAAGAGCAGTAGCGCAAGACGCAGCTAGGCGCGATGGGATGGATGTGCGCCACGGCCTGTCTCTCTCCTTGTGCCTCAGCATCTGACTCATCACAATGGCGACAAAGTACTGGATATACATCTCCGACACCGGACGATAGTAGGCCAGTCTTCGACCATTCGCATTGTATAGCTTAAGGTCGTCCGGGAGGCTTTTCACCCAGTCGCACAAGGCGACATCGATGCTCGTCAGCTCCGCTTGCTGGATATGTTGTCTTTGCATATATACTTCGGATATGCTAGTCATAATGGTGCACAGCATGGTGACTTGGATGAAAACGGATGACTGCGTATCAGGAATCTCGAAGTCCTCTGATGTTGGAGGTTTGACGTCGAAATCGGTGTGCCTCAATAGTGGAGGGCGGCCCCAGCAGGCAACCTGCAGAGTGTCGTTGTTCTAGGGTGCCAGGTCAGAACAAGATTCAGTTTGGAGGAGGAGAATCACAGACGTAAAGTTGCCAGAATGTTCGTCGCAAACATCCTGCATTTGTCCGTCTTGTATAAGTACTTTCCCTATGCAAGCCCATCTGTACAGCAAGCTGTATTGCGAGCCCTGTCCACTTTCCCGGTCCGTCGAGACTCACGGGGGTAGAGGGTTTTCCACCCCAGCATGACATGAGACAGAGAGTCTTCAGAATCTGCACACAGTCTTGTTCGTAATTAATGGATAGAAGCAACTTCAACTTCTGGTAAAGTTGGTGAGAGTTCTTAGGTCCACTGGCGTCATGCCGTATGAGCTCACCCACCATGTGAAGCCCTTGTTGCAATAATACGGAGAGACCATCTCCTGAGAGCTCACTTGGATCCACTACTGGACAGTGGTGGAAGATGTGCGCCATGTAAGCGTCCACCCTGGCTCTGAGCAACGCAGGCTTTGGGACTTCTGTAGCTTGCGTGACTCGTAGGACAGCATCTTGTAATGAGTCAGAAGCCGCGTTGTCAGCAGTCGGTACGTCCGCAGGACCATCTAGCTGTATCATGGAGCAGTGGCTGACAAAGGCATTGTTTTGGGGTGTGGGAGTTGTAGCCCTGCTGCTCCTAGGCTGGGTAGTTGATGCGATTGACTGGGGATCAGTCCTGACAGAGAACCGAGGATCACCTTCAAGAACCGGTTGATCTTGGCTAAGCCGACGGCTGATGCCCTGAGGCTTTGTCATATGTCGTCGTCTCCGAACTCCACTGCGTTGTCTGTGAGATGAAGTGTCGTCAGCATGCCATGAGCCTCCCTCCCTCAGGCGCTGGAGACAACTGACATGCATGGCTGGCCCGAGAGTCGGCAACTTTTGCAGACCCCGTCGGGGCTCGTTTGTAGATCACATTTTATCTGCGCGACATTCAGTGACCGTGTATACTATCACAGTGTATCTGTGGTGTGTAGTACCTTGCGAGAGTGGCACTGGGTACAGACGACACTCGCCCGATCCCGAAGAGGCATTGATGGCAACAACTGCGACTACTCGGTCTATTCCTCAGACCAGAGAGTGATGAGTCAACAGTGAGCTCGGTTGAATCTCGTAGCGTCGTAGCACCTGCTCGGTATTAAGGTATGTACGGAGGGGGAAATGTGAAGGGTTGTTCGGCGGCATGACAGAAGTCCAAAGTGTACCGACAGTGCTTCCATTTGTCAGCCCCAACCCAGACTCATCCCACGGCCATCAAAGCCGTGCCTATTCCTCAAGATCGAAGGTGGATCAGCCGAAGCAATTCCAACAAGACTATCATTACTAACTGTGATTGTGAGCTTGTTGATGTAGAAGTCTTTGCCGATAGGATAGTCGGTTGAGGCTCCCTAGCCCCTGAGCCTAAGGAGCCTTGCGGCAGTCGGCACAAGAGACTTCCCTGACTGCCGAACGGCCGAGAAATTGAACGGCGACCACGATTCCCCGACAGGATGAGTGGTCCCAATCATCTACATTGTCCGCATTCTCTTTACAGGATAACTCTGCATGACCGTCTCATGGACCAGACTTGGCTGCTGGTGCCAGATCCGCAAGGAAGCCCCACAGCGCTTTCTGCTTCCAGTCCTTGAGTTTCCAGTCATTCGCCGACTTCGGGAAGAAATCAACCACATCACACATCGACATATCGTGAGCGAACACAAAGAACACGTCGCTCTGTGCGTCTGACTCCTGGGCCTCCTTGATCGTCTGTACCGCCCTAGGAAAATCGACCGTGAGGACGGGGTCAAAGAAAGGCTCATCGGGCTTGCGGCCACGCTTGACGTTCAACTCTCGAAAGAGGGCCCCATCATGGGAACGGAAGGGGTCAAACACTGAAAGGCGCACCTCCGCCGGAATGGGAAGATGAGGTGAAGGCCTGATTTCTCCGCCATGGTGACACAGATCGCCGCCCATGAAGATGAAGGTGTCAGGATCGGACGCCGTTCGTGCAAGAGCCGCTAGGTGACCAACAGCGTGACCAGGCGTGTCGAGTAGAAAGAAAGAGCCGTCGCCGAAAAAGTCCACGGCGCGAAAACCACCGACTTTGAGTTCTGCTTCGTTGTACGAGAAGTCCACCTCTCGCACAGTTCGACCTCTGTCGAGATATCGGTCAGCATACCTCGAATTTCTGCATAAGTTAACCTAGCCAGGGTCGTCCGACTCACTCGAAGCAGCTTTCTGGTAATTCCACGTCTGACTTCGTTGGGTAGCCAGGACAATAGGCTTCTTTGAAGCCAGGACCGACAATCAGATCTGTTGTGGATGGGAAAGCCGTGATGTCCCCGACGTGGTCCCAGTGTCCATGGCTAGGTGTTGTTGTCAGTCTCAAAAAAAAAAAAAAAAGGAGTCAGACAAGTAACGGCTCGGATGAAGTCCATACCTCCAGATCACACTGTCGATGCGAGCAGGGTCGATGCCATTCTCCCCGAGAATCTTTGCAACAGGCTTCGATCCTTCCACTGTAACGCCAAGTTGCTGGACGGCGCCGGCCACAGAAGGTGCGAAAGAGCTGATATCGGAAGGGCCGCCAAGGTCGAACAGCACTCTCCGTCCAGTCGAGCTCTCCACAAGGAAGCACCACGATCCAAGAGGAGGCATTGTGTCAAAATTCTCCATGGCTGGAGTAAGCAAGCAGCTTGTCGCCATACCAGAGAGTCGGAAACCCGAGTCGATGATGTGAACCTTTGCGATCGCACCGGGCGGCACGCCAAAGGAAGCCTTGGACGTCATGGTCACTCGGTGGTTGCCACAGAAATCCACTCGCTGTGATGCCAGTTGTAAGATAGATTATGGAACCCGCCAGCCAGTTCTGCTGATGGCCCATGACTTTTATACATCCAAGGTCCCGGCATTCGGCTCTCGATAGGAGGACTCTCTACCGGCAGAATTACGTTTCGGCACTACATCTAGTCTATATGAGTGACGGCAAGAGGCAGCGGCAAGAGTTAGACTGGTAGAGAACATGTTGGAGAACACCAGGTGAAAGCCAGAACAGCACTCGGCCCACCCGTCTGTTCACAGGTCTGCCGAGGACTATACCGGCCGGGTTGCCTACCAAAGCGATGGACTATTTATAGTCCCTATATCCTCTGACCACCTCAATTCGAATCATCTTGGCCCACATGCGATCCCTCATTGACCCCCTCTCTGACACGTCTGCATAGCACAGTACCTTCATTCCACCTTCCAGCTAGTCTGCCCAACTATCTTCCAAACACCTTCTTCCATACCGGTGTCTTCGGGATAGAATCCATCTCAAACGACGAGGACGGAATCTCAACTTTCGACGGCCGAGGTCTCGAGCCATCTTTTCTCTCGCCCTGATGCTGGGTCTGAGTCCGTGTCTCGCTATTGACGCTCTCCGTCTCGCTCTCCACCCGAACGGCCGAGACAGGCAAGCCCTTTTCAACATCATGCATCCCTCCACCCGAACGGCCTGTATGACTTCTCGCCCCGTGACCATCCTCCGCCAGAGCATGAGTGCCGTTCTTGTGCAACAAACCGCCAGTATTGTTTCCAAGATATCTTCCCTTCCTCGTAGCAGTAGACGATCGAGGAAAATTCATCCTCTTGGGTGTCAGCGGTGTAGTGACGGCCTTGACGGCGCTGCCGACTCTGCGTGCCGACCGACGTAGTCCCTCCTTGACTTTCCACTGTCTCTTCTTGGCCAGGAAATACAGGACTGTAAGCGTGGCTGCACGCAACCGAGAAGAAAAGTGAGGCAATATTAGCATCTCGTTTCTCTTGAACCCGATGATAGAGGAAATGGGTCCAGAACTCACTGCCCAAAACAACCACAACACTGACCACAACTGCGATCGCAATTGTCGCTCCTCGGCTGAGGTTCACCGCGCCCGTATCAGGTCCCGCGGCTCCCGCGTCGGTCGAGCTCTGCGAGTCAGGGTCCGATCCAATGTCTCCTGGCTCGACGCCGGTGGCGGCACCTCCGTCGTCACTTTGCGCGAAGGTTGAGCCGGCATATAGATTGAGACAGAGAAAAAGTGTGACTCTGAGACACGCACACAGCCGGATGTCATCAAGTGCGGTCCGCGCCATCGCAATAGAACAGCTCCGAAGCTGGAAGGGAAAGTGCCTGTGATAGGAGAGGATCGAGTCCTTGCGAGTGGTATTCTCGACGCCTCGTAGCTTCGCTGCTACCTGGGTCCAGACGAGGACGTTGAGAGCGGAAGGATGAAGAGCCACCTGTTGTATATACGTAGGGCACAAAGTATGCCAACGTGCCACATGCGATTGTGGAAAAGAACAGAAGTAACAATCTACGCAGTGCGGCACGTTTTGGACATCGACTCACCTTATGTTGGTCGCACAATGGCAGACACGGAGGGGGAACACCTGTCGAGGCATCTGACCCTGTCCTTGAACGGCGCTTTCGCGAACCTTGGCAAGAACAATAAGGTACCTACTAGTAAGCACTGCCATGGCCTCAAAGGCCGTCAAGGCTATGTTTAGGCCCAAAGGGGGGATGAAAGACGGTGTGATTCTTGCCATTGGGGATGAACCATGAATGTGAGACGAGTGAAGAAAGAATGAAACACTTCGTGACGCCCATGGTAGCCGCCGATCTGGGCCAATCACATTGTCATATTGGGACAACATCACAATCTGAAAGACACCAACGTCTGGGCATCTTCTGGGGGAGTGTACATGGACAGCAGCTCAGAAAAAAGACAAAGGCAGGGTTCTGAATGCACGGGGTGGTTTGGCAAGTTGCCTGAATGACTGCCCGTGCTATGCTACCTGTATGATACAAGAGTTGGTCTTTACCAATGCTGTTGGTACTCGCTGTTGGTACTCGCTGTTGGTACTCAAAGGACTATCTGAGGAAGACAAGGTTATGCCAATGGAGCAAGCCCTTATTGTGACTGACTACTTTCAGTCAGTTGATTTCATACTACGTCTCATCATGATGATATGCTTCTCGGCCGTGAGTCGAAGGCGTGCAGATGTTACTCCTTCAAGGAGCCTTCCCCTTTGTCGCTGGATTGTAGGCGATCACTGACTGCATCACAGCGTCTCCCATCCCCCAGCATTGACTTCGCTCTCAAGCTTTCTAGCTATGGTGCTCCAAACACTGCCATTCGTCATCAACCAAGTGTCCCTCAACAGCTTGTCATATCTCTTCTGATTGAGGATCAACTGATGCTTCGACCGAAGCCCAGAATCTGTTTCTCCATGCTTGGTCAAGTATGGCGCCGGGAAGAAGGAACCGTGACTCAATGTCAGAGACCCAAAAGGCAGCGCTTGAGAGCTGCGGCCAACTCTCTCGCGATGGCGATCGAGCATCCGCGGGTCCTTCACAACGTGCAAAAGAGCAACGTGGCACTTGCGGATAAACAAGAACATGCCGATCGGACTCGAGCATTTGTCCACGTGAGCATTGCAGCCGCCACGCATGTCTTTGCTGAGGCAGCAAACCGTCTGCGAGCAGAATATTTCGCCGCAGAAGAGACACAACGCAGGTTCTGATACCTCCTTGCCCGTGGTGGGACACCGCCGTCGATGCGATTCTTCCATGAGAACGTCGAAATATTTGGGAAGGCCGATCAACTCAAGGGGAGCCGGATGAAGAAGTCGGATGCCTAAGGGTGTCACACGCAAGCCGTCCACCGGCGTCGATGAGGATTTGCTCGATTCTTGTCTCATACAATCCGAGATCCAGGAAGCTGCTCGATTCTTCAAGGACATGGAACCGGAAAATTCGTCGAACGACATCAAAAGATCACTGATCTTGGGTAATTGGAAGAAATGCAAAAGGCGATCAAGTTCGGGGAGACTAGCTTCCGACCCAACCGTGGTAGGGAAGTCGATGCCATGTGCAACATGGAAGAAGATGGCCGACTTTCGGAGGAACGCAAGCGCATACACCTTACACAGTCGGAACAGTGCGCCGGCTTCATTCATCGACATGCGCTGCATCGTTTCGCGCAGCTGATCATTCATCGAACCGGTCTCCGAACCACCTTGATGGATGGTATGGCTTATCCATGCGACAACACTGTGCACACTGCGAAGTTCCTCCGCGTCGGTGTTCAACGGCATCGCGTGTCGGATCTGATTCTGCGACAGATTCTCGGTTGCTTTGAAAAATGCCTTAGGCCCGAGCATGAATGTCAGTGCTACTCGTAGCAGCTCCGTCGTCAGCAATAATTGCAGCACATGGCGCAGTTCCAGTCTTCTGATCGGACACAACACCATGGTGGCCTGAACAAGCACCTGAAAGCTGTCCATCTGTAGTAGCGGCAAGACTGGCAACCCATTGTGCTTTCGGAGTCCCTGTTGTGCCAACGTCCCCGCTAGTTGGGATTCAATGCGATCGCAAAGCTCCTTGTGTTGAGTCTCGACTAAACCTCGTACCGTCAATGCACCAGTTGCTGTATATGCTCGCATGGTCGAAGACAGAGTTTGGAGGTGACTGAGTGTCGGCTGAGGCACGCTCGTCAGCACTGAAGTACCAAATTCTGCCTCACGGCCCCGATGTCCAATCTCTACCGCCGCAATAGTATTTGCCAAGGTCTCGACGAGAAGCTCGACGTGGTTCACAGGGGCATCACGCCCAGTAGGCGTCGGCTGGATCATCCAAGAGACAATTGCTAGCGATTCTCGGAGGCGCCCATAGATGCTGGCGAGCTCAGCAAACGAGGCTAGTTCAGGTCTCTCGGCCCATGCCTGGCTTGTAGGGCTGATGGCGAATTCGCCTGCCTGCCATCGGGCAATGGCCGGTGTGAGAGACGGATTCGAGAATGTGGACAGTGTGTCGGTGTATGTTTGCGAGGCTAATGCATTAAAAGTGTCATCCTCGGCTGGACCCGAGAAACCATTCACAGACGATAGGTCCTTGTCTAGAAAGAACTCAAAGTCCTGCGATACATGTAATGAGCCGGGGTATGACTGCTTTGAGTGTTTCCAGATGATAGGTAGGAAGGTATTCGCTAGAGCCTTGCACAGCGGGCACACGAATTCCTTTAGTGGTATTCGTTCAGGATGGTTTCTGGCGACCTGTTGGGCGTGCCTCCTGGTAATCGATTGGAAATAGTTCTCGAAGCAGGTGAAGTGCATGATGTGGCCGCAACTTGTCGACACGGGACCTTTCATGGTGCAATCTCTCGGCCAGCCCTTACCCAGGCCCTGATAGTCGACAGTAACTTCATGACCCTCAGCCGTCAGACGCTTCACCTGTGCATGATTGGAACCGGCGACACCGAAGGGACGTATAGACTCGGCCGAGCGATCCAGGTTCTCGGGGACGGCAAATAGCTCGCCAACGAAATCCTCATCTGCGACGTCCGTTTCGCGCAAGACATGACCATCGGTGACCATGGCAAAGGTGCCATACAAACGCGAGTCTGAAGTATCTTCCCGGCATTGTATGCACAGTCCAGAGGGATATTTCCAGTGACGAGTTTCCGTGCTCTTAGGTAGTTCTTCCTCCGGCGAATCCAGATCGTCATCTCCCCAGTCAATCACTCCCTGTTTGTCCATGAAGCTTTGCTGCTGCTGTTGAAATTGGGCCATAACTCGTGCTTTTCGTTCCATGGCTTGTTTCTTTTTGGCTTCAATCTCGCTTTCAACATTGGCTGGCGATGCAGTATCGAATCTGCCGTAAGGGAAATCAAGGTGCTGGGTGGCGCCGGCGAACTCGTGCGGTCGCTTCTGATTAAACAGCTTCAAAACATGTCTGATCTTGCTTCTGCAAGCATTGAATTCTTCCATCTGCCAGATTTTGTGAAGTAGGCGAACAATTGTCCGATCTGAATCGTTGGGAGAACGGAACTGGCGCACTACAGCATTGTGTACAAAGGACGGCGAATCAAAGTCCTGCTCAGCTGAATTGTCCTCCAAAGTGGCAATGAGCATGAGCTGGAGCGCCATCTGGAAGAATGCCTCCGCCCGGGTTGCAGACACACCCGTCTTGAGCCTGTAGCCATGCGCAACATAGAGCAAAGTTTTATGGATAACATCGGCGAAGAGAGAGGTGTGCACGACTGCGCAGAGATTGCTGTAGGCCTCGCATCGAATGGAGTGTAGTTTGGGTTCGAGAACAATGTCCTCAGGCGACTTCTTTAGCTTCTTTGCCATCCATTCTTTGTAGATGTTTTCGGCCTCATCTCGTTGGTTTTTGGTAAAGTGAGAATTATATGGGTCCAATTCCTGGAGGTATTCTTCCTTGAGCTCAAACAAGCCAGAATCATGCAGACCCTCCGGTGGACGATATTTGGTCATCTGCTCAAGCACCTCCTGCAGCTGCTCATGGTCCTGTGTCCGCTCGGTCAGGCGAGCACACAGATCCGAGTAAGACAACGGCTTGAAACACAGCGTATGTGCAATATCTTTCCGTACTGCCAGAAGCTGTGATTCTGGATCATCACGGTCTGAGATGAGCGCGTCACGATCCGAGAGCAGATTGATCAGAAGATACAGGAAGTCTTCGGCAAGATCCAGCATCTGATTGTCGTCGCAGATCTCCAAAGAGGCAAACCCGTTCCAGCCCCACTCAGCCAGACCAAACCGGTCAATCATGGATGCAAGTACTCGACTCGGGTCGCAGGTCACGAGCGCGGCCTGGAGAAGGAACAAATCTCGGTGATGGCCAACATCACGGTGAGCCACGCCCTTGTACTGCAGCATTTGATGCCGCAGACTCATGCCGTTGCGGACCCACAGATTTGCCCTCATCTGCGCCAACCAAGCGCACACACGCAGGGGGAAGTCAAACATCGCTAGCAGAGCGTCGTCAACCGTGGTGAGCGTCGACTTGATCGTGCTATCTCGAGGGCCAAGAGGCAGGTCGTGTAGATGCGAAAGAAACGTGTGGGCAGCATCTCGGAGAGCTGTTATTGAATGCTTCGTTTCCTTTCCTCCTTCCAGTAGCCAAGATAGAGTGTAATGAAGGGGGTGGTGGAAACTCAATGCTCCCCTTTCCACAACGAAGTCAACCACTTGGTAGGTGTCGCTAGCTGGCATTTCTCCGAAAGGTCCAATGGTGTGAAATCGGACCAGCTCTTTGTTCTCAGCTTGATCGAACCGTCGTCGTTCTAAACCAGCCGAATTGATAATTGCGATGCCTGCTGCATGTGAAATGGCCTCGCATGTCGCTCGGAACGCAGCCGGACTGCTATCCTTCGAAACATAATAGGCTTCTGCGAATTGTTTGCACAATTTATTGATGTCACGCGTCAATAAGGAGGCGCTTATCCACGCGTCTGTTTCGTATTCGACATGCTCACCGACAGCCCTCACGTTCGGGCAGATGCCCTGCGAGAGCTTGGCCAGATCAAGAAACTGGAACAGGTACTGTGGCTCACTGCGGGCCTTGGCCTGCACGAAAGGAGAGGCAAGAAAATATCTAAGATCCGAGAAAAAGTGGTAGAGCCGACGATTGGCAACTGAGCCAGCGTCGAAACCAAGGGTCGCCCCTGGATCAAGGTCTTTTGGAAAGCCGACTTGCCTAGTGGTTAAGAAAGTGTACAGGATTGCCATCAGGTTTGTGAGAAAGTTGCCTCGTTCGATCACTTCTTCCGTGATAGAGGGGGTGGTGAGTAGTTGCAGCGACAGATTGATGATGGAATGGTCCGGTTCCCTGTCAGCCACGAGATATAGTTGGGCGAGTGTGGTGTATAGACCGGAAAAACGTAAACCGAGGATACGCTTGAACTGAGGGATGTTGACGAGTGTGCTGATGAACAGATCTCGTACATTGGTACGGGCAACTTTCCACAACCGAAGGTCAAACAAGATCATAGAATCAACCCGGATATTCTTGGTCAAATCTTCGTAGACAGGGATACTGTGACTTTGCGGAGGTTGGCCTGGCGGCAAGAACTTCCAGTGGTTCGGCGGGGTTGGTTGTAGGTGTTCTGTACGGGCAGCAGAGGCCGCAGGTGTCCTTGGGACATTCAGATAATTGGCATTTCGATCAGGATCCACTGGAGAATCTCGTCGTGTTTCGCTGGGCCCGTCACCGGGTTGTCTCCTACCGTGTGTGGGCGGAACCTCCTGCGGTTGAGGTGAGGTAGCATCCGTATCCATTCTATCGACAACGCCGAGGGAATTGCTGTCCCCGTCACCGTCACCGTCTGCGTCTGTGTCCATGTCTTCCGCATCATCAGTCGCTTCTGGATCACCAGAATGTTCAATGGGTGCGTGGTCCGGGTCGTGGTCTTCCTCATCGAAAACCGTCGCTCTGAGGATGAAGTCGTTCATTTCTCGATCAGCCTCTTCGTCACCAGGGTCGTCATCATCGTCATCGTCATCACCATCGCCATCGCCATCATCGCTGATGACTTCCTCTTCCAGGGCCTCCGCAGCCATTGCTCTTTGCATGGCAAACTGGATAGGATCAAAGAACCTCAGCCTTGCTCTCCGACGAAAATAGCGATCATCCTCCTGACCGTGGTCGTCAAGGTCATCTCTTCCAACCTTGGCATTCCATGCCTCGCTGCCTATACGCCACATCCGCAGCATCTCTTCACAGATTGTGCGGCGAAGGATATGGCTGTCTCCGGCGATGCTACATCCGGCGATATCGGCTAGCCACTCAATGATGGTACCACACATTTGTTCTCGGAATGTGTCTCTTGATGATCTGATGGTGACGGTGACTTTGATCTCTTCAATGATCTTGGCCATCTTGGTGAGTTCTTTCAAATCGCGCGAGTGCCTCACAACAGTCCTGCCCACATCGTTTGCTTCCTCGGCTTTGGCCAGTCCGAATGATTCGCGAGCACGACACGCTCGAGCAACTTGTGACTGTACCTCGCGAACGGTATGTTTCTCATCATTCCAGATAATGAGGCAGAATTCGGGGTTCGTTTCAATCTCGTCTCCAGAAACGTAATGCTCGGCGGTAAGCCGGCTTCTCACTTCGTCCTGGGTCACCGACTCCACTGTCTTCGGCATGCGTAGGTTTTCTGGAGAGCAGGAGATCACATCGCAAAAGTAGTCCAAGACCGTGCCGACGGTGGTATGGATGGATTCTTGTAGATCAGGCGGCAGAGGAGAAACATTCTCGTCTGTTGAAGTCCAGTCATCACTGGATGTATGGATGGCACATTTTACCGGTCGCTTCCATGCTTCGTCATCGCCGCAATCGCAACACCCACTGTTTCCGGCGCTGAGACCGATAGTATATTGATGTCCTTCATGATCGCTCGAGACAAAGCATCGAGAGCAGAGAACAGCGGTTGTGTCATCGGTGCATGTGCTACAGTGGTAGCTCGCTTCTCCTGCTTTGAAAATGTGCCCACACGGATGCCCCTTGGCTGCGGCGGTGTACTCAGCGTTCTCTTGTACTCCTTGAGCGTCTTGTAATCTGCAGGACTCGGAGAATCCATTTGGGAAGAGGTCTTGGAAATAGTCTAATCGATCGTTTGTGAGTGATCGGAAAAGACCCTCCAGCAAAGTGCGTCTGGCCTGCTCAGTGTAGCGGTAGGCATGCAGCCGCGGATGCTCGCAAAGAGCCTGGCGGAGTTGGCGTTCCAGGCTCGAGATTGGTGTAGTCATGTCGGAGGAGGAGAGATCCTTGTGGTCTTCATCTGGTGGTTGAGCACGGAGGAAATGCGACAAGCCAGGTGCAAACAGGCAGACTAGATGTGTATCTCAAGGAAGGTTTTATTGGAAGGCGACTCAGTGTAACATGAAGGGTGTGCGGGCGTTAATATGGTGAGGCTGTCACAAAGATGCGATGCAGGACTCATTCGTAGTCCTATCAAATGCGCTTCACTGATGCGCAGGAATGACGGAGTGGCGGCCTGGGGCGCAGTACAGTAACTCCCCCGGGTTTCACACAATATTAACAACCTTGCTGGTAGCCTCCAGCGCATGAGTAGTACTACACCTAATGTTATGATGAATACTTCGTGTAGCTTTAATTCCGTGTTCTGGACCGCTGAAGTCCAAGCAGGTTGCAGATATCCCAAAGAACTGGTGATGATCCTCCCGACACTTGGGAAATCTAACACAGCAACTACGCAACCACCTACAATGTTTGGCACAAAAAGGCGCCCAAGCCCGGTTCTACAGGAGGGGCCACACGAAGTTCACTTCCGATCTTCTATGGACGCGCCTGATCAGGACACAGACATAACCAGTGACGCCCAATCCCAATTACACAGGGAATCGCATGGCCTTGTACTGTCTTCAAGTTCTGCGCAGTGGCGGCTGACAGCAACATTGATTTCAATGTTGCCTGTACTCCGATCAGTTTTTCCCGAAAGAGCACATCAGGCTTGCATTGTAGAGAAAACATAGATGCTCTCGTCGAAAAGGAAAGGTTCGCGCCGATTTGCCCTCCCGCGCCCTTTCGTTGAACACGCGGCAAGGTGACATTTAGTCATAGAAGATGTGTAATGGCAAGCTCTCCCCCACTGATCTTGACTTGGACACTGGCTCGGAATAATCGGTCGCATAGGAGGAACACTGTTGGCTTTCACATAGGTTTATTGCGGTGCGTCTCCGTGTTTATATACAGAGCTGCACTTGCTCTCGGATGTGGTATTCGCGACCGCGCGCACCCTGGGAATCCCTTGCGCCCACCGTTCACCCAATGGCTTTTGATATTGTGCGTCCAACTACTCTTCTTCATCCTCGTTGGCGGTCATGTATCTGTGCTTGATATCTTTCCATTGCCGCTGTATCTGAAGTCAGAGATGCTCTCCGCAATCCATCCGCACTCATAGCTGGGTCGGAAAACGTACCCCTTGGTTCCAGCTGTCCCATAATCGGTTCGTAGCTGTGTCAAATCCACTACACGGTCAAATCAGTCGCAGTTCGTCGGAATGCCGGGGTAAGCTTGGACCGCACATTTCGAAGAAGAAAGCACCAGTAAAAACGGCCGTGAGGAAGACAGCGTTTCGGCGGAAGACAGTGCTGTAGCTGTTAGCAAGGATATCGAATCTGCTTTGCGCCAGACCGGGATCGTTACTTAAACACAGTCTCCGAAATCCGCGCCTGTGATGGTCAGCAAAGTTCGAAGCGAATCCGACATTCACTGTGACGTACTAGGGCAGGCATTTTGAAGCGTCGAAGCGTTGTAGCAAGGGCACTGGGAGTAATGAGGTGGTCCAGAGAGGCAGTTCTTTAATAGCTCGCAGTGGATTGGACGGACAAGTTGAGGTTCATAAACTTGTAGATGAATCGAAGCTCCGACTTGATCGCCAAGTGCCTAACCCGATTCAGAATCCATATGATGCCGCCCTTAGCCTCGTAGCCTCGTTTGAACTACATCTCCTTCAGGGATAACCACTATACTTTGCATACCAGGTATGTAGCACCAAGTCTACTTGGTACTAACAGTCAGCGGCCACAAAGAAGCGCTGGGGCTGACTGATTGCTGTCAATTGCTTATTGGAGAGCCGCTGCTGGTCCAACAACGGCCTATGGGATTGGAAATCACAAGTTTCCACGACCGAGGAGAACTCATCATTGCACTGGTTTTGCGTCTCTGTCAGGGTTCAGTCCTGTATATAGCGCCGCCTTTTCGTCCATTGTGCTGCATTATCATCAGCCCAGGACTTCGAGTTGTCGCGGCACCGAGTGTCAATAATCAATCCGGTTTGGCCTTCCCAGATAGAATATTTCTGTTGATTGACGCTGGCCGACCCTTTGTCATATAAAAGACACATTGTTTGAGCCCAGTTCTGGTATTCCCCACTCCACAGCCTCAATTTGGTGTCCAGTGTGTCTGCCGCCACTGCCCTTCTCCGTACCCAGCATCAGGATTGTCAACCTGAATACAGTGTGCTCTGTAGCTGCTCCCATCTCGAGAGGGAGTAATCGTGCGAAGCACAACGGTGTAGAGGTTGCTGGTCTGGATAGGCTTCAGTCAGTCCCGATGCAGAATAGGATAGATCTCATGGTGATAACCTCCTACCTTCTCCTCGTTCCTCGATGAAGCTTCCTGCTGCGGAGCTAGACCAGCGCAGCATCTCCTCTCCTTGTGAACGGGATGAAATCCCCAGGGCGGAAGTACATAGAATAGAGAGCCCATGCGACCGCAAGAGCCACTATGATAGCCATGATGGCGATGAAGACAACGATTCCGGTGCCCATGGTGCTGGAAGGGCTGAAGGAAGCAGAATCAATGGATCAAAATGGGGACAATTGCTCTCGTCTTTCTGGGTATATGTATAGACGATGAATATGTGGTGATTTCTTTGTGGTCGTCTCCATTGTCTCCGCAGTAATATAGTCCTGTTGTTCAACACGACTCAGCAGCAATCGCCCCGGCGATGGCACGGTGCGTTTGCAATGACACGTCTGTTCAAGTGAGGCCAGCAACTGCGTTCTAGCTGCGAGCTGTACTAGAGATCTGCTTATCTCTGAGTCAAAACAATTAGATACAATCAAAACTTTCCTGCACACGTACCTTTCTCTGCTGCAACTCGCCGTCCTGATAGACATTCAAAGCATCCTTCATACAACCATTCTCTTTCCAGGACTATCAGTTCATCGTTGCTCTTGTCCCAGCAGCTCCCAACCAGCATTCATATTGTGGCCAAGGGCCCTCAAACGCCAGAAGTCCAAATCACAACATGGCCACGCCTCGGGAAATAGCGGGAGCGCTTACCTCTTCCCAATCTTCATCTTCAAGCACGATCGCAGAAGATGATATGTTCGTGACGATAGCACAGACTCAAACCAGAGGCTGGGGACTGATGTGTGGCCAAGACGTCGAGGTCGGCGAGACCATCATTGAAGAGAACGGCCTCTTTCTGTACTTGGACAACGAGTTTCAGCGTCCATGGCCAGGCCCAGAAACCATCGGGAGAGAAAGATTCGTCGAGAACATCAGAACAATTGCAAATTTCATGCAGGGGGTTGAACGTCTTGTCCTTATGACTGCAGAAGCTGCTATTGGCGACCTAGTTGGTTACCTGAGCACCTATTTTGCTCGCAGGGTCAAAGAACCACAACACATCTCTGGAACTGCGGTTTTTGAGGCACTCTTTGGTCACCTGGGATATCTCGGGAGAAGTGAGGAACAACAACAATTCGGGTATGATGTTTTTCGGTTCTTGAACGATGCCCTATACCTGGATACTGGCCTGCAGCATCGGCATGTCTTTGCATTTGGGACGTTCGCCTGTCTTCTGAATCATTCTTGTCAACCAAATGCGATAGCCATTCCCCGGATCGATGCATCAGCCGAACGCCCGGGCATGTTTACTGGCACCGTGTACGTCCGTGCTATCCGACCAATCCAGGCAGGGGAAGAAATCACCATAGCGTACTTGCCTGATATTGAAAGCAGTCGGGAGGAACACCAGGACAAGATCACCAACTTGTACGACTTCGAATGCCTGTGCTCTGCCTGCGAGTCCGACAAGCACGACGCACACCAGCGAGACCTGAAGGACGTTGTATATGGTCTCTACGGCGAAATTCGGAAATGCATGAAAGGTCCCAACGAACTCGACAATACACCGGCGCCTGAGTTGTTCCGTAAAGCGGCTGTCGTTCTGGATGGCTTTGATGCTCTCAATATCTGCCATCAACCGAAGAAGTACATTTACGATGTTTGCGCTCGCAAGGCCTGGAATGGCGAGGATTTGTTGCGCACATACTTCTTCGTCACCAAATCGCTTCAGTGGTCGTTGCTCGTTCACGGCATACCCAGCCCAGAAGTTATGGCCATCATACGTGACCGTGAAGGAATCCGTCGCTGCCAGGTCGAAAAGGAAGACGATTCTGCTGAGACCTATTCCACCTACCAAGCGTACGACATGAGCCAGGACCTGCTGGAAGACTTGATGTTCATGATGAACCACGAGCAGGATGACACCGTGTACCACTGCCTGCAAGTCGTCGATGGGAAGGTGGAAGAGGTCCCTGAAGGCGCGATTGGAAACCGAGTCAAGGCAGCGCGGCAGCGACAGCAGCAGCTGAAGGACCAGTCCCGCAGCATCGACGACATTGCCAGAGAAATAGAGGCAATGGACGGGTCTGAGCCCAAGAAGCTCTCCAAGAAGGCGAGGAAGAGAGCCAAGAAGGCGGCAAGGGAGGCAGATGAAGAAGAGGTCGTCTCGCTGCCTGCGTCGGCTCCGTTTCAATGGACGGAGGAGGAGCCTTTCGTATGCTTGTTTGGCGCCGCCGACGGCGTGTCCAAGCAGGCCTGGCTGCGGGACAGTGCAGCCAAAGAGGCCCTTCGTTTCGAGCCACGAGACGTAGGACACCTTCTTGCCGCCAAAGACGGCATGAGTACGGACCAAGAGCGGTTCGTGCTCAGTGCTCGTCGAGATTCGATCTCGGGCCGAATCCAGGGGGAGAAGGAGTTTGCGGAGCTGGCTGGGCGGTTTGGTCGAAAGGCCAGAACCCATTCCTTCGGGAATGACGGTTCGAAGAAGGACCTGCTGAAAGAGGCAGAGGTACGAGAGAGCCAGTGCTGGTAGTGGCTGGCGGTGGTGGCGTTTCCCTGGGTTGCCGAGCCCATACACGGGCTGTTTGTTAGATTAAGTACCTTTTTATGAGAGAATACAGCATTTTCTGGCTCCGGACATCGCCTGCAGCGCGAGAACACGTTGTTTGAGACAGCATTTTCATTTTCCGTGTAATGTTGGTGCTGACGAGGCTGACTTCCAGGAGTAGTAGTTGTGGGGCTGTGTTCGTCGGCACGGAGAAACAAGTCTCCGGATGCGGATCAGGTTTGGCAGCTTTCCCGATGGTAGTCACGTGCAGGCCATCGAGCGCCAACTAACTGCAATTTGAGATGTTGGCTATAGTGGGCCAGGCGTCTTTTCCATCATCAACTTGAACTTACGTTCTGCCCGGTAGTTATATATGGAACGGCCTTCAGCAACAAGCAATCTTCTATCCTTTGAGAAGAGTAGCCTCCGAGGAGCTAGGCGTGCTTAACCTAGCTTGACTACGGCGACCTCTATCAGATCAAGATATACACTTAAGACAGTTAGGCAAGGGCACCCATCTATGAACAATATACCTTATATCTCTTGAATAGGGTGTCTTCCTAATAGTCTACTGCTAGACTTCATCCCTTGCACACGGCGCGCTTGGTCACGCAAACGCTCCTTCACTGATCTTGAGAGGGGCGCCTTCTTGTCAACAAAGATCCTCCTCTGACTCTCCTCGGTGCGGCACGCTCCCCCTCCTTAATTGAGATCAGCGATTATTTTACAAAGGAAGCTCTCCCACCGATCTATCAGCTTCTCGGTCTTTTCGGCCGAGGGTTTCCCCCAGCACCATCAAACGCTTCGAAAAAGCATACTCCTTGTCTCAAAAGGTCTGGGCCTCTATACAAGGACGCTACTCAGTATTCTACCACGATGGCATCGTTTTTCACATCGCACGAACGCGCTGTGCTGAGGTCGAACTGGGGAAGTCAATCGACCCGTCTGACGCGCGAATCGTTTTTGCCCTTTGGGTATTGTCGACTATGTCTCGGTCCGGCCCAGAATCCAGTGGCATGTACAGACGGCAATGGGGATGGTAAAGGAAAGGGCAAAGTCGCGAAAGTGCACCTCTTCTGCCGGGAATGCGCGTTGAACGACCTGATGGCGCAGAGAAAGGAAATCAAGCGGCTAGAACGTGACGCCGAGCTACATGAACGCGAGGAACGTGAAGCAGCGGCCCAGGAGGAAGAGGAGCGACGACGACGGGATCTTGAAGGATTCGAACGGTCTGAAATGGGATTTGACGACAGTTACGACCCTTCCACTTCTGCATCTACGTCCGGGAGACCAGGGGCCAAGAGGAAGCGGGAGGCAGAGGAGATGCATGGTCATGCTGCCAGCGACACCAACAGCAATGGTCACGACCAGAAGAAACCAAAATCTTCGGAGTCGAGTTTTTGGGTTCCGGGGTCAGATTCACTCGCCGCAGCCACCAAGGGTTCCAAATCGTCACAGAAGCTCAAATTCCATCCTATCTGTCCGGCATCGACTCCGGAAACAAAACACAATTACTCCCTCAAGTCGCTGGTCACTGTGAATTTTACAGAGAGCGATGCTGAGGCTGGGTCGAGAACCAACAGAGACGGCAATCTAAATGAGCCGGTACGGATTTGTCCAAGCTGCAAGAAAGCGCTGACCAACACATCTCGGCCGATGTTGGGCACTGCTGAAGGTTGTGGTCATGTCATCTGTGGAGCGTGTGCCGATTTATTCCTCAGTGGCTCTGAAGGTCAAGGTGCAACAGCGACAACAGCAGGAGGTAATAACCCAAGGACAAAGGCTGCTACCGTCGAGATAACTCCGAATGGCACTACGGAGAACATGAACGATGGGAGCCAGAGTCGAGTGCGGCCACAGATCAATTGCTTCGTTTGCGAGGCAGACTTGAGCGGCAGCACTGCCGCGACGAGTGAGGAGAAACAGGAGGACCAAGGATCGAAAAAGGACAAGGACAAGAAAGACAAGCATAGAAGTAAGGACAAGAACTCGGGAGGCAGATTGGTGGAAATCAGCTGCGAAGGAACCGGGTTTGCCGGCGTAGGCGCGAATGTCACAAAGCGAGATGGCGTGGCTTTTCAATGCTAGAGAGCAGCACCTGGATCCGGAGCAGGTTGAAAGGACTGGAATGGCACTGTCATCGAAACTAGTCTGACGATGATGCTGGATATTACGGGCCAGCCATAGGTTGTTGGCAGCGTGAGGATGTGGAACGCGGGAATGCCGCCAGCAGTCCATACTACCAGTCACAGAACGACGCAGCGAACTCAAGGAGAAGTCGGCAAGAAGGAGCATATTGCCTACCACCTACTTCCGCCTATATGGTTCTGGGTATCAATCGTATCACATGCCCACATGCCAAAAGCGATCCGTTATGGCATTTAGAAAATCAATCCGTGCAAGACCTTGAAGCCGGCGGGGTTCGTTCGCTTCCAGGACAATCCCAAGTAGCCACCAGGAGGGGGTTTCCAACATGTCATGATTCCAGAACATGAAGCCAAGTCGTAATTCAACCCTGCCGAGGCGAACTCCTCGCTGTATCCAAGCATGATCATCACAACTTTACGTACAGAAGAATGGGACAAAGGATGGGCAATCCAAAGTATTCCGATTCCCACCAAGGTGATGATTACAAGTCCATCAAAAAGTCTCGTGCAAGTCGTATCCTTCGCGCACATTATTCAGCTGGCGGGAAGGCGGTCTCATGTCTGTCGCTCTGTCCGCACGAGCAAATCCAGAACTCTGCCGCCTGGCAAAACCCGGTAGTTTCGTCGACGCACCGCCAATACTGCTTCGTTTCGTGGGACTCGGGATGATCGAACCAACATCACTCGTGCGCTTTGCAAACGTGGTGCGACGTGGCGTCGGAGTGGCTGCTTCCCTCAAGTCCGTCGGGGCCGGTACAATGACACTGTCCTCCTCGTCCAGAGTTCCATCATAGCCATAGCTGCTCAGACTGCTCTTCGGTCGAACTCGGTCGGTCGAGGCGTTCGGGGCATGGGTTGGCCCGATGCCGCTCCCTAAGGCAACCCGAAAGCCAGACACGCTAGCCCGACTGCCGGGACGACTGTGGCTTGGCGTAAAGGGGGTTCGCCCAGAGATACCACTGGCCCTAGATGCTGGCCTGAGTGGTGGTGGGGCGGCCATTCCACCTCTGATCGGGGAAGGAGGCTGTTGAGTTGCTAATGAGGGCCGGCTTGCTCTCGACCTGACAGACGGTGTCTCCTTTCCCTTGTCAGGTAGAGAGTCCACTCCATTAATGGTGCTTCCGCCAGTACGCTTGCGAGTCCGTACCGTCACAGATGCAGGAACGTGGTTGCCCAATGCCGACCCACTTCTAGGGGATGCCCTCGGCGGCGTATGCACGGGTGCTGGAAGTTTTGATCTGGCAGTCTGCACGCGTTGTTCCAACTTCTGCATTTTCCCGCGCAAGTCCCTAAGATGAATGATAGATGTTGATTGAGGCAACCCCGCCGCCCGAGAGGCGATCGGCCCGTTCCTGGACAAGCTTTGTCGGAACGTCGACGAAGGCCCAGTCCTTGACAACGCAGCAATTGATGGGCCGCGAGCATGCCCTCGGGGCCTGACTGGTGCAGTGTTGTTGGTGGTAGCGGAGGTCGTGGTCGAGGGCCGTTGTGTCGAAATGGTGCCACTTATCGATGGCCGAACTTTGGGCAGTCGGGGTGTCAAAAACGATTTGGACACATTGGTTGATCCGTCCGATATGGGAGGTGATGGGGGTGTCGGGGTGTCGGAAAGGCCAGAGGACGAAGGGGCCTTCGCGGGAGGAGTGTCAAAAGTTGGGGACGACGCGCTGGTGGTGGTTGGTGACAACTCTGAACGTGGCGACGAGGATGATATTGCAATAGGATGCAGCGTCAGACCCTTTTCCCGTCGTGCCAAAGCATCCATAGCCTTGCGCAGCTTTTCCTTGGTGATATCGGTCTCAATCTTCAGATCGGACAATTCGTCGCGCAGCCTCTGAGCTTCAATGCGTAAGCTCTCACGCTCTTGCTCTCCAGTGCGCATTTCCTCCTCCAACAGGACATTCCTCTCGAGAGCCTGGTTGTATTTGGATTCCATATCTTCGAGCGACGACTCCGTATTCCGTTGCTTCCTCTCGAAGTCATCATTGGCGACTTCGATGTCACGCAATCGCATCTGTAGTGTCCGGTTTGTGTCTCGAAGTTCGGTGATCTCCTTCTGCAGTGTATTTTGAGCGTTGGAGGCCTCCGTCTTGGATTGCCTGTATTTTGTCTTCCATTCATCCACTTCATACTGGAGGTTGGCTGCCTTCTCCCTCAGCTGACGCTCGCGCTTTTCCGATGCCTCAATGTCCTTTTCCAACTCGGCTTCGAGGTCTTTGCTAGATGCCTGGAAGTCGGCAAGCTCGGCCTCAAGCGACTCATATTGCGCTTTGTAGTATTTCAAGGATTCTTCGAGGGATGTGCCGGGCCCTGGGGGCGAAGAGGGAACCCCGTCGGAAAGGGGCATGTTTCGGGGCGTGAGGTTCTGGCCGATTGTCGCAAAGTGGTTCACTAGTAGTTGTCGATCTGTCAAAATGGTGTATTCAACTGGCTATGGTTGTTTTGCCATCAGCCACGCTCTGGTGTCTGTTGCTCTCTGCTGATGACTAGTATTGGGTTGTTGATGGGTGCGGGCGGAAGCGGTGACCGGAATAATGGGTGCGGCTGTTCGTCAAGACAATCGGGAGGGCGTCGTCAGGAAAGACAGAGATCGTATGCTGCTATGGTTAGTATCACTGTTTGACCGCGACCGAGCGGTCAATTAAGCCGTGGTAATCGTCGTCTAGAATATGTTGGCAGGCATCATCGAAATGGTGACACGCCTTCGATTAACCGTGTCAACACCGCCAAACAAACGCATCATGGGCGGCGCAGCAACTGCAAGCGTGGGACTTGGCACTTAGACGCACGTAAGCAATATGCAAAAATAATCTCCTTATACTAAAATCACAAAACTTGTCTCAAAAAAGGTCCTGTTGTATTAAACAAGACTCACGGAGAGATGGCCGAGTTGGTTATGGCGTCAGGTTAAGGCTACTAAGCTTTGACACTTAAGCATCTAACTCTCATGAGTTGGATGGACGTTTCCTGATGGGAGTATTCCCGCGTGGGTTCGAATCCCACTCTCTTCATTTTTGTCTTTTTGACTATGTCTTTTTGTCTAATCCTTTCTCCCGTAGTATCAGCAGTACCTACCTACATAATAGCACAGCTGGCGCCCTCTGTACAGATAAGACAAAGCCCTCGTTTGTACGGGATACACCCACAGTGTTCATCACCTTATGTCTTCCATTTCAATGCGGTGGATGTCGTGTTATCAACTCACTCTGCACACCGCAACTACTGGGGCACCCAGTGCCACGATCCAGGCGTTATATTGTATACATTCTCGCGGGAGATGACACATTGCTATAGCAGCACTTAGAGAAGTCAACTCGGAAGAAAGTTCTCCAGTCTGTGACACCACAGGAGAAGTGAACAGTGTTTTTTCCACAACTAAACAAGCCTCAGGCTGTTATGCTGCGCAGAACCCCAGTTTTAAGACGAGTTTCCAAACTCTCATACAATCCTGGTTCATTGCGAGAGGAGGATCATGTATTGTCGTCGCAGTATTTGATATGCAGCGCTCAGGAAAGGGAGATCTACTACATCACATCCACGATTCGAAAGAAACAAGTCTCAAAGGCATCTCCTTCATTGGGTATGGTGAGTGGTCCAAAGCACGAGATTCTTTTAAGCGTACTTGTATAACACGCACGACGGCCATACGTGTGACTGGAAAGGAGACATCATTTGCAGACCAAGGTCATTGTTGTCAACATGCAGAAGGGATTATGAATTTTGAAGCGTTATGGCCAGGATTCCTGATTGACGTTGAAAGCGCACTAGGTAGTTAGGTAGGATTGTTTACAGCGTTCTTCAAATGCCTGTGCAGATGCCTTTACCAAAACACTTCTGTCGTGGTATCTCAACGAGCGCATTTCTCCGCAATGCGCTATATTTTTTACATCGCAGGTAGGTACTTCCTGGGTCTTACTTCTCCGTGTATTGTTTGTTCTCTTTCAGGCCTGAGTACGAGGAGACGTCCTGAAGAGTAGGGTCGGATTTGGTTCACTTGATTAGAAAACTAGGTAGGTACTATATTGGGTATCTATGCTGGACTGTCTAAATCGATGCGACGAGAAATGACCGGCGGTCAAATTCCTGCCACTCCTTACAACTGGCCTCACGATGCATCTTTCAATGGGGAAACCACTGCACTCGTCATTATCGACATGCAGCGCGATTGTGAGCAATTCTGCGCCGCATATCCCTGCATAACAGCACTGATCTCAGACAGTCTGCGAGGTGGGAGGCTACTTCGACTGTCAGGGCTATGACGTGAGTAGCGCTCGAGGACTCATACCAGGGCTGAAAGAACTTCTCTATCACACCCGAGAGGTTGATTTTGCAATCTTCTTTACCCGAGAAGGTCTGTCATAGAAGGATGTAGCGACTCGAGAGTTTTGACTGACATGTCGTGCTAGGCCACAGACCCGATCTTTCGACTTTGTCGAGTCGAGAACGGTTCCGGTCGAGAAACAATCCACGCCATCTCGGGATTGGGGATAAAGGTCCCTTGGGCAGATTTCTGATTCGCGGGGAGGCCGGCCATGATGTGATTCCTGAGCTGCAGCCACTTCCAGAAGAAAATATCATCGACAAGCCAGGACGTGGAGCGTTTGCCCATACTGATTTCGAACACCTTCTGCGTCTTCGGGGAATCAAGAATCTCATCCTAACTGGGGTGACCTCCGACGTTTGCGTGTCCACCACCATGCGGGAGGCGAACGATCGTGGATTCGACTGCGTCGTTCTCGAAGATCTGACAGCCGCAGCCACGCCGGAGCTGCACCATTTTGCCCTGGAGTCGGTGAAGATGGAGGGTGGAATATTTGGTGCCGTCGCACACTCCAGGGACGTGGTTGAAGGGCTTCGTCGCCAACCACATAGAGGAGTGACGTCTCGAGGCGACCCCCGGTCTGCCTTGCATTTTGACTAATTCAGGCTGCTCGTTAAGCACACTGCGGTGGTCATGGGCTCCCAGACCGAGGGCGGAATCAATAAAGTCCTTTTCTGACTGTTATTGATCACATTCGCCGGAAGGTGTTACCAGATGCGCTCCTTCGATCTTGATACCGGGAAGAGTTCTTGGAGCCGTTGTCGAATCGTTCTGCTGATTTGGACTTCTTACTGCCCGGTTCAAAGGTGATCACCTTGTCACCTACGGCGCCGCCGAAGCCAGTACCCCTCTTCGTTCGTTGAACTGGTTGCATATTTTCAGCCCGAGATCCAAAAGACCGGTCATATGATGGCTTGGGGCCAGCCTTCGATCCTGATGACGAAACTCGCACTTGCATCTGTTCTCGTCTCCTTTCTTGCTTAGTGGGCCGGCGTTTGTAGTCGGCCGTGGAAATCCGCTCAGTGGTTCTGTAACGGTTTGGTCCAGCTGCATCATCATCCGAGGTGTCCTCATCGCTCGACCGAGGGACTTCATCAATTGCCTCTTCTTCGACGGCAGTAAGACCCTTTTCGCGGTCGAGATTGGATGGCGGAGCCACTTTGGTTGAGGCGTTGAGTTGTTGGAACTCTCTGGAAGCTTCATCGACCGCAAAGTCTTCATCTCGGAACAATTTCGCGAAACGAGAATCTGCAAGCAGACCCTTCTCCTCATTCTGAGCAGTTCCGGCTTGGGCAGCCTCCAGAGCAGCGTTCTCGTCACCACCCTGGGCCAGAACTCGTTGTGCTCGCCGTCTCTCGTTCTTCTCCTCGCGTTCAAGGATCTTCTCAACCAACTTGCGGTTGACTTTGGCCGTGATCTTCTTCTTCCCTCTGATCCGGCTCTCCCGTTCTTTGTCAATCCTCTCTTGCACACGCTTGGCCCGTTCCTCTTCCCAGCTGGTGGGGTTTGCAATAAGCCTGGCTTCCTCGTATAGACCTTGGGCAACGAAGAAACCATGCATGTAGGGGCGCAGAAGGTTGGTCTTCCCGACCAGATGATCCAAGTTGAGCATGCGAAGCTGGGCCGGAGTGAGAAACTTGTAGTTGTCATAAACTTCGCCGACTTTGGTCTTGGAGAACGCGTACGGATCGTTGGGGTCGTCGGCCATTTCTTCAACCACGTTGTCGAGGAATGAGCACCACCTTGGGGCAGGGCCAAGCTGAGGAATGAAGAAAGCATGTTGTTGTCGACCTTCATTGGCTGTTAAGAACATCCCACTGTCTTTGCACCACGCCACGCAATTGATATCAACAGCAGGCTCCACGGACGTCCATGGCGTGCCGTCTCGCTCATCCCAGAGCTTCAATATCCGTCGATCGGCAGAAGCCACCTTCGGCTCGGAGGTGGAAGCTCGGGTTGCGCTTGATTGGGTCAGGTACTGAACATAGTGGATGGGATAGCCGTAGCCTTGATCCTTTTTCAAAGTTGGAACCGGGGACCGAAGATCGTAGAGATATACCAGGCCGGACGATGTTCCCACCGCGTGGCTGATGCCTGACCGATGAAAGTCAAGTGCTGTGACTTCAGGCCGCCCTTCGTAATCCGCGGGCATTGCGAGAGTGGCCACTCGCGCCCTGGACCTGGTGTCCCAATACTCCACTGTCCCCAGTGAAGTTCCGAAGGCCAAAAGGTTATGGCTGCCTTCGGCCACTGCTGCAACATTCACGCTGCCTGCTCGAATCCCTCCTTGCAAGGCCCCGCCACCCACAGAGTCCATGTCATCTCCGCCAACGTCCACCTCAAACGCGCTCATAAAGCGACCCTGCTCCAGGTTGATCCTGAACACTTCTCCCATTCCATTAGAGTTCACTCCGACCGTGGGAACTAGTAGCTCGGTGTTACCCCTGTCATATGCCAGGTCGCGACCGTACCGTGGAATGCGTAGAGAGTCATGACAGCCACCTGGCGTATGAAATTCTATGGTGCGATCCTCCTGGAGATGGACCGATTTCGAGTAGTCAGAGGAGAGGAAGAGAAAGGTCTTGTTGAGTGTATTAGTATGCCTGGCCCAGGACAGCGCCAGATTAGGCAGGTAGTGTGTATGAATTTGTGGCTTGTAGGTGCCAGTGCTCATGACCCATTCGCCATCTTCGCTGATGCGAACACATTGACTAGCCTCTTCGAACTCAAAGTCCTGCAACAGTTCCACACGATTCGCATATTCGGGATCCTTCTTGCGCTTTTGCTTCTCTGGCAGCCATTCGGGGAGGGTTCGCGAGGTCGCTGTGCCCGCGACCGTGTACACGGGCACTGTGCTGTTGGTGATCCTCATACTTGACCAGTTCAAAGGAGCTGGTGCACGAGCATGATGTAGCGGAAAAATTGGCTCGTGACAAGCAAGGACAAACCACGGTCTATGTCTTGTCAGCACCTCTTGCCAGGCGAAAGGAAAGGAAAGTTGAGCGGGCGTCACATACCTGGTGAGAGCGAACTTGAACTTCGCGACTGCGGCAAGAGAAATTTTTGGAGGGCGCAGGCAGATTCGGACGGGGCCGTGGCGGGGTCACGTGCCAGTGCCGGACTTGGAAAAAGCGTGTCTGGGACAATCGACAACTTAACGACACTCGACGTTCTCTTCAGCCTGCCTCGCCCTCATCTTCAGCCTTCAAACCTACTATATCGCGTCAGAGCTGGTCTCTACCGTTCTCTCCATATCTGTACTCAACTTGGCTTGCCGTCTTCCGGTTTCCCACTGCGTCTCGATCCCAGAAAAGGGACGGTATCTTCACTGGGAAGGCCGGACATCCCAAGCTCAGAATCACTCCCATCCTCTATGCCGGCTTAATTCTGTGGTCTAGATTGGATCTCTACATCCGTGATACAAGAACTGTGCAATGCACCTCAAAGACCGCCAGTCTCCATCGTCGTGCTTGCTCTGGCACGTAATCGAGCTTCTGCCTAACGGCTGATACGATGACATCCGCCCTTGACTTCCCGAACAATTGCTCCACCAATGTCTACACTCTTGTAGGTCTGACTTCCTCGATTCTCTTCTCTACTAACGATCCCATAGAACGATTTCGGCGAGATTGCATATATTGTTTGTTCAGTAGCAACACGAGCATCACACGACACTGCATCATGGAGCTTGACGCCTGAGAACATTATTGATCGACTTCGCAGAACAGAGCGTCAGTTCCGTGAGGCCTCCATTCTTGCGGCGCTGGATGTTGAAGCCCACCAGCTATTTACCTTCTACAAGAAGGTGGATATCGCCAATGCCAAAGATCAGAAAGCCTTGTTGAGCAAGTTTGGCTTCGTCCTCCGTAGCAATACTTGCACTATAGCCTACAAGACGGCCGCACGCCTACCGGATCTGATAAAACCCGAGCATGCTCGCTTGTACCGGCTCTTTACCACTGCGGTTGTCTCAAGCATCAAGCTTCTGCCTAATGGCGATTCTGCTCTCCAGCCTGTGGGACTGAACATCTACTTGGTTGAACGAGCAGCATCCGAGGGACTAACCCATATCGAGTCGATAAGGAAGTGGGATCTTTATCGCATTGACTTGCACGTCATTCCAAGCGGCCATGTCATCCTGACCATCGTCAGGGACGAGCAGGTTTCCTTTGTTAGGATGCTGGAACTCGGCCAGGATTCCATTCGACTTCAACACCTCACCCAAGAGCCCACAGCAGTATATCTTGCACCAGTCGGTCGAATTGCACGGTTAATCGGACCAGGCGTCGAGACCGATCTTGGGCATACTGCCACTAATCCTGGGGACGTGGTCAACGGAGTCAGGACCTTAGATGTGCGGAAGGAATTGTGGAAGGAGCTTCTTCCAGCATGGTTGAAAGAAAACATGAACATGGCCTTCGATGATAAAGAACTGCCTTGGATTCATGTAGAACTCCCAGTGCAGCAGGTTGAAGGAAACTCAACCGCTGTTGAGAACGATTCCAAATCAGATGACGCCTACGAAGACTCCATCATCTGGAGGCCGGTATTCTGGCCAGCGAAACTTTCTTTTGTCATCAATGGTGACAAACACAACGGCACCAGTACGCCTAGTGGCGGGGAAGACCCCATGCAGTTCGTGCAAGATTGGCTGACTGGCCCCGGCAAAAGACCTGGGTCTACCATCAAGGGTGAGCGGACTAATCCTGACGCCATGGAAGACGATGATGAACCTCTCTTCGTTGAAGATGGTGCATTTGGTGACCCAGAGCAATTCCAGTCCTTTGGGCCTCCAGCCTTTTCCAGCAGCCAGGCCATCTATCCTACACCTCCTGATGCTGTGATGACGCATCCTACTCCTGGTCTATCTTCCTTGGATGCAATTGCGATGACCCCGGCTAACATTGCCCGGAGGCCGTCCGAGATGGCGCAGCCGCAAGATTCAGAGATGCATGACTTCGAAGAGGGGCCCGGGCCTGGCGGTCTTTCTAGATTCTATGATGAAGATCTTTTTGAAGAAATGCCTGATGATCATTTTGGTCAAGAAGTCAACGGCGACGAACCGAATTGGGACTTCTTCGACCGGCCTGGTGTTGATAGCAGATCCACTCCGATGGCGACTACGAATCGAAGCGAGATGTTTGCAACTTCGACGGGCTTACAAGAGGGTGCGATGGAATCAAGGTTTCGATCGGTTAACGACGATGACGTGATGCCATTGGAGCATCGAAGCAACAGCCCTGGTGACATAGGCCCGGTCAGTACGATCAAGATGCCGGAGGGGGAAATGGAAAACCAAGAAATTACGCCCAACGCAGAGAAGAGAAGAAGTTTTCCCCACAGATCCAATAACAAAGAATCTCCCCAAACGTCTCCGCGATTCCAAGGCTCTGGAGCAGGTCACAATGGTGAAGAGGAGGCTCAATCTCCTAAAATTAGCTCCAGGCGGCGGTCCAGCTTCTACGGAGCTATACGCCAGGCGTCAACAATTTCTGATCGGGACAGCAAATATACCGCGGATGGAGATTACTGGTTTGATCCGAATCCCGCAGCCTACCAGTCCAAGCCCTTATCTACGCCGAAGACGATATTTCAAAGGCCTTCCTCAAGCCCCTCCGAGAGTGACAGCTCTCTTGACAGTCCAAACTCTTCATCGCCCGCTGATTACTACGGATCGGATTCTGCTGCCTTGCCTAGACAATGGATTGAGTATGAAACACAATCACAGGACACAATCAACAATCTTGACGAGAGAATAGGAGGTTCGCCCAGCCAGGAAGTTCAAGACCTTCTCAGCTTGTTGAAGCCTGGGCTAATAGAGCCTCCTTCCATCTCTGACTTTGTTCTGCGCGATGGTCTACATCTACATTCAACCGTTTCCGCCAGCGAGCTCTCACAAATTGCTCATATACTTGTTGAGCAGGTATCACAGACAACTCTGAACATCCCAGATTTGCAAGTTGATCAGTCGGCAGAGGGCCTTGAAGAGCACTTTGATGTCAGTATAGACCTGAGCGGTATCAACACGTCGACCCAACCGGCATCTGTGTCGCAGCTTGTCAATCTTGAAGCTGACAGCACTGGCCCCAAGAGCCAGGGTAAAGTGGTGAAGCTTCCTCCAAGCCAGGTATGTGTGCAGCGTGCAGACCAGCCGCTTGTAGCTGCGCCTTCTATCTTGGATTTCTGGGACACCCTGAATCTGCAACCTGGAAATGGTGCTAAGGCTGCAACCGCCTTCTGCGTACACCCGAATGCTCGAAACATAGCGGATGGATGCCTGAACCTCTTACAGCGGATGACGGATACTTACAATAGCTGCTCACTCGGATTGCACTCGACCGGACGGCTATCTGGCGTCACAGATGATGGCTTAATCGTTTGGGATCGGAAAAGTACGAGCCGGAGCGATCTCCATCAGACTTGCCGGAAGGTTGGCAGCGCGCTTGCGACGGCTTCGAACATCAAAGGCACTGCTATCATCTACATGATTAGTCAGGACAGAAGCGCCGCATCCTATCTCGAGGCATGTCAGGCCTTTTGCAGCCTGTTCGAGTCGTTCAGGCAGGCGCTTGGGGACCGTGAGGATGTCTTCGACATTGCATTGCAAGTCATACCCCAAGACTTCGTCGCAAGCCCCGACACCTTGGTGATACCTCCTCAAAGCGCCTACATCAGATTGGCAATAGAGGTCTACAATCGCCTGCCGCCGCCGGATCTCACAGAACCACAGGCGGCCAGCGGGTCCGCCATCGTGCTGGCAAAGGTAGACACCTCGGTCCACTTTCGACTTTCTCCGACATTTACCTCGCCACTATCTTATAACGGACCGTGCTTGCACCTTGCATATTCCGCCAGTGTCGACGACAGATGGATTTGTGCGACCTGGACAGATGAGCTCGGCCAAGTCGCGCTTATGATGTCGTATTGTACTCGCGTATGCAATGCATCGCACAAAAGACCGAAGTCAGAAATCTTCAGAGAGATGTGGGAAATATCGCACGACATAATGGGAAGAGTCCACAGCTCGTGGCGTTTGGCTGTCGTGAAGCAAGGCTACTATGAATCAGCTGACTTGCTGGACTGGAAGCAGATCATCGATAATCCCAGCAACTCACAAAGACAATGTGTGGCGATGCTGCTCTCTGTTCAACTACATCCTGAATTGAAGGTCTTTCCACCGCCCGCTCAAGCAAAGACAGGTCAGGTAGGCTTGCAAAACACGTACGGAACGCCCGCATCGACACCCCAAGCCAGTATCACGTCGCCTGATCAGCTGATTGCTGCCACTCCTACACCTGGTGGCAGCTCAATTGTCAATGCGCCCACCCCATCAGAACCAGGATTCGATCCAAACATTGAGAGCGATCTCACACTAGTGGATCCGACAGAGGAAAGCTGGGGCGTTATTCTACCCTACGGAGTCAACCAAACGACAAGCATGGTTGGGCTTCAACCGGCCTTGGTTACTGGGCTGCTTTTGAAGCGAAAAGGCTCTAAGATCGAGGACGGATGCACTGCGATAGAAGTCAGTCTCATCAGCATATCAGCGCCGACTACTGAAAGCTCTTCAGAGAATCCAGAAGAAGTACTTGAAGACCTGTTGACGCAGTATCGCGGACTTGTGACTCTGGCGGCGACGCGAGGCTGCATTGATCCGCTGAGAGAAAGTGTCCCGTGGCACATTGCAACTTCAGTAAGAGGCTCGCGTGTGCTTGGAGACGTCTTGTAGCCCCGAGTCGCTGGACCACTCGATTCAGTCTAACACGACCGGTCCACGAACCACCAGCGACACCCTGAAGCCTCTATTGATCTCGCACCGATAACATCCAATCGGGTTTCAGTACTGTACAGACAAAATCTAAAAAGTTGTTGAGAAAGCACTGTACGGCATCCGACTTTCGAAATACCAGGCTATAGAGCATCGACTCCCTCAGTTGGTCATACTGTCAGCTTCGTTCGGGTTGAACATGGAATCAATCAATTCGAGTCGGTGATAGATCTGGCTTGGCTTGAGCGACTTGAACGGAGGGGCACCGGCTCCTTTCTGACACATTTGTACTGTGCCTCCAGGACTGACGAATGGCGAGAGCAAGAGGCTGGGCGCCCAGGAGATTTGTCAAAACCAGCTCAGCCGTCCCCCAACATCTGATTAGATTTGTGATGAGGCTTGGTTCCAGCTTCTGCACGCCCATTTTCACAGATACATGCCAAGTCGAAGTTTGCAGTACAGTATGCGCATGGGAGCCTCCACCGCGGGATCAATGATGCCTTCGACAGTCCCAGCCTGGGCAACGGGGAAAGGATCTGCTGAGAGTTTCTGGGCATCGACTAGGTTCAACAGTCTCGAGATTCCAAGCCTTTGGGGATGCTTTTCCTGCCCACCAGCAATTGGAAAATTCTGCATCAGATAAGATAACAACCAATGGACGTCGAGTATCAACGCCTCCCTCGAAGACGCTTGGAATGTTCACCCACAGTGCTGTAATGTCCGGGGTCTGGGCTGGCATCATGCGATCGTGCATTTCTCGATGGCAGAGACTACCACTGGAGACCAGAGTACCTTGGCGTCGAAATCTCCAGCCGTGTTGCATTTGATACCGCTTCACACGTAATGTTGGCGCTCTTATGGCACCCCTTTAGTCTCTCTACCAAGGCGCCTGTGTGACGGAGTCTCGATGTAGCCCTGGAGGTGGGCCAGAGGTTTCTACGTTCTATTTCTATAGCATAAGAGGAGCAACTCTCCCTTCCAGTTGGGACTGCCTTTCTCCTTATGTTGTTGACTGCTATTCACAGACGCCAATCGAAGAATCACGAACGCCCCTAATATGTCTCTCCCCGACGGACCACCCATGAAGGAACAGAGGCTTCCGACTGAGCCCAAGAATGGAGTCTATCTTCCTCGCGAGAATGGTGGGGAGCCGTCTGGTCGGCGCAACTCGATTCTCATGGACGACAAGTCTCCTGGTGTTGCTCGGATCGAGGCCATGAACCAGGTTATCACCCGAACCGACCGAGTCTTTCTCTTCCTCGGTGTGTTCCTCATTGCGTATGCCTACGGGCTTGATGGAACTGTGCGCTACACCTACCAAACCTATGCGACAGCGTCTTTCAGTTCCCATTCCCTTCTAGCCACGATCAACGTCGTGCGTTCGGTGATTGCGGCTGCAGCACAGCCTACCGCAGCCAAGATTGCCGACGTGTTTGGTCGTCTAGAACTGGTTTTCGTCAGTGTCGTCTTCTACGTGGTTGGGACCATCATTGAAACCTGTGCAACCAATGTCGACACCTTCGCTGGAGGCTCGGTCCTCTATCAGATTGGCTACACCTGTGTCATCCTTCTTGTGGAGGTCATCATTGCCGACATCACCTCCTTACGAGCCAGGCTCCTCTTCAGCTATATACCTGCCTTGCCCTTCATCATCAACACGTGGGTCAGTGGCGACATCACCGAGTCGGTGTTGGCCGCAACGACCTGGAGATGGGGTATTGGCATGTGGTGCATCATCTACACAGTGTGCGCCATGCCGCTGATGATCTCGTTGTGGGTAGTGGCTCGTCGTGCACGCAAAACCGGCGTTTTGGACAAATACAAATCACCGTATCAGACGCTGGGTGCGAAGAAGTTGACTGTGGAGCTTTTCTGGACCTTGGACGTGGTCGGTATCATCCTGCTTATTGCCGTTTTTGCTCTGATACTGGTTCCCCTGACCGTTGCGGGAGGCATTGCATCCCAATGGCGGACCGCGCATGTCATTGCACCTCTGGTGGTGGGGATTCTCTGCATCCCGGCATTCCTTTTCTGGGAGCTCCGAGCACCTCGGCCTCTTGTGCCTTTCTATCTCCTGAAAGACCGTGCTGTGTGGGGCGCATTGGGGATTGCCTGCACGCTCAACTTCGCTTGGTACATGCAGGGCGACTACATTTTCACGGTGCTGCGGGTGGCCTTCAACTTCAGTGTCAAGGCAGCCACCCGAGTCAGTTCGCTCTACAGCTTCACGTCGGTGATCACCGGCTTCTTCTTGGGGTTGATCGTGTACAAGGTCAGGCGGTTGAAATGGTTCATTGTGGCCGGCACCTGTCTTTTCATGGTCGCTTTTGGTCTTCTCATTCACTACCGTGGGTCACCAACTTCAGCAGGCAAATCCGGCGTAATCGGGGCACAGGTATTGCTCGGTATCGCAGGAGGTATGTTCCCGTATCCGGCGCAGGCATCCATTCAAGCTGCTTCCAAGCATGAGCATGTCGCCGTGATCACCGGTCTTTACCTTGCCACATACAACATTGGTTCTGCATTTGGCGGTGCTGTGTCCGGGGCGATCTGGACTCAAATCCTGCCATCAGAGCTCCAAGAGCGTCTTCTTCCCTTTGGCAATTCAACGCTGGCTGCTGCAACATATGCCGATCCGTTCACGGTGATCGCAGAATACCCTGTTGGCACTCCAGTCCGGACAGCGATAATTGCGGCTTACCAGCATGCTCAAAGACTGTTGTGCATCACGGGTATCTGTCTCTGCGTGCTGTTGATTGGGTTTTCCTTTTGTCTCCGGAATCCAAGGCTGGGCGACGAGCAGAGCTTGCCAGAGGTCGAGGAGAAGGTCGTTCGCTAAGGGACGATGGGCCAGATTGTCCAGACCAGGATAAGGGAGGGAGGAAAGTGTCGGCAGTAGGAGGAAGAGATTACTAACGTGTCATGAGGATTGGATCTACTCTACATATCATAGAAACTGTATATGGTTGCACATACCAAGGCGCACTTGGTGGGAATTGATGAATGAGGCCAGTATCTGTCGTACTACGTAATTGTGGTATAAGTATATGACGTTGTGGATGGAGTATATTTGCATGGTTAAGGGGTCTTTATTGGGGTCCTTTAGGCTCCATGATCAGTGGAAACCGTGGGGATTTCACTACGTAGTGGAGGTGAGGTTCTGTCAATTCTGTCCCCCTTTATAAGTTCTACTTGACGCGCTCCGACGAGCCGACGTGACTGAGGGGCACTCGAGCTGCAACTTGTGACCTGCCACATTGACAGCAAATTCTTCTCAAGCTTCCTCTTGACCTGTATTACTATCGTGTGCTGTCTGTCCCTTGTAGATTGCTCTGATCCAGGTCGTTCGGCAAGAGCCACGCGCCGTTTGATCAAGGTATGTCAACTTGTTTACATCCTGCGCTTACACCCGTGGTTAGCCCTGGCCAGCCCATATATGTCTAGTCTACGGTCCTTCGCCAATTGATTGAGCGACATCGGTGTCAATAGCAGCTAATCATTATGGCAGTATCCTAGTACCATACGCCTCCTCCTCGATACACCGCCGTTATGGCTGCTAATCCCCTTCCCACACGAGTCAGGACGGCCAACGATTCCGATGATGAGCCCATACCGGATGGTGATCCCTCGAATACCTCTGGTCTCCTCCTGGAGCGCTTGCAAGCTTGGAAGCATATGTGCGGATACCTGGAAAACTACGTCTCTGCGGTTGCCAAGGACCAGGCTGCTCGGGCTAAAGATCAAGAGAAGATTCTAAAGACACTGTCCAGTCCTCTGCGTGAAGGACACCATTTCGACACAGCTCTGGGTGGCGTTGCGGGCCTTTTCGAAAACCTTCGGGCCAACACCCAGGCTCAGAGCAACCTCTACACAGAAACGTCCAAGAACCTCTCCGGATCTGTACTGCCCGTCCTGGAGCGTCTACATACAGAAATCAAGAACAAGAACAAGGAAATCACAAATGGAGCTGGCAAGGGCTCCAAGGCAGTTGAGCAATCCCGTGCCACATCACAGAAGCATATTGAACTGCTAGGCCAGCAAGCTGCGCATTTCGACTCGACCGGCGGCAAGGTCTCTGCTCAGCATGACCCTTACGTCCTTAAGCGAGGCACATTGCACCGCCTCAACAAGCAGTTGCTGGAAGAGAACAACAACAGACAAGACTTGATCGCTGTACAAAACTCTTTCGCCCAGTTCGAGGCCCACATCATCACGACCGTGCAAACGGCGTTGAACTCGTACAACCAGTTCATGAGTGGCGAAGCGGATCGTCTCAAGGCCATGTTCGGTGATATTGCATCCACCGCCAGCAATATCCCACTCGACTTCGAATGGAACGGCTTCGTCCGACGCAACCAACATCTTCTCGTCAATCCCAGCGCCCCACCGAGAAGCTTAGAGAGCGCCTCTTTCCCAAATGAGAACCATCGCTCGACCAAGCCACTGATCGAGGGATCTCTTGAACGCAGACATCGCGGTATGGGCGCTCTCAAAGGCTACAGCAGTGGGTACTACGTAATCACCCCGGCAGGATTTTTGCACGAGTACAAAGACAACGACAACTTCCACAAGGATCCCACCCCTGAAGTGTCGTTGTACCTCCCGGATTGTGTCGTCGGGGCTGTGGATGGGCAGAAATTCACAATCAAGGGCAAGGACTCGTCTGGTGGCAAGCTCGGGCAGAAGATGGCCATTAGTTCGGACTTCCAATTCAAGGCCCATACGAACTCGGATGCACAGCAATGGCATTCCGTCATCACCAGCTTCTCTCAGTCATCCAACAGTGTGCCTACTAGTCCGGCCGAGAGTCGAAATGTCACTCCCATCACGACCAGGATGGATGATCAAAGCCAGGGGGTCACGAGCGGGCCCAACAGTGGTGTATCGCCCCAGGCTGGCCATTATTCCGGTTCAGCCACATATGCAGCACCAGCTCCAGCCGGGCCATACCATGGAGCACCGGCCTCGAATGCGTTGGAAGATCGGAAGTACTTCGAGAAGTATTGAAACTTAGACGTGGTCATCAGCATAAGGCTTGTTCTTGGAGGATTGGAATATGACAGCGTGACTTTGGTCTCTTTCTGTTCTCCCTTATACCTCGTATGCTGCCCTCGGCGGTCACGATTGAATGAAGATAACGTATACCCAACTCTGATTTCTTCTTTGAGAGTATCGAATGATCACAGCCGCTCATTACATGGAGCATCGCATAGCCTGTTCAGCCATTGGTAGTGTCAGTTGTTTATTAACTCAACCCCACCCACCAGCTTAGCTGTCGAGAAGTAGCAGCCGCCGGGTCTCCAGACTTCCTAGCTACCTAGTATTGAGAAGTGTGACCTGACTCGTCTCCTTCCCAGACGACGCATCATCCCCCGGCATCAGGTCAGGATACTGATCCTGATGGTCGGAAACAGCAAAGCCGACCAACCCACTCTTCGGCGGACTGAACTGCCTCAAGACGACGCCGGCCTCGCCCAGAACCCGTCGACTCGCCTCATCCATATTGTAGCCCTGGGTATAGACGACCTCTTTGACGCCGACCTGGGCGATCTTGACACTACACGTCAGACACGGACAGGTGTCACAGTACAGCGTCGTCCTCCCGTCGTCCTTGATCCTCTCCCGGCCGGCCTCCAGCAACGCATTCTCCTCGGCGTGCAGACACAGACACGTCGACAGGGCCGAGCCGCCGGAACTGGCGCTGTTGCAGCGCGCGCAGCCGCCCTCGTTGCAGTTGGTCAGGTTGCGCGGCGTGCCGTTGTACCCGGTCGAGATGATGCGGAAGTTGTGCACCAGCACACATCCGACGCGGCGTTTCATGCAGTTCGACCGGCGCGACGCCAGCGACGCCAGCGTCATGAAGTACGCGTCCCACGTGGGTCGGAGGCGGATCGGGGACGGGAGGTCCAGCGTCGTCAGGAAGGAGAAGTAGGCGTGCAGCGTCGGGTGGGCGTTCAAGATTTGTAAGTGAGATCGGGATATCAGGTGGATGATTCCGGTTCTTGGGCCTTGGAGAGTGGAGGCCGAGGCGGAGGATGGGGTCGCGGAGATGTTGTTTTGCTGCTGGAAGAATGATTGAGGTTGAGGTTGAGGTTGGGGTTGAGGTTGGGCCTGGGATTGTTGGTGTAATTGAGATTGAGATTGAGTGTCAGGGTGAGGATCAGGGTGAGATTGGTGTTCCGGTGGCGTAGAATCTGTCGGTTGGATTGATGCTGACGCTCGTGACCCGTAGAGTTGGAGGTCGTTGTAGTAGATGAAGTCGGCTAGGGGCATCGGTGAGAGATTGCGGGTGCGGCATCTGAACAGTGGTGGAAAGAAAGGGTCAGCATACTCTTCGTGTCGTCATATTAAACAACATGTAAATGTGTCTGGGAATAGAGCGTCGAAGGCTTCAATTATTGAAATTGGCAGGCCATTCAGATGAAGTAAGGACCACGATGAGCTCGTATCGGATTGAGCTGAGTAGGTAGTATGGCCCGAAGAGTTGGGAAAGGAGGCATAGCCAGGATATCGAACCGGGAGAACTGCATAGCCCCTGAACCATTGACTCGGATTGCAACTGTAACTGTGCGAGCACAGACCACGATGAAATGTGTAGCGTAACAGGAATGAAATGAAATGGGATGGGATGGGAATAGGAGTGGTGACTCTGGGATCCTCGTACATACCGTTCACTGAACCTGGAGTACCGAACACCCACCGGAGCGTCAACATTGAGTAATAGAAAGAACGGCCGTCTCAGCAAAGCCTCGAGCGTGGCTTCATCATAAATGTCCGTCAACACCCAGTGCTCGCGCCACCGCTTGGTCACGAACTCGAGCAGACTCTCTACATCTGGAAAAGTCAAGCCCCGTGTGCCTTTCTGGTCCGTCACGCTGGGAAGAAGGCGAGCGAGAGTCTCGGATGCAGAGGTAGCTGAGGAAGAGTTGGACTGGTCCGAGGATGTAGTTGCGGTCTGCAGAGAAGATTCCCGCGATTGGCTTTGATTGGAGGAGTGATGTCTATTGACACCGTTGAGGCCGTGATGCTGCCGGGTATGCTCCTGGTTGACAACGGACGGTGATGGGGTTGGTTGTGATTGAAAATGTAGTGGGGTCGGCAGATGAAGTCTCAGAAACCCATGGTGCTGGACCAGATACTCGGCCGTGGTGTGTTTACCGGCACATATGGGACCCGTGATTCCAATCAACATGATTCAATCTGGGCGGTGGTCGACGGCGTAGAGTGCAAGGCTGTGTGTGGTTGTGTGGCCGGATAGGCTGAACCCCTGTGATCACAGACGGCAGACCGTTTGATTCTTTCTTGCCCACTGACTCGGGAGACTTGAAACCGGACTGGATGACCTTTCGAGATCACGCTGTCCGATGCTGCTCCTGGTCATGGAATGTCAGTATGGCAATGTGATGGATTGAAATGAAATGTGGTCAACGTCAGACGCGTAAAGTGGTTTCTCGGACCCGGACGCGTGATGCTGTGACAACCAATCAGATGCCGTCGGGGATTCAACCTCCGAGCCTCGCCTCTTTAAGTCATTTTCCGCCTCCGAGTCGTTGCTGACGGTCACCTCCTTTGCTTCATCAGCTCAACACCACAGCCATAACCACAACCATAACCACAGCCATAGCCAGTGTTGGATCGCCGATGATTGATTACGATAAACTCTTAAGCCAGCGCTGCTGACTGGAGGACTCTTGGAACAACCACATCACCGAATCTATCTCGACAATCTATTCGAGTCTCGCCCGCCCTGGTCCCGGTCGAGGATAGACCCAACAGCGGAGCAACGACGCCCCCGCCTGTCCTTCTGTCAGCGCGCTCGGCTGCCTGGCTTCAACATTCAATATACGCCAGTCTTATATACAACATCAGCTTTTCCAGTTTATAACCCGCTGAGAGCTGAATCATGCAGTACGTCCCTTTCGCCTCAGACATCGAGATCCCCTTCTACGCCGCATTGGCCTCGCACAAGATCAACCATGACAAGTTGGACGACTCGGCCCGCAAACTGCTGGGCTTGTATGAGATCCGCCCGGGCGATGCGAAGGAACAATCGTGTCGGATGCAGATCCGCGCCACCGCGCTGACGAGCGACGAGGTCCCCGCGGGCTGTTACCGCGCCGAAGGGATGATCAAGAACTTCAACACGATCGAAGACTACCGCAACACTGACAAGCTCGCCATGATCCAACAAGCGGGCAAGACCATCTGGGAAGCCATCAACGACGGCACCATCTACTCGTGCCCTTCTTTGCTCGCGTCGTTCCTGGTCCTCTCCTACGCCGACCTGAAGAAGTACAAGTTCTACTACTGGTTCGCGTTTCCGGCCCTGGTCATGGATCCACACTGGGGCCCAGTCGGCCAGTCCCCGTCCGGTGCGGGCGCGCCGTATAAAAAGTTGAATGGCCTTGAAAGCACCACCCTCGTGGACAGCGTCATGACCTGGAAATACGGCGTTGATGCAAGACAACACGGCTTTTTCCTGGCCAAAAAGCTCCGGAAGAATCAGCAGCTCAGTCCTATTGACGACGAGTTTGGACCCACGTCGCCGACATCACCGCTCACGCCGACCGCTAGTCTCGCATTCGACTGGAAGGTCGCCGGCCTGTCGAGCTACGAGGACGGCTTTTTCGACGGCGTGGATTCGGAGGACCGCTACGTCTGTTTCGCCGACCCTTCGAACTACGGCGAGCCCGGCCCCGTCGCGCCTGGCTGGATGCTGCGCAATCTGCTGGTCCTCGTGCGCCAACGATGGAAACTGAGCAGAGTGCAGATCCTATGCTATCGAGAGACGCAGATGCGACGGGACGCGGCACGCAGCGTCATCTTCGACATGCAAGTGCCCTTGCCGGAGGAGCAGCAGGAACAGCAACAAGATCAGCCAACCACCAAAATGCCCAAGGTCGTGGGCTGGGAGCGCAACGCCGCCAACAAACTCGCAGGCCGCATGGCCGATCTGACGGAATACATGGACCCCAAGAAACTGGCCGACTCGAGCGTCGACCTGAACCTGAAGCTGATGAAATGGCGCATCAGCCCGAACCTGGACCTGGACCGCATCAAGGAGACAAAGTGTCTGCTCCTCGGCGCCGGCACGCTGGGCAGCTACGTCTCACGCAACCTGCTCGGCTGGGGCGTGCGGAAGATCACGTTCGTGGACAACGGGTCCGTCTCCTTCTCCAATCCCGTGCGTCAGCCGCTGTTCAACTTCGCGGACTGCCTCGACGGTGGCAAGAAGAAGGCCGTCGCCGCCGCCGAAGCCCTGCGCCAGATCTACCCCGGCGTCGACACCGAGGGTCATGTCATCTCCGTGCCCATGGCCGGCCATCCCGTCACGGATGTCGAGAAGACTAAAGCAGACTACGACACATTGAAACAGCTGGTGGACGACCACGATGTCATTTTCTTGCTGATGGACACCCGTGAGGCGAGGTGGCTGCCGACTGTCATGGGCAAAGCTGCCGGCAAGATCGTCATGAATGCCGCCTTGGGATTCGACACCTATGTGGTCATGAGACATGGCGTGAGAGTACAAGAGGAAACCAACAAGAACCAACGGAGCGAAGATGAAGGCGATGGTGACAGTCTCCATCGGAATCAAGACCGGTCAGAGTTGGGATGCTATTTCTGCAACGATGTCGTCGCGCCCGCCGACTCGATGAAGGATCTGACCCTCGACCAACAATGCACCGTCACCCGGCCCGGCATTGCGGCCATTGCCTCTGCACTACTGGTGGAGCTGCTTGTTTCCGTCCTCCAGCACCCCCGCGGCCCCGCGGCCCCGGCTTCCACTTCCCCGTCAGAAGATCGTGGCGAGCATCCGTTAGGCCTGGTACCACACCAGATCCGCGGGTTCCTGTCGAATTTCACCTCCCTCAACATCGCCGGTCGAGCGTACGATTGCTGTAGCGCCTGTTCAGAAAAGGTCTTGACAGCGTACGAGAGCGACGGGTGGGAGTTTGTCCAAAAGGCACTGAACAACAAGGACTATGTCGAAGAGCTGAGTGGGTTGAAAGAGGTGCAGCGTGCGGCCGATGCGGCCGCGGCCGATATCGATTTCAGCGAGGACGATATGCCCGAGGACGAAGAGGGAGAATTGATATAACCTTTGACCATTTGAGCTTTGCGCTTTTGCGCTTTTGAACGTTTTGGCCACCGTTGCATTGAGTCATCTGTTGGTGTTCCACCTCACTGAGCGGAGAGGGGCTGGTATATGAGCGGTGGCAGCCCATCGTTCATCCCACTGCGACCGAGTGTGTGACGAGGTTATAGGATAAGCGCCTGGACTTCGGCCTGCATTGTATGACCATGGTATGGCTGTGCAATACAGTGCGCAAGGTGCGACTTGGCCAGTCCACGCGCTATGTACTACCATGGCGAAGATAGTCGGGGCATCGGACCAAGACTAGCCTGGTCATCATATATTATCATTCCGCAAAGACGGCATCTTTATCGACCTTGGCCAGCCGCTTGATACCCACAAAATACGCCTCTCGGGACTCGCTGCGCGAACTCTCGGGCTTTTCGCGATGCACTTTGTGGAACATGGCCTTCAGACTCTTCTCGAGAGCCTTATCCTCGATGCCCTGGTAGAATTTGCACACAAAGTGTCCGCCCACTTTGAGCGTGTCGTAGCTGAAGCGCAGAGCTGCTCGGCATAGATCCTAGACAGCACAACAAATTGTTTGTTAGCACGAAATCATGCCCGTTGACAAATGGACTACCGTCGTTCACTGCCAGCCCAATACATGCAGTGACATTTTTTAATAATGATCCTTTGGCTCGAGCGGTGCTGTATTGAGAGTTTGTACGTACCATACTTCCAGCATGATCTCGGAACGAATTGCCGCTGGTGTTCATCAACCTGTAATACGGGTTACTGATGCTCCTTTTGTATAGCCCGTCCAGCGGGTCCCAGGGTTCGGACATATCGCTCAGCACCACGTCGACAGACCTGTCGAGGTGGTCTGTTTCTGGTTCTCTTTCCGTTTCCTTTTCAGGCGTATGTTGAGCAGTACTCTCACCAGACTCCTCGTTCGCGGTATCCCGTCTTTCCCGCTCAATGTAGCCTGCGTCCGAGTCGAGCAGCAGGCCCGGGTCGAGATGTCCGTCGCTCTCGTCTGCAGCCGTTGCATCGGTATCGGTAGCCACGAGTGAGCGGCGTAATCGGCCCCTGTCCGGGTCGCGGAGGAACGATTTGATCTCGGCCTGCACGTGTGGGGATAGGAAATCGCCCTGGATCGTCGACACGCCTCTCGGCGGTTGCACGGGGAGAAGGTCGACACCCAGGACTCGACCGCGCGGCTTCGTTAGGTCGATGGCTACCTATAACAGGAGAACAGTGTCTGGTCAGTATGTAGACGTCACGAACGGGATGGTCCGATGTGCGTAATCGAAAATTGAACAATTTAAACCATGTATCCAAATCTCAAAGGAAAAAGAATCAGGTACGCCAAGTTCAATAGGCAAACTGCACATGTATTCCGACCGCTAGCCGAATGTACACTGTCCAGACCGTGTCCACTCTGATGGGGATATGGCCCGCAACGGAAGTACACTTGTATGTATGGGCAATTTTTCAATCTTACCTGGCTCCAACTCCCCGGCGCAAACCCAAGGTCCACGACCGTCATGCCCGGCTTGAATAATCTATATCGATCATTGATCTGCAACAACTTGAACGCGGCTCGACTCTTCAGTCCCTGCACCTTAGCCGCCCTGGCAAACTGGTCCCCTCGCTGCCTGTCATTCCAGCGTCGCGAACTCTTCGAGCTCGAGCTGCCGCCACGCCGTCCGCTCGCGATGGCCCATGGTGAGCAGCGTGAAAGTTGCGTGGAAGCTGAGCATGTAGCTCCAACAGGCGATGAGGTACAGCTTTGCCAAGGGCGACATAGTCTTGAGGGGCGACACAGCTGCTCAGATCCAGTGTGGAGGAAGGACTGGAAGGACTTGGATGGTGATATCGATTGTCGTTGCTGGAGGAGTAATGGGCTTGTCGGAAAGCGGACGCAGAGTCGTGGGTTACATGGTCGCATTTAGGCTTGCAATCTGCAAGAACAGGACAACCGAGGACAGCCAACCAGTGGGATAGGAGGGTCTGATGGAAAAGAATGTTCCCCTGTTGTTTGTCGTTGTTGCGGTCGGAAGATACAAGTTGACATATTTTTCGACATGCGCAGAGAGACGGACGACGTTCAATCACTCTCCGATCGTTTCCCCTCATGGTTAAGGCGGCGTGAAAGGAGGATGCCTTTTGGTGTAGGGCTACTATTGCCGCTTTTAGTCGAAAGCATGGTATTCTTTACTTCGCAGTGGCTCAAAACACCCAAAGACCGTTGTCAATGTTGTCCATTCGTCCTTTACAAATCTACAGTATGTACCAGCTGTCCCGGATGATACTCATATCTCCCATACCTCGTCACACTAGGGCGTTCCGGCTTTCTAGACAAAGATGATGACAACCTGGACTCCCGCTCGAAGACATGTGGCATGTTTCAGAGAACGCTCGCAGCCCTCCTGTCCCTCTTAAGGGGCGAGAACTCGGCCAACGCCTTGCCTTTTCCAATTGGTTTGGCCTTGAGACTGATCTTTCCGAGCGCGCCGCCTCCACGACCAAGAGCTCTAACCTTTGGAGCCGGCACGTCATCTTCTTCCTCAAAGATATTTGTTCGCTTTGGGACCTTTTGTTGCGTCGTGACCTCTTTGGATTTCTCGGGCTGTTCGCCGTTTTCCTTGTTGCCATTGTCATTGCCATTGACATCTCCTTCCTCGTTTTCCATATCCGAATCCTCTTCGATAAGCTTCGCCAACTGTGGTCTCTTCATTGTGGTATTTGCCTTCGAGTTGGTGGTCTCTTTCAGTGGTCGAGACCTCTTCGTCTTAATCGTCGGTGCGGTTGATCTCTGAATTGAGGCTGGCTTTCCCAGCTTGTTCGTGATTTCCTCAGTTTCGGATGCATTGCTTGTATCTTCGGTTGCCCCATCAAGTTGGTGTTGATTTAATTTCTGGGGCTTCTTGCGCGGCTCATCTTCCGCCTCACCGGGTGTCTCAGGCAGGATGCTCATCGTCCGGTTCAAGAACGGTGTGATGGAGAAGGTGGACTTGTCGCCGACATTGACCGACGCACGTTGTTTCTTTGCAGCTGGACCTCTCTGACCCGGAGTACCAATTGTCATGTCGGGGTCGAACCTTGCAATGTTTCTCTTCCTAGGATTTGCTGTTGTGGCCCCCGACAATCTCGCCTTGGTCATCTCTGCAGACATAGCCATCTTAGCAGCTTGCAGCTGTTCAACCTCATCCTGCGCCTCCTTGAGTTGATCTTTTGTAGTGCGAAGCTTGTTACGGAAGGCATCAAGTTTTCCTTCTAGAATCTCCTTCTCACTTTCCCACTGCGCTGTTTTCTTTCTGCTCTCACGCTCGATTTTCTGTCCTTCGCGTTGCGTTTTGGCGAGTGCCTGCCTCAATTCTTCGATCTCGGAACTGTCATCCCGTTCGTGTTCTTGTGCCTTGCGTTGCGCCTCGGTGAGTTTTTTCTTGAGCTCTTCTATCTCCAACTTGTTGGTACGATCAATCTTCTGGGCGTCACGTTGAGCTTTTGCCAGTTCTTTCTTAAGTTCCTCGATCTCGAAGTTGCTTTCTTGATCCTTCCTCTGGGCATCTCGTTGTGCTTTAGATAGCTCTTTGCTGAGCTGCTCGATCTCGGCGGTCAAGGCAGAGTCTTCACGAGCAGCTGACTTCTCTTGAGCTTTGATGCGTTGTACCGTTCTTCTTTCTGTTTCCAGTTCCACCTGCAGCGAGCTCATCTCTCTTTGTAAAGCCAGTTTCTCAGCAAGGACTTTCTGTTGCGTGGACGCTTGCGATCTGAGATGCTCCAGTTCCGGCTTTAGAGTGTTGAGCTCTCTGGCCAATGCCAACTTCTCGGACAGAAGCTTGGTGGCATCGGCGCTGGCGGAATTCAAGACATTGACTTCGGCCTTGAGGTGGTCCAAGTCGCGGTTTCGTGATTTCAAGTCCAGATGTGTTTGCTGCAGCTCGGCTTCGAGGTCGGAAACCTGTGCCCTCAATTCTTCGTGTGTCTCTTCTAGATGATTGTTCTCATCCTCGTTCTGCAAAGCTCGTTCTTGTAATTCACCGTTGTCATCCTCCAGTAACAGCAGCTGGACGCGCAAGGCACGCACGCGCTCTTCCTCGTAGATGCGCTCAGCGTGCCGCAGAGCGCGTTCGTATGCGAGTTCGAGCTGCGTCGACTTGATGGACTGCGCGATCTCCGGCGTACTCATGTAGGATATTTCTGCTTCCATTTTGGGATGCTCGAGTAGATTGTGATACAGATCTAGTATGGGGTGAAGTGCGACAAATGCTACGGAACCAGAGTCAAAATGCAATCTTCAAGTCGCTAGCAGATAGGGCGTTGTTTACCATCTCCGCAACCGGACTAGTACAACGTCCTCGGGTCGGCAGATTGATAATCCGCAGGTTCCCAAAAGTGTCGATGAGAGTATGCTCCGCGGTATTGAGCTACGGCGGACTGCGTCTGTGCCAAGCTCATCGGGACTTTCTCCTCGATCCCAAGTCTTATCGTCAAACCCTATACTACATGTAGGTAGCTATGTACTACGTACTATTTTTTCCCAAGCTCAGCGGGCTGCGTTTGTGGACTGAGTGCAGTTAAACACGAAGTGTCAAACTTATCAGTATGGAAAGGGTCCCAGGGAACTGCCACGAAGGAGATGTCCACACAGCCAGATGGTCACGAAGGTCCACCACAGAGCGACTGTCATCAGTGAACCAGTTCCCCCCGTACCGGTCGAGGTAAGATCCGGACGAGGGGCGGCGACGCTCGATGTTTGCCATGACATCAAGACGATGTTACCCACGGGTCGACTATCAGGCACCAACACGATCGTGCCCCTTCACCAGATCTCGAGGTTAGATGTGCATCGGAGCTTCAATGGCACACGAACCGTGGTACTACGAAATGAGCCAAACAGAAGAACATCGGCGCTCGCCGTCAACTGATAAACGAGGATACCCAGCCCGGTAACGGTGAGTCGATCCAGCCACTGATACTACCACACGAAGATCCTATAAGATAGGAATCGTTCTGGAACAAACCAAGCTTACGAATAAGCATCGGGGTGGAGGCTTATCGTGACGCTTATCTGTCACCCCGGGCAGATTATTCAAGGCTACACCAATTATGCTCAAGCCCCTGGCTTAGTTATACCCGAAAAGTGCTTAGCTGGCGTCCCAAGGATCCCCAATCCACGAGACAAATGCTACCAAAGATACAGAATACCACCCTGCTGTGGCGCCACCACTATTCAACGAATGGTTATATTCTTTGCGATTCCCCCACATCACACACGAGCTCTGCAGCTCATCATTTTCTGCGCCGCTGTCTTGTGTTCCTCTGTCGTGGCAGGACCTGACTTGACCTGCTGTCAGCTATACACATCGCTGTAAGCATAGGGAGCACTTTTGTATACCAAGTTCCAAGGCAGATACAACTTCGACCTCCGATATGGCTCTGGGATCCTTTGACCCAGAAAAGAGCGGTGGAACCCTCCACGATACCGATCATGGCTACGACAAGAACGAGCTCACGGATGTGTCCATTGAGCCAGAAGCCAGCGTCTCGTCGCCCACCGATATGTACAGCAGCGAATATGTCAAACAAGACAAGGGGTTGTTCGCCGGCCTCCGCCGTTTCGAGGCTCGCATGGACGCCAAGTTTGGGATTGAATCAGAAGCCATCGATCGCAAACGGCCCGAAGACAAGCGTCCCGTCCGCTGGCATGAAGAGCTAACCATGGCCCTCCTGTGGGCCTCGGGGACGATGAACACATCGTGCTTCGCGACCGGAATGCTGGGCTGGGAATTCGGCTTGAGCCTGAAACAATCGATCATCATCACCATATTCGCATCCATCCTGGGCGGTGCCGTGACCGGATACTGCGCCACGTTCGGCGCAGCAATGGGCCTGCGACAGATCTCAGTGTCGCGCTACAGTTTCGGCTGGTGGCCGAACAAGATCATCGCGGCCCTCAACGCCGTGCAGCAGATCGGCTGGGCCGCGGTGGGCTGCATCACAGGAGGACTGGCTCTCACGGCGGTCGCAGACGGACACGTTTCCTTGGTGGTCGGCATCGTCATCATCGCCGTTGTCGCCTTGATCATCAGCTTCGTCGGGCTCCATGCCATCTTGATCTACGAGCGCTACGCCTGGCTGATCTACTTTATCATCTTCATGATCATTTTCGGCGAGACCGGCAAATACGCCGACAACACGACCGGGGCATCCGTCACGGGCGCCACGCTCGCTGGAACGGTCTTGTCCCTGCTGGCAATCGTCTACGGCAGTTCCTCGTCGTGGTGCACCATGGCCTCCGACTACTACGTCCACTACCCGGCCTCGGTGTCGAGAGTCAAGGTGTTTCTGATGACCACTTTCGGCATCGCCATCCCCACCAGCATCGGCATGGTCGCCGGCTGCGTGGTGGCCAGCGCGCTCAACAACCGTCCGGATTGGAGCGCTGCATACGATGAAGGACTCGGCTTTTTGATCCAAGATATGCTCCATCCGCGCGGCTTCGCGAAGTTCTTGTTGACTCTGTTGGTCCTGAGTGGTATCAACACCAACATCATCAGTATCTATTCCGCCGCCATCTCCTGCCAGCAGTTCAGCCGGCCATGCGCCCGCGTCCCGCGCTTCATCTGGACCTTGCTCTGTTTCGCCGCCATTCTCGGTCTCGCCATCGGTGGCCGCGAAAAGCTCAACACCTATCTCTCCAACTTCCTGTCTCTGTTGGGATACTGGTGTACTTCCTACTTTGTCATTCTGTTGGAGGAGCATGTCATCTTCCGCAAACGCAACTTTGCAAACTACGACTTGGAAGGTTGGAATGATCCGGCTCGTCTGCCGCTGGGCTTGGCCGCTTTGCTTGCCTTCGGTCTGGGTGTGGTGGCTTGGTGCATGGGCATGGTCGAGACCTGGTACGTCGGCCCGCTAGGCAAGTTGATTGGTGATTCTGGCGGCGATGTTGCCAACGAGTTCGCCCTCGTCGTCACAGCTATCACCTATTATCCTGCTCGGTATCTAGAGCTGAAGTATTTCGGAAGGTAGATGGTAGTAGGAAGGACTAGATATCCTTCGTGAGCCAGGCACAGTGAATACAATTCGCTTTTTCGGTCGCAAGATGATTTTTCATGGCCGCGGATTACATTTCCAATGTTTCCCCACCCAACCTAATAGGATACATTGGTACCTTTGCAGCCTTATTTCCGTCTGCACACGGTAACACAGTAATACGAGCAGCTCCCATGGTGAACTCTGGTCGGCAGTCCGGTTAAAGCAAAGCATCATTGTCAGACATCGAGACATCATCTTCTTGTCCATCGTGCTCGAGTGGTCGAGACATTCATGCACGTCAACAACGTCCAACGCTAATCTGACAACAGCCGCCGCAGCGTGTCGCTCAGTAATCCCATATCCTGCTTTCACCTTTTGCATCCCGGGACCCGACCCTGTCCATCCTGGTATACCACAATCTCAAGCCCGCAGCCATAGCTGTGACGAAAGAACTACACCCAGCACGTACAAAGTTGTCGGTAGAGTAGCCCTCGTGTGCCCTCGTCGGCCTTCCAGATCCACTGGGCGATGATCTGCCCAATGCCGGCACTGGACTTGTGCAGTGCAACAGCGAACGGGATAGTCAAGCAGCTTGGCATGTTGCAAGACACCCAGTGCGGTGGCCGGACTTGCCGTTTCGACATACGGAATCACATCCATCGCAAACCCAACTGGTCCAATGGACGCAACGGACTACAATCCATTGTCACTTACCTGCATATTCGTCTCGAACCCGTTACCGATCAGTCATCGCCCCTGTCAAAAACTGCGGGGACATCCCCTGCATCACGGATCAGACCCTCGACTCCCAAAAAGAGCATATCACCTCCCGGCATTTGAGCTTGTCTGGTGAGGCCAGCACAGATACCAGGTCCAATCTCCATTAGGCCAGCTCCGAGCGGAATGGGGCTTCCTGCTGGACGAGATGCGAAGGGTGGAAGATGGACGACGAAAGCCAAAAGCCCGAACTAGATGTTGAACGTCGCGATAAACTTGAAACCAACGGGCCGGCAGCACTGCCGGTTCCGTCCTTGGCATTAGGGCGGAGCACTCAGACATCCTGCTGTGCCTACGATACAGCCTTGCCGGATCATCCTTTCTGACATGCGTACCGCAAGAAGTTGGCATCTGTGGTATCACTCCTTAACCGACATATCAAGCACAAGCTTCCCGCCTACACCGGAGTGGTAGTCCTCGACCAGTTCGTTCAGCTTGAGAAATGGATATGTTCTGATCTTCGCCTTCACTCCATGCGTGACGCAGAACTCGAACATGTCCCTCAGATCAGGTTCTCCACCAAGTCAGGACCGGTCACCACAAGAGACCGCAAGTGAGGCGGGAGGCATGGGAGTGCGAATCACAGAAGACGGCTAATTACAACCTCTGTTCACTCTTTCAATTCGAGCAATATCGTTCAGGCGTGGATACAGTGCTGCCAAATACTTATATGCCTACCATTTATGCGGGGAAGATGTCAGATCCCGACCTGGAATCCTGGGCCCGTTGGGGTCGACTGATCACTCTGGTCAATGGCCGGTGCCCCAAATCCTTCACCCCCATAGGTCTCTTGTCGTCTTCCTGCGCATTGACAATTGAACCTCAGTCAAGCAATAACTGCTCGAAAGCAGAGTGGAATGTTAAGAGATCGCCAGAGACTGAAGTTCGGTCACAAAAGTCAAGCCGAGTCGGGTTCTAGGGACTCGGATGTCAGAATGTCAGAATTTGGCGCGACCAGACTTGATGTGGCTAGTGTTACTGGCGGGTCTTGGTCAGCCATTCTACTACTCTGTTGCACGCCCTGACAGGTTTCCTATCTGCCTGGTCTCTACTTTCACGCTCTTATTGTGTCTACCGGCAGTCCTCAATTACATCCTCGATACCCTCCCAGGGTACGGTCTCCCCGTGGCTTCTTTCCTGTGTCGCTCCGACATCAATTATGGACACTGTTTGGAAGCCATATCTCAAGTCCTCGGACGACGATTGGACACGCCTGTCAGACCCCGCCGAGCGGAAACGAGTTCAGAACAGACTCTCGCAGCGAGCTAGACGTATGTTTTCCAATGTCAGACAGAACCACATGGCCCGTTTCTGACTCGTTATGCCGGATGAAGGAATCAAACTTGCTCATAAACAGGCTCGAGAGATGTCGCGTGCCTATCATCGTGAACGTCTTCCACAAGGCGGTCAGGTCCCAGATACTCAAGATTTGACTAGTGCAGAGACAGGCTCGATTGCGCCCATCTCCAAGGCCCCGAGTGTGTTCTTACAAAGTGAAATGAGCCTGGATCCCGGACGCGATACTCACTTCATCATTATGCATGCCATGACCGCCTCCGTTGCGTTCATCCGCATTGCTGATCTGCTCGAGCTTGCCTGTCTACAAGACAGCGGGTTTAACATTTGCGCCCCTATTGAGAGGTTACCCCCAACAATCATACCAACTTTGAACCAGCAAACTATCCCACACCGGCCTTACGTTGATATGCTGCCCTGGCCCTCGGTGCGCGACCGATTACTAGTCACACGCTCGGCTATCAACGAGCTGGAGTTTGTTCAAGACATGTCATTAGATGGCTTGAAAATTTGGGGCTCAACTCCTTGGGACCCGATGGCTTGGGAGATTGGTCCCGCATTTGCCAGGAAATGGTGGTTCCTCTTGGACGATAATATCATGCATACCACCAATTTCTGGCGTCGGCAGCGAGGAGAAGAAGATCTCATCTTGACGCAGCCGTGATCGACAACTTACCTAACAATCGCAGTATCATTTTACTACTCAATGATTCAGGCACATGTACAGCAAAACCCGAGTCCACCTACTCACAAGCGCCATGCAGTCTGACAGCCATCATATGTATGACCACGCCCAATTTTTGGTCAGAATGCATAGATATTGGAATACATGGACCACTGCATTCTCCAGATCTCTCGTTATTATATATCGTCGCCCTGCGAGTTGCACGCCAGCACTGTGCACGCAAGTTGCTCTCTTCATTCTCACTTCTCTTGAAACTCTCTCCTACGACAGCTGACTCGTCGATCTCCTCACCATGGGAGCAGTATTCACCCAGCTATACCCGCCCCGGCCCACCTTCACCGAGAAGGATGTTCCTTCCCTGGTCGGCAAGGTATTTATCGTGACTGGAGGAAATGCCGGTGTCGGGCTCGAGCTCGTCAAGATGCTCTATCTGAAAGGCGGCACGGTCTACATTGCGGGCCGATCTGCATCAAGAATCGCGGCCGAGATCGAAGCAATGAGTGCCATCCCCACCGATACCCCTGGAAAGCTCAAGAGTCTCATCGTCGACCTCAACGATCTATCTACGGTCTCTCCGTGTGTCTCCGAGTTCCTGGCCCAAGAATCCCGCCTCGACGTTCTCTGGAACAATGCAGGAGTCGCGCAACCACCCACCGGCGCAGGCACATCCGATGGCATTGAAGCCATCATGCGCATCAATTGCCTGGGTGCTTTTCTGTTGACCAAGATGCTGTTGCCTGTCCTGATCAAGACGGCACAAAGTTCACCCGGAGGCAGCGTGCGCATAGTGTTCACGTCTTCTGGTATCATTGACATGTCCGGCCCCCCAGGCGGCATCGATCTCGCCGAGCTTGTCCCCGGAAACTATTCGAAAGACGCTTCTCGCAACTACAGCGCCTCCAAGGCCGGCAACTGGTTCTTGGCGTCGGAGTTCGACAAGAGGATCCGCGAGCACGGAATCGTGTCCGTGGCTCAGAGTCCCGGGACTTTGAGAACCAAGGGTTGGGATAGAGCGCCGTGGTCAATAAAGGTCTCAATGGCCTTGTTCATGCACGAGCCTAAGATGGGCGCTTTGACTGAGCTATGGGCTGGGCTGAGTCCTGATGTGAAGCTCGAGGATGGGGGCAGGTTTGCTATACCCTGGGGTAGATGGCATCCCAGTCCAAACAAGGAGATCCTCCAGAGCCTAAAGACCAAAGAAGAGGGAGGCACAGGTCTCGCGGCCCAGTTTTGGCAATGGTGTGAAGAGCACACAAAGCAATATGCCAATCTTTAGTTGCTGTCGATAACCTTCTCGTTATACCTTGGCCGCGCAGCCATGTTGGGATGGTGATGGAGATGCGTTCTTCCGAGACTTTCAAGTTGAAGATAGTATAAGAATGGAATGACGAGAGTCAAAACTGTATCTAATCAGCATGATGCCGAATGTTGCCAACGAATGACTCTCCCGTTCCACAGCCTTGTCAACAAACGATCCTGAGAAGGGAAGGTGACTCTGATTGTGGATCAATCTCGTCCAATACCCATGATAAGCAGCATCATATAGGAGCGTATGCCACAGTTACCAATTGGCATGGAGCAGAGTGGACTGGTTATTGGATGTGGCAGACTGGCGAGACGTCTAGACGTCGATAACTAAATCACGCCATATCCAGCCGCGATGATGCAGCCACCAACCACTCCTTTTCATTTGCTGATGACTGCCCCAGACCCCAGCTTCATGAACACCGATGACACTGATGAGATGTTGTATCTGCATCATCTCTATGTCGCCATGCCAAGGTAGGCAAGATGTTATGATATCGAATATGCAGCTATATCCCTACATATATAAACAACAGAGAGACCAAATGCTGATATGTTCTATTGCGTTGCTGCTGTCCATTTACATTGCAAGCTCTCTTCAATACAAGCAGCGTGCATAAGTTGATAGGGAAATCCTTGGAGCCCTGATCGTGTATAGTCAGAGCGACAGGCTTGCGTCCTCACAACTTCCCGGCATCTTCGATCCTGGACCACCGAGGCCATGGCGTCGTCAGTTGAAAAGGATGTCCTGTCTATCCCCGAACTGCCTCCAGAGGAGAAAGAGTTGAATTTGAATGCCGGTCCTGTCGAAAAGACAGTCCCAGCGGAAAGTATCAATGAACGATCTCTCATCAGAAAACTCGACCTCACCATTCTCCCGGCTTTGACGTTGTTGTATCTCCTCTCTTTCCTGGACAGGAGCAATGTCGGCAATGCTCGGATTGAAGGCCTGGCCAAAGACCTGCACATGACTGGCGACGAGTACCTCACCGGGTTGACGCTCTACTTCATCGGCTACGTGTTATTCGAAATCCCCTGTAACATCGTCTTGAAGCTCTGGACGCCGCGGGCCTGGTTGCCTACATTGACTCTGTTATGGGGCGTCGTTGCCACCCTGATGGGCGTCACACAGTCCCGCGACGGCTTCTATGTGGTCCGTTTCTTCCTCGGCGTCACCGAGTCAGGACTGTTCCCCGGCATTGTGTTTTATCTGTCAATGTGGTACCAGCGCAACGAGCGCCACTTTCGCGTGGCGTTATTCTTCAGTGCCGCGTCGTTGGCGGGAGCGTTTGGCGGTATTCTGGCTTGGGGGATTGGCCATATGCGCGGAGTCGGAGGGTATAATGGATGGAGATGGATATTCATTCTTGTAAGTCTCAGCCTGGCTACTCGAAGGGTGTATGGTCGAATAGATGAACGAATGAATGCTGACAGTCTGACTTCCAGGAAGGCTTGCTGACTGTCGTCGTGGCTGCGGGCTCTTATTTTTTCGTCCATAATTACCCCAGTACAGCGAAATTCCTCACCGACGCTGAGCGCGATTTCATCCAGCAACGCCTCAAGGACGACAGTGACGCCACCCAAGACGAGGGTTTCGCGTGGAGGAACGTTCGCAAAGCCCTCACCGATATCAAGTGCTACCTGTATGCACTGGGCTTCCACACCCTCTCGCTGCCACTGTACACGCTGTCACTGTTCTTGCCGTCGATCATCACCTCGCTGGGCTATACTTCGGCGCAGGCCCAGCTGATGACAATCCCGCCGTACGCCATTGCATTCATCCTCACGCTCACGCTGGCGTTACTCTCTGAGAAATACCGTCGGCGTGCCCCGTTCGTCCTCGGTTCATCGTCTCTGGCTATTATCGGATATATCTTGCTGTTGTCCGACCATCGTCCAGGGGTCTCGTATCTGGGCACTATCTTTGCCGCCGCAGGAATCTATCCTGCCGTAGCCCTGACCCTGGCTTGGCCGGCTAACAACGTGAGCGGCCAGACGAAGCGTGCGATCGCTAACGCCCTTCAGATCTCAATCGGGAATCTCGGTGCGGTTCTGGGAACCCAGCTTTATCGGACGGAGACGGCACCGCGGTATTACCTGGGCCACTCGTTCGCGTTGGGATATATGGTTGCGAACCTGCTGGTCACGACTACGCTGTGGTGGGTTCTGAAGAGAGACAACGACCGAAAGGAGAACACGTCGCATGATATCGCTCCCGATGAGCCGTGGATGGGTGACGAGGATCCGAGATGGCGATTCCATTTGTAGAGAACAGCATGCCGTGAACAACTACCAGAAATCAACCATTTCTGTCAAAATGGACATGAATAGCTTTCCCAGTGCAAGAGGCCTCGCTTATTCATTGCATCAGGTCCATCTGCAACGAGGCTAGAGGGGATCAGAAACGTATAATCTTAGGATCGAGGGCCCTCCGTCCCTCAGTCCGGGCATGCGGTTTGTCATGTAATGATGGGTGAGAGTCAAGTCGTGAGGGCAACGCTACCTGCAGTGTAGATGTAGATACCGTTCAATCTAGGAAGGACGTTCCTCCCCCTGACGCAGCCTTGGCATGATTGCGCGGCGAGGTTGAGGCGGCGAGGGATTGCGGTGTGGCACTGGCGTAGAAAACGCAGTAGTGCTAGTTAGTGTTCAAGTTAACTGCAACGTCAAGCGTCGAAGACAGTCGGCATTGCCTTATTGACCTTAGCATCTCACTTTTCGGAACAAGTAGGATGTCTGGAATATGTTGACCAACTCATTCACCTTTGCCTTCTTGAAGCCCACATTCGAATGTGGTTATGCGCAATGCTCTGATGCCTTCTGTGGTATGCCAAACCAGTCGCGGCGTCCTTCGAGCCAAAGAGTGCACCCTTCAGTCTGAGCTCTTGTGGGATGGTACCTGCCGTTAGATGGAATGGTCCAAGAGGTGGAGTTTCAGCGGGTTGTGCTCGACACATCCTCCCTCGCTTTTTTGTCGTGTGAGTGATGAGCTCGATCTGGCCGGCCAGAACGCAGAGCGCCCGTTGCCGAAAGATCACAGATGCAAAAGAAGGTAAAGTGGAATAATGTAAGGGAGAATCTTAAAGCAATGTTCGATCCAGCGCTTTGTCTGCCTTCACTTAACTTGCTGGAGCACCGCAAGGCAATGACTGGTCAATTCGCAAACCAAGAGCGCGGTGAGTGTTCGTTGATTTATCCTTGGCTCCCACAAAACAACGCACATCACGGGGTGTTCGAATCCCGTACTTGACAACAAAAGATCCTTTTTGGTCGAGAGACAAAAACTCTAATCCGCGGCCCTACCACTCGCGGGGTGGTAGAGGGCGAATCGAGGGAAACCCCCTAGTCGAAGAAGGGGATTCTTTTATTCCGAGGTAGCGTCAGGTGCAACTCCCATACATTCCCCCTAGGCAGGTAAGGGGGCTGGACCCCTAAGGGCCCGCGGGACCGCTATTCGACTCTGCTGGTATGATCTGGACTAGCACACAGATCACAACAGGTACGTCGGTAGCGGCGGCCTTTTAGTGAGAGCTCGCGGCTAGTACAGCTCTCACTTAGGACCAGTTGCCAACTGCCCCATGGCGGGTGACTTGGTCTTGCCCTGACCTTACCATGGGGATTGTTGGGGGAATTTCTGCAAACAAAAATCGTAACTGTCCATTTATTCCGCTGGGTGCTTGGCGCAGGTGTTGTGATGTGGTTCTGCGGTGGTAGAGTCCTCCCGCATACACTGTCACGTTTTCCCGAAACCTTCTTTCGCACTATCAGGCTTAACCAGTCGTTCTGCTCGAACGGCTGTGCTCTATGGTCACGGCTGTTTCCTGGATGCTGACCACCGTGGCTTGACAACTACCTAAATATGCTGAAAATTCCTTGGCTGTCCTGTTCAGCACGTTGCATTCCGCGAATACTAGATTTTATATCAACAATGAATCTGGTCTGCACTACCAGCTGCTCTTGTATGAATCATGCCTTGCGTAGGACCACAAGGCTGCCAGTGTTTGATATTGGCATAAAAGCACCTGTGCTCCACCCCACCAAATCCTATGTTCCTCCGTATCCTCCGACAGCACTTCTAATGAGGCCACGCTGGATCAGCAACTCGATGAACTTACATTCTCTTTCAGACCCAACACAGGCTTCAGTATTAGCGATGCGTTTCTTGAAATTGTTGGCGCTGACAGCGTTGTCTTGGACCGCTGTCGCCGCCAAAAAGGCAACAACGAATAGATTCGACACCTATTTCTCCAAACAAGCTTCCTCCGCACCCTTTGAATTGGACGAGAAAGGATACAATGAGTTGACAGCCACGCCTCGCGACTACTCCTTAGCCGTCCTTCTCACAGCTCGAGATGCGAGATACGCATGTGGTCTGTGTCGAGAATTTGATCCGGAATGGAGTATACTGGGTCGCAGCTGGCAGAAGGGTGACCGCAACGGAGCACACAGAATGCTCCTGAGCACGGTTGACTTCGACAATGGCAGAAATATCTTCATGAAGGTATATCAAAAGCTCAACCTGCGTAGAGAACTTCACTAAACTGGCGCGACAGCTTCAACTTCAAACCGCTCCCGTACTCCTGTTCTTCCCTCCCACTGTGGGACCGCATGCAAAGCCAGATGGCCAGCCTCTCCGCCTTGAGTTCCTTGGTCCTCAGACAGCAGACAGCGTCCGTAGCTGGCTATTGCGGCATCTTCCTCCTGGCGAATACCCTCCTATCTCCCGGCCTATCAACTATGCAAGAATCGGGGCCTCAATCACCATCCTGCTGGGAGCGTTCACGTTCATTACCGTGGCATACCCATACGTGTTGCCCGTGGTCCAAAACCGAACATTATGGGCCGGCATAAGCTTGATTTTGATCTTGCTCTTCACCAGTGGACACATGTTCAATCATATCCGAAAAGTGCCTTACGTTGCCGGGAATGGGCGCGGCGGTATCGCCTATTTCGCTCCGGGATTTCAGAACCAATATGGCATGGAGACCCAGATTGTGGCAGCTATGTGTAAGTCATCCTCGGAAATTAGACAGTCGGAGACCTGCTGATGTGCCACAGATGCCTTGCTTTCTTTCGCAACGATCAGCCTGGCCCTCAAAGTACCGCGCATCAAAGACCCGCGAACCCAACAAATTGCTGTCATCATCTGGGCATCAGTACTTTTTGGGATGTACAGCTTCTTACTCAGTGTTTTCAGAGTCAAGAATGGTGGATATCCTTTCTGGCTGCCACCGTTCTAGGTTGGATGTACCGACGGCGGATATTATTGTATCGGCAATACGAGAGGCTGGCATACGGAGTGAACCTGTACAAAATGTCTGATGAGCTTTCTAGAGAGGCAACAAAATAAAAATGAAAAGTATTCGCCCCCAGACTGGCTTCAGAGCGACTTCATCAAGTTGGGCGCGTCGTCCTGAATTGGTCAGCCTTGCGACTTTGTCCAACCTTGTCGAACTTGGGGAACAATGACAGGGAAGTACTTCTGCTTGCGGCTCCCTCCCTGTGGAAAGAGGTGAGCAAGGCAATCTCTAGTTCAAAAGCCGAATGAAGAGGCAGGGCTCAAAGGTGACGGCCTGACCCCGGACGCATCTGCGGCGCAGCGAATGCGGCTCACGTCCAATAGTATTCCACCCCTTACACCGCCACGCTTCAGGTCCAGGGGCAGACGTGCATCTTTGAGCGTCGCCTGTCACTCAGCCTCCATCTGCTTTTGTGGCGGAGTCGGGCCATGAGCAACCTGATCGTCTAATAAGAGTCCTTAATATCTTCTGGTCTCCTTGAGGGCATTGACTTCCATATGTTTATACTCGAGGTCGGATTGAGGCCGTGTTGACTGCAAAATGTCCTCATTACCGGATCTTCCAGATGTCTTGAAGGCCTGCAATGATGCATACTTCAGGTTCATCACGGATCAACATTTGCTTCTCGATAACCCGCTCCGGCTGTTGGGGCCCTCGGGGCTTCAATGGCAGAAGAACCGCTCGGCCTGCTCTGATTTAATTCAGAATCAGAACTTACGAACCTGCTGGAACCATCACTGGGATTGCTGATCACCTCAAGTATCTGCTGCCTAACGCTTTGCAGACCTTGGACGATGGCACTCTGGCGGAATACTGGAAAGCGCTTACACAAGACTCTAAGACATATCACTACGGCACGATGACCGCCAACCTATTCCCATACCTACTCGGTGATTTGGGACCTGTTGTCGGAATAATTGGGACCCGTGCTCCTCTGCTTTCGAAGATTGGCAGGATCCATGGTACATTGGGTATACGCATTCCAGCCTCAATTTGTCTCAACCATGCGAAAACGTCTACGAGTTCTGGCAGCTGTACATATCTGCTCCCATACCCGGCTTTCATGGATGGAGCCACCCAGCCAACGATGCTTACAACTTGCCCATCTGGTCGAATACTTCGGATGCTGTCCGTCATTTTCGGACCTTTCTAAATCCTTCCTACTCAACAAAGCCTGACTGGGAGGCCGAGCTGGCTTTGAGCAAAGTCATCTTGCAGCCGAGCTTCATTCGAGAAGCCACGCAGGCGGCAGAGTCATGCGCACCAGAGTACTGTCGAAACCTGAAATTTGGAGGCAATGCCGACATCGCCGGGAAAGGGGTCTGTGGTTCATGTTCAACCAAGCCTGTTCATGTGCTGACAACGCTTCAGGCCCTTATTGTGTACTGCCTGATCGCGTCGATCACAACACTAATTCATATTTATTTGACGATCTCACGGCTCAAATCTTCGTACCTTGGACGATGGAAAGGAGGAGATCCCGCGTGGGACGAGCCACCTTGAACGCCTCACTTTCATTCTTCGACATTTTGACCTTCTTCTCCCTCATGTCATGTGTCGCCAACATGGGGTACTCGAGCCGAGAGGATACCCTGTATGAAAAGGATATCTCCATTCTTGTGGTCCTTCTTTCCTGCACTGCCACCGCCACGCTAGCTTCGCTCATTATTGAATTCACTGAGACCAGAAGCGCAATGCTAGTACGTGTGCTCTGTTCAACGACTGCCTTCATCCTCGGAGTGCGCATCACAACGGAGTTCATAGGCACTACCTCTTCGAACCGCTCTCTGAAGGATTTCTACTGCTACGGAGCGCAGCAGAAGCTGCAATATCTCGTTCCGTTCTTGACAATGTTCCATCTCGCTTATGGCGGCATTTTTATCCTCGAGAACTGTCTTCCAATCTGGATCCACATGCTTAGATCTATCTCACCCAGCCCATCAACCAGTGTGTGGAACAAATTGGAATGGCTTCTGAGTCGGATCCGGCCAGCGACAAGAGTTACCTCTGATATTGTTGCACTGACATTCATGTGGATGGACTTTTGGTTCGTCGCCGTCATACGCACGGAAGCCAGTTTCATTTTCGGCCCGTGGTACGAGGACAACGACATGGGCTACGGTCAGATTCTTGCATGTGGCTTCTGCCTACAGCCCGTTGCTCAATGGCTGTTTCTCCTCTTCAGGGCGGACGATGATTAAGCTCACTTTGCGACGATTCAGTATTATTCTATTCAACTATTCTCCAATGGGGGATGCCATGCTTAACAGACGGATAAACCCCCACGCGGTCGCTGTTTCCCGAAACTCGCTTGAAACTCCCTCTTATGACGCCAATTTTATCTTCGGCAGCCGATATCACAGCCGTGGCCGCAAGGCGAAGGATGACTCCGACTTCAGCTTGAAATCATCCAGGCTGACGCTCGGAGCCTTCCCTTGCAAGACTTCTGACATGACGAACCCAGTGGCCAAGGACAAGGTGATGCCCCACGGACCGTGACCTGAAGCAACGTACAATCGTCCACCGGTCTTTGTCTTGATATCCCCGACTTCAGATATGATGGGGATACCACTTTCCGAGACGGGTCTGAAGCAAAGGCCTTCCCGAACAATTTCGAGATCGTCCCCGGCAGAAGCTCCGGTTTGCGTGCTTACCAGTTTGAAAGCCGTTTTCTTCAGATCATTCATGAGAGGCTCCTCCATCATTGCCTTGGACCCGCCCGCAAGCTCTGGCAAAAGATGGGCTTCGTTGTTCAGCCCTGCCACAAATATCTCCGGTCTGCCGTCTCTCGTTTGTCTCGCCATGGCCTCGGGGGAGTATTTCCAATCCGGTCCCGGCGGATAAAAGATCGAGTGGCTAGTTTCGACTTGTTGAGCAGACTCGTCGTCTTCCAGGATAGGTCGATTGTATCGAGGAGATCTGACCACGATACTGTATCCTGGCAGCGGCCGAATGCCAATACTCATCTTCTCACCCACCAGTGTCTGGAAGATCCGTGGAGTCCAGCAGCCACCCGAGATGACCACATCCTTGCAGGGGATTATCTCAGGTATAGGCTGACCAGTCTTGGCGCTGTGTTTCTGTACATGAAGCCCGACGATGCTTCCCTGGCTATCCTTCGCAAAAGCCACCGTCTTGGTACCCAGGTGCACTTCGACACCCCTTTCTTCGCAGCGTTGCAGCAGCCACTCGCACAACTGCCGCGGCTCGACCTGCGCACATCCAGACGGACTGGAGATCTTCTCGAGAACACCTCCCGCCGGAATATTTGTCCAGAGAGGCGACCCGTCCGGCCGAAGCAACGAATCGCGCTTGACATTCTTGTCGGAGCCCGAATTCGCCAGCGAACGCGACACATACGTGCGCGCGACCTCGGCTCTGCTTGTTCCGTGCAACAGCCAATCTTCACCTCGCACCTTCTTCCCGCCAGCTTCAGGCCCTTGCTCCATGACCAGACTGTAGCCATTGCTGGGTGTGTAACCCCACAGCTTGCGTCCGTTGTGGTCTTCAGCCAGCTGCCGATGCAGCAGGAAAGACAGTTCCGCGAGTGGCAGAACGCTTGGGCTGAACCAGTCACGGACGATATAGCCACCAGAGAACCCCGATGCTGAAAGAAAGAGGCTCTTCTCCGAGTCGACAATGATGACTTTCCTGCTAGGGTCCGCCAAAGTCGAATAATAGGCAATGGACAGCCCGACGATGCCTCCTCCGATTATGACTAGAGACATGGCGGGCAGAGAGGCACAGCAACGCGCTGGACTTCAGGTGTCGATGGCCAGAGATTGGTCTTGACCAGGGGCGCGATATCAACCTGAAAGCGTGTCTGACGATGTATACTATACTGATCGGCTTCTCAGAGTCTTTCCGGTTTTGCAGATGGGCCGACGACCTCTTTCTTCGGTATCGATGGTAGTCTACTCTAGTATGCGGAGTTCAACCCCCAGACAAGTGCCTCACTTAACGGCCTGGGACCTTCTTTATACGTAGTCCATAGATCCAGTCAACTGCTTTCCGCGGCCCTGTCCACAACAGAGAGCGCTCGGAGTCAACTGCCTTTCGCGCCCTTTCCCACAACAAAGACACCGCTCGGCACCCAAAGTGGAGTTGTGGGTCTTGATGTAGTCCCCATTTCTCAGGCCGTCGGTACCGGCGCTGAAATAATACCGTACCACGTGGTATTTCGCTGCTGAAAAAGTCTGTTTTGCCGACTTTCAACGATTCGGCTATCCGCACTGGCATACCTAAGGTAGTAAGGTAACTTACCTGGTACTGTGATTTGGTATCATTCACTTCCTACTCTCCACCAGAGACATACCTCTCGTCCTAAAAAAGACGCTCCTTATCAACTACCTATACCTACCTAGGTACCTGAGCTGACATTGTCTCAATGTGCTTCCTGATGTCACGTGTAGGTAAGTATTTAGTAGCGCCGTTATCAATACCATTGCGATACATCTAGTACTGTTGTACTGGTACATGACGCCGTACCTGTATATTTGTAAGCCCACTTATAACACAAGAAAGAAGTGGGAACCTCCTCCCAAAAGGTACCTCCTACTTGCTCCGATCAAGACGGTCCAGACGCCGAATCCACCACCATGGACAAAGGGTTCAGGCAGCTTGAATGGCTCCCAGACCCAGACCGTGATAGCCCAGCCTGTGGCCCCAAGTACCAAGTGAGGCATCTGCATGGATCCAAGCGCCCGCTACTAACCGGCAATTGATCCCTTTTAGAGCAAGGCTGTTGCCGACAAACCTTAGTAGGCAGTACTACTACTAGTCCACCGAGATTGTCGACCCTGCTTATCTCGGCAATATAGTGGCAGGGATGCGACGGCGACCACCTTGATTATTGATGATGCATTTCCGACGGCCGTATCTCGCGAGACGACAACAGCAAAAGGACACACATAGATAGATAAGAGCCGAGTAGTCTCATATAGGTAATTGAAACGTTCAATCAATCGATAAGGAGATCTATCCATCATAGTCCCAATTCATAGACGTCGAGAAGCCTAGAACCGAGTTTTGCCGCTGGAATCTGCAATCTGGCTGAGTCCTGGCGTCGGCTTATTACTATAGGTACGTATAGTAGACTGTCGTACCCAAGTTTTGGGTGTGGGAAAAATGACAAGATACCAAATTGACGGGGTTGATTGTAACCAGACTCCCTTACCTTATCGCATCTACTAGTACTTGTACTTGCAAAACCGTTGCATTTTACACTGCGCTTTTATTCAGCTGTTTCGAAATCATGTCATGTCATTTCATGTACGTATGTGCTTGCCTGCAGTGTGTATGCACAAACTACCTAGTTACTTTCTTCCCAGGATTTATCCATCGCCAGCTCTTCCAGTTTGTAAGACTCTCTTTCAAAAATCAACTCGTTCCATCACAAGACCCCGAGGCTTCTACAGGTGAGAAACCGGACCAGGAACCTTGTCTTGCCACTCCGCTGTGATGGCTTTATAGAGTGTCTCATCCGTAAGCACATCCAAACCGACAAGCGCCAAAGACTTGCCAATCATCACAGCGATATCGTGAGCCTCGTCTGTTCCCGCAGCACTCGCGAAGGATGCATGATGTGGTGAAATGCCTTCCGGGGCAGGGATATTGAAGTTGGCATGGAGGGTCGGCATCTCGTAGCTCACGTTTCCTTGCTTGAAGTCAGTATTTGAGGCGACATGACATCTGACAGATATAGTCACGACGAGAGGGAGGAAGAAACAGAGGAAAGGAGGGTTCGGTCCGATGAAAGATCGTCAGACTGCGTAGGAAGATGACTTTTCGCACTCACCAATGTCACTAGAAGCCGTGATCATCTGCGGTACAACCGCCAGGACGTCTTGTCCGTATTCTGCCATATGTGATTTCCATTGACCGCAGAGAGCATCGTTCAGCAGGACATCTGCGTAATATGGTTCACTGGAGCTCAGTGAGTAGGTGTCAGTCAACATGGACAGTGTCAAAGCGATGGGTATGTGATTCGACAAGCAGCTTAGAGGAGAGGAGAGGAGAGAAAGGCGCCGAGAGAAGAAAGTCTAAGTACGTACCTCTCAATGACCACTTCACAACCCGTAGCCAAAGCACCGGCCTGGACACACTTGACCACTCTCGCCGACAGGGCTTTCAGGGAGGCCACGGTGTCGGCTCTCGTGGAGAAGATGGCCTTTGTGCTGGCTGGAATGATGTTCGCTGCCTTAGGCGCGTCGGTGATGGCACAATGAATGCGATCGGTCCCGACCGTCTGTTGTCGAAGCATAGAAATGCCGTTGTAGGAAGCGACAAACGCATCGAGGGCGTTGATTCCATCCCATGGATTGGCGCCGGCGTGGGCATTTCGGCCTTTGAACTGGCAGAACATGCGTTCTCTCGCTAGCATGGGCACTCCGCCGATCCCAGCCAGAGCTTTGCCAATCGTGCCTGAAGATTTGCTGCTTGCTGGATGACTGCATCTCAAAAAGTCAGCCCCTGAGTCTTTCGTTTCTGGATTGCAAAGTTATGTCATGGTTTCTGGAATTTCAATGACTTACGCCATCAACGTGACTCCCACATCCTTGTATGCTCCGGATTTCAGGAGCTCCACTTTGCCGCCTCCGCCTTCTTCGGCGGGGGTGCCGAGCAGCTGCGCTCTTCCAGGCACGTTCAGCTTCTTCAAAGCATACGACAAGGCCAGAAACGCCGCCAGACTGCTGGTCGCGATCAGGTTGTGGCCGCAGGCATGCCCGATGTTGGGTAGAGCATCGTATTCGGCGTTGAAACTGACGAGACGGCCGCCTTGGCCGCTTCGTGCTTCGAAGCTTGTGTCCAGCCCGTACGCGTGGCGGGTGACTTCGAACCCCTGGCTCTCGAGAAAGTCGCAAATCGTGTCGTGTGCCTTGTGCTCTTTGAAGGCCGTTTCGGGATTTGACCAGATCTAACAGTAATCACGAACATGTTAGTTTGCATTGTTGCCAACGCTATCTCATGAAAGATAGCCACAGCGAGGTCGCATGCGAAGATTGATAAATACCTGATGATTGACCTGCCGTAGCTCTTTTGCAAGGCCCTTGAGAGATTCATCGACCATGTCCTTAACACTTGTGCTGGTGGAGGCCATCGTGGTGGTTGTCATCGTTGCTGTCGTTGTCTGCGTCGCCATTGTAAGGTGCAATAGAAGAGTCTTGGTGAGACAAGAGTCACGGTCTGCACGTGGAATCGGTCATAAATATGTATCAGACGACATGGTCCCATGGTTATCTCTTGAGCATTACGGTGAATACCGCTCTGAGATAAGTTATCGATGCGGCGACTGGTTGAAGCACTTGGGTATCGATCAATCTTGCATTGCAATGCTTCATTCGAATACTATCCGGGGAGGCGAGTCTGCAATGTGGGGTCATAGGAGCCGAGATAAGGTCCACTTTTGCCGACACAGCCAATCAGCACCGATAGTATATTGCCCATGCAACGCAGAGCCTTGCCGAGATATGACAATCGCTTCTCCCCAACCTCAAGGAAAAGCCCATGTCCGTCGAGCCCGACATGTCTCGTGTTGAGTCAAACTGCAGCACCCTAGCGCCGACTTTATCGCCTAATTGATGGCCAGAACGTAGGCGACCGCCTATCAGTATTCAAGTCGATATCAAAGCAAAAGATAAGCAAGCATTAGCACAGTCAAAACGCATCTCATCCGTGGAAAGGCTGTCGAGGGAATGATAGATTGTCGAGCTGAACATCAGAGAGATAAAAGACGCTTCGTTGCACCTTCGAAATCAGCATCTTGCACTCAAACAACTTCGACTCGATCTTGCTCAGAGACGAAAGCCAACAGAGACTCACAACCACAGTACAGTCTGTCTGACCTTGATCCCATTTTACCTCTTCTATCTTCGTCGACACGATGACGAGCGAGAATCCCAGCCCCGCAAACAAGGAGGCACTCATGTTCTCGGACGACAAAACAGACGCGGCTCTGGCGAGACAGGTCACCGAAGTCCAGGAAGGCCTCATCTTTCCCGATGCCGCCGAGGCCAAAAGGGTCCTGAGGAAGATCGACCGTTGGTAAGCTAGCAGAGCGTCGCTTACGCTGCTGAAAGCCAGGAAAGTTAACGTATTGGGCCTCTAGCATGATTCCTCTGATGGGCTTCTGCTACATGCTGCAGTTCATGGACAAACTAGCCCTCAGCCAGGCGACACAGCTCGGATTGTTGGAGGACTTGGTAAGTCATGACTGCTCCCTGAACCCCTTCCATGAGGATACCCTCGCGAAAAAGAAACAATCACTGACAAGGCTCCTGCCGCTTCATTGCAGAAACTCCATGGAGCTCAGTACTCCTGGTGCTCGTCGATCTTCTACTTCGGCTACATAGCCTGGAGTTGGCCAACCTCCTACCTCATTGTTCGATTTCCGGCCGGAAAGTACCTTGGCGTCACTGTGTAAGAGCCACCCCTGACTGGCAAAAAAGCGAACAAAGATTCTTCTCTTCTTCTTGGTCGAACAGAAAAGCAGGAACTGATTTCAGTTTTGATACAGATTTTGCTGGGGTGGTATTCTGATGTGCCACGCCGCCTGCCACAGTTTTGCAGGCCTGATGGCCACCCGATTCTTTCTTGGGGTGGGTGAGGCGGCCGTCGCCCCGGGATTTGCCCTGATAACAGGAATGTTCTATACGCGCAAAGAACAACCAGCTCGGTGAGTAGACTTTGCGGTGATGATCATTTGCATGTGTTCTCCGTTCTAATCACTGTTATGATCAATACAGACAAGGAGCTTGGTGGGTTGGAAATGCCATTGCCAACATGATCGGTGGCCTCGTGGCATATGGTGTCGGCAAGATCACAACATCGTCTCTCGACCATTGGAAGCTACTGTTCCTCATCCTGGGATCCGTCACTGCAGCCTATGGCGTGGTCTTGTTTCTCTTGTTGCCAGACTCGCCCACCAAGGCCATTTTTCTCAACGAGAAGGAAAGCCAAATCGCACTAAGCCGCACCATCGAGAACAAGACGGGCCTTTTGGATGACAACAAGTTCGTGCGGCAACAGGCGATTGACGCTTTGCTCGACCCTCAGTTGTGGCTGTTGTTTCTGTATACTTTCACCGTCAACCTGGCAAACGGTGGTTTGACCAGCGTAAGTTGCCGACCCCCAGCACCGATACCATCCCATCCATCCCCAAGCCTGCTTGCCGGACCACATCGCTGACAAACATGATACAGTTCAGCACAATCGTCATTGCAGGGTTTGGCTTTTCGCGCCTCAATTCGCTCCTGGTACAAATGCCATTAGGCGCCGCTCAACTGATCTTCTTAATCTTGACTTCGGGCGGCGCTAGCATAATTCCATCCTCCCGTTCGTTGTTCATGCTCTTGAACACCATTACCTCTGTGGTAGGAATGGCCATGGTGTATGCACTCGACGACCGCGCAGGCCGCCTAGCTGGTCTGTGTCTGTCCGCCGTGTTCGCTTGCAACATCCCGCTGTCCCTCAGTTTGGTCAGCTCCAACGTCGGAGGCTTCACGAAGAGATCCGTCGTCAGTACGACAATGTTCGTCGCATACTGTGTGGGAAACATCGCTGGGCCACAATTCTTCTTGGCCCGTGAAAAACCAAGATATAAAGTGAGTCCGCGCCACTTTTGTTTATGGTTCGCAATGCAATTTTGCAGGACCAAAAGACTGCTCGAATGAAAGTACTAATTCGTTTGAACCAGACTGGACTTATAGCTTCCCTTTCGGGGCTGTGTTTAGGTGCTTTCTTCATCGCTTGTCTCCTCGTCTACTACATTTGGGAAAATCGCCGCAGGGACAGGCGCTTTGGCCCAGCGCAGAGGAGTTCGAGTGTGGTTGAAGACCTGAGAGAAGACCTTGCAGGCAAGACTGATCGACAGCTCACCAGCTTCCGATACGTCATTTAGACGTGGAATGAGGGTACGTGACAGATCAGGCGGAATTTGAAAACCGGTGTAGTCATTTCTGTTTGTGTTTGGCGCTCAAAATCGTTGATGGTCGATGTACTCCGTTCAAATGAGATCGCGGATCTTGTTGAACTAGCCAAATTCCTTCTTCGATTGCAAAGCGCCCTACATGAGCTGCGATGACTATAGTAGGAGACGCTCTGTGAAGTGTGGGAGATCATAGGCAAGGAAAGGGTTGTCGCGCAGTTCGACTTCTTGCAGATGCTGGCCAGGGATGGCAGGGTATGGAATAAGGCTTCCTGCTCGTGAAAGCTGGATTCGGATCCAATCGCGGTGGATAGGATCGCGTGTCTTAAGTAACGCAATCGTGAGAGACCACAGACACCTGTAGATCAGCTTCGGGTTTTCCGCCAGTAACTTATGCGCCATGTCCAGTAGATCCGCCAAAACGGTGTCGAGAGGCTGAGTACTTTGTGGTTCGAGGCATGAGTGCAGGATCTTCACCCCATCGTATTCCATAACGGCAAAGTATATTGTATAAACAACCCTTCGACCTCCGGAAGCCTTAAGGACCCGGGACATCGCGATGAGGTCGCAAAATTCCTGTTACTGTTAGCGGCCGGGGCTCTGGAGGGTATCAAAAACAGTCATACCATGCCTAGGTTCTCGATTTGAGCAGCGATGGACTTCACTGCCGTCTGCTCGATTGGTCCATCTTTCGAAGCAATACCGAGACTTAGAATAGCCAGCTTCAGCTTCTGACATTTGTTAATCAGGTTCAGAGCTCGATAGTTCTCTATGTCATCCATGTACTCCTCCACCGGGTACGCGGAGCCGTAGATTTTGGGCAAGCACACCCTCGCTTCGTCAAATAGGTGGTCTTGACTGATCTGAGCAGATGGTGGCGCCGTAAAAAGGTCCAGTGCTAACTGGCCGGCGTTTACGTTGCTCATCGCGAGATTGATATCATGGAAACTGGCTGAAGGTTAACAAAAATAACCCAGGAAGTTGACAGTTCCTTACCTTGTGACAAACAAGAGCTGCTGCGAGGCTGGAGGCAATACAAAGCCACTCCCAGACGCCCCTGCTGAAGAAACCTTGGATAGAAATGATCGAATTCCGCTGAGGTGGACATGAGAGATGTCTGTGAGGTCGGCCTGATAGCGCTCAAAGTTCAGAATCAAGAACCAGATCGCGAATAGAGCGTCTACATCGGCATCAGTCCGGCCATCGTGCGCTGCGCGTTCTAAGACGACAGAGAGGTCCTTTAGTGCCATGCGGTAATAGCTCAGCCCCAGTCTTCTCAGCCGCAACTTTCTCAGACGGGACTCCTCGCTTTCGATCTCCTGCTCGATGGATGGAGAATGGAGCCAACTCATCTCCATCGCGGCCACCGCAACGAAGGCTCTCATGACGCCTGGCTCCTGTCTCGCAATGGTCGAGTGCACGTAGGACAACATACTCCATTTCCAAGGCTTTCCCAAGTACAATGCCAAAACTGAACTCGGGATGTAGTTGAAGCACTCCCATGCCTGGTGGTCGAGAATAACCGAGTTCGACAGAGGAATATGGGCCGTCGACAACGTTGGCCACAGTGGGGTGTCGTCGAAGTCAGAATAAACAGAGTCACTGCGAGGCCAATGCGGGCTGCTAATAATCGTATACTCAACACTGTGGGATTCGTCTGAGACGCTGGCATCCTGGCCTCGCTTTGGATTTAACTCGCCACCCTGGCGGAGAGGGCTAGACGCAATATTATTACCACGTTCTTGCCTCGAGGGTGGCTGACGACGAGGCCTCGCCGGTTTATCCCACTCGCACTTGACCTGGCTTTTGGCACAGCGTGCGCACAGCGGTCGTCGCTCGTCACATTTCACTTTGCGGGTGCGGCAAGTGGTACAGCCTAGATACAGTCGCAAGCTTAGGACCCAAAGAACCTCGATCAGGACGCGTTGTGATCGAACACTTACCTTGCTTAGAGCGAGGTCCATTCCGACCGAATCGAGGTATCATCGTGGATATTATCAGGGCCGTGGGACAATGGAGATGTGATCGAAGACCGAAGCGGTCGCGATGGTAGGAGTCTCGCCTCTAGAGTCCTTGCATTTATTTTTCATTCTTTCGGTTCTACCTGGTGAGGTCGGTGGTGGTTCAAGTTCCGAGAAGAAGGCGAGTTTGATTAGGTCTACAGAGTATAATAAGCATACAGAGATACTGTGCTGCCATTCACCAATCAAATACCAGCAAAGCCAGCAGCCGTATCTGATATGAGGTCCCTACAAAGTAAAATGATCATAGATTGAAACATCATTTCGATTATAACTCTGAATGATGAATTAATGTAAGGAAAAGTCATCAAGGATAGAATGTCATCAAATATAGAGTCCTCACGGTATCTATTTGCTGTCGGGTCAGACAGTGACTGCAGTGGTGGTGTTATTGCTTGACATTAATGTGCCGAGTGATATCATGTATATTTATTTACTTCTTCGACTAACGGCGATGATTATTGATCCATTGCATTTTTCACACCTAGGTATATAATAATACCGCATTGTTTGACCTTGCTTTATCTCATAGCTGTCATCTGTTAATTAGACAAGCATAGTCGACCTTTTTGCCCTGCGACGCGTCATAAAATGGAAGACTTTTCGCAGTCCCGCGGCGACGATGACCTGTTTGACGACGAAATCGTCCCTTTCGAGGGCCCTCCGTCTCCAGAGCAAGTTGCGGCCCAGTTCCAACAAGTGTCGCTTGAGACAGCCTCCCCGGCACCGGATGTCGAGCATAAGCAGGCTGTGTTGGAGTCCAAGGAGACAACATTTCCCGGGTTTAAGCCCAAGCCAAAAACACGAGGAGGACATGGGGGTGGCCGAGAAGGAACTAGCAAGCACGGTGGATTGGCAGATTCAAGATGGGCGACAACCCCCTCAAGACCTACAGCATCAAATCAAACTGCACGAGAGCCCAACGTAAAATCAACGCAGCCGAAGGCGACGGACACTGTTTCGGATATTGTGAATGATCCAGATGCAGCTACGCGAGGAGGCGAGGGAGGAGGAGAAGGAGAAGGAGAAGGAGATCCTCCATCTGCCGACTCGAAAGAACTCGTTGCCCCTGAGAACACAATTGCCCCTGCCAACGCTCGTCCTCCCGCCGTCCGAGGAGACCGGACTGCGACCGGCGGCATACGCAAACCCAAGCTGACCGAGGAAGAACTCAGTGCGAAGCTCGCGGCTGCGAAAGAACGGTCGCAGAACCTGGCAGCGGCCTACGCGCGGGCACAAGCAGACGCTGCGAGTTTTGAAGAACGGGAACGTGTAGCGAAAGAGATGCGGGAGAAAGACCGTGTCGTGCGAAGAGCAATGGACAAGGAGCGGGAGAAAAATCGCCAACGCAAAATGGCCGTCATGGGCGGGCGGGAGTGGGACGCCGGTAAGAACGAGGAGGATTTCAAAGTTACACAGAATGGGCGTGGTGGTCCGCGCAGATTTGAGAGTGGCATGACGCCGGAGCGACAATTTCGGGCAGAGCAGGACGATCTCCGCATGTATGAGTGGCATGATGACCGCGGCCGTGGGAGAGGGAGGGGCAGAGGCAGAGGTGGACGAGGAAGGGGACGAGATGGTGGTGGGAGAGGGGGTGGGTTTGGTCATGACAATAACCGTTCTACTCTACAGCAATCTGCCTGGTCTAACAATGAGGATTTCCCTGCTTTGCCCGGCTCCGATCCTACACAGAAGGAGACGCCAGAGACTGCCACTCCGTCAAGACCCAACCCGACAAGACTGGATTCGGCACCGGGCGAGGAAGGAGGAAGTTGGGCGGAGCAGGTCGAGTCCAGCGAGGCGCTGGAGAATAAAAACAAGGCGGAGAACTCTTGAGCATGCCAAAAAGCGATGGGAAGGCGGAGAGACATGATGGTTTACTCCTTTGTCTCCTGGTAAAATGTTCTTTGATATCTTAAGCGTTCAAGCGGTATTGAATTGTTCCTACGGCATGGTCTGTTGCCAATGCCACTGGGTATCTCAAGCATAAACTTTCATACAGAATTCTGTGCCCGTTCACACATCAAACGAGGACCATGGACAAGCCCCGAGACGCCTTTCCCCATGCGCACGTAACCTCTCAATCGAAAAAGTCCCCTTTACCATCTTCCTCGACCACGTCCGCGATAGCCACCACCTCCCCTGTAGCCGCCACGGCCTCCATATCCTCCACGACCGCCCCAGCTTCCTCCACCATCGCCGTACCCTCCGTCATCGTACCCACGCGGACCGGCAGGACCGCTCTCATCTTGTCTCATGGGCGGTGGTCGGCCCTTCAGCTCCTTCTGTAACTGCTCGTACGTCCGGCGCATCTGCGCATACCCCAGGTGCATCTTCCCATAGAAGTGGTCTGCCAGCCGCCTGTCGTTGTCCAACCGCGACAAGTATGCACCACAGACATCGCAGACTTGGAGTTTTTGATGCCCCGAGGGCCCGCTGGTGTCCGAGAGCGCCTTGAGATCCCGCTCCGCCTGCTCCTTCGCCAGCTTGGCCGTGCGCACCTTGTAGAATTCCGAGCAAGCTAGAGACACCGAACCGATTTCCGCGAGGCAGTTAACCTCCAGTAGACCGGTGTTGATTGTCTTTGTGAGATCCGATATCGTCTTCAGCAGGTTGTTGGTCTGCCTGATCTCGTCCGGCGTCTTCTCCAGCCGGCGCTGCGCCTGGTCTATCCGGCGGTTGCAGTCGTCGATGTATTTCTGCACGTCCCGCATGTAGTCGTATTCGAAGCCGTACTTGGCCTTCTCCGCCGGGCTCAGATTGTCGTACTCGATCTTCAGGTTCTCGGGATGCGCTTTCGGACACGGCCCCAGATCTTGCTTCGTGTTGGTGAAGAGGTCGTGTGGACACGTGCCGACGAGGTATGAGCGGCAGACATTAGGGGAGGTAAGGGTCAGATTTGCGCTCTTCGAGCTGCCCGTGCCCATGAACTGGTCGCCCATGAGCTGCTCGAGCAGCTTGCGCTGTTCGGCGGCCATGTTGGCGTCGCCTCGCTATGGTCGGTTCGTGGTAGATCTGACTGTCGGAGTCGTGTACTAACGGGACAGGATAGACCAATGGCGGATTATGAAAGGGAGTGCTGCAAAGGCTTGTATATTACAACGGATTGTAAATTGGGTGTGTCAAGAAAGCGTCGTCCGTCCGCAAATACGAAGCCAGAATTGGTGGAGGCGAGGCTTTGCCGGCAGAACTGCGGCAAACTCACGCCGCAGGGAGAACCACAGTGTCGTCTTTACTCCCCATTGTGAATACGGAGTACAACAAATAATACCTGAGGAGCACTTCACCTTCTGGCTACTTTTCAACCTGAAATGTTCCGCTGAGACTCTCCCTGAGATGATGCCGGCATGTTCCGGTCTGTCTTCTTCCTTGTTGTCGTCGCCTTTTTCGCCCTGAGCGCCGCCGCCTCGGATTACTTCGAGCGACTCACCTTGACCCCCCTTCCGCTTGGCTCGCTTCTCGCGTCGTTCGACTTCCGCGCCAACGAGACAATCACAGACTATGAATCGCAGAACTACAGATTCTTTCCGCGGTCGTTGGGTCAGGCTTTAAGGCACGCAGACACAAAAGAACTCCACTTAAGATTTACTACTGGGCGATGGGACCCGGAAACATGGGGCGCGCGACCATGGAATGGCACGAAAGAAGGCGGCACCGGCGTCGAGTTGTGGGCTTGGATTGAAGCTACGTCGGAAGAAGAGGCCTTTGAGAAATGGTCTACCCTAACACAGTCTCTCTCCGGCCTGTTTTGTGCGTCGTTGAACTTCATTGATTCAACGAGGACCACCAAACCCGCCTTGTCGTTTCAGCCATTAGGCAGGTATGGGGACGGCGATCAAACCCTTCATCTCCTCCATGGCGTCCTTCCGGGAGAAGTGGTCTGTACGGAGAACCTGACGCCGTTTATTAAGTTGCTCCCATGCAAAGGAAAAGCGGGCATATCGAGTCTCCTGGACGGCCACAAGGTGTTCGATGCCTCATGGCAGAGCATGGCCATTGATGTCAGACCGAAATGTTCCTCTGGGACTGAGCCATGCCAGATGGAAATCAGCCAGACGATTGATATGGTTCTCGACATTGAACGCTCCAAGCGCTCTCGCGACAATCCTATCCCAAGACCAGTGCCGGTGGAGCAGCTTGTGTGCGACGAAACAAAGCCTTATCATTCCCAAGAGGCATGCTATCCTCGAGATATGGTAGACGAGATGCCGTGGTCTCTTAAAGAGGTCTTCGGGCGGTCAATGGCTGGGGTGTGTCCGCTGGTCGAGTCTGAAGGTCCAGAAGCAAAGTCCGTATGCTTGAATGTTCCGCACGAGCGCATGGTCCTGATCGGCGTCAGCGGATTCGAGGTGAAATCGGATCCTGGCCTGCCAGACTCGAGGTGCTATCAATTGATGCCGTTGGAAGAGTTTGATCTCGAACTTCCGCAACAGACCTTAGGCGGCAAAACAGACCTTGGTCACGAGCTACTGAGAGCAGAAAGGACCATTACCGGCCATGGAGCGGCTCGAGGGGGGATGCGCACCGTCTTCACCAACCCCTCGCCAACAGAGCCTGTGAAGTTTGTTTATTTCGAGAGTCTGCCTTGGTTTATGCGGCCGTTTATGCATACGTTGAAAGCACAAATCACGCAGACCGAATTCCCTTTCGAGTGGCAGACCATCACCGATATGTACTACCGTCCTGCTGTCGACCGAAAACGGAGCACACAACTTGAACTTGTCATGTCCGTGCCGCCGGCCAGCACCGTCATGCTCACTTATGACTTCGAGAAGGCGATCTTGCGATACACCGAGTACCCGCCCGATGCGAATCGGGGCTTCAATGTTGCCCCTGCAGTTATCCGCATCCTGAACGACACTGATGGGAATGGACCGTCAGACAATATCTACATCAGGACCACAAGCTTGTTGTTACCGCTGCCCACGCCTGATTTTAGCATGCCGTATAACGTCATCATTCTGACCAGCACCGTCATGGCTCTTGCATTTGGAAGCATATACAATCTTCTGGTCCGACGCTTTGTGGGGGCGGACGAGGTGGGAGATGGCAAGATTCGAGGTCTGGTCAAGAGAGTCCGCGGCGTTATTGTGGCATTGAAGGATAAAGTCGCAGGAAAGCGACAAAAAGTAGAGTAAGGAAAATCATGATTGCATAGCTGTTACCAAATATTGTATTGTACAGAACTACAACATAGTTTATACCTATACACTAGTATACTACTATGTTATATATTGCGAGGCTGCGTTGCGCAATCACCTGATCAAGTCCGACTCCAATGTCAGCAATGACAGGAGGCTTACCACCTCTTCGACGCTAACAAGACGCGAGGCCTAGCGATAGAAGAGCATTAAACCATGTACGGATCTGACTCGAGGTACTTGAGACTGCAATCCGTGGAACCATACATCGACAGAGCTGTCAGGATGATTGAACCGGCCAGACTGATATCTGCCCGCGAACACCAAGTCCCCGGGAAACTGCTCGTAGCAGAACTTCTGTTCGAAGTTCCTCTCGATCATACACAACCGAGCGGAGAACGGATAAAGCTGTTCTGTCGAAGTGCAAAGAAATTCGCGAAGCCAGCCGCGCCGGACTCGAAAGCCAACAAGGAGCAATTACCATGGTTTGTCTATATCCCAGGGGGCCCAGGGTTCGGATGTCCGCCGCCGCAAAACATGATGGAACTCACCACGGAAGTGTTGGAGCGAGGATATCAGGTAAGCCGTACTAGTATTCCAAACACCTGAAGAAGCTTGGGCGGCAGTTGCTCATGAGGCACTCCAGTTTCTTTGCTTCGACCATCGTGGAATGGGCCTTTCCACTCCAGCCACTGCTGCTACGATCACGGCCAAGGGCTCGCCTGAACAGCAGGCCGACTATCTCAGACATTTCCGGGCGGAAAATGCCGTGCGAGACCTGGAGGCCATCCGCAAATGTCTGACCGCAGATTATCCCGCAGAGCAGAAGAAGTGGACGATCATGGGCACCAGCTACGGCGGCTTCGTATGTCTGAACTATCTAAGCTTTCATCCGCAAGGGCTGCGGGAAGCCTTCCCCGTGGCTGGGATGGCTCCTATCACGCAGACGACGCCAGATGAGCCGATACGGAGGCTCGTCAAGAAAGTCAAGGAGAGGAACGAAAAGTACTATGCAAAGTACCCGGAGGACAAGGCCAGCGTGAAGAAAGTGCTGCAGTTGATCCACGACAGCAAGATTCATTTGCCTTCAGGGGATAGCTTGACTGTGGACAGGTTTCGCGAAATGGGAATCTCCTTCGGATTCCATGGAGGCCTGGACCGAGTGCACAGCATCGTGCACCGCGCTGCGAGTGATATCGACATGTTTGGATACTTGACGCGGCCAACCCTATCCGATCTCGAGAGCATGTCTTCCTTCAGTGACCAGCCGCTGTACGCCGTTCTGCATGGCTCGATCTACGCGCAGGGCCAGGCATCAGCTTGGGCCTTTGACCGGGTCTTGCACGAGTTTCCGGAGTTCCAGGTCGATGCGGGAAAGGTGCCTAAAGACGAGGAGATTCTGTTCACCGGTGAGATGGTGTTTCGGCGCGCATTCGACGACTACGGGGAGTTGAAGCCGTTGGCGGCCGCGGCGGACTTGTTGGAAGCCAAGCAGGACTGGGACAAGCTGTATGACATTGAGCAGCTGCGGCAGAACCAAGTCCCAGTCTATGCGGCCATCTTTGTGGACGACATGTATGTCGACTTCAACTTCTCGCTGGAGACGGCTTCCATCGTCAGGGGGTGTAAGACGTTTGTCACCAACATGCTGTACCACAATGCCATCCGTGCGAAGAACGCCGAAGTGATGAAGGCTCTCTTCGCCCTGAGAGATGACACTCTAGACTGATATAGAGCACGGGCTAGATTTTCAGGATAGCCGTGGAATTCACGGGCCCTAGATTGGTGTGTTCAGCGCCTCCTTGCTGCTGCACTCTCCGTCCCGCGCTCCGCCATGCTTATAACCTCACCGATACCTGCGGCTTCTTGTTCGTCCTCGAGATTTCGGATCTCTTCTCTGCAATCCCACCATCTCTCCTCGGCCTGCGCGAATGCCGCCTTGCGAAGTTCTTTCACGGACTGTTCACTCGACGCGGATGCACTGGCTCCGGTCTTCTTGGAGTCAAGCACGATTCTTTGCCAGTCTTCCGAAGTACGAGCGTAGAAGTCCCTCAGAGTCTCAAACGGGCGTGGGAAGGGCCGCGAGTCCTGCTCTGCGCTCGTCTCAGGCTCCGTCTCGGTGGCCGTCTCCGCTTCTGGAGGTGGGACAGTCACCTCTGTAGGTGCCGTTGAGGGAGCGTCGACCGACATTATCGTATCATTGTCTTCTTCTTCCGAATCCATGTCAGATCCATCCTCGTCTTCGTCGTCATCATCGTCAGCCATTTCGTCGTCGCTATCTTGGTTTGTCACGTTCCAGTTGGCCGGCTCCGTGTAATAGAGTTCCTTGACACCGTCCAACTTGCCGAGATCCACGGCGTAAAGATCTGAAAACGTGATCTCTACATCTTTCTTTTCGAAGGTGCCGCCAAAGATATAGAGCGCGTCGTCCTGAACACAGAGCTGCGCATTGAAGCGAGGATGCGGCATCTCAAAACGCACGGGGAACTCCTTTTTTGTGGGCTCAGGCTCGTCGTTGCGAGTGGCTGGCTCGATATCAATCTCATCGGCCCCAACCAGCGACCCCTTAGTTTGTAACGCAGCCAGGTTTCGCAGAAGCTCCTCCTCGTCCGCCTTCCCTCGATCGCGGCCTCGCTGGGCTTGCCCCTGTTTCTTGCCTCCAGCTTTTGGCCGTCTCAATGTGAGCGGGAAAAAGCGGTTGCGATCGATGTTCCAGATGAACAGGTCGTTGAAGAATTCGCTGTCGATGCCCTCCTCGCTCTCCTCGACATCGTGGACACCGCCGACGGCCACTCCACGTCCCTTATGGTAGGACATGGTGGTACCCGCACGTGGTGGGTTGGGTGCATTTGCGGGCCTCTTGCGTCGTTCCCAACGCAGCGTCGGTGGCGTGCCGCTCGGAGCTTCGGCGGGAGGAGGTGTGATCCGAAGGAACCATGTGTCTTGGTGCACGAGCGGCTTGAGAATGTTGCGAACTAGAGGTCCACCGCCTTTGCTCTGTTTACCGGTGGTAGATGTGGCTTTGACACGCGAATACCCTCCGAACAGCACGGCACCGGTTTCATGCGGGAGGAAACTGAACGAGGAACGCGGATCAGGCTTCTGAGACGCGGGTGGAGCTTTCATTTCGTGCCAGACGTTCTCCTTGCAGTCAAAGATCCACGTATCGTTGAGATACCTGGTCTGCTGGGAAGTGTCCTGAAACCCGCCGAACAGCACGATGTAGTTTTTGAAATAGGTCATTCTGTGGCCGCTGCGGGCGGGCGGGTTCTTCCCCTTCCCTCGCGGCTCCAGCTTCGTCCACTCCCGGGTCTCGGTGTCTAGATGCCAGAAATCATGGTAGTGGTAGAACTGGTTCTGCTTGGGTGACGAAAACTCGCCGCCTGACACGTAGATGCCACCGGTGTTGCCGCCCCGGCATGCAGCGTGTCCGCTTCGAGGGAGCGGGCTGTTGCCGGAGGAGACTTGGTGCCATTCCCCCCTGTCTATGAGGTAGACGAAGAGGTCGTTGTAGAATGATGCCGTGCTTCCATCATGATACTCGCCGCCAAACAGGAAGATCTCATTTCTATTGGACGGCGAGGCCACCAGGGTGCTGGACGATCTTGGACTAGGAGGTCCGCAAGGCTGTTCCGTCACTTTCAAGAATTTGGCTTGCTCTTCAGCATAGGCGGCCAGCACTGCATCAAGATCCACGTCGTCGTCGGCATCCGAGTCGGCGTTCAGGGCTGCTACTTTTGCTTTGCTCTTTTTCTCTCCTTTTGCGGCCTTTTTGGACTGTTTCGCTTGCGCTCTAGCCTTTTGATCGGCGTTTCTGGCCTTTTTATTCTTTGCCATGGCTAGTCATGAGCCCGCGGACTCGCTGGCTGTTCTTGGGAAGCGGCCCAATATTTAGGACTTTCGGTGATGTTTTCGACAGTGCCACCAGGTATCCTTACCGATACACTTTCTAGCTGGGATGTGAAGACAAGTGACTTCGAGCGTCCTACCTAGTCATTGAGAGAGCCCTTTGACCTTGCCAACACGTAAGTATCGAAATACAGACTTTTTACTATATTCCAACTGCGCTTTCTGGAGATATACTTTACAGAAGAGCTGGACCCCTTTTCTACGGCGAAGAATTGAATGACATCCAGAACTGCATTCACGTGACCAAGAAATTGACTGTCAGCAATTATGTAAGCGACTGGTCTGCTAGGCGCGTCTGCAACAACGACGCGTTGAGCGGACCGTAACCCGAGCAAAGCAACATCCAAACTGCTGAGTCGCCAAACAACTTTGCCCGCCAGTGTTGAATGAGCCACGTCCTCTCTCAGAACACAGTACCCTACCATCCCAATGCAAGATGCGCCGTACCTATGACCAGAAACAACCTTAGCCGTTGTCTCGCATGGCTTCTGCAGAACCCACACTCGTTTGGTTCTCTGACGCATCTTTCCGTCGTTGCTGATGCCGGCGTGGGCGAGGATGATGGTCCTGTCCTGGCAGATGATGAGATGGCAAGACTGCAGCTGGCGCCCCAAATCGCACCCAGAACAAAGCTATTTTCTCAGCTGAACCAAAACATCGGCCTGCCCACTCCTGACCCTTCTCGAGCCTCAGAAGCCCGCGAAGCTACGCCGAGGCGGGCCAGGCAGAATCTCCCAGATATCTCTGCGCCACAACCCAGCCCGCGTCCACGAACTCCGGTGACGACCTTTGACGACATTCAATTTGACGACTCCCATGATATACTGGACATTGACGAGATTGACCTCACCGGAGGAGACCTTACGACTTCATCGTTCAGCGAATTCGGCCCGCCGACCAGGCTATGGAGAGAAGAGTCTGCGTCTCGGATTGAACCGCTACCCAAAAAGAAAGGCAAGAAGAGAAAGAGCGAGGAATTCGAGCAGGATCTCTTCTCTCCATCATCGACTCGGAGTTTCAAGAAGCGTATAGACAAAAGAGGGACCCCGGCATCATATCCTTTCCACACCAGCCAACCCGAGCCCGTGGTGGAAGATAACAAACGAAGTGTGGGCGCTCTGAGCCCGTCGAAGACTCGCTCGACAAAGAAAGCTTTGAAGGATGAGGACACCCTTCCGGACATTGACATTGTGGCAAACCCGATCTCCCCTCTGGCGGTGTACGGCACACCCAAAGTGCCTCGGACTCAACCAACCTCTCGGGCAAGTCGAACTCAGAAACTGCGGAACGTGGTTCTTGATTCTGATGAAGAAGACAACGACGACCTCGATTCGAAGCCTAAGTTGGAAGTGCTGGAAAACACCAGTCTCGGTTCTGAGAGGATCCGTTACCATGATAGTCGTGATTCTCAGACACTGGCAAGGCCGTCGAATGATTCTCCTATTTCATTAGGGCAAGAGCCTGTTCGAGGCATGTCTCTATCGCCACGGGAATCGCGTGCTGGCGATCCCAGACCAACTCCATCCGGCCAATCCAGCTCCAGACGTGAAGAGGCGCTCCAGGGCAGTTGCTCGAGTGCCGACTCAGCAGGCCCTTTGTCCCATCCCCAGAAACGTATCGTAAGCAGCTTCGTTGTCAACGGACGCGAACAATGCAAGGCGCTCTTGGAACGTCTTGAAAAATCGAAGAAAACCGTAAACCGTGAAATCATGGATGAGATGTGCGAGTTCAAGGTCGCGTCTGACTTGTTGAAGGACAAGAAGAGGACTATCGAAAGCAAGATCACGGCAACCACGCAATTGTTGGAAGAACATTCGGCAATATCGAAACTTCGGGACCAGCGAAAGCGAATGCTCGAGCGACGTGATCAGTTGGCAGAAGCTGGTCACGAAGTCAATCCTGATGATCCGGAGAATGTGCTTGTATTGCTCTGCATGGATATTAATCGCGTCAAGCACGAGATCGAAGCTCGAGAAGTGATGATATTCAAGCTGCTGCAACAAGCTGGCGTATCCACATCGAGTGGGTTTACAGAGCAAGCCCCTTCGCGAGCCAATCTTTCACACACACTGCTCGATGAGACGCCGGCTCAACAAGTATTGGTGGCCTCAACACCCAAAGTGCCTCAACAAGTCTCTCCTAATTCGAGGGACCTTGCGCACTTATCAACACAATCCATTGTGCAGACACCATTCGCAAAGCGGTCTGATATGAATGGCAATTTGGGAACTTTTATACCGACCTTCTCACCAGGATGTTCTCCCAGCCGACCCGCGCAGTCAGCGATGCCACCGCCGAGTGCAAGATTGTTCCAGCCAACACCCCATATAACGGAATCTCCAAGCCGCAATCGGACTGCGCTATACAATGACAATACCGGCGACGAGAGAGGTTTCTCTCGCACCATGGGAAGCCCGCAGGATTTTTCGTTTGAGGAAGATGATTTTGATGACGACGACATGGACGATGAAGAGATGTATAAAGCGGTCGAGGAATTCGAGCAGAACATGCCAGCCTTCAAAGCAACGACCCCTTACAGAGCCGATCGAGCTGCTCTGTGTGAGGTTAGCGACAACGTACGCAGAGTATCGCCCAAGAGGTCCGCTGTCTCCCAGAGTAGCTTTTCAAACTCAGCCTTGATGCAACATCCGTGGTCAAAGGATGTTGCTTCAGCATTGAAGAAACGATTCCATCTTCATGGGTTTCGCCACAATCAATTGGAAGCCATCAATGCCACCTTGAGCGGCAAAGATGCGTTTGTCCTGATGCCTACTGGTGGTGGGAAATCTCTCTGCTATCAACTCCCGTCGATCGTCCATAGTGGCCATACCCGCGGGGTGACTATAGTCATCTCGCCTTTGCTGAGCTTGATGCAGGACCAAGTGGACCATTTGAAGAAGTTGCACATCCAAGCCTTCTTGTTCAATGGCGAAACCACAGCGCAGCAGAAAGCCCATATATTCCAGGCACTCAAGAACGCCACGCCACACGAGTTCATTCAACTTTTGTATGTGACACCGGAGATGGTGAGCAAAAGTCAGGCCATGATGAACGCCTTCGAGGATCTACACCGGCGGCGGCTACTCGCCCGTATTGTGATTGACGAGGCCCACTGTGTCAGTCAGTGGGGACACGACTTTCGACCAGACTACAAAGCGCTTGGGGAGTTCCGCAGTCGTTTCGAGGATGTACCGATCATGGCTTTGACAGCAACAGCCACCGAAAATGTTAAGTTTGACGTCATGCAATGTCTGAGCATGGAAAACTGTGAGGTCTTCACCCAGAGCTTCAACCGGCCCAACCTCACCTACGAGGTCAGGCCGAAGGGCAAGGGGAAGGCTGTGCTTGAGGGCATAGCAGATCTCATCAATACATCCTACCGCGGGCAAGCCGGCATTGTTTATTGTCTGTCACGGAAGAATTGTGAACAGGTCGCTGAACAGCTCAGGAAGGAGTACAACATCGAGGCGCACCATTACCACGCCGGGCTACCCTCTAAGGAGAGAATCGACATCCAGAAACAGTGGCAAGCTGGAAACTTCAAAGTCATTGTGGCCACCATTGCGTTTGGAATGGGTATTGACAAGGCAAATGTCCGTTTTGTCGTCCATCACACGATACCGAAAAGTCTGGAGGGTTACTATCAAGAGACTGGCCGAGCTGGTCGAGATGGCAACAAGTCAGGTTGTTATCTGTACTACGGCTATGGTGACACGGCTTCCCTGAAACATATGATCGACAACGGTGATGGCAGCTATCAGCAAAAAGAGCACCAGAAACAGCTTTTGCGGAGTGTTGTTCAGTTTTGCGAGAATCGCAGTGACTGCCGCAGGATGCAAGTTCTTGACTATTTCAACGAAAGGTTCGATCCGAGAGATTGCCGGAATGGGTGCGACAATTGCGCCTCTTCTAGCACGTTTGAAACCCATGACTTTTCTGAGCATGCCAAGAATGCAATACGTCTTGTTCAGAAAGTTCATCGTGATGAGGTTACCGTGTTGCACTGTGCTGACGTGTATCGCGGAGCAAAACCAAACAAGAAAATGCTCCATTGCGGACACCACATGCTCCCTCAATATGGTTTGGGTTCCGACTTGGCCAGGGGCGACGTTGAGCGCCTTTTCTACCGGCTCATAAGTGAAGACGCCCTGCTGCAATACAATAAGAAAAACGATGCTGGGTTTTCCACACAGTATGTCAGGGTTGGTCCAAAGTCTCGCGATCTGATGGAAGGCCGACGACCCTTGAAGATCCAAGTTTTGGTTTCACCACGCCGCAAGCCAAAAACCAACGGCCCTGCGCAGAAGAGCCGAACTAAGGCGAACGGGAAAAGCAACAAGACTCCAATCGATGAATACCCAGCGTCTACGAATGTCTCCTCGCCGCTGCAACCCCGGTCTCGTCGCAAACTGGTCCGGCGAGATCAGCTATGTGATTCGTCGGAGGAAGAGTGTGCTGGTCAAACCAGTGAGGACGAAGACTATTTTGTCTCCCATCGCGACAAGGAAAGACCTCCTCTAGGTCCGCCGATCACGGCCGACGATGACATAGGCTCCCTCAACCAGATTCATCAGCACATCTTAGAAGACTTTGTGGAGAAAGCGAAAAGGGAGATCGAACGTCAGGTCATTGCCAAGGATCTCCGACAGAAGCCCGTCACCGACCGGATCTTACGACAGATCGCCATCCAATTTCCGCAAAGCGAAGAAGAACTCCAAGAAATGACTGGGCTGAACCCCGAAATGTTCCGGCTGCTGGGACCACCATTGCTCCGTTTGATCACGGCAGCTTACGACAATTATGAAGCGATGATGCGAGCGCAAGAAGGACGGCCCGACGATCCGAACCATCAAACCGTAGTAGAAATCAGCGACGATGATGGCGAAGCAGAAGTATTCTCACAGAGTGATTCGGAGCCAGACGAATCTGAGAACAGTCACTACTTCAGTGTCCCGGACCAAGTGCGTCAGTTCAATGAGCAGAGTAAGCGAACTGGCCTAACCAAGCTTTGTCCACCGGATCTGCTAACAGGTGCTCAGTGTCCCAGTTACCTTCCTTTGAGCCCAAAGCTTCGCAAGGCAGATCTTCGCCCAAGCCACCCAAGGCTCCACAAGGCAGGTCGAAACGAGCGCAGTCGAAATCCAGGTCGGGATCATGGAGTCGACGTGGATCCCGTGGTTCCAGGCGTGGTGGAGGCAGCACCAGATCAAAGACGAAAGGAACTGGCGGAGTCGCAAGGAAGAAAAAGAGCGATTCCAGTGCTCGCTCAAGTACCAGCACAGCTGGCCTCAGTAGCTATGTGTACAAGGGTGACAAAAGTGAACGCGGTGGGGGTGGGATCGGGATGATGCCGACATGAATACAAGGCTATGATAGAGATTGTTTTGGAGGAGATGAAGGAGGATATCCTCAGGGCCATGGGGCTCCCAGGCGACGAGGCTACGAGGCTGCCTTTCATATTCCCATGGTTTGTATATGTCTCCCCTTTCTGTGTGCCTGCGCTCCTTTCTTATTTGAAAATCAATGCACCACCCTTCATGCATCCCTTGTTGCGCGTCTGTTCCACTACTCGAATCTCTGGAACCGTGAGTTGTGCCGCGTTCCTCCTGCTGCCTTACAGAAGTCGCAGCCTCGTCGCCGTTCCTTCCCAGGCTGACGGATGCCCAGCCTGTATACCATCGCTCCTTCCTTTCCTGTTCAGCCGAGTTTCAGTCCAACAACATGAACAGCAGCTGCATTGTGTCTTGCGCTGTTGCTCGCCTCTTCCAGTTCAACGTCGTTTGCTCAAATTCTCTCTTGCCTGCGCCTTCGTTTCCACTCACACCGTCCTGTTCGTCGACATCACAAGGAGGTTCTCTCTGTCCCTGATCCATTCCCTCCCAGACCCTCCGGCATGGACCATATCAGTTCGTGATGCCTCTGGAAGATATCCATCCCAATGTGCAGCGGAAAGATGTCTCATCTGTTGACACCAAGGCAGACAATGTCGGCCCTGGGCCATCCGCTACCTCTTTGCGTTCGAGTGCGGTTCAGAGCATGCTGAAAACGACGACCGAACTAGGTGATAGCGGGCCCTTTGCTGTTCGGCCATCTCGAATTCCTCGCGTCGGGTCCCGAGTGCAATCGACCAGGCGCCGGTCCGGCTCCTTTGATACCTCCTTTGCCTCTCAGCTGCGTCATCAAAGATCTCCATGGAGGAGACGCTCCCATCGGCGCCACGGTTTAAGGCCTATGCCATCCTCCTCTGGCCTATCAGGGAGGGAGACCATAGACTCGAACGCCGCTTCTCAGCACTCGGGTTTTAGACCTAAAAGAGCTGGTCACCGCCACCGACCTCAAGGCATTCAAGGTTTGGCTGGTCCCGCCGTTGGCCCACGCGGCCTCTATAGCCACAGGTCTCTCATTACCTTACGAAGTCAGAGGGACTTCCAGAGCCTACGTTCAAGCTCGCCTCTGATACAGCCGGGGCATATGCGAAGACATGGCCAGCGGGCCTCATCGCCAGCTTTCAGCGAGATACAACCATACCGATACGGACAGAGGCGCGGCTATCATCGAGCAGGTAGCATTGGGACCGTTGCATCATCCCCACAATCTCTGTTCCCAATGCGTCCGGGCTTGCCTGGTTATCGCCCTGAGTTGAACAACTCGTACTCTTCATTCGGTCGACTGCCATCGCCAGCAATTTCTGCTATGACCCATGCGGGCGTCACAGCATGCCCTCCGTACAGGACAACTACGCCTATGTCCAACTCGCTTCAAAATTTCCGAGTACCCTGGAATCATAGCGCCAGCTCGTTCAGAGGATTACCAAAGTCTCCAACAGAGTCCACCACTCCTCACTACTACGATTACTCCGAGTTGTTTTGGGATGAAGAGAGCCTTCAGCATCCTGTGGGACCTCCTCCCGCCGAGTTGCCCGTCAATCAAGATCAGCCTACCTCGGGAAACCAACCATCCCCGGACCGTCGCCACGCACAATCTCCGTTTGGAATCATGCAAGGATCAAGGTTCCAGCCAGCTGAACTACCGACTACACACAACCGTCGCTCAAGTGAACAGTCGAAGTATAGCTACGGTGGAGTGATCCCGAGGCGGATTTCCAGCTTAGCTGCGGCCACCACTCCCATGAGAAGCAATAGTACATTGCAAAAGGTGATATTCCCCTTCTCATGCAGTGGATGTGACCCGTTTGTGGGATATGCGTCCACGTTGCTGACGGATTAGAAGGATCAGGCCGTCGATGTCGCGGCAGTGCCTTTGCAGGAGTTTTCGAGCAAACCGTCAAGGGGTGATAAAGACCATCCTCGCACTTCAACAGCCTCCCGGCGAACTTGTGGTTCGACGCAATCAAGTGCATTCTTTCCGAATGCGAGTCGAAGCCCACGAGATCTCACATCCCTTGCTGCCCGCGTCCATTCGCCAGTCTTCGATCAAAGAGCTTCTGACCAATCCATTTCCCAGCTCCTGGACTACGATGACCAGCACGAGACCGAGAATCGACAAAGGAGCAGGGGGCTTGACACCCCCATCAACTCTCAGTGGGAACTACCATCATTCACCTTCAGGCCACTTTCTTTGGTCTCAGACGGCGCCGGAGCTCGAGAACGGCCTAAGACTTCTGGAGATGTTCCGCCCAGGGACACCCTCGAAATATTGTCACCAATGCCTCAACGCCCAATGTCATCACAGAGCCAGAAGAGGTTCAGTCGTATACTCGAACTTCAGGACACTTATTCTGCTGAGCGGACCATTCCGTTGTTTCATGGTCAGACGCCCTCGAAACTCAACGTAGTGGAAGAGCGGCCGGAAATACAGGATCCTCAATCAGTCTCACTCGTTGAGCTAGCTCTGGAAGCTGCCGCGGAAGGACCTCCTGAGCACATGCAGCAGAGACAATCGGTTATCACTCATGCCCACTCGGATGTCAATTTTGGCGACAGTCACATCACCATTCATGACAAGTCGACCGTCGAATCACTCCTAGACAGACATATTGAATGCCTCGGCCTGGATGAGGATGGATTCAGTCGGTTTGAGATGCAAAGCGACTCGGGACGTTCTGACGTCGCCGGTTGTAGCAGTGCTGATAGCACTATAAAGATATCTTCGATCGTCAAAGAGTTGCAGACTCAAGCCAAGCTGAGACCGGCAACTTCAAGCTCTTATCGCCATTCAAGCCTAGCCAGTTCAGAGAGGCGTAGGCTGATGCCGCGACGTCTGTTTGCGAGCATGGACTCAAGAGTGTCTCCTGTTACGACCCATGAAGATCTACGCGGATTGTTGAAAGGAGACCTAACTTCGACGGCGACGACGGATAGACAGCTCTCCTTGGGCTGGCACACACTTCCTTCTTCGAGTGGGCTGACATCGGCCCAGTCGGCGACCAAAACCTCCTTGACATCGGGGGACATGGGCGACATCGATTCGGACCCTCCCCAAACAAAGTTCAAAATCAGACGTCTTTCAGACCTCGGTGCAAGCCTATCAGAACCCAGCAAGGGCTGTCCGCATGGTGAGCTACCGCGGCAACCTCAAATGTTCATCACACACCGCAGATCTAAAAGCGACATCCTAGCAAGGCAAGCGTCGCATCAAAGAAGGCGGATGCGAATCATGTTGAAAACCAAACGAAGATCCAACAGCCTGGGGCAACTCACGAAAATCATTTCTGTTGAACAGGGGTTGCAAGATCATGAACGCGACGAGGATTGGACTACTGAGGACTCGCCTGAAGGCCTTAGCCCCAAGTCACCAGTGATGGGATATGCTGAACTGAGTGCCGAGTCGGTCATTGTGCATGCCCCTACTACTGTTCTCTCAGCGAGTCTGCCGGTTTCCAAGTCCATCCCCAAAAGGTGGACTAGCATGTTAGCTTCCATGCCTGAACCGGTCAAAAGAGGAATCGATATTGTTCGGAAGGCATCAGTCCGCACCGTACGCTCACATCGCAGCAATGTTAGTGTGATCGAGCCCATGAACAGCACACGGATGAGCTCCCAGACACCTCGACTGGGCCCGGTGCCGCAGCTCGCGCATCCAGAATTTGGCCCACCCTTGATGTCTTCCGACCTCAATCTCAGTCTCCCATTCCCCGAGCCGCCTGAAACAGCCCGGCCGCAATTGCGTCACGTACAAAGCTTCTTCTGTGATGATAGCTCAGTCCAAACGTCGAAATTCCAAACCAAGAAACGATTCGATCTCCACAGCTTGCGGAGCGGGTTGACAAGATCGTCTGGAGTGTTAGGAGTCAAACATGGTGGTGAACATCATGTCAACGATCTGAAGATGAGCCACTCATGCCAAATGAAGGGTCAGAGATCCTTCGACTGCCCTCAGTCGCCATTGGGGGACACGGTTCCGCTGACGGACTGCGTATACAAAAAGCGTAAGGTGATGGACAGGTTCAAAGAGTGGTGGAAAAACCAATGCATGCAGAAAACATTGTCGATGATGAGGAAGAAGAACAGTCGGAATGGGCGCAACGGAGCCCTTGTATAGCAGACGATGTTTTGCTCCATGCCGTGGGTCATCAATCCGTGCTGCATAGATGGATCAAGGGGAGAGATGATGGAGGAGGAATAGAGGGCTGCTACGAGCATGTTACAACGTAGAGCTTTTCCTCGCCAATGATAGCTGATATCAAACGACATAGATCAGATCAGAGCTTGCAAAAGCATCCAACAAGCTTCTTCTCCATGAGCCTACACAAGGCAACTTCTCATGATGAAAAAGAGTAAACGGCATCAGGAATTGGCCTGATGCACATGAAACAACTGGACAGTTCAACAAACAGGACTGTCCGGATCCTGAAGCATGGTTCTGAAGTTTGATTCGACCGCACGAACCACACGCAATCGTCGACTCAGCAGGTCCAATGCCTTGTGTGTTTCAACACAACGGTAGAAATCGGGTCAGGCTAGCTCTTGCTCATCCAGCTCAAGTCCAGGGCTATCACCCAAGACCAGTGGTCAGTCTTGTGGGGGAAGTCGATAGACGGATTCGAGGGTGATATGAGCGCGCTGGCTGGATGACTAGGGTATGGCGAAACGACACTGGGCGTGTGGAAGTGCTGCATCGACAAGCATGCAGTGGGTGTGGACTATGATTGACGTGTCCAGTAACGCTGAAGCCGAAAGAGTCCTCGCGGCGCGAGTAGGACAACAGCCTCAAAAAATTGTTGTAAGCTTGAGCTTGTTCATAGTCGATCTGTTCGAAAGTCCGTACGGGGGAGAATTTGACAGCGCATCGGGTCCCGTATCGATAATTGATTGTTTAGGTAGGATGCCTGTTCGTGTCCGTGTCGAGTCCAAGTACTTCGTCTGAGTTGTTTGCTTGGTCGTCCTGGACATATCGATAATAAAAACGATAATGAAAGCGCATCCCAGATGAGATAGCTATAAAGAATAGTTTCAATGTGGATCTTCAATCTAACCCTCCCTTCCAACTCCCAGAATCCAAATCTCACTCTCATTTTCCCAGGTATGTGCATAAGCAATGCATACATACATCGGATGCAAGAGCGGTTTTGCTGTTATTTGGACTGGGAGCGTTGGGGGGTGACTGGCCACTTTGACATATTTGTTTGGTTCAGCATCGGATCCTTGCCCGAAGGTCGGGACGGTCTCGAATGCCAACTTGATTCCGCTCCACCGCACTCAATGGTACATGTGGGCTTTTCTCTCTGCCTTGCCCTGCAGTGCAAGCAGTTGTATTCAATGCAACTCCCAAGCTCGGTACTGATCAAGTACTCTGAGCTCGGGTGTTTTCTTTGTCTCTGCCGGATTCGACACCCAGGGCACAGCGCTGTCTCGTCTGCAAATGGACATTCGAGTTCCCAGCTGCCAGTGCCCTGGAATCGCCGTGCAGGACCAATTTCATCCAAACCGATGGCTGATCAGGCTCACGGCGTTTGGGTAATTCAACACGCTACCGTCATCTGGTCAGATGCGGCAGGTTTCTTCAACAATATGTCTCTGTGCTCTCGCACAAGATGGCACTGTTCATGTATGTGTACTGGAAGATTCTCGTCCCCTCTCCGGCAACAAACCAGACCCGTGACCTCGTTCCTGCATCAACTGGCTGACGATGTTACCAAGGACCTGCACAACTTTGCAAGGCGGATGTCAAACGATATGGGCCGGCATGTACAGAGCGTCCCCTGATAATACCGGTCCACAACCGAATGAGCTGTTGCCGTCCGAGCTGCAAGCCGTGAGCGCCAAGGAACCTCAAGCCAGCAGTTCAATGAGGGTACACGAGCACATCCAGGCCGTGAGGCTTTGATGCCGAAAAGAAGTCGAGAATCTCCGAATTTGGTATCCAAAGTTGGGGTTTTCGATTGGGTGTAACCCCAACCGAAGTTATCTGTTGATGCGCACACCCCAATGAGCAGTTCCCAAGAGGGCGGCGACACCAATCTTCTTGTATGAAACGAGCGAAGACCCCCCGTGCTGGCCAGGCCCGGTCATATCTTCTGAAACTCGTCGATTCATCATAAACTTTCTTGCGTCGGGTCGTGCTCGCACATGGTAAAACCTGCGATTCAAGGCGCACTTCCAAGGCTATCGTCCACAGTCCAGCTCGAAGTGTCTCCAAGCTGGTTCGTGGCCGGATGGCCCGCGCGCCTTGCCGGCGCAGGCCTACGCATGCGTACGTGGACCACATGCGCAAACGGAGCTCCCCTACCTGCACGATGGCAAGGTACGGCATAACCCCGTCTACCCGCCGAGTCTTCGACCTTCTGCGTAATTTTGGACATTCTGTGAAAAGTGCTCAGGCTCCACATGGACGCGGGCCCTGTAGTCAGCAACGGTTCTTCGTGACACTGGACCAACTGCCATGGCAGCAGAGGGAACATGCAATCACTGCCAAACTGCCGCACCACTCACGGCATCCCACGCGGGGGACCTGGTCGTAGAATCGGGCGTACGCCACAAGGGGGGCCAAGTGTGTATACCCATGACGCCGGCCCCGGCTCCATGTGTTTCGCAAGCCAGGCTTCCTCTTTGGTACTTGTGAGAGACGGAGTATATCCTTCTTCTTCCCATGTGAGCGGGCCAGGGGGCCACATCTGCCAGGTCTGCAATGCCGAGGGACCTATAGAATGCTCAAGGTCATTGAGTCCCTTGGAAATCCTCGAGATTGTTCACCTGTTCAGCCACTCTCCCGACACAAATCCGGACTGGGTCGATGCTTCGGATGCCTCGTACTCTCGACTCGTGACGCCATGTACATGGGGACCATGACGTCTACTGGATCAAGCCCCATGATTTCGCAACAAAAGAAAGACAAAGACAGGCAAAGGAGGTGGGCACGTGTGGTGAGGGCAAGCAAGGAGCAAGGAGGGCGGAAGAGTATCTAGAGAAGGAGGTGAGGTTGCTGGGCTCATAACCTGTGAGAAGAGAAGAGGAAGAGAAGAGAAGAAGAGGAGGGAAGTTGGGGTTTGGAGGTTGGAGCTTTAAAGCTGAAGTCGAGAGGGGACGCGAGGTCAATTTAAAGTGTCACGCGTCACGCGTAGTCAGTCGCCTTGGCAAAGTACAACAATCGGAATGCCGTCTCGCCGTCTCGCCGTGTAGTAACTAGGAGGGGTATATAATGTACCTTTCCTTCTGCCTACATACCTTAGTTAACTACATACCTGGTAGTCATCACGTCACAGCACAATTAGGTAAGTCTTATACGATATCTAAGACGCGATGCACGTCAAGCCAAATTCCAGTTTTGTCTACGAAAATATCATCGACACTTCGGAGAGCACAGCTCCCACTCATCTACCCCCATCTTGAGACCACGGCTTATCAGGCCGGGTGCCCATCTATCGTACCTTGACCTTGAGCAAGTCTGCAAGACCCAAGCTGGTCAAGAACGTCTTCCGCACGAGGTCGCGCACTCCATTGACAATGGTCGCGCCGCCTCCATCAAACTCGACGTGGACTCTGAACGGTCTCTTGCCATGTTCAGTGTCGACGATGCGACGCACAGCCTCGGCCACAGCCGCTGGATCGGCGTCGGGGGACACCACCTTATCATGGCCCTCCAGATTGATCCGATCCCAGCCTTTCAACGGTCCCTCCAAGTATTCCTTCTCCACGGCCGGGTCGCCGGGCTTCATGGCCGTGGTGAAATGGCTGGTGCCTCGCGTGAAGACGCCTGGGACGACAATGGACGTCTCGATACCGAATTGGGTCAATTCCACCGCGTAGGTTTGGGCAAGCGAGTCTTGCGCCGCCTTGGCTGCGAAATACGGCGCCATAAACGGTGAGCTTGGGCCGTGGGCGCTGCCGGATGACACCCAGACCAGAAGCCCTCGCCCGGCCTTTCTCATGTGAGGCAGGACGACTCGGTTGATGCGGTGACAAGACAGACAGTTGACTTCGTACATCTCCAAGAATTGCTCGGGCGTGAAGGACTCGGCAGGCCCATAATTCATGTGTCCTGAAGCGTGGTTGAATAAGGTTGTTCCAAAGGAGAATTCCTCTCGACAGAATCGACTCACCTGCGTTATGGACGACAACGTCAATGCGTCCTTGGTCCGCCATGATCTGGTTGACGGCCTTCTTGATCGAGTCCTCCTTGACAACATTGAGCTCGATGCCTCGAAGTTGGCAGCTGTTTTTCTCGGCGAAGGTCGCCGCGTCCTTGTACACCGTCGTCTTGTCATTGTTTGGCTGAAGAAAGCCGGCGTAGACGATGTTGCCAGACTTTGCCAGGGCTCGCACCGACAACGCGCCGAAGCCACTGGAGGCCCCGGTGACCAGAGTAACGAGAGGTCGAGTCGCCATGTTTGCTATCAATCTAGAAATTAAGTGGTGTTGAATGAGCTAAGCCAAAGTTTGTCTGACAACGGTCTGTTCTGCACAGGTTACAACTAGACGCACAGGAGGAGCATTCGGACTCGTTATAAGTAACGGGTCACAACGGATGGTGACGAGGGCCGTCGCGGGGATTGTACGAGTGATTCAATTCCGTACGAGTGCATCCACTTGCCTCCTTGTTGCGATCTCTGAATATCTCCGTGGTGTGTTGAGCACCTACCTAATGTATGAGTATCAGGAGAGGAACCGACAGTATCCCCCCGGCAAACCCCACCTACTCCACCCGTGGGGAGCTATCGGTCATATCGGAGTGAAGACCTTCCCAAAGGGGATATGGATATATGAAGCTCGCCCGGAATTGGACTTTTGCACACTGACCAATGAACGATGAGTAAGCCGGTCACGGCAATATCATTTTGATTTACCCATATGGAACGGGGCTTGCATACAACAACCATGAATGAAAAAATATCTACGTCGATCCATTTCACCCAAGGTTCCGGCAGAAAGGTAGCACTGCTTACTCATCTGGCTTCTGGCTCGCGCGGCTAGGGAGGCCTCAGGTGACCCTAGGGCTGCGTCACCTGTGTCCTGAAATGGGTAAGCTGGCTATCAACCTTGAATTTACCTTTTCGAGAGAGAGTGCTGTGACTCCCCCAGTCTGCGAGTAGCTGATGCCAGATATCGGACATTAAGAGATGATGAGAAACACGGGGCCAACTAGGGGAAGATTTAAAAATGAACCATGCTGAATCGTATGTAAGTAACGCCTGCTATCCTGTCACTTGTACGTAGTGCTGCTTAAACTCCGATCAACCGATCATCGTATCTAGAGAACCCCTCTAACAGACTCCACATGGGGTATCAATTCTCCCTCAGCCCTATTACACCCCTGTAATCCAACAACATAACATACAAAATCACTCCCAGTCCTCCTCATCACTTTCATCTATCTTCGTCGGTGATTTGACTGCATCGTCTTTCGGGCTACCCGGGGCGCGGCTCGTGGCCCCACTAACGAGATCGTAGCTAGCATCACTGTCTGCCACCGATTTCTCATCATGCGATCTTCGGCCTGGGGTCTCGGGCTTCAGAGAGCTCTCGTCTGTGCCCGCCACTGTCTGATGTACTGTGGTCGAGGAGTCGTTTGTGTTTTGGGCCACGAGGACTTTTGGCGGTGGTGGGTCTTGTGTCTGCTGGACTTGAGGCGTAGAAGCGGATCCTTGCTCATCCTCAGATTCCTCGTCCCATCCAACTTCTTCCGTGTCATCGGCTGACGCTATTGGAGATGTGTTAGCATTTGTTCAACAACATCATTATTACACGTCGGGCCGCGTACCTCGGAGGAGCTCTTTTCTCTTCTCTTCCTGCACCTCAACAACGTGCCGCAGAAAGTAATACCGTGTCCAGAAGTCCTTGTATTCCACGGTTTCCGGCACAACCATTTCCATTGTAGTTCTCAACTCGCGATACTTGTTCAAGTCTTCGGCAATCCGAGCCGTCATCTTCTCGATATCGAAGTCTCTCTTGAAATCGTCCCATTGACCACCAGCGCCGGAAGGGTCCTGAGTAAAGCTTGTCAAGGTGGTGTGGATAACGTGTAATTGGGCGTCGAATCTGCTGGTGTGGATGACCCTTTTCCCCGAAGTGGGGTCCTTGCTCTCGAAAAGCACTTCACCAGGCTGACGATGGCGGAGCTCATCTTCATCAGGCGCGCTAACTGCTACTGCATCCCGCAAGAAGTTCCTGATGTTCGTTCCAAATCGTAAGAGTGCTTCGTCCGCTGCGTCTTCCGCCTTCTGTACATCTTTCAATCTCTTCGCTGCCTCGGTCTTGAAACGAGCAAGGAATGTTTCAGTCTCCTGCAGATCCCGTTCTTGTTCCTCTCCCGATTTGCCGTTGTCCAAGTCCGTGCTCCGTGACTCAGATGGCCCATCCTCTCCTGTGGCCTTGTCTGTGCCGAACCCGAGGCCCATGAGACCTTTCGTCCTCAAAGCCTCCACCTCGCTCGCTACTTCGGCTGCCTCCTTCCTCGCTTCCTCATAGTAAGTCTCGCCTTGTTTTCTGACATTTCCCCAGAGGCCCCCCAGCTTCGCACCCCAGGGAGAGCTGGAGAAGGCTTTGAATGTTTCTTGAAACTCCGTTTGGAGGTTCTGTCGAGGTGCAGCTGAGCCAGATTTGGGGGTTGCTACGTCGTCCCCTGCAGTGATTCCTGATGGCGCGGTAGGCGTTGGTGTAGTGGCACGGTCAGCTGGCGTGAAGGACTCTTCCGCTATGTGATCATAAGCGAGATCCATCTCGCCAGCTGATTGCGGAAGAAATGCGGGAGATGAAGAACGGTTGTGGAATTAGGCAGACAGAAAGAAAGAGGCTGAACCCTGACCACCACGGCGACTGGCCTGTAGCCTCGATATTGGCTGACGGATAGAAGGGGTAGGAGTTGTAGACTGCGATCGAGGGCGTCAGATGATGTTTTGAGTTGTCGTTAAATCAAGGGGGACGTCACTCGAAATGAGCGATCCGGGGAATGGCACGTGATTGACAATCAATCATGCCGCTTTTACTTTAGACTTAAAGTTCCCTTGACACTTTGCAAGAATGAATTGCATACTATGCCTGAAAATGACTGAAATGGCTTGAGGCGGAAAGGCCGCAGAGCCACAATGTATGCTTCGCCTTGCCACAACATAACCGGATTTCAACAACAGCAACTGCTCTGGGTCTTGTACCAGCCTTACTTCTTGCGTCAACCCAGATGCAGTCTTTTGTTCCACCACGTACGCGGGTAATAGAAGCAACGCAGTCACGGAACAGCCCCAAAGTGCAGTCGGGCCTATCCGTCCAGCCATCAACTGCCTCGACCGGCATCCTACAGAAACCAGTCGATCCTAGTACTCAAAATCATCGTCGACGCCGCCCTTGCTCCGTGTCTCCTTCGCGACAACTTCTTGCTTACGATACATTTCCGCAATAGCCTTCGTCGTCGTCGCCTCTTCGGGCTTTTTGTCGTCCCTTTTTTGGATGAACCGAGGAAATCGCAGACTGATCCCGTTTTTCCCACCCATTTCATCAATCGCGGCACGATACCGAGGGCTTAGAGTGAGATCGGCGGTCTTGACCTCCCACACATGACGAGCCTCAAACCACACATCCGGCTGATCGTTTTTCACCGTCGAATGAGAGTAGAATGGTTTGGGACCGTCAATGACGATTTCAGACAGGTCCCTGTAGAATTCTTCCAGAATTGCTTCTGAGAAGCCGGTCCCAATGTTGCAGACAGTCTCAAAACTCTGGGTATCCTCGTTGTATGCGCCAAGGAGGAAGGCGCCATACCAGGACGTCCGCTTCCCTTTTCCGTGGTAGGCCCCCAGAACAACGAGGTCTAGGGAGTCGCCAACGCCGGCGAGGTAGTCTTTCTTGACTTTGAGCCAGTTGCGTGAGCGTTTGCTGGGCTCATAGCCAGACTCTCCTGTGTCGAGCATCTTCACCATCAATCCTTCGCACGATGCTTTCACAGATTCGTCCAACAGGTGCTGGATCTCCTCTATGTCTCTAGTATCACCGTACTGGGCAAACGAGAACTCCCCTTCAACCGGAGTGAAGGCGTTGTGAAGAATATCACGTCTTTCGCGAAGACTCTTCTTGACAAGAGGTTCGCCATTGTAGAAAAGTAGGTCGAAGGCAAAGACGCACACTTTGACGGTGACCTCTGATGTCTTCACATCCTTCCGCTTGCGAGTCATGAGTTGCTGGAAGGGGAGCACCTTCTTGTTTTGCGGGTCCCAGGCCACAGTTTCGCAGTCCAACACGAAACTCTTGGTTGATGGTTTGATCCAAGTATCCAATTTCTCGAGGATGTCTGGATACTTTTTTGAAAGGTCTTCCGAGTTCCTTGAAAAGATCGCAGCAAGACCTTTGAAATGTTTGGGATCCTTGGCCAAGGTGTTCTGTGCGGCAGGAAACTCGGTCTTCGAGTCAGGAGCCACATAATGGATCTGCGCCCGTTCCCCGTCGTATTTATACTCACATGTGAAGTCTTTTCCCTCAAATCGGTCGAGCACTTCTGTGATAGACTTGGTCGGTTTGGCAAGCATCGGCTTCAGGGGAACCCCGGGCTGTAGTTTACAGGAGTCGTGCAAGTTGAAGATACCATGTTCGAGCATTGCTGGAATGATGACCTCATAAGAGGGTAGCTCACTGTAGACTTGTTTAAGCACAGCTTCTCCTTTCGCGAGTTGCTCGGTGCTGGGTATTTTCCCCTTCTTTGCCACCTCATGCGTGACAACGGCCTGGGCTAAAGCAACGATGACCGTCTTCTCGGCCAGGCCAAGTCGCAGTTTCCCTTCAAGGAAACGGACCAGGAACTTTGCTTCTGAAGGACCTCCCTTGTCTTTAGTGATATCCACTGCTTTGCTGGCAGATGACACATCAGCAGAGGCCATCAACCGATTAATGGCTCTGACTTTCTGATCCTGGGAGCCCTGTCCTTCCATTTTGGCAATTTCGAGCAATCCTTGGTGAACACCACGAACAGTCAGTGGCTTTGGTTTGAACATCTGCCCCTGCTTGGATTTACTCTTGGCTGCAACGAGACCCAGGTCGCCAATCTTATGATGGTCTGCTTTGATCACTGATAGTGAACGACCTGAGCTTTCCCCTATGGCCTTCATGATTAGTGACTCTCCAATCCCGAGCTCGATGCCAGCATAGTCAGCTGCCAATTTGTTGAGCATGAGTTGCACCGTCGGAAGAAGATCCTGCGGCGTTAAGCGAAGGACTTGCTGTATAAAAGCGGAGCAATACGCTGTGATCTGAAGACGTTTCGTTGTGAGCTCGATCAGTGAAAATGTGGTACATAGAGCTGCGTAAGGGACGGGCTCTCCAGCTTTCCAATCCGGATATGGGTCCTTGCCCGAAGCTTTGATGGTAGCTTGAACCTTAGCCACTTGCTTGATCTTGACCTTCGGGGTGTCATCGTCGCTGGTGGGCGGCTCATCCTCTGATGCAGAAACATCCTTTTCCTCATCGGGAGAAGGCACCTCCTCACGCTCAGGTGTCCTGTTCTTCGCCGGATGGGCTGGTGACGTTCCCTCGCCACTTGTACCATTTGTTTGCATCCGTGGTAAAGAATCCCCATTTTCAGTGAAGACGGTATTTTTGGACGTAGATGTTCGTCTTCTCCTCTTCACAACAGGCTGATCGTCTGAGTCACTCTCGCTCTTACCACTCTGCATAGTCTCTCTCTTGTGTTTCCTGCCTGGGGAAGCATCATCATCTTGGACGCCTGCGCCAGCAGTCTTTCGAGCATCTTGCACGTCCCCGTTTTGAGAAGACTCCTTTCCTTTCTCGGCATGTGGGTCGACTTCTGGGTGGGAGGCTATTTCTTTTGATCCCGCCTTCTGTTGGAAGGAAAGAGTCGATTGAGATTTGGGCTTGGTTGCGTTTTCCTTCTGGCCAAGGAATTTGCTATTCTATCAGCTCGGATCGGCTCAACAGTACATTGAAAGGAACATACCCAAGGGTTGATTGTCTTCCCTGCGGCATGATGTGGTCGGTCTGCGATTCAAGAAGGGCAAATCTGGTTCGCAGAGATCGATAATGGCGATGTGGGTGGAGAGGGCTGAGAAGAGAACGACGAGTTCTCAAGGCAGGGCCTTGAGCTGAGTTTCCAACTCTGGCGCTCGAGATGAATATATGCCGTACAGGAGAAAAGAAGGCAGGGATTTGATCCTGCACCGCAGTAGAGATAGGCCGACGCAGTAGTTGCATTCGATTGTATCCTCTGGCTCGGCAGTAGTGTACCGTTCTTGCCTGTCCTTCTCGAGATCACGAAAAGTCGCGTCCAGACGCGTGGGGTTAAATGAGTGGATGACGTGTCGGGATTTAAAGTCAGAATTCGGAGAGGTCAAAAAAGGCAGGCGCGTCTACCTAAGGTACCTAGGTACCTACCTTAACTTAGGGAGGTTGCCTACCTACTAAATCACGAGGAATATTCTGTACCATCATCATTTCTTGATGAAACATACCACGTACTAGTAGTTCGCATTATGCATGCACGGTCAATTGGCCCTTTGCTTGGACAAGCTTACAGAACGGCCCGACTGATCGTTCCACCAGAGTGCAGTGTCAACGTGAGACCAGCCCTCTCTCCCAACAACAGTCGAGAAACAACCCTCTCAGTCCGCAGCTTCTGGGGGGGAGGTCCAGTCCACCGCGATTGGACGACGTGGACGGATCCTTCGGCATTGCTGTGAGGCTAGTCCGATGAAATCAGTGGAATGGAGAATCATATAGTGGGCACCTAGAACGTTGATCATGTCAATGTTCTTTTGTTCTTTTTGAATGTTCTTCTTGAATGGTTTTTCTGTAATTAGCTACCAGCCCATAATTAGGCCCATTACAGCATTGCATTACTATGCACTCGCTATCGGTATTCTTCAGTTATCCGTAAAACCGTAAGAGCATCATCAGGCACCTTGCAGTGATCATGCTCAAGCCAATCATGTTGGAATCTTCGTTCGCCGAATGCCTTTTGTCCTGCTTGAACGACGACGCAAAGCCACGCCCGTGAATGTGGGTATCAACACTGATGTGAAAAAAGAAATTCGAAAAGCTCATCTGCGCTCTCGCCCTTGCTCATGTGTCTAGCACACTCCTTTCACAGCATCAAGATAGCGGCGAGCCCGGCAGCACCAGCAAGACCGTTGGTAGCCATGGTCACCATCGGCATTGCGGCGTTTCCAGCTGAAGAAGATGAAGCAGTCCCGGCGGAACCCGTCGCACTTGATAGATGCGAGGAGAGAGAACTGGCAACAGATGCCGCAGAGCTAGAGACGGAAGCACCGGCGCCGGAGGCGGCTGAGGAAGCTGATGCAGCCTTAGAGGAGAGAGAAGACACCAGGGAGGAAGCCGAGGCGCTTGCGCCAGAAGCGATAGACGATGCACTTGCAGAGGCGTCGGAAGCCAGGGATGAGGCAGTTGCAGAGGCACCAGAGGCCAGGGATGAGGCACTTGCGGAAACGCCAGATGCGCCAGACGCCTAAAGTAAGTCAGCAAATGGAAGTTACCTCTTCCGCCAGTGAGAACTTACCACCGCACCACCGGCTGCACCCAGAATAGTCGAAGTCCCAATTGCGCTTGTGATTGTGCTGCCGTCGGTGGTGAAGGTAGAGAACATGGTTTCGGTGGAGACTGGAGTCGAAGAACCAGAACCACCTGCGCCAGCAGCACCTGTACCCGTCGCAGAGCTACCAATGCCAGTAACGCCGGAAGCAGAACCAGCTGGGCCGGTCGCAGTTCCAGCTGCAGTCAAAGCCGAGGTTGCAGAGAGGGTTCCCACACTAGATTGACCGGAAGCCGCTGGGAAACCGTCAACATGGATACTATAAACAGTTCTTCAGGAAGAACTTACCAGCTTTACAGTAAGCCACGCCAAATACGACGATGGAATTGGTGTCCGTGCCAGACGGGCAGGACTCGACTGCACAATCGCGAATGCCAAAGCCGAAGTTGTTGTTGGAGCAGAGACAAATGGTGTCAGGCTGGCCGTTGACGTCGGGGCAACCAAGGGATTGAGCTTGTCCTAGCATGTTGTTGATGCATGTTTGCTGGGCGGCGAGGTCAGTGTTTGCTCTCATGAATGTTCAGGATCTCTCGTCACTTACACCGCATGCTGGCAGGTCAGAGAGAGATTGTGCGAGAGCAACGCCAACAACGGCGGCGGCGGCGACGATACCCTTCATGACTGCAGGGGTGAGGAGAGAGCGCGCGAGGATGTTGAGGTCTCGTTGATGGATGGAGAGTTACGCGTCGTAAAGGGTGCTGGCGGTAAGAGCATGCACGGTAGCGTGAGTAACTCCTAAGAGAGACGACGATCCAAGCAGAGTGTGAAGAAGTGGTGAAAAGGAGTCTCGATGCGCCGAGAGGGAGGCTTTATGAGAATTTTGACAGGGACGATCAGAGGAAGCCGGGATGGGGAAGTCCAGGTTTAAGTTCGGTATTGGTGGTGGTCGTGCCTGGGTACTAGTAGAATGCCAGGAAGTGGAAAGTGGAAAGGGCGCAGGCAAGCGAGAGCAAGTGAAAACAAGGTGATAATAAGGTGAGCAATCGCGGTTTACTGTTTAATCACGAGTGCGTCAGACGGAACCTGCCAAACAACAACTTGGATACTACTGTCCAGGCACAGTTCTCAGCGCATCAAGAAAAAGGGAGGTTGGTGGTGAGTGCATAGAAGTCCTACTGGCAGTGGATTCACAGTGGCAGCAAACTAACTTCGATCCGAGTCCAGGGACGAACCGTCATTAGGTCCTGCTATTTCCTGTCAGCTTGTCTGGAGCATCCTGTGCCTGTCAATCCTTGCACTACTCCTACGGCAGTCCGTATTGTCGGACAGCATTTCGACGGAGAAATCACGATGCACCAACCAAGTCCACCTCAATCGCGTGCCAGCGCTGGAGATCCTTGTCTGCTCCGCACACTAAGCCCGCCACATCTTGCTGTTCAAACGTCCTGGAGCAAGTAGAGAGAGATGCACAGGCGCGTGGCTGTTTACCCTACTAGGGTAGACAGTTCGATTGAAGCTGATGGTCTTGCCAGGTTCCCACCTTCAGAGGCCCAACCGCCGGCCTGCCTACGTTGCCCACGGCCGAATCCTGCTTCGGACGTCCAACAACCAAGACCGTCGGTCTCGCCACTCGCCCTTGACAAGCTGCATATCACTGTTTGCAGAGATCCACGTACAATTGTCCAAGCAACAGGCGGTGACACGTCGTTGTTTACCTGACAGCGGACAATCTGCATTCCAGGGTCGCAGACACGGCAAGACCGACAGTCTTGAAGCTTCAACAGGCCCCCTTGTCACCACGTCCTGCCCTGTCGTGATCTGCTTTGAATTTTACACACCTACGTCAAGAGGTGGGAAATTGGGGAGGGCAAGGTCCACACTATGCACTGGCCCCCCGACTACCCAGAAGCCTCTAGCCTCGCTCGATGGCCCCAGATTGTGGACACAGAAGACTGAGATATGTCTGGGGTATACATCTGGAATCTGCGAGACGTCATTGACGTGCAGTACTATAATGCCATCCCACATTATTATTACAGCTGAGAAGAGGAACAATCATCAAGCTGGAGGTCACTTTCCACACCCCACGTACCTACTTCTTGGAGAAAACTGTCATAATAACCGGGGAGAATACTCTGACAAAAAGCAAAGCGGACGCGTCTCTCTGGCCGATTGGGGCAGACGAGTACTTTTTTACTGCAGCGGCAAGAAACCGGGAAGCGGCAGATCCAGGAAACAAGCCTTCAGCCAGTCGACGTCAAGCTGCCAAATCATCGAGCGGCACAACCTTGTACATGTGTACTCTGCAGGTCGATTGGTACCCCTGACGGTCACTTAGCAGGGGCGCCCCGTGCCCCCCGAGACGAGAGTGCTAGAATGAAAGGGGCTTAAGAGCTCGCAGGGCCGGAGCTGATCCGGCACACTCTGCTGGGTGAGGGGCTGGACATGATTTTGCCCTCCTGGAAGTAGTCTGCATCTGTCAACCGGCATTCTTGGGCGCAGCAGTCACCGTCATGCTCTGTGTTTGCGCATATTGCCTCCATTCATGCTACAAGCAATCTCCCTATGTCTCAACGTCCAATTTTGGTGCCGCTTCAGAACTCTACCTTCAGCGCACCTGTATCCCGTCTCAGAAATCTAGGTTTGTTCCGTGGATCAAGATCTCATCGGGTGGAACGGGCGCTCTGTAAAACAGCCTCACGCCAACACGATAGGCGTAAAATCGCTGCCGCCAGCCGCAACTTACCCCTTTCAATTTCCCCACGCGACCAAGAAATACTTTTCTCACAGCGGTTTAAGCAACAACTACTAGCTTAGGGTGTCTAGGCAATAGGAAAGTATTCAATCATAAGGTCGGTACGCTGGTTCCTAAGACGTAGCTTCGCGCTGGCACCGTTCCAAGAAATTTGGAGACTTTTATGATATGTTAGGTACTATCCAGGTAGGTACAACCCCTAAAGTGAAAGGTAAACTCTTCAAGAGCGATATCTATAGTACCCACAGCAGCTCCTGAGCTCGATCTATGCTGTACAGTCGTCCGTGCGGAGGCCCCGATCTGTATGTATTTGATGGATATCAGTTCGCCAATCGTAATCACACGTGGAAGCCCGTCAGCTGGCGTTGGACCTCTTTTTCAGCTGGCACGGAACTCTTTCAGCTAGGCTTCTCCTGACTCCTGATCGCACTGCATTCAGAGGGGCCAGTATGTAGGTAGGTACTACCACAGTAGACAAGGGATGAAGGAGGTCGCGAAAAGCACCGTGAACCCCTACCTGCAGTATCTTTGCTGTGGACAGCTTTTTAATACTGGATACTGTGATATTCTTTCGGTGAATATCTCAGCTTGTGGAGGTAAGGTAGGTACTAGTAGCATGCAGTAAGGCCCAAGTTAGTAGTAGCAGTGCCAGTGCAGTGCCACGGTTATCATGATATTGGTGATAACGCCACATCTTGGCAGATTCGAATTTGTGGCTGTGCACTTGTCGATACCACTGCAACAGCGAAAACACCAAACTTCCAGAGGCAGCGAGCATGAAACTATCCCATGCCGCAATCCGGCCGCCGCCTTCATCGACACGTCATTGTCCTCGGAGATGAACATTCAACGCTGCGGTGAGAATAGTCTGGCTTGGCTCCTTGAAGCAAGACACGATGACTCAGTCACGCCAACAGGCTTTCCAGCGGGTACGACGCTCTACCCTTTATCTGGTGTTCACACCCACAACTAACTCCTATCTACCAGTTGCGTCCGGCCTGCGTCGAACTGAGTTCCACTGTGCTCCGATTCAAAGCCAGTCAAGCCTCCCCGAAGGCTGTACTGCTTGCCCTGGAACCAGTCCACGATGTGCTGCAGTCACTAGGCAGCGAGAATTTGCTTGACGAGAAATTGGCCGAGTATGCCTTCTTCCCGCTCACACATATCTTCAATCAAGCCCGGAGCCTCCCTTCTCATGTCCTGGAAGTAGCTGTCAGATGCGTCGAAATCCTGGTTTCACGAGGATGGCGGGACAAGATTGTGCCGGAGATGGCACGGCAGCTCCTGATTCTTATGAGCCTGTTAGTTTCCCCCAACTCGAATCCCAGTCAACCGGCAGAGCCTGCCACGGACGAACTTATATGTGCTTCATGCGAATGCATTCGTGCCATCATAGCTCAGATAGCACGCGCTTCGACGAAGGTCCTTGACGAGGTTGGTGATACGAACATTGTGGACCGGCTCGTCTATCAGCTGCTTCAAATAATTGCAGATTCTAGCTCGGAAATTGTTCAAATCAGTGCAGCCCAGGCTCTTTTGGAGCTGTACTCGGCTATTGCCAGCTGGACTCTTGCTGCCAGCTTATTACCACGCACCGTTTCCACGCTGGTGAAAGTCTTGCGGCCGAGCACTCAAGCCCGCCGTACGCGGAAAGTTCTCGTGGCTTACCTGAAACTTTTCAACTTGGTTGTCAGGAAGACCCTTTCTGACGAAGTTGTTGAGAAACATGTCGAAGACGGCGGTACGGAACTGGCAACAAATCAACATGCGCAAGCTATCCCCGTCTTGAACAAGTCATGGCTCCAGGCTACGGCCACACAAATTGACCTTGCTTTGGTTCAAGTCACCAAACTTAGGACATATAAAGCGTCAGATGTTGCTGGAGCACTTCTCGATCTCTGCCTTCTAGTGATCGAGGAGTGTCCACAGACGCTTGCGCTTTCTGTGCCTCTCATGGTTGAGACGATGGTTGTTCTCTGTCGGTCCCCTGATTCATCGAGGGCTGATGCCATGCTCCGACACATCGTCACATCACGACCAGAGATAGCGGACATTCTTATTGAGAAGTTTTATGACTGGACCCAAGCGTTACCACGGGTGATGCAAGGGCACAATGACAGACCAAAGCAACAAATGCTTGGTCAAGTGGCGACGTCGTTTGCGGCTTTAGCAGAATCTTGGAATGCAACTGATGAACTGAGTTCTAGAATAGCAGCCACGCTCGTTGACAGCGCCGCAGCGGCCATTGGATCAACTTCGAAGAAAGCAAGGCTGATCGATGACGTGCCTCATAGTGGTCCTATTGACCTTGCAGATGGATCCACGAAAGTGGAAGGAGACTTCAAGCCTATCATCCTCAGCCACCAAAGTCAACAGTCTTCAACAAACGAGCTGATGAAGTTCGTGAGCTATCTCAAGTCTCAGCCATCTAGTCGAGCCATCGTGCGCAGCATCATCAATCAGACTCTGAATCCGGATGTCGACAGGAGACTCGCTGCGACATGGTTGGGCCTTGCCTTTCTTGGTTCTTCCCAGTATGATATTAGCGACATCGATGATTTGATCGAGAGCAATGCTTCGGAGACCGAGTCGCAACTCTCACGACCCTTCCTCATCTCAGACTTGTATGCTCTGACATTGCCAAATTTGTTACAATATCCCGAGGCCAAAACCGCAGGCGATGCAGAGTGGAGATTGGTAGCAATGTCTCTGGAGTCCCTCACACTGCAAGCTCGGCAACTTGGCCGCTCCTATCGACCTGAGTTGGTGGAAACACTCTTTCCTCTGTTGACATTATTTGGTGATGAAAATGCAATGCTTCAACGCCATGCGGTCACTGCATTGAACATTGTAGCAAATGCATGTGAGTACGAGTCAGCAGCTCAGATGCTGGTCGACAACGTTGACTATCTGGTCAACGCTGTTGCCCTTCGGTTGAATACTTTCGATGTATCTCGTGACAGCTTGCAGGTTCTCGCCATGATGATCCGACTGTGCGGTGCGAGACTCCTGCCACACCTCGATGACCTGATAGCCAGCATATTTGGGGCTCTCGATAGCTTTCATGGCTATCCCAGTCTTGTCGAGCAACTGTTTGCTATCCTGAAGATGATGGTTGAGCAGAGTTCCAAGACCCCGGAAGTCCTTGCTATTGGTTCGGAGCACGAGCACGAGCCCGATACTGTTGTACCTTCTCGCGTATCTGGGGTGGAAGATATCGTTAACGACCTACGAGCGCGCCTGCAGAGAAGGTTGAAGTCGGATGAAGAGCATGAAGCAGTCACCCGAGCACCCCATCGGCCGTGGATGAGAGCATTAGATGGACCAGATGATGACGGGCAAGGCAAATCGTCGGACGATGAAGTGATGGAAGACGTCCAGGATCAGCTCGAAGACACGAGTAGGGCAAAGGAGCCTACATTGTCAAAAGCTCATCAGCTGCTTCTGAATATTGCCCAATCAGCAGTCCCCCACATGTCATCTCCATCGCCCAAGGTACGACTCACGTTGCTCCAGCTTCTGGATGAGGTATGTCCGCTGCTGGCGCAGGACGAAAATTCTTTCTTGCCGTTTGTGAATGCTGTGTGGCCTGCAATCGTCCCACGGCTTCTGGCCAAGGAAGAGGACGCTTCATCCGACATGCCATACACTATGCAAGCCGCCGCGGACACCATATCCACATTGTGCCGAGCAGCAGGCCATTTCATGGCCAGTCGCATCGAAGATGTATTCTCGGACGTTGAGGCGCTCTTCAAAAAACTTTCCTCGGCGATTAAACCTACTGGCAGGTCTCAACAGAGACCTGCTTCATCGAAGCCGAAGGTGCTGGGAACGGATATAGTCACTTCCTATGACAGAAGGGCCATACGGCCAAATCAGACCACGGGATCGAACGGTCTATTGACAATGAATCAAAACAGCAGCGCCATACGAACTTCGAACGAACGGATCCTTGACTCTCTTGTGGACATGTTTCTCTCCATTTTGCGGCATGTCCGTATGTCAGAGGACAACGTTGACAGACTCTTCGACATGCTCGCGCCGCTGATGTACATGCCTGGAAAGGGAGATGTGAAGGCTGCGTTGACCGAGTACAACGAAGATGCTGTGTGGCTGATGGAGCAGCAGATGAACACTTGAGAGAATTGGCATGGGCTGGTTGAGGCCTTTGAGGCCCCCAAAATCCTCCAGCAAGAGAAGCGGAGGAACATGAAACCACAAATCAGGGCTAGCTTCGCAAGGCCAACTCCAGTCCACTCGACTCAACTCATCATGCTTCGACTTCCTGTCTGAAAGCAGATCTACACCTTTCGAACCCACTGCAATACACAGCCACCAGAGCAATCCGCCAATGATGGTAAGTGTAACCTCGGGCCCGAATAGTTATTTCCGGCCCGGGAGAAAGTCTATACTCCCATCAGCAAAGCATTAAACTCCGAGCATCATTCCATTGGCAGCATTGAGAACGTCCAGCGTAACTGTGATACTACGCACTAGTAGAAGGTGCCAACAAGTCACTGATGGTCGCAGGCAGACGCATTTCGCAAATATCAGGTATGCCTGGCGTCTCCAATGCTAGTATAATAAGACACCCAGGGCGTGTTGCAACGGCAAGTGACTTTCTGCCTCATCTACGACCACTTACACTCCCTTGCCCACATACCCGACTTCACTGAATCCCTCGAATTAAGAACTAGGTCAAAATGGGGACTCTCTTGCGCTTTCTACATGGTCAACTTTCGACTCCGCCGATGCCTGCAGTCGACCTGACTGGGCGCACCATCTTGGTCACTGGAGCCAATTCTGGCCTCGGTCTCGACGCCGCCAAATTGTTGGTGCAGCTCAACTGCAGCACTGTCATCTTGGCATGTCGAAGCCTAGAGAAAGCAGAAAAGGCCAAAGAGATCGTGCAGGCAGTGCCGAGCGCAAATGGGCAAAAGCCGTCTGTTATTACGATGGAGGTGGACATGGCATCATTTTCCAGCGTTGTCGCCTTTGCCCAACAATGTGATAGCATGCCCCGGCTTGACGCCGCGGTATTAAATGCCGGGGTCGACCTCACCGAATTCTCACTGTCGGAGGGATACGAGACCACCATCACGGTCAACGTTATCTCGACATTTCTCCTTGCCACATTGATGATTCCCATCCTGCGTAGGTCGGCACAGAAACACAGCATCTCGCCTGTGCTCGCCATTACGGGTTCAGTGGTGCACTTCTGGGCTAGTCCAAAAGACATCACCAGGCCGGCCGAGGGACAGATTCTAAAGACTCTCTCTGATAAGGGAAAGGCAGACATGAAAGCGCGATACTATCTCAGCAAACTGATTGTGATGCTCCTGGTGAAACACCTGGCTTCCTTGTTGTCGCATTCCGCTCAGCAGGATCCGAATGGCAAACCATTGGTGGTCGTCAACAACGTGGCTCCAGGGTTTTGCACGACCAACCTATTCCGCCATGAAAACGGTTTCCCGAACAATTTGATGCTGAAAGCGGTCGGGCGACCAAGCGAACAAGGTGCTCGAACATTGGTGCATGCAGCCACGGCAGGCAAGGAAACTCATGGACAATATCTAAGCGAGTGCCGGGTCAAGTCGTACAGTGACTATGTGAAAAGTGCGGAAGGGGATCGAACGGCAAACAGGCTCTGGAGCGAACTATGTGCGATCTATGAAGAGGTCAAACCAGGTTGCACGAAGGAGCTGTGAGAGAGAGAGAGCCCTTGCGATGGTCTGCTATTGGTTCTGGTGGATTCAAACGTGTCTCTGACTGGGACAGCGCAGAGAGGGTCCGAATACATGAGCCTTTACATCTTTACATTAGAATTCAGCACTTCTGCTTTGGGTCTGGCAGAAGTGTCTCTGTGAACGAGAATACCCGGCGTTGTCGGGACAGCCTCGCGTCCCCAATTACAGACGAAATTAATATAAGAAATATTCGTCGACACGTTACACAGTACAGCCACAGATTGCCGTCTTTGTGCATCTCCGTCAGATATTCCCCGCTCAGAATTCCGAGGACTTCTTGTCTTGGTCTTCTCGATAGTTTCACTAGGTACAGTAGACTGGTTGTAATTATGATCCATCGTGGTTGCCAGCTCTGCCCAAAGTCCCACGTCTGTTACACGTCCGAATCGGGCAGTATCACGTAATTACGTAATCAATAATCGCTGCCTAACGACGTCTTCTCACATCAACCCTTCTGCCACCACTTGCTCCTGTCTCTAGCTTGGTCTTTCATCGCATCAATATCTCAAGTCGGTGATCATGGCCGAGTTCGAATCATTGACACATAGATTCCGGGCCAATCTCTACAGTCTCCAACCCGGCGCCAACAAAGTCGGCAAACGGAACCGACAACCTCTCTCATGTGCCTACTGTCGAAGCAAAAAGCTCAAATGCGACAGAGGCCATCCGTGCGATACGTGTGTCAAAAGGGCGGATCCAGACAATTGCATATATGGCAGAAATGACCCGGTCCCCGCAGCAGCCAGACCTGAAGCCAGTAACGGCAGCGCCTTCAACAGCAACAGCAACACTGTTAGTACGCACAGTCGTGGGGTGGCCCAGAGAAGGTTGCAGCATCTCGAGCAATTGGTGATGCGCATGGTCAACAGCAGCTCTCCAGCTTCTTCATCAACCACATCCTCGGACAAACCCAACGGCGCAGCTATCCTTTCCGACTCTGTCGATTCAAGTATCGCGAAGGAAGGACATCTACAGGTTGGATCATCCGAGTCGAGGTACGTCGGGCCAACGCATTGGTCGGCCATCCTGGAGAACATCCAGGAGCTTAAGACCGCTCTAGGCGTCGACCACGCTTCCAGCACGGAGCTGGACGAGTCGGAGGACCCAGAGGCGCCAGACTCGGAAGACTTGTTTGGCTCGACAGGCAGGCTTTCGCTTGCGCAGATCCTAGCCCACGCACTCCCAACCCGACTCGAGCTCGATCGGCGGTTGTCGACATACTTCAAAACACAATACATGGTCACCCCGCTCATCCACAAGCCACAGTTTCAACGACAATACGAGCAGTTTTGGCAGACACCACTCGAGACGTCACCGCACTGGCTATCGATCCTCTTCTCCATCTGCTGCATATCCGCCATCGTCGATGAAGCTGTAGGCTCGCCAGGGTCGACACCCGGAGACCAGCGTAGCATGCGCACAACATTCCTGAACGCTGCCGGCCATTGCATCCAACTCGGCGGCTACGTGCTGCCCAAACGCTATGCGGTCGAGGCGCTGGTTCTCTATGCACAGTGCAGATATAGAACTACAATGGATCCGTCGCGAGAAGTCGGCACCGTCCTCGCCATCCTGGTACGTCTGGCCTACCGCAGCGGATACCATCGGGATCCTTCACACTTTCCCCACTTCAGCGCATTCGAAGGCGAGATGCGCCGGCGCGCGTGGTCCTCGTGTCAACAGATGGATATGATGGTGTCATTCCAGCTGGGACTTCCGAATCTGATCCCCCCTGACAGCTGGGACACGCGGCCGCCGCGAAACTTAGTCGACACCGACTTCGACGAACATACCACGGTGCTCCCGCCTTCCCGGTCGGAAGAGGAGCCTACGCCGCTCGTCTATTTCATCGCCAAGTCCCGGCTCATGACGGCGTTCAGCAAGATCTGCGCCCATGCGCTCTCGTTCCGCGTTTACACGGAGCAAGACATCATGGCCTTGGACGCCGAAATGCGCGCCGCCCATGCGACGATGCCGAATGTCCTGCGCATCAGACCGATGGCGAGATCGTTCGCCGACCCGCCGTATCTGATCATGTTGCGCCTGAACTGCGAGTTCCTGTATCAGAAATCCCTGTGTGTCCTGCATCGCAAATACATGACGCAGGATATAGACAGATATCCGGCCAGCACGCAAGCTTGTCTAGATGCGGCCGCCGCCATCACCAGACATATGCTCGACATCCACAAAGAGCTCCAGCCAGGAGGTCAGCTGTACAGTGACCGCTGGATGTTGAGCAGCTTCACCATGAACGATTTCTACCTCGCCTGCATGGTGCTGTGTCTGGGGTTGTCCATGTGGAAGAAGGCCAATCCGGGTAAAAGCCTCAACCAGGACGACAGGATGGGCAGTTTGTTTGAGTTGCTCAGAGCGTCCTTTGCCATCTGCGAGGAACGCAGTCCGACCAGCAACGAGGCCAGACGTGTGACTGGCGTGTTGAGAGTTATCTTGGGCCAAACGGCGTTGGGGTCGACGACGACCACAGCCTTCTATCAACACCAAGTTCAACAAGAGGCTCAGCAGAAGGGCCAGTCCACCACAACAACGCGACCTTTCCTGTCCAACCCGTTTCTTCTCCCGCCATCGCACATCGATGGATCGGCAGGTTTCCCACCATTCTACGATTTCAATCTGGCACCATTGAGCGTGAACGAGCAGCACGTGTCGGGTGCTACTTCTTCTTCAAGAACGCAGGACACGAGCCGAACACAGAGGCCGCTCCAGCCTGGTGATGGTGATGGCGTTGATTGTGCTCCTGGGTTTGGTCCTCACACAGACAACAGGAACAGACCACCTCTCTTCAACAGCCACCACCCCAGCCCCAGCCCCAGCACAAACCCAGGGCCCAATATCAGTCGGCTTCTCAGTCCGACCATCTTGAATTCTTTCATTCCCTTCTCACCGACCAGCATCTATGAAAGCACAGGTCCGCGCGCAAACCCCATACAACAAAACTCGGCATTGTCAGGGAACCATGGCTCGACTCCCAACGTGGACCTCAGTGCCGGTCCAGACATACCCAACACCAACACAAGCTCAAGCATAAGTCCCGACGTCGACATGGAAATGAACCCAAACCCGGACTTCGCCTCCGATTTTCCCCCGTTCGCCGATATAGACTGGACAGTTTACGACCAGTGGATGGCCATTCCCTCCACTGACTCGACAATGCCCCTGTCAGACGGCAACTTGCCGTTTGGAAGCCTTTCAATACCGGTTTCTCCGAGGCCTGCGCCAACGCCTAGCATGAATGGTGCCACCAACAACGTTGACCTAGGTGGTATGTCTCCTTCTGCGGACGTCGATATAGACACTTCCTCAACAAGAGCGCATGCCAAAACAAGAAATGCAGGTCTAGATGGGATTGCAAACACAAATACAGATCTAGATATATCTGCCAACGGATTGTCTGTTCACCATGGAAACCCCGCCGATTCAGATCCGAATTCTAGCCAGGCTGGAAATTCAAACCCGGATCCTTGGACGCGCGCGGTGCTCGGAGCTATGCTTGGATCTGGTTCAGAGTCTGGGTCGGGGTCGGGGTCAAGGTTCAGCCCTGTACAGTTGGACAGTGTGGATAAACACCATGTTTTCTTGTATTGAATATAAGCCGTTGGTATTATTTTAATGTGTCACAGAACCACGCGAGCGAGTAGACCAGCTGGCCAGTCAGCAAGCATACATACAAGCTTGGATGCACGCATGAGATTGCAGGAGAGATTCGCCGGCACCATCATATATGATGATGTACGTTCAAGGAAGGATTGCAAAGTGCAAAGTGCAAAGTGCGAATGCAAATGAATAACGGATAGTTTCATACCTATAAAAAAAGGACTAGAGCTAGAGCTCTTTGCTCAGCTTACAGGGGTATCACGTCAAGACCTCCGTACTCTTACATCCCGCATCCATGCATTTCAAAACGTGTCAATCATGCCCTTGTTTACGCCACCAGCTCCGCCGCCTTTGCCTACTGGCCACTGGCCACTAGCCACTGTCCATGGTCGTTGCCCGTTGTCCCTTGCCTTGCCTTGCCTTTCCTTTCCTAGCAAAACGATATCATACTCCGCTGGAGAGGACTCCATAGATCCATGGCCATGATGAAGATGGAAAAATGTCTCAAACTCAGCATCCGTAAGAACAAATGAACTCTTTACAGTCGATTTGATCGAAAGGTCGATTTGATCGAGCATAGCCAACGGTTCATGTCGGCGCGCAATCTTTGTTTTTAGGACGACGCATCCCTCGCAATGGAGAATGCATAGTCAGTCCCTTTGCCCGAGCTGCCTCATCACAGCGGCAACTACCTTGAGCTACCAGTATCTTGCTTCGTGCCGAAGCGAGTGTCTACCCGCCAAAAGGTTGTTGCCTCCACTCACACTCAACCATGCTTTGGCCACGGTTGGCCTGGTTGACCTGGTTGAGCTCGCTTTGCAGCCTCTCTCTTCTTGGTTTCCGAATCGCGCTGCTTCCATGCCTTTCGGATTTCATCTGCGTGAGCCAACAGATCTTCCTCAGTGACATGGTCACTGATGGACTCGATGACACTCTGGAAAGTGGTGATATGGTTGGCGTCGGTTTTGTCGTCTCGAAACCGGTGGAATCGCCAGCGTCGGGAATGATCTAGGCCGTGGGACCCATTTGCGAACCCGTTGGACTGGGGTGGTGGTGGGTTGGCGCCGACATCCTCTTGGAAACATTCGACGATGCAGTCTTGAAGTGGGCGATTCAAGCCTTTCCACGTCTCCCACTCGGCAGGTTCCACGTGAAGTTCGCCCACCGGTGCATACTGGCCGTCGTTCCCGCAGAAGATGAAGAGGCCGAAAGACTCGGGAAAGGCGTAATAATCGTCCTGCGGGGACTGGTCCGGATCGTCTGGCTCGGGCTCCGCCTTGGCCCAGGTGATGTGCAGCAGGAAATCCACCGTGTTATCCGAGGGCGGCTTCCACTTAAGAATGTGGTCGTCCGTGCCGGTCTTGTAAGGGGAGTTCTTGCAGGTGAAAATCAAGCCGTCGTTGCCATGCAGTCGCTTCACCTTGGGGATCACATCCTTGAACATCTTCTCCAACGCGTAGCTGAACTCGGTCGCCTTGTCCTCCACCACAAACGGCCGCGCGATCTCCGGGTTCTGCTTGAACATCTGTCGGTAGGGCTGCAGGACGTGAGACTTGAAGTAGGCAAGGCGTTTGTCGAGCGGCCGTTGCATCAGCATGGTGCCGTCCAAGATCAGGCAATCAAAAACCAGGAATTTGATCTCCGACGGCCGGTCCGGGTATTTGTCTTCCACCAGCTCGCCGTCCAGGATCGTGTTCGTGTGATATCGGTGGAACGTGGGGTCTTCGTGGTGAGGGAAATGGAGGCCGGGCACGTAATAATAGTCGTTCTTCCGGTCGATCAGGTAGTGTATGTCTCGTTCGGCGTCTTCCGTCAGATACATCAAATATCGGATTCCATCCGTCTTTTCGCACACAAAGTAGTCTTCCCGTTTCAGCTCTTGGATATGCCGCGCGGCGAACGAGACCGGCTGGGCGCCTGGAAAGGAACGGTTTCGTCGTCCGAGGAGCTCGGCCACCTCTCTTTGAAAGTCTCGCTGCAGCTCCGCCCCTGCCCATTGCCCACCAACGCGCGCGATCAAGGAATTGGGGTCGGTGTAAGTGTCCATGGTGGCCGTTTTTGGCGGAATTGCAGACAAGGCTGAGATGTTGGGAGGGTCCTAGATTGATGCTAAGACATGACAAAGGACACGTTGACGGCGGATTGCCCTGGGTTCCCTTGCGCGAAAGGATGCGCAGTGAAAAGAATATTGACGCCTTCGCCCCTTGGGCAAAACTAGAATCTGTATCTCAAACTGGCGAACGGCAAACTGCCCAACAATCGTAGTGGATAGTAGGTCTAGGTATCAGGTACGTATACACGGTTGGAGTCGCATTGCAGTTCAAACTGCGGTTGAGACCAGTCTGCTCCGCACTAGGCTTGGCGCTCCGAGTCAGGGGCGCAGGCGGAACTTAAACTGGAGGACTCGATGTGGCGGGCAACTACAGACAGAATACGTAGTTAGTCGGGACCCCGATAAGACGAAGACCAACGGAGGATCGCTACCATCAACAAAAAGCGGCATGCGAGACACGACTATCACGCCTACACACCCTTCCTGAGTTGATGGGTACACGTTACCATTCAACCCGTTCCTGGGCCTGGTAGCTGACTGCCCGTCCAAACCATCAAGTCCGGAGAGGGGGAGACTCGACTGACTCCCACCATGGCGGGCGATGGGGCGCAAGGCGAGTAGCATCGCCAGGACGCTGAGTACGGTCTAACTCTTGTCGCAGCCTCATCCGCGGGAGCCAACTCTGGCAGTCTGGTCGGTGCCTCGGGTTACAAGTTCAACAAAGGCGACAAAAAGCCCATTAAACTAAAACTAAAGAAGGAGCCGGGCCAGGGCATGAAAGGGACTGGCGCAAATGGTATAGTTCCTTGATCTGGACGGACCTTTCTCATTTTAACAAGAGTTACCCCAGGAGTCAAAGAGAAGTCAACAGGCCTCTCGCCCGTCCTGCCACACTTCGAAGAAGAAACGATGGCCAACTTCCCCGACGGAAAGCAAGAAGCTCTGGACACGCTGGTCTGTAAACACTGCAAGAAGATGGTGCTGAAGCGGACCGCGAAAGAACACATTGCACTGTGCATCAAGTCGAAACAAGACAAGGCGCGCAAGAAGAAGGAGGCCCGCGAGGCGGCTCAACGCGCGAAAGAACGAGCAGAACGAGCAGACGACGACGACGATGACGACGACGAAGTACGGGACGGCAAAAGCGCTAGAAAGAACGCAGTGGACGGCGACGGGGACGACGGTACCAAGAAGGGCAAGAAGCGTAAGCTCGATGCCGAGGACGACAAGGACTCGAAAAAGAAGAAGAAAAAGGAAGAGCAGAAGAAGGCGGCGAAACCCAAAGGACCTGTGGACGTCGAGAAACAGTGTGGAGTCACTCTGCCCAACGGCGCGCAGTGTGCAAGGAGTTTGACGTGCAAGAGTCATAGTATGGGTGCCAAAAGGGCTGTGCCTGGCAGAAGCCTGCCGTACGACATGCTGCTTGCTGCCTACCAGAAGAAGAACCAAGCCCGGCAACAGAGTGAGTGGTGGTGTCTGCCGACGACGGTGATGATGGTGACTTGTTACTGATGCATGGCGGTCTACAGAGGCGGCCATCGATGCCAATGCTCCCGCTTTTCTCGACGAGGATCTTGATCCAACCCTAGCTGGACCGGTTGACTCGGACGAGGAACGAGACACCATCATGACGGCGATATCCAGGAGCCTGGCACGCCCGCAACCGTTGATTACTCGCACACTAGTACCGACGAAGCGGAAATATCAACTTGTCCGCATGAAGGAGATGCTTTCCAACGCGCTAAGCGGGAACCGCAGTGGTGGACTGTTCAGTGTACCTCCGGAGAGTGTCCGCAATACTGTGGGTGGGTCAGAGGCGTTCCCTCAGACAGTGGCCGCTTCACCCGCCCCGACGGGCGTAGGGATGGCTCAACCTGGGATCAAAGCTCCCATGAGAAAGAGATCGATCGATGTGACATAGGATGTCGGACGAGCGATCAAGAAGACCAAGATGACCCTAACCAACGACAGCAAACCCAGACGACTTTGAGTTCGACCAAACTGACATACAGTGGCCGATAGAGTCGAGTCCAGCGAAGTATTCTTATGCCTCAGCTAGGCACAATCACTTCAACCACAGCATTCTCCCGACTGCGGCCAGTCTCGGAGACATTGGGCAACATGCTACTACTCGCACTTCCTGAAGCAGAGACTTGCATTGGTACCTCCGAAACCGAAGCTGTTGGAGATGGCGACATGCACATGTGCCTGCTGTGCCGTGTTTGCAACATAGTTGCAATCAAACTCGTCGGTGACGGAGCGGAGGTTGAGGGTCGGCGGCAGCACATTCTACAAAGAGTTGGATTAGCTTTAGCAAGACAGCCACACAGTTGGATCAGGCCCGGTTCATCCATACCTCATGTATCGCCAAGATACTGAAAATGGCCTCTATGGCCCCCGCCGCCCCGAGCAGATGACCCAACGCCCCTTTGGTGCTGCTGACGTTGACATGCGAAGTCTGTTTCCTGCCATGGGGCCCCAACATGAGGGCTTTGATGGCCTGGTTCTCGGCCGCATCTCCCAGCGCGGTGGAGGTGGCATGGGCGTTGATATAGTCGACGCTCGACGGTGGGATCTGGGCGAGCTTCAGGGCTTTCTTCATAGCCAAAAACGCTCCGCTGCCGTCTTCTCGCGGCGCAGTCAGATGGTATGCATCGGCTGAATTGCCGTATCCCAACAGCTCGGCGTAAATTCTGGCGCCTCTTTCTTTTGCGTGCTCGAGTTCCTGTTTTTGGCGTTTCACAGCAAGTCAGAACAGTTGTGTTTAGTAGGTAATTTTTCCAGTCCGTGGTGATAGTAGCGAGACAATCCATCCATCCATCCATCCATTCTTACCTCCAATACAACGCACGCTGCGCCTTCACTGATGACGAACCCGGCTCTGTCCCGGTCAAATGGCCGCGACGCCAAGTGTGGCTCGTCGTTGAATTGGGTGGCGAGGCTGCGAGATCGGGCGAACCCGCCTATGGCCAGCGGATGGATACAGGACTCGGCACCTCCTGCGATCATGATGTCCGCTTCGCCGGACTGGATGAATCGCGATGCGTCGCCTAATGAATGTGCGCCTGTAGTGCAGGCCGTGGTGACGGCATGGTTGGGACCCTAGATGACCCGCGAAACTTGCGTGAGCTTGATTTTCCATAGGGCGTAAGGTAGAAAGAAAGGAGTAAGAAAGGAGAATGGAAACGGAAAACCGAAGTCCGTTGTTTTTCCGTCAATTCATACCCTTAGTCCGTATCTCATGGATATATGTCCGGCTCCGAGGTTGATCAGGAGACGCGGCACGAAGAGCGGATGGATCTTGTGGTAATTTTTCTACAGCGCGCAGAAGTTGCGGTCAGCCACGAGGCTAGATGTGAAACAGATACCAGACCGACAGGTGAATTGATCGATGGGTCAGATAGGTAGGTAGGTAGGTGATCCAGCATATATGGACACGACTTCGCTTACGGCTTGATGATATGCCACTGAAGTGGTATAGAGCTCTTCAAGATTACCGATGCCCGAGCCTAGACAGACGCCCTGTTATTTTGTTAGACTGGTACACTCTCTCGACTGTCATTGACCAAAAACACAAGCTGGGGTTTGGAAAAAGATTGGTGGATTCGTACAGTCATTTCCGGATCTAGTCCTTTGCCATCATCGAATCCAGCATCGTCCAGCGCCTCGGCCGCTGCTGCGAGACCGTATTGTGCGAATCGGGCGGTTTGTCTCAGCTCCTGTAAGTTTTATTGTGTGAGTCAGCATCGGTAGGAAAGAACACTTGGTCTCAATCTCTCTGGTAGTCTGTCTGGATATTCACTTCATAGGTAGTCGATAGCGGCCCAACGGATGATTGATGATGAAGGTAGTCGTGGTGGTCGTGGGTAAGGACGGAAAAGGAACGCACCGTAGACGAGACATGGTCTTGCGCCCTCCATACGCCCTTTTCGTCTGCAGCGTTCTGTGAAGTCGTGGCTCCAACTGGAACTGGAACAAGACCAGCAACTTGGCTCGGTAGAGCGACGAACTCGGGGCCGAGGTGTCTGGTCGACACGATGCCGCAGTCGCCATTGAGCAGCCTTTTCCAGGTCCGACGGATTCCTGAGACGAAAGCCGAATAGGAGAGAAGGTTAGTTGTAAGGTCTCATCGTCGGTCAGGTACGGGAGAGTTGGTCTATATCATATAGTGATAGCTCCTTACTCTGCATGGGCCATTGTAAAGGGATAGAGACACAGCGTAACAGAACGGAGAGGATATACGATGTAGAGGTAGGAATAGATGAGGAAGAACTCGGTACAAGTAGAACATGAATAGACCACATACCGACTCCTAGGGGCGTGACCGCTCCCAACCCGGTCACGACCACTCTGCGCATGACATTGCCGACCGACGGGATTGTGGATGGATACTAGCAGTAGTATTAGATAAGTACAGACTGTAGAATATCCCGCAATGTGTTATAGTTGTGTAGTCATATGTACCTAGGTATATGGACAAGTGTAAGGCCTGTTCGGAGGATGAATGAATGTCGTCGCCGGACATTTCCGCCTGTCGGCCGATTAAATCCATGTCTCGCTGACACTTTCCATCTACTAAAGATCCCACCAACTTTGGTCTATATCACTCACTGCAGCCAACAACACGCAGTCCTGTATCAGTGTGGGTGGATGGGTATCTGGATATCTATGTGAATGCGCATATTTATTACTCAATATTAGATATCTTTCACCTTGTCCAATAGCTCCCGGAGATCTGATTGCTACGACTCCTTTCGTCTTGTCTTCTCTGTCTTCTCTACCTACCTTACTCTCTTCCTCTCAGCTTCATGTCTAGCTAGGGACGGTCCATGATAGCCTGACTCGCCGATCCTGCTTGAGAAGAGACAGACATCAATCATACACACCACACTTCAGGTGTGTGACAGCCACAACCACAGCCATGCTGGCCCTATCGCTACCACTGTCGTTGCTCTTCCTGCTCCCATTCACGGCAGCTTCCTTCTACGACAATCCGGAATTCGATGTGCCGTCTGAGTCGGGCACTCCGTTGGACGAGTTGAAGGCGAAATGGGACACGGATGTGAGTTTCACTTCCTTCGGCAAAGCAACTGTGCTATTGGTATTTTGTATCGGTTACATCTTTTATTTGCCGCCATTCCTCGACACGGGCAACGGCTATTGAATCATTGATAAAGAAAAGCAATGTGAAGAATTGACTTCTCCTTTACTGAATAGTGGGGATTCACGGGGATCTCGACCTTTGCGCACCTTCGACATGTCAAGTGCCTGACGACGCCGTACGAGCCGTTTGATATTGGCATTCTTGGAGCCCCTTTCGACACGGCGGTCAGCTATCGTCCCGGTAAGTCGAATCAGAAAAACCTCCACCCATCAAGCTCCTAGACATCAGGAGGAGTTCCAACGACGGGCAAACATGTCCCATTAGGCAGGCAGCCTATCCTGTCTTTGCCAGCTCCCCCTGTTCTTCTTTTCTTGTCATGTCATGTCGCACTCCCTCCCTCCTTTTGCAAGGGTACACTGTCAACTAATACCATGATCTTGCCTAACTCGCAGGTGCCCGGTTCGGACCCCGAGCGATCCGCGCGGCGTCAGCGAGGCAGACCTCCTTCCGCGGCTTCAACCACCGTGCCGGCCTCAACCCATACACGTCGTGGCCGGCGATCCTCGACTGCGGCGACATCCCGATCACGCCGTTCGACAACGCGCTCGCGCTGCACCAGATGACCAGCGCGTACCTGGAGCTAGTGTCGCGGCGACCGCTGTCGTACACGAACCCGCCGTCGCACAAACACCCGAAACTGATCACGCTGGGCGGCGACCACAGCATCGCGCTCCCGGCGCTGCGGGCGCTCGCAAAGATCTACGGCCAGCCGATCGCGGTGCTGCACTTCGACGCGCACCTGGACACGTGGCACCCGGGGTCGTACCCGTCGGCGTGGGCCAACACGCCGACGCAGGCGGACTTCACGCACGGCACCATGTTCTGGATCGCCAGCGAGGAAGGGCTGATCGCCAACGGCTCGAGCGTGCACGCCGGGCTGCGCACGCGGCTGGGCGGCCTCGACTGGGCCGACTACGAGAACGACGAGAACCAGGGGTTTCTGCGCATCGAGGCCGACGACATCGATGCCGTCGGCGTGGACGGCATCATCGAGGCAATCATGGCCCGCATGGGCACCGATATCCCCGTCTATCTGTCCGTCGACATCGATGTCATTGATCCCGGCCTCGCCCCGGGCACTGGAACCCCGGAACCCGGCGGCTGGACCACGCGCGAGTTGATCGCCATCCTGCGCGGCATTGAGGGCTTGAATCTCGTCGGCGCCGATATCGTCGAGGTCGCCCCCGCCTATGATGGGACCGGCGAGGCCACGGCCTTGGCCGGCGCCCAGGTCGCTTACGAGATGCTCACGAGTATGGTCAAGCGCGGCCTGGTGGAGAGGGGCGAGGACGTGGTTCTGCAGAAGCCCGGGAAACATATCTCTGCCGTGGTCAAGGCTGCAAAAGCGGCGAAGGCGAAAGCTGAGGCCGTCGCCAAAGAGGCCGCCGAGGCTGTGCGAGATGAGCTGTAAATGTGAGTGGGCAGGGGTCAGAAGAATGAGCTGGAGACCATGTCAAGGCGTGATTGTCAGCGAGCAATGTGCGACTAGGTTAAGAGGGATGGATACATTAGAAGGAGCTCGATGGGGGTCCTTGTATGGCTCAAGACTGTATCTATCGAATCCAGAAGAACTGCCAGCACCTCAAAAAGAATGAACGAAAGGAGGAATGTGATGTATAGGATAGTATGTCTACCGATACAGAGGGGAAGTTGAGACACCACTTCACTTCCTGGTATCAATCACCACCAGCGACATCAAGTCAAGTGCACCGTCAACAACTTCTATTCTCGATCTCAGCCGGTATCTATCTATAGACCTCACTCAATGCAGCTGTAGGTTAAAGCAGAGTGCATTTCAAGTTGCGCCCTCACAGCTCTCTTCCTTCGTAACTCTGCCACCGTCCACAGAGCAAAGAGCACACCCCAGAGGGGGACAGTTCAGCAGAAAGCCTGTCCCGTCCTGTCCCCTTTTTGTGAATCCAGCAGAACAAAGCAGAGGAACAACGATGTGCCACCCATCCTTCTAAGCCCAGCGTCGGTTGCAAATCAAAACAACTCGAGTCAAAGCAACGCAAAAGCAAAAGCAAAGGATTGCTCGATGTCTTCGAGCTCCCATAGAACCTGGAGACGCCTTGCTCCATGTTTTCTAGTCTTCCTGACATACAGGAGACGCCTTCCATGCTTCATGCTCCATGCTCCATGCTCCGTTTTCTATTCATCACACACCCACTCACTGGTCATCCATTACCGCACTCCATGTTATATCAGAAATTGTATCTCGTCCCTTGTCGCGTGGCCGGTTTGCCCTGACGATTCAGCACTGCCGGGGCCGGCGAGGCATTCTTGCGAGAGAACGTGTCGTCATGAGCGACGTTCTTCTTACCCCTTCCCCGAGGTTTGAGAGGAGGATCGATATGTCGATGGCCCAGCTCCTTGACCGCCATGGTATTCCGCCAGCGCAGACATCGATGAGTCCTTTCGCTGACATGCGTTTTCGTTCGCGTCGACATTCTTGTAGACGGCTCTTCGGACTTCTCTCTCGGCACGAGATAGGCCGCCCGCTTCTCCATTTGTTTGATGATGACGTCCCTCTGCAGGTTGAGTTCTTTCTTGAGTTTCAACTCTCTCGACCCTCGCGCGTCGAGCCAGCCGATCAGCATGTCGAGTTCTTCGGCGGTCTCGTAGAACCCCCACTGATTCGCAGACTGCAAGGCTGTCGGACCTTCCTCCAGCTTCTTGCGCTCTTCCGGCGTCATTTGGAACCGTCGATAGTAGGCCTGTTTGTCCGCCTCATTGACTTCAATGAATCCTTCACGCTCCATGTCGTCGGGTCCCTGAACCCAGATCCGGCCATTGGCGTACTCGGCGTCGGCTGTCGAACTCTCTGGCAGTCCTCCATATGGCATGGCATTCCGTTCGAACCACCAATATCGATTGCAGAACCGGTCTTTCCCAAGGACACGCGTTCGTGGGCAATCTGCCTCGCGCAGGTCATTGTCGACGATCATGATCTGCTCTTCTGCCGCTTCGATCTTGTCGCGCTCCTTTTCAATCAGCCTCAGTACCTTCTGGTATTCCTTGCTGCCTTTGTTCTGCTTCGCTTCGGCCGCTTTTTCTTTTCTCTCTTGTTCTTCCTCTCGTTTCCGCTTGCGCTCCGCGGCTCGGTCACTGCCACGACGCAGAGAGCGTGTCAACATGCTATGTTCTTCGTCCTCCGAATCCGGAATGGACACGTCGTGGTCTTCGGCAGCCTTCTCGGCTTCCATCGCCTCTTCAAGTTCCGGCATAGGAGACGGAGACTTCTCGGGCTCCGGTGCTAATTGCCTTTTTTCCACTTGAAGCTCCTTCAACCTCGCCAGAGCCTCTTTCCGAGCACGCTGATGCTCAATCTTGATCTTCCGATACTGGGTCATGGTGTTGCTCGACTCTTCCAGGAAGTCCCTGACTGTTTTAGTCTCCAGGAAGAGTCGACAGATGATTTGCAGCGCCTCTGCTCGCAGGTTGATGTCCATCGTGGAGTATTGTATCTGGGCTGTCTCACTGGTAGGCTCGGCGTCCAGCGGAGCCAGGTGGGCGAGGATTTTGTTGCACGCCTCTGATAACCTAGGTCTCCCGCTGAGTCGATGAAGTAGTCCGACCATCACCAGTTCCCATCCTCCATGTCTCAGATCTCGCTTTCGAAGTCTATCAATCCAGCCGTACTCCCCAAACATTTCCGCCGCACGGTGTAAGACCACATCAGCCTGGTCCTCTTCCTCCTTCGGTTGCTCATCAACAAATTGGACTTTGTTGAGACTACTACGAGTGCGCTTGGCCGGGTACTCGGGCTCGGGTGTTGGTGTTGGTGGTTTGGTCTCTTCTTCTTCCGATTCCTCATCTTCTTCCTCGTCCGAGTCTGGAAGGTCTGGAAGAGAAATTTGAATCGCTCCCTCCTCGTCGTTCTCGGCATTGACCAGCTGTTTGAGGATCGCGCAATGGACTTCCACAAATAACTCGCAGTCGACCTCGTCAGAGGAAAAAAGCATGGCTTCGACAAAGTCGTCAAAAGTGAACGAGTCTAGTTTCAAGACCTGGCAATAGACATTGAGAGTATTCCACGTCTCCAGAAGGAGGCCAATAGTCTCGGCTTTGAGATCTGGGATGATGTTGTTTCTCGACTTTTTGTCCCGACATTGTTCTTTGGCCACGAACTTGAGTGCCGGTCGATGGGTGCCATCGCGGACTGGCTCGACGTCTAGATCTTCGATAGGATACTTGATTGGAGGAGGTGGCGGAGGAGGTTCTGGGACCATCTGCTTGGGCGGCGGTATCTGAGCCTCAGGCTCAGAAGAGTAGTGGCCCTCCCGTGAATTGTATTGCGGATAATAGTAGGAGGCGTCCGGTTGTGGCCATGTAGGTTGCAGATGGCCCCAGGATCGAGGCAAGAGTCCCACGCCTGGCACAATATCTGACGGGTATTTCTGAACATATCCCTGTGCATATATATCTGTGGGTTCCTGATGTTGCTGATGTTGTTGAGCATGCTGGTTCTTTTTTCTCTTCAGAGCAGGCTTCAACTCGGGCAATTTAGACGGCTGCGAGACTCCGAATGGGGATTCCGGCTCAGCGCCATTGCTCTTCTTCTCCGCCTTCTTCGCTGCAACTTTACTGCTGTATTGTAAATGCAGAGGGACGTTGGTGTCAATGCGGAACCGTTCGGCAACCTCTGACTTGACGAGCCACGGAGCCCCATTCCAGCCCTCTCTGGTCACCGTGTTCTTGATGAATGTGCGGAGCATCTGTTTGGTGAAGACCTTGCGGTCTCTAGCGATATGGTTGTCGTCGACCAAAGCCTCCTCGTCGGGGCGATCAATGAGGCGGACGAAGTATCGAGAGAAACCCTTTCTGGCCACAGTGCCATCGGGCCGTCTAATTTCCGCGAACTTCGCTTTGTCCCTGACTCTACCATATAGCCTGGTCGAGTCGTCTAGAATGACGGTGACCAGCTCGCCGGGATAGAAGTCGTTTTTGAATTCGTTGTATACCTCCTCCACCAGGCTGTCCAGCCGGGATGTCGTCGAGAACTGGACACGGCGCAAGACGGGCTCGCGGAGAGCTTGAGGGAATGCTTCGTCGATTTCGCGCGACCCGGCTTGTTCGCTGCGGAGAGCGTCAAAGAACGTCAGACCGGAACGGCCAGTCACTTCGCAGGAGAATCGCTTCGACTTGAAAAAGTCCATGCGCTCTAGATATGAATCGTAGGAGGTGAAGACCTCATTGACCTCCGGAATGACCCATACGTCGCAGTCCTGATCATCCAGATGCGGATGCGGGAGGTACCGTACGGGCTTTCTCTTGAACAACACCATCCTGGCAGTAATGGGGCAGAGGAGACTCGAGATGCGCAGGGCAATGTCGGAGACCGTTAGAGGAATGTCGCAAGGAGAATGATTTCAAGGGCAGCACGGTTTAGATTCCACTTGGTGCCAGTCGCGTAGGCGTGTCGGAGTGAGGTGTAGTGACCAGCGCGGTAGATGTGGGCTTTGCGACGGCCGGATCGAGGTACTCAGGGCAATGAAAACGCGTCATGGAGGGAGACCGGCGGACTGCAATCGGAGAGTAGGAGAAGAGGAGGGAATATAAGGCGACGTGGGAGTGCGTTTGCTGCGTGGTGGTGAAGGACAAAGTGGCGGAGAGAGAAAACAGAGCGACAAAGAATCCAACATGACGAGGAGGTGGAAGAAGCGGAGGGAGAGAAAGACAGTAAATGCCAAACCAGAGGCACTGGGACTGGCACTGGCTCCGGCACCGTACAGAGTATGCGCGGCGAGGCGGGAGGGAGGGAACCAGGTTAGTGAGTTGTTAGTGGTGGGTGTGTGAGTGGCCGCGGCGGGTGCCGCAGGTGGAGCCTGAGTCCGCACTGCAGTTCTGATGAGGTCGAGTACTACCACTGCATACCACGCGAGGCTACAAACATGGGAGGAAGCAGACGAGGCAGTATTCGAGCATTGATTGCTACTACTAGTGGTATGTTTGTCTTCTGATCTGATGGTCTGCAACCTGCAGTGTGTAGCTGTAGTAGTCTAACAACAGAGTAGCAGTAGCAGAATGAAAGCATTCATCTGTGTATACACACACACACGCACACACGGCCATCGGCGACGCAGGCATCGGATCTTCGTGTTAGTGTTTAGCCGCGTTTCTTCCACCCGGGACAAGTCGCCTGACCTTCCTGTTCTAGACGTCTAAAATCTTTGGCGCAGCGCCGAGCCTTCTCGTGGCTCCCGCGCTATGTCCGCTCTCACCCAATCACTTCCCCCTCGACTCCTCGACTAGCCATGCTCACTCGTCAAATCCCTCGTTACGCTCTGTTTATGGGCATACAGGTACTCGTTCGAATCCTCTCGCGACGTTGAGTCAAGATAGACCATCCACGACAATCTTGGATCTATTCAGCAGTGTTTACCGTCCATTATCAACGTCTGAATGCTGTCTCTCCCCGATTAATCACGTTATTCCCTGCTTAAACCTAAGTTTGAAAGATCATCCGGGGCCGATGACAGACAAAAAGATCGCCCCCGATAGCGCCCTCTGCTCGAGGCGACGAGGCACCCTTGGGCGACTGCGGCTAGACATTTTACAATTCTAAAGTGCAACCGCTCATTCATTGTATATCTTCCGGCGGATTGTAGACCTCCTGCGATGCGGACTTCTCAATTATTGTGGATGTGATGCCAGTATTCATTTTGATCTATATAGCACCCTCTAGATTTCAGGCTGTCACGACAAGTAGCAGACCATGAAGCCAAGCCAAGAGCCGAGGACCCCAACAGCGGAATATGTGCTAATAAACATCAGGGGAAGGAATTCGTACTTTTCTCCAAACACAATGCTGTGCAACAGGGAACAGTAGATCATCAAAGGCACCGAAACAGCGATATAAAGAAGTGCGAATCTGTCCAACAGGAACACTCTTCTCCTCGCCGGTGCCGGAGCCAATCGATCGAAGGCGTACAGGAACATGATCAACCAGGCTACCGTGTACGCCACCTTGATAGGAAATTCGGCCGCCGTAAAGAGCAGCGGAAATAATGACACATGGCCCGCGACCGCAAGAGGCCGGAAGCTTGCCAGGTATGACCGATCCTTGACCGCCAAAAGGCTGAATGGAATGATGACCAGCAGAATCGCTTTTTCGTGAACGTGCCAGCCAAACAGAAACGACGCATATCCGCACAATGTGATGGCTCCCACGAACGCATCCCAGCTCGGGGCGAGCCACAGCTTCGTCAAGGCAACCAGCTGGAAGGCTAACGTAAGCCCAAAGCATTGCTGAGCTGTTATACCTGGAAGAACCGCGAAAGACGTGTCTCCCACCAGACCTCGAGTGACACTGTTGACAGCGTCGTAGTCAACATCAAGCCGCAGGTAAGGCGCCGCAACTATCAGGATCCGGTCTAAGAATGAGTAGATGGCCCACACATTTGGTGCCCAATATGCATGGCAGAGACCGCGGGCAAAGGGAAACAATCGAGTTTTGAGTTGGTCGAGCTGACCCCAAACTGCAAATGGACCGAAGACGACTCCAAAGACCCCGATGATGCTCGTCCCAAGCTTGAAGACGTTGAGTATCCGTGGTCGGAACACATTCTTCGGGTCCAGACAATAGACGCGTAGAAGGTACACAAAGTAAGCCGGCGCCAGGTAGAGGTAGATATGTTTCAGGCACAACAGCACGGCGAACAGTATGCCACTGTACAGCACTGTTGCTTCATTCCTTGCGAGCACGATTGACAGTAACAGCACGCCATACAGAAACCCGTTGTACTGGAAGTGAATATGGTCGATAATCAGAAGACCAGGAGAGAGCAGGATGGAGAGGGCGACAACATGGGTCTGGCGACGGGTCGAAGGAGGCGAGGTTTTCGTATATCTACGATCGTTCAGCACCACCTTCGTATCACTATCGTTCAGCATACCTGTGCAACGCGTAGACCAGAAGCAGTTCTGTCAAAATCACGGAACTCCTCTGGAAACAAACGGTGGCCCATAAATCATAGTTCAAATTTTCGATTCGTACCATGGCTTGATCAATCCAACTCGCTGGATAAGACAACAGCCACTCAAAGACCGCGAACCCCGGAGGGTAGTCGAGAGTCCATTCTGATGTAGCCTGCATTGCTAGTCAGTGCTGGTGGCCAAAACGTTGCGACTAGCTCAACTAACCTCATAATACCAGCGCTTCACCGGCAAAGAGTGGGTGATAGCCAGCCAGTTTCGATGAACCTCAAAGTCGGTGGACTTGTATGCTGGGAAAAGCAGAATCTTGAGAGCAGTTGCTACTATAGTAGTCTGGAGTAGAGAAGGCCATTGATCGCTACCTGGCTCTCGTGCCGCCCTCGGCTTCGGCCGGTTCTTTCCCCCGTTAGCTGGCAGAGCTCCAAGGAGGAATACATGTAAGGCTGTGGTCTTACAGGTATGATCGGCGTCCTGTCGCGGAACTGGCTGAGGGAGGCCGAGACGGCGGAAGCCATGGTCGGCCTAGAGTACCGTCCGACAATACCGACGGACTTGATATGTGTGTCTGGCCAGCAGAGGCTTCTCCAACATCTGAGGTACGTAGATGTAAGAAGTGTGCAGTGGTTGAGAGTCGTCCGCAAAAACACGCCAGTTTAGTGTAATCGAATTCGCCAATCGCAATGCGGCATGAATTCGGTAAAATGCAACCAAATGGCTTCTAGAATCTGGCCTCTTTTAACACCCAGGCATCTGCACACGATACGTCCTCGATGAATACCGAACTCCAGCATTCTGCGAATAGCCACCGGCATTACTACTAGTATGTCATGTCAATCTGTGATTTGAGGCCACTCCCACGGCCTCTCACCCTGCCTCAGCCCTGAATGGACGGACTAGAAGGAATCACACATAATGTTGCTTTCAAAAGCCTGAATATCAGACATCTTGTTGAACCAGCTCCTGCCACGCTTGATCTTGCTCGCGAGTGTCGTTACTGCGTCATTGCCGTCTGCATCACTTGGGCCACTGTATCAATATTTCGCACCTGGGTCACACACAAGAGAGACTCTCCCTGAGCACTGCCCTTGAGCAGCCTTGCCGACCCTTTTCCCTTCAAGTCAGTGGTTTGATTCTATCCGGTTGCGTCAACGTGCTGACTTTTGCACAGAAGTGTACTCTCAAAAGTTGTCAACATGCTGAGCCTCCGCTCTGCCTGTCTATGCCTCCTCTGGGCCACTGCTGCCCTGTCGCAGAACATCGTCGAAGAGCTGTCGTTTGGTCACAAACAAGGGATCTCGCCCAATTCCTTCGCCATTCCCGGCTGGGCGATGTTGGGCGAAGGACACGTGCCGCAACTCCTTTCCGACAAAGTCATCCTGACGCCTCCATACGGCGCCAACAAGCGAGGCGCGTTGTGGTCAGAGCAGAAGAACACTCTAAAAGAATGGACGGCGGACTTCAAGTTCAGAGCGGGCGCAGTTGATCGGGGAACGGGCCATCTGCAGCTATGGTATGCAAGCAATGGGGAGAAAAGCGTCAGCACGTCGAGCATCTACACCGTCGGAAAGTGGGAAGGGCTGGCAATTGTCGTCAATACGGTGGGAGGAGTCCAGAAGATCCGCGGCTTCTTGAACGACGGCTCAATCGAATACAAGAGCCATCCCAACGTCGACAGTCTAGCCTTTGGGAACTGCGACTATGTCTACCGCAACCTGGGTCGTCCGTCACACATCAACGTCAAGTCTTCCAACGCCGGGCTCGAAGTCAGAGTGGACGGGAAGATGTGTTTCGCCACGGACAAGGTGGCTCTTCCTACAGACTACAACTTCGGCTTGACTGCTGCCTCGGCTGATCCGCCGGACTCGTTCGAGGTCTTTGCCTTCACCCTTTCTTCCATCTCAGTACCCACTCCACAGCAAGGAAGCCACCAGCCTCCTCCACCAGCTCCTCCAGCAAACCGCGATCCCGGTATGTCGCAATTGGACGACCTTCCGGCTTCGTACTTCACCACTTCTGAAGCCCAGTTCGCCGACCTGCACAACCGGCTTAATCTGCTGTCAAAGGCGATCACGAATCTCTTTGGCGAAATCACACGCCACACTGCCGCCGAAGAGGCTCGCTACAAGGAGATCCTGGGCCGCATGCCGAACGGGCAGATGATCTCGTCGCTGGACTCCCGTGTCGCCAATCTCGACCGTGTGGTCGGAAACCTGGAGCGCGAACTCAAGTCGTCCGACCACAAGGCGCAGTTCGCCAAGATCTCCGAACAGATCGCCCAGACGCACGTTGGCGTGACGGAGCACGTACCTCAACGTCTGCGTGAGTATGTGCAGGCGCACACGCCACGGATAGGTTTCATCCTCTACAGTTTCATGGCCTTCCAGACGTGTTGCATAGGTGCCTTCGCGTGGTATAAGTGGCGCAAGAGTACAATGCCCAAGAAATATCTTTAGTAGAGGGGATCTGGATCACTGGGCGAAAGGAGCAGCTTGAGATCCTGTTTTCGTGATCCAATGCAGGAGGTGTATGGTAACAAAATGGACCAGGGTTGGAAAATTGTGTCATTCTCTGTAACACTAGGATTGAGCATTGACAAGCATCTTGTTTGGGTTCGCAGTTGTTCTATCTCTCCAAACTCTCACCGTCTATCCTAATCTGTACCTCGTGTCATCTGTCGTCAGTAGGAGTTGTGTTATGCGGCACAGATACCCTCCCGCTTCCCGGTTGCGTCGACATTCGATCACTTGACTTATGATACCTTCGGATATGACTCGAATGCATCTCGTTACTAGGCCTAGAACCGGACCCTAGATTGTCACAACAATGGCTCCCGGACCTTTTCCCCGAATCAAGGAGTGCATCTATACGCGAACCGCGGGTAGAGGGCACATTCCCTCACCGTCCAGCGGCCGCACATCCAAGCGAGAAATCGTTCGAGACCTAGGCCGTAGCCGCCGTGAGGGGACGTACCATATCTAGATTACCAAAAAATGTCAGTCCTGAAGAAGGAGTCGCGATGCGTAGTCGAGAAGAACCAGATATGCAAATCATGTTGTGAGAAATCAAACGTACCGTCTCTGGTCAGTGTACCAATAGTAGGGAGCAGGGTCGATTCCTTCCCGCTTATACGCGGCCATGAGCTCATCGTAGTCTTCCATACGCATACTGCCGCCGACGATCTCACCCACACCTGGCATGAGCAGGTCGACACTCTCGGTGACTCTCTTGTCGCTCTCGTCCTTTTTCATGTAGAACGCCTTGATCTCGACAGGGAAATGGGTGAGGAAAATCGGCACGTTCAGCTCATCGGTCATCTTGCGCTCGGCGGCTTCGGCAATGTCGTCGCCAAACTTGTGCGGCTCGCCTTCTTCGTTGGGAATGTTGTGCTCGACCAGCCATTCAATGGCCTCGGCATACTTCATGCGACGGAAGGGCCGGCTAGGTTTGCTGAATTTGGGGTTGAGTTCCTTGACGTAGGCCGCGATGATCGGGTCCGCGAGCGTGAGGTCGATGACTCGGCAGATGACGTGCTCGAGGTGCGTCAGGAGGTCGTCGAAGGTGATGAAGTCCAATTCGGCCTCGATATGCGTGTATTCCGACAGATGGCGGCGGGTGAGAGACTTCTCGGCGCGGAAGGATGGGCAAATGCAGAAGACGTCGCCGAGCGAGGCGAGACATGTTTCGAGGTACAGCTGGGAGGATTGCGTCAAATAAGCCTTTTCGCCGTAGTAGTCGAACTCGAAGAGGGTCGCGCCGCCTTCGACCTGAGTCTGCACCATAGCAGGCGGCGTGACTTCGGTGAGTCGTGTTTCTACATAGGTCTGGCGGAATGCTCGTGTCACTGCAGCTCGGACCTTCATGACCGAGGATGCTTGGTCACCTCGCAGGACCAGGTGGCGGTTGTCCAGAAGAATCTGTGGTTCGGCGTCCTGCTGGACTTTGTTGGTGATCGCGTCCTTGTCGCCCACAGCGGCGCCAATGACGGTGAAGAAGTCGGCATGCAACTCGCGGTCCAAGGGGGCATGAGCTTTGGGAGGTAGAGCTCTCAGCTCACCATGGATGGCGAGTGAGGTTTCCAGCGTCAGGGTCATGGCTGCGTATGTCTTGATCAGGTTGCCGCTAAACACGCATTGCATTTGGCCATATCCGTCCTTCAGGGTCACGAAGATGATATCCTTCTGAGAGCGTAGGTGATGGACTCTCCCAAGCACGCGGACACGGGTGCCTGGGCTATCTGAGGTGCCTAACTTGATTTTGGCTGGGTCGGTCTCGTCGAGTCGGATTCTAACAGGTGCTGGCAGACTTGCATCCTCTTTGATGATGACCTTCTTGGCCTCTTCGAGGACTTGTTGCCGTTTCATCGCCTCGGCGTTCTCGCGGATGGCCAGTTCCGATGCCTTGGCCTGCTTTTTCTTGTAGGCCTCGTACAAGTTGGTAGCTTTCTTCAGGGCAGATTTGGCCGGCGCCTTCCACTCCAGACGAGCAGCCGGATCTCCATCGGCCTCGACAGTCCCAGTCACCGATTTGCGTACCTGATATGTCGCGCTTCCGGGAGGGTGTTTGATCATGGCATGGAGAAGAGTTTTGTAAGGGGCTGTCTCAGTTCCGACGGCGGACTCATCATCCCGACCGACATCCTCGTCAACGTAAATTGGTGAAGCCATGTTCGCCAACCTTCTGTTATGAGAGTCGATACTGATAGCTCGGGTGATAAGTTGTCTTCGAGATTCCTGTTGATTTTAAAAAGGCTTTGGTGAGTCACTAGTTTATGACACCGCCGTGGACCAGGCTAATGACACATTCGCAATATGACGCAGCTGTGATCAGGAAAATGTGATCGGAGTGTAAGACACACCCGGGATGGGCGAGAACCGTAGGAGATGGTGGTGGTGTTCGTGGTAGAATGTGAAGAGTTGCTCGAGCAATGACAGTGAATGATCGACTCTTACGGTCTGGACTGATAAGCTGAGGCCCGCCATAATAATTTTTGTATGGGCAGCATCAGTGCGCGCGCAGGCGGCAGCAGAGCCAATAGGAATGGCAATGTGTCGCAGCTGGTGGCTACGGCGGCTACAAGCTCTTGACAGGCAGGCAAAAGCAACTAAACTGGCGTCAGGAACGTCTCCGCGATGGAGCAGCCTCCTTCCAAGCTGAATGGTCCAATCAAGCTCCTGCCGTGGCCAGCAATCAAAACCGACGCCACATTGTGGAAAGAGCGACCCAGTATCTCAGACCATCTCTGGGGTCTCTACCATTGCATGTCTCGCATTCTCTGAGAGAAAAGGTACGGTCAGTACCTGAGGTAGGTCCAAAGGTGAAATTGGCACATGTACGAAGGTATTGCGTTCCTCTCGAAGTCGTTGCCTCATAAATGCACCTGCATCGTATAGGCCGTCGCAGTGTAGACTACCGCGGGCTACTAAGCAGGATGGTTTGAACATGGGTTCCTATTTTATTGATAGCCAGCCCCGTACAGGTGGCTCTTCTAAGCCCATCCGCCCATAGTGTCGCTCTCAGGCTGGAATCGCTTGCCCCGTCGCCCAACAGCGTGCCGTATTAGTATTGCAGCTTGCAGGTTACTATTGAACCCTCCTCCACCAAGTCGACCATCAGCATCAAAGGCTCTCAACCCCGGTCTGCGTCCATTAGTCCATCTGCAGGTTGATCTCAGGTCAACTACCTTACCCAACTACCCCGTGTGTCACCTTCCCCCTGGCCCCAAGCACGTTTGTATCAGAATGAACCATCTAGATGATCATGACTGCGCCTAGAGGAAGAGAAACAGAATGCAGCTGATGATTCCAATAATACTCCGTAGTAATGCAGTGGACGAGGGAATGAATGATTGACTTCAACGCTGAGCCGTGTCCATGGATGGCGGTGCCACCACCCGCGCGTGTCCTTTTCCCCCCTGCGACCGGGGCCCATTCTTGCCCCCTTATTCGCTGCTTCAGAGCCCATCCACTTTGGCATCTCTCACTCTCCTTCTTAGCAAGCAGTCCAGCAACCGGGCAAGCAATCAATCCAACACTCCATTCTTTACCTCTTCCTTGTGCTTGTTGCTTGCTCCATCCTTCTTTTACTTTACTCACTTTCCCTCTCACTCCTCACTCTTTTATTGTCTCGCTGCTCTATCTTTCTTCAATTCCATCGTTATTCTTTCATTCCATTCCATTCGCTCGTTACATCCACAGTCGCTATACTACTCCTATTCTCTCCTTTCGACGATAGACTCCTATTCTGGCAGCCACTGGCAGCCTCTTCACTCTTTGTACAGAGCAGACCCTAAAAGACGAAAGCCTCCCGCTCCTAATTTGGCCTTCACGACCGTTCGTTCTCCCGCTGCACGCTTCAGTCGCTGGTGCATCGACTGTACCCTCCCTTGATCGAAGAGAAACCCATACAAACACACACCCATCCAAGGCGCACTACAAGTCAAGAATCCCATGCTGGCCGCAATGCAAAGTCAAGACGTATTTGGAGGATTTGGAAATCGTCTTGCATCTTCAAAGTTTGGCACGGACAACACTGGCTTCAGTCATGGCGCCTACAATTCAAATTACGGGGGTTACCAGGGGTTTGGCGACCGCAACATGCGCAATTCAAATATTCCTGCAATACCTACAGCACCTAAAGAACAACAACCTACTTATAATGCCAATGAGCAGACGCCGGGCACCGCGTTTGATATGAATTTCACACCGCTGTTGCCTTCCCAACTCCTTCTCGGCAGTCCCTTTCAACCTGGTTCTCCTGGTGCCTTCTCTTCGCCCCAGTTTCCCAGCTTCAATCGTGGCCCTCAGGGAACAAATGCTCTCCACCATCAGACCCAGCAGTATCAGCAGAATCAGCAATTCGGAAGTCCTGTCCAACAAAATGCCAATCTTCTATCATCTCAGGGGTACCAGACAATCATGTCACCAGAGGGGTACACAGCCCAGTCTCCGACTGGCTTTTCTGGGCTAGCTGGCGCGGCCTTTGGTCATTACCAGCCGATGATGGGGATGAGCCAGAATTGGATGCCTGGGACAAGTCGCACCGTCTATCTAGGAAACATCCCAGCCGATACTTCTGCAGAAGAGATCTTGGGCCATGTACGAAGTGGTCAGATCGAGTCCGTCCGACTCTTGCCAGAAAAGAACTGTGCCTTTATTTCATTTCTCGATAGCAGCTCTGCCACCCATTTCCATTCCGATGCCATCTTGAAGAAGCTGTCAATCAAAGGTCACGACATAAAGATCGGCTGGGGTAAGCCGTCCCCGGTGCCTACTTCTGTTGCTCTTGCTGTTCAACAGTCTGGCGCCTCCAGGAATGTCTACCTGGGCAATCTTCCCGAAGACATCACGGAGCAAGAGATCCGACAGGATCTGGGCAAGTTTGGGCCCATCGATACCGTCAAAATGGTCCGGGAGAAGGCTATCGCCTTTGTCCATTTCCTCTCCATTGGCAATGCCATCAAGGCCGTGGCACAACTCCCTCAAGATCCCAAATGGGGGCCACCGCGCCGCGTGTATTACGGCAAGGACAGATGTGCGTACGTGTCCAAGACTCAACAGCAAAATGCTGCACAGTATCTCGGGATTGCTCCTGGTTATGCCCACGTGCTGAATGGCGCGGACCGTGACTTGATCTCCAATGCTTTAGCGCAACAGTCTGTTGCTGCCGCGGCGGTGGCCACCACAGCAGGCGGCGTCAACAACCTGGGCAACCGGACAGTGTATCTTGGAAACATTCATCCCGAGACCACCATCGAAGAAATTTGTAACGTGGTCCGAGGAGGTCTGCTTCACCACATCCGCTACATTCCGGACAAGCATATCTGTTTTGTGACATTTATCGATCCCACATCAGCAGCGTCATTTTATGCATTGAGCAATCTTCAGGGGCTGATGATTCACAACCGACGACTGAAAATAGGCTGGGGCAAGCATTCCGGTGCTCTACCCCCTGCCATTGCACTGGCCGTTAGCGGCGGAGCGTCTCGAAATGTGTACATCGGTAATCTCGATGAGAGTTGGAGTGAGGAACGTCTGCGGCAAGACTTCTCGGAATACGGCGAAATTGAGCTGGTCAACACACTCCGAGAGAAGAGTTGTGCTTTTGTCAACTTCACCAACATTGCCAACGCCATCAAAGCGATCGAGGCGGTTCGACAGAAGGAAGAATACAAGCGTTTCAAGATCAACTTCGGCAAGGACCGTTGTGGTAATCCGCCACGTCTCAGCAATGCGAATGGCAACAACGCGCGAATGCAAGGCAATCCAGAAGGGGCTGGTTCTCCGCCCACGATCAATGGGTTTGATCATCCACTGTCGCAGACGGGGACCAGCCCGACCAGACCACAAATCCCGGTCGGACCAAAGGTGACGATGGGTGGACAGCCTCAGAACATTCCTCGTCAAGCCCAGCCCAACCTCTCTGCTGCTGCTGCTGCCGCCGCCGCCACTCCTTCTACAATCTTGAATGCCGGAAATCACAATCCCTTGACGATGTACTTGTCGCATGTGTCCCAACAACAGGCTCAAGCTGAGCAGGATCTTCGAGAGGAAAGTCTGTCATTCACTTCCCTGCAACAGCAACAGAACCAAGCTTTGGCAAATCAACAGGCAACACTGTACGGGGACATGCCAAACGGCCACAGTGGACTGGACACGGCGCCTTCGTCTCATGTTGGGCGACAAAGCAGTATCAGTGGTGGATTTGGCGCGAACCCCAATCCCATGACCAATGGCACTTCCACCACGATTGGTGGTCTTCTGGCTCCTACCAACGTAGGTTTAGGAGTTAGTCGGGGTGCACACTCCAGGGCCGTTTCCCTTCCTGCATTCTCACAAGAGGTCTTTGGTGGGCAACAAGCTAGCCAGCCAGGACCCTCCTCCCGTCCATTTGGAGGACACGCCCCTCAAGGCAGTTTCGGTGGCTTTGGATCTGTCTTTGGCACTGGATTCGGCACCAGTGGATTCAATGGGCTCGGATTGACAAGCGACAGCCGTGGAGCCCTTTCCGGCTGGGCTGAGGAGGAAATCGGAGCAAAATAAGCACATTTAATCACCATTTTTCATTATGTTTTGTGGTCATGGATCTGGGTTCTCGAATCTTTGAACGAAGGTCCAGGTCTGTGGCAAATATCCCTGTTCTAATATCACTGTTGGTTTCGGAGGAGCTATACTTCTCTTGTTTCTATTCTGCAGTGACGATGTTGGCCGTCTGGTGCAGCTGAGGACTGCATATTATTGTCTTATTATGGTGGCATACCCTGGTTGAGGGTGCTCGACAAATGATGCCGGGACTATGTTCAGCCACAGTTCCATGTCCTTGAAATGTACAGATATGTGTGGTCTCGGAAAGGGCGGACAATGGATGCTGGGAGACGCAGCATGCCATGATGTATCGTGTGATGAGGATCTCGAAGTAGAATATACCAAGGTTGAGACTGGCAGTATTTCTTTCCCCGGATAAAGTATACTATGTGTTGGAAATACTTGGACTTCCTTGTTATCAATCGAACGCAGCATCGACAGAATCACTACGATCGTTTAGAGTCGTAGAGATTTGGCGCAGGCGATAAGAGCTGATGCTCAGCTAGTCGACAATAAGAATACGAAAGGCTTGACACGAAAGGAAACAGGGCGCGTGTGTTGACGCGTCGAGAGGGGGAAATGTGATCTGTCTGAGTTGATCTCGGGTAATGGATAGTGTGTATGATGCATGTCCTGTGGCAGTTCACCAGATGAAACTATGAAGAGCGATGAGCCGTCGTGGACCTGTGCTCAATCAGTTCGAGTCAGCTATGAGTAGCGCAGGTGTCATGTTCAAGGGGTGTTCGCCAGCAGATGAAGAAAATCACCCACCACGCTTGCTGACTGCCGGTACGTGCTTTAGGGCGCCTGCAATGCAAGTCGAGGCCGCCCTTCCTTTTTTCCCGCGCACACTGTTTCGTGTTTACACCATGCCAGAAGGAGGCACAAGCATACCGAGACTGGCAAGGCCTTGCTTGTTCGGTACAAGTGAAAAGGGTCCGAATGGCAGATGGAGACGGCACGGCGCTCGCTGAAGATACAGGGGGTCAAGGATGAGAAGCGTAAAGACACCGAAGGACTACGGAGACCCCTGCGCGCGCGAGAGAGAGTCGACTAGCAGGCAGGTTATCAACAACACTCAATGAACGGGGGTGCCAGTGGTTTGTACGTGTAGTAGTGTAGTCGTAGTCGTAGGTAGCGAGGTAGTAGGTTAGTGAGTGGTGCACAGTAGTGGTGTCTGTTTGGTGGTGACCTGGACTGCGCCCACGATTCTTCATCGCATACTCTCGCGTTGCCTGCGCCTCGTCCACCACTGGCGCCGGTCACTGGCAGGTGGTAGGCTGGTTGTCGTACTGCGTTTCCTACTACGCCTGATTGTACTCTTCAACTCATCCTTATAGCTACAACCACCACCATCACCGCGACTACTCCTTACTCCCTGGCCGATCATCATTGTTCTTCCTGTCCGCAACTCCGTCTATCGACCGTCTGACATCCTCTCACTCACCTTATACACGTATATCGTCCACTATATTTTCCATCCTGGCGCTTCCCTGAATTCAATCATCCGACACTTGAACCTCTGACATTTCCGGTAAATGCCTGTCCTCGCTTCGCACCACTAGACTTTTTCGCCAAAGAAAGTCTTGCATTGGACATATTCATCCTTTTCTTGCTGGTCAGATCTTCCATATATCGCGAGTCCTGGGACCGTTGACCGCCCTTCTCGGATTGAAACCTACACCTATTTTGCCAACCTTCGCTTCAGCAGCGACTGTCGACTGTGAGTAGACATGAATTACAATGCGCACAGAGCAAAGAGATGGAGGAGTTGACAAAGACACAAGTAGTGTTACGGTCCCCTCCTTCACTCGATAAACACAACACACCGTTTCTGCCGGACCCATCTACAGACGGTGGCCGCCCCGATTCCAAAGAACAAGACAAGAACGCAGTCACCGCTTCACCTTTTCGTGGGTATAACAGATTCACGCGCTCGGCGCTCCTCTCTTCTCCCCACCACCTCTCTGGTAAGCCAACATCATGTTGTCCCGATTCAAGACCATCTTGAAGAAGCGCAAGCTAAAGCTTTCGGTCCTTAGACCTACCAAGCCTGCTCGTATCCGACACCTCGACGACGCTACCTACCGCATAGACGAGGACGGGATGGTTGTTGCCACGATCAAGTGAGTGGGAAACCCAGCCGATCTACACCCAAGGGTTTGGCCCTCAAGCAAGTCGAGCACAACTAACTCTCCCTAGGTGTGTGGTTGTCGGCGACGGTGCTGTCGGCAAGACATGTCTGCTTATCTCCTACACCACCAACAAGTTCCCTTCGGAATATGTCCCGACAGTCTTTGACAATTATGCTGTGACGGTGATGTGAGTCTACACAAAGAATCTGGAGTGGTTAGGTACAGGCTATCAGTGGCATATGGCCGGTCTCACAACGACAAGGATTGTGCCGATCTGAACCTGGAACCACCATCTACTCGTTGAGCCTGTGCACTAACTACAAGTTTCAGGATCGGGGATGAACCATACACCCTTGGGCTGTTTGATACGGCCGGACAAGAGGATTACGACCGACTTCGACCTTTGTCATACCCACAGACTGATGTCTTCCTCGTTTGCTTCTCCGTCACCTCCCCAGCGTCGTTCGAGAACGTTCGAGAGAAATGGTTCCCCGAGGTCCATCACCATTGTCCCGGCGTCCCATGTCTGATCGTTGGAACGCAAACCGATCTTCGAGATGATCCGCAGGTCCGCGATAAGCTCGCTAAGCAGAAGATGCAGCCTGTTCGAAAAGAAGACGGCGAAAGAATGGCCAAGGAACTGGGTGCTGTCAAATATGTCGAATGCAGTGCATTGACTCAATACAAACTGAAGGATGTGTTTGACGAGGCAATCGTGGCAGCTCTGGAACCTCCCCCCAAGAAGAGTAGTAAGAAGTGTACGATTCTTTGAAGGAAACCCTGCAGGGAATCCATTCAATGAGTTTTACCGGGTTCTTTCCAAGGTAGGTGATCCAAACTCCACAGCATCTGGCTGATCATTTTGGGCGGTTTTTGTTGACCACATGCAGTTTCTTGGAATCCCCTTTTTTTCAACTACTCGACCTTGGAGAGAGAGAAAGCCTGGAGTCGTCTTTGGACAGAGAGAGATACAATCCAACCCCGATTGGCCACCAACGGAAATGGCACGCGTCAGGCAGATCAGCAGCTTAGGGATTGCAATCATCTTGCACACCAGGAAATGCTGGCACAGCGGAGGGCTTGAACCTTTTCATCACGGGGCGTTTTCATATTGCTGATTGGACGGGATTAGTCAATCGTGCAGAGCGTGTTCTCTCTCTTTTCGTTTCCCCCAAGATCACCCCCTTGTCTTGCCAGTTATCACAAAGAGCGCGAGTGGCGTCGAGATGGGGATGGATCGGTATGGTTGACATCGTGCTGTGAGCCGGCTTACATACAAGACCAGAACAAGTTCAGACTCCATACTCGGTATTCGATGCATCAGTACTCGGCCAGAGTTGTGACTTGACGTTCGGATCAGACGCTGACCGAATTTCCGTCGAGCTACGAAGACAAGTACCGTGAAGATCCAGCGCTTGAACATTGACTCTGATCCTAACCATGACCCTGATCCAGATCCAGACCATGACATTGACCCTGACATTGTGCTTGACCGTTGATTGTTGTCTTCTTGCTCGTTGCGCGGGTTTTCTTATTTTTGTTTTGTCCATGCTAAAGCAGCACGCGGTGGTGAAGTTGCATTCTGCTGCATTCTGCATTCGGCGTTTTTTGTATTCTGCATTTTTTGTATTCCTTTGTCTTTTGTCTTGTTTCTATGTAATCTACACCATGTACCCTAGGGTACAGGTATTAACCCTGTGTAGCCTATACCCCAGCCTATACCTATATAAAGCGAGGTTTGGGTGAAGTGAAGCCTTGCACTACATGAAGAATCAATCCAAGGGACTTTCGGGGTGGAGTGGAGTGTAGGGTAGGGTAGAGTAGAGTAGGGTAGGGTAGGGTAAAGTCGGTAGGTGCTCTACTGTCAGGGTAGCAAGACCGGTACTGACCCGGGTTGAAATGGAAATGGAAATGTACTCACTCACTGATATAATCAAACTACGCACCTTGACGGGAGAAGGCGAGAAGAGAGAAGGCGAGAAGAGAGAAGGCGAGAAGAGAGAAGGCGAGAAGAGAGAGGGCGAGAAGAGAGAAGGGCGAGAAGAGAGAAGGCGAAGGAAGGGGCAACTAACTGTCCGGACACGTCTCGCAGCAAAAGAAGAGAGACGAGACGAGACGAGACACGAAGGGAGACTCGACTCGATCATCCTCCAGATAATTGAATATCGGAGAGACACTCGTTTGGTGGAGGAAATAGTATGGCGTGCGTACATTGGACTGCCTTGGCCACCGGTGAAACGAAGGAAGGAATTTCCTCTAACCATCATGTTCGAGTTGGAAGACTTGACTTGACTTGACTTGACCTTACTTGACCTTACTTGACCTGCCGAATAACCATACTAGACTCTGCAGAGCGCACCAGACTGGACCATCTCCATGTCAGACCAGCGCAGACCAGCGCAGAACAGAAGCAGAACAGAATAGACCGGCCAGACCACAGCACCACGGAGCAGACCAGACCAGACGAAACGAAACGAGACCAGACGCCCATGTCGTCCTTCTGGTCAAAAGCAACCACACGGACAAGAAAGGCCTGATGAGAAAACCCTTCTCCATAATGACGCTCGATTTGCTTGATTTACACAAAGAGGATGGGATTCTTCGACTACCGTCCCCTTTCCTTCTCCAGATCCAGATCCATTCCCATCTCCATGCCCATGCCCATGGCGGGTTTAGTCCAAAGAGACTGGAAAAGATATGGATGGGAATCGGGATGGACATCAATGATATCAATGACTCCACTCCACTCTTCTCTGCTCTCCTCTCCTGCCTTCAAGTAATACTGTCCGAGTCATCGTCAATGTCTTCGTCTTCGTCCGAGTCATGCTCGCTGTTGACTTCCCCATTGGCCTCGTAGTCTTCATAGAGATACTTCTTGGTGGTATTGGTATTCGCGTTCGTGTTGGCAGCGCTACTAGTACCAGTACCAGTGGCGGCAGTGGTATCACCATTCACCATCTTTCCTTTGGTGCTGTTGGCAACGTGCTCTTCCGTAGGACGAGACAAATCACCACTTTGGCTCGCTTGGCTGGTCTCGTCCGTCAGCGAAGGAGTGGCGTGACCCAACACGGCCAATCTCTTGTTGATAAGTCCCTGCAGTTGAAGCAGTTGGTCGAGTTCGGACTGTTGCATGGCCTCCAGCACTTCCGGTGGAGCTTCACTGACCAGCTGGTTGGTCAAGTCGGCCAATGCATCGCCCGATAGACCGTTCATGCCTTTCTGAGACATTTCTGCCAGTTGTAGTACCGCTTGCTGTTCTCTGAGAGATCGTTGACGGAGGGCTGCGTTCGCCTTCGCCGTCTCTGCAATAGCAAGTGCCGTTGCTCCGGTGAAAAAATCGGGTTCGACCACCTTGACCACCGTTTCTTCGGGGGGATGATACAACACGGCACCATCTGGGCGGTATTTGGCCGCTCGGATCCTCTTGGGGGCGTTCAGGAGTCGCGGGAATGATTGATCCTCATACCAACTCTTCTTGACTCGATCGATAAAATCCAGCCGAATGCCTTTCTCCGGGATGCGGTGAACTTTGCCTAACATGTCGACCTCTTTGGTCTTGTCAAATTCAAACTCGTCCTTCATCAGTTCCACTTCGATGATGCCGTTGTTTCGGAATCCGCGCACCACCGGCACATCCAACGGCACGGCATTCTTGGGCTTTCGTAGTTTCGGCATGCGTCCCAGCTCGCCGGGAGCCGCCTCCGCTTGACGGCCGACAGCGACCAAGTCGTGTTCCACATGCAGTGGACATCGCCAGGTTGCGCCAGGCTTGTCCCCGGCACGACGACGAGGTGGGACGGCGAGAGGCGGGTCCACACAGTCCAAATGCCATTTGGCAGGACAGTAGTCACAGGGAATGATGTCGCGGCCATTCGAGGTATGTCCACATCGATAGCAGAGGATCAGGTTACCCTTACTATCCCGGGTTTCCTTGTAGTTGGGCTCCTCGATGAAGCCTGCTCGGTTCATCTTGACCGCATTGTTTTGCGTCCGAGGGAGACTGACTTCCTCATACTCGCCTTCGTCACCCGTGCGAACACCTTCAAAATATTCACGTATGTCCACAGGCAAGGCAAATGCTTTGGGGATGGTATCATCGACTCGGCGGATGGCCAGTCCTAGAAGACCGGTCGGGGATGGTGCTTGTTTCGAGCGTCGGGCAACGCATCGTGGACAAAACCATTCACCATCCACTTCTTGGTCGGGATCCAGCGGCGGCTCTAAACAAGCGTGATGGAAGGAATTGGTGCATCCATCGCAGCAGAGAAGCTTTCCTTCGCCGCCGCACGAAGCGCAAAACTCGTCATTGTCCTGATAAACCAAGTCAGTCACTGATGTATGAAACATCAACCACATGAATGGGGGCACCCCGGCGAATGAGGCATAACAGATCCAGAGAGAAGGAAAGTGGGAGTGGTAACTCGAGAGGGCATGTGAAGCAGGAAATAAGGAACGCAGTGCCCAGAAAGGAGACGAGAAACGAAAGGGCTGGAAGAAGTGAAGGGAAAAGAGGCGGTCCAATCGTGGCAAGGTGAAAAGGGCCGGGAGAAAAGACGAAGGGAGGGAGAAGGACTCGGGAGGCCACCACTTACTTCTGAGCTTGAATTCGCGCTGTGGCCGAGAACTGAGTCGCGCCCGGGCCCCGCACGTGAAATTCCTGCCGTGATCCCGCCATTCTTGGGTTTGTTTGGCCTGTTGATGGACATGTCAGTCGATCATATTGTAGGAGGGAAAAACATAGACAAGTCTCTTAGCTTGTCCCAAGCTGCTGCTCTTCCCTGCTGTATCTGGTGCGCCATCATGTGGGCTTCCAGACAGCCGACAGCCCAGGGGGTCGCAGCCTGCGTCAGCTGCATCCGTGGTAGAAGCGCAGCAAGTTGCAAGAACAATGAACAAACAGAACAACAAGATGATATCACTTACGAGACCATGACACGCGCAGATCTGCGTGCCTTCGCTGCCGGTGGAAGTCGTGTTGCTCGAGGCGTCACACCTCGTGAGGATGCAGCTGCCGCACCCGTCGGTGCTGGCGGACCAAGCAGCGGACCAGGCGACGACGAATCAGGAGTAATAACATCAATCTCATCCGCGTCGACTTCATCGTAGGCTCTCTTGCGGCTTGTTCCGTTAGGCAGCCCGCGGTCTTGTGGCGCGTCGGCGCTGACCGGTGATGACAGTTCGGCGTGAGGAGCCATCAGACGATTGGGATGAATCACCGGCTTCGGCGGGTTGTCGATGGGGTCTGCACGATTGGGATGAGCGTGGACTGGCTCACGTTCGTGGCTTTCGGGTCGAGGAATCGTGTTGTAATCATGGAAACTGTCATCCAAAAAGTGTCTTTTCCGCTTCGCAAGCTCATCAATGTCATAATCCGACTCCCCCTCACGAGACCGTTTCAACTTCTTCGAGCCGGCTTTGGAGGCAGTCGCAGTCGCGGTTGCAGTGTCCGAATCAACCGCGTGTTTGGAGGAGGTCGATGGAGGGTTCGTGGCACTGGCACTCGCACTGGCAACCGAACGCAATCGGTTCCCAGCCGCCGTCCGGGTTGAGGCTTGGCGCGGCCCTGCGTGGCGAGATCGCCGACTTCCTGTTCGTCCTTCACCTCGCTGCGCGCGGTCGAGGGGTGCGCCGAATTCGTCGGGAAGAGGAAGAGACTTGGCCGATGATAGGGAGGAGGAAGTGGACACGCTGCGCGTACGTTTGCGCTTCTGAGGCGATGTGGTGTGGGCGTGCAGAGAAGACCTCTCATGTGCATTCACAGCTGCCATGCTGCGCGACGTGGCTGAAGGCGAGACGGGCTGCTCGAAAGGTCTGTCAGAGCCTCGAATCTGTGATCCGTTGATGAAAAGGGAAATCTGTCGCCGATGCTGGCCGGGAGATGCTGTCGAGTCAATATTCGAGTAGGGTGGCTGGTCACGCAACCCGAATTCGCCAAGGTGTTGAGGAGAAGATTGATAAGGGCTGGCCGAGAATTGACTTGATCTGCGATGGCTTTTGATGCCGTGTTTGATGTAGCGTTTGAATGTTTTGACTTGGTCAGGCGAAGGTGATTCTTGAACCACCGCTTCCAAGACATTCCACAACTCGGGCATAACGCAAGCATCTTCGCGCAGCCGTTGCAGGCCCGGCACCAGATCTGGCTTCCCGTTCTGCTGTGCTTCTTGCATTGCGCGGTCGATGTGAGTTCGAAGTCGATCCTGCCGTAGATGTTCCTGAATCGACACGGGCTTGGAGCCACTACCTTGACTAGTAGGGGTAAACGCCATTTTGACGGGTGATGGTGACATGGTTGCTGCCTCGTGCATCTCTGCCACTTCTCTCCGAGGCGGCCGACCACGCGGTGGACTCGAAATGACAATGGTTTCAGCCTGGGGAGGCACTTCGGGTGGATGATCGGACATGATCTCAGACTCCATGGGTGAAGCCAACTGCATCTTCTCCGGCTCGGCGGCCGGCGTCACATCCTCCTCGGGTTGCGCGGGAGTGGCGCGGGGTGAAGGTCGTCGAATGTAGTTCAACTTCAACTTCTGTAGCAATCGAGAAGACGGCGCTGTCCCCAAAGGCTGCATGTTCTCTAGCACCCCTGCCCTCTCCAGGCCTCGTGTGTCCTCGAAACTCGGCACCGCAGGCCGCACTGCGGGCTCGATCCACGTATCCAGACTGGTCTGCTGGCCATTTCTCGTCAAGGGCGCCTCGACGGGCTTGGGGACAGTCTCTTTTTCACCAAACGTCGCAGGACTCGACAGGCGGCTCGATCTGTGCCGCAGCGATCTCGTAGACATCCTGCTCTTACTTCTCCGCGCCACACGCGCCGACTGCCAGCATGTTAGTTCAGGGACACGTGTGAAATCCAAGGATGGACACTTACAGTAGCCTGATGTAAGGCTCAGCGGGCTGGAGCGCAGACGGTGGATGGTGGGAAAGAAGGGGAAGTTGACTTTGGTACGAGAGAGTGCTCTTTGCTAGTCTACTGCAGTTTATCGCAAATGCTGGTTAGTACCTTAGCTATTGGGTAGTTAGAGGATTAGGGGTGTCAGGGTGTTAGGATCGGGGCAAGGGGCCGGCGGGATTCATTCGGGCCACTCTACTGCCACAACACAAGCACTGCTGCTCTGCTATTAGGCCCTAACACCCTTATGTTCTTAGGCTAGGTCTTAGCTGTTATAGCTATCATTATGATTATGAGGGTAATAATAATCCTTCTCCCAAGGCTGAGCAAGACGCTTCTATCAACCCCCTTTTTTCCCGCTATGGTCATCAACCGTGGCACGCATTTACCCTCAATGCCCGTTTTCTTCGTCGATGGACTCGACAATAGAGATTGCTCGAGGTCAAACCTAGAACTCTTATGACTGATGCCCTTTTCACTTTAATCTTCACTCCAGTCATCATCAGCAGGCAGCAGTGGCATAATCGCGGTGACGTGGCGACCAACATTCAGGGGATGGCCTGCCTTGCCACTTCCCCCTGCTACAGCCATAACCACCAAGGCAAGCACCGTATGTTTCTACAACAAGCAACAGTTCATATGTCCAAAGGCATGGACAATTTTTTATTGCTTCTATTTTGCCACTTGTCTTTTTCGTCGAAGACCTTGCATGTCTTCCAGCAACCCTGGCCACTGCATCAATCGTGCGCTTCTTTCAAGGGGTAATCCTGAGGTGAAACACGCATCTCAGCGATTTGACCAAAGGTCGCGTGGGCTGGTCGGCAGTACCAAGTAATGATCACGCGTGCCCGTAACTTTAGGCCTCATGGCGAGATCACAGTCATGCACTGCTCCTGGAACCCAAGCGTTGGAAGCAGCTTCTCGACCGGTCACGACGAGCCCATTCATTCCTCGTCGCTGGAGTCGTCGTCCTCGTCTTCGGCTTCCGCTGCGGCAGCCTTCTTCGCAGGCTTCTTCTTCTTCTTCTTGTTCTTGCTCTTGGATCCCGTAGATTTGCTCGTTGGCTGCTCCAGGATCTTCAGAATTTCTTCGTCTTCGATTTTCTTGTCCGACTTGATCGATTCTAAATCCAAAGCAGGCGGAGCTGCCAGGCGGGTCAAGCCATTCTTCGTGATAGCTAGACAGCAAATTAGTTGACCTGTTGTAATTCACAAGGGCTTAACATACCAATGGTGGTGAAAAGTCTCGTAACAGGAGACCCGTCCGCCTCAGCCGAGGGCTTGTATTCACGAAGAACGCCAGATCGGATGCATTCGACTACACCAACCTTGCCAGCTCTCTCGTCATCCAATTGACGGAGACTGAAGGGGAAGGTGCCAAATTTCTTGACGATCTCCGACAGGACCTGCCTCGAACTTGGTCGCTTCAAGCCATATGTTGTCGTGGTTCTCCTCAGAAGAGTCGAGCGCTTGTCCAGTTCCTTGACCTTGCCGGATCCCAGACTGAGTCCGACTTCGACACCCCAGACCTCGCCCACCTCCGCCGAACCTTCGCCCTTGGCACCATCGGCCGGGGACAGAATGATCCTCTTCTTGCCTTCAATCTCGTTGCGCTCGAATTGCCAGGAGGTAGTATGCTGCACAACATGCACGTCGTATGCTTTGGCGACCTTTTCGACCAGGGAAATGATCTTGGCCTGGGTGGGCGGCTTCTCGGCAGCAGCCTTCTTCTTCTCGTCCTCTGAGCCGGTAGCCAGTAGTCCAGGAGGGATCATGAGTCTCAGAAGCAGCTCGTTGGCGTAGTAGGTGGCCAGCAGCAAGTCTGCCTGTCGGCCCGTAATCTCAGCCTTCTTTCCCTTCTCTTCGGGCACCACAATAGTATTGCCGACGACGGCTCCGTAGCCATCAATCTGGGCGCCCAGCTGGATCTTGACCAGTTCGCCTGCTTTGATCGTCATGGCCGCATCTTCTGTGTCCGAGACCAAGGGGGTGAAAGGAGTAACATAGGAGCTCGGCGAGACTGTGCAGGGAGTCGCGACACCTTTGCTGATCTTCTTGTTGTTCTTGTACACTTGGCCGAGCTCTGATTCCAGGAGTGCATCTCCCTTCTGGCAGAGTTCGACGATTTTGGCGTCAGGTACACACCATCCTGTATTTCGTGGTCAGCCTGCGACCATGGTTGCGTGACCACCGCCACAACACACCTGAAACCTCCTCCAGGACCTTTTGCGCAATGCCAGCCGCAGTCTTGTACTGTTCATCCAGTCAGTAGTCTTCCTGGTCGTAAGATCGTTGTACGGACCTTGGTCAGGACATCGGGGTTGCTGATATTTTCTAAGGTCACAAACAAACGTTAGATCCTTGTTGTGTCCAAACGGAGAGCGCTTTGGCATGGCAATGGCGGCACATGAAGAGCCGAAGATTGATCATGCTTACCGAGGTCTGCAGTGCTTTCCGCCATCGTAAGAGAGAGAGCCAGAGGAATTGGCTGGCGTGGGAAGATTGGATTGTAGGGTGCAGTCAGTGGTGGAGGAATCAATTGAGAATTTCGAGTCTACACACAAAGCAACAGAATGACGGATCTGCCAGTGCGTTTGGTGGGCTGGATTTCCCCGCATGCCGCCGGCGTCATTTCACAGTTAAGGATGTGACCTTGAATTCATAGTGCGCTCTCATACTGCAGCTCTAGGCGCCATCAATACCGGTAATACAGTGTAAGGCAGGTATCTTACAGACGCATTTGCAGCCTCGAGTCTCAGCCTGATGGTGGTCTACTAGTCCATGTATAGGTACCTATGTACCTACTACTCTCATACCCATGGGCAGTATTTAGACCAAGCATCTATAGGTCGATTGTGCCAGCAACCAGTCTAAAACATCCTCTGCCGTCGCTCACGTTGAAAAGGTGTGTCTTCATTGCTACAACTACCTTTGTTCTCCTGTATATCCCTCTTATTGCCGCTGCTACGGACCACTGTTGGCGCTGAGAGACAGCCTTGGATATGCTCTAGGTAAGGCAGGACACAATAGCACGCCAGCCCTATTCGAGAGACGGATGGGAGGTCCGCACCGTTGCAAACACGATTGAAAAACTCTTTCAACATTGAAATCTTGATATGGTTCTTTCCAATATATAAGCCCCAAGGTGCTGTCGGCCCAGGCACGTTTGTAGCAGCCTAGAGTACTTTGGCTTCCACTAAACTGTATCGCACAAGACGCTACGCCGCTGCTTTCTTTCCCTGTCGCTCATCCACGTTAGACCGGTGGACGCGATTCCTGAGATGTGCCTCAAAGTTCTCGGCACTCGGCATGTAACTTTTCCCAGGTGGGCAGTCAAGGCACCTGATCCGTGGCACGTATTTGTGCGGGAACGATCGGCTGGCTTCATTTGCCGGCACGAGTTTGTGCGTCTTCGGATCTACCGCTGTGTGTTTCATGAAGCCTTCAAATCGATCATGGGGATAGATCTTTCGGAGCCGTTCCAGGTCTTGAAGAAGCCAATCCGGACACGGGGGCTGAGAATGATCTTGTCAGCAATATACTCACTGGACTCGGGATAACGGGCTTGGACTTACAGCAGGATGTGCAGAGCTGGGAGGATGGTGGGTGGCATCCACAGCGCCTGGAATGTCGGCAGGAGCCGGTACAGGAGAGGGTGGTGGCGGCATTGCCGCGAGATTGAGGGGTGCGGCCGAGACCGACCGTGAATGAGTTCCAGGACGCGGGCTGCCTTGATTTGATGCGTTGGAAACGAAGGCGGCCCGGTCTTTGGCTCGCTGCGAACGTGTCCATTCGCGAAGCTTCGCCCTTCCCAACCGCAATACCACGACCAACTTTTCCGGGCCAGACTCATCATCACTTTCCTCTTTGTAATCCTTCCTTCGAACGGAGGATCGACCTTCATGGTGCGAAGGCGCAATGGATTCCGGCGTCGCGGATCTCACAGAAGCGAAACCGCTGAGGTTCGAGCGGATGCCGGCACTTGCGGACAAAGCAGCGTTTCGAATCCCCCTCGTTCGCGCTGTTCCTTGTTGCAATAGATGAGTTGGAATGGCAGGGGAGTCGGGTCCTGAATCCTCGCTGTCGGATTCGTCCGTGTCGTCAAGTCCATCTCGTTGACCGGCGCCGCGAGCAGACCTTCGAGCCGACTTGGCGATACGGAAGATTCGACTTTCCTCCATGCTCAACGCACCACCTGGAATGACAGAAGAAACGACCAAAGATCGAATGGTCCGCTGGCGATCCTTGAGATCTGGCAGCGCAGGCCCGCCTCTGCGGTTGGTAGACCTCTTTTGTCTCCTCTGCTCCCGAGATATGGACAGCTCCGTCCGCTCTAGGTCTGCTTCGTTGAGTTCGTACAGGTAAGGAGTGTAGTCTTTAGCGGCCTGATAGGGTCGGAAGGTGGTGGGTAGAGGAGATGGTAGAAGGTTTTCACGTATATCAGGGTCCTCCACAGGTCGGCCATCAAAAGGATAGGCCGTGATATGCAAAGATTTAGAAAACAGCTGGCATTGCTCACGTATGGAGTGGGCGATGGCCGTTGTGAACTCTCCTGCCAAAGACAAATCGTCTGTCATCTGACGGGCAAAGGCTTCCGGGGAATTAAAGGGGTTATTGAGCTCCCATTCGAACTGGTCAATCAGCGTATTTTGGCCAATGGTGATATTCAGTTTGACCAAGACCCGCATCTCATCGTTCTTGTAGGCAAAGTAGGGTAGAGATGGGTCCAGCGGTTCTTCATCGGTGAAGATGTGAGGGCAGTAATCGGTGATCTGTTCGCGGATGCTGGCTGCCACGGCTTGAACCAGGGGACGACAGGCGCCAACCTCGAGACCAAAGTCTTCTACCAGCTTTTCGGCGAAGTAGTCGACAGACGTCGTGCGATCATGAAGATTCCAGGTGAACGTGTCGCGTAACCTGATCTTGCCCCAATCGATGTCAAGCCGGATCGGCACCAGGTCCTCGTTTTGCTCGGCCTGTAGGATTTGCTCCGTGCGAGGGATACGGGGAGGCATGGTCTTGCGTTTTCCCGGCCTTCTCTGTCGTGGATATAAGATGGGATCGCGGATGTTCTTGTCGTCGGTCCTCGGGTTGCCGAACCCCTCATAGCCATATCCAAAGATCGAGCCCGGATCATGCTCGCGTCTCGGTCGCAGACTTTGGTAAAATGCAAGCTCCTGCTTCTTTTGCTGCGACAGGGTTGGGTGGTTGATTTGTTCGGCCAACAGGGCCTTGTAATGGTATTCGCGCTGGACGTATTCATCGGCCTGGATACGCTCGATAGGGGTTTCGCGTTTGCGCTTACGATTCGCGCTGTGGTTCGCATCGTGGCCGGTCGGATCAGTGCCATTGGGAGAGTCGTTCTTCGAAAGGTCGATACCGGAGGCCGCTAGGACTTCCTTGGCCTTTTCCTTGCCTTGGGCGATGGACTCGGCATTGTTTGAGGAGGTGCCTGTGGGCGAGTCTGTAGGCGCAGCCGCCGCAGTCGCACCATCGAGAGAATCGCTCATGGCGACGACATATCACAGGAACAGGGAGGAGATACAGGCTAGGAGGCCAATCACGGTGGGACGCGTTTCTGTTGATGGAGTTAGCCATGTGGACAAATCTTGCAACGCAGTTTGGCCAGGGAGGCGAAGGCAGACAGGACAACGGGGGATAGCTTCAATTCCATCACCACATTGAACGGCCATCGCCAAATCCCATGATACCAGGTCGACGGCAAGCGATGGAAGGGATACATACCAGATCCGCCTCGGCTGCAGTCGATGCGCACAAACGTGTCTGGGATGGATCAATTCTCGACTCACTTGCGGCAGTTTCGCGTCCGGAACGACCAATCGCCCAATCAGGCTTAGCTCGGATATGGGGGCGGCGGCCATTTTTCGCCCAACCTCGTCGTCTCGTATCTACGGTACGGTATGCTGTCCACTCGCAGTGGTTCTGGCATCCTTTACCCGGGTCTGCCGCGAGCTACTATCTTCCTTTAACAAGAGACTGCTGGTTACAGGATCAGATTTAGATCACGAGAAGCCGTGTTGTGGAGGCATGCTTTGGGTTGGTAGCCCTGGAACAGCTCCATACTAGTAGTTCAAACGCCCGGAAAATGCCACACATGCTCGCGAAACATCCTTCTCTTGATCTTGGCAGTGATAATGGACGTCTAGAGATACTAGCCATAGTAGTACCCAGTGATGCAATCCTGAAGCCATACAAATCGTCGGCTCCAATATTGATTGCTTCAGCACACACGGTGGCAACACATTGAGGCACGAAGGCACGCAGCCCGATGAGTCAGCACAATGCTACTCACGTGACAGGTCTGAATGTTATTCTTCGCACGTGACTGGCATGCCCCTTGATACGCCCACATCATTCTCGGTTCCGCGGCTGCGACTGCGATTGCGACTGCGGTAGAACATCTGGTTCTCTACAACAAGCACTGCCGACACCATCAATCGCATCTGGAGCCGGCTACCTTCCTCCTTCCTCCTTCCTGCCACGACGTTCGTGCCTGACTTCCTCCTGTTCCCCAGTCCTCTGGGCTGTGTACAGAATCCCTCGACGGGCATTGGAACCACATGTTCTGACAGCTTACGGTTACGCAGCCATTATGGTATCTCGAAAGAACTAGACCGTCGTCTCACTGTGTGTTGTATTTGATCACATCTTTGTGTCTATCGTATCGTTCGTTTAGCCTTACCCTCAGGTGGAAGGACCCAAGCCGAAACGCATTGTCCCTTAAAGCTCTCCCATCGTTCAATTGACTCTCCACGACTACCAAGGCTTGAAATCATTCTGCTCCTAATCCTCGCCCTCCTCGACGAACGCCACCATGGGTGATGCCTCTTCTCCTCCACCGGTAGCTCGCCAGGTCAGCTCGCAGGAGGCTCCGGGCACATCCGTGGTCCCGTTGCGCATCATTACGCACAATATTCGCTTCGCCAACACCAGTCCAGAGAAGCATGAACGATTGTGGGAGGATCGGTTCCCGCATCTGTCGAGTCATTTCAAGTATCATACACGTCCGCACTTTGCGCCGCAATCTACATTGGTCTGCATGCAAGAGGTCCTGCACCGGCAGCTGCAAGATCTGGTCAAACATACCTTCAACACGTCCGGCTCCACGTCTCCTTCCCATGCAGAGGAGAGTGATTGGACCTTTGTCGGCGTTGGTCGCAATGATGGCAAGACTAAAGGCGAGTATAGTCCCATCTTCTTTCGCAAATCCGCATGGAAACTCCGCCATTTTGAGACAGTGTGGCTTAATGAGACTGGAGAGGTGGGCAAGAAGGGGTGGGATGCTTCCAGCATCCGGATTTTGACTTGCGCTGTCCTCCAATCGGCGCTTCCACCCACAGACTCTGGAGTCACATCGACATCCCACACCTCAAGGGTCATCCTTGCGCTCAATACGCATCTTGATGATCAAGGCGTAGTATCGCGTCGGGAGTCTACTAAGCTCATCCTTAAGGTCGCCTCACGGCTGAAGTCGCAATACTCACCGCAGTTCACTTTTCTCGCTGGGGATTTGAACAGTCGCCCTGACGATGACGCATATCAGCTTCTCAATATGCCGGGATCCAGCTTTGTTGACACGCGCCGCCTAATTCCTGACGACAACAATGCAGAAGGCAAGATATACGCGTATGGCAACGAACGTACCTTCACTGGGTTTGCGGGTGATGCAGGGGCTGGAGGTAGGCACAGAATTGACTTTATTCACTTGGGGATTTCCGAAGGGACCCATGATGAGGCAGAAATCGACACATTGAAACAGATGGTGCAGGGGTATGGAGTGCTTCCAAGCCGATTTGACGACCAGATCTGGATGAGCGACCATCGTGGGATAGTTGTGGATCTCCTGGTTCCAATGAAAAGCCCTTGATCTGCCACGAATCCGACGATGCGTTGGGATCTCTATAAGCGCATGCAGGATTGTACGGACGAGGTGTCTGGAAACACGTCGGATCAAGTCGAGGGAATTCTGCGAAACATCCGGTGGGCCTCAACGCCTGCCTGGTATTGAGGGATAGCCAATTTTCGAAGCAGATCTTGGATAACAAAGAAGTTTTCGGTCCTTTATATTTCACTATGAGCTGTACCTTAGGTAGGTATTCATACAATCGTATATCGTATTCAGGAAGCAAGCGAGGCTCCCTCTATGCGGTAGTTCTAGTAATCAGCAACTTGTTTCCTGTGAAGGCCCATCAACAGCCAGTAGCATTGATTCAGAACGACAAGCCACATCGTCAGCCGGATGGTTAATTGGCCGATTCGCTCACAACACGGACCTAGTATACGAGTAGTACGAGTAGTACGAATAGTACGAGTAGTGTGCTGCTAGAGCAGGTGGACTGCAGTATGAGGTGCAGTGTGAGCCGATGAACGAGGAAGGCGGCTGTCTGACAGAATATCGTCTGCTAGACTTGCCGCCAATTACCCACAAATTTGCCATTAAATCAGCTGTCAGACACCTCAACCCATATCCGACCCGTTCCAGGTCGACGACGCCATCCTTTCCATCCATTACTCGTCCATTCAACGCCATCTACCTATCTGCCTATACCTATGGTCCCCAAGGTATCTATCCCCTTGTGCGTCTGCTATTTTGAGTGGTATTTTGTCCATGCGCAAATGAAGCCACCTTCGTCCGCCGTTTCTTCTCCGAAAGTCCTTTCGCGATTGATATCTGCCTGTTCAGCAGACCAGGCTCATTTCACCTACGTGGCTTTTCTGTCGAGGGACAAGCAAACCTATACATCTGCTGCTCTGCGCGAGTCTTGGATTGAGGGATCTTTGTCTTTCTAGATACCAGTTGCGCGGCTACTGGACCTCGGACCTCCAGCATATATCGACCCGTCGGACGATCTATGTAATACACTGAAAGAACAATCCAGGTGCCCGATCAGTTAATACACCATGCCTTTCAGATTTCCCCCTTTTCTCAGCACATATCGGTTCTGGATCGCATCCTCACTACTGTCATCGATTCTGCTGGTCAGATATGCCCCCGGATACTCCATTCTGCAATCCTACACATGGACAGCCTTGGTAGCATATCTCCTGTGCTGGGTGGTCTACGGGACGTACACTGTTCTCATATACCCTCATTTCGTCAGCCCTCTACGCCACGTCCCCACTGTCCCAGGCGGCTCGCTCTTCCACGGCCAGTGGTTTACTCTGATCAAAGAACCGTCCGGGGCCCCCCTTCGACGATGGGCCAACGAGATTCCCAACGACGGGCTACTTCGATATTTCCATCTCTTCAACCGCGAGCGGCTCATGATCACCAGCCCCAAGGCGCTCGCCGAAGTGTTGACCACGAAGAACTACGACTTCATCAAACCCGAACTCGTCCGCGCTGGCCTCTCCCAGGTTCTTGGAGTCGGCATCCTCCTCGCCGAGGGCGAGGAGCACAAAGCGCAGCGCAAAAACCTCGCGCCGGCATTCCACTTCCGACACATCAAAGAACTGTACCCCATGTTTTGGACCAAAGGCATGGAAATGGCGGACTGCATCCAAGCCGAGCTGAAGCCGGCCGTTGAGGCCGACTCCGAGCCATCCATCGAGATCGGCGAATGGTGCAGCCGCGCGACGCTCGACATCATCGGCATTGCCGGGATGGGACAAGAGTTCCATGCCCTGGAGGACCCGTCGAATGAGCTGAACCGCGTCTACCGGGCCGCGTTCCAGCCCGACCGCACCGCGCAGGTTCTGGCGCTCCTCCACTTCCTCCTGCCGCGCTTCATCGTGCGCAACCTGCCGCTGGCACGCAATCGGACAGTCCAGGCGGCGGCCAAGGTTGCGCGCGACACATCGCGGCAGTTGGTCGCGCAGAAGAAGGCCCAACTGGCCAACAAAGAGCCCACGCAGCCAGATATTACTTCCGTGGCCCTCGAGTCCGGCGGCTTCACGGACGAAGAGCTGGTCGACAACATGATGACCTTTTTGGCCGCGGGCCACGAAACCACCGCCTCGGCATTCACCTGGGCGGTCTACATGCTGTGCCAACATCCAGAGATCCAGACACGCCTCAGGCAGGAGATCCACGAACACATACCCTCGGCGAGGGAGAACCCTGGTCGTGGTCCACCAGATCATCAGGCTGCCATCACCCACGATGTCATCGACAACATGCCCTTCCTGCACGCCGTGTGTCAGGAGACACTGCGTCTCTGGTCGCCCGTGCCTCTCACGCTGCGCTATACCGCCGTCGACACCACCATCCTCGGCCAGTTCGTGCCCCGGGGCACCATGATCATTCTGTCGCCGTGGGCGGTCAACAACAACTTCAAGCTCTGGGGTCCTGATGCCGACAAGTTCAACCCGGACCGCTGGATGGCGCCTGGCCAGGCTAATGCCGGCGGCGCCGTCAGCAATTATGCCTTTCTCACCTTCTTGCATGGCCCGAGGAGCTGTATCGGTATGAAGTTCGCGCAGGCCGAGTTCGCGTGTCTACTCGCGGCGTTTGTGGGCTCGTTCGAGATCAAGATGGCCGATCCTGATGAGGTGATTGACATTAAAGGCGGCGTCACCGCCAGGCCGAAAAATGGCCTTCGGGTTGTGCTGAAGAGCGTGCCGTGGGGGTCGGGGAGCTGAGATGAGTTAGAACAGATGCTCAGGCCGGTTTCCCCAAGAGACCCTCCCCTTTGATCTGAATGAAGGCTCAGCAAAGCGAAGATCTGAACTGAAGCTTGTCCTGAAAGCGCTCCCGTCCCCTGCCTCATCATGTTGCGTAGATATACTTAAGGGCGAACGAGGTTGTATATGTTCAGTCTGTTATGGTGTTGACGTATATAGACTGTTCTACACGGGAGGGAAGCATGCATGTCAATACGGCCTTCTGCGTGGATTCTCGAGATGACGAAATGACCCGTTGTCTGAGAGAATTGTACATTCATAGCCATCATATCTGTTTATACAAACTGGGCGGGAAACCGCAAGGCGATCCTCCTCGAGAGCGAGTAAATCGTTACACAGCTTTTTGGCCGCCGCCCAAAGGGACGCCTTTTGGACCGTGCTGCATCCCTCAGACGTTGTCCTCGTCTTCGCCGAGGTCACTCAGTTCACTCAACTCGCTTTCCTCGTCGCCTTCCTCGCCTCGAGTATTGTTCTCTTTCTGCTCACCCTTGCCATTAATTTTTCCGAACGAGAGTGTGGTCTGCCCCTTTTCTTTGCCCGCCTGTTTGGCAATCTTGATCCTCTCCTTTTCCACTTTCTTGTCGAACTGGGCCTGCATCTCGTCTCTCTCCTTTTTCCCTCTTTCACTCAATTCCCTCTCGAGATTCTTGAACGTGTCACTCTCCGGGTCCATACCGATCAGGCTCTCGAGCAACTTGATCTCGGTGGCCCAGATGGTCTTATCGTCTATCGTTTTCTTGCCAGTCGGGTCTTCCGGGTCTGGTCTCTCACATGGCGTTTCCAGGATCAGCGGCAGCCCCTGAAACTGCGGCTCGTTCATGACATTATGAAATGCGCGAAGCCCGAGAAAGCCCAGCCCGATGTTCTGGTGCAAATCCCTGTGACTGTTGAAGGGGGCCTTGGAGTCGTTGAGATGCAGGGCCTTAAGGTACTGGATCCCCACAGTCTCGTCGAAGTCGGCCATTGTCTTCTTGAACGCTTCAGGCGTGCGGAAATCATAGCCTGCCGCAAAGCCATGACACGTGTCGATACATACGCCGATTCGGGATCGATACTCAGGCTTGATCTGGGCGATGACGTCTCGAAGATCCTCGAACCGCCCGCCGATCAACGTGCCGTGGCCCGCCATGTTCTCTAGTAGGGGGACAACAGTGCTGGTCTCGGCCAGGGCGCGGTTGAGTCTGGTGGCAAGTCGCGTGACAGCTTCGTCGAAGGGACTTTGGCCTGCACCTCCCGGGTGAAAATTGTAGTATCGGATTCCCAGGGCTTCGCAGCGGTGTAGATCGTCGATGAACGTCTCGTAGGATTGTTGCGCCTTGGCCTCGTCCTCCGTGGCCAGATTGACTAGGTACGAGCCGTGCGGCACAATATGTGCTCCCCCATCGTACTGGTGCTCTATCAAACCCTTGACGAAGGCGTCTCGGTTCTCGTCTTTGAGTGGTGGGTTCTCCCATTTGCGCTGCGACTTGAGGAAACACGCGAACGCGTTGCCGCCAATGTGCACGCAGTTGGTGATGGCGTTCTCCAGGCCCTTGGCTATACTTGTATGTGCGCCGACAAACATTTTCAGCCCGACAGTGCGAGAAGCGAGCGGTCTTGCTTCGGCTTCTTTCTCTTCCTTGGTCCTGCGCTTCCGTTTGGGCTTTTGAACCTCGACTCCTTCGTCGGAATTGCCTGCATCCACATCCTCTTCAGCAGCCGTTTCGGCCTTTGATTTCGCTGGCCTCCCTGCGCCCTTTCTACTGCGGGTTTTGGTCGTTTGCACACTGGTTTCTTCTGTCTTTTCGACTTTGGCATCTGTCTCCTCCTGTACCGTCAAAGAACCGTTTCGCGCCGCTGTGACCGCTATCTTCTTCTCTTCTTCAATTCCAAGCTTGACCTTCTTGCGTCGACTTCTTGTAGTGCTGCGGCCGGTAGCTGGCGACGGTGGTGGTTCTTCCTTGGTCTTTGTAATGCCGCTCCGCCTCGGACTCGATTGAAGGGCCGTCTCGGTGGTCGTTGAGGCCAGCTCTCCACGCTTCCGCTTTCTGCTATCTGTGGTTTCTGTGACTGCGGGAGAAGCAGTGGCCAGACCGGCCTTGCGAGTTGCCGGCATTCTCGCCAGGCGAACAACGAGTGTGAAATGTATTTTCGGTAGGCGCAATCCCATTACATGGTGAGAGAGTGAATGGAGTAAATGACGAATCAGACGCGGTTCTGGTGGTTGAAGACGCGTTAAGCCGCGATTGAGCGACTCGGCTGACTTTCCTTAAGCACCACTTAAACAACTGCGCCCATATCGTATTTCCCAACGCTTTCGCGCCGCATATTTCGCAGTTCAATGCCATCTCTGTATTGTTTGTCCTGAATGGCACTGGTTTCTAGGTATGGCAGACAACGATGCTACGGATGACACTCCCAAAGTGTCAGACACCGACACCGGCTCCGGCTCCAGCGAAGATGAGTCTGAGACAGAGCAGGTCGAGACTTTGGTCGCTGGCCGGGAGCGACGAAAGACAGCTGGCAATCGCTATGATAGGGACATGCTCCTGGATGAAGCGGCCGCCGCCGTTGATGAGGACGCCGACGAGGTGACACTTCTATTCGCAGACAACGAAGAGGAGGAGGACGAAGAGTTCAAGAGCAGCGACGAAGATGAAGATGCCGACATGTCTTCCAGCGACGACGACGACCAAGGCCCAAATGTCGCCCCGGACGATCTGGAAGGGGAGAAGGAAATACAAAAGCAAGCCAAACAGGAGCGAGCGAAGAAACGTAGAGCAGACCTAGCACTCACAAGCGTGGCTGGACTAAGGAAGAAACTGAAGACCGACCCTACTCGACCAGCTGCACTGTCCGCCCCAGCCAAACCGTCCAAGAAGAAGGAAAGAGTAACGTGGGTCCACGATCCGGACTCCGGTCGGAGTTCCCTTCGGAAGCAGACGATCGCTCATCGAGCGGAGACCATCGCACGTCTGAAGGAGAGTGAGGCGCAAAGCAAAAAGATGAAGGCGCTCAAGGAGCAACGGGACCGGGAACGGGCCAAAGACGCCCCGAAGGAGCTTACACAGGAGGACCGGTTGGCTGAAGCAGCCCGAGTCGAGAGACAGAACGCCAAGAGTCTCAATCGCTGGGAGACCATGGAGAAGAAAAGACAAGAAGAACAGGCGGCGAAGCTGGCCGCTTTGAAAGACAGAAAGCTCGACGGCCCTGTGATCAGCTGGTGGAGTGCAAGGGCGAAATGGATAGGGCCGAAGCTTCACAAAATCGGTACGAAAGATGCCGGAGATGTGATAGAGGGCGGCGCGGAAACCAAAAAGCGAGGCAGGAAGTCAAAGGCGTTTCTGGAACAGCAAGCGGCAGTAAAAGAGGCGGCGACGGGCACAACATCACAGAAAACGACTACAGAAATGCCAACATTACTAGAGACACCAGCGCCGACAGCAGTGACTCCAGCGCCCTCACTGTTGTTAGATCAAGCAAACGATCCCGCGAGAAAGCCTGCTACAGAGCCTGCCACAGGGCCTACCACAGAGCCTAGCAAAGAGCCTACCACAGAGCCGACCATGGAGCCTACCATAGAGCCTACGACGAACAAGATACCAGACGATGCCCCTGCGTCTGAAACCAAGCCACCGCCAGTCACGCATGCTGCCCCACAAGAAGAGGAAGATTCTTTCTTGAAAGGCATTCATGAGTATGCTACACTGGAGGACGAAGAGAATGCTCCGGGCATCAATCCGGACAATTCAGCTCCGCGACAGTCAAATGTACAGCAGCCGAAAGAGCAGAGTCCGCAGGAACAGTCAAACATTGGGACTACATCGGACACAGTCACATCTTCAGTTAACCAGCAGAAGCAGCCAGAAGAGGAGAAAAGCGAAGAACAGCCAAGTATAGCGACCACGTCAAACACTATCAGTACCCAACCCATTCAAGCGACGCAGAGAGAGAATGAGGTAAGCCAGACGCCGCAAGATGATGCCACAAAGCCAGATACGACACCAGGGCTGCAGTCGACGAACCCTACACAAACGAAGCAAATTACGACGACACCCTCAACTGCGGATGAAGCCCCTTCAGCGCCTGAGCCCTCATCAGCTCCTCAACCTCCACCGGTTGCTGAAACTCTGCCTGTTCCTAAGCCGGCACCAGCACCCGAGGTAGCCGCTGTTCCTGAACCAGAACCAATTGTCGAGAACTCGACAAGAAACCTGGTGATACTGGAGAAGTTCGATGAGCTCTCCAATGAGGCGCGACAAGAGTATTCCTTCTTCTTCAACACCCGGAAAGCCGCCAAACCAGTGAAACATAGTCAAGAGCTATGTCCAATCACAACCCAGCCAGTCCGATACCGAGATGCTTCTACAGGAATGGGATATGCTAACGTGGTGGGGTACAAGAAACTGCAAGAGTTGAAACGTCATGGATTCGTCTGGAGCAGCATGCTTGGGTGCTATGTCGGTCGAGACGGGGGAGCCGTTGCGCGTGGAGTACCAGAAGGGTTCGTGGACAAGTAGCCCAGAGGCCAGGTAGACAATATTTTGTGGAGGGCATCAAGGTCACTGGGTGGTCTGAGTGCCCGATAGCTTCAGTAAAGCTGCCCCAATGATCATCATTTGGACCAGAGTCTGGCCAAGGATCAGACCAAGGGTATACGAACAATAATGATATGACGAGTTGTATGTGCAGAGCGTATATTCGCCATTCCCTTTGAGGCGCAGATACAGATCAGTAAGACATAACGTTGAGACATGCTGGCTTTCAGAATGAAGCAGCTGAGGGTCGATGAGGCTGCAAGGCTGTCCGTCGTTTGTCGCAGGCAAGGCGAGTCGTGGCTGGTGCGCAGGGATTACGGTAAGCGGGAAGTATCATCATCAGTCCGGTGCCCCTCAACCTGATCAGCCCACGGGCACCTCTATTACAGGTAGGTAGCGATTGCTTCAGGCTTCTCAGGCATTCTAGACCACCCAAACGTACCTATAGCCAGCAGCCCAAGCCCAGTGAAGGGCGATCATTGTGGTGCCTGGAGAGCCCAGATGCAAATAGGCGATTAGCGGCTTCCCTTTCCGTTAAGTCTCCAGTGGCTTTATCAGGTTCTAGTCCACGGGCCGCGGGCAATAAAGGTTATCGCACCCTTATCTAATATCTACCCCGGTACTGTTTACATATTATACTTTATTAGCCCGCTCTAATCGCATCATACTAACAATGCTCCTTTCATGTCACCACCTTAATTATCGACCTGGAATGCGGTGAGCATCAACCCCTGCAACCAAACACAGTCACCGTCACCGCCTCCAGCTGCACTGCAGCCCTTCTACTTCTTACACTTCCCTTTCTCCTCCCTATACATATTACCCCCCTTATACCGCTCACACAGTATGGTTGGAGGTTCCTCCTCTACAGACGCCAAACACTTTCCCAATGGCAAGTCTCCTGGGAGGAAAGCCGGCCGTCCGAAGCCGTTGAAGCGTCGGAGCCTGCATGGTAGCGGTGACTCAACTCCACGCATCCAGAGTCCGACCGACACCAAACCCAAAGAGAAGGAGATGGCGGCCAGTTTCTTGCAATACTGGTGAGCAGACTCGTCTTGTTTTCTGGACGACAAGGCGGAGCACGCTTTTCTGACATGTTCAATCCGCAGCGCCATGTGCGAGAAACAAATCATGACCCCGTGCAACTCGATCCTCTACTGCAGCGAAGCGTGAGTCCACACCCACCATCACTCCCATATAGCATTTAAGGGCCAGCGAGAGTCAATATAATGAAAATACTGACAACATTCACACACAGATGCCGGCGCAAGGACTCCGCCAAACCTCTGTCGGCATCCTCAATCGCCTCGCCTCCACAAGCAGCCTCTACACCCTTGACGCCACATCATACAACCATCGCCCTGCGCACGTCCAGCGCGTCTCCTCCTCCTGTCCACGCAACGCCTGCTCTTCGGATACCTGCCGACATCCACGACGCCAAGTCAGATCTTGACCCAACCGAATGGAAGCCCAAGTTACAACGTCGCACCAACTCCGAGGCGTTTCAGTATCTGTCACGGTTCAACCTGACCATGAACGGATCAGGGTCGGTATTTACTTCTGAGACCGAATCTCATCATACTGTCCAACCACGGAAGCCGGAGCGACCGGCCAATGTGCGGCACAAAAGCACCGCGAGCATGAGCATGAGCACGAGCGGGATGACCACCCCGAGTCTGGGCAACACGCCGACCACCACCGCGTCCAGTTTCGACAGTTTCTACTACGACTTCAACTTGCGGCCTCTCCCGCCCCGCCAGAACCCGCTGTACTCGACCAACGCGGGCACCTACAAGGGCATCGACTTGGTCACGCCTCACATCCCGCCTCCTGTTGTCAACGTGGATGGGTATGTTGCGGATGTCACGCACGACCTTGACTTTTGGGGCAAGAAGCTTGTCGTGCCGGGCTCCACTCCACAGGGTAATGGGCTTGGAGCGCTCTTTGGGAAGGACCAATGAGATTTTGCGTTGCCTGTCCTTTGAGTTGCTGTCCTTTGGGCAAGACCGACGAGGTGGTGAGACTGTTCCTTGATGGGGAGACACTCAAAACCCAGACTTACGAACGCCGGCCGATGCCACGAGTGGGAAAGGTCCGCAGCGGAAAGACAAGACTTGTGTCTTTGCTGGTTTTGGGTTTATGCAATTTCTTTGATGATACATACGGCTTCTGTTCACCCGCAGCAATACTGGGAATCACTTTTAGACCACATACACGGGGATGGGAGGGAAAAGTGATAGAAGTCAAAGAGCAATACCCTAGAACACTTTCAGCTCTGCTGTCCACATATAGTCTTACGAACGAATTGGATGTCATGATAATATCAAAGTCATTCTCATTTGCGCCATCTTTGTCTCCAGAGATTTTACATTTCAAGCTGGATTCGATGTACGTATGAATCCACCAGCACACACGGGTTTGGTTCGTACATAGCAGGTAGTTTGGGTCCCATGATAGACTGTCCTGCGACATCCAACATCGATTTCGTTTCATCTCATCAATGCAGCACACGAGCATTCCACTTGCTCAACGCCGTTCCATGCCCGTTTCAATGGCCCATATCTTACTCAGTACCTATGGGAGGCCGGAGTGGCGACTGCAGCAGCAATCGCATCGGCTCCTAGCCCATTCATATACCATTCAAATTTCATGGCATGATAAACCAGCAGTACACCATGCGGGAGTGGCTTCGCCCGTTTTCTTCGCGTTCTAGGTTTCAAGGCGACGCCCTCGCGGTCAGCATTTCACCATAGCGGCCTCTCTCCCTCGTCGTATCGTACGCGCTGAGGATTCTGGTCTGCTGCCCAGCCTCGTCGGCGGCGGAGAAGGCATAACCGCGCTGTTTGCGCATGCGCTGGACCTGGCGGACTTTGCGGACGGCCTTCTGGAACTGTTCCATGCGCGGCCGGTAGTCTTGGACATTATATTTCTGGATCTCCTGGACATGGTGGTACGGCTGCGGGTAGTACATGCGCTTTGCATATTTCCAGGCAAAGTCGCGCAGCAGACAGGCGGGCGGCAGCAGGAGACACATGGCGTAGAAGATCGGCGAGCTGAACATGACGGGGATGATGCCGTCGAGCTCGGTCGAGAAGCCCGAGCCGATGTTGGGCGCGGCGTATGCGTACGCGGGAATGAAGGCGAGCCAGATCACGAAGGAGCCCGGGATCGCGAGGACCGTCCACTTGGTCCACACGTTGGTGATGAGCGCGGCTTTGCCCAGCACGACGAGCAGAATCGCAGTGTACGTCGACGTTCCCCAGAGCCAGTGGCCGCCAATCTTGCCGTTCGACAGCACCAGGTCGTCGTAGAAGAAGTAGGACGAGAACACGTACGCCAGGATCGAGTGGTAGAAGCCGTTGGCCACCCACGACCAGAACGAGTGCATGCGGAAGAACATGCCTTTCTGCGTCAATTGGTAGAGTTGTGGGTATCGGTCCAAGAGGCGGGCAGAGATGAATTGGTCGAATATGCCCATGGCGAAGGGCGGCAGGACCGTGAATAAGACGTTGTAGAAGGACAGTGTCCATGACTCGTAGATGACTTGGCCGGAAAAGTTGTTTTGGAACGAGTACTGTGAGACGCAAAGAAAGTGTTAGTCGGTACCATGAGGCTTGTGGAGTGCAAGTTGTTGGGGTGCTTCTTTCAACTTACCCAGAATTGGGTCATGAACAGGGCGATGTTCTTGTAGAACGAGTATAGGATGACCTTGCTGACGCGCTGATAACTCCACGCGCCGTGTACCAGAAGTAGCTTGCGCAGATACCGGAACTGGCCGATCGCCACGTCGGCGCTGCGTGCTGCTTGTAGACCCTCGACACCGCTGATCCCGACGCCAACGTGAGCGGCTTGGATCATAGAGACGTCGTTCGCACCATCTCCGACGGCCAGCAGAAGCGCCTTCAAGTGGCGCTTGACGAGTTTGACCACCAGAGCTTTTTGCAGCGGCGAGACTCTGCAGCATATGACGGCTCGGCACATGACGGCCAGGTCGAGGAACAACTTCTCCATGTCCTTTTCCAAGGCAAACAACAAAGACTTTCCATCAATCACTAGGGCGAGTGTGTCATATTCGCCCGACGCGGCTTGACTGCGCACAGCGTCGTACTTTTTCTGCAGACTGTCCCGGGTGGCTGTGGAGGTCTCCTCGTTGATGATCAGTAAAGTCATTTCTTCGCTGATCAGTTTGCAGCTCATCCCGATGTTGATGGCCGTCTCCTGTCTGTCGCCCGTGAGAACCCACACTTTGATCCCTGCAGTTTGCAACGTGTGGATGGTTTCGGGCACTCCATCTTGTAATCGGTCTTCAATGGCGGTCGCGCCCAACAGGAACAGATCATGCTCGATGATTTCCGCAGCCTTGTCAAGCTCTTCCGCACGATTACCTCCCACAGTAGTGGCCGCCCTGTCGAATATCTGCTTCCATTCCTGATATTCTTCCTCTGGCACCTCTCTCATGGCAAGACAGAGTGTGCGTAGACCGTCCGTGGCGTAGTCCTCGAGATGCTGCAATGTCACGTCCACAATGGGATTCTCTTTGGCCAGGCGCTCTAGAATCACAGTATCGGCGCCTTTGCAGTAGACCCTGATCTTGCCGTCCGGACACCGGAAGATGGTTGACATACGCTTCCGGGTCGAGTTGAATTCACATACCGCCAGTAGCTCGTACTCAAATTGTTCTCCGTCGACCTGGATGATCACAGAGCGAGGCTTACGGGCTACAAAGCGATAGCCCAGCATGGCGGCGCCTTCGACGAGAGCTCCCTCGTCAGGAGAAGCGGCCTGATATTTGATCTCAGACTTCTCGTCCTTGCGCTCTGGAATTACCGTGTGGCAAGTCGCTAAAAGTGAGAGGAAATGGTGGATGGCAGACCTGCTGGGATGCGTTCTGAGATTCTCTTGCAAACGCTTGAAATCATGAATCCCAATGGTGTCGTCAGGCCCGGTGGCTCTTCTGTCTTCCGGCACGATACCTGCATATTGAATGCCACCTATAGTGCATTGCCTGAACTCCATCACATTGCAGGTCAAAGTGCCGGTTTTGTCTGAGAAAATGTACTCAATCTGGCCCAATTCTTCCACAAGCGAGGAAGTACGACAGACGGTAGGAGTGTCCGTATCGGGATAATAGATATCCAGGTCGTTGTTGATCAGGAAAGCTTGATAATACTTCACCAACTCGATGGTCACAAAAAGTGATATGGGGACCAAGTTGGAATAGAGGACCCAGTACGTGAAGATGTCCAAGAAAAACTGCGAGGCGGCGTTGAAACTCCCATAGTACAAGTATGTCAGTTTTTTCCCAGCGGTTGAGCGCACAATGATATCGCCGATGGTGCTGATGGCACTTAAAATCAAAAGAATGGCCACAAGCATAAGGATCTGCTTGTTGAGCAACCGCTCCACGTTGGTGCGCTTGATGGGGGTTGCGGTCGCATTGCGCATCAGTTTTGTTTCATGGCCAGTGAAGACAACCACGCCATGAACCCAAGGAGTGTTCCGGAGAGTTGCGCCACGAAGGAGAAGTTGGTCGGGTGTCAGAGGTAGCTCCTTTTCGCGTCCTGCGCCGGAGATGGTCAAAGTGGCCTCGTAGGTATACAGGCTGCTGTTAGGCTGTTCCGACCGGACACGTCCCGCAAGTCGTCCAAGATCGGCAGGGCTCACCAGATGCGCAGTTTCGGGGATGGCTTGCTTGATCTTCAAGTTCGTCTCGCCGTCCAGGTTTGCTGTCTCAATATAGCAGAGCCCTTCTGGTTCGGAGCTTGCCAGAAGAACCATGTCGGCCGGGAAAGGTTCTTCTGACTCGACTCGAACAATATCACCAACAGCGACATTGATCCATTTCGTTTCCACGAAACTGGAGCCTTTGAGCACCTGCGCCTTGGAGTCATTCAGACCTTTGTCTGAGGATTTCCGCTTGTAGTCCTCCACCAGTTCCTTGATAGCGGAGACAAGAAGCACGATTCCCAAGGGAACAATGGTTGTGTAACGGCTTGTCGGAGAGACATTGGGGATTTGTTGAAGGACGGCGGTGAACAAGAAAAACAGGTTGGCGTACTTGGAGAATTGTTCCAGAAGGAATTTCGGAATGAAGGTTGCGACGTTGTATTTGGCGGTCGAAATATGATTGTCGGCCCATCTGTTCGCGGCATTAACCGTCTGGTCGTTGAGGTGAATGATTCTAGGCCCAAGCTTCGACGGGTCGACCTTCTTCCTAGCAAACATGGCTTTGACATCGTCGAAGGTGAAAGCCTTCCTTTCATGAACTGGATTTCCTTCTTCCGTCTCAGCAGTGTCAACTCGTTCATTTTGCATACCGGCTTCGGTTAAGGGTAAGTCCATGTCGGAGTAATGGCTGTCCCGCATCCCAAGCATTCCCCTAGCCCTGTCCACCATCCCAGACATGGACATGAGGCTGGCTCTGTTATGCCCTTGATGGCCCCCGACCACCTTAAACCCTCCGCCGGGTATGCTGTCATCTGACGGGCCTCCATTGTCATAGTATTTGTAGCCCCCATCGTCTTCACCGTCCTCCTCTCCGTCCCCATATGGTGCGTAGTTGTTTAGATCGGAGGTTTGGGAGTAGTTCCGTGAGGTATCGGTCATGTAAGGAGCGGTGAAAGGCCGCGTAGACGAGGATACTGGTTGCGTGTGGCCATGGTCTTGAGGAGCTCCCCTGCCTCCGCCGATAAAGTCATCGTAACTCGTCGAAGGTCTAGGCTGCGGCTGGAATTCATCGGAGTCGTCAATGTCGTATCTTTGTAGCAATTGTGAATCATCCACTGGAGGTCTCTGTCCCGAACTATAGATCGGTGTTGAACTCCCAAGGTCAAGCAGGTTATTGTTATGATCCGCAGCTTCAGGCGCATTTGGCCGCCCGGCCATCTCTCTTACAGCGCCAAACTGATTTACGGTGTTGAGATGAATGGCATTGGCGTCGCGTAGGAGTAGTCTGCTTCGGTTGGTATCATACAAAGGCGTCGCGTAGTGTCATGTGCATGACTCCCCTGTGATCTTGAGTGCAGACTGGAGGGCTGTCAGCGTGGACGGACGTGATGTTCGTTCGGGCTAGTGTAGGACGAGACAGACAATGCGTTAGGTAGGTACCTGAGGTAGTGAGCGGGCGCAGGCGGAGTAGAGACTGAGCCCAAAGGCATCGACCAGTGACAATGAAGTGACAGATTTCGAAGAAGACTCGGAATGGCGTTGACAGACAGCGGGCAGCTTGGAGCCAGCAACCGAGACACTACCGTTTAGTCTGTTACAGGTGGGCGGAGAAGTGTTGAACCATGAGAGTGAATGTGCCAGTCTATACGTATTTCCTGTGGTTCATGTGGTTCTACCACTGCTCCAGCATATAATAATATTAGAGGCATGCCAGTGCAGCAACAATTGAGTCTCCATCCATTTATTTTCCATCGATTTGTCCTTTGTCTAACAATGATCGAAATCTCCATTACCGTGTCAATGCTAGACTGCTGTTTCCATCAAAAGCCCATCGCCAGCCCTCGGCCGTCCACATATCGAAGTACTACTATCTCCACACGTACGATTCGTGGCATTCTGAGACCAACACTGCCACACTGGCTCCTTTGAAAAGAGGGCGTATCCTCAACATTGGTCTAAGCCACCAACAGCAACGTGTGCAACACCACTGTTGGCTGTATGGAAAGACTTTAAACAGCAGGTGGTCATCTCTCATTCTCAGCGCGTAATTCAGCTATCAAACCGCCAATATCGCGTTTAGTCGCATCCTCCGCCAGCTTCTTTGCCACAAAGCCGTTGATTTCTTTTCCTTTGGCCAAGGCTGTACTAGTACATTTGAGAAGGACCAAGGCATCAATGGCGTTCCCGCCCAATTTCGCGACCTGACACAATTCGAAGTCGTTGACCGTAAGAACCATTTCTGCCTCCCGGACCTGTTCTTCACTGCGCGTTGCATCCAACAACACGGTCTCTCCGTCGTGGTAGAAGCTGAAAGTGATACACACTGGATTGTGCATCATACTCAATGGTACGGGAACTCGTTCGGCCATGGTGTAGATGGTCACATTCTCTCCATCAACCGACACATCGGGTCGTCGAAAGTGTCGCAATGCTGCGACAATGGCAATGCAAGAGGCATCAATCAATCCGCCGTCAGAGTCCAAGACATGGACGTCGGCTCTGATAGACCAGCACTTGGCTCCTGCAATAATGCATAATGATTCCGTGTCGAGCGCGTTGGATCGACGTATGGCTTTTTCCAGTAATCGCGAGAGGATCACCTCCTGCTCAGTCTGCCTGTAAGCGCATTAGCGGACATTCACGATCTCAACAGAGCGTCACGAACCTGCCAACTTCATACGCAGGAGACGCGATAGGACTGAGTTCGGTCACGATAGTAAAGATGCCCTCGAACTTGCGTTCTTCCAGGGGCTTCGTCACTTCCGCCGATATCTGGACATGGACTCTATAGTAGCAATTAGCCTCCATTTGGAAAGGAAATCGGGAGGGCGTCAACCTTGTTTTGCCTAGACGCAGGGTTGTTGTTCCATACTCAAGCCCAAACTCTAGGTCAAGGTCTCTGAATTGATCCAGGCGCCGACCATCGACGCGGACATCCTGTTCCAGAGCTTGGAGGATGAAGTTCCTCTCAATGTTCGATATGTCCACCTCACGAGGCATAATTCTGTGACCGAGACGGCATCCAGCAGTATTGAAGGCTTGAACAGAGGAGAACCACCATTGGTACAGACGTCAGGAGGAGGCGGAGTAATCAAGGTGAGTATCACAATGATCTGAATGTCAAAGAAAGAATTCTCATCGCCCAAAGCCTCTCCAGTGTGATTTTCATGTGTCTTGAGTATCTGTACTTCTGGGTGATGAATCTGGAACTTTTTCACCCGCCTGGAGTGGCTTTCACATCCAATTATCGACCAATCAGCGCCTGGCAAAAGAGTAGAGAACGTCGAACTTCAAGTTGGTGGAGCTTCACCTGCTTGACTGCTTAGGCAGCCACCCATTTTGAACGTCCCAATATTCAGGGTGCTTCTCACATAACGACAACGTCGACTGCGTATTCTGTCTCAATTGTGCTGCGTATTCTGCGGTTGCATTCCCCAGTCTAACATCGCGCCACCATGACGACAGGTAATTTAGATCTTCCCTGTCGCATAGACAGACCCAAGAGCTGACTTGTGGCCCAGCGCACCGGCCGACCTTCGATCCTGCACGAGGCAAAGAAGCCCAAAGAGGCGTTGCTTACCATCAGAGACTACTCCCCGCTCATACATATCTCAAAGTTCGGTTGGTATTCTTCGTTTTCACTGAGACGGACAAGACTCTAACAATGGCAGGCAACCCGGGCAAGGTGGAGCAGCAGATTCAGAGAGGCGGGATTTACGAGCAGAGTTACTGGCGGCGGAAGCAGCCCATTTCGCAAAGACCAAAGGAATTACCACCGAAGCTACAAGTAGCTCCCCCAAGACCTCGAAACGCGAACTCGAGGGCCCGTCGAGCGATGATGAGAACGAAGACCCCGAAGCGAAACGAAGAAGGATCCTAGAAGAGACCCGGGATATCGATGCAGACTCAGACGGCGGCGGCAGCGACGGCGACAGTAGCGACGAGGAAAGCGACGAGGAGGACGAAACAGCCGAGTTGATGCGTGAACTGGAGAAAATCAAGCGAGAACGAGCCGAGCAAAAAGCTCGAGAAGAGGCCGAACAGGCCAAACAAGCACAAGAGCGGCGCGAGGAAGACATTGCACTCGGCAACCCGTTACTAAATCCCAAGGCATTCAACGTCAAGCGGCGGTGGGACGACGACGTGGTCTTCAAGAACCAAGCCCGAGGCACCGAGCAGAAGGGCAACAAGGAGTTTGTCAACGTACGTCCACACCGACTTGCGAGGTCCAAGATGGGTTGACTGACATGTAATAGGACTTGCTACGGTCGGATTTCCACAAAAAGTTCATGGTAAGAGCTCTACTCGCTGGAGTATCGACGGTATTGTTGACCTGCTTCTAGTCTAAGTATGTGCGGTAGTCATGGCGGCACACGCGGTATCGATGACACTTATAGTGTCCTGATATGGTGTCTCATTAGACTCCTAGAACAAGGACACCCCCCTTGTCTCTCAGACGGGTATCTGAGCAGCTTCATACGGCTGAGGCCGTGATGGCGAAAGACCGCCACTATGGGGACCGGCGACGTTAGATGGGGCCGCCGTCAATGCGTAAGGTCTGGCGTTTAGACATTACAATTCTCGGTCCGGCTCACCACCAGGCTGGGAGGCGGCGTTCTCGGCAGGGGCAGTGGGGATGATCATCTTCTGTTGGAGGCTTCGCAAAGTGCGGCATCAACGACCAGTCGATCAGTAGCAGGGTTCAAGTTGGCCTGCTACCCGGCGTCGTCAGTGACTGCATTGCTAGCTCCCACGGCCTAAAGGATGCGGGAGATCGAGATGATATGGAGTGCTGGCACGACGTCCAGAAGGGTGCATAGCAGAGCATTGCAGTGCCAGGGACTACTACGTACCACTGGCAGGCAGCTATCTGGATGTATGGTATGCGTAAAAATAGGGAGGATGCACGTCATGGTGGAGGAGTAAAGGAGAGGACCAGAACCCAGAACAGGCTTGAACCCGGAAATCAATCCAGGGTTCAATTTCTGCACCAAGTGCGGAAGTTGGTCAATCACAGACTGCGGGGGAATCGTCATCAGGTACTAGCGAGCAGCTAGAGACAACAAGCACTGGGAGTGGCAGTGGCAGTGGCAGCCTTCATCCCTCACTCAGCTCTCCTCTGTACGTATCGTATCATCCTCAAACCTCATCCCTCACCGTATCTCTCGGAAGTCTTGTTCCACTGTTAGTTGTATACTACTGGTATTTGCAAAAACACTACCCACCGCCTTTTACGTGAATTTGGTGTACTGCATTCCCTTACCCGGGTAGACGCGCGATCGGAGCTGAAACTGTGGTCCTGCTATCCTGCTCTCTCCAATCCCAAGTCATCGATCCCACCAGGAGTGACGAAAGGTCTCCAGCAGACAGGGCACTTGCAAGCTGATCCTGTCCAACTCATGTGCCTTGTTTGATGCCGCGTTCCTCAGCCCCGATCAAGCATTGGTCAAGCAGAACAGGAGTGTCATGTCATCCTCACACTGCACTGGCACTGGTCGTAACTGACGTGCTGCTTGCGTGCCTCCATGCCTACGTGACTACGCAAGGAGCTGGTGCTTTCCCTGATTCTTGTTTGGCCTGTCACCTTATATACCCCTCCCTCCCCGTTGCTTTAGACGTCTTGAACAGTCCCATCTTCGGAAACTATCCTAACTACAACTCTCACACATACCTGCATTTGACTAAAAGCAAAAGTGAACTCGATCGAAAAACATGTCTTACAACGACGACAATGTAGCTGGCCCTGGCTCTTTTTATCTGGCTTGAATTGCTAACAGCTTGTAGCAACGTGGTGGCGGCTACGGCGATGACAGCTATGGTGTATGGCCTACCCCCTTCTCTCTCTCCTTTCTGCATGATCGCTCACACCATTTAGTCGTCTGGTCGTGGCAACGATAGCTATGGTTCAGGCCGTACCGGCGGAGGTCTAGGATCCGATGATACCTACGGAGACTCTGCTCGCACCGGAGGAGCCACTGGCGGCGGATACGACGACAATAGCCGTACTGGCGGTGGATTCGGTCGTGACGACACCTCCGGAGGCTCTGACTACACTGGAGGCAACACCTCCTCTGGATATGGAGACAGTGGCAGAACTGGAGGCAACACCTCCTCTGGCTATGGAGACAGTGGCAGAACCGGAGGTGGTCTGGGGAAAGATGACACATACGGTGACTCTGGGAACACTGGTGGATTCGGTTCTGGCCAAGACAACCAATATGGTGAGCCGCTATCTGGCCCGGCGGCCTCACGGCCCCATGAACGTGGACGATGTCTGACAGAAATCAACAGGCGTAGGCAGTGGCAGAACCGGGCAGCAAGCCTCCGGTGGCTACGGTGCCAGTGATGACACATATGGGTCATCTACAGGTGGCAGCGGTGGCTACGGGGATGATAGCTCTGGTCGTCGCGGAGACGATTATGGTTCCAGTGGTCGCACTGGCGGCGGACTTGGTACGCATGACAGCCCCTGTCCAGAGTCGAGTGCAGTCCACCGGTACTAATTCCACACAGGTGCCGACGATACTTATGGTGATTCCGGCCGCACGGGCGGTGCATCAACCGGGCGTGACAGTGACTATGTGAGGACTCTCTGCGGATGCGCAAACCCCCTACAAGGTCATGCATAGGATGGCTAACACTTCATACTGCAGGGTATGGGTTCGGGCCGCACTCAACAACAGGATCAGGGTGGCTTTGGCGCCGGCGGGAGTGGCCAAGGCTACGATGATGACACAAGCGGCAAGAAAGACTCTACCGCCGGTAAGCTCATGGAGAAAGCCGGCAGTCTTTTCGGCAGCGGCAAAGTACAGGAGCGAGGTGCAGAAAAGAGACGTGAGGCTGGTGGCGGAGACGACTCCAACTATGGCTCCAACTATTGAATCATGTCAGGCTTGAAAACATAAGCTGATGAATGGAAACTGGATGACGGGCTTGAAAGGATGCTGTCTCCTAGGAGCCCACCAGAGTATTGATAGCTTTATAAGGACGGCAGATCCAATCGTTATCAAATGATCCAGACAACACCTTGTTTCCTGTAGATATGATTGCATTGTGTATCTCAGAGCTATTGAGCATATTGTGATGCAGTGGTTGGTCCCCTTGACAGATCTTTCAGCCTCGCCCTTTTCCGCCGTTCTGGCTGCCAGGGGCATCTCACATTGCTCAGTCCTGATGGCTGTGGTTCCCATATCATGTCGCCTGGTCCAGCCGAGATGAGTAGTTCCGAGCTGTTTTGAGGCAGATCCGTTGATCTGGATATTTTGGCAGCAAAACGTTAGAGTGATAGTGGGTTTTGGATACTGGTCAGAGTAATCATGGTTACATGACCAGATATATTCCGTCAATAGCTGTTCAGTTTTTACATCATGATGGTCACAACTCACCAACTCAGTCTCACCGTTGAGCTACTGGTCTTGTTCCAGCAGACACATGTCTCTTGAGAAGTGAGATAGACGAAACACCAGATCAGGAATGCTGCATTGAGTTGAAACAATGATTCTCAACTCTGCCTTCTTGTTCTTCGTTTAGTATGAGCATTGCCATTTGAGAACTTTTCTTCTGTGTCTCATTCTCATTCTCATTCTGGTTCTGGTTCTGGGTCTTATGGTTGTTTCATTTTTCATTTTTCATTTTTCACTTTTTATCTTGCTCTTCATTTTCGTTTCCACGTTTCATCGTCTCTCCCAGCCGACCACGCGGATCTCGATCCCCGATTTCTCATCTCTATACCAAGCATCATCGAATTCATCATGACCGTTATCGTCGACGTCTTCTCCTGGCGTCGTTTGCGTGTCTCCAAGTTTTCCCTGGCCTTGCCCCTGCCATTGCGGCACATCCACGCCGTCGACCCATTCCCTTAACCGTCGAGCGGGTATGGATTTCCAGTTGGTGGATTTGACGATACTCGGCTCGGCTGGTAGAGCGTCGGGGAAGAAAGTGTCGCATTCGAAATCGACATCGACATCCATTCCTGTATCTTGGTTACCATTACTGTCACCTCCTTTATCACTGGTGGTACTTTTGGTTGGTTTGATGTTGCGTCGGACTTGGGTTTGCAGGATCCGCACGTCGAATTCTCCGTCGAGTTCCTTTTCTCTGTCGCGGCATGGATAAGTGCTGCAGTCTGTGCTGGTGTTGAGCTTGGCTTGGCCACTTGTTGTGTCCATAGATGATTTATCTTCTTGGTGATTGTTGTGGGTAGGTGTAGATGTAGATGTGTTTGAGGATGTCGATGTCGTCGTAGAAGTAGAAGTGGCTGATAGAGACAAGATCTGGCGATAGATCTCGGCGCCGCCGATGCAGAAGATCTTGTGGATTGATATGCTGGATGTATCTTCGCTATGGGTTTGATTTTGATTTTGATCTTGATCAGATTTCCTTGTTCCGGTAGCAGCGCTGGTGGCTGTGCTTGTCGAAGTCGTAGTAGTGGTGGGAGTTGGTACAGCAAGAGGAGAGTCGGAGGATAGAAGGGCCAAAGTGGATTGAAGAGACGATGATATTAAGACTGGTGTTGGTACTGGTGTTGGTGTCTGTCTCTGTGTCTGGAATTCTGCTTGTGCTTGTCCCGACGCAGATGACGGGACAAGAATCGTGGCTGGGGCCGCTTCGGCTGCTGGTGTCCCAGACAACCCGATATCACCAACCGTCCACTCCACGTCCGCATTGCGGGAGTTCATGTCTTCTGCGATCCGAAATCCCATGTCGCGGGAGTTGCTTCGCGTGATGATCACGTTCAAGCGGCCCGCGAGAGGGCGGAACTTGGGAGGGATGCTTTCCCATGTCTTGCGACCCATTATAACGGCGTTGAGGGTCCGAGTTTTAGTTTGTAGTGGTGATGATGACGGAACATGAGTCGTGACTTTTCGAAAAAACGCCATGTCCGCTTTGATCGGCGGCCACGGCAGACCTCCTTGATGACCAATCCCCATGGACGGACTGAGGCTCGTCGCGACGACCACGTAGATTGGCTTCGGGTGCACCATCACCGGCCTGATCGTGGTGGTTGTGGTCTTGATGATGCGTTGCGCGGCGGCGGACGAGGGCATGCTGGTGGACAGCTCGTCGTTGTCGTTGTGGCTATCAGATAGATTGAGATCGAGATCGAAGTTGCCGCTCGACAATTCGGTCGGAGAGGGCGGTCCTGATAGCGTCGTCGACGGGGGTGTCGGGATCATAGACATGGTGTTGGGCAGACACAAGAAAGGAAGCGTCTGAGGCGACGTAAAACGACAGCCACAGACAGGTTCGTGCTTTGGATTGATATTGGCGATACTGCCAATGTGGTGAAGTTCAAGTTGCTGGTAGTAGTCTTGACGGATTGGTTCTTTCTTGGTGTTGACAAGCTCTTGATATCAGGGGTCGATACAAGTTTGTCGAGTTGGTATTTCTCAGCTCTCATACGAAGAGTAGTTGTAGTTATAGTGTGCCACCTGTTCTCTTTTCTTTTGGTTTTCCGAACGAATGTCAAATGTTAAGACTATCATATCCTCATCCTCAAACAGTAAGTGATAGACTACATATTCCAGACGAGTCAGTCGACAATTGCTAGTAGTGATGAACTATTGACGAATCGAGCATCAGATGGACTTCTGGATCGTCTGTTTTGGTGGCTTTGGCGGCGGCCGAGTTCACTGTTCAGGGGTTTCTAAATCTCCCTTAGTAAGGCCGAGGCCGTTCCTAGCCCCTGGATCGCTGCCAGCCCGCTCACTCGCTCAATATTTACACGGTATCGTCTGAGGTATCGATTTTTCGGTGCATGACAACGTATGTATGAATGCACATCAACTGGTCCAACCAGCACTCGATTGATGAGTCCTTCCCTGCTGCTCTTCACAAGAAATCTCGCTCGTCGTCGAACGGCGTCTTCAATCGGGGATTCGCCGGCAAAAATGCAAAAACAAATGGACACACGGGGATTTGAACCCCGGACCTTTCACAGACACATTTAAACAGATAATGCGAAGCGAAAATCATACCCCTAGACCATGTGCCCCATTGAACTCGAAGAGGCCTCCTTCGAGTTGGCGAAACTTGTGGACACAAATTTGCAACGTTTTTTTGGCATGTGTGTTACTTGAATATTATTTTCCGTTAGCTGTTCTGCCTTGACCAATTTAAGTGGTGGAGATCTCCTCTCCGCCCTTCAACCTCCCATGTACCTTACCCATCCAGTTACAGAAACACCTCCTTCTGTCTCTAGGTAAGGTGTTGTTTTGCATTTTTTAAAATTGTAAATTGATGTTCTACACACGCGAACACTGCGTCAAACTCATTGTTCTCTAACATGACGTCTGAATAGAGCCTCAGGGAGAGTTTTGGCCGCTGTGGGGATTTCAAGGCGATGGAGGATCTCTGAAAACAGCGCCATCATTGTAAATAATGGAGCAATGGAAGAACGGGTCGACTCCTAAAAGATTGGTGAAGAACGGGCAGATCCAAACAAATCAAAATGGGACAATCTGAAAATACTACAGCTTCTGCCTTGGATAGACACGACGAACCTGATCACAAATCGCCCCCTGCCGTTAGAAAGATAGCAGAAAGTAGCACATCCAAAGCCGTCCGAGTTTCACGATATCAAAATTCCCCAGGATCGAATGACTACCACAGTGCGAGCCGAGCCGGCCGGTCTGTATCCTCTGCCGCACGACAGGCGAAAGAAGTTGGAGTTTGTAGGATTGCTAGGGCGATTACCCTGCGTGACTATCAACCATTTCGACCGCAAACCAGTGTAGGGTTGGCTCAGATACCCAGAGAAAACTCGACGCCAACATCAATATCTCTGGCCATCTTGACAATCTTGGAGAAGTCAACCGCCTTCGCGGCCGCATCTTGAAGATCGGTGATGGAGAAAATCTTGAGTCCAGAGTTGTTGACCTGTTGTAGAAAGATGGTCAGTCACTGTAAGATCCAAAATCCACAGGGAACAACTTACCAACTCAGCAGCCTTCTCCATGTTGGTGCCTTGTAGTCGACACACAATTGGCAGTCGCAGGTTCATCTCGTGCACCACGTGAATCAAACCTTGAGCAATGGCATCACATCTGACAATGCCGCCGAAGATGTTAACGAAGATTGCCGTGACCTTAGGGTCGTTGGTGATCAACTCGAACGCCTTTCGGATGGCTTCAGGGGTGGCGCCACCGCCGACATCCAAGAAGTTGGCCGGGGTGCCGCCGTTGAGCTTGATGATATCCATGGTGGCCATGGCGAGACCAGCGCCATTGACCAGACATCCGATATCTCCATCCAGCTTGATAAAGTTGAGGCCGAATCTAGAAATCATGTCAGCACCAGGGATGTTGGTAGTAAGGAAAGGAACACATACTCGGCAGCCTTGACTTCGTCGGCATCTTCCTGGGAAGTATCTCTCCAGCTGAAAATCTCCTTCTGGCGGAACTCGGCGTTGTCATCGAAGTTGAGTTTGGCATCCATGCACAAGACCTGATGATCGCTGGTTTCGCTGAGAGGGTTGATTTCAATCTGGGTGGCATCCTTCTCCTTGAAGACCTGGTATAATTTCTGGATCGTGTTCTTCGCGTCTTCAATGCACTGTTCGCTGAAACCCAGCTCGGTCGCAATCTTCCTGCCAATCTCATCGGTGACCCCGACATGGATGTCAATAGGGGTGCTGATGATCGCGTCAGGTGATTCCTTGGCCACTGTTTCAATGTCCATACCGCCCTGCGACGAAGCCACAATGACGGGGGATTGGGTGGATCGATCCATCAGAATGGCCAGGTAGAATTCCCGTCGAGCAAACTTCCGCTCGCAAATGTACACCGAGTTACAGATCCGGCCTCGGGGGCCGGTTTGCTTGGTGAAGAGTTTGTGACCGATCATTTGCTCGGCGAACATCTTGGCCTCCGTGGGCCTGATGGGAAGTTAGCCGCCATCACTCGCCTTGAGAGGGTGGTTGGGTTGAGCATACGAGTAGATGACCCTGACACCGCCCTTCAAGCCATTGTCAAATGTACCCTTTCCTCGACCTCCGGCGAGCACCTGGGCTTTGATAACCATGTCATCTCCGCCTAAGATTGTTAGCCGAAATCCCGGCTTCGTTGTCTCCAGTGTTTACCAATCTCTTTCGCAACAGACTCGGCTTCTTCGGGTGACTTCGCAACCTGGCCGTTGGGGACGCCGATGCCGTACTGCTACCGATTAGAGCTCCGGAATGGATCAAAGTGAACTATGCGAAGGTGCCGTACAGTTTTCAGTAGTCTCGCTGATAGGTATTCGTGAATGCTCAGGTTCCTCCGCTGTTGCATTGAGCTCCGCAGGGGAGTATCCTGTAGGTTTACAGTCAGGATTCAATCCAGGAAGATGCAGGTTTGGTCAACTTACCACTCTGAAGGCCTTCAAGGCCGGGGCCAAGCTGGAACGACCCAGTTTAAACATCTTGTCCACGAAAATGAGGCCTGATATATCGTGGACAGGTGGGAGACTGCTTGAAGTAAACCAGACAGAAGATACCGAGATACAGCTGAGCGCCAATGGCCCGGCGCAGCTTGTTCATACAGGCGACGTTATAGCGGCGGCAACTCGAAGCTCTCCCGACTCGCTCCGAGGTCTTGGCGCATTGCCGCGTAGTAGAGCCTCGCCGCAACGTCCCTGTTTATCCGTAGGTACGTTGTGTTTACTCGCTCTTGATCGGTTGTCACAGTGGCCTCCTCTACATGCGTATACATCACTATGAACTAGTCTAGTAAGGATTATGGGATGGGCCAATGTTCATGAGTTCCTCTCCGAGACGAAACAGCCATTTGACCCGTGCCAGATCTTCATCCTCTGATCCCTCCGGCCCCCCTATATCGATTATTGGGTCGGAGCTGGCGCAAGTGTAGTCAAGACCGGTGCTGCACCGTTCGTGCAGACACAGCCACCATTCGCGCCTCCACTGATACTTGTCACAGGCGGCAGCGTACAATGGGGACTAGGAGTCCACGTTGAAGCGTCTGAAACAGTACTGCTCGGGGCGCAACTCTCCACTGTCTCGGCTCTGACCAGGACCGGAATTACAGCCCCCGTGTTCAGCGGAAACGTACGATGGCCCAGGACACGCAAGATCGAAGCAATCTCGCCGCTGTGGGAGGTGAAGCTAATGTAAGTCGACCGGTCGGAAGAAAAGATGTCATCGAGCAGCTGCTTCGAACGCAAGTCCTGGGCCGAGGATGTCTCCGCGGTCACGCCTGTCCAGAGCTCGTCGTATTCGGAGAATCCTTGTTCGATTTCGTACCAGGGAAACTCATCGTGAATGTAAGTCTTGTTGCTGCGCCTGTCGCAAGTGTGCTCGGAAATCCCTTCCCGCAATTTTTCTTTGATCGTTGGAATGAAAGGGTGTTTGGGCGGCAGTGGGAGGCCTGAGAAGGTAAGATTGGCCGTGGTCAGACACCGAGAGAGAGGCGATGTGTAGTAGGTTTCAGGCGTGGGGATCTTCTGTTCGTGGATACGAGACAACCAGAACGAATTGGCTTTCAATGCCTGAGAAATCCCATTCTCGGTGAGTTGCGCATCAGACCACATGGCCGTCCCGTTGCCATCGAGAAGAGACCAATAACAATTCCAAGCAGGGGTGCCGTAGAAGGATTCCGCCGCATTGTGCCATCCTTCTCCATGGCGACCCATGAAGAGCAATTTGTAGTCGACATTCCGAGGAGCTTGAGCGTTCAGAGCGGCGACGTGCATCGCAAACCTCTGCCACTGTGTCAAAGGAGCGCAATTTGCTGGATCGGTCGGATAGCTCTGGTTGATGAGGCCGAAGTTGGTCGCGGTCTGCAAAGTGAGCATTTCTGCGCTTCGGATCAGTCGACTGGTGGAAGGGTACTTACATAGTCGAAAGTCGTGGCATTGGTGGCATTGTCATCCTGCAGGAAATAGCCGGCCACAGTGGAATATTCAATGTATGAAGCAGCAGCGAATCCATGGACAGCGCTGCACAGCAGCAGAAAGGATCCCAAATGGACCATGATGGCAGGCAAACGAGGGTGTACTGACAGGACAGAAGATTGATCTGGACGACTCGGAGATTCCACTGATGATAGTCTGCTTTTTGTCCTTACCGTACCTTCTTATATACACGTTTTCTTTCTGCATGGCCCACAGCTCCAAAGCACGTATACTACAATGGTGCAGACCTGGTATTCGCATCCCTCAATAGTGGTACACAGGTATCCAGCGGAGTGGTTTTGTGGGGCTGTTGATACACCAATAAGCCATCGTCGCGGATGCGCGTGCTCGTTGAGGCTCAGATTGATTCAGCTTTAGCGGCAAGGAAACGGCTTGACGAGAGAATCCATAGCCATAATGTAGTCAAGCAAAGGATTCTAGTCTGAGTGATTTTTGAGAATACTCTGGATTGGGAAGCCCGCATCCACTCGAGGAGATGGCAAGCGTTATACGCACGTGGAGATGGCAGGCTTCATCCGCACGTGGGTGTTTATCGGTCACTTTCCCGAAATTGACACCAAATTCAAGTCCCTCAAATAGGTAGAATGCTGAGGGCGCATCTTCTCGCTCTGGAGATGACCCAAGGCCTTCCGACAATTGAGATAGCACAAAGGGACTACTCACGACAGAGCTAGGCACGGCACTCTGGTTCTCCAAAGCTCCGACGTGCTTGGCTTGGACCGAAGTCATGGACACCGGAGAAGGACACCGTTGTCCCATCAGGGAAGAAAAAACAAGACCCCGGGAAATGCAAAATACGGCAGGCGAAAGGATATTGCTCTCTCTAAGGTACATTGCACAGGCCATCTGATGTAGTTAGTAGTCGGAGTTAGTACTACACAGTTTATAGTGAAATCCGCCATCGGCAAACCTTCCCGTTAAGTGATCTCCAAATATGAAATACATCCCTGCATGACCGACAACCACACCGCACCGCTCCATTGACTACCCACCATACCTCATGCCCACCACTTCTCCATTGTCAGAAGATGTAGCACTATGGTCCCGAAGCCAACATCGGCGAAAAGCCAAGTCACAGAAGCCGACCTTGCCGCCAACGAAGCGCTCCTGCTGCACGCGGAGGCTGCGAGACTCGCGAAATCATGGCTGAGCGGTGCCTTCAGTGGCAGCGACACCAACGACAATAACGACACAGCCGCCGACGAAGCAGACTTGAAGAAAGAGCAGGAATTGTTCGGCAAGAATGCCGTCCAGTACTCAGAAACGTACGTCTTGTGATTGCTCTTCAGTTCCTCGTCATCGACACACTTCTCGGCCGCCCTGCCTGTCACATGTGGGGTTATTGTGTTAACATTGTCCTTCTTTCTCCCAATTTCAGAGGCGGTGTAGGCTTCCAAGATCCATCGGCCGGTAACGGGACGAAGGGTGCTGCTGCTTCTCGTGGGGCCGATCAGACGACGGCGTTTCTGCGCAAACATCTCCTCCGCGGCCAGAACAATTCTCATACTACTAGTACCGCGAAGCCCCGACCGCGATCCGGCGCGCAAGGCTACCCCTCCAGGCGTGCCGCTGACAGCGAAGATGAAGAAGAAGGGCGGTCGGGAGTTGGCAAGTCCAAATATAAGGGAAGAGTCCACACCCACACCGCATCCTATGCGGGCGGCAGCGAGTCCGGTTTCCCAAGGTCGTCCGACAACCTCGCCCAAAGTGCTCTGACCGACGCTACTGGCGTGAGGGACACGGTGGATGGAGCGACACAACTTCCTCCTACGCCAACTGGCGCTGCGCCTCCCGGCCAGGCCCGGACGACCAAAAAGCGTGGGTCAAGCTACCTAGACGAAGTGCTGGCGTCGAGGGCTGCAAAGAAGAACAAAAAGATGCCAAAGAATCCTTGAGTAATCCTCCTAGGCTACTCGGACTCGCGGAAGAACCATGCATGTCTGCAAAGCAAACGCGAGGAGGACATTATTTGCATTGAAGCTGATTACCAGTATGCGGCCGATACCCACAGAAGAGTCACACAACGCTGGTATATGCCAAGTACGTATACACAAAGATTCTCATCGCGGCTGGCATCTCTGTGCCTCATTTACCGGGTTGCATCGTGTCCAACACCATCAGCCCTCATTGACGTCCATCAACCCCCCAACTCTCGCGACCGTGAACGAGATGTCATAGGGGTCATCAAATGCCCTCCGCTGGAGAAGACCGCCCAAAGAAGAGAAACCCAGGTCATGAACAGATCCAACGCCTGCTTTTCTGGTGTCATTATCTACTGAGCCGCGTCTTGGGCCGTCACAAATATAGAAGGTAATATGGCAAAGATTCATTGCAGTCGTTTTCGTTTGCGGTCCTCAAGCGGACCTTCGTCTTCATGTTCTTCTTCCGCCGTATCGGCGGGGTTGAGCAGGGAATGCAGTGTCGCCATGCTCCCTCTGCGAGTGGCTGGTGCGGAATGCAGCTCAAAATTCGGCCGTGGAAATTTACTTCCACCCAATGTCCAGGAAACATTTTCCACTCCCAGCCCGGCCGGAGGCGCTTCAGAGGTCAAAGGGGGTGTTGGCTGGTTGGCGGTGACGGTCTGTCGTCTTGGACCGTTGATTTCGTACGAGGCAAGCTGGTCTCGAATCGCCTGATCTCCACCCGTTTGAGGTGCCTGCTGCGGCGAGGAGGGTTGCCAATGCACGGACGAATACCCGGAAGCAAGTGGTGACCCGTTCGCATTGGCTGCTGCCCAACCGTGCTCTCGGATATCAGCTGAGGTGTGCCGTCGAGCCAGACTCAGAGGCGGCGGTGTGGCTACCGACGACAAGGGATGAGCGTTCTGAGGCGGATGTGGTGGTAGGGCAGGACGGCTGAAGCCCGGAGAATTATGGGGAATGCTCATCGAGCCAAAGCGCCGCGGCGACGACGAGAAGTGCGGCGGGATATTCGGTACTGGAGGTCGCAGTCCGACATGTTGCGGTTCAATCTGGACCGACGACCTTCGGCTGTCAGGGTAGTTGTATCCCCGAGGGGAAAGAGGGGGTTCCAGCGCGCCGTTGTTGGGATAATATGACTGTCGACTAGTCTGCAGCAAATCCTGCGACGTCTCCAAACCGCGCACATATTCGAGCTGTCGCGAGATCTCCTTTTGCATGCTCGTAATGTCTGCGTACAAGGCGGATTCTGGGGATGACATGGTCTGCATTGCACCGGTGACGCTGTGCATCCATTGGTGACATCGGACTAAACTCTCGGTCAAAGCTTGACACCTGGAGCTCATCAAAGCGTAGTTCTCCTCTGTCCGTTGCATCCGGGCATGGACATCGTAGAAGGCTTGTTCAAGACCCGCCAGCCGCTGATCGGTATCGGGAATGACCTCGGCCGGAGTGCCAGGTTGCGAGACTCCGGGTTTCGCATTGGAGAAAGAATCCCGGTGTATTAGTGTATGTCGCGAGGCGCGCCTCTTGATCTCTCTCAAACCCATCAGGTCGCCTTTCTTAAAGTTGCCGTTTCCATGTTTGAACTCCCATAGCGCAGATTCGGGCGACCCGGTGTGGAAGACATCGCTCACTTTGTGAAAGCCGTACATATTCAGTTGCCGGACGAAAGACGAGATATTTGTGTGCTTGAAATACTGGGCTAGGACCTTTGAAAATTCGTTGGACGGGGACATGACGAAGCTCTCGTTGGTATTGGACCACGAGATCAGATGCTGGATGCTTCGATCCTCCAGCATACTGTATAGTTTGTGAATGAAGGCTGTCTGCACGACTTTAGGTCCTTGTGAGGCTCCCACCGCTCCCGGCACTGTATTGTTTGCTGAACCGGACGGCTGGTCCTTGTGTCCACTTCCACTTCCACTCCCTCCTTGTTCCAGTTCTGGACTCCCCTGAGCAGGAGGGCCCATGTTCGGAGGAGCCGGAGAGCTCATCTGCATCGAATCTTCCTGAGTCGAGTTGGGGGAGGGGTCGTTGTTCTGAGGCAGGATAGCCATGGATCTCGATCTCGGTCTCGGAGAGGGTTCGCCAGAAGGACTAAACAGATTGCTCGGGGTCGACTGAAGAAGGGTGCTCATGATGCTCCTTTTAAAAACTATTTTCGTGAACTCTGGCGTACATGGACGGATGTCCTATTTCCCAGTCATCCAGGGCGGCAGTCTTTCGCACCGTGAGTGGAGCCGTCCACACATTGGAGAAAGGTGGGAGGGTACACGTCGTTTTGGGGGTCTCCGGGCTCAAGGCTGGCTTGATAGATGGCAGTCGGACCGCTTGGCGCAAGCGTATTCGGAAAAAGAGGGATGCACCACGAAGAGTTGCCCGGCCGATGAACGACTTTTGACGCGGCCTTGTTGATATCGGATCGGGAATTCTGATGCTAATTGTGGAGGAAGTGCGCAAGATGAGGGTGTGGGAAAGCTGGCGAACTGACGGTGGTGGTGTCTGGATGAGGTTGCGGCTCCAGGCTGAGCGCGGGTTCCAGAAGGGAAAGGAGGAGGATGCCGCGCACAAAGAGACAAGCGGCGTTCGGGGGGCGCACGATGATCTTGCGCGCTAAAGATTCAGGACCATGGCGGCGCTGCGAAATATACCTAAACACTGACAGAGGAGGCGACGGGTTTCTAGGAGTCCACGAAGGGTACTTGAAAGTCGATGTCGAGGGTCGAAAGCGGAGGGAGGGTCGAGGATCGAGGATCGAGGGATGGTCGAAATCTGAAGGAGGGACAAGATGATAGGATGCTGCTTAGTATGTGGCTTGGAAGCTGGGGGTTGGTGACAGCAGTGGTGGTTTCGGCCGGAGGAGGACGGGAGCGCCGGGATTCAAGAAGGGGGCAAAGCAGGGATGTTGCCGGCTGAGATCAAGGCGGACTGACCGTCAGATCGGACCGGTGGTTGTGGTTGTGGTTGTGGGTGAGAGAGAAGAAGGAAGCAATGAGGTGCGTATACGCAGTAGTAATGAAGAGGGCTAGGGAGGCTGCGAAACCGACAAGCCGCAAGGACAATACAGGAGCAATAAAATACGTCAAATTGCACCGAATAAGAAATTTGATGATATTGATTATTGAGTGAGAAAAAACGAACACGAGACAGGGGGGTCTGATGCCATGTACGCCTGCATACCCAAAGATACTGCATGCACCATGGATGGAAGATTTTCTAGAGGAAAAGGGGAGACGAACATGGGGGGTGGCAGCAAGAGGAGAAGGTGGATTAATTAGTGAGGGTCCCAGGTTGCTAGCAGCCTTAGGTAGGATCTCAACTAATAGTTGCAGGTTATAGGGATTGCCATCACCTGTTTCCCACCCCTACGCATGTAATTAGGCGCCGATCAGGCTCCCGAGCGATCCTTAATGGAGGCTTAGGGAGACATGGAGGCTCCCTAGGCTTGGGTACCTTAGGTGGGTAATACCTTATCTTATTAGGCAGGCTACTAGTACAGAGCAGACTCTCTTCTGCCATCCCTGCAGCTCGTGTCTTCTTCACTACAAGTACATCTTAACGAGCACCACCTGCCATGATAGTAAGCGCATACTACTAATCGCTGATGAGGCTGCCGGTGCGAGATACTTCTACCTCTGCTGCAGATATCGTTCAGAAAGAGTCGAGACCGGCCATCCTTTACCAATATGTGATTTGGCTGCTCCCACTGCGACAACGATGCCCCTAGACGGACCTTTGGCTAGCTACAGTATTGATTGACCTTGCATCTTGATCCACGAGCATGGTCGACCCATGCCTCTGGCTTTCGCTAGCTACGGCATCACAGGCACTGATTGACATCGACTGACAGCGGACAAAAGCCGACTATCCTCTCCATCTGGCATCCATGTGCAGCCATCATACACTGGTACCATCAGGCTGCTGTCTGGACCGGATCATACGGCAGTCGGTCTATCACTGTTGGACGAAGTCTCGAGGTCATTCATTGGTCGCCTTTGGCCATCCACAGCCTGCTTGGGAGGTGGCATAAATGCTCATTATCCTTGTCTTGGACAAAGTCCTAGTCAGCCTGGTTCACAACCTGACTGCTGCCATTGTGCTTTGTCCTACGATCATCCTTTAGCCTCTCGCTTAAAGACAGCGCCCAAGAATACGTCTGTTGGAGGCCAATGAATGCCCGCCTACCTTTCGAAGCCATCTCTCCTGACCATTTGGATGAGCCACATCGTATATTTGTGGTTCAAGGTCACTGACATCCTTTAGTCCAATATTCATTTGCACATGAGATTGCTGTCGCTCATGTGGTAAGTCGTCGGGGCCAGTTGCCTGTAGTGGCTTCTGGTTATTGCTTTCCAAACATATACCATGTCCGAGTTTATTGCGCCATGCAATGGGCGGCAAGGCTGTCGATTGCAGCCCAGGCACTGCAGGCATCGCCGGAATAAAGACTCTGTAGAGTCATATCCAGTCCCACGGCCACGGGAGGAGAGAGCGTCTCCGAGGCTGACATCTTTGACGGCATTTTCATCGAATGGCCTACTCCTTGCCCGTTCACAACGGTGGAAAAACACAGCTGTCCCGATACAGATTGGCCTGGGTTGGTCAGAAATGGAGCGACCATAGACTCCAGCTGCATTTTATGCCCAAGGACAAAGTCACGGAGTTGACGTTCTTTGACCGTTTAGCATTCTCTTTGTCTGGTATATCAGCATTCAGCGGGCCGTATCAGGCACAATGCCCGATCCATTCGAGCAGGAATTACACCCCAGCTAAGAATGTTCGTACCGTTCCGACTAAGATTCATGGAAGTGGTAGTACTGAGAAGGCCATGTCGAGGACCGAAAGATCACACTGGCTTAACCAACATCTTCTGCTATTGAGCTGTGGTAGGATCAAGCTTGTGAATGTCGAAATAACGATGCAGACACGTCCGTTAAAATCTGGATAGCGAAATCCACCTGAATGACTAAGCGCATTTCGCGTAAATTTCCTAACCACGAATTCTCAATAATTTTTTTGTCCGTCACCGACGCCATTTCTCGAACTCTGCGATACTCCTCCCTTCGTAGAAACATACCTCTCTAACACCTTGCACGGCTCACTCAGTGGAAGGTCACCAGAATCCCATAGACCATGTCTCAAACAGCCGCTGCTCGTCGGCACAATCCCCTCGAACACGACATAGCAACCTCCGGTGGTCGCCTGCGGACAAAGTCAATCACTGGCAAGCGAAAGTCCCGTTCGGACGAAAATGCTCGCGGTGACGGCTACATTGACGCTCGATCATCGCGAAAGATTCTAGCTATCGCGCAAGATCTTGCGGAGGAAGAGGCTGAAGACCGGAGAGCGGCCGTTGCCCAGCCTTCATCTTCGGACGCGGCCTTCGGGTTCGACTCGAGGTTTGCGGATGAGCGTGATGACGACGATGAAGAAGGTGGCGTGAGGAATGAATACGATGATGAGGAAGAATGGATGGCGGAAGAAGAAGAGGTTGCGGTTGAAGATGATGTGGACCCAGAGGATATGGCAGTCTACAAGAAATTTCTACAGCACGGAGAGGAGCTGGGGGATTTCACACCCTCGATAGCGCAACTGACGACGGCGGACCAGCGGCCTAACAGAGGTCAGTCAGGGTCCAGTGGGGAGGGAGAAGAAGACGAAGAGGTGGAAGGCCAGCCGACAAATCTCACGGAACTCATCTTGCGGCGGATTGCAGAGAAAGAAGCAGTCGACGCGAGTCGTGGTGGTGTGGAGGATCAACAACCTCCATTCATGGGATCTGGCGCACCAGAGGATGCAATCGAAATACCCACGAAAGTGGTCGAAACTTTTACCAAAGTCGGTCAGCTTCTCTCACGCTACAAGTCCGGGCCGCTCCCAAAGCCATTCAAAGTCCTTCCAACTCTCCCACAGTGGCCGGAACTACTGGCCATTACACGCCCAGAAAACTGGACGCCGCATGCAGTCTATAGGGCGACGAAAATCTTCATTTCTGCCCCTGCCGCGAAGGGGCAGTATTTTTGTGAGACTGTACTCCTTGATCGCGTTCGAGAAGACATCCAGGAAACGAAGAAACTCAACGTACATCTGTATAACGCTCTCAAAGCTGCCTTCTACCGGCCATCCGCCTTCTTCAAGGGATTTCTGTTCCCGCTAGTTCAGTCGGGCTGCACATTACGCGAAGCACACATCGTCTCGTCCGTGCTGGCCAAGATCAAGATCCCGGTCCTACACTCCGCCGCAGCGCTCCTGCGACTGTGTGAAATCTGCGCCGAGCAGACGTCCAATATCAACAGCGAAGCCGCCGGTGCCGCGAATATGTTCATTCGGATTCTGTTGGGCAAGAAATATGCTTTGCCGTACAAGGTCGTCGACGCGCTTGTCTTCCATTTCCTCCGCTTCCGTGCATCCAAAGACCCCAACGACCAGGACGCCGGTCTAGGCAGCAAGGAGGCCAAGTTGCCGGTCTTGTGGCATCAAAGTCTACTAATCTTCGCGCAGACCTATCGCAATGAGATCACCGAGGATCAACGCGAGGCGTTGCTTGATCTACTGCTTGTGAGGGGCCACAAAGACATTGGGCCTGAGGTCAGACGCGAGTTGCTTGCTGGGAGAAATCGAAGTGCAGCCGCTGAAGACGATGCTGAGATGGCCGTAGATCAAGAGTCAAAAGACGACGGGGACGATACAATGGACGTCACCGGCTAAGCTAGGTGGTCTCCGAAGTCATGGAAGACCCTCATGAATGAATGAGTGGATGAATGAAAGCAATGATTTGTTCTGAAACATGATGTACATGGCCACGGAGTCGTCTCATGAACCCTTGGCCGTACGTGCCCTCCAGACCGTCTGGGGTGTTTCAGTCGAGGACTCAATGTTTGTGTTGCTGGAGGATTCGCCCGCGGACATTCGCAATGGTCGCATGATTATGCCTAAGAGAATGAAAGATTTGCGCTCGTCACGAATAACCACGCTCTACCTTGAGTAAGACGTCCCATTGTACTGTCCATGATCTAGACCAAGACCAACTTGCCGTCGCACCGTTTGAACACGTGACGAGGCTGTGAGCACGTGACGAGGCTGTAATGCCATGCGGCTATTTGGAGAAGGAAAGTTTCCCGGATTATGACATCGTAGCTCGGCCCTCGAAAAGAGCGTCGGATGCTCATCGGATCTCATACCTATCATATCAAGATTGAGGACATGCTTGAAGCGTAAGTCCGTGCTTGCTCCTCTGGCACAGTCGATATGGCTTCCTCCTTACCCTTGCAGGCCTCATTTAGGACGAGTTTGCCAACCATAATCTCCCGAAGTCGACCTGTATGTCGGTTCGGGCAACGGCAAAGACTGGCTAAGTTCGCAGTAGGCAGCAGACGAACAATCAGCAGCTATGGCTACACCCAAGCGAAGGCACTCGTATATTCCAAGTATGGAGAGCCACAAGATGTCTTGTCCTTGCACGGCCACTCGATATCTCCAGCGACCGGAAGCAGCGTGGTTCTTCGCATGCTTGTCGCGCCGATCAATCCCGCAGACGTGAACCAGATCCAAGGCGTCTATCCTGCGAAGCCTGAGATGACCATCGCACTCGGAACTTCGGAGCCTTCTGCAGTTGCCGGCAACGAAGGGGTTGCGGAGGTGGTCAGTACGGGATCCGGAGTCAAGAACTTGCAACGGGGCGATTGGGTCATCATGAAGAGTACAGGAATGGGAACTTGGCGGACACACATGGCAGTCGACGAGAGCCAATTGATAAAGATTGACAACAAAGACGGATTGACTCCGTTGCAGGTTGGCACAGTGTCGGTCAATCCTTGCACTGCCTACCGCATGCTTCTCGATTACGCCAAGTGGGGGTTCCGGGGCGATGAATGGTTCATTCAAAATGGTGCCAACAGCGGTGTTGGCCGGGCAGCCATACAATTGGGACGAGAATGGGGTCTGAAAAGCATCAACGTTATCCGAGGTCGAGAGAACAAGGAAGAGGAACAGAAGCTCCGTCAAAGCCTGCTTGACATTGGTGCTACCAAAGTCATTACTGAGGAAGAGCTACTGGGGCGAGAGATCAAAGATCAAATCAAAGAGTGGACAAAAGGAGGCCGAGAACAAATCAGAGTCGGACTCAATTGTGTAGGAGGAAAGAATGCCACGGCACTCGCCAAATTCCTCAGTCCAGGCGGGACGATGGTGACCTATGGCGCCATGAGCAAGCAGCCCATCGCGCTTCCGGCGTCGTTGCTTATCTTCAAGGACATCACCTTCAACGGCTTCTGGGTGAGCAAGTGGAGCGACCAGCATCCTGACCTTAAGAAGCAAACGGTTGACGATGTGCTTCGTCTCACCAGGGAGGGCAAGTTCAAGGATATCCCGGTGCAAGAATGTCGGTGGGGTTGGAAGACCGAAGTTGACACGCTCAAGAGCGCCGTTCAGGGCACGCTGGGCGGCTTCAGACCAGGCAAGGGAGTCTTTGTTTTTGAAGAGACATAGGAAGCAATGTAGATAGCACTCAGCCGTCGAGAGTCTGCGCACGATATCGGGCCACTGCCATGATTCTCATCAACTTGAACTGAACACGACTCGTCATGTCGTCATGTATATATAGCATCGTATATCACTGCAGGTTCCGAACACAGGCTTTATTGGCTGAAATGCCCAACTGCTTAGTCCCCAGTTGTGTCTGACGATTTTCCCCAGCAGTAGTACTACCTGTAGCCAAGGCTGTGCAAGGCTGCGGCTCCGGACCAATCATATCGACCATTGTATCTCACTTCCGGCGCGGATGGTTTCCGCCGAACGAACCCTTCCCCAGGAAGCTTCTCACAGCGGCGGCGGAATCCATCATCAGCCGCTGACAGCAAAGCCGAGACTTACACGAAGGGCGTGCATTAGACGGACAGAATCGTTGTCTTGCATCGTGTGGTAACCTGTCGCTTTTAGCCTTATCTAGGGAAAGGTTGCGGTTGTGATCTTATATTATACATGCTCAAACACTCACTTCGCCCAACCGCTCGATCATATAAACCACCGATATCAAGTGTTACTACCCTGCGGAGCTTTGGCCGATCGGCACGGTCGAATATGGACGCAGACGAGTTTAGAAAAGCAGCACATGCGGCCATTGAAGAAAGTAGGCTTCGAATGGACGAACTTTGCGGAAAATGAGACTGACGGGTTCAGTCATTGCATTCAACCAGAACATCGCCGAGTACCCTGTTCTTCCAGCCGTGAAGCCGGGATTCCTCGCACCCCAGTTACCCAAGTCTGCACCCGAGAAGTCGGAGCCATGGTCGAAGATCCAACCGGACATTGCTTCCAAAATCGTGCCCGGCCTCACACATTGGCAATCTCCGAAATTCATGGCCTTCTTCCCTGCCGGAGTGACCTACCCATCGATGCTGGGAGAGCTGTATTCGGCCGCGTTCACAGCGCCGGCATTCAACTGGCTCTGCAGCCCTGCATGTACGGAGCTGGAGACTGTAGTGATGGATTGGCTAGCTCAAGCCTTTGACCTGCCCAAAGAGTTTCTCAGCTCATCGCCATCCGGCGGCGGAGGAACCATTCAGGGCTCAGCGTCCGAAGCCGTCGTCACTTGCATGGTAGCTGCACGCGAACGATATCTCCACGCAAAGTGCGACGCCGAAGGTCTTGCCCCGGACTCCCAAGAACGAGACGATCGAATCGCCTATCTTCGTGGCCGCCTCGTGGCCCTGTCGTCTGACCAGGCGCACTCCTCGACGCAAAAGGGTGCCTTGATTGCCGGCACACGGTATCGTTCCATTCCCGCCAAACTTGAAAACCAGCTATCACTACAAGCAGCGGAGCTCGAAGCCGCGCTCTCCCAGTGCGAGGCGGATGGGTTAGAGCCTTACTACATCACGTTGACACTAGGGACCACGTCTACATGTGCCGTCGACGATTTCGCAGGGCTGGCGCCGGTCCTGAAACGCCATCCTAATCTCTGGGTCCATATCGACGCAGCTTACGCTGGAGCTGCGCTGATCTGTCCGGAGTTGTCATCCAAGTACTCTTCACTGATGATCATCGCCGACTCATTCAACATGAACATGCACAAATGGCTGCTCGTCAATTTCGACGCGTCGTGCCTGTTCGTTCAGAACAGGAACCATCTGACACGAGCGCTTTCCATATCAGCGGCATATTACGCCAACAAACACACCGACAGCGGTCTTGTGACCGATTACCGAGACTGGCAGATCCCACTGGGCCGACGGTTCCGGGCACTGAAGATCTGGTTCGTGATGCGCTCTTACGGTCTTGAAGGAATGCAGAAGCATATCAGGAACAGCGTGAGGATTGGCGAGGTCTTCGCCGACCTCGTCCGTGGCAGATGCGATCTATTTGAGCTTGTCACGGAGCCCTCGTTCGGTCTGACTTGTTTCCGGATCAAGCCTTCCATTTTAGGGTCCGGAGGGGCCGCAGAGACGGATGCTGATTTCATACCGCAGACTGCGGCCGATCAGCAGGTTGAGCAAGAAGCCAATGCGGTGACGAAGCACATCGGTGACTTGATCAATGAGCGCGGCGAGGTCTTCCTTACCTGCAGCAGCTCGGCGTGCAAGTCGTTCATCCGTGTTGTCAGCGGGAATCCACATGCTGAGGAAAAGTATGTGCGAGCTGCTTTTGACGTTATTGTCAAGACTACCGAAGAGGTGCTGGCAGGTCGAAAGTCGGCTTAGACCGATGCTGTTGCAAATGGACATGCTGGATAGATTAGAGTTGGCAGCGGCGACGAGGCGTTTGCTTGGGAGAGGAGGTTTGTAAAATGACTATTGGACACATTGGGAGTGGCTAGAATCTGTGTGACGGAAGTACTTGGTATGTTGTATGTAAACAAGAGTACTATGTCTTTGCCCTCAGTAATGGTGGTGGCACGGGTGGAAACTATGCTGCAGTTGATACCACGTATGTATGTATGCTTTCGACCGACGGTAGACCACGGCAGAGTCATTAGTCCCCGCTGGAGAAGTACCATTATGGGACTCTTCAGAAGTTGGATATCTGGCATCTCATCACTTCCCCTGTATTTCCCCTATATCATTGCTTTCGAAACCCCAACCACAAGTTTTGCAAAAGAGAAATCGCCCGCCCGTAATGTTGGTTGTCATGCCTTGGGCATTGAGAAGTGAAGGCCAAGGCTGTGGTGTTAAAGGGGGTTTAACATTTCGGTAATCGGCTTCCCTGCGGAGGCAGCTCAGGGCAGCGTCATATACGTTCCAAAAGGGTAAGGCCTGGTTGGTCGCGATCATGATCCAAGGAACGCGTCGAAGCACGCGTAAAGTGGTCTTTTTCGGTTGGGCTCTCAGGCCGTCGTTTCGAACTTGAACTGCACTCGTCGCTTCTCATCCTTTTGTCGTAGAAAAGATGGCAGACGTGAGGCCGAGCCCAGGATACACAGATGCCAACCGAGCGTTTTTGCAATCCTTTCTCGCGCGAAATATCCTGACACTGGAGACGGCCAAACCCATCATCGCAGCGATCTCTACATTTCGAGAAGGACGTGAAGTCCAGCCTCAAGATGTCACGGTGGAAGACCTGAACGACTACATTTCCCAGGCGAATCGAAAACTGTCTCCTCTTGATCTTGAGATCCGGAGCACCTTCCACCAACAAACCCGAGAGAGATTCTACGCGCTGGTCAACACCACGAGCGACTCTCTGACGCAACTCGCGACAACCTACACCGCGGACGAGATCATCTATGTCAAGAAGTTGCTCGATGCAATGTTCGACGGGCAGAACAACAAGGGCCGGCGTGAAGCCATGTGTCTGAGCGGCATCGAGGCCATCCAGGTTGGAAGAGCACAGAACAGACGCGAGACGCAGAACGGCAATGCGACACAGTCGACGGCCGGCATCCTTGGTGCTAGGGATGCTGAGGCCATGCTTGGCAAGTTGGTGGATGAGGGCTGGTTGGAGAAGAGTAGACAGGGCTTCTACAGCTTGAGTCCGCGGGCGTTGATGGAGTTGAAGGGTTGGCTGGTCGACACGTATAACGACGAAGATGAAGATGGCCACAGACGAGAAAAGATCAAGTTCTGCCATGCATGTAAAGAAATCATTACGGTGGTAAGTATTCAGACCGCGGTTGGTCGTTTCGAGTGGGAGCGATACTGATTCTCAACCATAGGGCCAACGGTGTCCGCGGCGCGAATGTCCTTGTCGTCTCCACGACATCTGCACACAGAACTTCTTCCGCATGCAACGCTCTCAGACGTGTCCTCTGTGCAAAACCGAATGGGATGGACAACATTACGTCGGGGAGAAGGCTATCACTACCTCGGAAAGCTATCAGACTGGTCGACGACGAAGCGGACAAAGACCGCGAGCGGAACCCACGACAGAAGGTGCCGAAGACGATAATAGTTGAAGTGAAGCGTGTGTGCTTTGCTGGAAACAAGAATGTGTTTCGCAAAGTTGCATGTTTAGCTGTATAGAAAAGTCGACACTCCAGTACTCTGGGCAGAAGCGTTGGGAGGCGGTGAGCCTGACACCCACAGTCGCTGGACGAGCTGTGTACTGTCCACTGCTCTGGACCCGGACTCATCAAAACATGATGGCGCGAAGAGGATGCAAGCAGAGGAAGATCTTGCTCGCGCGAATGCGACATCAACCTCTCCTGCCGGTCGTGATACATCGGAACCAGCCCTCTGAGCTCCCACGTCCGTGTCGACGACTTGCCTAACATCCGGTCAGCGTCTGCTTTCGCAGTGTACAGACATGCCAGGAAAGACAAGTCTCTGAGCTGGAAACCAAGGAGGCCTCGTGGCCTTAATGGTGTGGTCTTCCCGGCTATCCTGCCAACATGTGTCGGTCGCGAAACGGAGTCAGGGTTAGCCTGTTGATACGCCGGTCGTTTCAAAGATTGAAGGACTATGATCTGGACAAGATCGCAATGCTGAGCGAACACCACGAGACTGAAGTCGACAGAGCATCTTCAGTCCCGGCAAGCCAGAGGCTGCGGCACTTGCTCTGCCGCATTGGGAGGCGCCATACTAGACGGAGTTGCGGGCGAGCACAGAAGTCATTCTGTACAGGCAAGATTCATAACAAACGTCTCATACTGCTTTCCAAATCATCATATTGACACCCTTATGCTGGACCGCCCGAGTAGGCTTACGCTGGTCTCAATTCTCCTTGCTTGTTCTGAGATGTGGGTATGCCGGACGAAGAACATCAGCTGTCTCAGTAGGCCCTCCTTTGTGGTAGAGCCATTAGTCAACACCTGTTGTTCATTCAGCACAACCATGATCAGAACGATTCAGCCTTCCGCATATCAACGTAGCAGGATCCTTGTTCGCAATAGTCCGGTGCCGTGGGAGGTAGGACAATACCATAAACAGTGGAAGCAGAAGGTCGCCTGCGCAATGGCCCAGTCCCAGGGCTATAGTGCCTTCTGAAATCCGTTTGTCGGGGTCGTACCTTGACGAGTCCCGAGTGAGAGGCGTACGAGGTCCTGCAGCGTGGTCCTAGTAGATTGTGAGAAGGCAGCATGGGATCACGGGATGAATGAAAGACATTGCAATATTTGTGACGTTCCATCGCAGTCGAATCCCCGCTCAGAAACCTGGTCCTCCAACTGCCCCAGACAGATGAGTAAATGAGTCTCTCCCCCGCAACTCCCGCCTTCATCCTATAGAAACAGACCGAACCTGTCGCTCCCATCGATCGAGCCACCTTCAGCCAGCGCCTCTTCAAATCCTCCGCAATGACGTCGCATTCGTCTGTGGCCGAACGTCTTTGGACCGTTATTGCTCGGCGGAGGAGACGGTCCCATAGAACCTATGACCGAACGAAACGACTCGCGTGACCTGAGAAAACCATGACAACGAGCACAAGTCGAGCTTCGAGCTTCCCGGTCGGACCGGGGTCCTTCGCCAATGTAACTTGGGCAAAAGATCTATCCGATCTCTTTGCGGGGTGCCGGTGCCCGGCATGAGGCTGCGGCTTGAGAAGATGTTGAGATCCTGCACCTTTTATATCAGGCGGTTGCACCCAAATGAGTCTCGCGACGCAACAGGGAAACCGCCATCTTACCAGCACCTGCTCCCGTAGTCGAATCGGTAGCTGTCGTCGCTGGACCAGGATCTTACCTTACAGCAGCCGAGGAAAAGCTGGTATTTCGAGCATACGGTACTGAAGTAGCTGCTTAGGACTCTACAATTCTATACCCGCGAGCTGCTGGTCCTCAGGAGGCATCACCAACGAAAGATCAAGGACAAAATACTGACAATCCGGGGCTAGATGGCTGGCACAAGCTACCTTTCGGTCGGTGGACTTCTCAGTCTTGTGGTCCTGTCCTCGACGGCATGGGCTCAATCGGACAACTCGTCTTCTCTGTATGACACGCGCTTCCACGGTGTCACTTGGGACAATGCCAACTGGATCCTGACCACCAGCAAACTCGATCAAGGTCATTATCAGTCCCGAGCCACGGTGGCCAACGGCTACCATGGTATCAATGTAGCATCTCTTGGCCCATTCTTCGAAGTTGACACTTTGGTCGACGGCGACAACATCAACGGATGGCCTCTGTTCAGTCGACGACAGACCTTTGCCACGATCGGAGGGTTCTGGGATTCTCAACCCACGACCAACGGAACCAACTTCCCTTGGCTCTATCAGTATGGCTGGGACAGTGTCATCAGTGGTATCCCTCACTGGGCTGGCATCATTGCCGACCTGGGCGGGAGTGATTACCTCGCGGCGGCAACGAATAGCTCGACAATAAGCGATTTCAGATCTAGCTTGGACATGAAGAAGGGACTGATGACTTGGACGTTCACCTGGTCTCCCACTGGCCATGGCTCGTTCAAAGTGTCCTACCAGATGTTTGCACACAAGCTCTACGTCAACCAGGCGTTGGTCACCATGAATATCACGGCTGAAAGAACGACGAACCTCACGGTTGCCAATGTGCTCAACGGGGACTGTGCTGTGCGAACCACGCCTGGAGATAAAGGCATTGACAGCGGAATCATCTTCACCTCTGTCCAGCCCAATGGTATCCAAAATGTCACTGCTTTTGTCTACGCTGGCATGTCTTCCACCGGAGCTACCGTTCGATCCGTGGAGCAAGCCACTTGGGTCAGACCTTACGTGGGCAACAACCAGTCTTCCATTGCGACAGGTCTCCATGTCACTCTACAAGCCGGTCAAGTCGCGACATTTACCAAGTTTGTAGGAATTGCGTCTAGCGATGGATTCGCTCGACCAAAAGTTGCCGCGAGACGGGCAGCGCTCTCCGCACGGGAAGCAGGCTACAGTGCCTCTCTGCAGAGTCATGTCAGTGCGTGGGCCATAGACTTCACCGCTGACTCGGTTGATGACTTCTCTTTTCCCGAGAATGGAACATTCCCAGATGACCTGTATATCGTCGACTCCGCTATCACGGCTGTGGCAAATGCCTATCATCTCCTGCAGAATACGGTTTCGGACACAGCCATTGCAACAGCTGGAAACGCCTCAATCAACAACCACAGCATCTCCGTGGGAGGCCTCGGCTCGGACTCTTATGCAGGACAGATTTTCTGGGATGCAGACATATGGATGCAACCGGGGCTTGTTGCCGCTTTCCCTTCAGCTGCAAGAGGAATTTCCAACTATCGTCTCGAGCGATACCAGCAGGCAACAAGCAATATCGAAACAGCGTATCAATCGTCCAAGAATGACACCAATTTCACCTCCAACGCGGCCATCTTCCCCTGGACGAGTGGACGTTTCGGGAACTGTACGGCGACCGGCCCATGCTTCGACTACCAATATCATCTCAACGGCGACATTGGTCTGGAGCTCATCAATTACTGGGTCTCGTCAGGCGACACATCGTTCTTCCGTGAGGAGCTATTCCCCATCTATGAGTCGGTCGCAACGCTATACTCGGAGCTTCTCGAGAAAGACGGAACAACCTGGTGGCTGCGCAATATGACGGACCCAGACGAGTATGCCAACCACATCGACAATGGTGGGTATACGATGGCATTGATCTCGACCCATCTGACAAACGCCAACCTGTTCCGGGCCATGTTCAACAACACACCCAATGCGACATGGGATGCGCAGGCCGCGAATATGTTTCTGGCACGCGACAACGAGGCCAACATCCTCCTGGAGTATCCTGGCATGAATGGCACCACGTCTGTCAAGCAGGCCGACATTATCCTTGTCACGTATCCGCTCTCGTTTACGCGGTACAACTATACCGCTCAGCGCTCGCTCAGCGACTTAGACTACTACGCGGGGAAGCAGTCAATAAACGGCCCAGCCATGACATACGCCATGTTCGCCATCATTGCAAACCAAGTCTCACCGTCTGGCTGCTCGAGCTACACATATCAGCACTACTCGACGCAGCCTTACGCACGGGCGCCGTGGTATCAGCTATCCGAGCAGTTGGTCGATGATTGGAATGCCAATGGCGGCACTCACCCGGCGTATCCGTTCTTGACTGGCCACGGGGGCGCACACCAAGTCGTGCTGTTTGGCTATCTCGGTCTGCGCTTGCTTCCGGACTATATTCTGCACGTCGACCCGTCGCTGCCACCGCAGATTCCACAAATCCGATACCGCACGTTCTACTGGCACGGCTGGCCGATCTCTGCATTCTCCAATCAGACGCATACGGTGCTCAGTCGCAACGGGAGCCTGATACTGGACGAAGGCGCGGTGCCCAATGCCACATACGCGACGACCCCGATCCCTGTGCACGTGGGCCCTATTGGCTCTGCACCGCTCGCCAACTACAGCCTTGCGCCTAACGGCAGTGTCACCATCACCAACCGCCGCATCGGGCAAATCAAGACCACCGCGGGCAATGTTGCTCAGTGCCTGCCAGTGACATCGCCGGATGACTACTTGCCGGGCCAATTCCCGATCGCGGCCGTCGACGGCGCCGCCAGCACCAAGTGGCAGCCAGCGCTTGCCAACAAGACGGCAAGCATTACGGTCCAGTTACCCATCGGTTACCGCGTGACCGGCATGGTTTTTGACTGGGCTCAGGCTCCGCCCTGGAACTATTCTGTCCTATTCCACAACCAATCACTAGACAACCCAAGTGCCCAGAACGCCAATACTACCCAAGGGGTCTTAGAAGTCGCGAGCAACAACCGCGTGCGCATCGCCGACGCATACAACGCCACAGAGATCTTTGAAATCGGCCCCATCGAGTCGAACATCACTACGTACAATATCTCGGGTGGTGAGGATGTCTATACGGCTCGGTACGCCACGCTTCAGATCTGGGGCAGTCTGTCAAATGGAACAGCGACGGCGAGCGAGATGACCGGTGGTGGCGCTACGGTTGCGGAGTGGAACATTATAGTGGACGGACTTGAAGATGACACAGGTTCTGCGAAACGGGATTTGGGCGGAAATCTGAGACCCAGAGATGGTGTAGTGAACACGGATGTCTTGCTCAGATTGGGCAGAATTGCCAGGGACGCGGAAGTCAGAAAGAAGCTGGGCATGAGCGTGTGATATGACCTGCACGAGAGTGTCCTAACTCCAAAAGAAAAGAGTATATGACAATTCAAAAACAGGAAAGACCGTTTTTGCGTGCGTGGATTGCTATCATAGAACTACATTGGCCTCCTGGTTGTCTACCTTTGTCCCGTAGCAACCCGCTAATCCCATATCGCAATTTGACTGCTTAATCGGGACATCATGCGATCCGAGAAGTCCAGGGATTCATTTGTACCGGGGAGAATCATTGAAGGTTGTCGGAAAAGCCATCGGTACATGGTGATGTGGCCCTCGTTAGCATCGGCAGTGCGAGGTAAGAAGCAGAGGGAGGGTTTTGTGGCCCGAGGTGCAGGATTGCGGGATGGTCGCTGGTGAAGGTCGCAAATACGGCAGTTCTGCTCTGGGCTCTGGATGTCGCCCTCAGACCTCGCGATGGGACCGTGATGTGCCGGGTCGTTCGTGCTGCAGCTCTCGAGTATTGGAGAAGTGCTTGCCCAGAGGTCAGACTCGCCAAGTGTGGTAGGAATGCTCGACAATCTCCTTCTCCTGCTGTCGAAGGCGTCTCTGGGACACTCCTGCGAGCACTCCATCGGCCGCAAGACGAAGTACAAGGAAGACGTAGGTCGGTGAGCCCAGACATCCACCATCTGAGGCCAGCTGTTCCTGGGTGTATGCCCCACGCACGCGCCGAGGAGCGCGGCAATGTTGAACGGCGCAGTACCAGTATGTCGAAGCTCCTTCCTACCAGCCCGGCGAGTCAAACAGTGAGCGGAGCGCCGCATCTTGACGCCGTGTCTGTACAGACACCGAAAACGGTGCCGACAGGCGATAATGAGACGTGGGAGACTAGTCCATGATCTTAGGTCCCATTCATTCTCCATGTGGTTCGTTCTGCCCCTCCATCCTCCCACGGGCTTCACCCAGCAGGGCCTCCTGCATCTTCCGCAACTCCTCCTCGCCCATCTTATCGAATCCGCCAAAGTTGCGCATCTTCTCGCCGCGACCGACCCGCTTCTTCTGGACCTCCTGCCACTCGCCCACCACGCCGCGACAGCCCTCGATGTAGCTGCCGAAGCCCAGATCCGTGAGGGCCTGTTCGACGTGCTCGACGCTGATCGTCTTCTTGGACTCGCGCTCCGAGATGTCGTTGGACTCGGAAGACAACATGCGCAAAAACTCCAGGGAGCACGAGATCAACAGATCACGCGCCGGGCGGGTGAAGGTCATTTCGCCATCTCTGCCTGCAGCACTCGCGTCGTGGGGGACTTGCGGTAGGATTTCGGAGATGATCTTCTGGACCGTCGCCTTGGGCAGGGACAGGTCGTCGTTGCCTAAGATGTCACAATACGTATATCAGCACCAGCACCTGCACCTGCACTGCAGCCCAAAACACTGGCCGAGTCGTGGTAGGGAGTGTTTGGGAATGTAGACAAAAGTACTTACCACTGAAATCTTTGTCTGACATGATGGAAATCTGCTTGTGGCGCGAACCCCCCTTCCTTTCAGTGCTAGGAGTTCAGTGGGTTTGTTTATAAAGAGGACGAGAGGTGGTGCCAGTCATAGTAGTAGTGGTTGTCCAACGAAACGGGGATTACAAGGGAAATATATACCGCCGCGCGGAAGTTTATAATGTAGTGCAGTGGTGGATTGACGTGCCAACCTGACAGACTGGACGCCGGAGACTGAAAGTGAAACTTGTACTCACAGGCACCCGGGCTGCCTGAAACGGGAATAGTAGTGACATTTGGAGTTGTGGCCAGCCTCAAGTTTCGCGTAACTTGCCTCTGAGCTTGCACTAATACTATTGATTACACTACTAGTAAGTCAATCACGCCGCTTTAAGTCACAGAGCTTCGCTTGAGATTTTATTCTCTGTTCTTGGCGCTACTTTCATCTTCAACCTTCAACCTTCAACCTTCATTCTTCATTTTTCGTTCCTCGAGTATTTCGTTTCATTTCCATTCTTCCTCGCAGCTTGCGGGATCAGTCATAATGCCAGTGCATTGACGGCGTTGAGTTCCTTCATTCGCAATGCAGCTCACGATGGGCGTGGACGCGCTTTGCAAAGGAATTCCTATGTCCTGATGTTGATGCTACTATTGGTAGCGAGCTAATCTTCCAGCAACGGTGCGAGCGACTGTGGTGGAAATGAGGGCCAGCTTGTGAGTAACCTGCAACACTCCTTTGTTTCAATCCTTTCATGATGAACATTCGTGTCGCCCCTATCATACCAAACCGTGGTGATTTACCTGTCCATGCCAAACAGGACTTTCTGATCGAACAAACCAACCTCCATTGCATTACCGCTCAACTATCCAAAAAAGCAGCAGTGGCTAACACATTCAAAAGGAGTATGTAGTAGATTCGAAGAAGAAGCAACCAAAACAGCGCCCTAGTCAATACAGAACCCGTTCAAGGCAAGTTCTTTCGTCTACCAACAGCCCGATTCCTGTCCTCAAATGATGAGCAACACAAATGTACTATCAAATTCGGATTTCACAATGACGAATATCTTGGTTCGATTACCTGAACGCCAACTCGCATGATCGATTGTCTTCATATATGTCTCGACTTTAGTCTAACAGTTGACTAGCAGATCTGTTGGAAATATTCTATCCATTCTTGCAGGTTTCTACTTTGCTCTTGTGAGTCCAACCATTTTATTTTCTCCCTATCATGATGAACACCCCACTCTTCCATGCTAAGTATGAAGGTCCTTTGGGTCTAATGCTTAAGACTGTGTATTCAATTTTCATCTTTCGGCTGAATTCAAGAATTCCTGGAATGATCTATTTTCAAATGATAAGAATCTCGCTGATCGGTGAGAGACAGATTCTGTACATTTCTGATATCATAGCCTCATTTGATCTGATCCTCTATTCTACCTACCATTTTTAATCTGACGAATAATGAAATGTCTTTCTGGGCCTTGCCTGATCTACACAATGGTTCCCAATATTTTTTTTATATCCAGTCAGGTCCTGTAGCATTACTTTGTCAACGTCTCAACTTGCTAAGAAGCTCTTATCACGATTGGTATTGCGCCAACTTCGCATCGTCCCAACTATTCCAGATATGGATATCAGCATTCTGATCGAAAAGCTCAAGTTAAGACAATTTCTTCTCTTACCTGAGGAACATGCCTGAGAGGTCTTTATCAGCTCTGACCGCCAACTCTGCAATGACGTGGCCCGGCTTCTCCGGCGGCAGCAACTTGCCGTCCTTTTTCGCGCTGATGAACTTGGCCTGGTCCTTCTCGTCCATGTTCTTGAGATATTTTTCGCGAATGTCGACTTGCATGGCGGTGTCAACCACCCCAGGCCGGATGGAGATGGAGGTGACTTGGGGCTCCTCGTTCTTGAGCGTCATGGCCAGATGGTTGATTGCTGCTTTGGACGCCCCGTACGCTCCCCAGGATGAATAGGCGTTCGAGGCGGCCCCGGACGAAGTGAAGACGATCCGACCTTGCGCGGTACGAAGAAGAGGCAGAGCCGACTGGACCTGAGATGGGGACGGATCTAGGTTAGCTGCCTTCTTCTTCTTCTTCTTCTTCTTCTTCTTCTTCTTCTTCTTCTTCTTCTTCTTCTTCTTCTTCTTCTTCTTCTTCTTCAGGAAAACTCGGATTGCTGCTTGATTTTTCCATCTTGCAGTAACAGGATTTTGGGAAGGCACTCACCAAAGCCACACAACTCGACACATTGATCCTAAACGTCCTCTCCCAATCCTCCACCTCCATATCCGCGATCCGCAAACACGCGCCCAACGTGCCATGGTTGAGGACCAGCCCGTCCAGACGGCCATCCAGCTCGACGTCCCGTAGGATCGACCCGACGTAGTCCAGATCGCTCATATCCCCCGGTTTGCACAGCACTCTGTCTGGATTTCGGGAGCGCAGGTCGTCGAGGACATCGGCTTTCCGTCCCGTCAGGATGACTAAGTGATGCGCCGGCGAGGAGAGGAGATGGTTGGCGATGGCTAAGCCGATCCCGGCTGTGGCACCCGTAACGAGGATCGTGCGAGACGAGGGGTTTTGAGACTAGAGAAATGGTTCATGAGTATTTTGGCTGGAATATTGTGTATGATGGGGGAAGGGGGTAAGGGGGATGTGTTTTTGCATGTCTGTGTAAAGTGCACGAATGGTGGATCTTCATATAACAAGGACCCGGGTCTGGCTTCATTGTGGCCGTAAAGCAATAGCTGGGTGTTATTGTATCGCACTTGGATTTGGTTTGCATGGAATCATTCCTGTCTCTGTTGTCTCGAAGAAGTCGAAACTGAGGCAAGGAATTGCTCGTTCTAGTTGTAGATGGGGAAGGCCGGTCGTGATGGATGTATGAGAGGTAGGAAGGCTGGGTAGGTAGGGTAAGGTAATGCGAAGCAGTGTCAGCACTAGACATGAACATACTCGGTGGTTCGATATGTAGTCCAGAGACGGCCCGAAATGGGCTTTCGTCGAAGCCATGGTTCGTTCGTGCGGATGTTGTTGAGATGGCTCTCGGGGTTCGAGCTTGAAGATGTAGTGGGTTAATATTAAGGGCGACAGGAAACGCCGAGCTAGGATAGAACTTGAACAAGAAGTCTTCAAGGCTGTTCCTCGCGAGATGGGAGCAGATATGGGAGCAAGCACGAAATAGTTTCCTTACATACAGTTCAGCCCTTGAACTAGAACAAGCATTAAGAACGAAAGATAATCATGGTGGTTCTTGGAGTGGATTATTTTCGGATTTGACGTCAATTGTTAACGTTGCTTGCTGGCGGATCGATTCCTATCACTTTCCTCCCTCTCACGCTCCGTGCCTTTCATGTACATACCAACCTCTCTAATCCTCTAGACTTCTGGGCTTTTCCTTTGGCAAACAAGTTCCCCCACGAGAGTGAGTCAGATGACATTATACGGACAGACTGCGTCGATAGGAACATGCAGTATTACAGCTGGGTGAACCGGCAGTATATACGGCGAGGCTGAGCATATTATTGGACTTGATTAGATTGCCTGGAGCGCAGAGCAGCAGTTCCAGAAATGCTGGCCTAAAGTATATGTCGTGACTCGTGACTCGTATCGAGTTCTATCTGTTCTCTTCAATCCCGCGGTGCTCATCAACTTTTGTAAGGAGAATCGTCTCTCATGATATACACCTCCGCAGTGAGGACGGCACAGCCGACAGCCATGGCGATGGCGATGATAGGAAGATTCCACCACGCAAATTCGAGTCTGCCCACGGTGATGTGTTTTCTTTCCAGAATGTCTCTCCACAGCAGCCCAGCCAATGACGCGCTAAATGCCATGCTGAAGGCGCCATAATTGACACCCAGGGCCATAGTGTACACTGTTGCCCAGAAGGTCCGATCCGACAGAGGCACTCCATTGACGCGGTGAATCTCTTCCCAAGCCTGTATGACGCGGGACAGCAGAATGGTGCTGCCGATGTTGGTGCCGGCAAACTAGCCACGGACAGATGATGTTAGTCTGATAGCCACCCGGGGGCCTGAAATATGGTGGTCCTGGAAGAAAGAAGCTACAACTCACATTGCAGAGAACCACAGAGAGGAACCCCATGCCACCAATGCTGCCGATTGTTCCGGTCTTGTTCACCCAGTGGTCCCACCCATGGGCAAACACCGGCACCCAGCCTTTCGTGACCAATGCTTGGACTAGGACAAACATCGACAGAGCAAACGGCACAAGCATAAATGGCAAGTGCGCCACCACGGCCGTCACGGTGGGGAACGATATCCGTAACCATCGATATCCATCGCTGACAAGCGAGACAAGTGTCGCCCTCTCACGGTTCTGACGACACGCCACCTCAAGCTCAAGCTCGGAAGTGCTGGGCTGCTCATCAATCAGTTCCACGTGTGTCGCGTCTTGTGGCGTCCGAGGTGGTATACTTGAGGAGTCGACGTGGACCGATTTGCCCTTCTCCTCGGTCGTTCCGATTACCCCAATGGATAGTCGGTCAAATCGGTCGTCCCGAGGAACGAGCATTGAATCTGAGGAGTCATGTATAGACGGGGACGCAGAAGCTGGTTTGCTGCCCCTGCCAAATACGGTCAGACCAGAACCGGGAGGCGATGGATGCTCCAAATGAGCCGTGGTTGGACCTGTCGACTCAGACAGGTCATCTTTCTCGACCTGTTCTTCGTGCCCAGATTTTTCTTGTACTTCTCCGTTCTCAGCTCCGCTGCCGGCCGGCTCAACGTCCAGAGGCCCTTGGCGAGCGTTTTCGCGCGTCTGCTTGCGGTTGAGGAAGCCGAATGTGACGTCCCAGCAAAACATGACGAATGCAGCTGGCAGAGTCACCCAAAACACGGGATGTTCCCCTTGACTTTGGCTCACTGCGTTGAGTGCTAGAAGGGTGATAAGCGTGACTGCCATGATGACCGCTCCGAACGTTGCGCCCTTCTTATCGAGGAAAGGATGCATAATCTCTGCCAGCAAGAGAAGCTTGCCTTTCTCATTAGAAGCGGCCGTCATGACTGCTTCCTCAGCGTTGCCTCTGGCGTAAGGGATATTGGGGTTGCGGGGCGTCTGAGTCTTCAATTCGTCCGGAAGCTCCCTGGTCACAATCGACAATGGAATAAGTCGCTCATCGGCGAAGACGACGTATAGCAGGAACGGGAATAGGACGATGGCCGTGACAACGACGGGAACGATCATGTTGGCGGTGTAATTGATGAATTTGATCTTGAAGGCCCCCGCAAGTACGAGATTGGTTGGGTTAGAGGAGACAAGGATTGCTGAAGCAGTGTTCGCGACGGCAAATTGACTGACAATCCACGCTCGGGGGTGCATGATGTTCTTCGAAACTCGTGTCATATAAGCAAGAAATGCTGTGCCGGACAGGATGATAGGGTCATTGCCAATGAAGCTTCCCAGGCCGAAAAAGAAGGCATAGAGGTAGAAGAAGAGTTGGTGTCCGACCTTGCCACCTTTCTTAAGCACCCTGAATGCGAGGTACCTGATCAGACCGGATGCGTCGATCGAAATGGCGATGTAGGCCAACGTAAGGAAAAATATCATGATGTCGACGGGGGAGATGTTGTTCGCCCCAATTGTACCATCATGCACCTCCTGTCGACCAATAGCAGAAATGGCAAGCAGGAAGAGATCTGCTACGAAAGGTGCCGTTACAAAGTTCATGGGGAACTGCAGCCGTACGAAATACCCGACCTTGCGAGGTACACCATCCTTGCCTTCATTGTCAAAACGGTTGTCTGGCGGGCCGATTACGCGCCAGCTTCTGAGGGTGTTGAGAACTGCATTCGCAAGCGGCAGAGGAACAAATATCGGTATGTGCCAGGGGAAAAGCACTGTGATATCTGCACCATTTCAGAGATCAGCAGCATGAACTGCGGCTTGCAAGGCATATGATATCGCCTACTTACTTGTTAGGACAAATACTACAAGCGTGACAATTGAGCGCCAGCTTTTGATTTGACTGGTATCGAGGTTCTCCGGCATTCTGATGACATGTCGCGAAGGACATCCGGCACAAATAGACCTGCTTGATTGAAGTTCGGCTTGCCTGGAATTTCAGAAGCTCATTTGAATCGGAGAGGTTTGGTAGTATTGACGAATGAGGCGGCCGGCCAGGTTGGACACGGCCGTGGGCAATCGAGGGATTCTAAACAGAGTTGGCTTCTTCAGAGCCGTCTGGTAACCTGGTATATCAATACAAATGGGAGATTCGTTATCAGCGAATTCACCTGAGCAGGGATCCTACCACAGTCATGCACAAAATAAAAAGTCGGTGGCGAGAAGTGCTTCAGGACCAGTTGTCAGAGTATTTGAGGGCAGCTCTCCAGAAACGAAGCCGTCCGGGGCACTCGAACATGGACAGACCACGTTATCAAGAGCGTTTTGCTCATTGGTACAGTGGGCGCAGGATGGGGCGCAGTCGACGGCCGCAGACTGCAGTATGGTAGGACAAGCATTACCGGTAAGCATGATCTCGAATGCCAGTGGACAGGCTGGAATGAAAGGCGATCAGGCGAACTGGAGAGGCAGCCAGATATGCATAGACTGTTATTTCCAACCAATGGAGGATATGCCCTCTTCCCGTCAGAAGCAACACCCCGCCGCCATCATGCCGTGAGTGCAACGTGGCGCAAGCACTAGATCGACCTGGTCATAGGAAGCTGAAGTCACATACACCGCCTGTTGCAAGTGTGTCTGTTCGTGAGGCCCTTTTGGAGGAAAACAGACCGGCCGGGTGGGATACAGAGAGCATGATGACCGTTTACGTTTGAAGACGTTCAGAGGAGGTTGTGAGATGTTGCTATTGACACAAATATCTGCTATCTGCTATGTACTATCTGTTATCTGTTATCTGCGTCTAACCTTTGGACCGAGTACAAATTGGGCTTAGATCAGGCAGCCACGGTCACATGTCTGGACATGTACGCTAAGCCTTTACGAGGCTAGTCCAAGAGCTTATCGGAAGTACAAGGCATCAAAAGCTTCAGGCCTCGATGGGAGCGAATGTTGTTGTTGGTCCTGTCAAGCATCCTCCCTGCTCGTATGTCACAATCACTCACTCACAAAACCTGTTCATGTACCTGGACGGAATTGACCCAGGACGCCTGACTTTGAGGCTCAGCCAGACCAATACAATGATACAGGTAGGGCGTTTGCTGGTCGCTGGCTCAGCCTCAAGAGAGTCGCTACCAAGTGACTCCTGTGTCTCTGTTCCCTAGCTATTGGGAGTCGGGACCAGCCTTTCTCTGACAAATAACAATATACGTTCCCCAGATTTGCGAGCTCAGATCTCCTTCATTCAGATCCTCGCTCTTCACTGTGCCCACCATATCCCCATAATATTCCCATACTCATTACGGAAAGAGGTCATGCCCGCAATTCCTGTAGCCCCACTACTGAGTACTTTCGTTGATCGGTCTGTCACATCCACAAATACTACCAGTGACGCTTTGCAGGTTGTATGTGCATGGCCGCTGTCCGGCCAGTATGGGCCGGGCTCGAGGGTTTTGTAAGTCTTCCCTTCCTTCAGACATCCAAAACGATCTCCAGAGATGAAGCCCGAGAAGACACATCGCTCACATTCCCTATTGTATTGAAAGATATTACGTCCTTGTGGCAGCTTGCCTCTTTGCACAAAATCTGCCATGGTTGAGAGACGCCTGTGTGGCCGCTGCTTTGCTCTTCCCAGCTGTCGCTGCTCTACATGGCATCGTCCTTGCAGCAGTGCACGTTGATGGTGGGCTCCCTGTGCCGGTGGAACACCTGTCTCCCTTCTAACTGCCTCAAACTCAAGGCGCTTTTGATATGGATGTGTTTGGAGCTTTCCAACTCTGCTCGATAGGCATCCTGGCTGCACCAGTGACGGTCAGGTTATCCCAAACATACTTCAATGTTACCGGGCGGAATCTGATCTTCTTGTGGACTGGCCTCATTCTCGCAGGTGAGCCACCCTTCCACTTGCTCTTCTGAACAAATCTGATGAAGCACCCATCAAGGGCTCCTGAGCTTGACAGTGGAGTTCTTCAGAAGTGATGCCTCCGACTGCCAGCACGATGAGTCTGGTAGACCAATCTCTCCCAATCCCAAAAGATTCCAGTACAACACCAACTGTGGCCTCAGATGCACGGTTGAGCTTGGGCCGCACTCTCCCTTGCGAGGCGGCTCGGCGAATAATATCTACGTGATACCTACTCCGGACAAGCTCACCTTTGGGACGGCGACTCTCCTTGCAGCCGCCTGCTGCATCCCCGCCATTCTTTCAATCATATCCATGTGGAAGGAGATTCTGGAGATCAATTGGGAGACACGTTTTGGGAAAGCAAAGGATGACCGTTCTCAGGAGCCGATCGCCGGTACAAACGGTGCCACGATTGAGAAGATGAGGGCGATTACCGGTAGGATCAGTCTGTTTTTGTGGGCTGTGCAAATACCTTTGATCGGCGCTGCAGTTCTCGCCATTCTCGTCATAGGCGAGAGGAACTTCTTCAGTGCTCAAGTTTCTCATCAAACAGAGCCTATTGCCAGTATAGGTAGGTGCCCCCCGCAACCCTTCTTGCAATGATTGGCTGACTTCGTTAGGCCAATGGGCTCCCATTGCCGGCACAATACTCGCTGTTCTGGGGTCGTTGTATGTGCTCCTCGACAAAATGCTGGAAGGCTCCAAGGGTGACATGACCACGAAGCCCTGTACCAAACGCTGCACCTGTTCGGCGCAGGGAAGCAGTCAAGGCTTGCTGCGAGTCCCGTCGCAGAACACTGTCCCAGCGGGTGCTACAGCTTTGCAAGATAGCCTGTCGGACGGCCAGCCAAACAACTCGATGGATAAGGAGCTCGCCTCCAGTGCATTTGCCTCAGACCAAGATCCGCAAAACGATCCACCTCCTAGGACGGATGCGGGCAGTAGGCGAAAGGTCGCTGACGCGTTGGCCTCGATCGCCCGCTACATGGGCACTCCCGCACATTACCGTTTCGATGATTCTCAGTTCAAGAATGGAGTAGCAGGAGACTATCCCTGGATCCCGGCAGAGCCAGAAAGAAACATCAATTACTGGGGAATTGAAAAGCACTGTAACCAGGGTCGAGAAGGGGAGGGAAGCGTCTCCCCCATGCTTCGTGCACGGTCTTCAAGAGCAGGGAGCCTGACTGGCAGCGTTGCGTCCGGAGTTGGTCTCAAAGCAGGCTCGATGGGCTCGCCGCAGTCGCCAAATTCATTGTTACCCTCTTCATCATCGAACCCATCTGCAGATGCGACAACACAACGGGTCAGATCTCAGACTGGACGAACCATGTCCGAACCAGAGGCTCGCTCTGGATCTCCGTGTCCCCCTTCGCTTGTGACTCGATTCCAGGAGCGACCGGCTACGCTTCAGATACCGCCGCGGGTCTACCACAGCCCTACACGGGAGAACAGATCACTGCCAGAAGGCCAAGCTTCTCCTACGATCGTGATCTCTCCCTCCTCCGATGGGCCGGCCGCGGGAGATGCGACTTTTGGCGAACCACCATTACCCCCATGAGTCTGGGCGCAGTAATAGAAGGAACTGCCACCATTGGACGCTTCCACCATGCGGGACTTCATTTACTTCTACTTCTCAAAAGAAACCTCTCCGCGACGACTTGCATTTCCTAGCAATATCCGAGTTCTTGGAATCCTGAACACAACCGTTACAGAAATATGGTCATAAACGACGAAAAGGATGAAACGGCAGTGAAATATCTTGAGCGAAAATTGCCTGAGAGGAGCACTGCTTCAAAGTGTCCGCACAGAATCTCAGGCCCACCGCAGAGGCTCGATATCCTAAGGAATGTTGACCAGGGATGCGCTTCTGGGGAGAGCTGACTGCGGCATGCTCTTTCGCTCTGCCTTAGCCCATTTACTCTTTTCCGTAGGGTGGGTCTCGACGAACAGTTACCTTACCCGGCGATCTGGACGCACGCAGCCGGTGCGGGATGGTTTTCCCGAAACTCATCGACGGCTCAGAACGGATAGCAATCCAAGACAATGATGCTTGCCAGACCAGTCAGAGCTGGTCTTCAGTCAGCGCCCCTTTTCGACGTAAATCAATGGAGCAACACTCAGCAACACCCAGCAACACCTCTGGTCTGTTTTGTGCGCTTTGTCTGGGACGGATACAACGGCCAAGGCTTGGGCTCTGTATGTCACGGACTCACGGTGTCTGCAAATCCCACGATCGAAGTATCGGCATCTTGGCCATACATATCCAGGGGAAGGAGTTCGAGTCATCCTGACGATTGAGGATGCTTTCCCTGACATCAACACCCGGTGTGGACTGAAGAAACATTGGTGGAGATCATCCCAAGTGATTAGATCAAGCGTGTTGGACATCTGCAGCTTGTGGCGGAGTCTGTGATACGTGCTTCCAGGAGGTTTCCGAACAAATCGAGCAAAAGACTTCTTGACATAAATATTCAAACATTTCATACCTGGACATCTTATACACTTCGTAACCCTCCCCCTCCACTCTTGGGCCTCCGAGTCCACCCCCCTCTCTCGATAACTTACCGTCCACCTCCAGCTCCCAGCATTTCTGGAGTGTGTCTTCAACGCATAATGTCACTATATAGCATAACGGGTATGCCCCACTGCATTATACTTCTCTACGTCGACCCAGTCAACCCATGAACCCAGTCTCTTCAACGTCCCCAGGCAGTAAGTCCTAACAGTGGGTGCGTAGTCGTCTTGACCATATCCCATCTACATGCGCCAGTCATCTCGCGTCAGAGAAAGGATAACAATCACGGCAGCAATCCCACGACAGTGAGGTACATACACAAGGACACTGACATAGCCAAAGTCAGAATCGATCCAAGACCAAATGGAATACTTCTTATTAAACAAAACTACTTCAAACTGAGACCGATTTCGGAGCCTCCTTAGCCAGTCCGGGGCTTAGGCCGCGGGCATTGCTTCAAGACTTCGAAGTCCCGGTGGGGGGCAGGAGAGCGGGGGGAAGAGACATGCCGACGGCATGGGGGGATGTGGGAACTGGGTGAATGAATGCGGGGGCCCGGCTTCCCACGACGGCTACTGATGACAGACAGAGCGTATTGCAACCAGCTTTATGAGGGACGCCCGTTTGCGTTTGCTGACTCTCGAGCGGAACGAGTCCCGATCATCTGAGCCTAGTTAGGGGAAGCATGCCGTACGACTTTCTCGACTCATTACACTGGTAGTCACTACGTACCACAGTCAGAAAGGGACAGCCAGGGAATTCAACTCCTCCTTCTATGACCAGATCAAATTAATTGTTGGTCCTGTTGAAAGACCAGTAATCCGGACAAACGAGTTGTGGTTCGGTCGGTGCCTAGCCTCGTGAAACCTTGATTTATATATAACTTGAAGTCAAACAAACCATCACCCCCAAGACTCACAATCGCTACTTCGTTCGGGTCGGGTTTGACATACACTTTCAATCCGACCATAAGAGGTATTCTGCAAGTCGGTATCGGTATCGGGATCCATATCCACGATAGTCCCAGGGACAATCGTCTCATCCTATCTGGCTCTATCATCACGGACGGAAGTTGAGCCAGGCTGCATGACATTCGATACCGCTCTAGTACCGGTCAACATTACTATACTAGAGTCTACCACCATCACAAGCCCATAGTCGGCATCACCCCTAAAACAATGGCTGAAGAACAACCAGCTGACCACCAACACCAATACCATCGCCAACTCTCCACCGCCCCAGAACAAGTCGACGTCCTAATCTGCGGTTCCGGCAGCGCAGGACTCTGCGCCGCCCTCTGGCTCGCCATCTACGGCACCCACAACATCAAAATCCTCGAACGCCGCTCCGGGCCTATGACCATGGGCCAGGCGGATGGCGTGCAGTGTCGAACCGTCGAGGTGTTCGAGTCGTTCGGCATGGCCGAGGACCTGCTCCGCGAGGCGTACCATGTGTTGGAAGTCGCGTTTTGGGCCCCGTCGCCGGCCGACCCCAGCAGATTGCACAGGGCGAGTCGCACCGCGGACACGCAGCCCGGGCTGAGTCATCAGCCGCATGTGATTCTCAATCAGGCGAGGATTAATGGGTTCATGCTGGATAAGATGCGTGCCATGGGCGCCGCGGAGGTCGCGTATGGGTATACCGTCAAAGGCGTGGTTGTGGATGCTGATGCGGAGCTTGCGCAGGAGAATGATCCGGATGAGTATCCTTGTACAGTTGTTGCAGAGAGGGATGGCAAGGAGGTGGTGCTTAAGGCGAAATATGTCTTGGTGAGTTGTACAGCATTTGCCTTTCTCTGCGATATAGATATGAGCGGGCTTGTTATGTTTTCTTCGTTGTGGCTGTCTGGTTCGCATGGTTTGTGGCCGTATGGCTTCGTTATTAAGTCTAGTCTTCTGTCCTGCACGCCATCACAGCCACTTGCCCCTTCAATCCTGATTTTGCTCTGCTGTGATCTCGGGGGTTTTCTGATTGATTCGTGGTTGAGTGGCTTGGTGTGGGAGATTCAGATTGCTAATGCCGTCCTCTGCTGACAGGGCTGCGATGGCGCCCATAGTATGGTCCGCAAGTCGCTCGGCTACAAAATGGTCGGAGACTCCACCGATGCAGTCTGGGGCGTGATGGACGTATATCCACGCACCAACTTCCCTGATATCCGGCGCAAGGCGGCGATCCACTCGAACGCCGGCACGATCTTGGTGATCCCACGCGAAGGCGGCTCGCTGGTTCGCTTGTACATCGAGTTCCCCACGGGCACGAACGTCAAGGACATCCAGCTTTCACACCTGCACGGAAAGGCACGGCAGATTTTTGCACCGTTCGACATGGAAATTGCCGAGACGGCATGGTGGTCATGCTATTGTATCGGCCAGCGACTGGCGGACCAATTCACCAAGGACAACCGCGTGTTTTTGACCGGAGATGCGTTCCACACTCACTCCCCCAAGGCTGGGCAAGGGATGAACGTCAGCCTGCAGGACGGGTATAATATTGGTTGGAAGCTCGGCATGGTCTTGACGGGCAAAGCCAAACCTGACTTGTTGACCACGTATAATCTCGAGCGTGGTAAGACAGCCGCAGACCTGATCGACTTTGACAGGTGGTTTACCAAACTCTTCTCAAAGAAGGCCAGCAACAAGGGCGACTGGACACCGGAGCAGTTTAGCCAAGGGTTTATCAAGTCCGGCCGCTATACTGCTGGGTTGACTGCCAAATATGAGGATTCGAGCTTGACATCGTCCGCAAGCAGTAGACCTGAATTGGCGCACAATGTCGTTGTCGGTATGCGATTTCCCAATGCTCAGGTCGTGCGGTTCTGCGACGCCAAAGCGATGCCTCTCGTCCAGGCTCTTAAGGCGGATGGACGTTGGCGGGTGATATTCTTCGCTGGGAAGATCGGAGATGTTCACACTCTTCCAAGGCTGCAGAAGGTGAGTTTGCCATTGATTCCCCAGAGATATCTTTTGCCAACAGAGCATCGCGTGGGATCTCTCGAACGCGAGTGATTTGCCAGCTAACACAGCTGCTTGACAGATTGCAAAATATTTGGACTCCCCAGCAGGACCTGTGCGGAAGTATACACCGTCGTCCTCCGACATTGACAGCTTCATCGAACCGATCGTGGTGCTAAGCGGCGATAGAGTCAAGCTTGAACAAGAAGAAATACCGCCCTTCTTCTGGCCTGTTACTGGAAAGTGGAAGATGCGAGGTAAGCCAGCGTTTGTTCGGCACTGACCACTCTAGCACCGGGAAATTGAAGTCCGAGCAGAGCCAAAGTCTGTTTGATACTGATCCATGCTTCTTATTCAGATTTGCACAGAGTTTTTGTTGACGATGAGAGCTACAACTCCGGACATGGCCACGCTTATAAGAAGTACGGCATCATCCCAGACATAGGTGCAACTGTGATTGTGCGACCGGATCAATGTAGGCATATCATCCACTGACTGGCTCTCGTCAATGCTTTTGTTTGCTGCAACCTGTGCTGACCGTGATTCTATTGCAGATGTATCAAAAGTCATTGCCATCGACGATACACAAGGCATTGGTGAACTCTTCGATGAATTCGTGGTGCCAACAGAGCAAAACGGCTCTCTGTGATCCGCTGAGATCGATTCTGATAACAGAGAGTATGTTTTCCAAAATTGATTGATGGCGCCGCTTATTTCACGACCTTTTACCGCTTGCAGTATTGCGCGAAGCAAGCGACCGACGGCGAAGCTGCTTGGCCTCGGGCAACAAGAGGAGTGAGAAGTTGGCGACGATACAACAGTCATGTACCAATCTGCCACAGCAGAGTCCCAACGCCCAAGCTATTGATGATGGTATGCTGGCACACGACCCAAGCGGCAGTGTAGAGGTACTTGGGAGAGAAGACCGTCCAGATGAAAAGATGTTCGCGCAGAAATGTGCAGGCGACCATGACGGCAAGTGCATGAACGCCGGCGAAAGTGGCAAGCGTCGTCAGGAGAAAGGAGTAACCTCCGTTGTTGAGGTCGCCGATGCTGATCAACTGGCAGACTGCAAAAGCCCACCAAACGGGAGCAGCCCAATTACTCACAAATGTCAAAACACCCACAGCGACGATGTTGTATCCGCTGACGCCATTGTAAGCATTGGAGAGATCAACCGTCGCAATTGAATTGGTGCCGCCCATGGCGAAGAACGTCGCATATTGAAACAGCAGACCTAAGATGGTGATTTCACCAATCGAGTATCTTCGTCCGCGGCGCAATAAAGACAACTGAAGATTGAAGAATAGGAAAACCGGGATGTACACAGTGCGGGACTGCGTGATGAGAAAGACTGACAGCACATCCTGGAATGCGGTTAGGAGGGACTGTAGATGTTGAGTGCTCTTCCATGGCGCTTCGTAGTAGACTGCACAGGCGAGTATCTGAGCCAGTCCTAGGAACACAATTTTAGCCAGACTAACCAGCGGATAGTGCGAAACGAATGACACGAGCGGTTTGAAGATTGGGAATGTCTGCAGGAGCTCGGGCGCGTCGGCGGCCGTGAATGCGATCTTGAAGAAAAACGCAGACAAGGTCACCAAGACTGGCAGGAGGCCCATCTGCTTTGCGCCCATCCACACTGCCGCCTTTCGACTGAGGTTTCTCGACGGCACGGCGTACGTGATGACGACGAGAACCCAAAGAATCCAGGGGTTGGGCGTGACAACGTCGCTAAGAAGATCTGGGTCGCCAGCGTACTTCTGGCCTGTCTGTCTCCACCTGCGAATGACGCCGAACAACACATATACAAGAGCTGTAGACATTGGCCCGGCCATGGTGCTTTCGCCGTGAAATGTATATCGGCTGTCTTTGCAGTACAAGACTATCAACCATGCGCCGAGAATCCAGTACCAGAACTGATGTTCTTCTTCCACATAGCTGCTGGCAAACATAGTAAATGCATAGATGAGCATTATGAAGCACAGTATGAAACCTTCAACACCGCATCTCTGTACTCCTTGCACAAAGTTAGGCAGACATAGGGCAAGTGCAAGGACACTGAGGCCGATACCAATTTGCATGCTGCCTAGGTCATACTTGCTGGCGGTGCCGCTGAGTAGCGTTTGAGCTTTGTAGAGGAACGAGATCAGCTGCTCGATATGGTTGCTTGAGTGAGATGAAGTGCCTGCCTCGTGGTCATCTAGCACTTGCTTCCAGAGGCAAGCAAGAACATCGACATCATCTCCTGCCGTTGTTGCACATTCCTTGGAGAGTACCTCGTTCGTAAAAGTTCCTGGGAAGGTTGCTCGTGCTATGCGAGATATCTGCTCTGCATTTTCGAATAGTAAATTGTACTGATCCTGCTGAATTGTCCAAAGCTCTAATAAGCGCGGAATCAGAACGCCGAGGTTGTTCTGCGGGACAGGAAATCCCAACAGCGCGGCTAGCGTCGGTACAATGTCTGACTGTTGGACGATGTCGTAGTATCTGTAGTCGACTGCATCGTTGATGGGACTCGGTTGCCCTTCAAAGGCAGACTTGAACTTTGGCGAGATGAACGTGAGTGCAGTGGACACTTCTCCAGGAGACGATGCGCCATGGTTGCCTCCCTCGTTCATCCCATGGTCACCAAGCAATACTAGCAGACATGACTTGAGATGGTCGTGGTTCTCCATGGCGGTGTAGATCTGTCTGACGATGCCATCCATTTCTGCTTGCTTCGCCGGCATGTTCGGTCCCCTGGGGCCAGTCTTGTGTCCAATGTGGTCAAGGCCAAGGAAATGCATGGTCATTGCAGACCAGTCATCCTGTTCCAATTCCATGGGGATATGCCTCGTGACGTTGTTGTCAACTTCGGTAAAGTCGGAGACGAAGAAGCTGGTGGTGCCGTCTGCTCGGTGGAAGAAATCGGGGAACAATCGCAACCATGTATCATCGCCATACATGACCAGCCTGCTCCCTTTTGCTCTCAACTGCGCCAGCCACGAATCTTGTTCTTTCAATGTGGACGTTGTGTCTGACTCAGCGAAATTGAGGACGAGATCCACGAAGCTCGGAACAGACCCCGTTGTGATGGCCTTGACCCTCGGCATCGTGATCGTTGGTGGGCTTGCATAGCCGGTGAATGGCACAGCTGCTCCGGATCTGATCAGACTCTGGGTAAAAGCAAAGTGGGAAGCATTGCTATAGACAAAGTCACTGCGTAGGGCGTCTACCACCATGAAGACAACCCGATCAAACGGGGCTGACCTGGGCAAGGCCTCGACTTCCTGAGGCCATGTCGCCAGACCGGGCAGGAATGCCTTGTGCGGGAAGAACCCTTTTGCAAATATCAACAGTGCTAAGACAAGAACGACATTGGATAGAGCAATAGCAGCTCTTCCAAAACTGATCGTCATGCTCAATACAATGCCGATCCTGGCTAGCCGGACCCTCCTCCTCAGCTCAACAACCGTCCTTGGTGTTGGCAGGTCAATCAGACATCATGTGGATACGTCTGACCTAGAGATAGAAGACCATTATAAGAAGGTTCGCATAGGGGAGAGGAACGACATTGGCTTCACATTGGTGGTTGAACTTCGGGTGTCGGAAATGTCCCAAATGGGAATAGCCTGTGTCTGTAGATCAAGCCCGCTTGACCTGCCTTATTCGCTCACAGCCTGGCGGTCGCTTCGGTTTTCGCAGACTGCAGTTATAGACGGCACCGACAGCAATTGTTTCTTGAGTCTGTCGGAGGGTTGGTAATAGAACCACAGTATGCTGCCACGATGATACAACTCAAGGTCAGTGCTGGTCTGCAAGCCTTCTGTGCAGCTCCCTGTCGCCTTGCTGTCCGCTAACAATCTCTCTACAGACGATGCTTAATTGCATCGATAACTCCGGAGCGGCCATTGTCGAGTGCGTTGCGGTGATGAGAAAGAAGACACGACATGCATCAATAGGTATATTTCCAAGCCTACAGAGTACTTGAAGATGCTGTTCAGCGAACTGACTCCCAGCTTAGGGGACAGAATAATCGTCGTCGTCCAAAAGCAAAGATCTTTCGGCCCCGAAAATGCTGGCGGCTCAAGCGTGGGCATTGCGAACAAAGTGCGGAGAGGTGATATCAGGCACGCCGTGGTGGTACGGGCAAAAAAGGAAGTGCAAAGAAAAGATGGCAGTCTGATCCGGTTTGACGACAACGCCTGTGTGCTCATCAACAAGAATGGCGACCCTATCGGCACAAGATTATCCAGTATGGACCCCATGCGAAGATGGGTCGCTACAATCATTTGCTGACAACATCCAGGCATTGTGGGATCCGAGTTACGGGACAAAAAGTGGTCGAAGATTTTGTCTCTGGCGCCCATGCATGTATGATTCGCAAACTTGGGGGGAAAAGTGTACAAACAGATCTGCGGCATCGAGCGGCTTCATCTATTCATTCCGATTGTCCAGCGCTGCGCTAATAGGACGGCAGCGGGTTGCAATCATATAAACCTTTTTGCCATAAGACAGCTGTACAAAATGCAAAAGAACAACCAATGTGGTAGAAGCTGAAATGTCAATTGACCGACATAGATTCCTTGACGCCTTGCAATCTACTACTGCGATGCCCGTCCCTTGTAAATTAGGCTGGTGCCCCCATATGCGAACGCCTGATAATGCTAATGCATACTGTATGTCCTGACTCTCGCCAGCGCCTTGCTCAAACGACCGTGTAAACGTGATTGCATGCCGTGCAGACATAGTAAAGTTTCTAGAGAAACGATCAGCCGGGTCTCGAATCGAGATGGTGAATACGGCGTCCTCACCATTCCTGTGTCAGCAGCCCGCTGCTGCGACTGGAAATAAACCGCATCCGTTTCCTTGCACTTCGGACACCGTTGACTCGTCCGAGGAAGCTGTAGAAAAAAAAGCAATCCGTCAGCCCGTGTTTATGAAACAGATAGCGGTTCCGTGCAAGCAAAAGAACTCCGTCAACCCTCCGAATATCCAGACTGATCGGAATCTTCCATTGCGCGAGAACCACATTCGCCGCATCTCAACTGTTCTCCACAAAGACTACAGAAGCAGGGCAGCTCGGAGGGAGCAGAACCCACAGTTGGATCATTTGCGACATCAGTGGTGGTTCCAGCCGTCTCTTGAACAGTGGAACCCAGCTGATGTCGGTATGTGCATGCAGAGTCGTGGGTCGTCGTCGCGTGGCAGGCTTTGCAGATGTAGAGGAGAGTGGACGTCTCGCGGTCCTCTTTCGGGTAGAGAAGGTTGGAACTATAGAGGTATCAGTCAGATACAATGTGGCGTTGCTGATGTACACGGGAGAAAGATGCTGACCATTCTTGACAGAATCTGTAGGAGACCTCTCCACGCTTGGTCTCACCCTCGCTGGGCGCAGGAGAAGCAGCTGCTGACATGGTGATTGATGCTAAGACCGACGAGGGGAGTCGCGACCGAATTGAGGCTTTCGTAGGGAGCGGTTGAAGTCGGCGGATGTCGTTCTATCGGCGCGAGCTTGCGACTGGTAACTGCTGCGCTCAGTGGAATTGGTTGTGCAAGTAGAAGCGGAAGTATGGGGACGGTCAAGGGAATAGAGTATCACAACATTAACCCATCCCGAGAAGAGGTTAGAATCACGAGTGAAGTATAACAGCCTAGAAACGATGAATAGTCATCGTTGTCAAAAGAGTGAGGATGAAAATGAAGTGTCGCCCCCGCAGTCGCTAAATCGTGGAAGCCTGAAGCCTAGTACGTACTACTATGGATGGAGCCTCAGGTCCCTTGCTAGTGTCTATTGTCAGATATCAAGTTGCTTACATATGTTTTCAAATGCCCATCACAGCATGCTACTCGTAGTAGTATTCCACTAATCCTCTACCGTGCACTCGATCGGACTACTTACTACCACCGGGTCCCGCCTCTATCTCGATGCGACTCGGAATGTGCAGCTTTTGACGCCGAGTCAATTAGTAATTCAGCTGGCTCGGTATTAGAGGCATTAAGTCCGGGCTGGGTAGGTAGTCACAGTGAAGGACGGACTGGTTGAGGAACTCGAATATAAAGTGAAGCACTTGGAGGATATAAATCAGCATCGCAGAATACGCAGTGTGTGCTTGGCCCGTTATCATTTCACAAGCCCATCTTCCTTTCTACTCCATTTGTTGTTGCCGATCCATTGCTTCTTTCCGCAACCACCAGAATGCGTGTGTTTGTGACCGGTGCTGCTGGCTTCATTGGCCGCGCCGTCGTCCAAGAACTCCTGCACAATGGCCACCAAGTCCTGGGCCTTGCTCGCAGTGACGCCAACGCCGAGATCCTTACCAAAGCTGGTGCAGAAGTTCACCGAGGAAACTTAGAAGACCCTGAAAGCCTAAAGAGCGGCGCTCATGCCGCAGACGGTGTCATCCACTTGGCTTTCATCCACGACTTCAGCGACTTCGCCAGGGCTACCAAAGTCGATAGAGAAGCCATTGAAGCCATGGGCGAGGCAATGGCAGGGACAGGGAAGCCGCTGGTGATCGCTTCTGGCACGTTAGGTGTGTCCAATGGGAAATTGGCGACCGAAGACACGGAGCCCGCACGCGACGACCCAATGTCCATTCGTTACGCCTCGGCAGACTTGGTCTACGCACTCTCGAAGAGCAAGCAAGTGCGAGGTTCAGTGGTCCGACTCTCGCCTGTCGTTCACGGCGTGGGAGATTGGGGGTTCGTTCCAATGCTCATCGGCATGGCGCGGAAGAATGGCTATGCCGCTTATGTCGACGAGGGCTCAGCTCGATGGCCTGCCGTGCATAAGTTGGATGCTGCGGTCCTGTTCCGCCTCGCACTGGAAAAGGGTACTCCTGGCTCGACCTACCATGCCGTGGCTGAACAAGGAATACCTTACAAAGACATCGCGACGGTGATTGGCAAGCACCTTCAGCTGCCAGTGGAAAGTAAACCTCTCAGCGAAGCTACGGCAGCCATGGGAATGATGGCACATCTCACCAGCATGGATGCACCGACCTCGAGCGAGAAGACGCAGAGAGAACTGGGCTGGAAGCCATCGCAAATTGGCCTGCTGGCGGACATGGAAGCCAACTACTTTTCTTAAGTTCATGTTAGTCTCACATTAATCACGGCGCTCGAATACTTAATAGCATGGCATATGTAAGACCTTCTGTCAACGCTCCATGCAGATAAGGCGTAGAGTAGGGGTGTAGGAAAAGAGTTTGGTCAAAGAGTTTGGTGTATCATGTCTTGATATGAAGTTACCTACCATGTATCCATTAGATCGATAGAATGGCACACTGCAGGAGCTGGGAGTGAGTTCAGGGCGGCGTGACTCTGATCCCAAATTGGGGCAAGGTCACCGCGGCGACGATTCGCCTCTTGGCGGCTTCGGAATCTCGACTCGCATCTGCCACTGCATGGTATGGTGACAAGAGTGAACTCTATACATAGGTATGGGAACGAACTGCAGGAACCATAAACACTGCACACAAGGTTACTTGCACTCCTGAACCCAGTCGCACTGTAGATCTCTCTATCTCGACCACTGACTTAAGTGAGTACCCACGTCGTTGAGCATTAGACCGTAACTTCATCGTAACCCGTTGCCTTCTGTCCCAGCAGCATTCAAAGTTGATGTCTGGCCTCTGATCGATGATGTGCTGACAACCACGAAACCACAGCCCCACCTGCTTCCGCCAACTGCGCCAACTGGAAAGCAGTCCCCAACATTTGTTACGTAGAGCGAGTTTGTTTCCACGTCAGCATCGCAAACAAGAGAAGAGCCAACACATCCCTCACAGCGTCTCTCCAACATCATGGTGCGTGAAGGCCGCCGAGAGAGGTCCCCCTGCTGGCGAAACTGACTAACGTGCAACCTGCAGTCTGAAACCGGCTTGCCTGCAGACTGGGAAGTCCGCCATTCCAACTCGAAGAACCTTCCTTACTACTTCAACTCCAAAACTCACGAGTCAAGATGGGAACCGCCGGAAGGAGCAGACACAGAGAAACTCAAGATCTACATGGCCCAACATCACAGCTCGGCGAACACCCGCATTGACGGCACAGGGGCCGAGGGTAAGATCCGTGCCGCGCATCTGCTCGTCAAACACAAAGACAGTCGTCGACCGTCGAGCTGGAAGGAACCCAACATTACCCGCAGCAAGGAGGAGGCTATAGAGCTATTGAAGGGTTATGAGGAACAAATCCGATCTGGTCAGACACAGTTGGGCGATCTTGCCGTCTCCGAATCCGACTGCAGCAGTGCCCGAAAGCGAGGAGACCTGGGATTTTTCGGCAAAGGTCAGATGCAGAAGGAGTTCGAGGACGCCGCCTTTGCTCTACAGCCTGGTGAGATGAGCGGCATTGTTGAGACTGCCTCTGGCGTGCATCTCATCCAACGGTAGGATCAAGCATCCGTCATTCGTTCGGGCCCTGATACTGACGACTGGTGCAGAATCCAGTAGAGGATCCCACACGCTCATGACATGCCTCTGCCGATGCCTCAGCTGCCTTTTACTACTGATATGGCAGATTGGGAGAGGCCGGAATGTATCTCCGAATTGCGTGCTGACGGCGTAGGAGCCGGGTTACACGCCACGACGACCTCATGACGGGAGATCACGGAGCGGAGAAACACATCCCTACTCGGTGCACTAAGCCAGAACTTGGAATCCAGGGCTGGGAATGTAATCGAGGTGGATTATCTGGATCTGCAAAGAATGTACAAACTGGCGTCACTGCTACGACGCTCTCGACACTCCCGCATCGAGATGGATTTAGTGGTTTGAGGGGCAAAAGTCTGTTCTGTAGGTTGGTCTGGGGTGCAGAAATGGGCATGTGCTACTACGTGCTACTACGTACCTAACCTAACTATCCCTCCCCAAATCACTCCTACTCAACTCGGTTATCGCGGCTCGGCTTCGTTGGCCCCCGCTCGTGCCGGAGTCTTGACTTTTGAAGGTTTACCTCGTGTACGACTAGGGTGGCCTGCACAGTGCTCGACAGGAGGCTCTTCACGATGTCAATGTACTGACCTCTGAGTTTCCACCGCTCTTGAATACCTTACTTAATAGCATGGCGCAGATGTGTCGCCAGGATGATGGTGGACGCTAGACGTCACAACCCCCATGTCATTCATGTTTAGTGTCATAACTTTAAGTTGGCCAATGCCAACTACTACTCCCGGGTTTTGGCGTGAGCTGATCCAACCCAACCAAAAAAAGAGCAGGCATCGAGATTCCCGCCCCTCCTACGACCATCCGTACCAATCAGATGAGGATCTATGGCTGTCCAAATTATTCTGTATTCTTCTGTTCTGAAGCACTCAGTCGGCTGCATATAAGACACCATGCCACCAGCCATGGTCTATGCTCTTTATCCAGAATCATACTACTCCTCCTACCCTCCCGTCGCTAGTATCTGTTCTCTGCTGTAGGGCAGGGACTACCGCAGTCCCAACTTGATATCCATATTGTGGTGTTCGACCTCGCCCGCTTCGCACATTCTTCGACAATGAGGGCCAACAGCACGCCGGACGCCTTTTTCCTCACTCCGCCGCATTCGCACGATCCCAATGATGTTTCTCACGTTGCGGCATTGCCATCTTCAATGATGATGCAGCTTCCTGAAGCTGTGCAGGACGCACTCTGGAATTTGCAAGAATCGACCTCCATCGTCTATGCTTCTTACATGCGGCTGCAAGACCTGGTGCACGAACGATTCGATCGCTTAAGACCCCTGCCAGGCCAGTCGGCAACAGGCTCGACGAGCTGTAAGTGTGCCCAACGAACGGATGTTCATGCAAGTCGCTAAACTGAGAAAAAGATTCGGAGGGCGCTTTCTTCAACTATGTCAACCACGTAGCCGCTGAGCGTCGTTATCTACTCGAGGACGCACACCCCGACTGGAAGCACAAGGCTTCTCGCGCGGGGATACATCAATACGGCGATCTAGTCATTGACTTCCGGGGCAAGCAAATGACAGTGGCCGAATGGTTTTCCCAGCTGAAAGCAGCGGAGGCCTTCTGGATCCAAGAAGCGGCACAGACTGAGCTGCCCGACTTTGAGTCTACTGTCTTGGAATACCGGTCTCTATCATCAACTCCCACCAGCGAAACATCGGATGCTAGTGAGGGTCTGATTGGAATGCCGGTGCCCACCGGAAGAAAAGCGGTTGACGCAGAAGGGCTTGGCCTGGAATTTCGGATGGCGAAAGCACTGGAGGCTCTTTAGCTTCGCCTGACGCGCGGTGTTGGGCTGCGGGAACTGGGGACGTGCCTCATGATGACCTTCTTGACGATTCAAGCTTTGTGTTACGACAATTACGACTTTTATTCGACTACACCGGTTGATGGATGTATAAGAAACTCTAAAATAATGTGGAATGAGAAGGCTGAAGTTAGCCAGGGATGTTGCAAGATGAGCCTAGTTCTGGAGGGGGCTATGTACTAGTATGTTGTATGGACCGACAGGAGCATGTTGAGAGATTTCTCCGATGGTTGCAGACTCGGAATAAACAAGGCACAACTTCCTTGTTTGCTGACCGGGTTACTTTCTTGGGACTGACATGGGCACCTTTAGCGAGCTTGCATCGTCACTTGTCGGGCAATAACGCATCTGGTCATTCGAATAGCCTGAAAGCAGGGTCACACGTGGCACATCTGTTGGTACTGCCGGGTTGCCCCACCCCCGTCTCTCCAAGTAACGGTGCGCTTAACCAGCAATGCTGTAACAACATCATGATTGAAATGGCCCCAAATATAGAGTATGAGGACAATGAATCAACCCGGTTTCAAGCGGGTATTTCGGAAGATGGCGTATCAAGCGGTATTGAATTTACTGCGATACCTGCGGTGAACGAGAAGCATCTCATGACAGTGAAACCACTTAAAGCGGGGTAAAAACTTAACGGGGTTGGCGGAGCCCCAGATGCCAGATCGGGTTAGCTTTCTTCTAAACGGTGCTAGCGCCGGATGTCCTATGAGGTTATCCGCACGAAGCCGGCCCTCGACAGCACCTTCCACTTTCTCTACACAGTACCTAACGTACTTTATTCTTTTCTTGTCGGCTCACTTCGAGCTCTTTCATATACATAATCCAACATAACGGATGTTTGTGAATAAGCAGACATGCGGTACCAAGCACAGCCAAAGGTCATCAGGACGCTAGTGGCTTATTTTCAGGTATGGCGATGAAGGAGCACAGCCCGCCGATATCCCGTGCTTGCGTCGCGCTGCAAGGCTCGAGGGAAAATTTTGCATCAGAAACAGGATTCTCCGAGACTGAGGTTACAGGTCAGATCCTCACCTTTTATGAAGACACAGTGGGTGGCCTCTTCAAATGCGCCTTCTGCTGTACAACGTCGCGCCATACGACATTCGTGCCACCGCGTTTGCCCGACGTCAATCTCTGGTCTGACAGGAGGTTGATTTTGAGCGAGCACATGAGCCATAGGGAGAGCCCCCGATAAGTCGCCGGCCGGCAATCCTCTGTTTCACGGATGTGTCTTGCCAGAAACTGTGGCTGTTATTTTTGTCTATTCTTGCCTGCCTCGCGTTCCTTTTGGGCAGACCCCGTTGTGGTGAAATTGCACGAGGGCAGAGGACCGGTTAATACACCTTACTGACTACGACACCTCGAATATCATCTCCAGAAGAGTGCGCTTGGCCTCTTGAGTCTGTTGGTCTGAGGTTTCGCTGTGCTCCTTGTACGCAGTATGAAAAGAATGCATATTGTGGTCTATGCTATGCCATTCGGAGCCTGCCCTTATTGCAAAGGATTGATATGTGATGCTCCGCTGAGAATCGCCTTGCGCCGAAGGGAGCATGCAGGATTCGGAAACGGTCTAGAACCCCTAGCGCTGACCTCGATGCTCCCAATAATCCTGAGCCACCATATCCAGGAAGTATGCCACGTTCAGCTGTGCAGCCGACAGCTTAAAACCTGAGGTGGCATCCGCATAAGCTGCAGTGGGGATCAGGTGCATCTGGGCTTGCTTCTCTTCAGAGCTGCATATCGAAATTCACCGGCCAATCCAGATGGCTAGCTCGACCTCACCTGGCCGATGTTGCCAAAGCCTTCCTACTGCCTCGATATCACTAGCATGAAGAGTTCCCGGGCGTGTTGACTTGAAGGTCTTTTTAGCTTGAGCTCGTGTCTTGTGGTATCTATTCCAACCTGCACCTTGGCTCAGCTACGATCTGCCTGGCCTCTATCAGTCGAGCCCATTCCTTCTCCACAATTGCAATGAGGGGCTTGTGTAACCAGACATGATATGGGTAGCCTCTCCTCCTGTCCTTGAGCACGGGATGGACGGCGTGGCCCGTTCCAAGCGGTAACGGGTGGCCCCGCGCACCTTACGCATCCATGCCATGCGCGCGAGCTTCGCTCGGCTACTTCTTACACAGTGACCGGTCAGGTTGCACAGATTTGCATACTCGGGAGCCCTTATGCTGTCTCTACAGAGCGCTCTGGTTAGTGCTACACTTCGGCGATGCAGCTAAGCCACGACACTCGGCTGAAGCTTGCGACGACCGCACGGTGCCCGATCCACCCCTCCTCATCCCATAAAACGCTTTCCGCTCTACCGTGGGTTCTGGTGCTGGAAGCAGTGCAAGCAACGGCGCTTCATCGTCTCCAACTCTCTGCACATCGGTATAATCAATAGACCGAAAGCTTCGAGAGTCTCGATCTCACTAGCGCCACCGTCCCTTGATGCAGAAGATACGGGTGCATTGATCGCCTTGTTTTCCATTGGTCAAGGGCGGCAAACACAGTTGGGAGTTCCAGCTAATGTGTCTCGGGCGCAAGAGCGTCGGCACCATTGAATGCAACCCTTCATCTCGACAACATTGGCGAACAGCTGTCGTCGTGTTCTGCAGCAGGGAAACAATCGGAACATTGGGCAGCAGCACAGAAGCATCCATACTCGTTCTAGCCCATGGGAAAGGCTGGTGGACAGGCATTCCTTTGACAAGGAATCAGTCATGAGAAGGGCCAAACATTGGTCAAGGATGCTGTACTGGTTCCAGAATATCGGCTGCTCCTGACTCAATGCTCGTTTGAATCTTTCCCGAGTCTTTTTTCGAATCGGCGAGGCTCCGGCGGGTACGTGAATCCAACCAGCGAGGCTAGACCGTACCACCGAGGGCATAAGATCCTCCAGAACAAAGTGCCGGGTTATGACCGTTGCTGCCTGACGCAATCCTTCTTCCAAATTTTACTGGTACGAGGCTCCAAAATATGAGGGTGGTGACGGCGGGACGTTGCATATGCAGAGCTCTACCCCAAATGCCGAAGCTCAAGCCGGACCCACGTGGTACCAACCCGTCGAGGACCAGCGATCACGAGGTTACCCCCTGATAATATTCATCGTCTCACCTGCGTGTTACAGAATCATTCATGCCACACTGTGACTTTCAATGGCGTGCTTGCGCTGTTGGCACGTGGTGAACAACTAGCTCGAACCGGCATGCCGAAGATAGCCCCAAGGCCACCACGCCCCACGGAAACCATTTCAGAAGGGTCTTCGCTGGTGCGTCCTCCTGCATGTTTCTGGCAGAAGCACCAGTCAGCCCGATATCCAGAGTCCAATCGGGACCGCGCTGGACTGTAAACGGTGCTTTTCACACTGGGCCCGCCAGATTGCCCATCCTTTATCCGGGTGCGATTGATTGGTCGACAGGTAGCCGATGCAAGGACATGGCGACCCGGGTACTTCACCTTCACTATATACAAAACATCTCATGATCTTGGTGGCAAGAACGTCGCACACTACTTGAACAGCCTCCAGACGTTCGTCGACAATCCACGGCTGTCTCCTGATGGTCTCCTGACATTCATCCGCAAACCTCCAGACATTTCGACAGTTGGCGTTGGCTTTACAAAACAATCCTCACCTTTCTATACCTGGCACTTTTGATGACCTGGCATCTGATCGAACCAAATGTGCTTTGACACGATCTCGTGCATCTATCGATGCTGGAATGACTATCCCGCAAGCAAGTTTTTGCCAGGGTTTTCCTCGAGGTAGGAGTTTGGTAAGGGTTACCCCAGCCCTGCAGAGTAATACTGACGATCCAGGTCTTGTTGGGTGAGCAACAGAGTAAGTAACATGACGGTAACTGTGGTCGAAGAGAACCACATGTCTTCTTCGACGGCCTCTGTTGTCTGGTGTCGCATCAAGCTATGCCGTGAACTTGAAGAGATTCACCTTGCGAGAACTCCATAGTACCACTTCTTCCCTGTATCTGGGCATTGTTTGTGGGTAATCCTACAGCAATAGACATATTCACGCTGCTGGTCGATTGTTAACATTGCAAAGTCATGTATGCTCGAGTCAGATGTGTCCAGTCCTCTTCAGAGACAGCAAAGTCGTCTGGTGCAAGGAGGCATTCCACATACATCGTGTCAATGTGTATTCAGTCACAGGGTCAGGTAGTATGAAGGACGCCGAAGCAGTCATCTGTGCCTTCTCGTCATGAGTTGGCAAGGCTATCGCTAAGTCAGGAGGTATTTCAAGCCCCTTTCTGATTCAGCCTTGCGAGCCAACCTCGATGTATGGACTCCTTCAGGTACCTAGCAATTGGCGAAAGGCTCCGAAGATGGGATGAGTAAGTAAGTCTTTACATGGATGGTAGTAAGCTGGGTGCTGCTGTGGTGGTCCTGTGGTGGTAATGTGTTGAAGCCACCATTTGGGAGAAACGAGGAATCCAATCACAGTCGGGCGATAAGCAGCTCTTATCTCCCTCGCAGTTTCTCTTAAGGCGGCGATGGACATGGATTTCCGCCGCATTTCCTCGCATGTTGTCCATCTGCGCGGAGATATCAAAGTTGACATCACTCTCCAAGGCTCGCAGCTTCAGATCATGCACAGCTGCAGCCGCGAATCGGGCTATCATGATTGGCCTGATAGCGCAGATCTGCTGCTCTTTAGCAGCCAGGGGTTCATGTTTCTGGACGCAGCTTTATGGAGAGGAGCACTAATTGCTGCGCAGTTCAAAACATACTTGACGCCCTTTCTCTGCCAAAAGGATTGGACGGTGTGATTTGCGTGTCTAAAGCTGACCGTTTCTGACCTCAAGAACCTAGAAATCAGCGACCGTAGCAAGGATACAGTCTCAGCTGCCTCTCCAACACCGTGTTGCAAAGCCCAACCCTATCGTGTCCCCGATATGCCTGACCCGATGACGTTACAAGAAGAATCCGATCACTTCTCGCCATACAGGGCGGATGGGAAGCTATATGGATTCGTGTGTGTGGTGACTGGGGCGAACATGCCTGTGGGAGCCGCCGTTGTCACCGAGTTGGCAGGTATGGCATACATATACATATATGGCTCGGGGGAAACAACCCACAAGATTGAGATAGAACACAAGACTAATGAACCACACTCGTTACAGCACACGGCGCAGCCTGCATTTACGCCTGCACGGCCACGGACGAGCCATCTGGCCTAGAAGCGTCTCTGCCCAAACTCTACCCGAACACGAAAATCATCGACTACCCGTATTCCATCTCCTCGGAGCAAGACACACTGAACCTGATCGACGAAGCCCTCAATGCCTGGGGCAGGCTGGATGTTTGGGTGTGTTCTTCGGGTCTACTGGGCCCTCCCTCGATCGACCAGACCACGCCGACGGATCTGCAGGCATGCTTCGAGGCGAATAGTCTGGCACCGTTCTTCGCGCTGAAATACGCGCCGCCCGCCATGCAAAAGACCGCGTCCAAGGGCAACTACCCGAACGCGGCGCCCAAGGATCGGAAATACGGTAGTATCATTGTCGTCACCAGCACGGCCAGCACGTACGGAGGCTGCTGGGGACCGTGCTATACGATGAGCGCCCACGCTGCTTTGGGCGTCGTCCGTGCAGGCGTCGCGGTGCTCAAGGGCACGGGAGTCCGCATCAATGCTATCTCGTCGGGCCAGATCGATGTCGGGATCAGTCTGGACGGGTTCGATGCGAAGACTATGTCGAATAGTGCTCAGTTGCCCCCGGCTGCGCTGCAGAGCCCGACGGCGCAGAAGAATAATATTGGGCTGGAGAGGGCTGGCAGGCCCGCGGAGGTCGGGAGGGTTGCTGGGTTTCTGGCATCCGGGTTTAGCAGTTACATCACGGGCGCAAATATGGTGGTTGATGGCGGCGCCAGTGTCATGTGTCCGCTGATGGTTCCGATATGATACCATTTAGAGTGTAGAGTCCTCGAAGTTGACTTCGAGAGAGGATGTGACGCATTTTCAAGATCTGTTGGATTCCAGGGCATTTATTCTCAAGAAGCTCAGCAGTAAAACACTATGTTGAAGCACATTTTAGGACACGCGGAGGCAATACCCCGAATGAGGAAGTGACTGGAACATCCGTATATTTTACATAGCTCTTGCTCTTGCTCTTGCTCTTGCTCTCAAGCTGCCCGGAATCCGACTTCTAGTGTAACGTTATAGATGCGTTGGTGCTGGAGGAGATTGTAGGGAGTAACTATCTAACAGTGCCGACGTGAAGTATGAGATACGACCCTGCTAGCGAAAAAAGACTCCCTGATAGAGATCCTGATCTGGGCACCGTATGATGATCAAAGAGCCATGGAGAATAAAGCACTTGATGATAAGGAATTAGTGCCGAGGAAGGAATTGATATAGGTATTTTTGTCTGCGATTTCAGGAAAAGACCTTGGAGTCATCAAGCGTCGCCGAGCTCAAGCCGTGGCCTTCTCTAAGCAGCCTCATTTTCTGGGATGGTACTCAATGTCACAAAGACAGGGACGGTGCTGCAGAATTTCAGCATCAGTAGCCGTTGGTAGACGAGTGGTCTTCAGTTGTGGTCCCTTCAATGTAGCCATATTCATATTGGCTTTCAGGGCACTGTGGTTCTACCTCTGTACCGTGTGTATACCTTAGGAGGTGAGAGAGTGAGAGAGTGAAAGAGTGAAAGAGTGAGAGAGTGAAAGAGTGAAAGAGTGGGAGAGCGATGGAAGAAATTGTGCTATGGAAGAAAAATGCCTGGCCTCGGCAAAGTTGCCATTGTCGGCCAGTCGCGCTGCCGAAACATTTTTGGACTTCGAGCAACGAACATCGAGCATTGAGCATTGAGCCTATCGACAGTCGAATTGCCTGTCCAATACCAGGGACATCCTCCAGCAAATAGATAGCTTTCATATACACCGAATGGCTCCTCGTTCAAGAGGCGCAAAGCGCATCGCTGATGCTCTAGGTATGTACAAGACAAGACAATCACATCTCTGACTGCCGAGAGCTAACACTCGACATCAGGGTTTTCGACCCCGAAGAACCACGTCTGCCTCTCATGTCGACAGAGTCTGGCTTTGACCCGGCCTCAGCGAGGCTACGCATCCGCCGCCACTGCAAAAGCTACTGTCGAAGCCCCTCCCATCACCCAGCTATCCCCCGACGGCCCCGAAGCCTCTCCTGTTCCTCAACCCATTTTCACCATCAAAGCAGGCGTGGTCCTCTCACGACCACCGCTGATCACGCCAGACCCACACCCCTTCGAGACCGCCTACTACCTGTATCAACGACGGCTGAACGAGCGACTAGTGTTGCCGTTCACTCAGTATTTCTACTATAAGCGCGGAACGCCGGCGTTTGAACAATGGCGGACGAAGCGGCAGGCCCGAGGAGGCGCAGCGACCCGAGACATCGGCAAATATAACGCCTACACGGACGAAGCTTGGAACGACGAGGTCTTGGAGGGCGACGAGACGGGCGCGCCGAGCAAGATCGTCGAGCAATTGATCGCGGACGAGGGACGAGCGGAGGAATTCACCGGCACGGGTGATCCGAAGTTTGCAGGTCTGAAACGCAGAACCGAGGCGGACGAGAAGAATGACCAGCGGAGTCTCGAACGCAGCCTCAGCCGCACGTTGTACTTGCTCGTCAAGAACAAGAAGGTTGCCGGGCAGAGCCAGGACGAGAGCGACTTCTGGAAGTTCCCCAGCGGCACTATCATCGGGCATGAAGGATTGAAGCAGGTAAGAGGATGTGTTGATTGGATTTAGCGGCGCCTTCTTGTGACCTATTCAGAACTGACAGTTGCGAATCTATCAGGCCGCACAACGCATCCTGTTCAGCTCGCTCGGCGAGAACATGAATACCTTCTTCGTCGGCAACCACCCTGTCGGCCACTACGTTGCACGCTTCGCATCCCCGAGACCCGGGCCTCCCCCACAGATGACCACAGAGACGTCCAAAGCGTCAGACTCGGCCCTGCTCAAACAGGAAGTCGCCCAGCAACCGGACCAACATCCCTCGCTGGTCAATGGCGAAAAGACGTTCTTCATGAAAGCCCGTATCATGGCCGGCCAGCCGTCTTTGGCTGCGTCGCAGGACCAAGATATCGAAGATTTCCGATGGTTGAGCAAGGATGAGATCGAAAAGGCCGTGCATCCGGATTATTGGGTCAAAGTGAAGAATATGCTAGCGACGCAGTAGTGTTACTACAGTCTGAGGCGGAGGTTACGGAGTCAAGGACCTGGTACTTCCACCATAATGGACCGACCAAAATATATTGTCGCGAGTTTTACACGTCAAAACGTGTGCTGTATTATCAACAAGTTTACGGAGGCTGATCTCTTTTCCACCGTGCGCATTATCAAGGCACATCCTGGATCCAGGATGGAAACAAGGAGGATAGGCGGCATGAAGATCTCTTCTTGTCACCTATCACAGCAATGGCATCAATCATTCATCTGCCGTGTCAGTTTCATACGCATGACTTCGAAGCCCCGCATGTGGATGTATCTGCTGTATACGGATGCACAGCTCGAATCTCGAACCCCTTCAAATTGAAGTGAAAGCAAAGAGGGGACCATAAACTCGAGTATCTTTTCCACCAGCACAATCAGCCGGAAATCTCGTTGACACTGGATTCTAACCATCGCGAGCCCTGCAACATGGTCGTTTCTGACTCGTGACGCTCATATCAGATATCTTGACTCCTCTGCCTTCTTGAAATGTCATGGACGATGACAAACGGCTCAAAACTATTGATTTATCATCGCGACTTTGGTCATGATGGGTTGTCTCTACTTTGGACTCCCTTCACCTGCGGTCGTAGTCTGATCCAATGCTCCTGAGTTGATCGGGCTGGCTTGTATTGTATAGGATACATTTTAGCTAGGTAGTCGGCTCTTGTTCGGAGACGGGAAGGCGAAGGACGAGAAATGTAGTGTGAGGTAGTATGTCCAAAACCAAAACGGTACTCGATATTACACTTTATATTGATCTAGAAGTCATTATCACAGCAATACTGTAGGATGTCTCGCCCTCTACTTGTACTTGTTCGGGCGGGCTGGGGCCAAACGTTGTTCATTTTTCAGGATGTTCCTGTATCTACGGGTAGATGAGAGTTGAGATTGCTTCCATATCGTGACAGATACATAGAGGATAACAAATCATTACATTAATGAGCAGTGCGATGATGCGATGATGCGACTCCCATCTGGGACTCTAATGTGTTCCCTAGAACCTGGGCATGAACGATTTTCACAATAACCCTCCCGTCCATATTTTCTGAGTGGTCGTGTCCATCATGTTGAATATTCGAGAATTGAATTTCCCCCAAAAACGAGATATCATAGACTCAATGAATGAAATGGGTATCTTATCTCGGGGCCCAATCTGAGAACATCATCTCATCGATGCCCTAACGCACACCCACACACACACACACACACATACATACATACACCTAGGTATATACACCTATGTATATATATATGCGGGCTGATTCAATATGCTTTGGCTTTATCCTTGGCCTTCGAATCCCGCACCTCCCTGACTTCTGTCTCGTCCTCGGCTCCGAACCCACCCCATCCGTCAAACTCGCTGGCGAACCGGACCGCGGCTTTGAGATAGTAGTTCTCCCCCTTATCATCACCCCACACACGCGCAGCTTCCTTCAGGGCACGACACGCCTTGACGAAATGTGCGTCGAGGCGATATGTCCCCTCGAGGGCTTCGTGCACGACAAACCCCCAGTCGCGGCCCTCGAGGTCGTACTCGGTGACATACTCGCGCTTGACCGGCGGCCGGAGCTGCGCGATGTAGATGGCCAGCGTGATCAATAGCCACTCACGCACCAGAGGCAGATGGTGCTGGGGATCGAGGAAGGACACCAGGACACGCACAGCGTGGGACGTGGTCAGCAGGTGGACGAGGAAGAAGTCGTAGCCGTAGTCGTGTCCACCGACGCTGGGGCTGAGGTTGGAATTGCCGGAAATCAACAAAGCAGCCGCCAGGGCTTGAGACTGCGCAAAGTCTGCCGTCGGATCGGTGATTTGCCATGCGCGCCAGTGTTCCAACAGGACAGACGTGAGGGTCGGGTCGGACAGGAGGTGCGACAGGTTGTCGCCGCCGAGGTGGTCGAATGCGGCATCGAGACGACTGTCGTCGCGGACGCAGGCGAAGACCTCGAACAGGTCGTTGGTGGGGTAAGTTGTGGGCGGGTTCGGGCTCGGGTTCGGGTTTGTTGATTGTGCACTGTGACTATGATTGTGGCTGAGGCTGAGGCTGCGGGTGTGACTGTGACTGTGAGTGCTTGGGTGATGGGGTTGGGGATGGGGGTCAGATGTGCTGTTCTCGCCGTCGTCGCCGTCAAGTAATCTGGCGAGTTTGCCGTCGTAGCACGTCGCTGCCAGCCCGAGCGCTTCCATGGCCACCTCGCGACTGTTCAACTCGTAGGCGTAGCCAAGGTGGATCAGCGGATGGCCCAGCCCGGCGGTTAGACAGTTGAAGATGGGCGGTGCGGTGTCAGAGGATTTCGGAGCGCCGCGCTCGAACAGAAAATGCTCCACGATTTCCTTCCAGTCGTAGCCGTGCAGCACGAGCTGGTCTTCGAAGAAGTCGACGAACGCGCGCTGGTATTCCCGTTTACCCAGAAAGTCGCGGTAGTCGTGCAGTGCGATCTCGGACGGCGATTCCGTCCAGGGCTCATGGCCTTCGTTGCTGGCCGCGTCTTCGTAGATCTCGTTCAATTGGTCTGCCGTGCCGCCGAGGAGGTAGGCTGACCCTAGAATCTTGGGGGTGGGAGAGGGTCAGTAACAGAATCTTCTCTTCCGTAGTAATAGAAATCTTCTCTTCAGTAGTAATAGGGATCTTCTCTTCGGAAAGGGGAGGAAGCAAAGCAGAATTTAACACGAGGCTTGCTCGGAGACATACATGAGGAGTATGGTTGTGGAAGCGGAGCTGGTTATATAGGATGGAGAAGGTGGCATGGTTGAGTTTCAGTAGATGTTTGAGCCGTCGGCCACGTTTGTCGCTCGAGACTTCGACATCGTGGACCTCGACGGGAGGGATCTTGATGGGTTGCGAGCCGGACGCTCTTCCAAACCCGAACTTGGGAATGGAGAGGTTGAGGAAGGATGAAAACATGACTGGTCGCCCAAAGTCGATGATGATACCCTAGCCTGCTGGACTGGAATTCACATGATGGTCATGACTGAAGCGTTGAGAGGGGAATGGAAAATGCAGGTGGTTATGATGCTGCGGATGGACAGATGAACATATCACAACAGTGAAGTGTGGAGGGATGTCGTTGAAGCTGCGTACAGAAAGAATTCTGTCTGTCTGACAACTAGAACTAAAAAGAGATAGCAGGGACGCCATCCGAGTCCTGCATTCGAGGCTTCATTTTCGTCAGACAAAACTCCTCTTCGGGCGGGGAAAGTGACGATATGCCTTAAGCTTATCGATAAACATCTAGTTGATCAGTAATGTCGCCGCTTTTACGCCCCGATCTCTCTCACTTCCAGACAAGGCATGGCACATAAACTGTGCATACACCACAACTGTACGCACATTACAAGCACTCACGGTCTCATGTCAGTGACAAAAGTGCGACGTGATTGCCACTACTGTCAGAAACTCTCTACCAGGTGCGTGTTGGATGTATTCGAACAGCAAAATGGTCCGCCTCGGGCAATTGACGTGATGGAAGAAGTTTATCGGCTGAAGCAGACGAAACGTTGTCGACCACGGCCAGTCCACCCGGCCTATTCGAAGCAAGGTTCTTCAACGCCAATCGGTCTGGAGGTGTCTCTTTGAGCACCGGCCTCCCCACACTCGTCTCATCACGAGGATGTAATCTCACAATGATTTGCTTCGAGAAGGATTCCATGTCACTCTGACGGTTCAGGTCTGGCCCATTCTCCAAGTTGTCAAGGCCATGAAACAGTGTTGCAAGTGTCGACGACTTCCAGACCTGAACCTCCCGGCGACGACTGATGCAGATGACAGCGCACAAGGAGCAGAGAGATGCGGGGCCTAAGCTCATCGGCAGAATCAGCCACCGCCAACGCACCTGGATATAGCTTTCCATTGCCCACGCCGTCCCCGTTTCCGTCACTGCACTGACATTGCGGATGTGGTCGGACATCGAGGCCGCAAACGAAGCCATCAACGCCCCCAGATCGTCGGCAAGATGTAGAGCTTGCATGATCTCCGAAGAATACGTAATGCCATAGCCATCCCGGAGGCCAGAGTTGCCGGCCGATGCCGTTCCACTGAAGGCGCCTTGCAGAAGGCTCTTCAAGCCCTCGGCTGTAATCTCATCCACTACAAAAACGTTGCTCTCTAGCTCGGACTCGGATCGCCGGTTGACTAGTACGGCAGAGCTCGGAGGTGACAGACATAGTCCCCCGGGCACACAGTTGCCAAGTTGATACCCGTCCGGATCTGACCATGAGGACAGTTCCTGGGTATTGAGAAGGCCGTCAGTCACCGAGATATTGTATGTTTTAATGCAGGGAAAGATGGCACACGCGGTCACGTTGACAGCACGGAACCCCATTCACGTGACTCTGGCGAAGCCTGACCAGGGCTTTTGCTTTCCGAGGAAGGAGAAGTTTGCGCTTGACACATTCAGAACTGGGATCGACGAAACTAGAGATACTAGCCCCCCAGTATAGTCGTCCCCTGGGAATGATGTAGACATGATTGAGAATGCTGGTAAATGATCAGAGATCCTGTAACTGCAGTTTGTCGTCGTGGCTAGAGTGGTGATGTCGTTCGGTGTAGGAATGGTTTGACACGCCAGGGCGGTTTGCGGATCAAAACCCTCACACTGGCAACACATGGCTAGAGACGACATGGGGTCCCACGTGCAATTGCCTGTGGGACAATTGGGTCGAAGTTGCTGGACGGCATTGCCGTTGAAAAGGCCATTATATAATGCTGCTCGTTGCGGGAGCGTTATATATCTTCCCTCTTCCACACTCACATCGTCGGTGTGATTCTGTGCTCGACGAATCGTTGCTGCCGTCTTCGGGACGGCCCTTAGGTCGTATTGAATGACTTATTGAATAAAAGGATCAAACACCAGTGCCAGCACGGTGACCAAAGCGCTGAGAGAACTGACATCTCTGGCAAGTTGTCAGTGTCAGTTGCACGAGGCACAACAACGGCTACAGCGTTCCTGTCTGTCCATACCGGATGTGCACTTTGGTAAGCATCTTGAGCGCACCCCAGGGGCCACGACTGGCACTATCGAAAACTGACATGTCGTCGAGAGGCCTCCGCGATTGCCGGAACCAGAGCCACTTGTGTTGGCTAATGATCTCGGCCACGACCAGAGACAGCGAGGCTTTTGAGGCCGTTGAGAGGGTGGATATTATGGCATTGAGCTGTGTTATATGTGAGCCACACTGTATTCTGATGGCAGTCTGCTGGAGCTCTTACTGTGAGGCCATGTTTCCACTGCGGCACTGGCTGTGAGTCGTAGACCTTGAGGATAACAACTATGGCCACAGAGCATGTCATACTCATCGTAATGCTTAAGATCTCCCAAAACCACCAGTCAACACCAAAGTGTCGGTACGACCAGGCCTCAGTTGGTTTCGTACTTTGCCTTGCTCCGAGAAGAGCTGTTGCCGTTGTTTTCTCCTCTGGAGGCCATCTGAACAATCGAAGCCTCATTTCTGAAGACAAGTCTGTCGCTAAAATGACAAGATCTCAAAGACCCTAGAGACAGCTCGCCTTTTGGCCGATCCTGATGTATAAGAAAGTCACATATATCCGGAAGACGCATCGTGCGTTGCTTGAAACAGTCGAACAAGATTAGACGCTCAACGTATTTGCTGTTTGCCACTCCACATGCGGCTGATAGTAACAGATCAAAAGTGAGCGAGGAGCAGCCGGGTAGCCACCGCGCGGTCCTACCTCGTCGAAGACGGCAAGCAGCCGCAAGCTGATGTTGTCACATCGCTAACGTTCAAAGCCCTTGCACAGAGCCTGAATTTGCTGACGAGAATTTGATATGAAAGTAGCGACTGAGTGCCAGTATGTTCTTTAACGTGTAACGTTTACCGAGATCAAGGGAAGTTTGGAAATCCATGAGACAACCACACGATAGCCCTCAGCATATATCCTGCGAGGAGGTCGTAGACACCACAAACAGAACAGGTGTCAAGACATGCTCGGACGGGCCGTTATCAAACAAGGTCGGCTATTGGAAAGGCTGAACCCGAAGCACTCGACAATTTGTACAGTCGAGAAGATTCTCGCCCATCTGGGTCTTCGCCGTGATCGGATTGATATCTCGATTCGAAAACAGGACCCAAGGTATGAGTGAAAAGAGATAAAGAGAGTCGTCCCGGATATCTAGGTATACACGATCCCAGGGGCTCGTTAGAATTCGCTCCCTTCGAAGTGACAACCCACCGCGCGAGGCAGCCTCAATCTGATGGAAGTCAACCAATGACGGGAAGGACTTGCTCAATGCGAGGCACACCCTCTTGCAGCCTTGCGTGTCTGATCAACGTCGAACATGCTCCACATACCATAGGCTCCTGCAGGGTGATACCCTGTGCCAGTGGTACGCACGTTACCGAGAGTTCGGAGCAAGGCTGTAAATGTCATTTGGTCCATCGACGAAGTTGAGAGTTGAGATCACCAACCTGGAGGACTCCCCAGACTGAACTTCTCCCGTGATCACAGGCCGCGCGACCTTCCCTGCGGGAGAAACCCTATTCACCGCAGGCATAAATAACAAGGTATATGGATGGAATTCTCGGATTTTCCTCACAATAACGCAAAGACCCCCAGATGGCACCGATGGCCCCATCGGTACTGGGCGACCCCGACCGAAACGAGGTCTCGAGTTCGAACGGCACTTGTCTCCCAATAAAGCCCTGCGAACCCGGGTTGACGCCAACCAGCGATAATGACAGTGACTGCGATTCATAACCCTGCGAACCCAGGTTAACACCAACCATCGAACCGCTGAACCGCTGAACAACGGAAAAACCCTGCGATCCCGGGTTTCACTTCCCACAACCCGCATATCAAAGATATGAAGGCTTGTGGTAGAAGTTTTTTGTCGTTTTCGGAATAAATGTTGGGGATAAACAAAGAGACTGCATGGCACCAAGAACGGGAAATCGCTCACGAGGAGATATAGATGGAAAATAAGCCAACTGGAGATACCTGGTTCAGCTGTGCTGTATGATTCGTTTGCCATAAGAGTTTTTAGCTCACACCTGGCAATGACCCGAGCGAATAGGCCCAAAGAGTCCTCATTCAGCATCGGGGTTTGCAGAAAAGTAGAGGAGCCTTGCAAGGAGGAACAAACATCAAAACGGCAATTCGCTGGTGTGGTAATTTGCTTTGCTCCACGTTTTGGCCGCCCAAGTCTTCATGCTATGTCGCTGGCGTTTCCAACATACTCTGAGTTTCCTGCGCAATAACAGGATGATACTCGCCTGGCCCGAACAACAGCTCGTCATCCATGTCGATCCTTCTGTCAATCTTGAAATACCTAATCTCCCACTCTTCGTCAATTTCGTCTCCGTACGATTCCAGCTCTTCCCATAACTCTGGATACGCTTTCTTTGCCCACTTCTCGACTTCGTCCTTCCGGTATTGCCATGGGATAGCGTTGTAGAAAGTCCCGATGGTAACAGCGTCTGGACGCTCGCCGATATCATTTTCCATCTCATCAATCAATTCCACCACATTTTCAAATTCGGACTGGCCGGCTAGTGCCCCAATGTAGCATTCATACACCTCCCTGGTGATGACCAAATTGAAGCTTTGCATGAGAGCCATGATATGTCTGGCTTGGTGGCCGCCTTGAGGAATCCACTTCTCACAAGCTCGCAGAGCGAGCATGAAAGAGCTCAACGTAGGGCCTTCACGCGAGTCCATGATTTTCCAGAAGTGGTCGATGATGGCCACAAAGGGTTGTTGACACTCGGTATAGGCAGCCATCAAGGCGTTGTGGATGCGCGTCGTTTGCTCCACCTCCAGGTCAAGCTTCAGCATGTTGTAGACCATTTGCAGGCCGTCGATATCTTTACATTTCGCGATGCCTTCGAAACATTTCGCGTATGCTGCAGGAGTCGGCCGAGCCCGAAGGTCTTCCTGTTGCCGCATGTGGCCAAAGACTAGGCATGCGAGATCAGGACGCGCCCGATCAAAGAAGGATTGCATCAGAGGCAGCCGTTCCTCAACGGTGCTTTCTGGAAACGCGTGACGGAAAAGCTCATAGGCATTGAAAGCGCGCTGAGCCTTCACAGCGGGGTTCGCAATGAATTGACGGAAAACTGCCGCAATGCGTGCTCGGTCGTCCATAGGATATGAGTCCACTCGATGTCTGAGCAAGCCAGTGGCCTCTTCCAATTCGTCTTTTTCGAGGAAGACATGGCACAGTCCGGCGATTGCTTCAGCCTCAAGATCGGCCCCGCTCTCCAGAATATGGTCGAGCACTTGCATGAGTCTCGTATACTCATGGTCATTGGAGAATGACAGAGCTGAAATATAGTGGTTGAGGACAGGAACATCACATCGATCAACGGGCAAATCTTCCCTGGAAAGCAGTTCGAATGTCTGAGCCGCACCAGCACGGTCACCCTGTTTGAGCTGATAGGCCAACTGCAAAGATCTCGTTTTAGCGTCCGGTCTCAGTCCTAGACTTTCTGCCAGCTGCAGAAACTGGGAAGCGCCATCGGCATTGTTTTGGGAGTAGGCATATTCGATCAAGCGATTGATTGCTTTCATACTGAGGGCGTCCGTGACCCCTGACTCTGTCAATTGCTCGATCCGGTGGCGAATATAATTGATATCGGGATCTCGGACAGCCTGCCACAGGAGCAGCGTCCCTGCCATGTCTCCAGAGTCCGTTCTCTCCTGTAGCATTGCAACTGGCCGTGACGCCCATTCCAGTTCGCCATTAACGATGGCGCAGTCAGCGGCTTTGACAAGGGATGTAGAGGTCGGGACCTGCCCATCCTCCAGGGTCAAGTCGAAGACCTTCTTCAAAGGGTGGATCTCGTTATGCTCAGCAAAAAAGGATATAAGTGTTTCCTGTGACATGGCATCAAGAGGTCCGACAGTGATTTGTACCTCTTGCATGATCTCCCAGAACTCTTGCGTCCGTCCCTCCTTGGCTAGCCCCTTCAAAATTGTGATCCACATCGGAAGGCTGTGTCTCTCAGATTTTGCTGGAGATTGCCGCAGTAGTTGCAGAGCATCGTGAGAGGAACCAGTTTTGGCCAAGACGGTGATGTAAGTGAACAGCAACGACCCTTGAGCCGGGTATTGTCCCTGCTCTAAAGGAACACGCAGCGTTTCAGCTTTCCCAAAATGTTCTTGGAGCGAATCGAAGATATAGGTCGCGAGTATGCGTGCGTCTGTCCGGAACCTATCTCTGCCAGGCGCCGATGCCAATGCCAACAGGACCTGCTCAAGGTCTTCTTCAGTCAAGCTGGTCTTCTCGTCTCCAGATAATATATGTCCATGCTCTTGCAGATGCCTGAATGCCTCGGTGGCAAGGAACACCTCATTTCTCGTCAATGGTCGGGGTGAGTCGATCCTTGCGGCGAAGAGGAATCTGAAGGCGTCGACAATCTGTTCATCAGGAGGTAATCGAGTGTTCGCTCTTCTCGCCCTCACCACATCAACTAATCTGCTCAAAGCAAGCTCGACATTTGCTGGCGTGCTCCTTGCGGCACGAAAGCTCTTAGCGTCAGCTCCAAGACTCAGACCGAACAGTCCGCGTCTCTGGTGAACAGTATATGGGGTCGTGAGGAAGTGGTGTGGTGGTCTTCTCCCCAGTCGATTTCGACATTCTCGAGTGATGTACGGTCTGTTACTTAGGATAGCGCGAAAGACGCTTCGGTTCAGACTTGAGGACTTCATGGCGGACGCTTGTAGCTTCACAGGCTGATGTCGATGGTCAAGACGAAGGCAGATGTCCCATGGTCAAACGGTGGATGGAGATGGGAAACGGTGATAGACAGCGCGGGGTGAAAGTTGTAGTCTGAGAACAGCGGAAGATGTCAGTACAGAGTAAGGAATCGTCATGGCAGCTACGAGACATTGAATTTTGTAGGGAATTGGCAGTTACTGATTGGAACTTACGACCAGCATACACATTACATAAATACACAGTACCCGATACAGAGCTAGTCGTACTAGCACTCTCTGTTTTTACCGCCTTTAGTTAGATAACTACCCTACATGGCTACTAGTATACTCCCTAGCTTTACCTGTCCTTCTACAATCCCCTGAGTAGGAACTTCAAGTTTACAACAAGGATTTCAAACCTGTGAGCACAGTGGCTGGAATGATAAGGAGCGACATGCAAAAGCTACCTGGTATAAGGAACACCCTTTGCTGATATCAATGTTGGTGAGAACACCAGTGACCTTTTGCCCGGGTTCTAGTATCACGGACTTCCTCTGGCTCGGCTCCAATTCAGCGTGAATGATATAAGCCAGATTCTGGAACGTATGGCGGCACGAGACTGGAAGCCATTCGATCAGTGCAGTGGGAGAAAAAAACGAGTGCCAAACATGTTGTGCTTTGAGCCCAGCTTCACGGAGTCTTCTTATCCCTCTTCCAGGCGACGTCTTATACCTTAGCAAACACCTCCAGGAGTTCAGCATCATCACGGGGATGTCCCACGAAGACTCCTTCATGCTCTGTTCATCTGAGATATGGTCAATACTAACTGCTAGGTAGTGTTGGTACTATGTCACTGTACTACAAACGTGGCCAGGAAGACACCACCACAGCACCTTGAAAGCTTGAAGGGTGACTACATTCTATGAAAGATCCTTCTACACTTCATCAATACCACTAACGAGGGACCACCATCATGCATGGATCTTCTGCAATATGCTCGATACTCGATTTACCCCAGACTTCGCCCTGAGAAGAACAGACCCTTCCCTAAAAATGAAACACCATTCAAAAAGGAACCACAGTCCCAAAACGATCCAACTATAACAAGGGACTACGATAAATTCGATAACTATACAACATATGCCGTTCGTGTCTCCTTATATTGTCATCATCAGCAACAGCAGTGGCAAGACCGACAACTGCCCGCCCTTCCTCTCGACTCCGGACAACCGACCAAGCAAGCAGGAGCACCTCACTTGTATCAAAACGGCATCACCTAACAAGCTCTCCTGGCGCCTGGGAGCTCCCAACCGAGGCTCGACCATCTGCTCTGTCAAGTTACCTTCCTTTTTGATTACTGCTGGTGTTTACCCGATCCAATCAAGATGTTGACGGCCTCTTCCCAGCCTCGCTCATTCACAATGTCCATGACTGTTCTTCCGGACTCGTCAGTGACCTGCAAATCGACCCCACCACCTAGTTCCACTAACAGTCTCAGGATGTTGGCATCGCCGTTCTCCACAGCCTGAAGAACGGCATTCCAGCCGCGATACATGAGGTTGATGTCGGCACCACGGGCAAGTAGCATCTCGATGATTTCCGTGTCGGTGCCGCGACACCTACGGATCGCCTTGATGATGGGCAGATGCTCGCCTGGGGCGTTCACGTCCGCGCCGGCCTCGTCGAGCAGGAATCTCACAATTTCCTTACGTTCCTCACGGATAGCCGTGGTCAGAGGCGAGAACACGCCACCGGTCTTGTCTTCTACACTAACGCCTGCCTTCAGCAGCAGCTTAATGCTCTCCAGCTGATTGGCCACCACGGCCTGCTCCATGACGCCCTTGACCGCGCGAGGGTTGGAGACATGGGGAAGCAACTTCCTGAGGATTTCTGGACGCTTGACAGCCATGCAGATAGGCCATTCCTGGCCACGGATCCCCGGGTCTGCACCACGGGCGAGCAGCACATCGACAAACTCTCGGCGGTCGTCGCGGATCGCCGTTGTCAGTGCCGTATTGCCTTCGGGGCCTCGATCGTTGGGATTGACACCTTGACCCAGAAGATACATGAGGGCTTCTTTGTTGTTATGGGCCACTGCCTTTTCCAATATGCCTTTCGGTTTGTGCAGGTCGGACCCCGCAGCAATCAACTGAGGTAGGAGCTGCGTACGATGGTGTGATACACATTTCCACGCCGGATACTCCGAAGCCATGACGTTCGGGTCGGCGCCGTTCGCAAGGAGTAATAACACCAGCTCGGCGCGGTTGTCTCGGATGGCGGTGCACAACGGCGTGTAGATGCCATCTTTCTTCGCATTGGGGTCGACGCCAGCATTGACCAGAATATTGATCGACTCGATGTTGTTGATGCTGGTGGCAAGTTCCAAAACTCCAGGACATTTCCTGGTGTCGGCACCGCGCGAGAGGAGAAGTTGCAGAGCTTTAGGCTGGTAGGTTGCCGGCCACAACGGATGTTTCGGCCCAGGCAGGTTGGCATCGGCTCCGTGGTCGAGGAGGACGGTCATCAAATCGACTCTCCTCTCTTGAATGGCTGTGAATAGGGGCGACTGACCTTCGCTGTTCTTGCCATTGACATCACTGCCATAGTTCAACATGAGCTCCAGCAGCTTTTTGGGAGTCGTCTTATTGATGGCCTGGATGAGCATCGTGTTGCCATTTGGCATGTTCAGGTTCGCGTCGCCACCGTATGTCAGACACAGCTGAACAAAATCCGCCCGGTCTTCGATGACCGAAATCCCAAGGGCAGACATATCTTCCGGTCCGGCAGGAAGATTCGGATCACCGCCGTACTTCAGAAGCAACTTCGCAATTTCCAGGGACCCCATCTCCGTAGCGGTGTACAGCGGAGTGATTCCATGTCTATCGACGGCATTGGGGTCGGCGCCGAATAGCAACAGGAGACGCACACTCTCCGCGTCGCGGCTGAGGACTGCTTCTCGGAGAATATTGACGTCCACGCCGCTGTCAGGGGGAACACCGCAATCCAGCAACTGCTCGACCATCTTGTGCTTCCTCTGTTGGACGGCACTCAACAAAGCTGCTTTCAGAGGGGCCGAGTTGGCGCCAGTCGCCTGCTTGGGAGTCCATCGAGGGACGGTTGTCGGATCGGCCTTGATGCGGACGACTTTGGTCGAAAGCTTGTCATTGACCTCGATCTCGTGGATCATGTCTTCAATCTGGGTCATGGAATCAGCCGTCTTGACCGATCCACGATCAGAAAGCAAGATCTCCGTTGCCGAGCTGTGTTCATGTTCATGCGTGGGCAAGCTGATCTCCCTCGCCACAGAAGTCGTGGTGAGCTTGCTCGACCGGGTACTAGGAACGTGCTTGAAGCTTTGGCGATCCATAACCCCTGCAAAGGGGCTGGGGAGGTCGTCCTGACGAGGGAAGAGCGTGTAATTCGACCCTTTGTCTCCCACTGTAATGGGTGGAAGTGGTGGCAGAGTGTCAGGTATCTCCGGGGCGCGCAGTCGAGCGGGAGATCGTGCATGTGGAGGAGCCGTGACCGGAGCCGGCATGATCGAGCTAGGTTCTTTGTCGTTCAGGCGCTCCAGCACAGCTGAGAGCCCCGTGTATCCAATGCCCATGGATGCGTCCGCTTTTGCAGAACCCAGAGACCACCGGAAAACCAGGGCACTCATCCGCAACGTTTCGCGGCTCTTGGCCAGGGAATCTCGGATCTTGTCGATGTCCGTATCAGCAAACATGATATGCCAACCCTTGCGGAGCTTCCCCAGTCCTCCCTTCCTCTCATACTCGAGGAACTTGGTCAGCATCTGGTTCAGCACGGCGAAGTCGTCGTTGGTCTGACGAAATTTCTTGTCGAGCTCCTGGATCATATCGGGAGGAAATTGATTTTGAGAATGTGAAGCCTCATTCAGGCCGGCCTCGATGGAGAACAAGATGCGACTGAGGTCAAGAAACTCGGTTGCGAGCTCACGGAACCCATGTAGCTGATGCTTGACAGTCATGTACTCGACCATACGTACTGACACGATGTTCCCCATTGTGGTCGCCCGTGCACAGGCATCCAGCAGGGACTCCTTCTTCTTGGGTGCCATGATTGAAGAGGTGGAGTGGGCGACGTTGTCGGAGGAGTACAAGGGACAATTGTGTGAACCTGCGAAGAAAGCGTTGAAGTGCAACACGGTTAAGGAGCAAGCAACAGCAGACGGAATCCCGAATAAATCAGCTTGGAAACTCGCCAGAGGGAGGGGGGAAAACAATGCCAGCTGCCGTGCATGGTGGGACAGACATGTTCCTCGAAACTCCTCAAAGAGTCCAGACTACCAGGCACATTCCCAATCAACGATATGGCTACCTAGAGCCATGGCCCTGGAACGCCTTTCGACCGTGATCAACCAGACCGAATCTAACAATGGGGACTTTTTCAAGTAGCACAAATAACGGTGCGATATCATATTGGGTCCAACCGCTCCTCTCGAACAAAGCCACAGGCCCACCCGGGTAGGTTGTCAAAAGGTTCATTCTTGCCCACGCGAGCGCTGTCATATTGTCCGATCTGACAGCAAAGACGGGGTCCCGAATCCATCGAGAATGGTTCTCTATGCATCCGTTCGCATGCCATATCATCACTTCGAGCCTTGGGTCTTCCATATGCCTCTCACTCTCTTCGTTATTGACGACCTCGAGCAATGATGGTTAGGTTGACACGCCGACTCCGCCTTCCAGTACAACTAAGTCCACAATCTAGGGTGCATCCCTGGACCGACCGACTGGCCGACAGAAGCTCTCATCCATGCCATGTGCAGCATCTGCGGCATCATCGTCTCTTCTAATCGAGCCAGCTTGGCGGCAGGCCAAAACTGCCAACTTCTCGGACGAATCGACGTGAAATTCCCCCTCTTGTCTCTTTGAGTGCTATGTGTCCTTTCCAAATGCATACCCTGGTCCAGGCCTGGTGCACGTTGGATGCTGGGCACATGCTGTGCTGCAGTTATCCACGAAATCCATGTACCGAATACTTATCACACACCAAAAGAACTCCAGTCTCCCGCCATCTCAGCACTTGGTTGGTTCGTGGAACCTTGCCAACTCGAATTGGCAGTGAGCCAGCCACCCTGGCATCACACTATCAGCCCATCTCCCATCTCCCCCTGAGGCTAATCAAGGCCGAGACAAGGGAGCCTTCTTCGGAATTCTTCAGGACCGAGATTCATGCAGAGGAAAGCTGGGCCACTTCGGTTCAGTAGTGAGTAGTGGCTGCAGGTGCGGCTCGCTAGCGAGCTTGGAACCATGTTGCAAATCACGATTCACGGCGCTTCACCCGCAGCCCACCGACTGGACGAAACCCTCTCATGGAATGGAATATGACAGCTCGGCCTTGCTGATTGAAAGAGGTGTTTGCCCTCGAACTTCTTCCTGGGAACACCGAGCAAAGTGGTGAGAAGCCATCAACATACATCGATCTATATATCTATGTCAATCTGTTACTCATTCGACAAAGATATCGAGCTGTACCACGGTATTTGAATAGCCTGAATATCAACGAACGGACAAGCGACGATGGCTTCGCCGGCGTATAGCGGAGACCTTGCTACCTACCCTTCTAGAACATCTCCTCGATTCTGGTCCCCATTATCAGCCCCTTCCAGGAGTGGGACATTTCCCCATGTGGATTATGCGTGATGTGACCGAACCAAATTATTAGCATGGACTTTCTACTCCTGGCTGTGGCAAAGCTCGCCATGAATCCGACAGGCTTGCTAACAGTCTGCGAGAGGCACCCAGAGGATCGGACTCATGACTGGTTTCTGGGTCTTATGGCAAATGACGCACAAGAGTGATTTCTTATGCAGGTAAGCCGCTCTCATCTCCAGGCATAACATTCTTCCTTGTGACATTCTAGCTGACAAGCTAAGTCTGTGATGAAGATGGACTTGAGCTACTTCGGCTGGATGGTGGAGACTGGTGTCTTGACACCAGCAGTCTGGATTGTCATCTTGATTCCTACAGCCTGCACACTTAGCATGCTGAAATGAATGCGCTATTGTGCCAATGTCCACTTCTGAACACTGATCGGCCAGACGCTGGGGGCATGTTCACAGTTCGTTCAACATGGATCGTGGTGATATCGAGAATTTGGTTACACAAGAACGGCTGTCTATTGGGTTGGGATTGCATATTCTTGCTCTTTGGGACTCAGTTTCCAAGCATGCGAAGATTGGACGTTCGCCTCAAACAAAACTCCCTTCCAGCCTTTAGTCTGTACCTCTGTGCCTCATGAGAGCTCAGAGCTGTGCGGTCATCAGACAGGGCTGCCCTTGCGATGTACTCGCCCCTACATCGGGGGTTTGTCTGTGATGATCGAGGCCAGATATCCCATCGCTACATCTGTAAGACACCTTTGCGCCCTTACCACCATCTTAGAAAGCTGCAAATTGCGATCTTCCAAAGCAACGACTTTCTTTTGCCACACCTTCTTTTCGGACCTGAGCAGCTGGATCCAGAGAGCCGTCTCTTTACGGTGCCTCAAACTGTCCTTGAACATGGTCTCTCTCCTCATCAATATCGCAGCATTGGAATCGGAACCAGAACCAGAACCAGCGCCAGCCGCCGAACCAGTACCAATACCGCCATCTGCCATCCCACCGGTCGAGGCTGAGGTCGTCTGTGTCTGTGTCTGTGTCTGAGCATTATTCTTCATCTGAGCCCGCAATGCTTCATTGGCTGCTTCCAGCTCAAGGATTCGGTGCTCCATCGCCGCAGCCTTCGCCGCACGCCACAGATCGTCCCCTTCCGTGCGGGACTGGCGCGCCGAGGCAGCGGCGAATGGAGTCGGTTGTGACGACGGATGCTGATGCTGGGACTGGGACTGGGACTGTGTTTGATCCGTCAGCCGCCTTGATTTGGACCATATCGCCTGTGCAAGCTTCTCTCGCAGCATGAAAACATTGGCGAGATCTTCTTCGCGGAGTTCGCGGATGGCTGTGTGCTCGCGTCGCTCTTGGGCCAGCAGTTCGCGCACTTTTAAGAGATTCGTCAAGTCCTGGTCACGGACGATAAAGTACGCCTCGTAGCGTTCGGCCCAGGTGCGTTTTTCGGCTTCTAGCTTTTCAACCTGCCGTTGGAGTCTCACATAGTCTTCGGCCATGATTGTGGGACGATTACGTTCTGCTTCAGCGACTTTTCGAAGAAGGGGCTGGAGGAGCTGCTCCATCGGTCCTCTTGGTATGCTATGGTCAGCGTTGTTGTGAGCCAGATCTTCCTGGGAGGCTGTTGTCCTCGATGGATCCAGCCTTGCGACGACAGTGGGTGTCTTCAGATCGAGCTCCGCTTCGTTCTCTGAAGGGTCAGTTGCAAGTGTGGAACTGGAGCGTGAATGTGAATCTGAGTGTAAGTCGTAGTTGTGGGTTGACGCCGAATCTCGTCGATGAGATTCATTGCTCAGGTCGAGTGGTAATACAGTCCCCAACAACTTCTTGGGATGCCACATTTCTTCGTCGATGGTGAAATGATGTTGTCTTTCAATGGTCTCGGCATAAGTCGAGCCATGGCTTGATGCCACTGACATGTTGGAAGATTGAGATTGAATAAATTGTGTTCGGCTCGAATGACCGGGAGTCCACATGTTATGTTGGCAATTGAACGGATCCAAAGGCTGAACAATAAGCACCGGATAGGCCTGAAAGTAAGAGAATGTAAAATGAAGAAAGGAAAATGCATCTGGAGGACGACCGCAATAATAAACGCCAGAATCATATGGCCTGTGATATGTTCTGTAGTAGCCTTGAATGTTCAAACATTGTGAGCTCCTGTTTCGTCGTACCAGCCCCTTGTCACAGAGCCTTGCCGCTGTGACGGAGCTGAAACACCACATCCCCTTCAGACCAATGCTGTGGTCCTCATCAATGGTCGATACAAACTTAATCTGTGGCCTTAGTAGTCACATCACTCATCTTCAAGTTTGGGTTAGAAGACGATAAACCTACCACCATCGCGGAGGCGGTCGTTCCAACTCGACCATGTTCCAAACAGCGGGAAGAACAAAACACAGACAAGGCTTGAAAACAAAGGGGTAGTGGTAGTAGTCTTGGCCCCATTCCATTGGGCCCGAAACGGTTTCAGCCTGATGCATCGACCTCCTTTCAGCGGGCAGACATTGCTAGACTGAGCGTGCTGTCGTGGTGAGCAGTGAGTATGTGGCAATCAAGGTAGATCCCCTGTCTGTGTAATGACTTTGGAGTATCTGCAGGATATCGTGCTTCCGTAGAACAAGACTCTCCCGAACCACGGCTCATCGGAGTCTCGCAGAGGTTCTCTTCAATTCGCAAGATACGGGCCTTCCAGAGGTCGAAAGCGACGGATTTGAAGTAGGAGAGGTGTTCACAGGACCCAATACCTGTCAAATAATCCTGTACTACGACCACCAGCGATTCATTCTCATCATGGCGAGACCAGAGAGCCGAGAAGAGGATGATGTTGTGGAAGACTTGTTTTCGAAGCTCGAGCAGGCCCAGAACGATCCGGATGAACTCATATTCGATTGCTGTCTCGAGGATGTCCGAGAACTTGCGATCTCGGCCTGCAAGCATACGATGTACACGCTCGCTGCATCAGGCCCGAAGATGAACAGAGAGCAGCGGTCTCTTGAAGAGTTTCTGTACCCGACGACCTTCTATCTACCACTCCGTATAATGATTGGGAAACTGCAAGCTGTCAGAATAGACGACATATCCAGCTTCGCCAGCATGTACGAACCAGGACCTGTACGCTGGGAAATGGATCTCGCGCCCCGGTCTGCTTCTGCGCCAGCCCTCACTCCTTCGGCTGAGATATGCTTTATCGAGGATCTCTTCATGAGGAGAGTCCTCAAAGTCTCCAAAAACGGTAAATCGTGTGTCTTCAAATCACCAACTCCCAGCAACGAAGACCAGCTCCAACGAGAGATTAATGTCCTGCAGCAAATATCCGAGATATGGCCTCCAGATTACCCGTGTCGCCCACATGTTCCGCGGTTTCTTGGTCTCGTTACATCCGGAGGTCAAGCCATGGGAATGCTTGAGGACTTTATCGACGGCACGAGCCTATAGGAGTTCGACATAGCTGGTGCCTCCGCCACGCAGCGCCGAAAGTGGAAGGATCAGATCGAGCAGTCTATCAGCCTACTGCACCAGAATGGCATTGTCTGGGGAGATGTGAAACCAAGAAATATCATAATCGACAAATCGGCCCACGCGTGGCTGGTCGATTTCGGCGGCAGCTGGACCAACGGCTGGGTCGACGAGGATCTGGCTGAGACTCTTGAAGGCGACTTGCAGGGGCTACGCCGGGTAGCAGAGTATCTGGGCGTCCAGGACTGAGAGGTGTGCATCAAGCCACTTCTCCATCCTATGGTCGCTTGTCATAGACTAATTGCGATATTTCAAGATATGCCAGAACGGAACTTAGGGCCCCTGCAAGCCACTGTCGCCAGCAACAATATTCGCTATAACGCCATTAACCCGCATATTCGAATGTGGTGATTAGAACAAGATCAAAACTCCAAACTAACAGTCTCTTCCACCTGGTTCGGCTTGCCCATCCGAATGACAGCCTTCTTCTGCCTCAGATCCATGAGGATGTTGAACAAGGTGGCCGACTCGGACTCGCCGGTCTGCGCGCGGCAGATTGCCGCAGGAGCATTCTTTTCGTCCTCAAACAGCCGCGAGACCTCCGCCCAGGTCGGATTGGGATTGTCAGTCGTTTGTAGGGCATCGCTGAGCTCGGTCATTCTAGGGGCCCGGAACAACGAGTCCTTGATCCACACGGTGTCCACGACGCCCGGGTGCTTGAGAAGCAAATGATTGGAATGGACCACTCGGCCTTTGGCATCAGGAAGCAGCCTGGCGGTGGTGGTCGACGAAAATTCGAATCCGATGGCATCGTCCGGGTCAGCGATCAGAATATGCGCCGGAGCGGCCATGCCGTAGCTCTCCAGGGCCTCGACTGCCTGCTTGGCCGTCGAGCATTCCAATGCCATGCGCAGCCCGAGGTGGACTGGTAGCCGCGACGGGTCCATTCCCTTGGCTCGAATGGCATTCAGACATACCCCGACACCGGCAGAGTTGAAGCCTATCTTGCCGATGATACCTGCCTCGGTGATCATTTGGATCGCTGGTTTTCCAGGCTGGTCGATCTTGAGCACGATGAGGTTCTCTTTTTGAGCCTCTTTCCACTGTTTGAGACGGGGTTGAGTGGTCAGCAGGTTGAGAAGCATTGTTTTCTGGTGTAGAGCCAATACTTACGTCCCAATTTTGGCCCAGGTACGCTCGTTTCTCCGTATGCCATGCCAGCGAGGTACATCCGTCGCTGAAATTGCCAAAAGCGATCTCGGTTCGCACGTTCAGCGCAATGATATCTGAAATGGGTCGATCTGAGCCGTGGGCGACTCCTGGATAAATTGATGAGCCCCGGATATCTTGACAGTGTTAAACAAGGCGTAGGGTCTCCCACCTTTCATTTCTTCATAATACTCTGGCCACGCCTGTTGGATGCGTGGCTCAAAGGTGCTGGCCACATCCTGGACTTCTGACCAGTCTAGCTTGCTCGTCTTCTCAAACAGTGAAGCGTAGAAGGCGATGCATCGATCAATATGAGTTTTTGCAGCAGTGCCATGCTGCTCTCCTATCTGATCGATGTTAGGAAACCATTCCTTACAGCACTTATCGTTGTCGAGATATGCGTACCTCGTAAGGCGACCCTTTGCACTCGACAATCAGCATTGTGAGGATGCGATGGGTCTGTTCTCGAGAGCTTTCGTCTGTCTCTTGGTAAATGGCAGTGTAACTCTTCCAGACTACAGCAGGACTATGGGAAGCTCCAAGTTGCAAGAACACGATCAATCGAATAGCCCCTCCTTTCCACGAGGGGCAGTGGCACTTGAACACATTATGAAGAGCATCCTAGGCTCCATCTCCCCACTGCATCTGCCGTCGATAATGATCGCCTAGGGTCCTCCAAGGCCTATGTCCGAGAGATAGGACTCGTACCAGTGGATGGTTGGCTGCCACAGGCTCCATGTTCGCGCTGTTCCGTCCTGACTGCGTCTATATCCGAGCACAGATGCAGGGGCCACAACGCCAGTTCCAGGACCAGGACAGGTCATCTCCGCCTATCATAGACATATGGCAAATATAAATCGATCAGGGTCATCAGAAAGTGCGAATGCGAATGTGGAGCGTCTGAAAGAACGTGCTGTCAGGTCCAGGGACATTATAGCTTGTGGGAAAGCTCTGCGTGGACCAGACTTACTTCTTCAGACATAACATACTTGTTGACACATAGCTTCTCAGTCTGTCGAGGCAAACATAGTTTCAACTGGTCCATAAAGTGACAATGGTGAAGCGCGTGCTTGTCGGCTACGGCATCGATGTTGACGCCGTCAGCGGATGGTAAGGAGTCACTCACACCATGAGACCTTGAAAGGGACACATGGATCTCACCTTGGATCAAGTGACTGACTCTCGTGTCCTGTTATAGGATCAATACTATCCATGGGACACCAGCAAATCCGACTGATGTATCTCGAGGGGTCTTTGGCGCCACGGTCGGCATCGACAGACTGCTGAAGCTATGGGACAAATTCGGCATCAAGGCGACATGGTTTGTTCCCGCTCATTCGATCGAGAGCTTTCCCAAACAGCTGGCCAAAGTGCGAGATAGTGGGCATGAGATGTAAGCAACTTTCCTTCTTCTATCTCGAGACCCCCATCCATGGACTGTGATGGAGAAGAAGGGTTCTGCTTGACAGCATTACGAGACGTCCAAAGTTCAGTCCAATCCGAGGCCAGCGACCACTGGATCACACCTTGCCTCTGCTCTCACTGTGAGCAGTGTGGTCTCACCTACAGCCCATCCTTCCCAGAACTATCGTCTATCCCCCACAAACTTTCCCGTATGGTTTCTATAACGAATACTGACCGTCCATTCTGCAGCGGCCTACACGGCTACTCGCACGAATTTGTCTCGACGCTCAGCGAACAGCAACAACGCGACGTTCTAGCAAAATCCATCAAAGTACTCACCGACTTCACAGGCAAGAAGCCACGAGGCTGGACCGCCCCGGCGTGGTCGACCTCCCGCGAAACAGTGCGCCTGCTCGAGGAATTTGGCATCGAGTACGACCATTCATTCATGCACCACGACTCGCAGCTGTACTACGTGCCCGACGGCAGCGAGGAATGGACGGAAACTGACATAGCCAAATCCGCCGATGAGTGGATGAAGCCCATGACGGCGATCAAGGCGTCCAAGGTCGTCGAGGTGCCCGCGAACTGGCATCTGGATGACTGGCCGCCGTTCCAGCTGTCGCTGAAACAAGCCTCAACGCACGGCTACGTCGATCCGTACGTGATCGAGAGGTTGTGGAAGGACCAGTTCTCGTTCTTGTACCGCGAATACGACACTTTCGTGTTTCCCATCAGTATTCATCCCCAGGTCAGTGGGAAGCCGCAGGTCGTGTTGATGCATGAGCGCCTGATCGAATGGATCAATCAGCATGAGGGGGTAGAATGGTGCACGATGGAAACCATGGTCAAGGAATTCAAGGAGGGAAGGCTGGCTGGTGCGGAAGTGACGGGGGGAGCTGAGGTATAGTATAGAAGTGTCTGTATCAAATTAAATCGAACGCACGTCGAAAAAAAGGATGAAAGCTACCACACAAGGTGAAATGCTACGGGTTTTTGAACTTTGAATCTGTGATATCGGATCGATTCACGGTCGTGTATACACCTCTGAACCCACATAGGGAGCTTTTCGACTGAAATTGCTGCATATTTCACCCAAAACGTGAATGCCAGTGTCAAAACACTCCTGAGACCGAGACCATATGAACACCTCTGATCCTGACTTACTTCCCGGGAGAAGATTAAACGGATGAACGCTCTACTGCCATGGATCTCCATCTCAAATTTCTCCACGACGGAAATGAACAAACCCCACTGAAAAGTATGTCTTGATTCTCACAACCAGGTTACATGAAGTCCGGAGACGGAATACAACCGAAACCCATATCCTTACACTATCAACAGCTGTCCGTATGGTGTCTAGGCGGCCAAAACAGTCCCAGCGGCCCCATAACTCTGCATATATCTCTGCCTAAGATGTTTCTCCACCTTGAGCGGCTCATAGACCGGCTTCTCGCCCGGTGCGATACAAGTGGGCAAGCACTCCACCAGGGTATCCAAAGCGCCATCGTTGAAGAAAGCACAGCTATACCTGTCCTTGCCACTCAGGGGTGAAATGACACGGTGCATGGTCGACTTGTACCGGTTGTTGGTCCAGATCTGCATCAGATCGCCGATGTTGCAGACATAGGCGCCCTTGACCGGCGGGACGTTATGCCAGGTGCCTGTTGGTCTATGAAGGACTTCTAGGCCGCCCACTGAAGGGGGATGATGATTCAAGTCAGTCAAGATATTCCGATCCTACAAAAGGAACCAAATGAAAAGGAGACATAGGCCCTGAGGACCAGAAGACCAGATCCGGGCGAACGTATGTAGAGTGACTGGGGGTCCTGAGCTTACCTTCGTCCTGCAAGAGAAGCGTCAAGGCGCCAAAATCCGTGTGAGCGCCGACGCCGCGGGTCCTACCCGCCACATCGACGGGTGTGGGAGGATAATGATGAGCTCGGCACAAGCATAGACCTGGTAACCCGACAAAGACGGAAGACCTTATCAGCGGAGAACAATAGAAACAAGGTGTCTATGCATCAACGGCAGGACCAAGGGCAGCGATAACAGTAACAGTATCTCAAGACGAGGAAGGAGCGGGGCTGGGTACCGGAATCGGAAACGGAAAACGGAAACACAAGACAACTCACCATCTGGGTCGGCGGCAAAAGCATCAAAGTGATTCTCAGGCAGATCGAGCGACAGAGCTAATAGTCGGAAGATGGATCTGGACAGTTCATGCACGGCGGTGAAGTAGGCCATGTAATCTTCGCGGAACCCATCCAGGCTGTCGGGCCACTGATTAGGACCCTGCAGAAACTTACCCAGCGGCCTCTCAGGGCGGATGGAGAAGCCTTCCTTCTGGTCAGGGGTGGCCGAGTCGTCGAGCTCGTCGAGTTTCTGGCCCCCGATCCGCTCGTAGCCTCGATGGCATTTCGACAGTGATTGGGAGACTTTTTCCTTCTCCGATACAGGGAGGGCGAAGAACCGTGCGATGGCGGCCAGGAAGCGGTGCTGGATCTCCTGGCTCACCGAGTGCCCAACGACTTGGAGGAAGCCTTGGTTCTCGCAGGCATGGCGGATTTGTAAAGCGGCTTTGCGTCTGGCTTCGGCGTCTCCGGCAAGATAGCCGGATATGTCGATGATTGGAATCTCAACGGTAGGAGGGCTTTCAGAGATGCTGCCCATTGTTGCTTCGTTTTCCCCGTAGAGACTTGGAAAAAGTGAATGAGAGGATGGTCGCGATAGCAATACTTGAGATGTTGATGCTCGGCCGCGTCTGGAGATGCTGCAATTGCTCAATATATGATGATGGTGGCGAGGTATGTGTGTTCTAGACCCGCAGCATCGACAGGCATGAATCTTCCCTCACTGATCGAGAGAGCTTCTCGTCTTGACCTCCCCAGTTCACACAAGGCCGCGGCCCATGGAGAACATCTGGGCACCGTTCGGTAACCGATTAGCGACACCCTTGTTTCCGCGTACTGGATATAGCGTGGTAGTGGTCGTTGGGCCAGCGCCAGTGCCGAACGAGATATCAAACCACTGATAAGACGGCACAGGCTTGACAAGAGGCCTGCCTAGCGACAGATGGTATGGATCAGGATCACCCAATCACACCGGGTCGAGCAGATAGATTCGTATTCTGTATGTCCATTGTCGTGGGTGGTGAGAGTCAGGACCCTGTCCACCACCCCAGTCAACTTTAGCCGCAGAGATAATCAGTCATGATACCCCAATAGCGATGTCAACTCCAGGTTCTAAGGTGGACACTATCGAACATAGAGCGGTAACGGTTGAGCCTGACAGACGTCCAGTGGAGTCTGGGTCGAGTAGGCACAACCTCCAAGGATATCTGTATGTTGAAAGAGGATCCCAGCCCATGACCAAACTTGAGACGATGAGGAACGTAGCCGCCATTCGAAACGGGAGTCGGCGATGGCAATTCCGTGATGGTGATTGGAAACACTGTTTCCCTGGTCGGTTCCACGTCCCGGTATCATGTTTGTTGGTGTGTTAGATACCCAGATAGACAAAGATGAGTGGTCGATCATACGCCTTCGGTGCTGAGCGACGGACCAAGGCGCAGGACGACGGCGACGGACAAGCGCGATCCACACACACACAAGACACAGAAAGAAAGATACAAGACGCACAAACAAAAGACAAGAACTCTATTGACACTGGACAGGGACGAAGGAGGGTTAGCCGCGGGTCCGTGGGATGATAGTGTGGCTGTTCTCAGATATAACATACCTCCTGTGATAGGAGCCCATTGTGGTGGATAGATAGAGCGAGTGGGTGCCCCGGGGTCCTGACTGGATCTCTTCTCAAGTTGTCTTCTTGACATTTGCTGACTTCAGAGAAAGTGCCCTGATCGTCTCGAAGGGATATAAGTATACATCTACCGGGAAGACCTCATTGTTCTTCCACGCGTGGTCTGGTCGGACTATCTCCCTCAGTACAGGCATCGAATCCGTTATCGCAAGGGAAACAACAACTTGAACCAGCTGGTATCAGTCTATCAGATCGAGTCGGACTCACCACCATGGCTGTCAAGATCCCAGGTCTGCCTCCCTTGAGGCTTCACTCTCCTTACTGGCAGAAGTAAGTGTTTTTGCCTGGTTGTGGTCTGTCGTCTAGACTGCAACACTTCAGGTCTGTTTGCTGACTCTGGTTGCCTCAAGTGTGATCATCGGTATCCTCGTCGGGCTGACTGCCGGTCTCTATGTCGCCCTCAACCTCCTGGGAGCTGGAGGGGGACGACCCAATTCCGCGACGACCATCCAAACCGTCAACGCCACTCTCTGCGCAGTCTGGTTCTTTTCGGCGTCCTTTGGCGGCTCGGTATTGAACAAGATTGGTCCTGCCATCACTGCCTGCCTGGGCGTCTTGGGCTATGTCATCTATGTTGGGTCGCTGTGGTATTTCGACCAAGTTGGCAAAGAAGGCTTCCCTATCTTTGCCGGTGTCTGCATTGGTGTAAGCACAAAGCCCTCCCCGTCCTGTCACACACAAGTCGGTTCCTTTGCTGTGGACGCCTCTATCTATTCCTATCGTCAAGCCCATCTTAAGACAGTGTTGCTGACATACTGTACCAAATTGACAGCTCTCGGCTGGCATGATCTTCGTGACCATGGGATACATCGCCATGTCATACTCTGAGGAGCAAGACCGCGGGAAATACATTACCATGTCCATCAACCTGCAGGCCATGGGCTCCGTGATTGGAGGTATCATCCCTCTCATCATCAACAGGAACGCGGTAAGTGTTTTCGAGTACACAAAAACACACAAATGAAAGGCAGCACAGCAACTAATGCATGACTATGATTGACGACAGACCGAAGCAGCCGGTGTCCCATCCGCGGTTTATATTGTTTTCATCGTCATGATGAGCTTGGGAATGGTTGGCGCTTTCGCCCTCATGCCTCCGTCCAAAATCACTCGTGACGACGGCACCCCAGTCGGGCTCGTCCAGGCTCGCAGCTTCGTCGATGAGCTCAAAAGCAACCTGGAGATTTTCAAGGACTGGAAGTTGATGATCATGGTCAGTACTTAGCCCCAAAAACCACCAAATAACATCTTCCAAGACCCCAGCTGTCTGAGAGCGCGGGAAAGAGTGAAAGAACGATAAGGTGAAAAAGCTGGATACTAACTTCACTTCATTACCAGGTGCCCGCCTTCCTCCCAGCAGAATGTTTCCTCGTATACGGGGGTTCCGCCAACGCCTACCACAACAACCTCCGAACACGATGCCTGTTGTCCTTCGTCTCAGTGTGCCTCCAAATCCCAGCAGGATGGGGTCTGCAAGCCATCCTCGACCACAAGGCCTGTAAGTGTCGAATGACTCAAACCCGAACATTGGGCTTTTCCCATTCCACCCAAACACTCTAGACTCCCCATATCCCTCCGTAGAGAAACAAACAAAGAGCAAACAGGAAAAGACTAACATCGCAATCAACAGGGAAACGGCGTACCCGAGCATTCATCGGCCTTACAATCGTCGGCGTGCCCCTGATCGCCGCCTGGATCTGGGAGATCGTGCGCACGCGCAACTACGACCGCTCCAACCCACCGGCGCGAGCCATGGACTGGACCGACGACGGCTTCGTGGCCATCTTCTTCTTGTTCATGCTGAACTGGGTCTCCAGCTCGTTGTGGCAGTACCTGATCTTATATTTCCTTGGCACGTTGACAAACTCGCCGCGCAAATCTGCCAATTATGCTGTAAGTTGTGACCCGAAACAAAAAGAAAAGTTCAACGTCTTGGATGGGGAAGACGATCAACGTTATGACTATGATACCGGATAATACGGGATATCCTGTTCTGAGAAACAAATGCTGACATTCTCGTTTTCGCGTTTTCTTGCAGGGCGTCTTCCGTGGCTTCCTCGGTGCCGGCGAAGCCATCTGTTTCGGCGTCGACTCGCTGGCGGTGCCGTTCATGAAAGAAGCGGCCGTCATCTTCACCTTCTACACGACCGGCGTCATCGTGTTCGCGTACCTGGCTGCCTTCCACATCCGCGACACGGAATATTTCAACGGCGAGGACGACGTCGTGATCCCCAAACATATCTTGGAAGAGCATCCCGAGGAAGCTAAAACCGTTACCGAAGAGGACCAGCAGCCGGTCGAAGACCAAACGGTCGAGATTGGGATGGAGAAGGCATGATTGAGGAACGTTGTTGAAAGGAATGTTGTTACAGGAGTGTTAATGCATGATATCCAGAAGCGGTATAGGCTTCGAAACGCTCATTTTGTTTTCTGGGTTACCTCCAAGAACTGCTTTGTCCGTCGATGAGCAAGAGTAGGGCAGGTGCAGGGCAGAGCCCGAACACAGTGGGTGTAATTAGTACATCGCAGCGACAGGGGTTAGACAAAACCATAGACAAGACAGCACCCGATAGACCAACCTCGGAACTTTATTATACAGATCAAGGGAGACAAAAGGCAGATGCTTTCTATTCTATTCTATTCGGCGAGTGTAAGGTCCATGCCGAAGCCAAACTCGGCATTCCAATCGTACGGCGGATAGGTATAGGTATCGACGAGATCGTTGCCGGTGAAATCGATGATAGGGTTCGGGACCTCCCAAAAGGCAAACGACTCATCTAAGCCCATGGCATCTTCCAAATAGTCACCTCCGCCCATCGAGTAAGCGCCCACGGGGCTCTGCTGGTTGAAAAGCGTCGCTCGCTGGAGGACGAACTCGGAATATTCCTTCTTGATGGGCCCCAGGAGTCTCTCGTATTCCTGCAGACAGCGCGTGGCGGCGGGCCAGCGCTCGGAGATGGTGGAGAAGAAGCGCGAGAAGCACATCATGTAGCCCTCGACTTCCTGCAGGGGGTGCAGGTCGGCGATTTCGACCTTGCAGTACTGGAGGGCCTGCAGAAACACGACCGCAGACGAGAAGGTGTGGTGGCACGGATGGAAGACGTATTTGAGATAGCCGAGCTCGGCGTTGGCCTGTTCCCAGTAGCCCGTGGCGACCTGCACGGCGGCGGTGAAGCCCTTCATCAGGTCTTCGCGACTGGGCATCTTCACTCGGGGACATGGCCGGAACAGGAGGACGAGGATGTAGTTGTAGGCGATGTCGGCGTAGAGTTCCATTTCGTCCCAATGCGATTTCACCGACGGGTCTTGGTTCGCGGCGGCGGCGCGATGGACTTCTTCCATCCACTCGCGGATTTCGGCTTCTGTTCGCTTCATCCATGCCTCGACGGACGGACAATCTTCGGGAAGCGGTTCGTTCTGGTACAGCACCGACATGATATCGGACTCGATCTTGCGGAACGGCCAAATTCGTCGTGGGATGAATTTCGCCCGCGGCGCCGTCATGTCGATGTGCGTGCGTGATATTCCGGAATCTTTGATCTCGAACGGGAAGGGCACGTTGATGTATTTGTTTTGTGTGCGAAGCGGTCGGTGGAACCCTGCACACACGGCCACTTCCATCTCCCAGGCGCACCAGAAGATGCGCCGCCGCATGTCTCTCTCGAGGAGGTCGATCTCGATGCTGGATGGGAGTTCTTGATGCAGACCCAGGTCCATACACGCTTCGCTCGATAAGCCGGTCAGAAGCCAGAGATTGGCCACACTGGGGTTTAGAAACGTGTATTGAATCAGTAGAAGCAGGGCTTGGAGGCCCTCCAGGTCGTTAGATAGCACTTCTGATACATGCAGCATGGCGGTCCTGAACAAGCCCGTCGCCAGAGCGTGAGCACGGGCTTGCTTGCTGCGTGCTGCCGTGGATAGCGAAATCGCCATGATCAGGCTCACCACAAAGATGTCTCGAGCTTCCGCTGGAGGATCGGGCATTTCGCCGACAGTGTCATTGTGGAAGATCGCGTTGAACGACCGCACCACGTCGGAAGAATGGTAGATGGGATACTGATGGATGATTCGGTTGATGTAGATGTCAAACAAAAACTCCGCGACCGGAGTCGGCACGGAGGTCAGCGAGAGATGCGAGGGCTGTTGGTTCAGGATTGAGCGAGGGTGGTTCTCGTCCAAATCAGTCAGCCCAAAGGACTTCTTTGCTGATGGGATCTGGGTAGGTGCTGCGGCGCATCCTGCCAGGCGGATTGTGGGAGTGAGGCCCAGAAACGAGGTTGTTATATCATGCATGGCATTGGATATGGCCGGGTTGGTCAGAGATGTCGAGTCGCCGCTTCTTTGAGAGGGAGGGTTTCGACACCTCGACGACGGCGTCGAACCCGTACGGTGTTCATTCTCGCTCTCCAGGGCCGCGATTCGTGCCTCGAGATATCGAGCAATACTGCGTGGTGCGATGGCGTTCGTGGCCGAGTCCAGGGCGACGCAAGGCACTCCAGCCTCGAGACAGACAGTACATGATGGTGATTGAGCATCACACTAGATAGACATCAAGGTTGCAGTCAGCCGAGTTCTGCATTGTTGGTCATTAAACATACACTGATCTTCCTTTTCCGACACCGGGCACAGGAGACAACTCTTCTCCGGACTCTCTCAGTCGGCCCCATATTCCTTGCACGATCTGTCGGGCCAAATCATTGCATGAACATTGCAATCATGGACAACAAGCTCCTGAATTCTTTCAATGTCAGACGAGTGTTCTTGACGCGGCAGTCAGAGTTCGTCGGGTGGTTGTTGACAGCAATTGCATCGTATATCGGATATCAGTAAGTGGCAGCACAGGCACAGAATGATAGACAGAGTCACAGTGCAAGTTGTGGTCGAGATGGCGGATCCCAGGCAAGTCGGGACCAATCTTTTTCTCTTCTTTCTGGTCGCGGTGAGAGAGATCCAGTCACCGGGGGGTGGGGGAGGGAGCCATAGCTCTGAGCTACCCCTCGGCTCCCTAGGCCTCCTTGACCAACTCCCTCCCTCACCTTATCTCTCGAAGGCCCAGGAGCTTTTGCTTGATAAGGCCATTGACCGACCGACTTGTGGGCCGAGGCAGCCTTGGAACACCTAGACGTCCTTCTCAGAGGCTGCCTAGGCGGGCTCCAGGGTGCGAGCTGAACCAGTTGCTCCACCTACTGAGGTCTTCTCCGGCGCCTATCATCATCATTTGGGGGTCGAACGGGGTCTTCTAGAAGAGAGAAGAAGGGTTGGAGGAAAGACAAACCCCATTTCACCACAATTAACACGACCGGAGTGGTTCATGTGGTGAGTCTATACCAAGGACCACTTTCACATCAACATCCTGGTTGCGTAGTCTCAATACAAATCCCTGTTCTGTCACTTCGATTGAGATCTAGATCTTGAGATCTCATCCGACTGACCTCATCCGGATGTCGATTGACAAACCATGCCGACCGCTGCTTCTGGGTCGGATACTGGATCGTCCAGCAATCCTACACCGGTCGAAGAACCCAAGGTCGCCGACTTGGACACCGTCCTACAGCTACTCCCAGCATGCCGACGATGTCGAAGAAACAAAAGACGATGCGACATACGTCTTCCAGCATGTCTGAACTGCAGCCGCGTAGGAGCCGAGTGCATCTTCTTCGACCATGTGTCCAAAGAGCTACTGCCACGAACGTAAGACTCCGACTGACACGATCCTGGCTGATGAACACTGAGAATGCTCATCAATCTTGCCCTCCAGATATATCGCGTCACTGGTCGATCATTTGAAGAAGCTGGAAGCAGACAGCGCCAGGCCGCCCTCGTCCGCGTCGAGACAAACCTCGCAAGCAGAGCCGGCAGAACATCAGTTCGTCCACGTTCGCGGCGCGTACAGGTATCTGGGCCAACAGGCTCCCCTTGCGGTGCAGACTGGACGCGTCGCATCCCACGGTTCTCAGCTCCGGGTCGACACTCCGTTTCCTCCGCTGGAGATTCCGCCCGGGTCTTTGATCGGCAGTGAAATGCATCAGTTCCTCGTGTCCAAGTATCTCTCGACCATTCATGGCCTGTATCCCGTCCTCGACCCGGCGATGCCGTTCTTGACAGAGTGTCCTACGTCTCTCACCGACATGCCCACCTCCGAGTTATTCATGCTGCACATGGTGTATTCCATTGCATGCCACTGTCTGCCCGGTAACGATCGTCAGCTTGTGCTTCTGTCCGATACTTTCTACCGAGAAGCGCTGGTCCACGCGGAAAAGATCACCGCTGAACTGAACGTGGAGGCGCTCCAAGCCGTGTTGCTGCTGGCTTTGCGCAGCCTGTTTGATGCCCAGAACGGAAGCCTGGGTCAACAGGTCGCCTTTGCCTACCGCTTGGAAGTCGAGCTGGGCGCTCGAGAGGTGGAAGAGAGCACGCCGGCATTGCAGCAACTGCGGGAGTCGATCTTTTGTATCGGCAATCAAGTCGCTACTGCCCTAGACCGGCCTTCCGGACTAACTGAATCGGTAGGCATATCTCTCGACTGTTGACGAATTTGGATGATCGTTGCATGAGCGCTGACTCTTTGACTAGGAAGTTCTCACATCCCCTGACGACTTGGATCAAAGCCAGCTTCTGTACTACCTGTATAGAATGCAGTCGAGGTTTCGCGGCGGGACTTCCTTTGACGGCCTTGACTTGCAAGAGGTCGAACAGAAGATCACCACAGACGTGTCACCAATGCTCATCGCAGCCTTGAACGAAACACGCTTCCTCCTTGAGCCCAGTGTCGACTCGGCTATGCAGCTGTTAAGCACGCATGCCTCTGACGATATTGTGCTGAATGTCTTCACCTCACATTGGGCTTACAAGGCTGCGACCTTCTTTTTGGAAGGTGATCTAAACGAAACCAGTCTCCAGGGCAGAGTGCTTGCTCAGAAGGTCCTTGAGCGATGTGCTCTGAAGTGGCCTAATGCTCAGACTTTGCTGGAATCGTTGAACATATACGCGCCGGGCTGAACGAATTGAGTCTACGAAGCGACTTTCATCGACGACCCCCCCCCCCCCCCCAGTTACGGCTGCACGTAATCGGATGATATCCTCGACGAGTGATAGAGCGTTTATCTCCATACGAAAGACCGCCACCAGGCTAACGAAGGTGGAAACGCACCTGACGCTCAACATCAGGGTGGCTCCGCCTTCAAGTTGAAGCCCATCTCGAAGGTATGTCGGTATTTGGGTGTTCCACTTGATTTACCAAAACGACCACTTCATCTCCGCGATAATCACTTCCCTGGGAAATCGATCACGCATGAATGCTGGGCTTGAGGTGCTTGCAGAGGTCAAAAAGTTCATGAACGTCACACCTGCAAGTTAATATCTCCGTGGCCGAGAGTGTGACTGGGACATATACTGGGTTCTGTGCAATATACTTGATCAGAACCACATAAAGTACTCATGTGTGTTCGAATCTCGTACGAGAATGTCTCGTCTCATTCTCAACTACCTAGATGTACAGCATGACATGACCTGGCCGGCGTTCTTCCCATGGCGAGTCCATGTCGAATTCTCGCGCAAAGACGTCAGTCATTATACTGTTGCCACAGCGCGAATGAGCTTGTGGGAGAACACGGCGTCATCTCCAAATCCGAGTCATTCCGATAATACAGTCTAGATGATCAGTCTCGATGCTCATACAACCGTATCAGCCCTGAGAATCGCCATGTGCCATAAACAAGTATGGGAAGCCGCGGTTGTCTTTCTTCTGAAGAAGCCAGACGAGACATTTCGACACTCCGAGTCCAATGAGAGTATGGAGGAAATGACGTACTGGTAGTAGGAAGTCTTCGACATGCCCATAAAGAAAAGGAAAGCAGGGAATAGGTGGTTTCAATGAATGCCCTGGGCGCCGCCGAGTTTCCGCCGAAAGTACTGGAGGCCGGGGTGAAGCACCGTCCCACCATCCACGAACAGTTAGGCATTCATTGCTTCAGGGATGGTATAGGTCTCTTTTTTGAGCATGATCAGTTCTTTGACGATCATTATCTTCGATCCCATGACCACCCTCACGACGGTCAATTCTCGGACCAAACGACATCGGGATATCAATTCTTGCAACCACATACATGGCAGGGATTCGAGGGGGCTATATCAATGCCCTGGGCCCGCATACTGTGCAGTCGAAGAGAAAGAAGAGGTAGGACTATCAATAAGACATGAGAAACAAACATCTGTCACCATACAAGAAAGACACCCGCAAAGAAATAGGTGCTATACGAGATTCCTCAACATAACATCCATTTGCGACACCACTCCTCCATCTATCCCTACAACCACATTGCCCACTTGAACATAGATACCCAATATTCATGCTCTGTCTCATCCCCGTGTCCATATATCATCATGAACGCCCTCCAAAGCCAGAAGATCATCGTGCAGAAGGACGACTCCACCAGCAACAGAAGAAGGAGAAGACTCTCCTCGAGCGGCAGTCTCCCGCCCGCCCTGCAAGAACTGGTCGACAGAGAAGAGAAGGAAAGACTTATCTACGAGGACCCATGGAGCAGAATGTAAGTTGAGACCCCAAAGACACCCCAAAGATTCAGGGGAACGGAACGAAATGATAACCGTGACTTCTTGTGTCATATGTATGTAGGCCTGTCCTGATCGAAGAAAATACCGAGATTATCAAGACAAAAAGGGCCCGAAGAAGCAGCCATTGATCAAAATCGCCCTGAGAGAATGTGTTATCGTCAATAACGACAATGACAGAATGGTTGGAGAAAATAGTCGTGTTGAGATGAACAGCGACGGCCACAGAAAGAAGCGCCATACCCCTTGCTCACAACGAAAGTATACCCAAGAATCGAGGATCGAGAAGAATCGAATCATAAGGCTATAATACAAATACATGAATCGTCATCCCGAGAAGACGTCCGTCTCTATGACAAACTGCTCCCTATGAAACAGATACACCGGATCCCCTGCAACTCCAAAGAAAGGATGACCGATAGAAACAAAATCCGGTCTGGCCAAGTGAGCTCACTCATAGCGCCGTCATGTTCATGTCGTGAAGCACCGTTTGGAGGTGAATCGAAAGAGCGAAAGAAAAGAAAGGGCAGATAAAAGTCGTGAAGGTGTTGATGTTGTGACGTTATGATACAGAGACAGTGGCATACCCATAGCCATACCCGAAGGTGTCGGTGGACGAGTAGGACGCTCCAGTGCGGGTATCGTAGCGATGATGCAGTCCATATTTGATAGACTGGGGCGACGGGCCCTTGCAATGGACCAAGACGGGCTTTGCCGTCTGGATCGGCTCGAACGTTCGGATCTCGCTCACGTCGCTGCCGTCGTCGAAGGGATCGTACTCGGTTTCGGCTTCGTCGTCGTCGTCTCGAAAGTTGAACGAGAAGGTGGAGACGGTCGAGATGCTGGCCAGCGTCGGGACCGTCGACGTGGGCGATGGCTGTTCCCACGGCATGGAGGTCCGGTCGGCTTGGAATCTGGGCCGGATCTGCCTGCCGCGAGAGAAGGGCAGAGAGAACGAGGGGACGGGGGCCCGTTGGGTGGGTGGCTGCCGCGGAGCCGGGGTCGGCGTTTGCTGGTAGTGCATCTGTCGGTCGTGGAACGTGGGCGAATTGGGAAGAGACCAGTCGAAGTCGTCGCCGCTGCTGCTGTCCTCGGAGTCGTACATCAACGGCGGCGGCGAGACCGGGGTGTCGACCTCCTCGACGTCGCCCAGGTTGGACCGGAACCGGGCTCGCGGGATCGACAGGAAGCATGTCGTCGAGCTGATGCTGGCGTTCTGTTTGTGTTCACCCTGGCCGCGGCGGAAGTGCTCGAACTCGGAAGACGAGTAGCATTGGCAGATGACCGTTCCCGGAGCACATTGACACTTCATGACACTGCCGTTGGAGAATGCATCTGCCCGGATGGAGTTGCGCCATTCGTTCGACGCCTGGGACACTCGTTGCGCGTGATCCCACGGTAGCGGTGTTTGGACGGCGGACTCGTCGTCCACGTTGAAGGTCGTGTCGAGCACGCCGCTGAGGTAGATGGAGAGCTTTTTGCGGTCCACTTGGCCCTCGCCATCCAGGAATTGACTGCTCCGGTAGATGGAGGACCTCTTGCTTGAAGTTGGTGTGCGACGGACCGGCCCTGGTGGTCTTTGTTCTCGGGTCTCGCGACCTTGGCTTTCCTGACTGGTGGACTCGTCGACCGCTGACGTCGAAGTCCAAGCAAAGGGAGGGGGTGGAGGCGGGTACGAGGGAGGTTCCAATCGAATGGATGGGATTGGAGCGTCTTCAGACGTCTGGGATATGCACTCCAGGTCCGCTTTCGCTTCGGGACGTGCAAGAGCTGGGGTAATGGATGGTACGGCAGGTGGCTGATCAGAGGTCGGCCTCTTCTTCCGCAGCTTCAACGGTGGAGGCCGCAATGATAGTAGCCCGGAGCTCCTGTGATGAGTCCCGGTACTGGCTAGGCCATCGGCAGCCGTTCGTTGTTGACCATTCACTAGAGCTCTTCCACGTGGCCGGTTCGCTGGCGGCGTAGGCGGCATGGGGAAGAGAGAGAATCCCGAGTGCTCGAACTCGCCCATGGCGGTACCACTGAAGACGGAATGGACGCTGCTGTGTGGTCCGGTGCTGGTCGGGTGGAGCTCGTTCTCGAGGCCGGGCGGTGATCAGTGATCGGTGCTGGTCTGTTGTTGTTGTGTTGTTGTTGTTCTCTGGAGATTTGTTGATGGAAACAATCGATAAAGCAGATTGGGGAGATCAAGGCTTTTGAATCGAATTCACTAGTCGGTCGGTGTTGGATAGGGGATGGGAGCAGGGGACAGTCCGTGGGGAGGGTAGGCGTGTCAAAGGGAATTTGCAAGCCCCAAAGGTGCCCATTGGAAGTATGAGCCCACGTCAAGCCAGAGGGAGATGAGATTTGGATGTTCGTCTCTGAGAGCTGCGTAATTGGTCAGGGCCGTTGAGCATGGGGGATGGGGTTCAGTATGAGGTCCGTGTCAGGCTCTGGTGGATGATAGAGCGTTGGGACCCATATCAACGACGACGCGGCTGAGCATCTTACCTGACAGATGACGGCGCGTCACGACTACTTCTGACCGCGTCAATGCCGTTTTCGGTGCTCTCGACTGAGAAATAATCTTAAGAAAGCCTTAAAGATGCGAACTGGACAGCTCTCGACAGCTCGTGACTGCTGCCGGCAATCTTGCGTCTGGCGGTTCTGACGGTGAAGGCTGCTGGAAGCCGCGATTGATGACAACAGGCGCCGACTTGCATATAACGATATATAGACGGTCTCCATCCCGCCGTAGTCGAGTTTTCATCTCTGACGTTGGGAAAGGAGAGCATCTCACCTCAAGCATCACGAACACATTGACATGACGGTGGTTCCAGTGACTGGTCGTTCTGCTGTATGATACGAGTGTAGATGCTGGATGAAGTCGCAGCAGATGGTCAGCAACTAGGTAATTCTAAATGGCAGCTGTCTGCCCCTGTCTTCTCGCTGTCGTTCTGTCTGTTGCTGGAGAGCGTTGACAGTGGCGGGTCTGCACGTGATCCACTCTCGCCCAAAAGGTGATGGCGCTAAACCCTTTCCGTTGGTCTCTGCGATGAATTCAGAATTCTGGACCTTCAACACCTGGAACGCTGCCTGTCTGTTTCTGGTGCTGTGGATGAATGTGATGGATGTCTTTGCGCTGCCTACCCCTACTCTAGACTGGAGGTATCACACTCTGACCTTTCTCGTACTGACTGCTGCTACATATGCATGCGGTAGTCGCCCAGGTTCGGTCTCCATGTCTCAACAGGACTACTTCACAATCCTCATCGACCCCCGCGAAATGTCTGCGAGCCTGAGGCCCAATCTCGTGCAAGCAGTGGTTATGGACACTCTGGAGGTGGACACCAACATCCGCCCCTTGTAGGCGCGTGAGGTGATGGGCGATAGCAATATAAGAGACGGTGATATTCCAGAGAAGGGACATGGAGCATTTGACCTGGAAAAGCAGAAATAAACGATTCACTTGCAACTGAAGTCTTCCCGCCGGATGGCCAACTCGAAGCCGCTCTTGTCGAGTTGAGCCACCGGCAAGGTGTCGGCCTCTCGATTCGGTCTAGCCAGATCGTTCCCAATGTTTATGAGGACCCTCAAGTGGAATGTTGTTTTGAATATGGCGTAAGCAGATGAGACTGCTGTTTGATGCGTGTGCTATCCTCGAAGGGATTATTGACCGTTGCCAGGATCGAGGTCGAAGGCTATATACATGCGCATTTAGGTCCCAATCGCATTCCATTGCCGTGCTCGCATCCAATTCATCAGCGGTATCGTTAGAAGCGCGTGCGATTGGAAAGGCCAGTTCACTATGGTAGTAGGTGACACCGGGGACTTGACATTATCAGCAAGCGCGGCGACGTGATCGACTGTGAAGGTCTCAACAAGTTGTGCGAGAATGGGTTCGTCGTCGCCGGCACATCTCGTCCCGTCGTTGTTATGATAGCAACCTATCGAGCAAGGATGTAAGTCGTCTATTCTCCTCCCTTCTTCCACCAGGAAGAAGCGGTAATCTATGTGGCCTATGGTACCATGGCAGGAGCCAACCAGTAACCCAGGAAAGTTGGAAGGTGGCAACAGTCGTCCTCGCGGTGGTTGCTGTGTTTCTCGTAGCTTTTCACGACTTGAAGCTTGCAATGATGTTATATACTTGTCGCGAGGCTGGTGTTGGACCGTTGCGACCTCGACAATGAATTCAGCCAGCCCAAAATAGCCACGAAGATTCGCAATGGAAAATGGGCTGGATCCACGAAGACTCTGCGCCACAACATGAAGCGGGCGCGGCTGTGAGATGCAGAAAGACCTCATAGTCTCGACGTCCCCTGTCCCGGCAGCTGCAAACATCTTGAGATAAGCGGCCTTATTTCTGATGTCAGGCCCGGCACCAGAAAGAAGAATTCTGCCGTGTATAGGTAGATTGTCATTGTAACGGGGCATGCCAGGGAATCCCGATGCTTTAGGTTTCGCATTCGGGTACACTTCAGTGAAAGTCCTTGCACCCCTTGCAACGAGCCTCCTCTCGAGCTCTTGCAATTTGAATATTGTAGTCTCGATCGCGCGGCTCTTTTTCTCTTCTCTTCAAGGCGTTCTTCCTGCTCATGCTCCAGAGCCCTCAGCTTTCCCTTGTACGTCTTGGTCTGTTGCTGACGAACATTGCGTCTTGTAAGTCGTGACCCTGTGCCCAGTGCTGGCACCTACCTTGGCTGGAATCGAAGTGGTCATCTTCCTTGCCCAGAAGCTCTGGTTTCTCCATGTCATTGGACTTCGACGGATCCAAGAGCACTTGCAGAGACTTGATGCCTGAACCGGCTCAAATAGTGAACAACTGCCATATGCCGTCAATCGCCGCTTAAGGAGCTTGTATGTTAGTTTTGGGAGGACAGCAGAAAGAGAGAAGAGCAGCCGGCACGGTGTGGGAAGGTCAAGTTGCAGAGCGTAGCTGTGATGTTGTCATTCGCGATTAGATAAGATTAGATAATACAGAAGATAAGGTCGTTATCATTATCATTATCGATAAGCATTTCAACGACATCGGCCGGAGAAGGTGGATAAATTTATTTTCAATGAATGATGCTCAAACCATCCCATGACTCCCATGCGACAATTCCTCAGGCTACACAGCAGCGATCGTTCAGTCTTCAACGACCCTATCACCAGACCATAGATCTAAATGGTTCTGGGCCTGCGTGCAGCAGCATCAGCAAAAAGGCACGCCGCGCCGGTCTGTCAGCTCCTGATCCGACCACGCTCATCAAAGTTTGCGACCTCGAGTGCATTTGCCGGGGTCCCGGTCCCGGTTCCAGTCTCCAGGGTCTCAAGAACAGCATTCTCCTCTCGACGCGAAATAACTGCGCGCCTTTCCAAGCCAGCATTGTCGTCAGGAATCTCGACCAAATCCAAAGCATTTCGTGAACCCTCTCCGACCAAAATGGCCAACGACCACATCCTCACGCTATCCTGCCCGGACAAGCCGGGGATCGTGCACGCGGTGACGGGGATATTCGCACAGAACAAGCTCAACATCCTCGACCTCCAGCAATTCTCGGACCGGACGTCGGAAAAGTTTTTCATGCGCGTGCACTTCGGCCCTTTGGAAGAAGACACCGAGGTCAAGTTCCTGAAACCGGCCTTCGACGCGCTGGCCCAGGAGATCCGGATGGACTACGAGCTGCGGCCGATGGCGCAGAAGCCGAAAGTGCTGATCATGGTGTCCAAGATCGGCCACTGTCTCAATGACCTCCTGTTCCGCCAGAAGACGGGCCAGTTGAGCATCGAGGTGCCGGTGATCGTGTCGAACCACCCGGACTTCGAGCCGTTGGCGCGCAGCTACGGCGTCGCGTTCCACCACCTGCCCGTGACCAAGGACACCAAGGCCGACCAGGAACAGCGGATTCTGGCGCTGATCCGCGAGCACGACATCGAGCTCATCGTCCTGGCTCGGTACATGCAAGTCCTCTCGCCCAAGCTGTGCGAGGCCATGTCTGGCAAGATCATCAACATCCATCATAGTTTCCTGCCTTCCTTCAAGGGCGCGAAGCCTTATCACCAGGCTTTTGAACGTGGCGTCAAGATCATCGGCGCCACTGCCCATTTTGTCACCGCCGACTTGGACGAAGGGCCGATCATCGAGCAGAGGGTCGCGCGCGTCGATCACAGCATGACGCCCAAAGAGTTGGTTGATGAGGGCAGCAATGTCGAGAGTCAGGTCCTGGCCGCCGCGGTCAAATGGTGGTCAGAGAAGCGCGTCTTTTTGAACGGCCACAAGACTGTCGTCTTCAACTGAGTTTGGGCCTTGTGGCGGTTGGAAACCACTAAACTAAAAGCGGGCGGCCGGATCAATTTCCCTTCTCCTTTTTCCCAGAGATGTAGCATATCCAAGGTTTTCGAAAAGTTTCTATGCCAAGGCATACAAAGACCGAAATGGAAAACGAAAAGGAAAAGGTAAGAAACTTGGACAGAAATAAATAGATTGGTGGGACGCCAGACAGAGGCTGTTCACATATCCTCATATATCATATATTCTCATATACTCTCACATATCTGAACATAGTGAAGCAAATCACATACAAGAAATCTGAGGGCAACTACAATTCATCCTTGACCTCGTCTCCAGTCTTCGACGGACCGTCCTTCCATTTAGTCATTCCCACCGAATCCTTGACCATCAGGGCCAGAATGTCGACCAGCAAATCACTGGCAGCAACACTGGTGACCTCGGCGGCCGTATCGTACGGCGGACTCACCTCGACGACATCGGCGCCGACCAGACGGACACCCTCGAGGCCCTTGATGAAGCGCTTGACCTCGCGCGTGGTCCAGCCGCCGGACTCCGGGGTCCCCGTCGCGGGAGCGATACTGGGATCCAGCACGTCGATATCGATGGACAAATAGACCGGCGTGTGTCCCACGGTCTTTCTGACGCGCTCAATGATGCCCGGCATGCCACCCATGCCGGGCTCGTCGATCTCGTGGGCCTCGATGAGATGAAAGCCCACGACGTCCCGGTCGATCACGTAGTCCTGGGGACTGAACAGTTTGGTGCGCAGGCCGCCATGCACGGAGGTGCCCTTGGAGATGCAGCCCTCGCGCGCGGCGTGCCAGAAGAAAGTGCCGTGCGTGATGGCGCTCTGTTCCGACACGATCCCCGTGTACCCGGCGTACGGGTCCCACGTGTCGAGATGCGAGTCGAGATGGATCACGCTGATCGGCCCGTAGACCTCCTTCAGACTGCGCAGGATGGGCAGCACGATGCTGTGGTCGCCGCCGAGACTGAGCACGCGCGGCCGCGGCCAGTTCGAGCCGGCCGCCGTCGTCGTGTTGTGCCACAGGATCTGCCGGTACCCTTGTTCCATCTGCCGGAAGGCGTGTTGCGCGTCGAACGGCGTGATCGGGATGTCGCCGCAGTCGACGATGTTGAGGTTGCCCTCGGTCAACGGATCAACCCCCCACACTGTGTTGTAGCTGCGGCCTTTCTTCTCGCGCGAACTGGCTGCTCGGATCCCTCGTGGGCCGAACCGCGCTCCGGGCCGGTAGGAGGTCGACGTGTCGTAGGGGAACCCGACGATCGCGATGTCCATGTCCGATCTGTGCGCCGCGGAGAAGCATCGCTGCCACGGCAGGTGGGCGAACGTCACGGGCTGCGAGAAGGGCAGGTCTTTGTCCAGGTCTTCCAGAGGGAAGTCGTAGTTGGGGCCAATGTTGATGCGCGAGATTGGGGATTCGGTTTGCTCATGCTCATGGTGCGCATGGGCTGCACAGCTTGTCATGAGCGACATGCCCATTGCAGCAAGGGCCAAGCAGACTCCTCGAGCCATAGTGACTGATGGTCGGTATTTTTACCCAGTGGCTATGTGTGATCCGGCCGGGTTGAGTCCCGTGGTCGTTGTCAGGTCGGTTGCCAGTTGGTAGAGAGGTTATAAGGGTACAGGCTCGAAAAGTCTCCAGAATGCAGACCGGAGAAGTTCTGCAGCCTCTAGCCAGTGGCCATGTCTGGTTTCTTATACCACAGGGCCCCTCCCAGGGGAAGATACCTCTCTGCTTTCTGTGTGGTGCCGTCAAAATGTTTACGAGAAAGTCGTCGTTGAAGACGGACATGTCCATCGCTCCATCGCTCCATATTGAAGCTGTGAGCCTCGAAGCTCCCATCTCCGTCTATCCCAGTGAGATATTAGCAGTTGTTCCATAGATGGTGGAACTCGTACTAGTATGGGAAGAGACGTTATAGGCTATGCTTGAGACTGGAAGCAGTGGATAGACTCGGCAAGGTGATATGGGTCCCTTTTTACCAGGAAGGAAGTGTCCTTCAATACAGCCGCTCGGCAAGAAGGAGTGGATGGATGGATACTCTTGCGATGATAATGAAGCGATCATTCATTCTTCTTGGGAATGTTCTTCGTTCATGGCTCATACTCGATTAGGTCTGAGTCTTGTGGGATATTCCTCTCACCGGTGCTCATACTCAACAGTTTTCAGAGGTAATAATGCTCCCATGATCCTTCCTCGTATCGCCCTGGTTTTCAATCATAACGATAACACATCATCGATCCTCTGACAGCAGTATTCCGAGGGGTATCGTGAACTCCTTTTCCTTCACCCGGTAGGATGTGTGGCCCTACCAAACGCCAATAGTCGCCTACCTATGCCATGCTGTCCACCTTGGTCCCGAGTATCCAACTGGGACGTCTCAAGCCTCGTCACGGTGGTGACTGCCAGAAGAACTGTTCGTCTTCTTCAACTCCAGCATTGGAGCATCGAGATGGCACTTTCTTCTTCGAAACTGGTCTCGCCGTGGTCGTCATCTGTCAACGGCGGGTCAAGTCGATCATCCGAGTCGACACTTTCTTCTTCGAAACTGGTCTCGCCGTGGTCCTCATCTGTCATTGGCCGATCAAATCGAGCTTCTGGACTGACACTTTCTTCTTTGATCTCGATCTCATCATCGCCATCTGTGCCTGGCCGATCAAATCGAGCATCTGGACTGACACTTCCTTCTTTGAATTCGATCTCGCCATCGCCATCGTCCTCGCCGTCTGACACTGACTGATCATGTGGGGACTACACACGGATGGTCAGACAATCGGCCAGAACGGACTCCAGTCCAGCTCGATCCTGCGCGCCTGCGCCCTCCCAACCATAATTGTCATTGTTGTCGACGTCCATGGGATCACTGGCCGGCTCGCCAAGGCCATCACTGGAGGCGTTGGCATACTCCTGACTGGCGCGCCAATCCTCGTAGTCGTAGCCTGCCGACGCGTTGGTCACGGTGGCTCCAAGCAGAGGCATGGCATTCCAGGGCAACGGTCCAACCTGCGCCGTGAGTTGGAGGTCGGGCATGCCCATCGGTCTCCTCGAGTAGGCCACCTCGGATTCCGTCGGGAGAAGATCATCGGCGAGGGTCCGCCGCAATCTTCCCATCTTCACTTCGGTGGCTTCTCGAGCGATCTTCTTCTGGTAGGAGCTTGTCAGAATGCCGCCCGAAGCGCTGTTGTCGTATCTCGGCCCGTTCGATCGAGTTCGGTCGAAGACTTCGCCCAGGATGCCTTTCAAGTAACTTTCGGCGGCAATGCCCACGAGCTCGGCGCACTGCACAGAACAACCAGACGAGACGGACTCTTCGTAGCAGATCGGGACGATCCGCGCGTGCAGGGTCGGCGTGTCGGGGAACTCGAGGGTTTCGCTGAACAGTGGCTGCAGATATCTTTTTCTGATTTCCAGATCCCAGTTCGTTTTCGTCAACCCTCCAGCGCTCCCACTGACCTGCTCTGGTGCCTTGATTCGAAGTGCATTGTAGTAGTCTTCGTACGGCGTCTTGCGCGCCATGGCCTCCTCTTCCGCCTTGTCATTGGCAATGGCTTTCAGCCGCCTCCTATCCCGCGGTGGCAGAGCCATCACCTCCACCTTCAGCCGCTGTTCTGCCGCATCGCTGGTGATGGCCGGTTTCGAGGATGCGGCGACCGCCGACTTGTCGGTTGTCGCACTGACCCATGCTGCCAGTCCTGGATCGGGAGGATCTCGGCTTGTATTGCACAGGATGGCGAGGACGAGGGAGTTGTGGGCGTGCTCTGACTGCGGGGACGCGTAGATGAAGGCATCGCACAGGTCGCCAAACTCTCTCGCATTCAATTCACCTGTTTTCCTCTGGTTAGAACTCTTGTCTAGGGACTGTCGTTGCAAAGACAGGCAGGAGTGGTCTTGACCAACCTCGAATAAATCTCGTTATTGCATCGTAGTATGTTTCCCAGTGGTGTCCGATCAACGACTTGAGTTCGGTGTACAGCGGTTCGAGGTCAATTCGAGGGTAATTCTGCGTCGGTTTCGTGGGTTTCGACGAAGAACCAGGAGGCACCTTCGTCGTGCTGTTGACAGAGGTAATTGTATCTGATCTCGTAAGTGCCGCTGGGTTGAATGTGTCGTCGAGGGTCGCCATGTTGGCGAAAATGTGCCAGTGGGTGGTAGAGTCAAGGCACGCGCACCCACAGCGCTGCACAGATGGAGATGCTGCTCATCCAGTGCAGTAGCAGTCTTCTTCCTAATAGCACATGGTGTTTCCAAAGTTGAGGCGACGAATTGATACAATCCCACGGTGTGACCTGCGGCGCGCAGTGAGGGCAGCAAAAAGGACTGCAAATGGGATGAAGTCAGAATGAATTGAATGGATTCGGCCCACACTGCAAATGGTGAAAGCAGCCTCGACACCGCCTTGAATGAATGCAAGCCACCACCACCGAGAGAGTCCTTCATACGTAGCAATTGGCTCTATCGAAATGTCATGGGAGGACGCCTCTCGATGTTCGAGTTTCAATCTACAGGACAAAGAAATCTAACCGGCTGCAGAGTCTGGCGCAAAGGATCTCGGCTGCGTTCAGCCTCGTGGCCATCACCCCAACCTCCGTACGAGCATTTCCGTTTATTGCATTTCAAGCTCTATCTCAATCTTTACGCAATTTTCACCTTCCATTTCTTGACTGTGGCGTCCGCACCGGTACTGTAGACGGTGTCTTCTAGCCACACAACGCCGTTGACCCCTTCTTTGTGGGCATTGGTCTCCTTCACTCGTTTGCCAGGTTCCTTCAGACTCCACGCAAACAAGTTCGTGTCCAGGCTGCCAGAGACCGCCCCTGTGCTGTCCGAGTTCCATGCAATACAGGTGATTTTGCCAGAGTGAGCGTTCCATCGATCGGTCACAAGCTCAAGTGAGGCGGACCCCGTAACAAGACCCGTGATTCCCGTACTGATCTTGTAGACGTAAATCTTACCGGCCGCAGTACCGGCAGCTATCATATTCCCGTCTGGGGAGAACGCCAAGGCGGTCACAGGAGTTGCAGACACCTGGTCGACGACTGCTGTCTGCTTGGGGGCTTTTCCTGGCACCACAGAAAACAACCGAAGGCTCGAATCCTGCGCGCCAATCGCAACCGTACTTCCCGAAGATGCCAGAGACGTCGGTGTTGACTTGAGTGGGAGTTCGCCGTCCTCTTCTCCATCTCTGTAGACGATGACGCTTTCTAGCTGAGCGACAACAACGAGGGCATCGGAGGTGCATGTTAGAGCCTTCGGCTGTGACGACAGTTGCGTCGGCTTTCCTGTAAACGTCTTTGCGCCGGCATCAACTGTCCTCAAAGAGTCGTCCCAGCCCACCGAGAACACCTGCGGGTGCTTGTCGGCAGAAGTGGCGGCAAGACCGGAGATGATATTGGTGTGACCGTCGCCTTCGATTGTCTCAGCATTACCGCTAGCCGCATCCCATGCGCATAGACGACCCTCATAGCTTCCAGTCCAGAGTGTAGCACTTCCAGCCTCTCCCGAGGAGGTCAGAGCCGTGATGTTCTTTTGATGACCGGAGATAACCTTGGTGGGCTTGCTCGAGCTGGTGTTCAAGTAGTTGAGATCACCGCTCAACGAGAGGGAGATGATCAATCCGTCTGGTCTGCCTGCCGGCCACACCACGCCGACTTGTTGGTCGGAGACGGCGATACCATCACCGAGATCCCAGGAATGGGTGACTTTGCCAGCGTCGACGTCCCACGTTTTGACTGTGCGGTCAGCCGAGCAAGTCACCAATCTCCTCGAGTCACTGGACCAGGAGACACCAAAGATGCTGCCCTTGTGGCCGTCTGTGCTGTCCACGATCTCGGTCTTGACATCTCCTGTCTTGCCATCGTAGATGTATATCTTCTTGTCACCACCCACACTGACCAAATTGTTCCCGTCAGGGGAGAAGGCCACTCCGTAAATGAAGTTGGTATGATTTCCCCGGCCGGGAATACCGTTGAATTTGAAAGGAGCCCCGTGGTAGAAGACCAAGTTCTTGTCGTCTCCTCCCGTTGCTGCTCGCAATGGCCGTTGTTGTCGTATGCTGACCGCATTGACCTGGGCCGAATGACCACTGATCTCTCCAACTGTATTTCCAGAGTCCGCCGTGATGCAATGACCGAAGCGCTGTTTCCCATCTCCCACAGCTATAATCCGTTGGCTGTCACCGTCCCAAGCGATGTCATTGATCCGGCCGGAGATGATGGCATATTCGCCCTTGGTAACTCCTGATCCATTGGGCGAGCAGTCCCAAACTCTCACAACCCCCGAGACATCGCCTGAAGCACAATAGAATCCGGACGGGGAAAACCGGGCAACAGTAGTGGCGGCTGTATGCTGTGTGTACTGAGAAGATATGGCAGGAGTGTCGATAGACCGCAGAAAGATCGATTTGTTCGAAGCGTAGGCTATGCGCTCGCCCTTGGAATCGGCAGATAGAGGGGTAGGTTGGCCTCTCGTCGTGGTCGGGAGGGCGGCATAGATGCCATCTGCGCCAGGTCAGCACGTCCTCAAATGATACAGAGCTTGAAACTACCAGGTGTTATGGACATCATTCTTCATATGCCTTGGACAAAGGCGAGTGTATACTCTGTAGTGTTTACAAGTTGCACTGACGGAGAAGTGCCAATGGTCGAAACATGGAACCGCGCCTGACGTTCACTGACGAGGCTGAGGCCAGACTGGTCAGGCACTACCGTTTTAATCGCAACATTGCTCGATGACATTAAGTGATCAGGATTTGGTTTACTGTACTATACATGTTACTTCTCCTATTTGCTACTCCTGATCTCCGGGTCAAAATTATGCCATGCGGTTTTGGGAAGGCGTTTGTGCCATCTGAGACGGTTGTTCATTCATCAATATTGTTACATTTATATCGCTATACCACCAAGTTTAAATTTAATCGGCGCCATATGTGCATTCGATCTTCCATGTAGGCTCTTCCGAGTCGCTATGCATGCCCACCTTAACAATGACTTGCTCACCGATACTACCAGTCCCGTCCAGTGTCTGAGTAGACCTCTTGAGCCATTCTCAAGTCTCCCTCTTCACGGTCGTAGCAGCCAACGGCGGATTGTTCAGGAGGTGAACCAAAAGTCTACCTCTACAGCACTCTTTTCAAATGTTCATAAAATTCGATCCAACTTCGCTACGACGCGAAGACTCTGCCAGAACTCGTTCTCTTTCCTTCCATCTCGCTCTTGATATACTCCGGATGTCGATGGACGCTGGGCATCAAGCCCAACGCGATCGCTCTTCGGATCGCTTTCGCGACTTTGCGCTGGTTGACTGGACGTAGGCCGGTAGAGCTGGAGTGTCGGATACGGCCCATCTCGGTCATGTATTCGGACATGACAGAGAAGTTCTAGCCCATTGTTAGCAACCAGGGATCATAACCAAAGAGAAAGAGGTACCTGCCTTGTATAGACTGAGGGGATTGATCGATAAGGCGTCAAAAGCGTCGGTCGTGGGTCGATGTCTCTTCCTCCATTTCCGAGCTTCGGCACCACTCAAATCATGGGGAGCATAGACATCTCCAACCTTCCATTGGCGCGGCAATTGTCGTTGAATAGCATAGTTTTCTTGTTCCAGCAGCTCCTCTCGCTTGAGGCTCATCAACGTGGTAGCGGCCGTTCGTTTGAAGGTCTCTGCTTTGCGTCAGACTGTGAACTTTGGCATTTCAAGGTCAAGTGATACATACGTCCCACCGCAGATGGTTGCAAAAGATTGGACGCCTGCCTTAACTGAGGCCCCAGGCCAGGGGCGAGTCGAATAGACATTGCTGACAGTCTGGAAAATACCTTAGGAGGTGATCTTGCGAGCAGTAGACAACCGCATTCAACCATCGCAGGCTTGAAGGACAATCGCATTCAATTGCAGGTCGCAAACTTGCCAAGGCTCACCTCGAATTTGGAATGAGGTGTTGCCGCCTGTTCCACTGACACCATAAGGGCCAAATCTACTATAGGTAATTAGGTAGCAGGACACGGCATTCATATTGAGCGCAGGACGTTAAATAGTGCATTCCTGGATTAAAAGGACAGTATATACATAACTCGACCACTACAACAATTCCTGCAAAAAACGCAAAAAAGGAAATGAGATGAGCCCCACCTGATTTGCTGAACGAATGTTAGCGAAGATCAACCTAGATGAGAGGAGTAATACATACAACAGATAACCTTTCGATCTGGAATCGAACGCGCTGCCAGTTGCGCCAGGGGCCCTTTTCGACTCCAATTTTAGGATACTCAAATTATCAAGCTAGAAATAACTAGGTAAGTTATCTGGACCCCTGACGCCAAGCAAGGTCTTGACGCGTGCTCTGTCATCTAAAGGTTACCTAGGTACCAGGCTAAGCACTCTTCAAGTTCTGATCTTTAGGTATTCTCAACGGACGGATGCTTTGTTTACCGTGTAGTCAACTAAGCATCTTAACTCGATGTAGGCCCTAGGCGCTTCTCCTGCCTATAACGAACAGCTCGACACAATCAAGGTGCAGCCTATTTGTTACCTTGATAGTGCAATTCACTTCTCAAATGCCTATGAAGCGTGATGGTCGTTACGGGTTCGATTTGCTGATCATCTCGGTACCGAAACATGGGTTATTACTCCCATCCCAAAAGTGGTCTTCACCAAACAAGCGGTGCTTTTTACCAGGACTGAAAATGTACTGTCTGTCATACGACATCTTCTAATCTCACAAACGTGCTCACAAGGCCACATAGTTGGAGGGAGTCGGACCATGGTTGAAGACAAAGCCTCGCTGGAACTACGGACATTTGCGGCCTCTGTATATCGAGATAGCTGTGGCATGAAAATAGTATTAGGCAGCGTCCTCTGGCCGAGGAGGGCTGTGCAGGGAGTATTCTGGACTCCTTGTCACCTTTCCCTGCTGCCATCAGACTGCGCTTCAACTAGGCAAAGATTGAAGGCAGCCGTTTTGCGAGTATACACGACAGTAGTGCCTCTCTCAACGGCATGCCTTTCACAAGACCCGCGATCGAGGGATAACCGATAGGCAACTGCCCTCTCCAGGCTGTTTGGAGAGCCGACTCTTCAATAGGAAGATACATTTACAATAGTCATGAAACAAGTCAAGATCAGGAGCCCTGCCTTCTACAGTGTTTCAAAAGAGACAACCTTGATCGATTGCCTTTAAGCAATACTGGCTCAGGCTTGTCAAAGGCTTAAACTATTTCTCTAAACCGGAGCTGATGCCTCAATGTCGGCATACGGGAGGTCATGAACCATTTTGGCAAGATCTTTTGGGGTGATGTGTACGTATGAATGGGCACGTATGGAGGGGCAAGTGTGTATGATTGTGTGACTGTGTGATTGTTTGAGGAATCATTGAGCATGAGCAACTATTTCATAATGAGCGTTTAGGCGGTAGCGGGTTGACATGCGAGTGTGTGCCACAGAGATTTGTATAAAAGGAGCTCGGAAGGAGCCTACTGTCTTATAGACCAAATTCTCACCATCTTCTCTGGCACCAGATTTCCTCCAGAGGATTGCCTATGCTAATATACTATAAAGTATAGGCCCTGCTACACTCTAACCGTACTTCACGTTCTGTCAACCATTCTTGTGTTTTTGCGTGGCAATAAACATCCAATTTGTGTAATATATATCTATATATTTATGCATATATGTGGCAAACCTGATGGCGTCCCTGTTAGGGGAACTAGACAAGCACGCTTTGAAGAGTAACTTGTATTGTGAGGAAGAGTCAGGGCCAATTGGTTGCTACGACTACTTAGACGTAGGCTCATCGAGCAGGATAAGAGGGAGCATGAGGAGAGATATAGACAGGTCCATGCTAGCCTTAGATGGAGTAACAGAAGAGATGAATTAGGAAATTTAGCACAAATCTGGTAGATAAACAGGAGAAAGTTGGGTATACATGATGGTATTTGAAGAACAGCTCAAGATCTTTGTATTCTCCAGCCACTCTGCCATTTCTGCTAGCTACTATGCTATTGAAGTTGGTAAACTAGGTAGAGTTGAACTGAACAACCCGCAGGAGCTAAGAATCAGCGCATACCCTCTTCCTCCTCCTTGTCTAGGCAAGTTGACAGGGCTCTCAAGGGCATAATCTGCCGGTCAACGCTGGTCTCCGGATGACCCAGAGACATGAGTGTCGGTCTTGTGTGCACCGAGCATGTCTTTCATTCTCAAATTGACGGCCACGTCCCTCTTGACCCTTCGTATATGGGCGCGATACGCAACAAACAAGATGGCCCCAAGTATGACGGCGCCAGCAATGGTTCCAACGACAATGCCAGCGATGGCACCTCCTGACAAGCCGCTGTGGTGGTGAGAAGAAGACAACGAGGGGGAGACGGCTGATCCCGTTGAGGTACTAGACGCCTCGGAGGCTGTGCCGGTCGAGGTTGTCGTGGGTGCCACTCCTGCGGCGGAGGTGGTGTAGGACGTGTCTTCAGTCACGTTAAAGCACGGTATGCTCGTTTTGAAGTCGGACAGAGCCACGTACTGGATGTCGGCGCACGCGTAGTATGTCTCGTTGGTGTTGCCGTCGAAAGTTGATGTGTAGGACAGCTGCAAGGTGGCATTGGACCCCGCGGTGACGCTTGACGGGGGATTGGGCACCGAGTAACACTCGTGTCCAGGCTCGATCTCGGGGAAGTCCTTGCCAGAGACGAGCGTGGTGAAATCCGAGTTGCTGGTAGGATCTAGGCAGAAGCGTCCATGTTCAGTATATTTCGGCTCAAGAAAAGACTGGAGATGTCTAGAAGGGAACTTGATGATCTCACCATTGTTGTAAGAGACAGCCAGGTTGACTGAGTAAGATTCGTCTTGGAGAACGACGGCTACAGCGGCGTTGCCTGATCACATCGGTCAGCAGCTGAGCAGCACATGTGTCCGATACTCATTGCGCGGCCGGCATGGTTCAGACTCAAGACATGGAAGATTCGTACTTAGTGGAAATTGCGTTCTGTTGCTAACCCCCGCAGAGCTTCCACATGGAGCTGTATTGTCCCATGCTGCGGAATATGCTCTGTCTGGAGGCCATAGGAAAGCAGCAGGTCCCATTGTACTGACCTCCTGCGCCATGGCCGATTGCAGCGTTGCAATGGCTACAGCAAGAAGAGAAGCTAGTAGAGACATGGTTCGGCGTATACCAGGCAGTACAGGCTTAGCAATGTTGGAATGATCTCGTCAGCAAATATAGAATGAAGGGTGACTCACAGGGACGGGTAACACCTCACGCTCGGTCACCTACCTTTTATATCTTGGGGTCGTAGCGTCGTCCCATAGAAGATTCTGCAGTTCTGTCCTCAGAAAAGGCAGTACCGCCACTCTGGGATGCTTGTACTCAGGAAAATAACTGGTTGCCCGATTGTGAGAGTCGACCAGGTGGCTGGCGTCTGTACACTAGTCCTCCATGAGACCCATGCACCCTCTGCTCTCGTGAGTCTCGTCTGTCTTGTCAGGCTAAAAAAGCGGGTAGTTCATGCTCCCCGGCCAATGATACCGCGGGCGCAAGTTAGTTGCTTGCCATTTCTGTAAGCGAAGACGGGACCCAACTCTTGCACAAGGACTTGTAGGAGGGTAGCGTCAAACCTACTGGCAACTGCAGATGTTCGAGTGCCGCGTGTACAAAATGGGAGCGCCCGTTTCTTCATTCATACCTGCAGCACAGCATTCTGCCTGGTCACGTCCCTTCCACGCCAGATGAGTAGGAACAAATAGAGCCACGCAAGTCGTTGTTGTCGCTCTGGTGGGAAATGCCGTGAAGAAGGTGCTAGCGGAAAGACTATTGTATATTGAAGTCCACGGAAGTGGAGTGATAGTTTGATCAGATAAGATAAGATACCAATCAGCGAGAGTGGAGCTGCACAAGGCGCCCATGCCATGCCTCATCGGTGATTGTCAGTTGACTCCAAGCATTTTTCGTCCGTTGTCGGCATGGTTCAAGTTGTTGAAGGGAAGCATTTTATTGTACGAATCAAGCATTCTAGCCGTCCTTGTTCGGAGCTTGACTGTTGCGTGTTTCGGCTCACTACAACCCTGAGGCTCCACATTCCAAGTTGTTTCTTGCTCTGGCTACGAAATACCAAATCGGAAATCCACATTTTGCCACTGCTATCTTCAAAGCTTTGCATCTGATACCCCGATCAGGATCTCTGGGAAGCTAGATATGAAGCAAAAAGTAGTTTACCAACTATTTGCGGACTGTATACGGCCTGTGCAATAATCAGATAAGATGAATCAAATCAGATAAGATTATGCAGCCACCCGCATGCGGACTTCAAGTTGACAATCACAATCCCGACTCCACTCTTCTCCTCTACCATGTGTCTATTAGCTACAATTGAGGACATCAAAGGACTCTGCCAGAGACTACACGGAGCTGCCTGGAGCTCCCGATGGCTGATGCACAAGTACTGATAGCTTAACGATAGTACTCTTACAAGATTGAGAGCTTCGGAACCATCCCGTCCCGTCCATGCAGCGATGTTGCCAGGCCACTTGGTCAACACAGTGCTAGGCAAGACAGACGCTCCGATGAGGCTCCGAACTCCATCAATGTACCAGCACGAGACCACAAGCTTCTGCCAGTGCACCCCACGGACGGTCCGGGAATTGAGAATTTCAATAGTGCGAGCAAGGCTGCGCCGCTTGTGGTAACTTGCGAGTTGCATGGTACGTACTTCGCTCTGTGGCTGCAATGCCAGGCATCCATCGCTTTGATTGCCACGAGTTCGGCTTCTCCACTATCAAACCTCGTCTATGCGTGGTACGATCCTCAGGGATCGCGCACGTACATGCCCGAGTAAGGCAACCATATTCTATCGGGTATAAAAGAGATCCAGGGATACCGAGTGCAGCTGTCCAGCTCTGCATCTCAAACCTCTTTCGTTAACATTCAAGGTACTACGCTACATTCCACGTTCGTTTTCCCCCAGACACAAGTTGTTGTGTTTCTGCCACGGTCGCTCTCTCCATCATGCATATCACCGGCACTACCTTGTTGGCGTTCGCGACACTGTCGCTTGGCCTCAGCATCCCTGAGGATCTCGAGGATGTGTTCAGATTTGTCAAGCGTCAAGACCTCTCGCCTGGAAGTCCCTTGTATGAATGCCACGCGCACTGCGGTAAGTGAATGATACCAGAGATGAGCTATGCTGGCGGTATAAAGCATGGTGACACTAATGCCTGCTCTATTCTAGGTGGCGTGATTGTCGATGCCAGGACAACCAACTACTGCACCAACGCGACCTACACGACCGATCTCGCGGACTGCATGGATTGTGCCTTGACCTACGACATCTGGCAATACTATGGCACCGACGTGGCCAAGGCTGCTGAGGCCTGCGGCGACAACGCCACTCCCAGTCCCTCGACTGCAACAGCTCCCGCCGCAGCAACAACCGCTGTTGCGTCTTCTGCTGCTGCACCTCCAAGCTCCAGCGCCGCCGTTACATCTCCTGCTGCTGCCCCTGCGAGTTCGAGCATTGCCACTACATCCTCTGCTGCCGCTGCAGCTGCGACTTCGAGCGTTGTGTCTACTTCCGCTCCTGCTGCCCCTGCAAGTTCCAGCGTCGCTGCTTGGTCCTCTGCCAGCGCCAGCGCCACCTATGCTATATCTTCCGCCGCCGCCACGGCTCCCACGGTAAGAACTCTCCCTGCGTCCCGCCCCTGGCCTGCACTTGCTGATACTTCCTGCAGTCCGTCGCCGCCACCACTACTGGTGTCGCGCCAATTAGTACTTACACCGGTGCCGCTGCCAGACTTGGTAGCGAGAATCTTCTGGTGCTTGCAGCTATTGGGGCTGCCATCGGTGGTTTGGCTTATTAGACGGAAAGCCCAGGCTGTCCCACGCCGGATTCAAGAACCGCGGAGGGTGCAGACTAGCAAGCTTGTGGTGAGTTAGCCCAAGTTTCCGCTGTGACACTGCGTTGGGTAGCGCAACGTCGGAAGGTGGGGGATGGTGATTTGCTGAAGAGCATAATGTATTTTATTCGAGTGCAGTGAGAATATTAAGGCAAAGCAGCCAGTAATATATAGTATTCGTCAGACATGCTCTACATGATCCGTAAAACAGACTCAAAATCCATAAAGATCATAACTCTATAATATAAGCCAATCGACCTTTCAGTCGCCGTACGTAATAAGTACTTTAGTCTCCAACTGGACGCCCTAAGCCAGTCAGATAAATGGAGTCGCCCGCACGTATTGGGCCCCCTTGGCCGACCATATCTAGGGATCTTGGGCTTCATGTCCATTTAATTCCATTTTTCGTGAATGGGAATCAGTACCGCCGTTGCCTGCAGCAGCAAAGCGCCCAGCAAACTTTGGTCGACGAAAAGAGGCATTAAAGACGTGAGATCTGTGACTGGCTTTCATACAGACAGTGAAATGGGAGAGCAAAGAGACATTCTACTTGTTCGCTGCCGGTGTAGATACGGTGCCTAGTATAGAGCAGAAATCCATATCTTTTGTTTCTCAGGCGAAGGTAGGTCACCTGTATCATGTTGTGTTTCCTAAGCTGCCGGCCTATACTCTGGGTAGACGAGCTGCCCAGCATTCCAAGAAGGATATAACAAAACACCCAAAAAGGGGGGAGGGAGCATTTGTGGATGACAAGGTTGAAGTATTTTAAATATTGATTGGGCTCGACTCCTTTCTTTTGCCTCTATCTTATCTCTTGGCACTACCCCTTAGTCAGCTGTATCCACTCTACCTCGAATCAGGCAATCTGATTTGCTCCCCGCAATTGGTCCCCTACTAGTGGTACTCCGGATCTTCATTGGCTATCTACCACAGTACTGGTTACTTCATCTTAGTCATGATAGTGGTAGTGGACTGGCAGCAACTCATTGGCTTATTGCTACCATCCGGTGAGGCAATGAGGTCTATCTCCCAGGAATGACTGCACTGCGGCGATGGACAGGCTTCAAGACTCGCAAGTTAGTCCCATACCAATAGTCAGACTCATACTGCCGGTGGATATTCGAAAAGCTCCCTTTGCAGGAGAATGCTCCTCAAATGTCACTTCGTCATGACAAACTGTAAACGATGAACAATGACGTGCATAAGCTGATACATCAAGAGTCTCAGACCAAAAGCTGAGGGCTGTGACTGACTTCGAGGGACGCCATCGAGTCTGGTATGACGATGGTCATGCACTGGCAGTGGTGGACTGGGACTGGGATTGCCAGTCTACCGAAATACTATTGTTTAGGTGGCCGGGGACTGTTGGTGACGAATTTCAGCCCTTATAGTCATACCTCAAATGTCAAACGTCAAACCTCCTGTACCTCCTGGATTGATTTGAACATCGAGGACCTACCTTAGCTTTCTGTCGTACAGCTTCGAACAGTACTGCAAGAACAGTCCCCGAGATCCACGATTTCAGATCAGCAGCAAAGACTTGTAGCGCCTCTGTTCCGTTCCCCGGATCATAACAGAGTCGTTCACCGGTAGTAGTATTCTGCCTCCGAACTGCGCAATCATGTCGTCTACTCTGGCGACGGTTCTTCGTCGGACACCTGCCATACCAGCGCTGAAGACAGACACGATCCTGACGTTCAACACCCTTTTTCGGAGCCGTCAAGTACAACCGCAGACGAAGAGATTCTTCGCCAGTTCTCCCGGAGAGCAAGCGCCAGCTCCGGAGGGGTTGCCTGGGCATAGGAGTAATAGCAAAATGCCTCTGTAAGATCAGTCCCAGGATCTCTTGTCGGGTTTGAAGTGATGCTGATTGCTTTTGTTTTCGTCTTCTAGAGTTGCGTTAGGTGGCGTCCTCGCCATCGTCCCTTTCTACTATATCTTCCACAGCAACAAGGTCGCCGGGTCGGAACATGCCAAGATCCAAGAGTCTCGAAGGAAACATGGAACCTCGAACGAGACGAGAGACCCGAGAGATAGCCCCGTCAAGACGCTGGGGCAGCAGAAAGCCAGAGACGGGAAGTAACCCAGGAACATGTTGGAGGGCAGGATGAGACTGAGGCAGGGAATGCGGGTGTCCAGCGGAACATGGTCAAGGAAGAGCGTATGGAGCGTGTTCGGCTGTTTCCTGTGAGAGAGCCGCCGGCATTGCTGGCTGGGGCTGTTGAAACTGGAGCTGAGCATGTGCTTCTGCATGAGCGGCCGAATTGTACAAAACAAAAAAGATATCAAATGTCGGAAGCCACGTTGAAAGCACACATGGCTGGATATTAGGTAGTGGGAAAAAGCTTGCCTTGGATCAGAATGTGATAAGCAAAAGCTTTTCGACTTTTCCAACTCCCGCTGATCATGGTTTGAACTTCCCATGTTGAGCTCAGAAAAACTCGGGCCAAAGCACCTTCTCTGAAGGAGGAGGAGGTCGGTGCTCGCATGCGTCAACCATCATTGTAAGCAGGACATGTTTCCAATGAATATTCCTCTCAATGTTGGTGAATGTTGAATGACTGGAGTCATGCTCCACTTGCTGCTTATAGCTTGGTTTCTTCTTTTTCTGCTCGGGTCAGGAACAACCACGAAGAAGCAACGCGCCTACGTGGGTAGGGTGCTTACTAACCGAACAACGAGATGTCTCGAGCTAGATAGCCTGCTTTTTCCAAATTGCACTTCTTTATCAGTCAATCGGCTGCCTTCGGATGGTGTGGTGTCCAATGTCCATCGCCTAATTGGTCACGCCTCGACTAACGAGTCAAGGACTTGAAAGCTCCTGATCCTGATCGAAGTAGGAGTGCATGAAACACCCTGGCCACATTCACATTTGCTTCGAAAGTCCAGATCGGCTCTCCTCAGATCTCCGAGGAAAGTATGTTCCAACTACTGGGCAAGGCAATAACCATCCTTGTACCACTTACCAGCAGGCAACATCCACATCCTAAAGTCGTCAACGTCAACATTGAGCATGAGACCTCGCCTGTATGCTCCACAATGATGAGGACCGACATGCATACTCTGGGGTTCCCGTCTCCTTGCTTTCATCCTGCCCCATCAGCCAGAAAGAAGCAATGTCAAGCTTGAGACGAAGCCACGGGAATCTATGGAGCCCTTGATGCTTGACCCGAGACTCGTCTGCACAATTGGCCCGACAGGAGAGATAGGCGCAAGGCTTGGCTCGCCCCGTCAACCTTGGCCCGCTTCTGGCAGGATATGGAGGACTCCACTGATAAGAGCGTCAACGGTCAACGAGGCTCGCTCATTGAAGGGATGACTGGCCTACACTCGTGTTCGCGTTGTTGGATTTATTTACACAGCGTAACCCTCAGCCAATGTCGTTGCTGAGATCTCGCTACACGCTGTGATATCAACCGGGTTCAACCCCAGCACAACCACATGAAACTCGGCTCTCTCCTCTCTTTCGAGTCAAGGGTGCAACACACCCCGGCATCACTGACTCCAGCTCCTGGCAGTTAGGTCCTCCTGGCACTGAGATTCGCTTCGAGTCCGGCATGTTGATGTCTCGACAAGAGTTCCTCACGAGACCGAAGTTGCTTTTTAGCCCGACAGATGCCTCAGGTGACGAGGACCTCGCGTGGGGATGGAGGTGTCAAGAGAAGTTCTTTTTTTTTCCTTCCATGCATCCCTAACCCCTCCTGGGGTCCCTTGATGCGGTGCCGAAGTTATATAGGTAGATTCTCCCTTCTCGCCCCTGCGTGTCCTTCTTCTCCCCTTCTCGTGGCTCTAGCATTGAGCGTATCCATACCAGAACCGTCTCTCAAAATTCAGGCCCGCAGCCATGGCTACCGCACCAGCTATTGTGAGTTCTCGAGTCCGTCGTGCCTGTCCCCGTGGCTCTTCGCTGACATGCCTGCAAGCCGACCTTCAATCCAAGCATGCCCAATGGCGGCAATCCCAAGGAAATCGACGTCAACGCGCCCTACGTCGGCCTCGAGTGGGAATATGTCTACCAAGTGCTCATGGGTTGCTTGGTCTTTCTCATTGTGCCCGGGATCGGTCTGCTGTATGGCGGCATGTCGCGCCGAAAGTCAGCGCTTGCCATGATCTTTCAGTCGATGACGGTCATGGCAGTCTGCACGTTCCAATGGGCGTTTTGGGGCTTCACCCTTGCATTCTCTCGCAACGGCGGCCCTTTCATTGGCGACATGACCAATTTCGGATTGATGGATGTGAGTCGAGTCCCGATCTCGAGGGGTCAGAATCGACATGCTAACTGGCGCAGGTGATGGCTGCGCCGTCGTGGGGATCCGCGGTGATCCCTGACATCGTCTTCTGTTTCTACGAGTTGATGTTTTGCGCCTGTGCCACCATGATCGTGGTCGGCGGATCCTTCGAACGAGGTCGCATCATCCCCTCCATCATCTTTGGCTTCTGCTGGGCAACGATCTGCTACTGCCCAATCGCCTACTGGACCTGGAATGCCAATGGCTGGCTGTTCACCTTGCCCGCTCTTGATTTCGCCGGTGGTGGCCCGGTCCACATCTCTAGCGGGACAGCAGCGCTGGCGTATGCGCTCGTGTTGGGCAAGCGAAGCCGTTATGGCGAAAAGCACATCTATAAGCCGCATAACGTCACCGTCGTCTTCCTCGGGACATCCCTGATCTGGTTTGGCTGGTTCGGGTTCAACGGCGGTTCGGCTCTGAATGCCAGCATTCGTGCCATGATGGCGGTGTGGAACACCAACATGGCAGCGTCCACTGGTGTCGCCGGTTGGGTGATGATGGACTACATTAAGCACCGCAAGTTCTCGGTCATTGGCGCTTGCGAGGGTGCTATTGCCGGTCTGGTCGGCATCACGCCTGCGGCTGGCTATGTCTCGGTGTGGTGCGGAGCCGCCATTGGCTTCATCACGGCCATCGTCGTCAACCTCTTTGAGAATGTGAACGAGTGGATTGGGATTGACGATGGACTCGAGGTCTTTAAGCTTCACGGTATCGGTGGTATGGTTGGTGCCTTCCTGACCGGTATCTTCGCGAGTGCGTCCGTGTCCTCTCTCGATGGTGTCACGCTTGCCCCCGGTGGCATTGACGGCGTGGGCAGCCAGATTGCGCGTCAGTTGGCCGAGATCGCTGCCATTGCAAGCTGGTCTTTCACTCTGTCGCTTATCATGCTCCTGATCCTCAAATACATCCCCGGCCTGCACTTGCGCATCACGGACGAGGCCGAGATGATCGGAGTCGACCTTGATCAGTTCTCCGATGAGGCTGTTGGCGACTGGTCAGTCTATGCGGACGAGGCCACCGGTCGTCAGGTTTCCATCACTCAAGGCGTCCATCCGCCAACCACGGGGGAGGTGTCATCTCCCTCCTCTGGATCTGCTACAGAAGAAAATGTGGAGCCCAAGACCCAACCGAAGTAGAGGTCCAGGGTTTCCCGTTGTTTTTCCATTGTTGGATAAGTCTGGCCGTCGGCCCAGTATGTTTGACGTTGAGTGTATGTCATGGCGTAAGGGATGTGCTTTGAATTTTCCCTTAGAAGGTACTAATCACCTTGACTCAGGTGTACTTTTGCTTCATAGCTACTCTTCAAGACTTTTCTTTTCATCCCACCTGGCCAATTGTTCATTGCAGCAGAGGGACGTCGGTTCGAGCACAGACTCCGTCATTCGAGAGTAATATATCATCGCAGCTCCATATAGACCGATTGGTGATCTTGCACGTGAAGACGGGTCAATTGTAGAACCAACAAGAACAATATTGACGTGCCAAAGGCATGGCAAAGAGGCGGCGTATGTCGCGGGATGGGTTGGTGGTGAGTCGGTGGTCAAGGCTGTCTGTCTGTCACATGGCGAGCTGAGGATTATGAGGGGCGCAGCCTGATGGTTAATTGTCGATGTCATACGCTGTTTATTCTCCGACTGAACGAATGTTGAACTGAACTGAACTGCGGTTACACACACACACTCACTCTCCCCTCATTAAATACCTACACACTACCTACAGTATCACAAAGCCCAAATACGCCGTGCGGTGACACGAGATCCCTCCGGGAGACAGAAATCAGACTGTACAAACGACCCGAAGTCTCCAGCAATATCGCTTCCTTCCTCCTCCGAGTTCGCGGCAGACTCACAACTTGAAGTTACCCGCAGCATCATATACTCCCGGGAGCCTTGTTACTTGTTGTCTTGCCTGCGGTTGTGCCTGGATCGTAATCCACGCTCTCCGTCCTTACAAAAAGTGCGAGGCGTCCTAGTAAACGATATCCACTGTCGTCAACATGTTTGCTGCCAAAAGACTTGGAAAGGTCTGTCTGTATCTGACGAACCATGATCACGAACTACTGGCGCAATTGCCATTCATGCTGACTTGACTGCACAATCCTAGGAACTGACCAAGGTACTTCTCTCTCCTTTCACTCCTCTTCCGCGCCATCCGTCCGCCGAACCTCCCATATCCTGCGCTGCTGCCTGCCATATACAGCAGACAACAGACGCAGACGCAGACACATCTCGCAAGCCTTCTTCATACAGTGGCATTCGGCAAGACATCGTTCTCCATCAGACACACCGTTCCTGTCTCTACCCTCTAATATGATTCTGACGAGATGGCGATTGGACACTAGGCAAAGCAAAAGCTTCCTCCTGGAATCGAACTAGTCAAAGCAGACGACTTCCGAGAATGGCAGGTTGATATACGAGTGCTGGACGACAACCCGTTATACAACAACCAGGTGTTCCGGCTGAGTTTCATCTTCTCCGACAACTACCCCATCGGTAAGTGTTGACCGCCTGTGCTGATGGAACGGGAAAGCCCTGCCCAAAGGGTGTCGGCATGTGTATGTGGCGGAGTCAAACCCTCACAAAGTATCTATGTGGAGTCTTGCAGACTCTCGCACAGATATATCTACAGCAGGTCAAGATGAAGATGGCCATAGAGTAACCGCTGACTCGTCATGATATCTTCCAGAACCACCAGAAGTCACATTCATCCACGTCCCGCCTTCGACAGATTCCGCCCCATCTCAATCAGAACCTCAATCTCAATCCCAGCCACAATCCTCACAGACCCCCTTCCTCGGCCGGCCGATACCAATCCACCCCCATATCTACAGCAATGGAATCATATGTTTAGACCTGCTCGGAACCGCTGGTTGGTCGCCCGTGCAGAGTGTCGAGAGCGTATGCATGAGCATCCAGAGCATGTTGACGGGAAACAGCAAAAATGAACGACCCCAAGGTGATGAGCAATTCTGCCAGAGCATGGGCGTCCGTGGACCGAACGGCTGGAGCGGCTATAGAGGAAGCGGGTCAGGACGCGGTCTGAAAGACGTGAGGTTTGCATATGACGACGATACCGTATGAGATCGACCTTGGCTTTGACGATAACGACCATAAAAGAATAGCCTGGACGCTCTGATCTCACGAACCTACAACAGTCACGACGTTCGGGCGTCCGTATGGATCCGGAGACGATGGCGGTGGTGGTCCACCAAGTCATGTGTACTGGAGCATGAGATACCGCCCGAGAAAGACCACCTCGGGCCGATTTCTGGACAGATCAGAGCGGCCGACTGCACCGCCTCGGGCAATCAGTTGCTCCCGGCACCGGGTGTTCGCCCGAGCATTCTCCAAGCCAGTTCAAATCCATGGAACACAGGGGCCTGCAATGAAGTTGATGATATCTTTATGAGACATGATGGTGACACCGGTCGACCTAGTAATACCTTTGGCTACGACTCTACCGGGATCAGGTGCATCCCAAGTCTGGATGAATGATGTCATACAAATGATACTTGACGCCGAAGAGAGAATTCGAGACGGAGTTGGTGCATGCTTGGTTGTCCGATTTAGCCTTTAAAATAACCTATCTACCTTGTCTTCATAAGCGCGAGGCAACGGGACATGTTCGAGGCCAGTATGCACAGAGACAGTCAACCGGCCTTAACAGGCTCAAACACATCAGGTATCCCAAGCAACCTTTGACGACTCTTTTGATAATAGCTATCCCTATCCCTTTTCTTCTCGTGGAGTCCAAGTCCAAGTCCAATCTATCATGCAAATTCGGCAGCCCTGGGTCTCCCACTCACAGTTTCTGCAGCCTCAGCTTTGTCGTACCGCCCACGCATCGGACTAGGACTCCGTCTGTATCCACGTCTGGAAGGACCCGGGGAGCGTCGCCTGTCGCCACCACCTGGTGGAGGCCGGTTATATCTTGCTGGTGGCGGAGAACGTGATCTCGATCTCGACCGATCGCTCTGACTGGACGAGTTGCGTCTGCGCCTTGGAGGCGAGGCTGCTCTCCGCCGTGGAGGGGTGTGGCTGCGGCTCCTGCTGATGCTTTTACTGACACTGCGACTTCTGCTCCTAGGATGTTTAGCGCTGCGGCGACGAGGCGGAGGAGACAACGAGCGCGAGGGAGAGCGGCTGAAATTGCGAACCGGTGGACCTTTCCGGCCGCCACGACGGGGAGGAGGAGACCTTGACCTCGACAGAGAAACTCCAGCCCGTCTTGTAGGTGGAGGTGGGCTTGTTCGGCGTCTTGGTGGTGATGGTGAGCGGGAAATCGAAAGGTCTTCGCGACGCGCAGGAAGACGTTTCGGGGGCGGAGAGCGCGAAGTGTCTGAGTAGCTGTATGATCGGGAGCGTGTGCATGCTCGGCCGCGAGCTGGGCCGCCATTGCGCTTCGGTGGGGGACTTGGAGAGACCGAGTAAGATGGCGACCTCTTGCGGGATCGTCGAGGCGGCGAAGGCGATCGTGACCGTGAGACCGAGGCGGAGTAGCTTCTGCCCCGTCTTGTTGCGCCTCGGCGGGGCGGCGATAGTGATCGCGAAACGGACCGGCTGTAGCTCCTGGCCTTTCCTCTTCCTCTGGCCCCGTCCCGTGGGCTGGAAGATCTGCCCCCTTTAACCCGTCTCGCTGGTCGCTCCCTCGAAGGACTCCGAGAGTACGAACCCGACCTGCTTGTGGTGTAGCTTGAGTAGCTGGAATACGAGCTGACGCTCTCCGAGTCGGACTGGTCGTCCTTCGGTGCAGGAAGCGCCGGTGGGGCAGGTTTGGGGAGATTCTTGAGATGCTCGCGCATCTCTTCGGTGAGCGCGCCCATACCGATACTGGTGAAGTAATTGATGGAGAAGCGGGTGTTTCGAGGAGTGTCTGTGGGGAAGATGCCGGCGAAGCTGGGCCGCAGGATGTCGTCCTTCATTCTCTCCTGCAGCTTGGCCATGCCCATAGCCTCAGCCAGCTCTTGGAAAAGGATTTTGATGAAGATACGGCTGCTGGAAGTCGTCTCTTCTTCGTTGAGATGGACGACCGAAAATACATGCCATCCAATGGCATCGGTACTCAAGAGGTGTGCGAAAAAGCGAGCAATGTTTCGCAGCCGGTTCGTCTCGTAGCGGTGGATCGTGTCGTAATATTTCGCAAACGCTTGCTCAAACAATTCCGTCCAAAGCCGGTTAAGCTTTGCAAATCTCTCGCCCAGCAGACCAAAGAACTTGGAATATGTCTTCTCCTGCGAGCAGCATTCGATGATCATCGACGGCAGTTCCGGTTCCTGGCCAGCAGGAAGTTGGACTTTCATCAGCTTATGCGCCGCCTCTTCAAAGTCGAGACTTGACATGATGGTCAAGTAAATCGTCCTTCGCAAGTTGACCAGGTCCGTGTTCGTCTGATCCTTGATTTCAATGGCACGTTCTTGTTCCGCTTCTTCGTCGTCTGAAGTGTCCTCGGAACCACTCTCGTCGTCTTCCTCCGCATCGCTGTCCTCCCCAAGGATCTCGGCCTTCAGCTTTCGATATGCTTCTTCATGTTCCTCCCACTCGGGATCGTACTTGAAAATATTTAAGGAGTCCTGAACATCGATTTCATCATCAAGATCAACCTGGTGCGTAATCTGGTCTTCTTCTTCAACTAGGTCAAGTTCCTCTCGGATCGCAGGATTGTCTTTGTATCGATCCTTTCTCACTTGGAACAATACTTCAATCATGTACTGTACTCGTTTGTCGATATCGGCTTCATGTAGGATGCTGCGGAATTGATCGAAGACCGCCAATGCGATCGGTGGACTCATCTCTTCCAGATGTTGGCCGACTTCCCTGGTCAGACCAACCGCGATCTCTACAGAGTCATCGGTTGGCTTGTGCAGCAGTAACAGGAGGATCTGTGCCACGACAGTTTCATGGGCGACCTGCTGATTGCAGAGATGCGCAATGAATGTGGTTGAAGAGAGACAGACGGCCTTGTCGTTTCTTTTGAAGGCTTTGCGAAACTGGACCACCAGGCGGTTCAAGAGCAGCTCTCCGACCTGCGGTAGTTTGGTGTTCACAACAGCGGCCATGGCGGCATAGATGGGAGTAAAGGGTAAGGACGCAGCCTGCGCCTTCATGATGCTCCTGCAAAACAATCCTCTACCACGGACCAAATTCTCGCCAAATAGCTCCGGCACGATATACTTGATGTTGGAGACGTTGACTTTGTTGATCAAACCATTGATAGACTTCTTCAAAGCCTCCCAGGCCATTCTCTGATACTCCTTGCTGGATTTATCGGTGATTTGTGACTGCAACGCTCGCAACTTCGCCGGAGGAATGTACGTGCCCCCAGACCGCATATTGAGGAGTTTCTCGTACTCCGCCTTTGCAACGGCCTGCTTTTCCTCTGCCGTCATGGGTTTTCGTCTGGTTTCAAGGCTTTCTTTTGGCTTGAATCTTTCGAGCAGTTCGCGTTCCCGGTCGTCCATTTCTCGTGCCGGTTCCGCGCCACCATTTCGACGCCGTGGCTCATCCTCACGAGGCGCAGGTCTTCGACGTCTTGGAGAAGGAGAACGAGATGGTGGCGATCTCTTCTTTGCGCCAGAGGGCCCAGGGGAATAGGAAGCGCCCGGCGGCGGGGTGGGCAGACGGACGGCGGACGACAGCAACATGGTGTCGGCCATGATGAAATTGTGCGTTGATAGCCTATCAACAGCAAAGCGTGGACTTAGAGAAGGATTGTCATTGCATAGGTCTGCCACGTCCAGAGACAAAAGTTCGAGGTGTGGTTCTTGACAAACGCATCGTAGGCAGACAACTTCAAGTTGGAGGTCGGAAAATTGTCTAGTGCCAAGCCCGACGTATGGTTTGCCTGCGACTGCCAGTGCCACTGCAGTGCAGCGACTCCGGGGAAGCAACTTGAACTGCGCCGATGAGCCAAAGCGCGCCTAAGTTGGGGATTCGTGTCCAATTCTACAATCCTACGACGCGTCCACCTTTCGCCCTCTTGAACTACGATAACTCACTCCTGAGAAGAGGTCTGCAGATTGTTAGGATCTGCTAGCAGAGATGGTAAACCCTCCCTTGTCCTTGAGACTTGCTGCTCAAAGAGACTGATCACTTTGCACAGCTGGACAAACTTGTGGGCATGGCCATGCTCATTGCAGCCACGACTATTTTTCTTTACTATACTATATGGACACTGTTCATGGTTTGTCTCTCGCCAGTCGAGCACTGATATAGTCCACTGATGATTGCATTAGCCGTTTGTCGACGATGATCATCCTCTTCAAGGCCTCTTTCCTCCCCGTGTCTGGGCTATTCGAATCCCGGTCATCCTCACCCTTCTGGGGTCGGCGGTCGTTGGAACCTTCCTTGCGATGGTTATGATTCGAAGCAACCGAAAGAAGGCGGCGAAGGCCAGGGCAGCTGCTGCAGCGAACAAGTCGAAATGAGCGGGAAATGAAGACGTTCACATACCTTCCTTCATGCAGACATGTCCCATGATTCCATGATCACCTCCTATAGCCAGAGGGTTATTCACGGCCTGCGCTGTCGGCGACGCTTGCGCATTTGTTCGAGGCAAATACGCTCTTGGAACGAAGAACTTACCCTCAAAACCTCTGCCCGGAATCTTGGCTTTCTGACGCGATTCGTGTGGAACGCGCCATTTGAGCAACACGTATGAAGAAAAGGCTTTGATCCCTTTCGCGGCGATCGTCATATCATATGTATGCCACGCTTTACCAGGTAGTTAATCAGTTGGACAGCCCAAGCAGTCTTTCCTGCAGTTCCGTTGAGCTGCGTCTACACCGGATATTGTGCAATGGATCCAAAGAGCTTATTTTCTTGCTTGAGCGTGTGTGATATTCCTGCGACCATCAATATTGGTCCTTCGAGCACACATGTGTGCTGCACCTCGTGAATATAACCATATCACGTTGGCCGGAGGAATAAAGCGATCCCGTTCGGGCTCGTCGCGCGGCGGGCGGCATGGAGGAACACGGCCGGTGTTCTGACAGGCTCCTCGGGGATAGGTGTCTGAATGCTTCGACTGAAGGAGACTGGGAGTGAGCGGACACGTTGGACCAGGCTGCGGTACTACGGAATAGACTCGTTCACACGGCAAGCAACGGGCCTTCGCCATCAGTTCCATCGTAGTCCTTCCTGTCCATCCGGAGTACGAGCATGTTAGGTCAGTCTCGCGCAGCACAGGTCACTTGTGATGAAGAGATGGTCCGAGCCACGAATAGAACAAGACGCAAACAGACACGCGGCGGTCAAGTGACAAAAGAGGCACCAAGCCACCAACCACCAACATCGTCAGCAGAGCTCTGTTTTCGATTGTTCAAGGCTGCTAGCGCTCAGTGTAGAAGGAGGCTTTAGGCTTGCTCCCCGCACCCGGACCAGCTACCCTAAGTACGTACTAAGTACGTACTAAGTACGTACTAGGTACGTACCAACGCATATCATCCATCAGGCTCGCGCGTCTCCCGCCCGGCGATGCGGTAAGCAGGACCCCCCTCGAACAGTCAGTCGTCAGTCCCTAGGCCTTCTGACTCAATGCGCCTCCATGATCTATTTACACAAAGTACTTACTCGATAAAGGCATACAATACCTGCCTGACTGCCTGCTTCTCTACACACACACCTGCACTCTCATCATACATACACACGCCAGCCTTTGTCATTGTACACCGCATCTTCTCAACCGGTCGGTCCCCTCCGATCAACAGCCTCTCTACAAGCCGCTCCAATCCACGCGTCCAAGACCCCGCGCCCGCGGCCAAGGGGTACCATCGTGGTCCCTCTGCCCGCCTCGCTTCACACCGACCCCACGCAACTTCTTCTGTCGCTGAGGGCGTTCCCTGCTGTCCTCGGCCTCGATCACAGGTCTTTGGATGCCAACTTACAACAGAGCTGTCTCCGCCGATTCGAGGAAAACAGACAAGTTTCTGAACAGCAATAACCGTGAAGAACCCCCAGCAGTGGCAGACCAAGGCAACTCCTCAAGAGCTGGTAAGAGGAAGACAAAGCATGGTGCTGCCAAACAGCTCCTTAATCTCGACAATGCCGGCGACAGTACACCTCCAGAGCAGATGGATCAACAGCCATCTGCGTCACCTACAAAGTCCCAATCCATACTCGGGCAGCTGAACCAAGGCTTTCCGCAGAGCATGAATCATGGGAACTCGGATATATTGAGCGACCTGAATGGTAATCAGAAAGTATCCGACGAGTATACACCGCCGAGCAATATCTGGGCACGGAACACAAGCTACATGTATGGACAAAGCCCGCCTGTTGAAACCCTTCGAGGGTTAGGCCCTGCAGCCTCCCCTCCCTGCGAACCAGGCTTCAGTGCCCGAGGAACTCTCAACACGAGAAGCCCTGCTGTCTCTCCGCCGTCCAGAAAGGCCAGACCGGTGAGCTACGGCAGTGGAATGCCTCCATTGCCCGCTCATCCAAGGATCTCGACATCTCCGTACGGCTATGGGGTCAGCGCTTATGGATCGCCTCCAGCATTGCCTCATCTTCCCCAACAACATTTTTATGGTCCCCACGACGTAGACCTGGGTCTGGCGAGTGCTGCGACGCACATGAATCTTTCACAGCCGCATACATTCAAGTTTGTACGAATCCCAGGGTTTGGACATGAGCCGCGAGGCGCGGTCCTTCTGACATGTGAGGGTGTATTGAACGTCCTCAGCTACAACGGGGAGAGACTGGAACATGTTGGAGCTCTCATGGGTGTGCAAGGTATCGTGGTCGATGCGGCTTTCTTGACTTGGAACGCCGACGAGGATCCTTTCGCGGATTTACGCCCATTGATCGCGGTCGCCATCCATGGCCCCGGAAGTGCGGAAGCGCCTCCTTCCGTGCCTCGCGACCTACACTCCCAGGAATACCAAGAGCCCACCCTCGAGACGAAGGTCGTGGTTTACTCATTGCGCAAAACCTGCCAAGTCGCTGAGCTATTGCGAGTCCCATGCGTCCAGCCGAGCTTCCCAGGAAACGTTCCAACCTCCGCCTCAACTGGAGATCTGAAGGTGCGTGCCAGTGCCGGTTTCGTCGTCATTTCTTCTGGCGAAAGTGGCGAGGTCTTCATTTTCTCAGCCCGAAAGGGCAAAGATTCACCCGGCTTCGAATGCTTGGGAAAGTACTGGACCACATTACAGCCACAACTCCAGAGAAGAGAGTCTTCCCATGGACCTTCTTCCGATGCAGATGTTTCCCCTGCCGATCTAGGACGTGCCTCTGCGAACGAGAGTACACCCATCCTAAGTATGAATGGTCGTTGGCTGGCCTTCTGTCCTACAAGTAGTCCTTCGCGGCGCTCGATCGGAGCTATTTTGGGGAATTCTGTCGTTTATAACAAGAACTCAAACATCACTGCAGGGACTGCTCCGACCCGGCCGCCTGTTAACTGTGAAGTCGAGTCTCCTGACGCCGAGTCTTTCTTTGGCAAAGTCGCCAAAGGGTTCGCGCAGGAAGCTGTCCGTAGCGCAAAATGGATCAGCGAGAAAAGTCTCCAAACCTGGCAGAGCTACTGGAAGAGAGACTCCACCAGCCCTCCAGTCCTGCCTGCTGCGGTCTCCTCGAGCCCTCCTATCTACTCTCCTCATCTCGGTCTTGCACAGTTTCCGCCAACGCACGGAATTGACCCACAAGACGTTTCAAGGGCCCCTGAGGTGGTCACTATCCTCGACTTAAAGCTCCTCCAGGAGGGTTCAGGCAGAAAAGGCGTCGAATCCAATCCTGCTATCACTTTCCAACCACCCGGAGGTTGTAGCTTCCTTTCATTTATGCCCACCGGACTGGGTCTTCTAACCGCAAACCGCAAAGGCGACGTCCAATACGTTTGGGACTTGATGCAGATCAAGTATATCAGAAGCTCAGCCACAACAACAGGTACAGAAAGCGGACGGGTACGACAGATTGCAAGGTATGAAAGGTTGAGTCCATCTACCATTGTTGATGTTGTGTGGGACGGACCGACAGGATATCGGTTTGCCCTTCTCACCAAGAACCGGACGGTCCATATCTTTGATCTACCAAAGACGGCCTTTCAATGGCCACCGCCACGTGCCAAAGAGGACCGACCCATCTCTGCACCGGCCGATCAAACTCATGCAAAGATGGAACACGAAGCTCCTTCTTCAGGGTTTTTTGCTTCAGCCATGAGCATTGCCGGGAGAACACAGCCGATGCTTGCGAATTTGCGAGGCAGAGCGCCTAGTATGAATGGTGGAATTACAGGTATTGGCGCATCGGGGATTGGGCTCGCTTCCGCTACTGGTATCAAGAGTGGTAAGGCAGTCGCCGCGGGGCTTAGTAAGTCCCTTGGGGCTGCCACTGAAACTGTCACCAACCTCCGGCACGCAAATCAGAGCAGACTCTCTCTGAAGACTGTTGCTCGCGCAGGCGTCATCTGCTGGCTCGAACGGGATGGGAAATCCGTCCTCTCTGTGCTCGACTCAAGCAGTGTCAAGAATTACTACATACGCATGACCAAACCCAGAGAAAATCGTCACAGGGACACGATGTCAGTGTTCGACGCACGGAGGGCTGTGGCTTTCAAACTGCCCAAAGCTACGGATTTGATTGCTGGATCGGCGGCAGATCTTCCCTCGTCCCTACCCCCAGGTGACGGCAACGAGCTATCAGGGTTCTGGAGGTTTCGCGCTGGCAGAGATGGGGCTACGAAAACGCCACATCCGCTGGCGTTTGCCGAAATCGAGACGAATCCTCCCTATCAACCGTTCCATTCCGATCGTAGGGTCATCATGTCTCTGGTCGGCGAAGAATCATCAAGTTCAGGTGACAACATTTTGGGCCCGTCACGCCTGTTTCCACAGCGAAACTTTCCGTCTGGAAGGCCCACAACCGCAGCCTCTGAAGACAAATGGGTGTTCGGCACAGAAATCCGATCTCAAAAACTGAACATAGTTGGACCATCTCAGCAGGTCGGTGATGAAGGGTCCGTGATCTACAGGGAAACGAAGATGACTCCCAGTGTTGCCACATTGAATGCGGCGACCGGTGAAGTCCTAGATGATGGTGTCAGCCATGTCGTCAGTAGCACCAAGAAACGAAAGAGCAAGAAAGGTCGTCCGCCGCCCCAGATTTTCGAGGACGAGGATGCGAGCGGGATCGGTCTGGATTTCGCGAAGCCAGACGATACTGGTGACCCAGACTTTGACTTGTTGGACAGCGATACCCGAATTTGAGTTCAACAACGTGGAAAGGGTCTTCGCAATCAAGTCACGCCCGATGTCGCTTCTAGCCTGACGTCGCCAACCATTGGGATTGAGAGGAGCACCACTGGGGCATTCTACCACTTTTGGACAGAGCATCATTTCTGGAATAGACATACGGGAGCCTCGTTACATCGCGGGCAGTTGGCAGGCACGGCTCATCAGTCTTACAACGATAGTTCACGCGGGTTTATCACTATTATCCCCTCGGCTGGCAGTCCAGCTCAGGTACAACCTGCCATAGCAAGTGGACATTGCTGCCATTGGAATTGACCCAGAGCCAGCAGACAGGCTATTCAGCCCAACGCTCTCCGCTACTATTGTCATCTAACGCATTACTTCGCTCGAGTCTTTGTTCCCTACAGAACTCTTTCTTCTCTAGAGACATTGGTTCTTTGTGTTGAAGGGACGATTCGTAAGTCCATTGTTGCAACCATATGCTGCTTTGTTTCACCACCTTTCCCCTAGACCAAGGTAGGTACTGCGTAAGCTTCCATCGCCAAAGATGATGAAATCTGTTTCACGCCTTGACAATCATACTGAGACATCACGATTATTCACATGATGCCGTGGTTTCAGATGGATTTCTACTTAACCATGATGGCTTCGGCAGATGAGCAGAGGAATTCGTCAAGCAGTCTCTTCTCTCTCAATCTATCTGGATCGGATATCGAGCCTTCGGCCTTATAGCTAACACTCTAGCAAGCCACCAGCACATCAATATCCGACATGTCGTCCAATATCAAGTTTGGAATCTTGTATCCTGAAGGCAGAGGATACCTCCACGTTCGCAGCTTGGGGAAGGGCATGCAAGGTATGGCGACTCTCGTGCAGTCTGTTGCTAGCGGAAGCCGGTATGTAAGAAAGAAGACCGTGGCCGATGTGTCGACCCTGCCAGGCGATGCATGTCCTGAGGTGAGTTTGTACCGCGCACATCCTCTGATCCCGCAACTGATCCGTTCTCAAGAATATCCAGCAACTCGGCCGCCGAATGGACGAACGGTAACGTTGAAGAGCCATTCAATGATCTTTGCATACTGCAACGGAGGCACACTGACTCGCTTCCTGAACATCCGAGCCGAGGATTCCATATATACTCCGTCGACGATGTTGGTGTGGAAGATGTTCGACGATCTCCTAACATCGGTCTATTTTCTTCACCAACAATGCACCCCGGCCATCACCCACAACGACGCCCACAGCCACAACGTGTTCCTCCACTTCCCGGACGAGCACGCCAAGGTTCCGGACTTCATGCTCGGCGACCTCGGGCTCGCCAAGACCATCGACTCCAGAGTGTGGGAAGCAGAGGGGAACCGCGGCCAGCGCAAGCTGAAGAGCATGCAGTCCGTGCCCGCGGCCTATCGTGAATCGTACAAAGTGCAAGTCAGCCGACTAGGACAAGATCTCATGATGGTGCAGAGAAACGTGGGCATGCTGATGACCGGGCTGACCCCCTACGACAACCACGATGCGGACGACATCATGCCACAACTGAAAGCGAGCCGACACTGGCCCCGCGAACTCTTCAGCTGCTACGACAAACTCGACGAGATCATCACCCCCATGGCCTACAACTCGTCGCCCGGGCGATACGAGGAGTTCCCCGAGCTTTGTCGCCTGGTGCGTGATTTTCGAAGACAGGAGCAGCAACGAGTCGTGAACCGCCATTTTGGGACGGACTACAGAGGCACCCAACCGGGCAAATACGATTGGTCGAGGATCCCGGGATTCGTGTCCGCCATGGAGCCCGAGATTGCCGTCGAGCACGTCAATCAGCCCCAGCTGTACGGGTCTCGCCAGGAACTACTGCTCTGTTCACGCGACGTCGCTGGTCCGTGGCGCATCGCTCATATCGATCCTCGGACCAACGCTGTGCTGGGCGTCGAGAAGCTCGAGTTTGGATACCATGACCCTGGGTCGGCGGAGACGTATGCCTTTGCTGAGCAGCACCTGATCAAGACCAAGGTCGAGGAGTTTGGATGGGACAAGATCGTGGAGACGGCGTGCAAAGTCGATACTCTCGAGCGTGCTTGGCAGCGTCCGTTTCAGCCGGATGGACGACATGATGAAGTGACTAGACTGTTCGGTCTTGATCCGAACTGGCGTCGGTGAAGGACTGAAGGTTGCATCGTGCTGATCTGACTGCCAGGCGGAGAATGAGTCTGGGATAGACCTGGTTTGGTCGGTTTGAAGGGAAGTGAGGTCTTGCAGGGCAACCCACTGGAACGTCTGCAGGACAGACAAGGGATTGTTGGGTGTCAATGGATCTTGGATCATGGCCGAGGCGGATTGCACTCATGTATAGTAAGTATATCGACAGCACAGCTGACGCAGAGTCTCATTCAGATCTATATCCTCACTAATGTATTCCCCTCTTCACCTATTCATTTTCTAATTGCAAAGTCAGGAGAAGTGAGCAGGTAATTAATTGAGTTGTCACAGATTCTCCTCCTCATTCGTATGTCTTCAGTCCAATCAACATTGGCTGACATCAATTCGCTCAGCCATCCCATCGCAGCCTTGTCGCCCCTTATTCAATAATCTCAGCCTTGCGTCGGCCTTAAGTTGTTATCATCTCCACAACAGCCAGCGTTCTCCGGACCCTCCGATCCGATCCACCTGGGACGTACAATACTACCTTCCTCGTACCTAGTAGATACCTTAGATAGGTAGGTAGGTAGTATGAACAAACAACCACATTTCACATAGTTTGGGTAGATCATTATATCCTCATCGACCGAGGCAGTATCCATACCTCTACCTCTACTTCTAGACCACACAAACAAAATGTCTCCGTCATGGACAAACACCCCCTCCGGCACCATGGCCGCCATGGTCCTGACCAACCCGTCTCCCCTCCCAACCCCGCCATATTCCTGCTTCACCTACCGATCCGACTATCCACGGCCAACACTCCCCGACCCAGAATGGACACTCGTCCGCATCCACGCCTGCGGGCTGAACCGCGCCGAGCTGCGCTCTAGAGCAGGCCTGCCTCCCGGGATCCCCGAATTCAACATCTTCCAGGCCGAGTACCACGCCGACCCGCCCGCCATCCTGGGCGAGGAGTTTGTCGGCGAAGTCGAGCTGGCGGGGTCTCGGAGCGGGTTTGAGCCGGGCGAACGCGTCGCGGGGATCGTGTATGGTGGCGGGAAAGCCCATGATGGGAGTTATGCCCAGTATTCGATCTGTCATTCGAGGCGGTTGTTTAGGTTGCCCAAGCCCAAGGCGGCCACTACAACTTCCTCTTCCTCTTCCTCTTCCTCAGGGCATCACTTGTCGTGGGAAGTCCTCGCCGCGATTCCCATGAGCATGGTCACCGCGTATGGATGTATTGTGTTGGCAGGGGGGTTGGAAAGGAAAAGAAACTTGACGAGTTCACCCATAACAGTCCTTGTCCACGGCGCCACATCCAGCGTCGGCATCTGGGCCATTCTCTTAGCCAAAGAGCGCGGCGCCACCGTCATCGCCACGACCCGCAACGCCAGCAAAGCAGCCCATTTGCAGAAATGCGGTGCCGACCACGTCCTCCTCGAAGACCAGCTGGACCACGACCTCCCCAGACTGGTTCCCAACGGTGTCGACATCGTGCTGGAACTCGTCGGCCCCAACCAGACGATGCGCAGTCTGGGCTTTGCCGCGCGCTACGGCACCGTGGTGGTCGCGGGCGTGTTGAATCTCGAGTGGGACGCCGGGGGGTTTAACCCGGTCATGATCCCGCCCACGCGGAACCTGAGTTTCTACACGTTAACGAATAGTGGGGTCGGGAACGAAGATGACGGCATCGACCAGATTGAAGGGCTGCTGGCCGATGTCATTGGGAAGGTCGAGAGCGGTGTCTTCCCGGTCGACTGTTTTCTGGACAGGACGTTCAGGTTGGATCAGATGGGCGAGGCGCATGATTATATGGAGCGGAACAAGGCCATGGGCAAAGTTGTGGTGAGTGTGCCTTGACGATAGCTACAGTAGGGAGTGATAGAGATCCGACCAATAGGTATGGTGTCGTTAAGGGAAATGGTAGAAAACAGAGAAGAAGGGGTGTGGTTCATTTGATTGAATCATGCGAGCAAGAGAAACATAAGTCCTGAATTGCATATATCAGAAGAGCCCTTCTGCCGTCGACAGCCCGTCTCGTGTCAAAAACGCCGTGCCAATTCAACCCCGACATCTTGTCTTGTCTATTTCATTCTTCCATCCGTACATCCTGCTTCGGCAAATTCCCTAGGTTCTTCAACAAGTATGACCTCTTGAAGTATGTGTTGGGATGGACGATGGTTTCTAGTTCGGCCGGTCCCCAGATGCCTTCGTCCTTGACCCGTTTGATCTCCGATTTATGCGCCCATTCGAAGACCCGGTTGCAGGCGATATGGTAGCGTTTCTTTTCGACATCCTCTTTCACCCCACGGAGCACATCCCGGTCATGCACGCCCGTGGCTTGCAGCATACTGGTCAAATTGTCCACGCTGAAATGCCGGTACGGGCAGCCATGTGCCTCTCCTGTCCCCGGGGGGTGCTCCGTGAGGATCTTCTGGCAGGAGTAGGGCGCATAGCCTCTTCCTCGCCGGTTGGCGTCGCCTCCTACGTCGCCATAGGAATGTCGCACGTTGTACCGGTATTCCTTGTTGAACTGGTCGTCTGTGATGGTCTTGAAGCTTTGCCGCCAGAAGACAAGACAGTCTTCCAGCGACAGTCCGATGCCTTTCAAGAAAAGCGTATACTGAAGTCGTCCGAAGTGTTTCAGATGGTTGTTCTTGCGTAATGTCGTGTGGAGATGCTTCATGCACAGAGGGAAATGCTGGGACAGGGCATCGATGTTGGCGGCGTTGATGGGCGCGCCGGGAAGAGACGAGTCGGACTCGGAAAAGCCGGAGTCGGGAGTAGCGAAATTCTTGGACAGATGGTCGAGGATGGGCGTCAATCGATCATCTTCATCGAGTCGTGGCAGCGCACGGGAAGTCAACTCGAGCGCTTTTTCCAGGCGATTGGAGAACTCGGTCAGAACCATGCTGGTTTGTTCCCGCATCGGCACATAGGCTCTGCCCTTCCTGACGAGAACGGTCCGATGCTCGACCAGTTCGGGCACACGCGTCCAGTCCACCTTGAACCAATTTTCCTCGTCCAGTCGGCGGAGACCCGGCGTGGCGGCGAGTAATTGCTCTCCGAGCTCTCGTTTCTCTTCATCCTGCACCAGCTCCCAGTTCAAATTCAGACTTTCGACAAAGGCCCTGCGTTCTCGGCTGTCGTCTGCTTGGAAGCGGAGTTTGAATAGCATTGTCTCCACCCTCGCAAAGCGCCTTCGCAAGTCTTCTGTTCCGGAGAAGGCCAGTCGCAGGATGAAGTGCGAGTAGTGGTCCTTCCGCCGTTCTTTTCTGAGTCGGTCATCGACGACACCGCCGGCCGCTGACGAGTTCGAAGAGAGCGGGAGGTATTTCTTGAGAAGCGGTTCGAGATGGGCCGCCGTCTCTTGTGGGGATTTGTTGCGGAACGAGCAGGACTCGATCTCGGCGAGAACTGGAACCTCTGTCAGTAATCCCAGCAACAGAATGGAAGGGAAAGGAAGCCGTACTTCTCAATCGGTCGATAGCCCATGTCTCGAACTCCTCCAGGCTGATCTCTTGCGTTGGAGGCACATCGTAGAAGGATAGTCTGTAGGGATAGTCCTGGTCTTTGTAGGAGGCATTCGCAAATTGTGTTTTCTTGTAGTCGACTCTTTTACGCTTGGGATCGAACCGAGTCTCTGTCCGTAACATCTTGTGCTGCAATGGGGCGGTGGTAAAGATCCAAGATGAGCATGTACTAGGAGCAAGACATACAGAATACTATACCACTCTGTAGTACTAATACTAGTAGTAGACGACACTGGAATCTAGTACTACGCGCCGAGACGCGTCGCGGGTGGAGAAATGACGCGCCGGACCGGAATGGAATAACTAAAAGCCGGAGGGCACCCCAGCTAGGCACCCCAACTTGTACTTGAATTTGCACTCTGCCAGTGCCGCTGCGCTGCAGTGACATGCACAATTGCAATTGTTGTGATTGGAGTCCATATCATTAGCTCCTCATGATGACCTGTAAGCAGCGCCTGGGGAGGACAGTAGGAGTCCGAGTTTATCTGCTGAGTACAGGATGAAGCTACCATCGCTGTGCCAATCCGCCGCATAGCCGAAGCCAACAGTCGCATATCTTCCTTGTTATGGGAAGCCGGTAAGTAATAAGCCAACGGTAACCAGATCCCCCCAAAAGTGAGGGGCGAGAGGATTTGCTGCAGCCGCCGTTGGTGGTTCAGGCCCCCAAGTCCACACAACTACTCCTGTACTACTGTCCAGGCTGCAGTGATATCGGTCTTCCTCGGCCGAGGTCATCTCTCCGCACGCGCGCCATGGTTATTATTATGTTCGGGCTTTTGCTACCTTCCAGCCTCAACTTACTGCTTAGATATCAACTCAGACGAGTCGTCCTCCGGGCCCTTCTTTCAGCGCATTCATTCTTACCCCCAGCTTAGTCTGGAGATTATTTATTGCTTCTCCGACCGTCAGAATATATCCATAAGCGAAACCGACATGGGCACCTGAACAAGGCCCCCCGGCGGCTCTCGCCCGAACGACTTTACGCTCCCTAATCCTACGACTGGCGCGATTGAAGCGATTACGATGACCTTGGCTACGGCAAGTCGAAAGCTGAAGAGAGCAGCGAGAATCATCCTGGTTGGGGCACCAGGAGTTGGGAAGGGGACTCAATCTGAGAGGCTTATGAAACGCTTCCCACAACTATGTACGATTGCGACTGGTGACCTCCTGCGCGAGAACGTGAAGAACAAGACTCCTCTCGGTGAGCACCTTCGTTGCTTGAAACCGACTGCCTGCTAACCACGCGACGTAGGACAACATGCAGAAACCTACATGCACTCCGGTGGTCTTGTGCCCGATCCTGTGATCCTCAATCTCATCCTAAACGAGCTGTCCTCGAGAAAATGGCTGGAAACGTACGATTCGACGGAAAACATAATCGCCGCTCTAGGCCGTGGGAACGGCTCGGCCAGCTCGGTCGCTCGCGCATCCAATTCTCCAGATACATCCTTCATCCTAGATGGTTTTCCTCGCACGGCAACTCAAGCCCAAGCGTTGTCCTATCTCCTCCCTATAAACCTGGTCCTCCAGCTGGTCAGTCCCGTCGAAGTGATCCTCTCTCGACTGGCGAACAGGTGGATACACCTGTCTTCTGGAAGAGTATACAACGTGGGGTTCAATGACCCAAAGGTGGCTGGCATTGACGACTTAACGGGGGAGAAACTGGTTCAAAGAGAGGACGACAGCGAAGCGACATGGCGGAAACGCCTGGCCAAGTTCGATGAGACCAGCCGAGATTTGCTGGAATTTTACCGGGCGCGGGACAAAAACATGGTGGTCACAGTACAAGGCAACAGCAGTGATGAGATCTCGCCGCAGATTTTCGCAGAGGTGGAGAAAAGATTTGGTATGTGAAGGGAGCAATTTAACATTATCCTGACAATCAGTTGTGGTCATTTTCGAGGGATTGTAACCTCGACTGTGATTTTCCAGATTCCATTGAGATCAAAATGATCCCTGAGAAGGCCCGGATGCCCAGCCAGAGGTGACTATACTCTGCGCTCGACGCGAAACCAGCCTCAGCAAGGGAGATGCCAGAGGCTGACGATTAATTTAAGTAATGCTTTTCGTTGTCGGCGGCATAGATGAGAAAAAAAGAAGAATCGAAAGCAGGCAGATCATTGGAAATGGAGAAAGTGCAGGGCCAGTCCCAGCGGGAGCAAGGGGCTTGGCAGGCGTGGAGCATCAACTTGAATAATGACCTGAGCCCTAGGCCTTCAGCCTCTCTTATCAGTAAACCTCAAACAAATACTACAACTCCATCATTCTCTCTGTCTCTCTCCTGCTATTGCTATCCTGCATGGCCCCGGCCGTAGTCAGGGCAACTAACTCCATGAATGCTGTGTGACATGGAACAACTGCAACTGGTGTCGCCGATTGCTCATATCCCATTCTCAGATGAACTATGAGGTTTAATGTCTAGCAGCATGGGAAGTGAAGCAAACTTGAATGAAGCTAACTACGAACAGCATCCGGATATTCTCCTTCCTGCTCCAATTCTGTCAGTGTTCTCCTGTTGAAGAGAGAGCGGATTGCGCGGCATCCTTGGTTTTTGGCCTTCAAACAACGAGCGACATTGAGCCTCGCGCGGATTTCGAAGACAAGTTGATACTGGCAAGCCACCGTAGCCTCTATGCCGCAGATCCCATGCCAATCATATTTGCCTCGTGGAAGATGGTGTCAGACACCGCCCATTCTGCCCGGCCACTGCAGCGCATACCCGCATATCGGCCGTGGTCTTCCGCAGCGATGCCCATGGAAATCCTCGCTGCACCGGTCCTGCTAGTATGTCACGGCTTCGACCGGAGAACATGAAACGGTAATGCCAACAAAAGTGGGAGGGTGCCAGAGTCTTACAAGTTTGATTGAAGGTAGATAGATGTTGGGCAAAGGAGGGAAGACAACTCATCTCCAACACTGCAGGAAAGACGGCACGGTGCTTGCCCACAAAAGCATCGACATCCCTGGCAGACACCAGCAGGCAGGCTGAGTGGCGCCTTGATACCCCAGATAGCGCTATTCTGTGTCCACCCACAAAGAACAAACTCTGGCCATCCTGTACCCGCCTGAAGCGTATCGTGTTGTTCCGCCATCCTTTAAGCTGTAGAGTGTTGTTCTTCGTTCTGCTGGCTCCTTTCGGTCCTGCCGTGGTGCAGTGCAGTGGGTGTCAACGTCTTTTCCATTCCTGCATGACGGGTGTCCTCTGCGTTGTCACACCTCAAAGGGCCAGGTGTTGCTGATGGGTGTCGAGCCAGAAGCTGACTGGAACCTCCCGAGCACTGGGCACCACACGATCAACCGTCTGACCCTGGACTGATGCCTGTAACCACCCATCAACGCTCGCTTCGTCGTCATCACTAAGCCCAAACAGAGGGTGGTGGTACAGCGGGCGCCTGAGGAAAGGGAGCTGGGCGGGAGTCAGGCCACAGTAGCCCCGTTGTAGTTGACTGTAGTCCAGCTGAGATGGGCCAATGAAGCCAGCAGCGACGAGGTGACACATCCAGCTGCGCCGACGGACCATCAAGTGGCTCCTTTAGGCTCCGCTCCCCAGGGCTCCTCAGGCTAATCGAGGCCACTCTAAGGGGGATCACTACCATTAGGCTGCCCCAGTGCAAGCCACACCCTTAGCAAGCCGTTGGCATGGATCAGAAAAAGATGCTCTGTGATTGTATGGATGGATGCGCAGTCATGAGGCGTGAAGACCTGCACGCTCCCAAGAGACAGAGCAGGAAAGGCATCTTCAACACAAACACTCGCCCTCGACGCCTGGGACTTCTTCTTCATCTTCTTCTCCCTGCTGGTGATTGTATCCCTCTCGAAAGGACAGCAACGCCGACTCCACCATCACTGCCTACGATCCGGATATCAAGCGGACCGCTTCCTTTGTTCCCTTGGCCGCGCCTCCACAAAAACAAATCCTTGTCGATCCGGCGCCTACCACGCTCATCCTCACAGCCTGCTGGCTCTGTCCAAACACTGCCAACCGAATCCGAATCCGAACCTCAATCAATACAACAACAGTCCCTCTCCTCCTTGCGTCGTTCTCGCCTCATTGGAATCTCAAAATCCACCCTGACCGCCCTCGAACACTGCAGCACGGACCCGGCTTCGGTCTCAGCCAAGTCTGTTTCACGAGATCCGGATCACCCTCCATCCCTCGTCGTGTCGGCTCAATCGCTCTACTTGAGGACACATTTTCTGCTACATCCATGATTGCGCGAGTCTTAAGCACAGGAGTACTTTCTGGAGGAACACAATGAGCGTCGGTATTGGAGTCAAGAGCAGGCCCAGTTGCCTTGTATTTGTCGTGAAATTGTCCAGACAACCTCATACAGTCGCGTTCGAAGCTGGTTGAATCGGTCACAATTCACCTGCCTACCGCCTTGACTTACACCTTTTCCACTCTGAGTTTGACTCAATCTCTCCAACAATGATCACTGTGCCTTATCGGCCTGTCAACACGATGGATCCTCTCCACGATCCTGAAGGTTATTGGCGCCGATCGAGCGGTACTGTTACTCGTCAGTATGCCATTCCCGCTGCGTCTGGTGTGCCTGGCCATCAGCGAGAGCGTTCTGGAGGCCTCAGCTACGCCGAACACGAGATGATGAGACAGAGGAAAACGCCGTATGGTCGGCTGTTTGAACAAGACACGGCTGTGCTGGACAAGAATGTCCAATTGCCGGCCTCCAAACATCTCCTTCTTTCTTCCTCTCCCGAATTCGAGCGAAAGCCGCCGTCTTCTCTGACTCCTCAGTGGGCCGGCACTCAACAATCGCATCAGCGCGGCGTTATGTCAGGATCAGACTTTGGAAGAGACGGAAGATACGACCGAGAACCACAGCCATACGGGACATCCAAGGCCATCTCCTACAGACCAGCATGGGACTTTCCTGGCGGTCTGGACTCGATGCTCAACCAGACTCTCCCACTCCAACCTACACAGAGGTATTATTTCCAGCATGGATCAAACATACCGACCGTTCTGCCTGCCACACTGCATTCACAGTTTGGACCTACGGCGTCGGCAGGTCAAGAATTATATGGACCATATTGGCCAGACGGCACCTACAACCCCTACCGTCCAGCATCCATTCGTGACAGTCGAGTCTTCCCACGGGCACCTGCTGAACGGTTTCCTCTCGACCATCATGTCTTACATCAAGAAACATGGAGCAAACCTGCGCGACTCCCTACCGTGGAAGACAACGCTTATCATCACACTGCTCCGCAGCATTTCTTGAGTACTCCCGTGGACTTTGTTCAGTCGCCCTCGTCTAAATGGAGCCATTCTCACAATACCTATCACGGCTCGTTCAGCTACTCCCAACCCTATTCGGGACCCAGCCATGCCATGCCCGGGCCCATGACAGTGACGAGACCGGTGCTAGATTCCCTCATCCCTGGGCCCGGCTCCGAACGGATCGCATACAGGGATCGGGCTTTCGCATGGGCGAACGGGGTCTACGCAGAGCTCCTGCACACGATCCGAAATAGCAAGAAAGAGCAGCGGGCCAATATGCAGACCGGCTCCGAGCCAAGGACGACAGCCAAGCCCACGATTTTTCCTCGGCCACCAAAGAGATCTGGATCACATTTCCAAGAAGATTCGGGAGTCAGGTTGAGCCGGACACAAGAAGCCTCCAACAATCAAACCCTTGGTATTGGTAGTCAGCAATTCCTCTTCGACGCTCCCACCCGCCCTCACACCGCTATCTTCAGGCCTCAGCAAACTCACAATGATCTTGATACTAAAGCCTTCCAGAGCAAATGTGAACCAAACAGTGTCTCCAGTCACCAATATCGGCTCCCGGACAGAATTCCGGAAACACGACAGGCTCGCCAGGCAGCCCCATTGGAGTTACCTCTACGGCCGCCTATCAATGACTCTGCGAATGCGGCACTCCAGCAAATGGAGCTTCTCTGTCACCAGGCTGATACACCCTGGGTGGATGGAATGCTGTTAGCCGGTTGTCTAGCCTATGGATTGGGGAATTACACCAAAGCCGAAGAATGGTACCAGGCTGTTTTGAGACTGGATCCTGGTCATGTTGAAGCCATGTCGAACCTTGCGGCCACATGCCACGCTCTCCATCGTCGTGAAGACGCGCTCAAATATTGGTCGGACGCCGTGAGCTTGAGACCGAGCTATTTCGAAGCTGTTGAGCATTTGATTGGACTGTTGTGCACAAGTCATCGAGCAAGAGAAGCAGTCAGCGTGATCGAGTATGTGGAAAATACATTGCGAATCAGGAACGAAGATCCTCAGGCGGCGTGGGGTGAGTTGAGTGATGCCGAAAGTGATACCAGGAGCCATACGTCCAGTATAGCCACGGTGGCTTCATATGACAACGGTAGATATGATTTTGAATTTGGCTTGCAGAACCAACCTTCGGCGCGGGGCACCGAGTCCCAGCCCCCTGGATTTGGCTCAAGTGGGTATGCGATACCTGGCACAGACAATGGTCGCATGTTGGCCCTCGTCCACGCAAAGGGGAACATGCTTTATGCACTGGGAAACAACCATGGAGCGGCAATGGCCTTCGAAGACGCCATCCTCATCGCCACGGGCCAGAGGAAACAAGGCATCAAGGGTCTGATCAAGGTCATTTTGGGTGCTTGCTTGAGCAACATCAGAGATCCGGAATATGTTCGCTCCAAACTTGACGGCAAGGAACCGATACTGCTTGCACCAGAACATGCCAAGGCCACCGCTAGACTCATGTTTCCTCCTGAGGGCGACCTTCCCGGGTTGGAGCATGTGTCTGTGCCCTTCGCCGTTTCGGCTGCCGTCTCTACCACCAGCAACTCTCTCCTTTCTCTCGCCAAAATCTATCAAGATGGCATGTCCAATGCCACAGACATTGGGAGTCTGAGGTCACCGTCGACACGCGAGATCCTTGCGTTGTACTATCTTTCGCTTTCACTCCAACCGAGCCCGTCGACAGCCAACAATGTTGGAATTTTGTTGGCAGGCGTCCAGCAGAGCGTGCACCCTGCACATCTCGCGGATCCGAGCTTTCCACAACTCTCAGCCATTCCAGGCGTCGTTGCCGGAACTGGCATCCAATTGGCTCTTATGTACTACAACTATGGCCTCGTCATTGATTCAAAGCATGCCCACTTGTACACGAACCTGGGCAGTCTTCTAAAGGACATCGGCCAACTCGGAGCTGCGATCAAGATGTACGAGCGTGCTGTCAGTTGTGATGGCCACTTCGACATCGCTTTAGCGAACCTTGCGAACGCGGTTAAAGATCAAGGCCGGGTGGCAGAGGCTATCGTATACTATCGACGCGCTGTGGCCGCAAATCCCGACTTTGCCGAGGCGGTTTGTGGTCTTGCCACTGCTTTGAACTCAGTGTGTGACTGGCGCGGGCGCGGTGGAATCTGTGCAAGTGACAAACTCCGTGACCGACTCCATGTAGACGACGCCGGTGCGAAGCATGAGCCGTCTCGACCATACGGCTGGATCAACCGAGTAGTTGAAATAGTCGACAAGCAGCTGAAGGATGGAGAGAGCTGGGGTCGGGGGACTTTGACTCCCACCATGATTGAATCTTTGACGGCCAAATTGACTCTACACAGACAGTCCTCCACGGATAACAGACGCACGCAGTTAATGGATGTTCTGCGGCAGTCTCTTCGATTCTGGTCCGGTCAAAAGTGGGAAGGGTCCCGCATTGTGCGACTGGTAGAGCGCGCCATCCGCGAGATCGGGTGGCAGTGGTACCAGGACCGTTACGTGCATCGAAAAGAATATCCGGCGCGGAAGTACTCTCGTCCCTATTTGCCCAATTCCCTGTCCACTCCATCAGCACCGACGGTGCTCCCCTTCCACACATTCACCGCACCGTTGTCGGCGAAGCAAGTTCGACAGATCTCGCAGCGTAATGCGCTCCGAATATCTGTGTGCACGCTTCGATCTGCCTGGCTGCCGTCTACTGTGTATCCGCCACCTGCGCCACCCAGCCCTTGCTTGAATGTTGGCTATGTCAGCTCCGACTTCAACAATCATCCCTTGGCACATCTGATGCAATCGGTCTTTGGCCTTCACGATCCGACTAGGGTTCGAGCCATCTGTTACGCCACAACTGCCTCGGACGGGTCCGTCCATCGACAACAAATCGAACGCGAAGCTCCAGTGTTTCATGATGCGTCCGCTTGGACCGTTGAACGATTGGTGAAACAAGTTGTTCGCGACAACGTCCATGTCCTTGTGAACCTCAACGGATATACTCGAGGAGCCCGGAATGAAGTCTTTGCGGCCCGACCAGCACCCATCCATATGTCATTTATGGGGTTTGCCGGTACGCTGGGAGCTGAGTGGTGTGATTATGTTTATGCTGACAGAATATCTGTGCCGCCGGACACGTTGGCACCATGGCGACGGAATGTCGACATCGAAGATCGACTGAGACCTGACTCGCTCGTGGAAGACGAAGAGGATTGGGTGTATGCGGAGAACCTCATCTTCGCCCGAGACACCTTCTTCTGCGTGGACCACAAGCAGAGTGCTCCAGATTCCGAAAAGGTGGGTCTCACCCTTCGTGACCCTGTCAGCCGTGAAGCTGCCTGGGAAGAAGAGCAAGACAAGCGGTGGAAAATGAGGAAGGAATTGTTTCCGACTTTGTCGGACACAGCTGTGATCCTTGGCAATTTCAATCAACTGTATAAGATCGATCCCGCCACGTTCGACATGTACCTGGAGATTTTGAAGATGGTGCCCAATGCGATTCTGTGGTTGTTACGGTTTCCGGATCTCGGAGAGCGGAATCTCCTCCAGTACGCGCGAGATTGGGCCAGTCCGGAAGTTGCGTCAAGAATCGTCTTCACCGACGTTGCGGCCAAAGGCACTCACATCACGCGAGCTTCGGTGGTGGATTTGTTTCTGGACACTCCGGAGTGTAATGCTCACACCACGGCGGCCGACGTGGTTTGGTCCGGGACTCCCATTGTGACCTGGGGCAAGTGGAAGTACAAGATGTGCAGCCGCATGGCCGGGAGCATCGTGGCCAGTGCGCTTCCCCAAGGACGAGCCGGGGACGAGGCGCGTCGGGATCTGCTTGTGCGAAGCGAGAAGGAGTATATCGACACGGCGATCGAGCTTGCCCGTGGTCTTGAGTACCCGACCACATCCAATCCTGCGGGACAGGGACAGAAGCTGGGAAGGGGGAAGGGCCGGCTGGTGGATCTTCGGCGACTGCTGTGGGAAGGACGGTGGACCAGTCGACTCTTTGACACCAAGCGCTGGGTCAGAGATGTTGAATCGGCGTACTGGGCTGCATGGAAGAAATGGGAAAAAGGCGAGGGAGGCGATATCTGGTTACAGGATGGTCGCGTTTGAATTGATCATGATGGACATGAATGGGCTCAACGAATTCACATTGCTGGACGAACGGAGTTTAAGGGAGAACAAGCTGGGCTCGGCTGGATGGGACAAGTACTGCATCAACAACGGGGGGTTTTTTTTTCAAATGCACTCCGCGAGAGGGCGGCATGTTGGTTGGCGGGAGCTGGTCAGGCTGTCGCAACACAGCCGCACAACCACGCAGCCCCATTGAGCTCGTCGACTCGCGGCTCACGGCTCATCGGGTTGCTGGGTTGCTGGGTTGCTGGGCATGGGCTACTAGATTTGCCAACAGGCTCACCATTTCCACGAAACGAGACGAGCCATTCACTTCTCTTCCCTTCCAGACGGATAATGGTTGCTCTTCTCTCCAAGCAAGGGATGAGACTCAAAAACAAGAGCAAAAGATGACGACACAGAACACTACTTGAACACGGGACCCATGATGACCATCACACACAGACACAGACACAGAGAGAGCAAGGACCTACAACGGAACACACAAGAGCGAGCAGCGAGCAGCGAGGTTGGGGGGAGAAGGAACTGCCAAACGTGCTTAAACGTGCTTAGTTGATTGATGGTCCTGTGCTTGGGATCAATGACTTTACGAATTGAATTGACTTGAATTGAACTGATTGATTGACTACCACCACCACTTTCACCACTGTGCTGAAAGGAAAATGGAAGTCTTCTTGGTAGAACTTTTCGTAATGCGAAACCTGGAAATGATTTGGTTTGATTTGAGGAATCTAGAATGTAGAAATGAATGATCCGATCTGGGAAACGATCCAGCTGAACCTCCTCCGGTGCACCAACCAGCCTGGGGTAGGATTGCATCTTTGCCTCTCTTACCGACTTTTATTCGACGAAGGTGACAACCGTTCTCGTTCTCGTTCCCCTCGAGAAAGGCCTTTACAAAGAAGAACAAGTGTTCATTCGTAGTGATTGGATGTGAGGGAACGCCGCTTTCTCCTTTCTTTCTCCTTCCTTGAGAATATTCGGTTCAAATCAACGAGTGGGACAAATCGAAGAAACGAATCAGGGGATAAGATGTTGTGCAATCTGGCTCGTTCGGAGCCAGATTGCATTTGGGGCACGATATACAGAGTAATAGCATTCTGACGATATACTATAAGAGGCAATTCTAACGATATAATAAGTAATTGTGGTTGATTGCCAAATGGAGATTCCGTGCATCAGGTCATCGAAGGAAAACTAACAGCTTATATGAATTACGCTTCGGCTTCACACTCACTGAATAGACCCGAATTCAAGGGTTACCCTCTAGGTACCCTCGTTCCTATTGTCGGGCTCTTTTTTGGGTTTGTTATTCTTTGCTTCTATCGTCTGTCGCGGTTTGGCTTTTTCCCGAATAATCATCCATATCTAAAGTATACATCTAAGATCACTCGGCACCTAAAACTGCTAGTATTTACACGGTCTTACGCTTTTTCTTTTTAGGGTCGTCAGTGCCCTTTACGTAGGGGACAAGCTGCAACAGTGAACAGAACAGAACAGAACAGAATAGTACTTATTATGATATGGGCCTATGGTCTTAAGCGGCATTTGAAGGAGAACTGCTTGAGCGTGGGAATCGGAAGAGGTAGGTAGAGCTACGGTGCTGATATATCCCGATGTAGAAATAAGAACTAGACAAAATGGGGTATACTTTTCGCAGCTCGGGGCCCCATCCATTTGAGTTGGGTTGGAAGAAACATTGGTGATTCGACCTCTGCCGTGAGGCGAGGTCTATTTGGCTGGTTTTGATGATGGAGGTGTTGTGTTGTGAAAGTTGCGCTGCATAGATGAGAGACGGAAAGAGGCGAATTTAGAAGACTCCCTCACAGCCTCGCAAGAACCGAGGAATGTCAAAAATCACAGCGGTATCTTCATCGACTGGCATTACAACCTACTGGTTTTGATGATGCCATTGCCGTTTGGAACGCCGTCTCAGCCATATTGCATTATGCGGGTCAATGCTGACAGTGAAGGCTTTGGGTCTGCTTTTTTGTTCTGTTCCCGGAACATTGCTTGATAGGATGGCGACACGTACGTCCCAACAGAGATGACGGACGGAAAAGTCTGTAATGGGCTGAAAACATGTTATATGCATGGCCTGTTCGCACAGTGGTAACTTCCATCAGTGGCAACTTTTGCGAATTGAAGGAGAGGATGGCGTCGAGGCTGCATAGAAGTTAGGTGATGTCGAATCCTTACATTACCATCACACACGAAGGGAGAAACAGAGGAGATTTGATGTATACTAAGATCTCAAATAGAGCAAAACAGAGCAAAACAGAGCAAGGCCGAATAGGTCGGATTGTTAGCTGGATGTCAAAATAAAAAGAGTATTCAATACCAGATTTTGTCATAATAAGGTTATAGCGTTCGCAATTGCGTATCTTGACACTCGATACTTCTCGAGCAGTAGTATGAGACGTGAGAATTTGACCTTACCTTAACCCCCCTACCTTGAACTCAAGGCGTCCCAAAAAAGCTCGGCTGTTCTTGGTTAGCATTGTTGCAACGACGGACGGTACCAGCAAATTGTTCAAGCTTCGGGAAGGGAAAACACCGAGAAACCACATGTTGACGATCAATTGCTGGGCCGTTTGCTCGTCCATCCCAGAGATCGGCACGTGTGCAGCTCAGACAACGTGCGCGCTAGCCAGCTGCAGGAGACCTGAAAAAGGACCAAGTCATGAAAGTCATAGTGCTTGCCATCCGACATCGTCGCGGCTCAAGCTTTTGAGTTTCAACTTTTTGGTAGATCCGTTTGCATAGTGCATAATGCACATGGAGCATTGCTGCAGAGGACACTTCGAGAAGACCATGTCATGTATGGGCAGTGGTCGTCCAGTCCAGAGAACGCACGGGGGAAAGGTGAGGATAATCAACGTCCGACTGTTGAGCTGCAGCATCCCGAGTGGCAACTGTCGCAAACTCTATCCATGATTCAACTGTGCTTAGGGGTAATGGCATGCAGGCTTCAAGCAGACCTTAGAAATCCATGGGCAACGTACTCTCGTGTGTATTATCCTTTGAAGGAAGTCCGGATTTGGGACCCTGCCGACATACCCACTGCGCCTGGATGGTGCCCTATCCGATGGGGCCGGAACGCATTTGAGACATGCGAGTTGCAGCAATCTAGGCGGCCGGACTTCCCTCAATCATGTTATCTGGGCAATATAATCCCTGGGCGGACATCTTGATGGCCTGCCACTGTTGTCGCCTGTCAGATAAATGGACCAGATGTGAAGAAGAGGATCCGCTCACGGGCGCTCGGTGTCTGTCCAGGTACCTTACCATGGGAAGTTGCGACTCCACGAGCTGGTTGAAGCCGGAGGGTCAGATTCTGGCCAATGGAGTCAACAACACACCATCCATTCGCCCGGCGTCCACAGTCATGATAGACGCATTTGACGCCTGCCCTACGCACGCGACTCCTGTACGTAAAATTCTGCGGCTGGAGTGCTGCTAGAGTTGGGGACCGACTGCAGGCCCCTGGACACTGGAGACAATGGCGGCCAACTTGAGAGGCAGGTCTTGCCGAGATCACTCGACGGCGCATAGCAGACCCCAGCTGTCGATGCGCAAGGGGGCCGGCACGTGCACTTTGGTTGGAGTCTACGCCCTGTGCAGGCTGACATAAATATAATCGGATCATAGTCATGAAGCTTGCCATCGTTGAGATCGGCAGTGGCGGAACGATCTCTCGTGTCACCTTTGGAGAGGAGGCAGAATTGACATTACCACACAAGAGCGAGTACCTCCTGATTGAGAGTTTACCCTGGAGCGCAGTGGTGTAACTGACATGCATACACGAAGCGTTGTACAAGATCGTAATGACCGTTGGCCAGCGTAAGATCAAAGAACCGGTACCTGCCATTGCTGCCAATGACTGGCGTAACGGCTCTTGACGGCGTGATTATTGATGGAGACCTGCCGGCATCCGAAGTTTGGCAGTTGCCGACAGATTCATTTCATAGAAATGAAAAATGGTCAACGACAACCCCCTTTCCAGTAGAGGGCCGCATAGGGCGGTGCTAATGAAGCTCTGGGTCCGGGTAGTGGCTATGGGGCGAGGATGGCGGCCACCGTGCCCTCTGTCACCTGTCAAGTGTCAGGGCGATCAAGACATGAGGTTAGGTACTGCACTGCAGTTAGTGTGCTGCATCCCCTGGCGTGTTTGGAAGCCAGGGCAGGGCGCAAGATGATTCCAAAACGAGCGTGATGTACTAGTACGGGACGCCACGGAGGCGCGTACAAGACAGCGTATCGCATCACGCATGACTTGCTTCTCATGCCCGCAGCAAAAGGAGATGGCCGCTTATTAGCGAGCACAATTGTTGCCCGGGCGTTTGAAAGCAAGCTAGAGGACGTTCGCCAGGATACGAGAGTAACGGACAACAATCGGGAATGTGAAATCAGGGATAGCATACAGACCATTCGGGGGCTCCAAACCCTAAAGAAGAAATGGTCTCGACCGGGGTCGATATTTCGACTGTGGCTGGCTTGTCCTTGATGCGACCCGCAGGGCAAGCCACCCGAGGAAGCCGCAGGAATGGTTGACGGTTTGCGAGGGTGGATCTTGGGAGATCAAGACTAACGGCAAAGAAGGGTCAGATGGAGCTGTCTTGGTCCTTGGACGTCTTCTGCTGGAGATGGTTTGCAGGTCGACGGAGCCAACCGACCACTGGTCCCGTTCTGGGTGAGTCTTGAGAGAAAGTCATGTTGATGAATGCCGGTCAGTAGCCTTGGTGTCATCTTAGTCCTGTGGTAGTCGCGTGCGTACCCCTCTTGAGTTGACGACGCCGATCCACCATACCGTAGTGTGAGCTGTTCTTCACGAGATGGCCAAACGTCTCGCCAACACTAACGACGGTGCCATTTTCGGTGCCCAGCAGAACTGTAATCGGTAGGTGCATGCAAAACAGGCAGTGACAGATCCATAACAGCTGAACCTCCTGCAAACTATTCTTCATTCGATCCACTGATCTTGACCTTTTCAGGCAGTGGGTTGGGCTCGATGTTACTGGATGGTTTGCAGTCATCTTTCCTAGGATCTCTCAGCGCCCACATGGGGGCCTCCGCCGAGAGTTCAGGGATCACTTGCAGAGTAGCGCAACATGCGTAGTTCCATCATCGGTACCTGTCGTTGAGATCCTCGTGATCAGTCGACGAGGGCATCATTGTTGTTTGTTCTTGTTCGGTGAGCTCGAAGTAAGCGCAACAGATCTCAAACATGATTGACCGGGCTTATGGTGTCGCTCGTGGTGTGTAGCGTTAAGAACCGACAAATGAAACAATGTCGATTTCCGTCCCTTGGGTCCACATGAAGCTGAAGATCATGATCGAAAACCATACCTCCAATCGTAATTCGTTGACTGCAGATCGGTGTAGCCTCTCGACTCCTGTCAGAAGTCCTGGAAGAGACGGCGGCATTCTTGATGCAGTTCGACACCGTCCACTCGTGGCACGCATACCTGAACGGTGAGCTGTCCTTCAACTATCACAAGGCTCTGGACCCTGCGACTTTGTTTCTGCTCGGCCGCAGCCCTTAGTCTACACCCGGGTGGTTGGCTTGCCGAATTTCCCTTCCGCGCTCTTCCACCAAGGTTTGTCCAGAGTCCGTGGCTGGCGCCCCAATTCCAATATACGCAGGGACTGTGGGGAATGGGAGTCGAAGCTCGTGCTCGCGACAATGGCAGATTGCTCTAGCAATCACAACCAACTCTTCCACCATCTCAGTCAATGTTCAGTAAGAATGGTGCCTCAAAACTCATTCATCTCGAGCCATTGCAGTCCAATTCTCGATACTGAAGGACCCAAGATCACACAGATAGGTAGCGGCGCGCGTTTGTCATAGATCATACTCGATGGACACAAGTTCGCGGCGAGGTGCAGACGAGTGTGCGGAACCGTTCGCTTCTACTATCCCCGTACCCTGCCTTAGTGTGCCCAGATAAAGGTGACAGTTGTGAGGGTGAGTTGGCCCTAGGCGAGCGTAGCCCACGATTCGGTGAAGAGCCAACGGATGGTGTGGTGTGCCACGCATACCAACAAGGCGTAGTAAACCGTAGTGGAGTAGGAGGGTCGAAAGTCGACAGGGGACGAGTAGCCCTGTAGACTGTAGCAGCAGTACGTACAACAGCAGTGGCAATTGGGCAACCCAGGTGTGATCTACACCGTGAATACCAGGGACCTGATCCTCTTGCGGTATGGGAGAAGTGCTGGTGTGCAAATGTGGAACCTCTGCCTGCTGTTCCAGGAGTCTTCGCGGTAGTAGTAGTAGCCACCACTGTAGCCTGTTTCCAGATTTTCCACACTCGTTGCTGTAGTATTGAAGGTGTATGCCGTTTATACAGACATCAGAGGGTGCAGATCAAGTCCCAGGAATCCAAGGGCAGGAACAGAAAGTATCCCAGTGATCGATCCCTCGCATGTCGCCCACTGGGGTATCACTTCATAGAGGCGGTGTATCCATTTCGGCGCTTCCACTTCCCTTTTCCACTGCATAGACCGAGATTGAAGGTGTTGCCCCCCTTGGCGATCTGGTCGTGTCCAGTAGTGGCACCCAAGCTTGTCATCGCCCAAGGTTCACCGGAAAATAGTGCCAACGTCCCTCTCTTTCCCTGTGATTGGTGGTTCGATGAATTCGGGCGGGAGTGTGGTCGAAGTCTCGTGAGATTGTCGAGACGCCAGCAGGAAGCGGCCGGTTGCATAGGACATGCATGGTCTTTGGGCTCTCGGGGCAGAGTATTCCTACGTAGGGATAAGCGCTCTTGCATACGTGACCTTGAATCGATTGCTGCCATTGAGTGTCAGGGTGTAAGCTGTAACGTTCCGCCTGCATCAAACTTGAATGGCTTGTTTGGAAGAGTCTGAAGGGTCTGAAGGGGGAAATGCCAGCTGAAGAAGGTGCAAAGGCAAGAGCAAAGCAATTTCTCGCTCATGAACAAAGACATCGCATGCCATTTGGCCCTTTAATGGCGATTCATCAGAATCCTACACGAATACAACGTACTGTAATATGGCCAAGTCATGCATCTTGTCCTCATTGTAAAAGGACCTGCGTTCTCTGCAGCCCTTCCCCCTTTATACAAAGTTTTGCTCCTCTTCCACTAGAGCGCATCCGAACCTGACGCCAGTTCGTACAATCGTAATATAGAACATCAAGTATTGCTGTATTTCACATAATCAGCACACAGTGCCTCACCCTCCTCTGCCTGCTTAGATGGGGTATTGTAAGACAGCTCATAACAACATAACACCAGCCCTCCGGGCTCCAGCGTCGGGAGAAATAATATAATACAGCGTTTCAAGTCATAACATGCTTCTGTCATCTGTCCAGTCATATGGGCAGATTAAGCAACGACAGAGACTCAAAAGTCAGTTGGCGCTTCAACCAAGCAGATTGGACACATTCATCCGGGCATCTCTGGGACTGGCCTCGGGTGTTTGCGTGGAATGATTGCGAAAGAGGGAATTCTCCTTGCTTTTTCGCCTCGAGGAGACAGCTAAAGGCCCTGGAAGTGAGAGGGTGTGAGACAGGGCCGGCCGATCTGTATCGGTCGAGTGCTCCAACCCTGTCGCTGAAGGATTGTTTCGGTCGATTTCTCTCCAGGTCTTTTCCCTCCTATCCTGCTTCCCCTCGTGATGAGTGCCTGAACTGCGGTTGGGACACAGTTCAGGCCACATCTGCACAGTCAGATCCTGTGGCGCAGGCATTCCTGCACGGGGTGATGTGACCGTCTTCGGAGATATTGAACAGTTCGACTGGTTGTCAGAAACAAGAGAGGGCGCTTGTTGGTTCAGTGACGCCTGTGAGGATTCGGTGGCGGCCGGGGAATTAAGAGGCCCCTCGCTGGGATGTAGAGGTGCTAAGTGCCACTCGGCACGACCGGCGGACCAATTCCTCGTTAAAAAAGGCGGCTTGGAGGGCACTGCGTCTGCCGGGGGACAAATGTCAGGATTTGATGAGCAAGGTTGCATGTTGCTGTTATGGTTGGGATCGAAAGCGTAGTAAGAAGGTGACTTGGACTGCGTGTGCCGCAGACCTGGATTTTGATGTCCTGGTGCCAGCGAGACAAGGTTGCGGTCGTCCGCGACGGGACTTGTGTCGGCGAATCTGTAGTCGGTTTCTTGTGCTTCGCGCCGACGCAGGGAAAGAGGTGTGTGGGAGGAATATCCGTCAAGTTGCGGTGGACTCATCTGGGGCTCATGAACATAAATCGGACGAGGAGCTCCAGAAGCCGGAATGGGCAGGGTACGATATCCCAAAATCCTGGATTCGCCGTTGTGCTGGAAGTGGTTTCTTTTCCGGCGGTTCATGCTCCCATTCCACCAATTCTTCACCGCGTTGTCACTCCGATTTCCAAGACGACGCGCTATATCCGCCCATCGTTTCCCCATTTCTTGCACGAGTTGTTCGATGACTTCGCCTTCCTCTACGGATATAGGTTCGTGGTTGAGAGTCGGTTTGAGATTCTGGTGATATCGCTCTCTACATTGCTTTGGTGAGCGATGCTGCATATGCTGGGAAATTCGAACCCAGTTGTTGGGACCTTGCGACCGAACGAGATGTAAGAGGGTGGCGTCTTCCTCTGGTAGCCAAGGGCCGCGTCGACTGGATCGAGACATTGTGTGTTTTCTCTAAAAAGGCCCCAGATTGTTTGGACGTAGTCGTCGTGATGATACGGATATATGAATTCTTGTTGGAGGCCTCGTAGGAAGTTGTTGTCTTGTCAGCGATGCATGAGTGGAGCGAATGCTCTGTAACAACAGATGAAATGGAATTCCGAAGTTTGGAGGGAGCTCTCGATAACGCCCCGACCGTGGACCTGGGAAGTGCGAACTGCTGCAAGGGACAAAAGGGTCAGAAGACCTTGACTCCGTGCTCAGCTGTCCCTGTTGACAGACTTGTCATAACACGGGTCCGGTGCCTATCGCCAACGTCTAAGCCGTTGGGAACGAGTCCTTTGATGAGATCAGGAAGATGCCGGGGCCAATCTTGGGTAGAGTTTTGGTTGATAGAGAGAGAGTTTCAGACTATAAGGGTGACGAGTCGGGAATGAGAAGGTTAACATTATTCGGGGTTGCCGGCAGTCTTTCAATCCTAGAGAGTCCCAAAGAACGGGGATGTGTACCTAGGGAGGTCCACGAATGAGGATGCAGATCGGCGTCCCAAGACAGCTGAGTTCAAGATCCTGATGGGGAGGGACGCAGAAGGTAGGGTACGTGCGAGTGGATGCAGGATGTCAAAGACATAAGAAGCGGCGCGGGAAGCTCGAGCTGGCAACCCAGCCAGGAAAGACCATCTGAGAGCCATCAACATCCATTTTCGGCAGGGAAGCTGGACCTGTGTATTCTCCTAAGAGGAGGTCGACCCCGACCAGTACCCATGTTCCGTTCTGCCACCATTTAGCGCACCTCCCATGGCAGACTAAAGGGGGATCCTGGGAGACGAGTGGAAGAAGGTGTCAGCATCATCTTCTGATTTCGAACGCAACTCACCATTACGAGGCGTGTACCCAGCAGAGGCAAGGCAAGATCTGGCCATATCATGGCACATTTGCAGTGGTAGACTGTCAGGCTGGCCACTCTAGGTAGGTCCCAGCTCCTTTCTCTTCGAACCCAGATTGTCGTTTGTATACGTAAGAGTCCAATTACAGGGGCCGTGTAATTATCGAAACAAAAGCCACAACTCCACTAGATCGATCTCTATACCAGGATGGCCATGACTGCGAGGGTACAACCTCGGCGGCCAGGGGTGCCAAGTTGGGCTCTTGACAAATTCGCCCATGCAAGCTTGGGGCCCAGAGGTTCGTGCGTAGCGAGGGTGTCCACTCACAAGCCGTTGAACCTTTTCACTACTTCAATTTTCTGTGGCCCGGGTGTATGCCAGATCAGAGCGGCCCATTATGATTCGGTAACCTCCGCCGGTTGGCGACGCGGCAAGCGGTCCAGTGGGGATGGCAACAACGGAATGGTGCCGCCAAAACAACAGCACCGATCGAAGGTTGTCTCTCTGCGTCCCGATCGTGGCCGCTGATACTGTGTACAGGGAGCATTCCCATGTTCCAGATGGCCCCTCGGACTCTGCGGTGAGCAAGGCGTTCAGTCATCTGCATGCTTTGAGATTGCTTCAAACCCCAGGATTGTCGGGTGGTCGAATGAGCTTGGTCATCACTTATCCACGACCAACTTTCAGCTGACATAAGGCAATTGAAATCACGACGTCTGTGGGCCAGCGTCCCCCGTGTGATTGTCGAAAGTCAACAAAAAAACAAAAATAATCCATGACCTTTTCGTGACTGACGTCTGAGTGGACCAAGAGTAGTTTTTCACGTCAAACATTCAAGAGCCTGCAACTGTAAATTGCGACTACAGCGGCTTGCGGTCGGAGCGTTGGACCGTTGCAGCCCCTGCCGAGAAAGGGGCCTCGAGCCTGTCATTACTGGCTGCTGGTAAATGCTAAGAGGTAGTGGGTTGCGGGAACGACCAATCGCAATGTCCACACTGGGATTGGGATCGCAGCCGGATCTGAGGCGAGTTGATCCCAGGACAAAGGTGACCACAGACTAGAGGGCGGGCTGAGACGACTAGTGCGGACCTAGGAAGACTTCATCGTACTCTGGATACCTGAAGGGTCTGACACAGGACGCCACGAACCTTGAGCTGTCCCAAATAAGGTGTGGACATGTTCAGGATTGGGATCTCCTTGCCCTAGTGCTTGCCACTGGCCGCTTAGTCAAGACCCGGGAACCCCAGCTGCAACGACCGTTGGTCCAAACTTTGGTTCGGGCAGATCATCGACCCGCCGATTCCAGGGCATGTCAAGATCTGGTCGGAGTCGGGCTCGTCTGGTGGAGATCTGGACGAGTCGTCATCATCGAATAAAGATTCCGGCCCTCGAAGGCTGATAGATGGTGGTGTCAGTCTCGGTATAGGCCCGGGGCCCCCCGGATCGTTAACTATCAATGTCTGTGCCTCCCAATACAAGTCTTTGATTCCAATGACATGGAGGTGTCAACAGCCCATGGTGATAACTCGTGGAAGGAGGAAAACACCGAACAACCCGTATTCGTTCAGGAGATGGATTTTCAATGCTTTGGGAGGGTGTGAGAGGTTCCGTCGACGCGTGAAGTTTGTCAAGAGTGTTTTGCCGGGTGCGTAAAAGTACTATGCAAGCCGCGCACTGACCATTTCACCCTGTTACGGGCGCAAAACGGTGCCATTTGAGGTGTACCAGCGAGTGATGAACGAATGATGTCCCTGGTAAGCCGAGTTGGGCTCCGTAGGAGGGTGTGGATGGGCAGGTCGGGCAACGTCGTTCGGTGGAGGCCACGGCTCACACCCATCGCCAAGGCATCCGTTGTGGAGGTTGAGAACTGCCAAACCCTTGAGAATTTCAGGAGTCAGCTGGAGGAGGCGATCGGCGATGGATAGAGGTTAGACTTGGGACAAAGTCGAGGACCCAGACATCCCTGGACACACCTGCAGCACTAACAGGCGAATACGAGAAGCTTAAAAGCGACAAAGCGACAAGTTGGACCGAGACCGACAGTTGACATCTGAAGTGGCCCTTGATGGATCGTTGGGAGGATCTCTCTATGTTGCCCAGACTCGGAGAGGATGCTGGTGCGGTACCTTGAAACCATAGTAAATTTGACGGCACTGTAAGTACCGCTTCTTGTGGCCACGCACCTTCAGTCATTAGATTACAAGGGATGTAGTAGAATGATGCGCAGTTCTTAGTTCTTTCTGTGTGTGCGGTTCGAGGAAGGCGGGGCAGAGGGCGCAGGCAGCATCTGCGACCAGGTAGTAGTATAGGTAGTACGTTCTAGAGTATCACCTCGCAAATCTGATTCTGATTCTTTTGGCCCTTCATCAACTGAAGCTGTACTACGTACTACCTTGTACTTGATTGCTCTACGAGATCCCATATCTCACATCTTGCATTCACTGCTGTCGGACAAGGTCGCTTACGACTGAAGGCATGGCTGTTTTTGCACAGGCATCACTTTTGCACGCAGTACCACTTCCATCCACGCGCGGCTGTCTCGCCCTCCTCTTCGGGCCCCTTCCCATATCAGGCCATATCCGCAGCCAAGGCGGTCACTCAATATTCCAGGGGGCATGCCCTGCCTTGGCGCTGTCCGACTCTGTGGAAGACCGAAAGAGTCGAAGTCCGTTTGCCTGTCGACGTCCTGTTTTGGTATCAGCTTGTGAGCTTGATCCATCATGCAGCGGGGAAGCCCTAGCATCCGTCTGACAGTTATCTAGGCGACTCGGTCACTGCTGCCGCAGATGACAGACACCATCCGAAGGGTACAGATCGTACGACCAGGTCGAGTCGGTTAGAGGATAACATACTACGTACCATGAATGGCGCCGCCTCTGTCACCGCCTGGTTTTATCCTCTATGACACTTGCAGTATTCCGGTCAGTACGTCTTCTGTGCTTCAGGGTTATACACGAGTAAGCATACAAAGGGTCCTCAATTATTAATGCATACGACCATGATCGGTGGGAACCCCCAAGCCAGCAGTGACGGGGCTCGACCGACAGAACCTTGTCTCAGCTCCGAGCAAATCCCGGTTTCTCAGATCAAAAATTGGTCTTTGACCGAGTCGAATCAACACCTACTGCGATTCGACGAGCCTGTATTTCCGGCCTCGATCGATCTGTCGGTTGTCCTTGCCTAGCCTAGCAGCTTTGACACGGTCCGAACAGTTTGACCCTTGAGCCAGATTAATGCTAGGCAAGAAAATGGTCGCTCCACCACAGCTTTGCGGGTTTAAGTGGACCGGGGCGTGCCCCAGCAGGACCTCGAAGTTGTCAACAGCGTTGCCTCATGTTGCTTTCCGGATCTGCAGCCCCAGTTGGGTCCATCGGGAAAATCTGGATCCTATTGGACGGTCCGTTCAAAAAGGGCGAGTTGCCCCCCAGTTTTAGCCGGTCAATTGTTTTTGGGAAAAGGAGGCTCAAAATCGAGGCAGCCCTAGATCCACCATCAAGAGTGAAACCAATTTACTAATAATGGCTGACAACGACGCGGCGCAAGAACCGTTTCCTTTCTTCATAAAGCGAGGTAATATTGCCGACGAGACCGACTTTACCTAGCCGACACTGACAAACCCTCTCTTAATCCCTCGATTACGCTCCTCCTGTGGACCGTCCTGCCATGTTGACTCATCGACATAATCGCTTTCGCCTAGCTCCTGCACCCTCCGACCCAGAACGCGGAGCCCTGCCAGGTTGAAACCAAGATCGTGCTTCTGCTGCTCGAGAACGTGCCGGAACTTGTCCCGGAGGTCTTCCAACATGACTCTCATGGTTCGGCTGCTGACAATTTGTTTCTGATGGACTTTGAGCATGAAGAACAGGATTCGACATGTGAGAGGGATGTTTCGTCCTTCGGCCGCCCAAAGGGCAAGAAACGTGAACAGCGCTGGCAGTTGTGAAAAGGACAAGACGAGCAGGGCATCCTGAAGTGACGCGGAAGGGACCTTCTGAAAGACGCCCAACACGTAGACAGAGGCAGACACATTGTTGTTGGCGAGGAACACCGCGTCTCGTTGTGGCATGGCGACCTTCGGGTTGGTACGCTTCGCCTGCTCATACTGTCGCATCAAGCCGAGATCTTCCAAGCCAACCTCGAGTGCTTCTGCAATCTTCTCTCCAGCCATGAGAGTCTGTGCAGTCTGCTTCCCCGCGGCCGCGACCTCCACCCCCTCTGCATCTCCATTGACCTGTGTATCGTCCTGTTCAAGCGATGTCAGGAGTGTGTTCTCGTATAGCTCCTCGAGCTCCTTTTCTCGCTCTTCTTCCAAGAAAATTTGCTCGTCTGTCTGCTCCCACAACCTGATGCTCTTGTCGTGGCTTGCACTGACAAGGAAGTCCCCGGAATGCGCAATTGCTAGAGCCCAGATTTCCCCGTGGTGACCGTCCAATTTTTGGATCTGCTCAAACTTGTCGGCGTCAAAGTATTTGATGACCCGGTCTTTGGACGCCGAAAAGAAGTGGTGGCCGTTTCCCTCGTTGTTGTTGGGCACGAAAAGTACAGACAAGATACTGTCTTGATGAGCAAAGAACGCCTTGTGACAGTCACCAAAATCCAATCCCCATACGCGAACGTTCTTGTCAGCGCTGGACGTGACAATCAGCTTACTATCGTAGCTGATGTCCATGCTGAGTACCGGCAGTTTGTGTCCATAAAGCGTCAGGAACAATTTGAGGGTGTCCACGAAAAACACCTTCACCGTGTTATCCAAGGTGCTGACGGCTAGGAGTCTCTCGTCGGGCGAGAACCGGAGGCTCAAAATGTCATCGGCCACCTTCAATGTGCGTGAGTGAACGAGCACCAGCTTCGCGTTCTTGCGGTTCGTCCCGAGGACTTCTTCCTGGACCACTTTGAACTGCCAGAATTTGGCCGATTTGTCGGCTGATCCTGTGACCAGCGACTTGCCGTCTGGACTGACCTGGAGCGCCCAGATATCTCGCTCGTGGGCGTTGATGGTGTCAAGCAGGGTCGAAGCTGCAATGTCGAACACTTCGAGTGTGCCCTCCCGAGTCCCAACGACGACAATTTTGTCGCCAGGTAGAAATGCCATGCAAAGGGCGTATCCACAGTCGAGTGTCCGCAAACAGCTTTGTGTCCTGGTATTCCAGATCTTCAAGCTGCCGTGGGAGGCAGTTGCGAGCATCCTGTCGTCAGAACTCAGCGCAACACACCGGATATCTGTACGATGCCCGGGCATATCAACCGACAAAGTCCGACTATATTCGGGGGCTTCAGCGGTCTTCTTGTCTGATGCTGTGACGTCGAACAGTTCTAACTGGTTATTCGATGTAGCCACCAGGATGTGGATGGACTTCCCGCTCCGCTCGCCGGCCCAGGCTACTGACCTGACCTTCCCTCCCGTCCGAATGATCACATATGGCACAAATATGTCCGCCGCGGTAGCGGCAGATATGTCGTTGGGGTTGTCAATGTCATGGGCAACATCCACGCCGGAATCGACATCTCCGCCATTTTCTCCCTTCTCCTTCCTCCTTTTGCGTTTCCGGGTCAGTGCTCTCCGTACCTCGTTCTCTGAGCGGATTCGTAGTAATTCGATTGATTTATCGGATCCATGCACCGCGATCAAATCTCGTTTTGGGTGGAAGTGAACAGCCAGCGGCCGGTCTCGCCCTTGTCGGTATAGTGCACCACGCTCATGGAGGATGTTCTGTTGTCCCTGACCGCTCAACCCCAGCTTTTCTTTCATCACGGAATCGTCGATTGACCAAACTTTGAGCTCTCCGTCGTTGCCAGCAGTAATACAACCGGTGCCGTCTCTCGTCAAACCCAATGCCCAACACTCCCCGTTCGTCTGGGTAACATGGGTTTCTAAGCAATGCTGAGTGGAGAGGTCCCACACTTTGATCAGCGCATCTTTGCTGGTTGAGAGGAGGAACTGGTCCGAATCCCTGTTCTCACTCTGCTCGTCTTGAGTCTCGCCCGACAACGCCGCATTGTCATCCACTGTAAGGAAATTAAGTGAGGTGATTTGGTCTTTGTGTCCCCGTAAACGGTACAGCCCGACCTCAGCAACCAGGTCCCAAAGAATGATGTCTGTGTCTCTCGAGCCGCTCGCAAGACGCACTCCAGACCTGTCGAACTTGAGCTGAGTGACCGCTGTCTTGTGGCCATTGAATGTGATTATCACCGTCGCCGTTCTGGAATCCCATATGCGTATTTTGCCATCTTCGTAACCGACTGCGAAAACGTCCGGGTCCACGTCGCTTCTGCAAATCACGGTGACCAGGGCATGGTTGTCCTCGACGTTCCACACTCCAACTCGTTCCGATGTTTTCAGATCCCACACCAACACCTCCTCGTTTGCGCCGACATATGCTCGTCCTGCTCCGCCTCTGCTCGTCGACCCGTCATGGCCGGCAGCTGGATCCCAGACGACGTTGGCGGCGGCAGTACAGATTTGGCCGAAGGTCTTGCTATGCTGGAATTTTCTACGCCAGTCAGTACAGAGGGCAATGAGAAGTAAGGCACGACGGGCAGATACTCACAGATATGACTTGACCATTGCGCAGATGTTCCTGTCGCGAAGGTCGAGGATTGCATTCCGGCGCAACTTTTTTGGACAAAAAGATTCAAGCAAACGTGACAAACTTGAACTCCCCAACGCAGCCCAAACTTGAAGGACTCCACCTACGGCTTGGCATATTTGTCGTGTTGAGCTGAGGCTGACGTTTCAATGCCAGCACTGGCACTTGCTGCTACCACTACTAGTACTACTATGCTGTATCCGCCTGCAGGCTACAACCGCAAGGGACATATCAAGGTGGAAGTAATAAGACCAGGATACCTACGAGCTCTTGACACAACTTGATCTGCTCCGTTCTCACCGCGGATAGACAATAAGAAAGGAAACCCACCTGCTTGCTGCCCGCTAGAGCAGCCTCTCCTCCCCCCTCAAGATGCTTCTCCTCGACTACCAGAATGTCCTGATCCAGTCCATCCTCACAGATCGGTTCTCGGGCGCGCCTCCGCAGTCGATTGACCAGGTTGTGTCGGACTTTGACGGAGTGACGTTCCACATCTCGACCCCGACGACGAAAACGCAGATTCTCATTTCGCTGTCGATCAAATGTTTCCGCGAACTCGTGCAATATGGCGCGGAAGCCGTGCTGCAAAGAGAATACGGAGCGTACATTACCGCGACGGAGGCCGGCTACGACTTTAGTATTCTGGTAGACCTGGAGAGTCTGCCGCCGACGCCGGAAGAGCGGGAAGAGCTGGTGCGGAGAATCAGTCTGTTGAAGCGCAATGTCATGGCGGCGCCGTTCGAGAAGGCCTACGACGATTTCTCGCACCTGTCCGAAGAGGCGGCCAAATATACGTCCGAGTCCGCACCGCAGGGCGTCCGAGATGGGGGCGAGGTCATGGCAATCCATTACCGCGAGGAAGAGGCCATTTACATCAAGGCGAGCTCGGATCGCGTCACGGTCATCTTCTCCACCGTGTTCATCGACGCTGTGGATCGGATTTTCGCAAAGGTCTTCATGCAGGAGTTTGTCGATGCGAGGAGACGCGCCATCCAGAACGCCCCGCAGGTGCTGTTCAGAAGCGATCCGCCTTTGGAAATTCAAGGGCTGAAGGGAGTCGGGAAGACCGGGGAAAAGGGCGAGAGTGGCTTCATCACGTTTGGTAAGAGACCAGACCATTGTGTAATGACCGGTGTGCTAGATCCAAGGGCTAATGTGCAGCAGTTCTGTTTCCGCGGCATCTGACTCGGCAACGACGGGACGAAGTCATCTCCCAGATCCAAACGTTCCGCGATTACTTCCACTATCATATCAAGGCATCCAAGGCCTACATCCACTCCAGGATGCGGCGTAGGACAGCAGACTTCTTGCAAGGTTTGTGGTGTCTCCCGTTCTGTATCATCATATCCAAACTAATCCCCTTTCAGTACTAAACCGTGCAAGACCCGAGACGGAAGAGCGGGAAAGGAAAACAGCCAGTGGCAGAACGTTCCGAGTTCAAGCGTGAACCGCATAAGAGTGGACGAACGTCCGTGATGTTATTGATCCATAAGAAACTGGTCGGCCGCATTTGGCACAGGAATGGCTAGAAGCGCTAGAGTTTGCCACGGAAAAGCCACTGTATTCCCTGCCGTGGTCAATGCCAGAATTGTCCGTTTATAGTTTACAGTTGCCGTGACCCTTCCATTATATGGTTGTTTGGAGGCGATTGACAAGCCTCGCCATTGTTTCTCACTACTTAGACCGTCGTCATGACACTGGCATTTGCATACCAGCTCAACATGGGATTTTCTCCGTTCTGCACTTGGGTTTCCTCGACGAAGGCCCAGCTTTCGAGGAAGTCTTTATGTGACGAAACTCTGGTCAGCTTGCCGGTGATGGCACGATAGATGTCCTCCATCATGGCGAAATCGGTGGGGAAGAAGATGTCAAAATATCCCTGATGCACAAAAGGAGTCGTGACCTGCACGTTGCGCCGCTGGTACCGGGTCTGCACGACCGGCGCGTTCAGTCCTGGCACTGCGTCGGGCAGATAATTGAAGTCCGACAGGACGAGACGGTGGGCGGGGAAGAACTTGTGCAGGACATCGAAAAACTCCAACAGTCGGGTCGGGATATATTCGGGCTGAGTCAGGTTCGGGGCGAACGGTAACGAGTGGCGCAGCTGTCGAAGGATTTTCGGCTGCGACACGGGCGTGACGAAGGGCGATCGCGCAGCGACCTCTCGAAGGCGTAGGTATCGTTGAGCAACGGGGTCGAGGTTCCGGTCGTAGAACTCGAAGAACTCGCCGTCCTCGTCGATCAGAACACTACCCTGCAGCGGCTCCTCGGTTTCGGGATTGTAGCGGATACAGTCGTGGGGAAAGTTGTCAATGACTTCCAGCGCGAGGAAGAAGCATGGCGAGTGTACGTATTCCCGCCAGTCGAACACGGAGCGGTTGATGATTTGCACATGATCAACGTGCTCTGTGGCATAAGGCGACCTCTGTAGGCTGGTCATCTGCAGGTCGGCCAGAGCGGTGGAGATCTCGATGATCTTGAATTGTGTCCGCGCGTACACCTCGGGCTCCCACTCATAGATATAGTCGAGGATGTTTCGCATCAGCGTCCCATTGCCCGCGCCCATCTCGTAGATGATCAGATCGTGATATGGAAACAACGTCATCTTGTAGTTGGTCACCAAGTACCGCGCGATCGCTTCTCCGTAGTAAGGTCGGAACAGTTCGGTGGGCGTGTGCCAAAGCTGTCTGGTTTCGTCGGGCTCGACTTCGTCCAGGGCATCTTCGAACTCGACGTAGCTTAGGTCCACCATGCGATTGAACTCTTGCCCGTCCTTGATGGAGGGGAAATCGAAGGGTTTACCGGCATTGAAGATGGTCGCGTGCTTCGAGAAGTAGCCGTAATTGGGATTGTAGAGACTATCTGCACAAGAAGTCAGTCTGTTGGCCTCTGTAGACAGCGGGACCGCCCATACCTTCAATGAAGTCTCGTGTCAGCATTTTGACCCTCCGCGGCCGTTGTGTTCGATGTCGAAGGTCGCTTGCAGTGACACGGGGATATTCTTGGAGTTGCCGTGTCATGTCCTTGGGGAATGCATCGATTCTTTGCTGCCAGGGGCTGCCACCATCCTGGTCATCTTCCTTTCGTCGGAGAGCATACGTCCTGCGCTGGTTGAACTGTCGCGCAGCAGGGTACCGAGGTGCATTTGCCAGGCGAAGACACCGTCGAGACGGTCTTGCAAAGAGCTGTTGGAATATTCGCGTTACGACAGGCGAGTCCATTGCGAACACGGAAATCCTTGCACCTCTTCACCCTGAGAGAGGAGCTTGCGGATCAGGGGAGACTCCCAGACTTCACAGCCTGCGATTGGAATCGGATGCGGAGAAGTTCAGTCGTTGATGTTCATTATTCAAGTTTGGCTGTGAAACTCGACGTGAAGCCGATGATTAGCCGAATACGGTTGTTACAGCGGAGCATCGTCATGCGAACCGCAAACTATGCTAACAACATCATTCATTTGTACATCGATCAATATACGACATAACTACCAATATAAGGTACTTTCTCAGCCCATTGCTGCTTGTCTGGGTCTGTTGACGCATCTTGCAGGCGGCCTTGGGGTGAGAGTGAAGCACTGGTGGACAAGTCGTCGGGGAGAGAATCGAGCTTCAAGTTCCTGAAGACCGTGGAAAGTATACGGCGATTTCTTACTTTTCTGGATTGAGTATGCCATGGACACATCGTGATGTCCTTGTAGGCTTCGCCTCGGGCCTGATCGTGGCGGCGGTGGTTGACCATCTCCGTCGACGGTACACGCTGGGCTGGTTGGCGTCCAAGTCGAACGAACAGACGAAGCCGGCCTCAACTCTGCATGGCCAAGCACTCCGGCCTTCTGGAGTCGGCATCGAATCCACGATCGGCAACACTCCATTAATTGAGATTCGATCCCTGTCCGCGGCCACGGGATGCACGATCCTGGCGAAATGCGAGTTTCTGAATGGCGCGGGCAACAGCCCCAAAGACCGTGTGGCGCTGAGCATGATCGAGCACGGTGAAGCTGCCGGTCTCTTGGAGCCTCATTCAGGAGATACCATCTATGAAGGTACGGTCGGGTCGACAGGCATATCCTTGGCCACGCTGTGCCGGGCACGGGGCTATCTCGCGCACATCTGCATGCCTAGCGACCAGAGCTTCGAGAAATCCAATCTTCTCCTCAAACTGGGCGCGGTGGTGGAGAGAGTGACGCCCGCTCCTATCGTCGATCAAGCCCATTTTGTCAACCGCGCCAGGAACCTAGCTCGCGAGCATACGGCCGACCCAGCCAAAAGGGGGAGAGGCTACTTCGCTAACCAGTTCGAGACCGAGGCCAACTGGCGGGCTCATTACGACGGGACCGGACCGGAGATATATGCTCAGGCGGAAGGGCGAGTGGATGCCTTTGTCACGGGCGCTGGGACCGGCGGCACGCTGTCAGGCGTCGCAATGACTTTGAAAGAGTGTCTACCGCAAGTAAAGGTGGTGCTGGCCGATCCGCAGGGCAGTGGGCTCTACAACAAAATCAAGCACGGTGTCATGTTTCATAGTCTGGAGAAGGAAGGCACTCGGCGTAGAGATCAGGTCGATACAATTGTCGAAGGCATCGGCCTGACCCGTTCAACCGTCAATTTCGAGCAAGGCAGAGAGCTGATTGATGACGCCGTCAAGGTCACAGACGCGCAGGCCAAGAACATGGCGAGATGGTTGGTGGAAAGAGATGGTATTTTCATTGGCAGCAGTAGTGCCGTCAATTGTGAGCATATCAGCCTTGGACATGTTATACATCACTGACATCCCACAGGCACTGCTGCTTTACAAACAGCTCTGAAACTTGGCCCTGGCCATCGCGTGGTGACTATTCTCTGCGATTCCGGGGCTCGACACCTCTCCAAGTTCTGGGCTCAGATCGGAGACATCGGAGGAGAAGCCCGCACGACAATTGAGGATATTCTGGAAGGAAGATCTCTCAACTAGACCATCAGCTTATGGGCGTCCATCGCTTCAGTCAATCACCAGATCGGTCACTGGGGGCAACACCGGCTGTTCTCTTGCGTGAAGTCCGTGGACCCCTGGGACTTTGGGAATGCTCTGTTGCTTCGCCACCAGAATTCTGTAATGCCGCCAGCCAAATATCTGCCAGTTTGTCAACAACGTCGGTGACACTGCAGTTTTGAAACGATCGAGCGAAAGTCGCAACATCCGCCTTGGGATTTCGGCACAATTGATCCAGGGTTTCCAACTCAGCCTCGGTCCATTCTCGGGCATCCTCTTTACCTTTTTTGCTTCGGCGTTTCCGATATCTCACGTACGCTTCCTTCAGCTCCGTTCCGTTCTTTTTCGTGCGGAGGGCTCCAGATTTGGCGATTTCGTCGAAAGATTCACCGGCTCCTTCATGCATCTCAACCAACCTCTTGAGGTTCTCCACACCCAATCTAGGTCCCCGGGGCGTCTTTGGCGCGGTTACCCAGTAGTCCCGAAGGTACACCATATCATGAACGCCATCGGGAGGGGTCCCACTGTGCTCGGCCGCAAGCACCAACGCCTCCCAGTGCTTGAAGACGGAGAACCGAGTCTTCCATTGACGCTCGCAATAAAAACAAATGCCCTGCCTCATTTTCGCCACTTGCTCGTCGTTTCCCCTTCCATTGCTTCTGTTGGACTTCCAAATCACTACCTCCTCTTCATCCACTTCCACCTTCAATTCATCGCCCTCCTGCACTTGTTCTGATCGATCACCCGATGGCTCTTCTTGCAGAGGGTCCACTGACTCCTCCCGTATTCGCTTATGTTGTTGCCACCGACTTGTCATCTGTGGTGAAAGCTGCCTCGCATTGGAGCCCCAGACAGACACGCCAAACCCCGATGAGAGTGGTTCTCCGTGGTCAGGGGTTTGATATTTCATATTGGAGGGTGTTTTCGACCCTGAAGCCGACCTGGTGGGCTTCGAAGGCTTCGGGGTGACGAGATCAGGCGGTAATCGCCAGGCCGGTTCCACCTGGGCTTCGATCGCCGTGTTCCTCGCTTTCCGCAACATCTCCAGCACCTCCTTCCCAATCTGCGGTCCGTACTTTTGCAGAATCGCACTTTCTTCCGGCTCGTCGCGAACAGGTGATGTTCTCGAGGAATGGCGGACCGGGTCGTCACGGGCTAGTGCGGGGGATGCTACTTCGAAGAGAGAATCGGGGCTCGACGACCGCTGTTGATCACAGACCTCGAAAAGTGAGTCCTTGTCGGAGTCGTACGCATCTGCCTTCGCACCGGGGAAATGCTCCTGGACAGCGTCCTTTGTGTGCGGAGGCTTATGTAGATCTGGAGGCGTAAAGTATGGGCTTTGTGATCGTTCCGGAGTAGTAAAGGATTCATCTTGACCGTCTTCGGAGGAGGTTTCGTCGTCAGACATGGCTGTGTCCTCGGCGATCCCTTCGATGCTCGTGATCAAATCGTCGGCTTCCTCAGTCGAAGCCTGATCTTCACCATCGGATTCCATGGCAATTGCTTTCAGGAATGACTTCCCGTCCAATTCCTCGTCATGAATCTCTCCAACGTCTGCTTCGTCCTCCATCCCTTCCAAGTGTCCATTATTGACCACGACCTTTCCCTTTACAATGTCAATCTCGTCACCGACACCGGTGAAATCATGAGAATATTTTTCGAATATAGACTCGAATCGTGATTTTAGAAGATGGTCATTCCTGTAGCGTAGCGCACCGAGGTCTTCGTCGAGTTTGGCGTCTGTGGATTGATCTGCGAAGATGGAAAGGCGGGGTCTTTTCGGAAAAGGCTCTTCCATTTTGCGCCTTGTCGACGGTCAGACCTGGTAACGGGTAGGTGGTAAGAGACGAGGTAGTCCTGTGTATGTGCAACGTTGTAACAGCGAGGATTGCTGTAGTTTGCAAGCTGTAAGCGTCGAGTCCAATTTACAGGAGCGAGCCAGAATAAATGATCTTGGAGTCGCGACGCGGAGCCGCGGCCGAGCGCGTCGGAGGCAGAGGCCGCCTGCGTCATTCAACTTCATAGACAACTTCGATTCAACGACGCTCTCTCTTCACAAACATAGATCAGCACAAGGTAGTAGTCCACAGACACAGACGGACAATTGATATAGACACTGCAGCGCCAGTCTGTCATGCGCTCGGTATGTATTGTCAGAAGTGCCGGCAACCTCTTCGGATAGACGCCTCAGTCCAGGAGCTCAACCCGGCGTCTTTCGACCTGCTCGTTGGTAGGGCTTCCCTGTGTGTGTGTGTGTTTTCCGGGCAATCACTAACTGTACCAGCGTCTACGGCCAAATCCCAAGAAAACAACACCAATGTATCACGTCTCACCTTCCCAAGAGAACGGAAAGACCTATATGATCGTGTTTCCGGCTCGATACATCCTCCCATCTACAAACGGAACATCCCTGCCCCCCAGGATGGTGCCCAGTCAGTGGACCATGGACCCAGCAATGGACACCCTGACATGTCCTTCGTTGAGATAACACAGTCTCAGGTGGCCTTGCAAGAGAGAGATCAAGCCGACCGAACGAGGCGCAAGACAGATGGAAAGAAGGACGACGATAACTCGGACGAGGGTGAGAAAGCGAACCTATTGTCCACACGGGTGGCTAAGACAGAGACGCTGTTCTCGGTTTTGTCCTCATATTCAGACATCGATCATCCGATATGCCAGGAATGCACCTCCATACTCCTGACCTCCTACAACGCCCGGCTGTCTGGTTCGCTGAAGGAGAGAGACGCTTATGCTTCATTCCTCAAGTCTGTACAGCAGACCGTCTCGTCTATATCGAGCGGAAACGACACCAAAGCACGCAAAGAGGTCCAAGACGTACAGAAGCAGGGAGAGTCTACTTACAATCAGCTCACTCGGGCTGAAGGCGAATCTCGTCAGGTCGAAGGGGAGATTGCAAGCCTGGAGGAGGAGACGCACCAGGCTGACTTGGACGAACAAGCGTATTGGCAGTCGCGGAACGCCTTTGATGACGATCTGTACCAGATTACAGTTCGTCTCATGTCCTTGAAGGAGAAATATGCCCATGATCGTCAACAGCTTGAGCGGCTTCAACGAACCAATGTCTACAATGACACATTCTGCATAGGCCATGATGGGTATTTTGGCACCATCAACGGTCTGCGACTCGGCCGTCTGCCGAATCAGAATGTCGACTGGGCCGAGATCAATGCAGCATGGGGCCAGACATTATTGCTCCTCGCTATTGTCGCAGAGCGGCTGAAGTATTCGTTCCAAGGCTACCGCCTACGACCGCAAGGGAGCACATCTCGCATTGAGAAGCTGGAGTATCCCCAACAAGCGCCTGGTGCAACGCGGCAAAACGGCGCAGATCGTGGACTACGTTCAGCCTCTGCGAACCCGGAGCCAAAGGTCACTCGACTGGACTTGTTCAGCAGTGGTGACATGGCAATTGGTCGGCTCTTGAATCATCGACGGTTCGACGCAGGAATGGTGGCATTTTTGGAGTGCTTAAATCAGTTGGGCAAATATGTTGAGCGCACATCCAGCATTGAAGCCAACACACATAATCACCACGGTAGGAACGCAAATATGCGTAGTCCGCTTCCGAAAAGGGTGTTACCATATCCAATACAGGGCGACAAGATCGGGGACGTCTCCATCAAACTTGGGGTCGGATTCCATCAGGATGAGAATTTTACGAAGGCTTGCAAGCATGCTTTGACGAACTGCAAGTTCCTCCTGGCTCATGTTAGCAATCTTGAGGTCCAGAAAACTCCATGACCGAGGCTGGCTGCTGAATTCATACCACTTGGATCCCTGATACAGTCGTGCAGCTGACAGCTGCTTGTACGTCACGCTGGATCGCTCCGGATCTTTGAGGCCGACGTCATATACTGAAAGTCCCGGACGTTGCGTCTCCATCGTTACCTTTGGGAGCCATTCCTCTAAACAGACAGAACGTGACGTGGCGGAACGCTATGCCTGAGGTCGAAGCTTGTCGCATCGTTAGAAGAGTGGTTCATATGATCAACTGACGAACCTTACTTGCGCAATCAATCATCAGAAAGTCAACCGGGTTTGAGGCACCGTGTCTGAGGAGATGAGCCTGTAGCCCTTTGTCATAGATGGAGAGGAGCCTTGGCTGTCCACTATCGTGCTGATGACTGTCAAGATGGTAGACTATCGAGGCTCTCATATGTCGACTGGAAGCAGATTCCAACAGGAAGGTCGAGCCAAGGTGGGCCATGGGGTCTATGCCCAACCCTTCAGCAAGGGGATGTTCACAGAGAGTATCCATACCTACTCACCACGCACCCACGGGCTGGGAAAGAACAGCCTCGATCGTGAGCAGATAGCAAAATAAGACAAGAATAGAATCAGACTGTCGTGCAAGTTGTGCCCGGCAATGTACGACAGTATAGGAATGCGATATTTTGTCTCCTATGTCGTTCACAGTTGGCTTGAGCTGCTTAGCTAATCAAAAATCACTTTACGCGCTTCGCGTGTTTGTATTTGAGGGCGTGTTCTCAGCGCGTCATCCATCGCATACAGAGTACTATCGCTATCCACTCTGTGCACCTCAATGCATGAACAGCATCTAATCACCTCATCCTGACCTTTAGAGTCCCTCGGCTAGAGCCACTCCTCAACATGGCTCGAGGCGCAGCGCCAGTCGAGCAGTCAGACTTCGAAAAACAGCGACTTGCAAACATTGCAGAAAGAGATGCGCTCCTCAAGAAGTTGACCCAGGAAGCGCAACAAGCAGGCCTCTATTCCAAACCGCCATCTGCAGGCACGCAAAATGGACAGAAGAGATCGGCGAGACGAAAAGAGCCTTCTGCGAAGAGGGTCAAGAAAGAGGTTGAAGTCGCTCCGCGCCGCACATCCTCCAGATTAGCAGGGATCCAGCCGGACAGTGAGGCGGCCAAACAAAAGGCGGAAGAAGAGTACGAGAAGGCCAAGGAGGTTGAAAAGCAAAAGAGGCAAAGAGTCACAGGAGACCTGAACTTTGCAGATGGATCAAGCTTGATCGGGACGGACGTGCTGCTCAAGGGGGTCGCAAGACCATACGAGCGGACGTTTGACGAGGACGATATCCGGGAAACGACCGACAAAGACCTGAAGACGCTGCGACAGAAGATGAGTTCATTAGAACTGTGGAATGCGTGGGAGCCTAACCGGATCAAAATCACTCCGGAACGGATATACAGCATGTCTTTCCACCCTAACCCGACAAAACCGATCGTGTTCGCAGGCGATAAGATGGGCAACCTCGGGATTGTGGACGCCTCACAGACTCGCAAGGCCGTAAAGCAGGAAGAAGACGAAGACGAGGATGACGACGATCAAGATCCCGAAATCACAACCATCAAACCTCACACCCGCACCATCTCAGCCATGCACACGCACCCGTCGAAACCGGAAACGCTGTACACGGCCTCGTACGACTCGTCGATCCGCGCCACCGACCTGCAAAAGGGCGTTGCGGTGGAAATCTACGGCCCCGGCAATAAAGAAGAAGACGAGCCCGTGTCTGGCGTCGACATAGCCGCATCGGATCCGAACGTCGTCTATTTCACCACTCTCAATGGCGCGTTTGGGAGATACGATCTCCGACAAGATCCGTCACAGGCCGATCTGTACCAATTGTCTGACAAGAAGATCGGCGGCTTCTCCTTGAACCCTGTCGCGCCGCATTATGTCGCCACGGCCTCGCTCGACCGCTTCATGCGCCTGTGGGATCTGCGAAAGATCACTCAGAAGCTGCCGACCTTGGTGGGCGAGCACGAGTCGAGGCTGAGCGTGAGCCACGCGGCGTTCAATACGGCTGGACAGGTCGCCACGACGAGCTACGACGACACGATAAAGGTCCATTCGTTTGGAGCCAAGAACAACAAGACTCCCTTTGCGGCTCTGGAGAGCATGAACCTGTGGAAACCCGGGTTTCAGCTCGACGAGGCTGCCATGAAGCCTGAGGTGATCATCAGACACAACAACCAGACGTACGTGGTCTTGTCAATTCCCTCTCAGTCCTCCTCATCCCGACACCCACTCTCACTCCCGCTTTTGTTTCTCATGCAGCTGGTTGCCAGCCTGCTTGTCTGCTGCCTGCCATCCACAGGCCTTGCTGCACGATTCTCTTCAGTCTGCTTTATGTCTTCCTTCTTGTGGCCACGTCTCAAGTGCGTATGCCTCGAGTGTGCATGTCTCGAGTGTACATGTCTCGAGACTCGTCACACCAGATACTCGTTTCCATTTCATTTCCTCCCCCCGGGGTTTGATAGACACAGGACAAGGACACCTAGCTTAAGCAGCATACTGACAGCGACTGATCTTGAACAGCGGTCGATGGACGACGATCCTCAAGCCTCAATGGCAAATGTATCCCGAAGACAACATCCAGAAACTAGTCGTGGGTAACATGAACCGGTGAGTCGAGTCCTGCGGTACCGGGGTCCTCCAAACCTCCTTAGGTTGGCTTTCTACATCTTGGGAAAATACTTTCCCTTTGCCCCTCCGCTCTTTTTCCGTAATCCCAACTAATCAGTATTTCACGTCCTCACCAGCTTCGTCGACATCTACAGCGCAGACGGGACCCAACTAGCCCAACTCGGCGGCGAAGGTGTCACAGCCGTCCCGGCCGTCGCTGTGTTCCATCCCACGAGGGACTGGGTGGTTGGCGGGACAGCGTCTGGGAAAATGTGTTTATGGATGTAAGACTAAGACAAGTTATCTCCTTCTGTGGGGGATGCCACAAAGACCGGAAGTTGGAACACTGTTTATGGATGTAAGACCAAGACAAGTTATCTCCTTCATTGGGGGATGCAACGAAGACCAGAAGTTGGAAACACTGTGATACTATGATACACCGGATTTGCGGAGGTGTCAATCACAACGCCGACACCGTTTCGAAAGTGGAACTTAGGGGGTGAGAGCTTTCGTCAACAGATACCTTCCGATCTCGGATTTATACTGGTCTAGGCTTGGAGCTTGGGCTGTATACTACCGTTGTAGTAAGATCTGGGTGTCCAACATGGGCAACAGACAACAAAAACGGCGGGACGCAAATCAGGAGTCAGGTGACTGTCCTTGGAAAGGGATATTTGGCTTCTGGAATTCCCAATCGAGAGTACTTGACGTCCAGAATAAAACAAAGGACAGCACCGAATTCGCCTGGCATCAAGATGATCATGAACACGAACGCTCAATCCAATTGCGAGGAGACTTCAGGATCTCGCTTATTGACACGTCCATCGACCCAGGCGACGAAACGTCGAGCGTCTCAAGACCGGCGCAACTCGCATAAATCGTTCGTCGCAGCCTTCGTTCCAGCATGCCATCCCACGAGGCTGAGGCATCATACATGCTTGCTGCATGCCTGCTGGACGCTCTGGAGTACTATTCCACACCTTCGAGTAGGCGGTATTAAAAATATCACTCCTACAAAACCCCCCACTTCTAACGATCTCTCACAATCCTCATTTGACCATCTCAACGGCGAGTTATGCCGACATCCCTCAATCCGGAAGACCTCCCAAAGTAACGACAATAAACCCAACATCCCCAATCTCATTCTTGAGCGGTGTCCAATGTACAGTGAACTTCTCATACCCCATAAACCTCCGCGTGCAGAGTGTGAGGTCGAGCGAGATGGGGTTTCCGCCACGCACGGCCGTGCGGACCTGCGCCTTGAAGTCTCCGCCCAATTTGTTCGGGGTATGGGTGGAAAGGAAGCGAAAGACGTCCACGCCGACAATCTGGGGCGTGTAAACTGTTGTATTGCTCAACTTGGATGTCAACGAGGTCGACGCGGGCTTGGCAGGGTAGAGGAGCGATCTGATGCCGGCGGAGTGGAAGCTGATATAGAATGTTGAATAGTTGACGACGAGAAACTGCAGTGGCAGGATCACAATTGTCAGCATTTGCGACTGAACATACTCTTTAGATGGGAGATTGTCCTCCTGAGGCACACGGCAAGATGAAAAAGGGATAACAAGAACGTCTTCTTCTGCAAGCGGGAGTGGCAATCGGAGAATATAGTCTGATCTTCGTCCGGGAAGGGCAATACGCACGGGACGAGGAAGGGAGGAAAAGGCTACAGACATACCTTTGAGTAGGCGGTATAAAAGGTATCGATCTGCTTCCTCAAGTTGTTCTTGTCCATCTGCTTCAGGACCTCCTCTTCCATTCCTGGTTGGCGATATGACTGAACGGAAGGCTTCGTCTTGAAAGAAGAAAAGAACCTGCTCGTGCGGGACGGGAGCTTGACTGGTTCAGGCGATACGATGGGATCGTCAGCATTCTCCCCTTCTTCGCCATCAGACATGGCCAGAATCCGCAACACATCAGAGGCGTTGTGGATTGTCGTCGAACAATTGACTTGTCCACCGAGGAAGAAGGCCAGATTATCATTTGCGTCGAACAGTGGTGTCGTGTACAACAAATTCCAGAATGGCTCGCCCGACTTCTTCTGGTTGAGTAGGAGCTCGACGGACTCTTGTTGAGAATCGATGGCGGCACGCATCCGTGCTACCGCGGACCTGTCGGTATGGCGGCACTGCAAGAAACGACAGTTGCGCGGGATGATCTCATTGCGGAGGTAGCCTGTCACCTTTACGAAGCCGTCTGAGGCGTACACGATCGGGTTGTCCGCTTTCGTGGGATTGGTCAGGACGAAACAATCCCCAAGTCCGGCATATCTCCCTCGATCGGTGGCCAGAGCCTTGGTGGCATCCAAAGTCATCTGATACCGGACAAATCGTGGGTAGATGTCCATGGCTACAAGCCGTTCAATGTCAATCTGCGCATGGACGAAAACAGACTCGAGCTGCGGGAGGGTCGATGTCAGACCACACCTCATATCTTTATTGACTTTGATCAGTATTTTTTCCGGGATGTTGATCTGGGTGGCTGCATTGACCGAGATGTAGTCTCGGTGGATGGCGAACATGCTGTCGGCCACTTGGTTCAGCAGGGCATTGTACTTGTCCACTTTATCCAGAAACTCCAAGTTTTCATCGCACAGCCGAGACCGACTGAACACCAACAACCGATGAAACGTGGCAGGGTTGTGGATGGCGAGCTGGAAGACATCCTCGGCGAAAAAGTCTACCAGCTTGTAGCCTGATGTCGAGGTCGGTGCCGTGGTATGTGATGCCCGAGAAAACGACCTTGTGGAATGGTCATACGAGCTCCGTTCACTGACAGTCTCCAGGTCGAAAACCAATTTGCCTAGTTCATCTAGATTTGGTTGCTCGGCATGGGGTTGACCGGTCCTCGTTGCTTGAATATTCAAGGACCGCACGTGTCGAGAGGATTCATCTCTCTGAGGACTCAGTGATCCTTGAGAGTCAGGATTGATGTTGCTGACTCTACCGTCATATGACATGACTGAGTTTGATCTGATGTCGGACGGACGTCTGGCGGGAGTCATCCATCCAGCGTCATTAACTGTGGCTGCTCTGCTCGGTGGTACGGTGCTTTCAAACTCGTCATCCAGAGTATAATTTCGAGTCAACCGAGATCGACCGAGATGCGAAGCCAAAGGCGGCTCCATGGTCGCCAGAAGTTAGAACCACAGACGAAGTTGGTTCGAAGAAAGTATAGGCAGGCGTCGAACTGGATGGTGATTTTGAGTTTGTCTGCCAGTCTAATCAAGCTTGCAACAGACTGACAGTACTCTGTGCTCGCCTATGTTTGGCCGTGAAGAAAGTTGACTGGATAGAGCCGAGTGTCGGGGGCATTCATTCCCGGGCAGACATCTAGTCAGCTCGAGAGTGAGGAGAGAGACGGAATAGCCTGTTTCGTAAGCTTCATAGTAGAGATGTATAAGGATACTAGTATGCTGGCTACCAAGTTGCCGAAACCAAACTTTGCCGAAGTGTGTAACGTTGCGAAGTACAGTAGAAGGATGAGCCCTGGATCGTGGAGGGGAACAAGCATGGACGGGCCGGTGAAGTGAGTCCCTTTGCTCCTTCTCTGATTTGGTACGTACAGGGATTTGGGAAGGAACTGTCGGGTTCAACCATGTTAGGCCTCATTGTGGACCGTGTATTGAATCCCTGATGCATGGTCGCCATGTGAACCGTGTTCTGGACCATTATGTGGCGAGAACAGATCCGTGACAGGAGACTAGCAGACGGACGGGAAGATGGAGATATCGGGTACTAGTAGACTGTAGACTTGTAATTGACTTCTGCATCCTGGCAGGGTTCAGGGGCCCTGGCTGGAAATGGACCTGGAGGTGAAGAGCGTCAAAGCGTACCTACCTAGGTACGTAGCGGCAGTGCCACTCGGCCGGATACCTTATGAAGTGCGGTCGTTGGTGGTGCCGATGACAGATCTTCAACGGACTTGCAGAGTGAAGAGGACGATGACATGACATGTCAGGGAAGTTGTTTTCCGCGGCAGCTCGTGCTGTATTCTGTATATGGAGGTGAAGTGCTTTCAATCGACAAGGGTAAGCTCCTTGATATGAGACGCACTATCGGACATGGAGCATTGACAGGTCGTCGTTGAAGCCAGCCTTACGTCAACACTAGGCTTGACGGCCCGCTAGACAGGGGTCTTGACGGCCGAGGATTTTGCTGTCGATGATGAGGCTGCGTGTGCTGTGGACGATTGGTCTTCTGGAAGCCATCTGGACAGTTTTGGTCATGATCTCGAATGAGTGTATTCGGCTTTTGGTTCGAGATATTGCTGCTGTTCTTATCATCTCCAACGACGGTGATTCTTCGCCAGTCAGGGGCCAGCCTGCTGCGTCTGCCTTCGCAGGCACAAGGAACTTCTCTGACGAGATAAGTATGGAGATATCTCAAGGGGCCCAGAAATATCTCTGAACAGCACCCAACTCACTGTGAAATCCCAAGATTCGTTGATTTCATGTAATCCTTGCAGGGCCAAGTTGCGGTCGAAGATATCCGGAAAGTGCTCCTGTCCACGAGAGTATTGCACCACGTCGATATAACCAACGTCAACCGATTACTCGCTGATGCTTTATCCTTGCCGTAGACTTTGTTCTGTCTGAGACATAATTCAACTGTCCCTGCGATCACAAAAGCACATTGATACTGAAAGTATCCTTGGACAAGCGAAGCCTGGATTATATCCTGTGCCAACATTGGGAAGCATACGTGCACATCCATAGACACACAGCCTGAGCAAGTATAATTGGTGGCCCCGTTGTTTGTGGCATGTGCCCCAGGAATTACACTTGCGGCTTCTGCTTATGGATGTGGCATCGCTACCAATTTTTCCGACCTCTGCGCTCGACGGAGATATCTCAACTTCTCAAGTCATTGCGACCTAGCTGTTGACATTATTCACGACATGGGCATCTTCTGTTTCTTATTCGGTTCAGGCATTTAAGGTCTCGTCGGGCCTCAGCAACGGTGTGTAGAGCGGAAGTCACGCAAACTTACAAACGATGTTGTCTTTTGGGCGCTGCTGTCAGAACGATCGGATCACAAATCAACCACCGGGGAGACCGAGCAATCGGTGCAGCAGGCGACAATACATGCTGACACTATCATCTCGGCGCGACTGGTCTGCTTAGGCTCATCGCAATCCGCTTGCATTCACGATACGGTTGGACATTGATACTTGGTCCGACCGGTAGAGCATCTCCGTGCTCGTGCGCTGTTGAGGTGTAACATTGAGCTGGGTTCTCCGTTGGCACCTGCGATGAAACACCCTCTCACTCTCTTCCTCCTGCCCTCTGGCCGATAAGACGTCGTCGCCCAGGTGAAGCCAAGGCTTGGAAAAGAGTGGAATGGCTCCGCACGAGTCCATCGACACTGGCGGAAACCCCCCTGAACCCCCCCGGCGGAACTCTTGGCAAATGCTTGGTATATGAGCTCCACTGATAAGAGACGTCCGTCCGTCCTGATCGGCCCATCAGGGTTTCGATCTCGTTCTTCAATTGCTCAGCGGAATCGATTGTCGTCCTATTGCAGTGATGGCGCCCCTTCAGAATGCACACAGATCCCTCTGCACAAGATGTTCCTGAAACTACAAACTACCTCGGTAGGGGGTCGGTTGGTCTCCATTCTACCTGTGTATGGCGCGCCATGAGATTGGCACGAACTGTTATCCGGCAACAACAACTTCGCCAATCAAGACGCTTTCTCGGATGTTGCCTTCACTGAAATCATTCGTGGTCGCCCTCAGCTGGAACATGCCATGGCCCCCCAGATGACGCCCAGCCTTGTCCATCAGCACTCCCTGACATGGCCACGTTCCCCAGCACTGCCTTCTGGGTTCAGTTTCCTATATTGGACTAACCTCTAGTCTGTCTATCTCTTGGCCCAACGGCTGGACACGGAGGATGCCTTGACGACAGTACATTCAAATAGACAACAGAGGTCCTCCCAGTTACATGCCATGATGAACTCCTGCTTTCTTTTCCTTCTCTGACTGGCTGTGCCTTTTACTACGCATCGTGATTTCCGCCATCGCACCGCGACCTTATCGGAAACAGAAAAGATCGTTCATCTACACAATCCCCCGGGCATGGCGGACGCACCTGTTCCCATCACAGAATGGCCCGATTATTCTGTGGACCCTCAGGGGGGAGATCCGATCACTCAGGATCTCAACGCCATGTATGACAAGGTAGGTGGCACTGGCAGGCAAGCCCATCGCTGGCTGTTGTTACACGAAGAGAGCATCAGCTAACATAAGACACCAACAGGGTGACCTGTGCTGGATCCTCGTTTGTACGATTCTATGCTGGCAGATCACTCCGGCCATGTAAGCAAAATAGCCCCGAGTCTGACTCACATCCTGGCAAGTTGGAGCAGTCTAACAGTCGTCCAGCGGTTATCTCTACGCCGGGATGCATCGCCGCAAAGCTGCCTTGACCATGATCTTCCAGTCTCTGTTCTGTGCCTGTGCGTGCGGCATTCAATTCTGGATCTACGGCTACTCCCTATATCAATCGCACACGACCAATCCGATGCTGGGCAACGTCAGCCTTGCAGCCCTGCACAACGTGCTCGCCCAGCCGTCGCTCGCCAACTCCGACATCCCGGATATCCTGTACGCCTGCTTTGGATTCACCTTTGTCACTGCGACCGCGATGATCCTGGCCGGAGCGATGCTTGAGCGTGGCCGTCTCTGGCCGTCCATGCTGTTCCTGCTGTGCTGGACCACTTTCGTCTACTACATTCTGGCGTACTTTGAATGGAATCCGAATGGCTGGCTGTATAAGCTCGGCGTGTACGACTTTGCCGGCTCCGGCCCCGTGCATATTGCCAGCGGCTTCAGCGCGCTGGCATGGAGTTTGATGCTCGGGCCCCGTCTGAGTGAGCATCCTTCCGGGGAAAGACAGAAGATCATCCACTTCAAGCCTCACAATCCGTTTCTTGTGGGTATTGGGACTTGCTTCATCTGGTTCGGCTGGTTCGCATTCAATGGTACGTTCAAGCTCCCCTTACTTGTCCTTCCCCGTTTCCAGAACGACAAGCACAGTCCTGTTAAAAAAAACCCCCCCATCTTCTAATACCAATGTCTCTAGGTGCCAGTACTGCCAATCTTTCTATCCGATCCATCTACGTCGTGGTCAACACCAATCTGGCCGCCTGTGGAGGTGGCATTGGCTGGACGCTGCTGGAGTACTATTTCACCCAGAAATTCAGCATCATTGGCTTCTGCTCCGGCATTATTTCTGGATTGGTGGGCATCACTCCTGCCGCTGGCTATGGTATGTCATGCCTTGTGTCAAGTTCCAGTTTCAGTTCATTGAACAGATTCTGCCCTTTTCATCACAGACTTGACTAACATGAACATCGTTCAATTACAGTTCCTGTCTACGTTGCTGCCCTCGTCGGCCTCATCACCTCCGTCTGTTGCTTCTTCACCAACAAGTACAAGTACTTGATCTCCATCGACGAAGGGCTCGACATCTTCGCCCTCCACGGAGTCGGCGGCTTCGTCGGGGACATCCTGACCGGCTTCTTCGCCGCCTCGTGGGTCCCTGCCCTCGACGGTGTTTCTGGCGGCACATACGCCGGCGGCTGGTGGGAACACAACTGGATCCAGCTCGGCTACCAACTCGCGGCCGCGACCACGTGTGCGGCCTGGAGTTTCGTCGTCAGCTGCATCTTGTTGTTCATCATCAACAAGATCCCCGGATGCCACTTGCGCGTCAAGGAGGAGGACGAGCACATGGGTCTGGATTTCAAGTACTTGAGCGATGCGCACTGGACGGAGCTGGAGAGAGGTAGCTTTGGTGGGTTCGCGCCAGAGGGCACACATCAGGGTGTCCCCTTCTCCGGCTCTGGGCCGGGGAGCGAGAGTGAGAGTCCGAAGAAGGAAGAGGCGGCGCCCAGGAAGCAGGACTAGAATGTCACATCGTCGTCTGTTTGGGCAAACTGGGGATCCGGCGAATAGATGTAAGACTTCTTGTATACTTGCGGCTTCAGCTTAGAGGAGACGGAGAAGGTGTGGAACAGAACAGACGTTTCTGTTCTATATATAATCAGGATGGAATCTCTCTCTCTCTCTCTGATTTTGATGCCTTGACGGTGGGCTGGAAGTATAGACAAATATACAATTCTCACTTGCAAGACCATAGTGTCACGCTTCTCTACCTAGGGGTCGGCCGCAGAGAGCTACGCTGTCCATACTGCTCGCTCTATCAGAGTCATGTAAATGGATATGTGACATGTCCGACCCAAACGTTTTGATTCGTGTTCAACGTCCGTGTGTCACAGGCTTCGTTGTATTATATACGAGTGAGAAACCTGACGTCCCTTAGTGAGGTCTCCGTCGAGGTCTTTAGACCATGATATAGGCTTAGGACTAGGAGATATTAGTGGGAATTTGGTGAAAAGACAGACGAATTGGGAAGTCTTCGCTCTCCGTTTTGGTGGAGAACATATGAGGACAAGGCTGAGTTGCGAAACTGCGGCAGTGTCGATTCTCAGTAACGGAAGGCTTCTACCGGCCGTCACGAGAACAAGCCTAGGGATTTCGTTTCATGATCAAACTCTTCCATGGTCGAGGAGAGTCTTCTGAGGTCTGTAGGTCCCAAGAGTGCCGGTGGACATGCCTCACGAACCGCTCAACTTGATCAAATACTCTGCTGAAGCGCTTTCCACAAGCAACCTCATCTCTTTACCCACTGGAACCAAAAAGCTGCAACTATGGGTGAGCTGCCTTCGATGTAACGGCCAGAGTCATGGCGGTTTCACATCTGGAGGGAATTCTCATCGTCGATGGCGAAATAAGCGACAGGCGTACTTCACTGGTGGCCGGCGTCGCCTGCAGAGATCGTATGATTGTCTGACAACGTTCACTATAAGCAGCAACTGGCAGGAAATCAACCCGGGACTGAGTATTCCATGTCTTTGGTTTCCAGGTCCAGATTCGGGTCCAGATCGTCTCAAGTCCAAGATGAACTACAACTGTGAGTATCCAATCACTTCTCCCAGCCTTCCATCTAGCAAGTCAAATCTTGGAAGAGACCATCTGTAGCCTTTCGATCACGTTTTCTTTCCTCGGCGGCACGGGGTCATAACTCCATCTCATAGTCATAATCACGATCCACACGCTCACCCATACCGACTCCGACTCCGACCTCGAACGGAGCATCGAGCATATCCAAGTCCTCATCTTCGCCCCCAGCACCACCACCAGCACCAACGTCACGCCTACTATTCCTCGCATCCACAGTGGCCGTGTTCCCAAGCATGCGTTCCAACCTGGCCACCTCGGCTTCAGCCCGTCTCCCAGCCTCCTCCAACCCAGCCAACACGGTGCCCAACAACTCATCAAGCCTCAGATCCCTCAGGACCTTCTCGTAGCGTCTGACCTTGGCTCGATCCCACTCTTCTTCTGCACGCTCGTGCCCCAAGAACGAATCGTCCGGCCGCTGCTCCACGTCTTTCCATTTATTGCGAAACTCTTTCGCCACGCCGATGTAAGCTCGCACGTCACCCCCTCCGCCGGAGCCCAGAATGTCGTGGAGAGGGTTGGAAGGATGATCAAGCGCGTCGAGAACATTGGCGTGGAATCGATGCGGCATGCCATGGAAAGTGCGTGAGTCGCCGATGATGGAACTGGAAGTAGACGCTGAAACGGTCACTGGTGCTGAAGCCGAAGCCGAAGCTGAATCCGGGATCCGGGATGGTCTCGATGGCGCAGTAGACGTGGAATTGCGAAGAGTATGGGACGCCGTAGAAGAAGAGTTCGGAATGGTCGAAGTGATCACGATCCCCCAAACACCTAGCAAACACACCAACCCGCGCTCCAGTAATGCGTAGAACTCGAAGAAATCAATCTTGAATTGTCGCTCCGCTTCGATCGGGTCGATGATCATCTCGTACCGACCAAGCGTGGCTCGTGGGCCGAGACCGACCGCATCAAGATTGTTCCGTTGTTGGCTGCTGGTGTCGAGGGGAGTAGTAGGAGGGTGGCCAAGTGGATTGATGGTGTCGTGGTGGTTCTTGTTCTGGTATTCTTGAGCCAGACTCAATGCCCGATGCGACCAGTGCGTCAGGCTGTTGGCTTTCCATGCTAGACGGCGGAAGAGACGGCGGAAGCGTTGCAGTTCGGTCTGTCGGGCCAGATATTGTCGCTGGGCGGTGCTGAGAGGGACATTTGGCGTGGTACCAGTAGGTGGTGCTGATGAAGGTGCCGGGATTCCTCCATGTCTGATGTCTGACGGGAGTGGTGTTGTGGTTGTCGCCGCTGTCGATTTTGGTGGCAGACCTGTTCCCGCGACTTGGCCCCCGTTCTCTGCTGCTATTGACGGCTGTGTTGACATCGAGAACAGCGGGTCGGGAGTATGATGGCTGTGGCTGTATGGTTGCTCCGCGTCTTTGATGCTGCTGCTGCTGTTGTTGATGGTGTTCTTATGTGGTGATGGTGTTCGCGTCCATGCTCGGCTTTGGAATTCTCGTTCTCTCCGGACTTCTGGACTCGCCCAGCGCGAGGCTGTTAGGTCTTGTTTCAGTTTGGTCATGATATCTGTGCAGCAGACGCGGGAAGCGGGAAGCACGAAAGCAAAGTGTTAATGGCAGATTGGCAGGGTACATAGAGATCTCAGGATTGGTACTTAGTACCTGGGTATGTGAGAAAGATCACTTTCAGGGTGTAGCAGTGACAGTGGTTCTCTTTGTTCTCTTCACTGGATGGCTACATGATAGGTGGGAATGTTGGGGAAACATGCTCTGGTAATTCACATATGAAGCCAATATATATATTCTCTGGATAGATCAAAACACATTGATCCAAAACACACGCGTCCTATATCTCTACACGTGATTCATCCAACCGCGTATTGGTTGACAATGCACCTGGTAGATTCGTCAAAGACACAATGAACTCCGAGGAACTGTACAGTGATTCTAGGAGAGAGTAGCTACTCTTGTTTGCGTCTGACCATCACTCCTAAAGGACTGTGTGCGGTTCAGCAGCTTAATGATGAAGACCAAGATAAGTAACATGATGACTATTACTCGCTATACGTCCAGGGGCTCAGAACGCCGATGCTTGACATGATAGACCCATACAATACCCAGACCAAGTTCCATTTCCGCGATTGCATATCGACTCCAGTAAGCCGATTCGAAAATAGGCCGTGATATTCCAGCCGAGGGAAGAGCGGGAATGCAATACTCCATATTGCAAGATCGTCATTCTGCCGTGTCACACGATCCTCAACCCTATCGTCCATTGCTCCCACCAGGATGGCTCACTCGACCCGTGATGTCCTGCCAGGTGGCGCCGAATCTTCGACCGGTGCTGGCGAGAAGACCTTCTTCTTCTTCCTCCAACGCGTCCTCCTCAGTATCCGAATCGGCCAGTCTCGGCGTCCGGAATAACAACAAGACGAACCCAATCATGAAGATGCCCAGGAAAACAAACTGAGCCCAGAAATCAACCACGCCGAAAAAAGGGAAGTTCACGGTGACACGGTTCAGGAAGGTCGACACCACAGATGGCGTGCACACGTTGCGAGCAGCCGGATTGTTCGTGGCTTCTGTGCAAGGGATAATATGCCCAACATGCTCCGAACAGTCCGCCTGTTCGCCGGGATGCTTAGGCGGATGGTCGCAGAAGGTTTGAGCACCAAATGTAGCATATTGTGGAGCAACCATCATGGCGATGGAATAGTTGATGGCCAAAGTCATCAGGGTAAGCATGACGGTGGCCATGAGTAGAGCCTGTGGTGAAGTGTGGGCCTTGCGAATCCTGAATATCGTGATCCAGAGAACTCGGATTCCGATGGTGGCGATCCCAATGATGCTGGCACTGAAGAAGAGCATCACGATGAACAAGAAGATGACATAGTCGATTGGGAATACTTTGGCCGACGTGACCAGGATCCAGTTGATAGGTTGGAAAATGTTAATGTGAGCGAGGAGGTAGCCGCAGTGTCGCTTGCAGATCGAGTTCTTAGCTTTGTCGATGCCAGTGATGAGCATGCTAACGAAGATCAAGAGGACCACAATCACCAGCAGTATGCCGAGTATCAATTTGATGGGACGAAAGACTGCCTCGAGCTTCAACCAGACCCTCCACCAAATGCTCTGATCTTCACCCGACGCTTCCGCAGCGAGGCGTTGATGCCGCCGCAAGGTACGCTCTTCACGGACCAGGGCGTCGAGTTCTCGTTGATCCTTGGATGACAACCCGTCAGGGTTTCCTTGGGCTCGACCTTCGAGTTGTCTTTGCCGCTCTAGGTTACTCTCCAATTGTGCCGCGGTTGACTCGGTCAAGGCGGGCGCAGATATGCCAGGTGCCGTTTTGATCAATGTCAGGGGGAGGAGAGCCAGCCCGGCAGCTGTGTAGAAGCAGTAGATGATGATGCCAATGGTGATCAGCAAGCCCAGTGCAAATGTCAGTGCTCTTTCGCCATGATTTTCGGCCAACAGCTTTTTGAAGAAATCCAGATCGAAGTGCGCCCCCTCACGGTGACGTGCAACCGGCACGAAGAAGCCGACCAGGAAGATGGCGACGCAGAGAAAGATGAAGACCATGGTGTATTTGAACGCAGCCCAAAATCTCGAACCAAATGTTTGCGATCCTTCCTCTTGGGCCACCTCGTCATACTCTTCGTACCAGAAGTAGGTGAACGGAATGATCAACAGGCAGAGAATGGCATCCAGAGAGTAGAGAAAGTAATAGACCACTCGCAGCGTGAATGTGATGTTGTCGACCTTGTCTTGATTCGCCCAGTCCTTCCGCCGACCCAACTTCGAACTTGATGTGCTTGACACCAACGCAACATCGACTGGAAGCAGCAACACAGTTGCCAGAAGCGATGTGATGGTGAAAATGCAGACGATGGTGACGAATATTGACCGGTCTCGGTGTGTCTGGTATAGATAGACGAAGAGAGAGGCGGCGGAAAGGAGGAGGACAATAGCGGTGGCATAAACCACCCAGATCAAGGTGATCTGGATGTATCCGGCTGAGGCCATTGTCGAGAAGGCCGGGTCAGGCACCGTCGTCAATGGGAGAAGCTGCATGTTGGTGAGAGGAAGAGAAGAAACTCGAGGTAGTTCAAGGCTGCGAAGGAGGCGACAGGATCTCGTTTCTCATATTTGACAATGCTGAGATTGAAGATATACTCCGTACTGCGTCCTTTGTAGAGAAAAGGAGGGGCAAGAGCGAGGATGATGGTGTTTTGCGGTCAGATGCTGGAGAAAATCAAGGTGCAACCACACAACCTTCTGTTCCCCATCATCATCATCGTCATACCTACCAGGGAGCTGTGGTAGAGGCTGTAGGAGTCTTGCCTCTTGCGGACTAGTGAACTCACGGGGCACTCATCACGTGCAATACTCCTGGTCAGGTGACCGCCAAGATATCAGAAACTCCAGCCTCGAACTTGAACGCGACATTGAATCTGGACATGAACTCGAGCTCGTCCTCATCACGATCCTTTGTACCCGTTATTCCTCATTTACATCTACTTTGAGGCCTTCCAGACTGCACTCACACCTCTACTGTGGCAAGCACAGCTGACAGGCTCTGCCCTAACATCTGTTTTGCTGCCACAACAATCATGGGGCGATGATACGTCCATTGTCCCCCTTTCACCTACCATCTCCTCAGAACGCATCGTTCGCAGCTTAGGCAATGCAGTGCTACACTGAACTGATCCCGCCTTCTGGCGTCACTCACGCTCTTGCAGCATCATTCACTTCAGCCAAGGCCGACAACCTCATTGTTGCACGGACATCCCTGCTCCAGATCTTCCACTGCACGCACATCAACCATGGACAGGAAACCAAGCTTGTCCTGGTGGCCCAATACAATCTTGCTGGCACTGTCACCTCACTAGGCCGAGTCAAGCTCCCCGACTCCAGGAGTGGCGGAGATGCCGTGCTCGTCGCCTTCAGGGATGCTAAACTGAGTTTGGTTGAATGGGATCCCACACTGCATAGCATATCTACCCTGTCAATACATTACTACGAACATCTTGATCTACAGTCTATCCCATGGCAGCCTGATCTGTCGAAATGTGTCAATCATTTGACAATTGACCCATCAAGTAGATGTGCCGCTTTCAACTTCGGCGTCAGTAACCTCGCCATCATTCCCTTCCATCAGGCTGGGGACGAGTTGGCGATTGATGATTTCGACGAGCTTGATGATGAAGCCAGGGAACGACATTCTCCAACCAAACACAATGAGATGCAACACGACAGCCCGGATACACCATTCGCCCCATCGTTTGTTCTACCGCTCACTGTCCTCGATCCCGGCCTTCTGCATCCCATCGATATCGCCTTCCTCCACGAATACCGAGACCCTACCATCGGCATACTGTATTCAACTGCTGCTCGTTCGTCCAACATGAGTCCAGAACGGCGGGATGTCACTATTTATGCCGTCTATGCCCTCGATCTTGAGCAAAAAGCCTCGACCACATTGCAATCGGTCCAGAGGCTGCCGAATGACCTTTACCGGATCGTGCCACTTCCGCCGCCCGTTGGAGGGGCCTTGCTGATTGGCGGCAATGAATTGATACACGTCGATCAGAGCGGAAAGACCAATGCAATTGCAGTTAACGAATTTGCCAAAGATGCATCTTCCTTCTCGATGGCCGATCACTCCGACTACTGGCTGAAATTGGAGGGCTGCCAGATCGAACATCTGGGAACCGCCAACGGTGACATGCTGGTCATTCTGAAGACTGGAGAGCTTGGTCTTTTGACCTTCCGAATGGATGGCCGCTCCGTGTCTAGCATGGCTCTTCGCCGGGTTGGCGAAGCTCAGTCGCACGGGATAGTGTTGGGGGCTGCATCATGCAGCGCGAATCTAGGTGCGCACCGCCTGTTTATTGGCAGTGAAGAATGTGACTCGATTTTACTTGCCACCGGCAAAAAGCCCATGCAGGTCAAGCGGACAATGTCACGAGCTCAGAATCAGGCCGATGGCGAAGAGCTGGAAGACGTCATTGATGAGGAGGGTGGTGACGACGAGGATGATCTTTATGCCGAACTGGCTGATGAAGCCAATGGGAATTCGTCAACAGATGTTAGCGGCCAGACTTTCCGGCTTCTGGACCGCCTGCCATGCATAGCACCCATTAACGATATGGCCATGGCAAATGTGGGAAAGCGCAAACGTGTCGACACAGATGAGGCAGACCAGGAACTGGCCGTTGCTTACGGACGCGGTCAGGGAGGAGGATTAGCCCTACTGTCCAAGTTTCTCAAGCCGAGGATCAACAAACGAATCAAGTATGAGAATGCGGTTGGCTTGTGGTGCTTCAGCTCCGGCGAGAAAGACCAGCGTGGCAAAGGCCGCGGAGATTATGACGACCTTGTGATGATCTCCGAGAAGACCAGCGATGGTGCCGGAAAGTCAGCTCTATATCGGCTCGTCGATGGAGACTTGACTCCCATTGGCGATTCTGAGTTCGATGAGTTGGCGGGCTCAGCTGTTGCTGTTTTCAAGCTAAATGCAACCAATCACACTGTACAAGTTTTGCATACAGAGGTCCGGGTTTACGATGCCGGCTTTGCATTGTCACAAATCTTCCCGATCGTCGACGAAGAAGAAGGTCGCATGGCCAAAGCAGTTAGGGTCAGCTTTGCCGAGCCGTATCTGGCGCTGGTTAAAGACGACGGGACCATGACTCTCCTCAAGGCGGACAAAGCAGGGGAACTCGACGAGGTGGAAATACCAGAATCCCTCAAGACGGAGTCGATCCTCTCTGCGACGCTTTACCTGGATACTCAAGATTTCTTCCAAACGTCCCGATTCTACGACACCGCGGTTTCACCAGGTCTGATGATGACTGTTTTGACGACAGAAGGCCATCTTGTTTTACTGTCACTACCGAACATCGACATCCAAGTGTTCCAATGTGATAGCTTACCGTTTCTCCCCACTTACTTAATGCAGGATCTGCAACTGCCCAAACACTGGAGAAGCAAAGATGAGCTTGCGGAGGTGTTGCTGGCAGATCTTGGAAATAGCACCAATCGCCGACCTTTTTTGGTGGTTCGGAACGCGACGGGTGATGTCGTTGTTTATGAACCCTTTGCCGTGCCTGATGTGGTGGGAAGCTATCGGTTCAAAAAAGTCATGACCAAGGCGGCCAGGAGCGCCGAGTATAGCGGAGAGGCAGGTGATCGGTTGTCAATGCCACCTATGCAAGTCATGGCCAATATAGCGGGCCACGCCTCGGTGTTCGTCCCTGGTCGACATCCGTCCCTGATTATCCGAGAAGCATCGACACTACCGCATGTCTATGAATTGGCCACCGAAAACATCAAATCCATTGGCGGTGTCCATGTGGAGGCATGCCAGCATGGGTTAGTCTTCGTTGACGACAACGATGAGATTACACTTTGCGAGATTCCCGAATCGACAGTTCTGGGCTTGTCAGACTGGGTCATTAAGAGGGTTCCACTGGGCCAGGACATCACCTCTGTGGCATATTTTACGCCCACCAATTCATATGTTCTGGCCACCAACTACCCGACTGAATTCGAGCTTCCGCGAGACGATGAATGGCATCCCGAATGGCAGAACGAAGCAACCAAGTTCCTGCCTACCACCATCCAAAGCAGCCTCAAACTGGTCAGCGCAAAGAGCTACTCGATCATCAGTCAGTACCACTTTGACGCCAGTGAGAGGATCCTCTGTGTGCAGTGTCTCAATCTGGAAGTTTCGGAAGAAACCCATGAGCGAAAAGACCTGATTGTTGTTGGGACGGCGGTCGTCAAAGGAGAAAACGTCACCACCCGCGGCAACCTTTACATCTTCGATGTGGTGGACGTGGTTCCGCAACCAGACGTGCCGGAGAGTGACCTCAAGCTCAAGCTGATAACCAAGGAAGAGCTGCGCGGGGCAGTCAGCGCGGTGTGTGACATCGGCTCTCAAGGATTCGTTTTGGCGGCGCAGGGCCAGAAATGCATGGTCCGAGGGTTGAAAGAAGACATGTCTATCCTGCCAGTGGCGTTCTTGGACATGCGATACTACGTGCATGTCGCCAGAGAGTTGCCGGGAACAGGCTTGTGCATTCTGGGCGATGCCTTTTCTGGGCTCTGGCTGGTGGGATATTCCGAGGAACCGTATAAACTTCAGGTGCTGGGGCGTGATCTGGAGAACCCAGCAGTCCTGGCCGCAGAATTCCTCCCCGACGGAAAACAGCTGTTTATCATTTCCGCCGGCGACGACGGGCTGCTACGAGTTTTGCAATTCGATCCGGAGAATCCAAAGGCCGAGCGCGGTACCAAGCTGCTGCTCCGAAGCACATTCAACACCGGCGCTGCGCCGACCAAGATGGTCCTGCTTCCGCCGCAGCCGGTGCCCAGCAATCAACGAGATCTTGATATGGACATGGACGTGGATGGTGTCGAGGCTGTGGGAGTAGAGGAACGTCATCGCATCTTGATGAGTACGCAAGAAGGCTCTCTGTGCATGCTCACGCCTCTCTCCGAAGCCAGCTATCGACGGCTATCGACCTTGCAAAACACGCTTGTCACCACTTTGGACTTCCACGCGTGCAGTCTGAATCCGCGCGCCTACAGACAAATCGAGACAGACGGGATCGGAGGCCGAGGCATCATTGACGGCAACTTGGTCCAACGGTGGTGGGAGACCAGTACGCAACAGAGGGTGGCGAGTGCCGACAAGGCCGGGGCGAGTGTTTGGGAAGTACGAGCGGACATGGATTTGATCAGTGGCCGCGAATTGGGATTCTAGATGGTCAGCTTAGAAGCATGTGTCTGACTCCGCTGGTGTCGTCCTTTTGCTTCTCGGTCTAGGAACGGGACGGCCTTAATCAAGGGCACTCTCAGCGTTATTCGTTGATCCTGTGCCAGTGACACCTCGACCGCCATAGTTCGTTCGCTTGCCTTTGAATGTAGGTAACGTGGGCATTTCTCAGCTTCTCAGCACCTGGAATGGGCAACCTCTGACTGTGTAGCTATCCCTGCTCTTGGGGGATTGCTCTGGCTTGTATGTAGCGTAGAGCAGAGACGGGCTGAAGACAGGACAGACTTGGGGCGATGCGTCGCTTGACAACCAGCCTATCTCAACTTGCTGAACGATAGTTTTGCAACGAGACTGATCAGTCTGCTCGACCTCTAATCTAGATGAACAAATGCCAGACGAGCCTGTAACAGTTCTAGCATGGCTTGACAGGCTCCTTTTCCTTAGGCCTCAGGCCCCATCAACGCCGAGAGGCTAGAAGTGTCAGCTTCGGATCGTCAGCTTGTGATCGTCAGCTTCAAGTTGCTTTCCTGTTGATAATGTATCTCCGGTCCTCGGCGACAACCTCGGTCCCCTTCAGCATCATCTCCCGTCGGTATCGTTGATCTGAGGGCGGTGTTAGTGGTGAAAGAGAACTTGGGATGTTCCAATTGGCAATTGTGTGAAGTGTCCATGTTGTCGAATTGCATTGGCATCCCGCTTATCATCAGCAACTTGAACTTCAATTAGAATGGCCTCGAAATCAGCCAGCGCCAAGTCCGAGCGCTGGACAACATGGAATCGACACAGACCGCAATCGCAATCGATCCAGAGACTCAATCTCGCCGTGGCTGTGTGTGCAGCCGTTCTCCTGTTCTTCTACAGCATTGACTGGCTTCTGCCTCCGCCTCGGGGCCAACAGCAGCAGCAGCAGCAGCAGCAGCAATCTGGAGTGGTGCCCGCAACGACACCATTCCGCTGGCATAGTATTACGCCGGCCAGAGATATTCAATACCACGATTGCTACGATGGCATGCAATGCGCGCGACTCGACGTTCCCATGGACTACAACTGCGACGATCCTGACGAGTCTCCCGATCGTGTCGCCTTAGCTATCATCAGACTGCCTGCGAAGGTCCCCGTCAGCGACCCCCGCTATGGAGGAGCGATCCTCGTCAATCCAGGTGGCCCAGGCGGTTCCGGTGTGGCGAAGGTGCTGTACCACGGTTCGCTGATTCAGCAGGTCGTGGATTCACCACGGGCTCTGAACGATTCCAAAACGGACGACAAGTATTTCGACATCATCGGCTTCGACCCCAGAGGCGTCAATAACAGCACCCCGATCCTGGCGTGCTTCCCGGACAATGTAGCGCGGCAGACGTGGAACCTGCAGGTCGAGGCGGAAGGACTGCTCGGGAGCTCCGAAGGCTCGCTGAGAACGGCGTGGCGACGAGCCCGCGCATGGTCCGAAGGCTGTTCCGGCCGTCTCGAGTCCGAGAACGGAACCAACTTTCTCGAACATGTCAACACCACGCCCGTCGCCGCAGACATGGTCGAGATCATCGAGCGACATGGCCAGTGGCGGGAGCGAGTCGGAGCCGAAGCACAAGCGGCTCACGATGCCCTCCATGGCCGGGATGCAGAGCAACAGATGGTCGAGCGCACCAAGTGGCACCAGGGCAACGAGCCACTCCTCTATTGGGGCTTCTCCTACGGAACGTTGATCGGAGCGACCTTTGCCTCGATGTATCCGGACCGGGTCTCGCGCGTGGTGCTGGACGGCGTCGTGGACGCGCAAGACTACTACAACGGCCCGTGGATGGGGAACTTGATCGACACCGACCTGATCCTGCACAAGATCATGGGCTACTGCTCCGACGCCGGGCCTGAGCAATGCCCGTTCTGGAGACCCGGAGGCCAGCCCGCCATCCAGGCCGCGTACGAGAAACTGCTGCACGACATCTGGGACGACCCGCTCTCGGTGGCGGGCAATCAACGGCGTGGGCCCGAAATCATCACGTGGAGCGACGTCAAGATGGTGGTCAAGAACGCCCTCTACCAGCCCATCATGCTGGCGCCGGTCATGGCAAAGCTGCTCCAGGACATCACCAACGGCACGGGCGCCTTGTTTGCCGAGTACAAGCAGACCACGCGCAACCCGAGCTGTCGCTCCGCCCGGTGCGAACTCGACGGGCCCTTCTCGCACCACTGTGTCTCTCCCGACTGGAGTGAGCTCGAGGCCACTTCGGCCGTGCTGTGCACCGACGCCGAAGGCATCGGCAGCTTCACCGAGGACGAGTTCCGCTCGTACTGGGAAACCCTGCGCGACCAGAGCTCCGCCATGGGCGACTACTGGGCCCAGACCCGGCTGGGCTGTGCGGGATGGAAGACTCGGGCGAAATGGCGCATTGCTGGGCCTTTTGGCACGGCAGATCCAGAAACAGAAACACTAGCACAAAATCCACCCGAGGACAAAGGTATACATGACATGGCTGAAACTTTGCATCCTATCCTTTGGATCTCCAATACTCTTGACACCGTCACGCCGCTGCGCAATGCCCAGAGAATGGCTGCCCGCTTTCCCGGGTCGGTGCTTCTCCAACAAGACGCCGAGGGCCATTGCTCGTTCACCGCGCCCTCGTTGTGCACGGCTAAGGCCATCAGACGGTATTTCCAGACTGGCGTCATGCCGGATAACGGCACGCTGTGTCAGCCGGATATCAAGCCGTTTGAGCTGCCGCGTGTGGGCAGCACCGGGGCAGAAGCCATGAGCAGCTTGCCTCGAACGGCTCTGGCCAGTATGGATCGGTCGTGGATGAGCGACGAGGACAGAGTCCTTCTCCTTGCGCTTGTTGAGATTGCACGGACTGGCGACGTCGCTCAGATGTGGTAGGGTATTTACCCTACACTGATGACACGGGTATATATGGGTAGAAGACGAGAGTCAAGGAGACACCATGACATACGATTGATGATGCTGCGATGCTGGACTGTGAAGGTCCATAATGCTAGTTCCTTTTTGTTGATATGGTCTTAGTCTTGCAGTGTGACGGGACAAGGTACGCAGGTACTGCTATTCGACGCGACGGGCGAGACGTGATGGAGGTGTGCGCCAAGATTCATCCTCGTCCAATCTACAAAAGTACATGTACATACTACCAACTAGGTACATATGTAGATATGTAATATTGTGCCACGGGGTTTGGATGAAACCCCCTCTATCTTCAAACCCATGGGCAAAAAGCATACCATTACTTAAGTTGCCTTATAGCTTTTGATGCCTGAATTCGATCTTGGAGCAATGCTGGTTAACATCCTCGAGGCATTTACTGATCGCCTCGAAGATCACATTATTCATTGCCATGGGGCCAGCTTCCCTCTCAGAACCTTGAAGTCGCCAGCCACTGCATCAAAGCCCCCAAATAACAAGGGTTGTAAGTCAATCGACGTACTTGGCGGCGCAAATACGAATATATTGTCTCGAATTTTACCCATATGATAGGTAGCCCCAGTGGCCGAGAGCGCCATGATCGTTTCAAGTAACTTGGCGAAAGGCTAGTGCTCTCAATGGAGGTCGAGACCAGCCGAGAGACTGCCTTGTTAGATGATATGATGCGCCTGCTTGCCGCCTCCATGTCTCTGTTAAGCTGGCCGATCCTCGCTGCGCATACACAGGTACTAGTATTTCAGTTTCACACCAGGGCAAAAGATATGGAGGTCGATTCGCCTCAATGGGGGTACATAGTGAATGTGCCGCAAGGTGAGCCGACAAACCTGAGCTACTCGATCACTGCGGACGAGTTGAAAGACAGGGTGGTGTACCTTACGCTGCGCATGGGCGATCCAGGATATTTATCAGCAGTCCCGGACGACCGGATCGAAAGTAAGGACAAATAAAGACATCAGGCTCTTTCCGAGGCGAACAAGTGTTAACTGCCATGTCCGGTAGCATTCTACTCATCCGCTCCAAACCCTTTTGCGATCGCCCCGGAAGTCCTTGACGGCCAAACCCCACGGAGCGCCTGCAATTACAAGCTGAGAATCGAAGTCAACGACGTCCAGGCTTAGTCCGACTATTAGAGGAACAGAGCTAGACACCGGTCGGCGACATGAATTTGCCAGCAACAACATCCAGCATTAGAATTCCGCCCCCAATGATATGACGAGATATGACGAGGAATAGACGGCAGGGACATTTCGCTGGTGCAGAATGGAATGATCAGCTGCAGATCAGCCGGTGTGCAATGCGCCGTCAGGAACGAAGTGGATTACGCGGTAACTAGGCGAGGAGCACGTATATATATACATTGCTCAGTGCATGGCGTAAGATCAAAGACACTTTTCCAGATGTTGCTTTTTTGGCGCAGGGCGCGAGGTGCAGGGACGGGGGCGTGCCGTCAACTTCAACATAGCTTTTCCGTTTACGAGGGTAGAGTTCCGAATGACTGGAGTCAATGCCCACGGCTGAGACTGAGATGCCTGGCCATGCTTGAAAAAGGGGGTGAAGGAAGGGAGCCTCATCCATCCTGCCTTCTTAAAGCGGCAGCCACATTCAACCGAAGGGGGACTCTTGACCACGAACGCGAGCGCAATCGAAGGAACTTGAACTTCAACACATCGAATGTTATGCGCCTGCAATTCTCAACGCTCTCAATTCTCCTTCCTCCTAGAACTAGTCGGCGCCTCTTCCGCCATCCTCTCATTTATATTCTCCTCATCTGCTCGTTCAGTCGGAGTCGAAGCATGCTAGATCTCCGCCAACATGGACGGTGACCCGGCTGTTGAGCCCGAGATCGACTCCTTCAGTCTCGTGCTCCCACTCCCTTACCGGGTTGCCATTATAATTGTCTTTGGTATGGCAGCAACGCCTTCCAACTGATTACTGTCTACCGGCCAAAGTGACTGACACGGTCGTAGGAATATGGGCTTGGGGATTGAACCTGCACTACCTGCACCTGATCAAGATTGTTTGTCGCTGCCAGATCTCACGCACTCCAGACAACGCGACTAACAATAGTATCTCAGGATGTGCCAGCACTCATTCGATATCCCGCGCGTCAATCGCACCACCACAGTCTTCACCACCAGTCGACGTACCGGCTCGCGACGATCCTGACGGTGCCTTTGGTCTCGTCGCTGTTTTTGTACTGGACAGTGACTCGAGGCTCCAAGCGCGCCGCTCTCTCCTGGCAGATCCTCCCGCAGTCCTACCTTCTCTTCCTGGCGTTATGTTTCGTCCTCCCGCTCAAGCGCATGTCGAGTTCCGGGCGTCTACATTTCCTGCGCACATTGAAGCGGATCAGTCTGGGCGGATTGGCAGAAGTGCAGGACGGGAAGTTCGGCGATATTCTGCTGGCGGATGTTCTTACGAGCTATGCAAAAGTGTTGGGGGATCTGTTTGTGTCGACGTGCATGCTCTTCTCCAGAAACACCGTCAGCACGGCGAAACCTAACCGGGGATGTGGCGGCGCATATCTGGTTCCTTTGATCATCAGCATTCCCAGCATGATTCGGCTGCGACAATGTCTGATCGAGTTTCGTCGCATTCGGAGGAATCGCTCGGTCTCGACGGGCTGGGGAGGCCAGCATCTGGCCAACGCGCTCAAATACGCCAGTGCGTTTCCGGTCATCGTTTTGAGCGCTTTGCAACGAGGTTATGATACCCAAAAGTTTCACATGAGCGAGGCCGGACTGTTTAGACTATGGTATCCACCAAACCTCCCCCGTGCGCGCATCTACTCCTCGCTGACCCGCTGCAGGCTGCTTTTCGTTTTCGTCAATTCCTTTTATTCCTTTTACTGGGACGTGGCCAAGGATTGGGATCTGTCGCTGTTCTCCTCGAGCAAGGAGAGGAACGATCCCGAACATCCTTACGGCCTGCGCCGGCACAGGTATTTCCATGCCAAGCAGGTCTACTATTCCGCTATCATCGTAGATCTGGTCCTACGGTGTACCTGGAGCCTCAAGCTGTCGCCGCATTTGGATCACTTCAACGATCTGGAAGGGGGAATCTTCGTGATGGAGTTGTTGGAGGTCATTCGCCGATGGATTTGGATCTTTTTGAGGATTGAGACTGAATGGGGTGAGTTTGGCCAGCTCTTCTTCTCTTGTGTCTTTTCTCTTGTGTCTTTTCTCTTGTTTCCTGCCTGTTCTATCTGCTAACAACCGACAGTGCGGAACAACCGTGGGCCGGCACCAGATGACATTCTGTTGGGAGAGTTTGCTGGCAAGATAGACGACGACTGAAAGGGGCTGTGAATGGCGGTGTCTCAACCCGTAGCAGATACGCTGCCTGTAGTAGGCGAATAGAGGGGAAGATGGGACCTGTCAATGGTCGAATTGACATCTGCCACTATGCCTAAGAAGTCGAAGACCATGGACCCCTGAAACTCGGCTGCTTGCGATGTGGTAGCTTGTAACGTGATTTGCTATGCGCAGTAGAAATGTTAGCCATCTGCCCACTTGACGCAGGTACCAAGGAGATAGAAGAGTCTGATAGATGAAGTAGTTGGCAGGCGCAGGCGAGCAGGATACTCTGTACTTGTAACCCTGTCATCTGTAACGAGCACTGTCAGCCGCAGATGATACCTAGGTAGGTATCTGGTGGTTGTGGAGTGTATACGTGGTCTGTAGAGTTTTATTAGAGAGCTTGCACCTTGGAGAAGCGATAGTGACACATGCTTTCTGTTGTAATGCCATACTAAATACACAGGGTAGTAGTATATACGACAAGTGGTTTCATCCCCACCGCCGCTTTTTGCCAGTCTTGGAGATCCAAATGTTCTTCAAGTTGACAGCTTCTTCTCTTTCTGCCTCCCGTTCGGTCTTGTAGCATTGCTGCTGTATTACTCTCACCGAACCCTGGCACCACATCATGATTGCCAAACATCGAGAGTCCCACGAGGGCTTCGAGTTCATTGAGACTCCCCCTCCACCTCCGCAGCAACCTGCCGAGGACTGCGGTGTCCGCACCACTGCTGTATGTTTGGTGCCTTGAGGAGAGCTTGCTTGCTGTCCGTCGACAAAGAGAGAGAGACAGAAAAGACTTACACCTGACCAGTATCCCGCGATCAAAAATGCCCCTCTCCCCGCCGACGCGGCCGGCAGCGAGTCGTTCAACAACTATGTGATGATCGGCCTGTTGGTCGCGGTCCCAGCGTATTTGGCACGCCAGCTCCACGGCGGGCTGTACACGACGCTGTTCCTGGCGACGCTGACCTCGATCCCGATCCTGATGGCCTTTTGGACGGTGGCGTCGTCGATCTCGCCGCGCAAGAACGAGAAGGCCAAGCTCCCCGGCCGGCCGATCGAGCACTACCTGCATTTCCGCAACGAGGAGGACCGCGCGCGGTACCACGGCAAGAGGCGCATCCCGATGGAGACTTTCCACGAGATGTATTTCGATCAGAAGGTGGATTTCAAGGGCGACTGCCTGGACGTGATGGAGTACAGGCACGACTGGGCGACCTTCCGGTTCACGCTGAACATATTCAAGTTTTTCTTTACCGGCTTCATCCCCGAGGTCATCATGCACACGCGGTCGCAGGACGAAGAGCAGGTCCGTGAGCACTACGACCGGGGCGACGACTTCTACGCCTGGTTCCTGGGTCCGCGCATGGTCTACACGTCGGGCATCGTCTCGGATATTAGCCGCGAAGAGTCGCTGGAGGAGCTGCAGGACAACAAGCTGGCCATCGTGTGCGAGAAGATCGACTTGCAGCCCGGTGAGCGCCTGCTCGACATCGGCTGCGGATGGGGCACGCTGGCCAAATACGCCAGCGTCAACTACGGCGCCCACGTCACGGGCATCACCCTCGGCCGCAACCAGACTGCGTGGGGAAACACCGAGCTCCGAAACGCAGGCATCGGCGAAGACCAGAGCAAGATTTTGTGTCTGGACTACCGCGACATCCCCGTCCCCGAGGGCGGCTACAAAAAGATCACCTGTCTGGAGATGGCCGAGCACGTCGGCGTGCGGCATTTCAGCGCCTTTCTGGCCCAGGTGTACAACATGCTCGACGACGACGGCGTCTTCTACCTGCAGTACGCCGGCCTGCGCAAGTCGTGGCAGTACGAGGATCTGATCTGGGGCTTGTTTATGAGCAAATACATCTTCCCCGGCGCCGACGCCTCCACTCCGCTCGGCTTCGTCATCGACAAGTTGGAAGGCGCCGGCTTTGAGGTCAAGGGCGTCGACACCATCGGCGTTCACTACTCGGCTACTCTGTGGCGCTGGTACCGCAACTGGATCGCCAACCAGGACAAAGTCAAGGCCAAGTACGGTGTCAGATGGTACCGCATCTGGGAGTTCTTCCTGGCCTATTCCACCATCACTTCCCGCCAGGGTGGCGCCACCTGCTTCCAGATCACCCTGGTCAAGAACCTGAACAGCACCCACCGCATCGAGGGTGTCAAGACCCAGTTCGGTCTCCATGCCGCTCTACAGGCGGGAAAGGCGCGTTTGGCGGGGTCTAGCAAGGAATGAGTGGGTCGCCGTTGGTGGACAGATGGACGGAGGCGTATCGATGGCAGGAACAAGACCTTTATTCTCAGGTTAGGTCTGAGGATATAATATTCGTCAAGAGATCGAATGCAGGAGGAACCTAAGGGGGGACGTGAAAGAAAAGTTTAGAATGAAGCTTGAGAACAAGAAAGAAAAAGGAAACAGAAAGACCAAGAAGAAAATAGACATGGGTGGCAATATATCAATTGTCATGGAAATGAGGAGAGAAACAGACACACGCACACAGAGAGAGAGTGTGTGTAATGTGATAATAGAGAACGACAGCTACAAACCCAGTCAGCGCTTCCTCCAGACTTCCGTACTATACTACCTAACAAGTAAGTATGCCATAGTCTCTCTCCTCTCTCTCCCTCCATCTTCCGTTTATGAAAGTCTGGCTTAGTTCGCTTTGAGAGCATGCTGATCCTCACGCTTCGCTTCACGGACACTAGTTTCTTAGTTTCTTCTCCTTGCTATCCCTATCCCTTAATGGGGTAGCTCCCCCTTTCATTCTTTCCCACGATAGACATTCGATGGTGTATACACTTGATCTTTCCATCGGGGTTGCTCCTACCTCTGCCCCTCTCGCTGCTGACCGGGAGACGACTTCTACGTATAGAGATTCGGAATCGACTCTCGAGGGTATCCCTGTCTCCTGAAAGTATCCATACAAGACCGTAGTTGGTAATCGATAAGATAAGATAAGATAGTAATCACCCTATTTTATCGATAAGATAAAATGATTAGTACATTCCTAGCGGAGATGGAATATCCCCTGAGAGTCAATCAATAGTCGCACCTGGAAGTTGATAAGAGGGGCGAGGTCAGGTCGGTCTAGAGTCCGAGTTGGAGTCGACACAGTCGTCTCCCGTCATGGTGAAGCTGCTGTTGCTCTTAGACGAAGTATTGGTATATTATCGCTCGCCGAGCACACCAAACAGTCGAGGCTTGCACGCTGCCACCTAGGGATTGCCTCCCAAATATCGATGCCAGTGCCTGATCGAACGAGAGTGCCAATGATCCGGAGGGCCGTAATTATTGTAATTCTGTCTCAGGAACTCCATAAACTCATACGAGCCTAACTGCCGTCCGGTGGCGAAGTGATAACTAATTGGGTCATGTATGGCACTTCCAACCCTCGTCAGGTCCATGGGTCCAACCCGGCGACCGATTGACCGGAAATGCGGCTCTCCAGGCCCTTCAAAGTGCAATAACTTCTTCTCTGAGAGTTGATCCAAGTGCAAGTACTCCAGGGTGTCCATATGGTTGACCACATGATCGAAGATTGGACGAAAGAAGCCTGGTCGGACGGTTACATCCACCATCGTAAGACTGTTGATCCGAAGCCGCCGGAGGAAGGATAGTAGTGTATCGGCCGTTGTGAAAACACCCCTTAGTGCGCATTGTCTCAGACGGGGAAATCGACACAGCTCGACGATGCGTTCAAAGTATCGAGATTCTTCTTGCAAGGCATCGGTGCATTTCCTCGCGTGCAATTTATACCATCGGAGCTCCAGGTCCTCCAGCTCAGGGAAAAGCGCAAGAAACTCGCAGAGGGCTCGGGTGTTCATTTGGCCAGCGACTCTGCTCTCTTCACGTTTCCCATGCCGTTTCAATGCATGTTGAGACAAGCAAAGTGAAAGCTTCTTGAGGTGCTTGAAAGATGCTGGAAGATCAACCACCGCCAACGTTTGGGTGAGTTGATCGCAAGCTAAGCTGCACCAACGGGTCTGGCCAAATAGATCAAATGCCTGCACCGGTACGCCGGCTGTGCTCAGCGCCAGTGCTGTGTTGTGGAATGTCTCGGCTGCTGCGCGCCATATACGCAGCCAATCTTTGACAGAGGGAGGCTCTTCGTGTTGCATTGTGAGGGTGATTGAGATGGGAGAGGCGCACCCCAGATTTTCGACCCCAACTCTAGCAAGCTTCCGTTTTGCTGGAATCTGGACCTTGCCATTGCTCACAAGGGTGAGGTGGCGGACTAGGCGACCGCATCTCTGTGGTTCGGTCTGAGGACCGAATTCCCGAAGTTGTCCGATGTCGAATAAACGTATCTCCTTGCTGAGGAAGTAGGCTTGGAACCCTCTTGCGTTTGTAACCTTTGCAGCAATGCTCCGCGAGGTTAATCGGAGGTTTCTAAGAGATTGGAGATCCAGCAGAGCAGCAACAGCATCGATTATTTCTTGGGGAAGCTCGTCGAAGCTTAAACGTGCCATTCATGAGTCGATGAAGTATTGAACAACGAGACCGCTTTCCTCTCGTAAAATCCAGAGAGAGGTTTCTGCTGATCCTCTTGTTCTCCTTTGTAGTGCTGGGATGGAGGTGGGGTTGTGGATGGGTCAAGGGTCAACGAAAGGAGAATAAAAGACCTGGTACAAGAAGGCATTGACCCACGGCAAGATGAGTAAGACGGATATGAATATTCAAATGGATAAAAGGAAAGAGCAGCGCGTGTGATAAGAGATTGCTTGGGAACACGAATGCCTCCGAGGATCGGTGCTGCTGGGAGATCACCTGATATCAAATCTCACGGCCAGCCAAGGAAGCTTTACGTGATATCTCTCTTGGCTCGCGGATGCAGTATGCATGTAAAACCGGGGCCTTTGGGCTCTGCAAGATATCCAGGTAGACACCGCCTCGTTCCACGTTTGAATCGCCTCGAACATTGCGTTTGACATGCTCCATTGTTTAGCCGAGTAAGACTAGAAATCGGTGTTAGCCCATCTAAAGTTGCGAGCATCAAGAACATATTCTGATAATTGGATGTACTTACTCTCCCAGCCCCAGTCCTTCATGACGCCCAGCCAGTGTAGATCGCCTGTCACTGTATAATCCGTATATCCAGCCCTAGTCAGGGGATCCACTCTCTTTTTGAAGACCAGAGAATCCGGGAAGGTAGCCGACGCAGTGCGGCTCGGACCAGGGCTGGACCGCCGGCTTGGGGGCTGGCCAGGCACTGCGTAGGCCATTTCATCCTCGGGTATATCCATCGCCGCATCCAGAGGCGAGTTGTGCCGTGAAGCTGCACTGGGCCGACAGGATTTCTGGTTCGTTTCAAACACGTCTCTCCTGCGCCAGACTTCTTCCGTCACGTGCAAGCATCGAACCACAATTCCGGTAATCATGGATTTGGACATCAGTTGCCACCGCTGCCGGACCCAGTCCCTGTCTTCCTCTTCGAAGGCTTCACATCCCGCCACCATGAGCGGGAAGATCTGCACAATCGTCGTGGGCGACTCCAATGGAATGGTGGCAAGATACACCAGGGCTTTCTGCGCCAACTCCCATATCGAGTGTGCCCAGGGCACCTCGGGTGCCGTCTGGCGTAGGAGCAACAGTGAAGCCCATCTATACGCTTCGGCGGTTTGAATCGAGTCTGGAATGGCGTTCGACGTGGAACCTTCCGATCTCTGAAATTCTATCGCAGTTGTCCACCGTTCGATTTCCAGTCTCAACTCGGTAGCTTTTGAGATGGTACTGAGGGAAGTGCCTTTCTTACGCCGTCTCCGGACACTACTGACTAGGTCGGCAAGACGGCTGATCAGGGGGAAAAGTGTGATTGCACAGCCCATAAGAGGATCGATCTGCTGAGCGCGCGGAACTGGGCTCAGAAGGCTGCAGGCCGTCATGACTTCGTGATCCGTCAAGTAGCCCACGTCGTCGGCCACTGTGATGCGAGCTAGGACGTCCATGTACATCCAAGTGTTGGCTAGAAAGCTCAGGCGACTCAACTCGTTGGCGCTTAAATTTGAAGCCCTTGCTTTGAACACGGCTTGCCGGATGAGAGTTCGGGCAGCACTTATGTGGGTGATGCCGGTCGAAGAGATCTGATGGTTCCAGGATTCGGCGAAGCCCAGAGCAAGTCTGCAAGCAAGAGCTGCCTCTAGAGGTATTTGACTCCTGCTATCATCTGAGGTGGAGTTCAGAGCTTGTATGCCGCGTTCAAAATGCCATTTTCCTCGGGCTCTGAATTGTGGTTGGGTTCTGCTCATTTGCGTGCAGGTCATCGCTGCAAGTGCGTGGTAGAGAGGAGGGCAGTTTTTGGCGAGGGGCCAAATCAGTGTCCGCCATGGATTCTTTGTCACGTTGTCTTTGATGGAAAGAATCTTGCACGTCTGAAGGTTGAAGAGAGTCCATATCACTTCTGGGGTGTCGTGGGAGCTCTGGAACTGCTGGATGTAGAAATTGACATCCGAGCCTGGTGGGGACTGAGCAGAAGCCAGCTCCTGCTCCGGTGGCCTCATAGACTCTTCGGCATCATTGATGACCATGGTTGGGTAGGGAGTGTGCTCTTCGGCTTCCTCGTTGGAGACAGCCGTGGCTCGTTCAAGTATCGGCCCAGAATCCTCAGTTGGCGGCGGCATCGGGAAGAGCTGCAATGAATCAGGGTCGCGGAAATTTGCCAGCCACTCAGCAGCGGCAAAGTGGTGGTTTGATTCAACAGATTTTGGCGATTTATTGAAGGGGGCCTCTATCAGATCATCCAGTTCGGTCTGGATCTGATCGAAACACTGGATGCCGCTACTGAAGAAGCTCTCCCGGCCATGATCGGCATGGGCGGATAATGGTGACTTCAATTCCTCTGGCGTAAGCTGAATCATGTCAAGAAGTGAGAGTTCTTGATTAAAGGCTGCGAACATTCTCCGTGTGATGGAGTCTGGTACGTTTCCACTCGAGTCTTGGTTGTTGAGATCACTGGGGTGTTCGGGAAATGCGTCCGGCTGACCAGACAATGACGGATTTGTAAGTGAAAGGACATGTTCTTGATGGCAATCACCCAGGATGGCATCTAGCAGTCTCAGTATCAGACAACCAAGAAGAAGAAGAAGAATACAAGGTACCCTTTTCCTTGTTACTGGCCTCGTTGGGCCTTCTCACCGGCCTCCATTTCAACTGCTTTCCGTACCCACCACACTCAAGGTTTCGTCGAAAGCATTGTTGACACGAAGGCTTCGTCTCGTCACACTTGATGCGCTTCAACTTGCAAGTACTACATCCTTATTTATGTCAGTGGGATTCCACATTGGCGCTCCCTGTCTGAGCAAATGTACTCTGTGAGAGCATAGGTATCAGGATGGCTCACCATTTCGACTCTTCGGTTGTTTGCGCTTTGATATCACCCCTTCCTGTCGTGTTTCTCCATTTAGTGCCATCAAAGCCGGAGCTTTCTCAGACACCTTCGAAGCATTCTGCGCTCCGCTGATATCAACCGCTAAGCTCAGCTGGTGAGGGCCGATACTTGGGGCGAAGGATGGTAGACTTTTCAAGGCTGTATCCACCATAGCATGAACAAGAAACGACGAGCTTGCTGAGTCAAATCATACCGCTCAAAACACTAGGTTCTCGCCAGCTTCGAGCTTTGTTTCGAACGGAAACAATATCGCGCCGTGAGAACCGAACATAGGCGAAGTGACGATGAACTTGAAGTGGGCAAATGTCAGTATTAGGTTATGTCGGTGCTTATCGCCGGGCCGCTATGGATCGCCGAACCCGGTATCAGCTCCCGCCGTAGATATCGTGATAGGCTAAGAAGAGCTAAGCTTCTCTAAACGGCCTATCATTACTACTAATTCCGCAATAGAACATCACGTATTCGATGCCTCTAGTTTACTGCAAGGACGTGACTACTATTTAACATTTCGGATACTATCGTGCTGCTCTCTCGAGAACTCCTCGCAGATCCTGCGCCGGGTCTTCATTTTCAACGATACCTAAGACCGTGGTGGGCTTCTTGTATCCCAATAGTGACAGCATCTTGTCACTCATTGTCAATACTTTGCTTCTCGGAACCGCCAGAAACTGGTTTTCTTCGGTACGCATTGTTCCCCTGACGAAGAATAGCCCGTGGACCTTGCGAACCTCGCCAGGGACAGAATTGTGGCCACCCCCATGGTAACAAGAGGCTAGAAAGATCAATGCCGACCCGGGTTGCATTTCTTTGTCGTGTCAGCAGATTACTCCTGAGTTCAAGCTTGGGGGGTAAGGAGATTCAATCTCAGTAGGAGGAAACTCACCAGCAAAGCAGACTTCATCGGTTCGAGGCCGTCTAGTGTCATCCCATTTGTGGGAGCCCGGGATGAACATGGTGGCCCCGTTTTCCCTTGTGGTCTTTGTTGCTGCAATCAAGCAGGCGAACTGGCTGACTTTTTTAAGGTCAAACTCCCCTCCGTGTCTGACACCATGCACATTATCATCCCGGTGCAGCCTTTGTCGAGGCGCACCATAGCCGATGTGGAAGGTCATGCTGATGCTCAACAATGGATCGATCGTGTTCTTCTCGATGTGGTCTTCGCGAATGACACTGAAGTCATCTTGAAGGATCGAAGCACGCAACTGTTCCAGTACAGGTGATTCGCAGATTTTAGCAACGGTGGGTGACTTGGCCACCAACCCAGAAATGGCGAGGGTCTCCTTAGGTATGATATGTAGTGCACCCTTTTCCGTGGAAGGGGTTTGTGTGCGGTAGGCTTCCAAGTCGGTATCAATGGCAGCGAGGTCTTCCACTGTTGCGAAATTGGTCAAGATGACGCCTCCGTCCCGTTCGAGAATGTCGAGGATTTCATCGATCGGGGCGTCCGCTGGGACTGAAGCAATAGATACTTCGGGGGTGTATGACGGATCAATTGGCGCAGGTGGCCCGAATGCAGGGATACCCATTTCTGCAACAGCTAGAGAGGAAGAAGATGGCTCTGATGATGAGAAGAACAAATGTCTGATATTGATGTTATGAGTTCTCTGCAACGCCTTCAGTCTTGTATTGTGGTGACTTGTGTCGGCTGATTCGAAACGAGTTCAAAAAACCCTGGCGACAGAAGATGTTTCCCGTGGCAGAACAGCACCATCTTCCCCGGATTGCATGCTCTTATCTCACTTCGCAATTGGACGCCTCTTCTGGCATCTTTCTACGGTCAATATCAGACACATCAAGCTTCGCAACCCAGATTGGACGGAGATCCGCGAACTAATCGGATGTCGAGATTCATCCCGGACTTTTACCCCCAAATTAGGTCTAGTGGAATCCCGTATCTGGAGTTGTGGATATCGCTCCTGAGCGCTGGATAGGGACGATAAGGAATGATAGGTGATACCTCTCAGTTGCTCTTGAGCTGTGGCTGTGCAATCCAAGGACCTCATTGACGACCCTGAGGGAAGACCTACCAGTGAGCCCGTGTAAGGGGCATTCTTGACAAGACAGCAGCTCTTTTTGATAACTCTTTGGGCAGCCACAACTGCACATAGACTGCCTACGTTGGGCTACAGCACAATCTATGCGTGGAGCAGCCTCAAAACGATTCATGCTTACGGTAGAGGAGCCGCCGCATTTCCACCGAAGTCCAAGCAGCAAGGCCAACCAGAGAGACACGTACGTTTGGGTCTCACCTTTGGACTGTTCCGAAAACATATCTCTCTTTCTCTCGCCAGAGGATGATCAAGAGGCTTATGACACATGGTCCCTACCCACATCAACGGCCAGGCTAGCCCAAGGGACCCGAAGCGCATGTTTATAGCACTTAACTCTCTGCCGTTTCAGAGCTACATAGAGCCTCCGATTAATTGAAAAGGGACCGTCTCAGGTGCCTTCTTGTCGACTGTGGTTAGTTCTCCAACATTTGGAGCCAGGCCAAGGCAAACCTCGTCTAATAAGGATTGGATACAGTTGAAAAGCCTGTGTTATGAGAAGGCTGGTACCTAAATATGTTATTGCCATTGTCTAAAGCTTGTATAGTATAACTTCACACGTGGCCCTCGACCGTCGGAGCCAACGCCAAATGCTGAACCTCCACTTCAAACGATCGGATACCATCTCAAAATCACCCGCAGTCCCTTTTCATCACCGGTGTACCCTTATCATGTGGGTCTTGTCTGGAAACGTGGTCCACATATCCTCCTATAGCCGCAGCAGAAGAACTCGACTCTCCTCATAAGTATCAATAATAGTGTACCGCCTTAATCAATTCTATCCGATAGTGACGAAGGGGGCTGTCCCGATTAAACCCCCACCGCAATCCATTGGATCTGAATGTTATTGAGTGACTGTTGTAAATTTCCATTGGCTTCCAGCTGTCCGAGTTCCTCATAGTGATTGTTTGCGACTTTTGGTCATACTCTTTGACAATTTTTAAGGGCTCCACTGGAGATGCCATGTCAATAAAGGGCCACCAAATGAAGGACTTTGGAGATTGAGATTGCAAATCCTTGTGCTGTCTTGATCAACGATTTGGGCAACTGGTTTGTTGGGCGCCTCGCCCTTTGTGTTGATGGCACAACGACCACGGCTGGGGCGGGAGGCAGCAAACTGCTGCAGAAGCCATGGTGTGGTATAATGAAACCCGCAGCGTAGGTCAGGCAGCTTGCAATAGAGGAACAATTCTAGATCATAGCTCGAGGACAACGCATGATTGCCAGCATTTCTAAGAACGGCCATTGATCCCAGGCAATGGACCGACGAGGATGTCAGGATAGGGGGTGACTTGAAGAAAACGGCAATCTCCCTACTCCCCAAGGTCCCGTCCGCTGGACGTTTGTCGACTAAGAATCAACTTATTACACTTGTCCGGGAGCGCATTGACATATCTCATATCACACTGCAGATAGAGACTCTCGGCACGTCGCTGCCGAGCGAGGTGCAGGTCAGATACGGATCTCGACCACAGGACAGTGAGCACGTGAGGCGGTTAGATGGCTCATTTGGGGTTGTATACCGGTCTACAAGCGTCCAGATGGTGCAGTGGGTAAACTTGTAGTCAATGTGGTTAGTTGATTCGTACACAGTGGGCATTGTCTACCTTTCTTTCTGTTTTAAGATCTCCCGAGTATCTCCAACCACAAACATCGATGCGAAGAAGTCTGCATCTAGATAATACTAGTGCGGTTGCCAATCTCAGCAGTCGAGATAAGATCTGGCCAGAAGGAAAGTAGCCCGTCGCTTTTCCTCGAGTCCAGTTTGAAGTTTGAAACAGGTTGATATTTTTCTCCTTATCTTCCAGGGTGTAAGAAGAATCTTGCCTGGCGCTGGGAGACGTCGATTTACAGCCAATCAAGAGAAAACGTGGGCGAACCCCGGGCCTCCAGAAGCCAGAACGTGCCTCGGGTGCCTGCCTCCGTTGGGGGTGAGAAAGGCCGCTATTCTGTATTCAGCTAGTGCCCGTTCATAGTGGCATTTCCCATCAACACGGCAAGATGGTAGTAACACGGTGCAGTCACCGACGTGTTTGATCCTGCTCTTTGGGTCGTACACCCTCCATCTCCTCCTCTCTTTCTCCGTTGCTGTACTATACACACTGACTGGTGACAGTCTTGCCTCTATGAAGAGCAAGTCTGCGAACGCGAACGCCAGAACAGGGAGGTTGTAGGTCCTGACATGTCCTATCACTCTCGATTGATCGTTCCCTGCTGCTATCCTCCAGACGATCAGCCTCATCGCGTCTGGGATCGATGTGGGAACAGCGCCCGCAACCCCTGCACGTGGAGCATGACAGGCTCGGCTGTCAGGTGGCGCATCTATCAGTCGATGCACGTTCCGAACTGACCAACTCTGGTTCGTTCCTGGCCGCTGCTTCAACACTTATCTATTCCATATCAGATTCTTGTTCCTAGCGAACATGTAGGTGACACCGCCAAGCAACCGCTGCATGACGGCCTCCGTGCGCAGAGATCCCTGCATCAATGAAGCCTACGATGCGCCATCTTACCTCGAACCCACCGTCGCGCAGACTTCTCGAACGAAGTGGTACTGGTGGGCGATGGAACTAGCAATGCCAAATGGTGAGATGGCAAGAGCTAGAGTGCCGGCCTGATGAAATTTCTGCTCCAACAGGCATAGAGAACGAAATCCCCGTGCTGATGTCAATCCCTTCCTGAACTCTGCGTGTCTGTCGACGCCTCGCCTATTGGACATTTCCCTTGAGGCCGTCGAGAGCCTGGCCTTAGAGCATCCGTCACAGGTCCTTGGCTGGACCCTGTTCGGTGTGGGCGAACCCAGTCATTCTTTCTTCTTCAGATCCACCGGACCTTTGCGTCGGTCCGCCCACTCTCTGTCACTTGTGTTCCACCCCCAAGGACGACTATATGTAGTAGGACATCGCTACCGGTCTTGGTCTTGCGCAACCGTCTCTCTTCCAACACTTCTTGTACAAGGCAAGCCTTTCTTGACCGGTCTTGACTTTCCTTGGTTCTTGGGATTGTCTTGGACAACGAGTCGCTTCTCCCTCGTCACTTAGCCAGATATGGCCACGAAGACTGCAGGCGGCAATGCTGCCTTCCACAACTTCCACAACGACTTTGCCCATATCCAGGATCCAAATGAGCGTCGACGACTGGCTCTCGCCGAAATCGACAAGGCCCCCTTTGGCTGGTACCATGTCCGTGCCATCGTGGTAGCCGGTATTGGTTTCTTCACCGATGCCTACGATATCTTCGCCATCAACTTGGTCACTGCCATGTTGGGCGTTGTCTACTGGCAGAATGCGGCCAAGAGCCCAGGCCACATCCCATCCAATTCCGACACTGCCATCAAAGTGGCAACATCGGGTGGTACCGTCATCGGTCAAGTTGCCTTCGGATGGGCGGCCGATCAGGTCGGCCGAAAGAAAATGTATGGTCTAGAGTTGATTTTGATCATCTTTGCAACACTTGCCCAGGCACTGTCCTCGGCCTCTCCAGCCGTCTCTGTGGTTGGCTTGATCATATTTTGGCGTGTGATGATGGGTATCGGTATCGGTGGCGATTATCCCCTGTCTTCGATCATCACCTCCGAGTGAGTCTCCCTCTGTGATCTATCGTGTCGACGCACAACGTCTAACTGTCCGCTTCCAGATTCGCGACAACCAAATGGAGAGGTGCCATGATGGGGTCCGTCTTCGCCATGCAGGGTATCGGCCAATTTGCCGCCGCAATCATCGCCTTGATCGTAACCGCAGGCTTCAAGCAATCTCTCCTGACCGCCAAGTCAGTAGACCTATGTGACGGTGTATGCCAACTGGCGGTGGATAAGATGTGGCGGGTCATCATTGGGTTTGGTGCTGTCCCAGGCTGCATCGCATTGTACTTCCGCCTCACCATCCCCGAAACACCTCGATACACTTTCGACGTGGCCCGAGATTCGGAGAAGGCCGTTGCAGACGTTCAGGCCTACAAGGCTGGCAAGAGTGAAGGCCATCCCGACGAAGTCAGCCGGGCTGCTGTTCTCCTAGACTCCCGTGCCCGCCTGGACCCTCCCAAGGCTTCCTGGAAGGACTTTTGGCGCCACTACGGCCAGTGGAAGCACGGAAAGGTCCTGCTTGGAACGGCTGGATCCTGGTTCTTCCTCGACGTCGCCTTCTATGGACTCGGACTCAACAACTCGATCATTCTCAGTGCCATAGGCTACGCCAGCGGTGACAACGTCTATGAGATTTTCCGCAACACTGCCATTGGCAATTTGATCATTGTTTGCGCCGGAGCCATCCCCGGTTACTGGGTCACTGTCGCGACGGTCGACACGATCGGCCGTAAACCCATTCAACTAATGGGCTTCACCATCTTGACCATCCTCTTCGTCATCATCGGCTTCGCGTACCACAAACTCAGCGAAGGAGGTCTGTTGGCTCTATATGTTCTGGCCCAGTTCTTCTTCAACTTCGGTCCCAACGCCACAACCTTCATTGTCCCGGGCGAGTGCTTCCCTACTCGATACCGATCAACCTCGCACGGTCTGTCCGCCGCCTCAGGCAAAGTTGGTGCCATCATCGCACAGTGCGTCTTTGGTCCTCTTCGTACCAAGGGCCACCCGACGAAGTCCAACCCTTCGCCCTGGCTCAATCACGTCATGGAGATCTTTGCTCTCTTCATGCTGTGCGGTATCTTCACCACTTTGTTGATCCCGGAGACCAAGCGCAAGACCCTTGAAGAGCTTGCCGGCGAGGTGCCAGGCACCAAGAACTACGATCCCGAATCCGCCGGTCACCGTAGGGATTCCTATGTTGCGGCTGAAGGATCCCCCAGCCCTGACGTGCTTACCGAACACAAGGCGACTGTTTGAGCAAGCAGGGGAAATGCAGTACACTGGCCTATATGGCCTCGAGACACGATGTCAGTTTCTGTGAGGACTTTGGCGCTTTCTGCCAACCCTCGTCAATTGCTTGATGCCTTTGAGCAGAGCGAAAAAGGTGTGCGACGAGTTTAATCCAGCAATGTAGATTAATAGAAGAGGTCCATGTACCCCCCCAGATTGACTTGGAAACTGCACTATGCTGCTCCTATTGCCTGCTTACCCGTTGCTCTAGGCCTCGTGAGAGGGCAGCTCTCCGTATACTGGCTGGGTGCGCTTATGTCATCAAGGGATCTGGAATCGCGAATATGGGCAATCCGAGGTCGATTGGAAAGCCAAGGTGAGTAAAAACTGCTCGCGGCTCAGCCTCGATCGGGAGGAGGGTGATGCCGCCCTGTGCTCACCTCTGGCTCGCACGAGCCCGGGCGAGCAGCACCCGCGACTCACCCATCGTGAGGGCCAAATAGCCGGGCACCTTGACGCCGATGGTGCGACGCCGGTCTGGCTCACCCGGGTGGGCCCTGTATCTGACGGCCATTATTGGCCTTGCTGCCAACTTGGCATGATGGATCCAGTAGCTCTGTGGTGTCCAATGAGAGTGCCGCGGACCTCAAAAGCAGCGTCGCTCGACTCACATTTCTCCGAGAGTGATCTCAACCTAATAACTGACCCCCTTCCACTTACGACGATTCTGCCGTGCTCTCTCCAAGCCCTTCGCCATATTAGATCTGGAGGGGACTTTCATCCTCGCTGCTTTCCAGCTTCGACAATCTCAAGCTTCCGTCGCCGCCGCCCTTCGCTCTCAGGCTCATTCGGTCGCCCAAGCTTGACAACTCCTGCGGGCCCTCTTCCCACTAACAGGATCATCTCACCCCCTTCGCGGCTCCCACTACCCTGCGTTCCCGCGAAAGCCTACTGTCGACCAAGTCTTCCACCTCATATTGTCGTCTTCCATCGCGTCTATCCTCTTAACCCTTACCGTACCAGTCGGCGCTCGGCTTCCTTACTGTCCTGATGGACGGGCTCCTAGCTTGTTATGTCTACGCACCAGGGCCGGCATTACCGACTGCGACTAGACATCACATCCTACCAGACCGTTAGGAGCTACGTGGCATTCTCCTCCTCCTTAGCCCCACTGAGAAACCACCAGCTACGATGACGTCCATCTAACGGAGGATTGCTGATTCTCGTGGAGAAGCGGATAATCTTTATCTGGGTCTGAGTCTTTCACAGAGGTTTCCACGCCGTGCATCTTACCGACATGCTGTAGGCTCTTACCGACATGCTGTAGGCTCTTACCGACATGCTGTAGGCTGTGCTTCGCTACTCCCTACCGTAGGTAAAGTAATACGCGTTGTCCTTGTAATCCAATCGCAGAAAAAGCCTCACAAGATGGCCCCCATGCGGATGAGACAGTAAGCTGACCACGACGCACACATGTTCACCGTGGTGATACGTGTGCGACGAGAACGGTGAGGAATTTACCTTGCATTCCTGGTTTCATTGGCGATGGAATGGTCGCCAAGCAATTCATCATGCCCTGGGGCACCACTAAGCAGGGAGTGAGGGTCGCATATTTGGTCCTCAGCAGGCACTGACAGGGGCATATATGAACCGCGTACCGCCCACCATAACTGGCGTCTTATGCGTCTTGAGCTTCTCCACGAGAATTTGATACTAGCGTCAACAGTACTTCCACAGCACTTTCGTCGAAACTTACCATTGCCCTCTAGATCATAGCACCATGTCGGAAACCATAGGCAGCGAGGAGCCCTCCAGCCCACCGATCAAACCGGTCCCCGCCCTCAAGAGGTCAAGGTTCTAGAACAGTGAGAGAATTCCGGCGCCACCTGCAATGCGAGCATCAGCAGCTACGTTGTCCTCCCTCGGAACACGTTTTGCGGCAGTGATTCGCATGTGCAGAAGTTTGGCCACAACCAGGGGCCACACGCTGAAGCCAGGAGGTTACATTCACGTGAGAACAGCTCTTTGGCCTGTGGGTCCGACACCATCTAAGCTGTGCCTGCGACGTGGTCTTAGGCTTTAGAGCCAATCATCGTACCAGATAAAACAACTAGTGGACATTATGCATGCTCGTTGGGAAGTGTACTCGACTCTGTACAAGTAGATATCTGACTCAATTCATGCCTTCTGGGCCTCTACTATGCTTAACCTGCCCTTGTCCAAGTCTGCGCTCTCTGGATCCTCGAGAGAATGGAGGATGATCTGATCACCGAGGACCTCGTGAATCTGCTTAAACGTCTTGCCATTGGTATCAGGATAGAAGAAGAGGCACGCCGCCGAGATGAGGTTAGTGGCGAAAAGATGTAGAAGTATTTGAAGCTGATTCCAGACAGAGCCAGAGGAGACGCCTGCGCAAGACCAGGTTGAAGGACTAGTTGATAAAGGTAGCAGCCGCATTAATGTCCCGCCACGACAGCCTGCTGGGGCACAATCACTAGGAGTGAGGATGCCCTAGGGTATTGCAAATGCTAGGAGTGTAGTTCTAGAATCAAACCTATTCTAGGCCGAATGTCTTGGGACGCCCCGCTCAGCCAGGATCCCATCAGTCATAGGAGGAAATTTTCAGGACACCAGTCCTGTGCCAGAGTATGTGGGACAGGTGTCCTACCACGGGATGCGTCCTATGATTCCTCGTAACCTAGGGGCAACGTCCTAGAGAGATATCTGCCCTGGGCCCGTTGTCCAGGACAGATTCGAGCCTGGGAGCAGGGTGCGCAGTGCCAACGCCGGGACATCCCCGCTTCCAGGGACCCTGTCCCACCTCGTTAAGGCTTCCCATAGGGCCACCCCCACGAGTGTAGATGGTGTTACTTAGCAGCTGACGCTCAGCCTGCGCTCGAAACCCAGTGTACACTCATTAGTGGAGCTTCAAGAATTGCACTCTCCCGCAGCGTACGGCCATCACGAGTGTGCGCCCACACCCAAACGAAGCTGTTCAATCTACGGTGAATTCTGTCCCTGAGTTTCGACGGCAAGGGAAAGGCGGTGGAAATTGTGCAGGATGGTGGGGGGAGGTGGGATCTGAGGTAAGAAGGCCGCTCCTAGAGGGGAAAGCGAAACAATGAGCTTGTAGCATCGGATCTCAGCATCATCATGTGAGGATGATTGGTGTTTACGGGACATCTGGCGAGGCTCCTTCAGCTGGCCAAAAGAGTAACGACTTCTTCCACCTCCTCCGAGAAAGTGCAAAGTGAACGCCGATCGCCTTCGCTAAACTCGCGACACGCCTGAAGTTCTCAGTTTGCGGTCGCTCACTCGGCATCGACGTACATCTGTGCAATTGCTTCCGCAAGGGACTGGTGGTCTTCGTTCGTCAAGTCGTCAGCCGCAAAGATTCCTTTTCCATCTCTGACAAGTGCGAGTTGCTGCTCTATATTCTCTGGGTGAGTCGGCTCAAAGGTCAGGAAGCACCACAATGGACCCCCGGCGGGCCATAGAACAGGTCTCTTCAGCAAAATTCCTGGCAAATTGTCGATGGTGCGGGTGTCGAAAAGATGATCGATGCTGGGATACCGCTGGGAGGCTCGATTCGCAAAACGCGCAAGCTCCGGAGTCCGGTCTCCCATATTATTGACCACCGTCTCGATCCTTCCGAGCAGCAACTTGGACTGGCTCCGGTCATATCGTTCCCATCGACTATGCACCCCTGGGTGGCCCAGGTCGTCGGGTACAAGACAGTATACCTCTTGTGAGCCTGCCAACAACGCAGACTGCCTCCCACTGATTGACTGGAACGCGTTGGCAGCTATCATCAAGCAATCACAATTATGAGCTTTCCAGTAGCTCAATGGCAAGGTGACGCTTTCGCCGGCCCGGGCAACGATCGCTAGCTGTTGTGCCGCTTCCTGGCTACACGTGATGACTGTGTATGACTGGACTACTTGCCATGTTGCTTCGTCAAAACGACTGCGGAACACGACGAGTGTGGAGATCGGTTCCTCGTCTTCAAATTCGTGATCAGGGCTCTCTGGCCTCCCTTCCCACAAATCCCTGACCACACGCCGACTAAGTCGCACGGTGTGTGCGTCATCGGTCAGGACCTCAAGCAGCTCCCAAGCAATTTCCCGGAAGCTTTTGTCCCAGAGGCCACTGCGAATCATTTCCAGGAGCTCCTTTTCCTCCTCAGGGATTGAGAGGTGTTTCCACTCCACAAGAAGGTTGCTCGCATCAACTACCGTGATAGCACTAGTGCTATCAGTGACAGCACCGCCTTGGTTGTCTTCGACTGATGAAGATAGATCTCCCATCGTGGTGTCTTCGGCGAATTCGTCAAGGGATTCGCGCACTTGTCCCGCGTCTGAGGCCTCGGGATGCTGTGAAAAGACAACAGGTCGGACTAGCGGTGGTCTGGAGGATCTCAAAGGAAGCGATATAGTTCTCGAATAGAGTAAATCGCCAGTGCCGTCGCTATAGGCCGAAAATTCTGTTTCAGCCGGCGTCACACCCCGGTCCAGAGACGTTACGGCCGTCATACATTTCAGCACTGCTTCTCGATATACGTCTCGTGCCCAGTAACAAATCCAATCCATGATCAGCAGCAATTGTAATGCTTGGTCTTCATTGGCCAGATAGCCGTGCCAGCAGTCAACGACATTCTGTGTCGGTCAGTACCACATCTCATGGGCCTTCTGCAACTTACAGTCTCGTCGCCGTTTGGAATAGCACAGTATAAACGCCATTCATCTCCTTGATATCCAATGAACCACACCAGCGGATGTAGCAGCTCATTTCCAGAATCCGTCTCGAGGTCTACCTGTAGCTTCAGACACGATCTGATAGCCAGTGCCGACTGCCGCTGAATCGCTTCAAACCCAGGCCCGGCCTTTTCAGACTTGGCCTCCACTACCAGGAAAGGAAAGCAAGTATACCCGTCCTTGAAAGGGCTGTATCTGTCCGGTGACAACTGGCCTATGTGAGGCACGAATGACGTCGTCAAGCTCAATCCAACCACAAGATCGGGCCGTTTATACTTCTGGTCAACAATCACGCTCTGCAAGCCACCATCTCGGTGCAGGACTCGCTCGTCTGATTTGTTTGAGAAAATCGACGGCCGTACTTGATCGACTCTGGCCGCAAGTTAGCCCTCGGGAGCGGTCGTGGGGGCACGAGATAATCACCTCACAATACTTGCTCTCTCCATAGCAGTGCACTTACAAATTGACCTGTTCGCATGCCTGCGGAGAAGCTCTTGCGCCGCCATCATATCGTTTGGTAATGCAACAAAATCTGGTTTTGACGTATGCTTCTTGCATTTTTGACTGTCAGGCATCAGTACAGAATATTCATTAGGTCGGATCCCCTCACCAGACGAACTCGATTCCATTCACACGTTCAAAGACTAAGGATGCGACATTGTTGATCCATCCAGCCTCGTTGTCTCTTTCCCTTTTGCATCGGATGGCGTTCGCTTGGATCTTGCGAACCAGGAGTTTCCTCCTGCAGGCTCCTTCAACATCGTGATGACTTGCGGGAGGGTATGTTCCAAAGCGGACAGCCTGGATCTCGTCAATCTGATCGAGGAGGTGCTTGTACGGCTTCGCCCATCTCTGCAAGCGGGTTGACGGTCCAGGATCCAGGAACAGCACCTTGTACTGATGGATCAACCTCACCAATTGTGCGCTCTCGTTAATCGTTCGTTCTCTTCTTGGGGCCATGACAACTACGATGGATGTGAGAAGGGAGTGTCTCCTCTTGATTCACGGAATCTCGGACGTTGGGCCTACTTTGTGGATCACTTCGCAGTCGGCCGCCGGTCAATTCAGACTCAAATGAGCCGGTAGGGGCTGGGTTGCTTCGCGCGCGCCTGGAGGGGACACAGCTACTGGCGCTAAGTTCTGCAACGATAGGGGCTTGGTGCATCACCGCGACAAGCAGTTGACGCTAGAGATGGACCGATCACTTCAATTCACCCCTATGGCACATTCCACACAAGACTACTGCTGGGACGAGGCAGACAGCAGGCTCCAGCCCACTGCAGCCATCCACAAACCCGCTCGTGCCTACGCCGCTGGTCTCGTCCAAGATCTCGTCTATTCCCGGCATGAGCGTCAGGCTGACTCGAGACTGACCTTCAGCTTCTCTGTGTTTCTGCCCACAGACTGTGGGATGATCGGGGTCGATCGTCTGCCCTGACGAATACCAAGAGTACCGAAATCGCCTTCCTGAGACACGCAATCGACACTGTACCTCCATGGTTTTCGCGAATACTCCTGCTAGCTGCTCCCCGAGTGATGCCTCAACGTCAGAAGTTTCGGATCCGCTATCTGCGATATCTTGGTTCGCCCATAACGGCTCGAATGCTTCCTGCAGCCTCAATCCAAGATCTGTGGCTTTAGCTTCCAGAAAGTGCTTGAATGCTGCCTCGCCGATTATGTCGCGATGGATATCCAAGTCTATATTGCTTGCGAAATCCGGATCTACTGGGAGTCAGTCTAGGCAAACAAACGGGCGCACGTTGTAAGCATACCTCTGCTGGCAACGTGTGCCAACGCTTTGGAATACGCAGAGGTTGTACCTGGAGCACAAAATCCATGGTATCGATCCAGTGTCAGCGTAGCTGTGCTTGCTTGGAACACCCATTCGACCAGCGCTGCTGCACTCAATGCCTGGAGAAACTGCTTTTGTGTAATCCCTTGAGACCGGAGCACCTCGAGTGCGGAAGCCATCTCAGGTTCCGATCGTGTACCAGTGGGAACGACTCGGTGCATTAGCGGTGTGATGCGATTGCGTGAATGCGGCGAAACCAGAGTCCAGTCGATGTCTGCATCGCGTGTCATAAATATCTTCTTGAGGTCTCTATGAGCTTCTTCCATGCGCTTTGCAACCCACAGAGCCGTATCGTTGTCCAGCGAATGTGGGCCAGGCCGCAGCAGCCTTGCAACTTCAGTTCGACTCGCCATCATCGACTGTAATTTGTCGACCGTTGACTGCAACTGAACAACTTCATCAATGGTCACCTTACCACCACTTGCAAGGAGCTCTCCAAGCTTCACAGCCAGAGAATTCTGACTTCTTTTGAACTCCCCACATTCAAGCTCGACAGCATGGCATCTCGCTTTCCAGAAATCAACATCTAATGCAGAATTCCTCCTCAAAACATAAAGATCTTTCTCCAGGCATTCAATCCGCTCCGTCATGGACCGTATCTTCGCTGATAGCGCCCCAAATTTTCTATTATCGAATACCCGGTCCTCGATATCGGAACAGTCAGAAGGATCAGGTCCTGGAGACAGCGTTCCCTCTGAGGTGTAAGCCGAATTTGGGACAGTTGGAGCAGTAGAAGCCCGGGGAATTTCAACCGTGACCACCGTCCGCTTAAATGGAGTGTCGAAAGAGGGGGTGTCTTCGGTTTTGAACGGCCACCCTTGACTGTCACTGGTTGAGCCACTCGTCTCGTACTGTAAGTCAGCCTTTCCTTCGGAAACTCATGGCGATAAGACTGCTCACCTCTCCCAAACCGTCTGCGATGAGCCTTTTCCGGAGTGGATGAATGGTAGCTCTCAGTGGACCTCGTTTCCCTCTCGAACCGTTGATGGTACTCCTACTATCCGATCTCACTCTGCTTGCTGGGTCAGGACTCACGGTGATCTGCTTAGAGCCACTTCTCAATTTCCTGGGTGAGTACATATCCTCCAGCTCTTTCTCTTTCCTGATTTCCGATGTCCTTTTCGCGATCTTTTCCTTCTGCCCCTCATTGAACCAAGTCAGATTCTTGGAACCGTCGACGTAGATCATATCTAGATCTCCCGAAATGTCGTCCTCCGGACCGAATCCATGTCTGAGTAGGTGTAGCTTGCGCCTGATCTGATCAGGAGAATATCGCCCATTGTGACTCCAGAGGCTCAAATGCTGTGCAGCGCTCTCGTTGATCTGAGCTTTTTGAAGGCCTTCAGCCCTCGCATACTCTAGGAAAGCGATCAACTCCTCGATTACTTCCTCTGGCCATAAGCTATGTAGAGGGCGGTCTGGCTTCGGCACTTTGTTCTTTCTTGATATCCTTCTCCTGCCCATTTTTCTACCATGCATTTAGGGGATGGGCAAACAGAACACGCGGGAGCTGAAGCAAGTTGGCTTTGGAATATCCAACCCCCTTAGTGGTGCTGCGGGCGCCTGACGTGGCGCACGTTAGTGTCGCGAGTGTCTCAGTGTTTGTTGCGACAAGGATGATACCGCCTTTCCAGAGGTTGCATTACACTAGCCGTCCTCCAACCCCTGTTGTTGTCTGTAAAGTCCGGCCACAGCTCTCTTCCTCTTGCTCATTTTCTACCATATCGTGAGATGTTGGGCAAATAGAATCACGCGGAAAATGAAGCAAGTGGGCTTTAGAACGACCGAAGCCCCCTCGGTTCCCTGTAGGAGTGCTGCGGGCGCCTAGCCAGGCGTCCTCGACCCCGGTTGCCGCCCGAGGAACCCAGCCACGGCCGCCTGCGACTTTCATTCAGTGATCCATTACAACCAGGGGTTCACGGTCTCTTCCCATACGAGATATGCTTGGCCAATTTTCACAGTACAATTGAGCCTTACACAGTCGATGTCTGTTGCGACCCATACTGGCTAATTGCAGGCGTGGTGGTGCTAGAGCCTTCTATAATAAATCCGGCAAACTCGTGCTGGTCCTGATCCTTCCATGTGGCCTCTACTATAAGCCATTGTGGACGACAACTATGCCAGCCGCCATTATGAATCCTCTTGAGCCAGTCTTTCGCCAAATCTCGCACGTACCACAAGTTGTACCACTCGCAAATACCCATGCTGTGAACAGCACTGCAATTGAGACTTACGAGTCTCCACCAAGCGCCAGAGCAGAGTTGAATGGCGACCAGAGAGGAGGTACACAACAGTTGCATCCGGAGTCAGTCGGTGCCAGATTTATCGTGGCCGTCGATTTCGGAACTACTTACTCCACGGTTGCCTTTGCCAAAGTCGGGCCTGGGACGGACGTAAGCGGTCTAGGTCCCAATGACATTCGGTGCATCGTCAACTACGAGGATGCGGCCGGCTCGCGCGACGCTAGAATGAATGCGCGATACGACAACGTACCCACCGAGCTTCTCTACTTTTCCCCATCGTATAGTGACTCTGAGACCTCCGATTCGGAGTCAGCGCCGCGCGAAAATGAGTTTGAGCAAGATTTCGAATCTCCCCCAGGCTCACCTCGGATAAGGCCAGGGCCGCGGGGCCGCAAGCGAACGAGGCGCGTTCAGCAGCAAATCTGGACACGACAAGGCTTCATTGAGTGGGGATATCGGGTACACCACATACAAAAACATCCACATGAACTCCACTCGAAGAATGATGTTGAGATTGTGAGACTAATCAAATTGATCCTGGGAGATGAACAAGCGGACGAGGCGGACGAGAGCAGCGGAGCTGGTGGTGTACAGACTAAACGTTTGAGAGACGTACAGCGAGAAATACTCCAGCAGGTGAGCCGTTTGCAGGATCGGAAGGCGGTCAGGTGTTTGAACGACATCTTGACTGACTATCTTGTTCGACTACTGTACCATGCCAAGCAGATCCTGCGCAGAAACGAGGGCCTCACTGCCGACTCACAGATTGACTATGTCTTATGCGTCCCGGTCTCTTGGTCGCCGGCTGCTTCCCAAACCATGCACAACGCCATGGCAAGCGCCGTTCGGAAATCAGGTCTTGGAACCTTGTACGGAGATGCCATCATCGCAGACCTTTTCATTGTCTCCGAGCCCGAGGCTGCTGCCCAATTCGTGCTCGCGTCACTAGGGGAGAAAGGACGACTGAGGCAGAATCAAATCTTCACACTGCTGGATGCAGGTGGCGGCACTGTGGACATCACGACATACAAAGTCACTTCTGACGGAAATCGGCCATTGCGCTTGCAGGGTGAAATGATCCCGCCGGATGGAGCTCTTTGCGGGTCTTCGCTGATCAACGAAGCGTACAAGAAGAGACTTCTGGAGAAGCTCTGCGATACGGATTTCAACGGAGGAGCCGACGAGCTCAAGAGCGTAGTTGCTGGACTGGTCGCAGACTTTGAGGTGTCCCTCAAACCGTACATCGACTTCACAAAGAAGAAAACACTCCCGCGCCGCTTGTACATACCAGGCCTTCGGGACAACCCGGAAAAGAAAATCAGCAAACACTGTCTCAGATTCTCAGAGCAGGAGATCTTTGACCTGTTCAAGGACTGCCTCAACGGAGTGAGCCGACTGCTCGAATCGCAACTGGATCGTGCGGCAAAGAAAGGCTTGACAGTGATCGATGTCGTGGTCGTTGGTGGTTTTGGTGAGTCGCCCGCGCTGCGCGCACGCATTGAACAGGTCACTGCCTGTAGAACAAACATGGTGGGCGGAAAGATCGGCCTGATCTGGCCCGACAAGTTTCCCACGTCGACCGTAGCCAGAGGCGCGGTTTTGCGGTCGCTCAATAAAGAGAATGGCCCCTCCCGTATCTCGAGGGCCAGCTATGGCTTCCTACAAACCGAGCCCTATAAGGAACACAAAGAACACGTCCAAGCTGGCTTGGTGCCTTCGGTTGACAAGGTCGACGGCTTCGAATACGTCAAGAACACCATCCTCTGGGTCATTCAAAAGGTACATACACACGTGTATTATCCGGCAGGAGCAAGAGCCAGGATGAAGCTGATGACTGATTTTCGGCGTCCTAGGATGACAAACTCGACACGAGATTCACATCAAAAACGTTTCCCTCATCGCACACCTTTGGAAGACAGGAACCCAAACTCGTGTGCGTCGAGTGTCTTTACACATCAGCCAAACGGCACCGTTCGCACTTCCCGCGCGACCACGCGGAGAATGAAGGTCTGTCCAACCTACGTCTCTTCTTCTTCCTCTTCTCCCCTTTCTTCCCTCTTGCCTCGATTCCCCCAAACACAGCTCCGCGCTCAACTCCCTCTTCCTCCATCTTTCTCGTTTTCACCAGGGCCGTACTCCACACCGCTGACCAACCCGCAGGGGCAACCTTGCTCGGAGAGATAGAAATTGACATGACCGAGTTCCGAAACGATCTGCCCACCAAGGAAAATGCCTACACTGACACAGCCGCAAAGATGGCGAAGCGCAGGATCATCGACGTGACCTTCGACCTGGTCATCACTGTGGAGGGTCAGCAACTGATGTACGAGGCCCGTTGGCCAAGTCATACCCAGGCGCACCTAGGTGACGTTCGCAAAACGAAGACAGGGTACCTTAGTCTTGCACCCGGCTTTGCACCAGGCACGGTGTGAGGCCGGATGGGCGCGCGGTGGAGCCGTTGAGGAGCCAGCTACACGTCACGGCAGTGCACCATAAGAATAGTGTGGGGTCCGTGTCGTGGTCTGTCAGGGGGCGATGGGCGGGAGGTTCTCAAAGAGTGTCTGAAGGGTTGCTACCTAACTATCTATTGAGGTAATAATATCGACAACGACTCGAAGTGATACAATATCTAGTCACGTGCCTCTTGGCAACCTCTGTCATGACCGTTTATGACACAGGCCTGGCTCTCGAAAATGCCTAGTAACCCCATTGAAGCCGGTTCACCGTCTATATTCATCAAGAATCAAGTTTCTCTCCATCAAAACAGCTCTCCGACACCGATACTTGAGGCCATTAACCAGTTTACGAAGGGTGCGATAGGAATTATGCATCAGATCGCGCTTTTGAAGTCCGAGGTCAGGACACTTCGGGAGGAGAATGCACTACTCAGTCGCCGTCAGTGCGCGAAGAAGACACATCTCCGTGAAGGAGGAAGTATAATAATCCTTGCGGAGGGACAGCTTCTACAGTCTCGTAGTCGTATAGAAGTGATGATCAAGCAAGAAACACCGCGTGGTGGTAGTCGGAAGCCAAAGACAGAAACGCGTCCGCGGACGTGTGGCGTCTGCGGGAACACCGGACATAATGCAGGACCCTGTCAAGTAGTTGTCTCTCCACCTAAGGAAGAGGATTCCAAGTAGTTACAAACAATTCAAAGCATTATGGTGGAGTGCAGTCAAGAAATGTGTAGGTGGTCGGATGGAGGTGGCCTACTCTCTTATCACATACGTTAGTCCTAACAATCAGGTAATATGAAGGGTGAGTCGGTGGGTGAGTAGAGGGTGAAGAGAAAGTGAGAGGAAGGTGAGTCGTACATAGTTGGTATTAAAAGCGGCAGTATTGGCGTGAGCCCGAAGTGAGTAGCGAGCAGGTTTTACTTTGCTTGTGCCGCCAAGGCATCGGGAGGTGTGCAGGGGGGTGGTTCAAGTTGGCTGCCACAAAGCATGGACAAAGTATACTTCCAAGTACAAAGTATATTTCCACCTCTCGACCTTCTTCTCTTCTACAACTTTTCCTTGAGGGTCTTCAATCAAGGACCGAGTCACCTCTCCAAGCTCGGCAAACTCAGCATCGATGGAAACGGGGATATAGTGTACCCACGGCTCGAGCCAGCCATTGTGCCATTCCTCAAAAACTGTCTGCTTGAGGACCGCCCTGCTGGATTTGAGCATGCGGATCAAACTGAGGGCATGTATCCTGACCAGTGCCAACGTCAGGAGGGACCTGTAGGTACCTGGAGGTACTTGGGTACTTGAGGAAGGACCTCGGAGGGTAGCACTGCCAGTCCCAGTTGGGCATAAAATGCCCTCAGTGGTACCTGTAGTGAGCAGCCAAGGAGCTACTGACGTTAAGCCTTGGGCTAGAGAAAGCACCGAGAACATCATTGGCCTGGAAATCAACGTTTATCAGTCTTGCTCATCCATCACTGTTCGCGGTTTAGCTTTTACCTATACCAAGAGTTTCCATCCCGTCTACCATCGCGAACCTGGCAATTTTGTCCCCCTCACCTTCGTCAGAATGCAGGTACAGCAGTTCACGTTGCCGACTGTTGCTTCTCATTTGTCCGATATGGGAGCTCCAGCTATTCAGCTATCGGTGTAGAGCTGCTGCAAGAGCCGTCAAATGTCGCAGCTAGCCGATCAAGCTCCAAATGTGAGAGCTTCGTACAGCTCTTCAGCGCCCTCTTCGGCCGTGATGCCATCACTCTACAGCCCTCGATTCGTCCACGTGGGACAAGGGTAAGCTGCAGCTCGCATCTGGTCATGCCTGAAGCTGCATTGGCTTTCCAGAGGTAGGATCGGGAACTCTGGGTTCAGGTACAAGTATCTCGGTTCCCTTCGCAGGATGCCTGAACGCTTCTGTCTCCTCCTCGCAAGCCAATATAGTATCCACGTAGCTACTCACCACGGTCTCCAGCTTATCTCGCTATGATGCGCGCAACAGTCGGGTATTTGGCCCTGTCGGCCGCCTTGGTTGCAGATCTGACTGCCGCATTCCCAGTCATGCCTCGAGGTGAACAGCATCCGACGCCTGACGACTACTACATCTCCCTCGGTCCTCGTCCTTACTACCTCATCGAGAACATGACAGAGAGTCCGCTCAAGTCTAAGCTGGAGTCGTGTGAAAACGGCCCGTTCGAGATCACGGCCTGGAGCATTGGACACAGGGGTGGAGGGACCCTGATGATTCCTGAAGAGACGGTTCAATCCACCATGGCTGGTGCAAGGATGGGCGCCGGGATACTGGAATGTGATGTGTCATTCACACAAGATCTGGGACTTGTCTGCCGACATGACATCTGTGACCTGCACACTACCACAGATATCCTGCTCAGACCCGAATTGGCCGCCAAATGCACGCAGCCATTCACCCCGGCCAACGAAACCGCCGACGCCTCTGCTCTGTGCTGTACGAGCGATATCACCAAGGATGAGTTCATGTCCCTGTGCAGCAAGATGGACGGCTTTAATGCCACGGCAACTACCCCAGAGGACTTTCAACATGGTGTGCCGTTCTTCAGAACCGAGTTGTATGATACCTGCGGCCAGGTCATGTCGCTCGACAGCTACATTGACCTTGTCGATTCCCTCCCGGGCTATCGTAACTTCACCCCCGAGTTGAAGACCCCTCCTAAAGCGGTTCCCATGCCCTTCAATGGCTACACTCAAGCCCAGTATTCCAGAGATATGATCGATACATTTATCGCTCACGGTATCAGCCCCGAGCGCGTCTTTCCGCAGTCCTTCACCCCGGCGGACATCTATCTCTGGCTGAATGAGTATCCTGCCTGGGGTGCCCAAGCAGTTTTCCTGGACGAGGATGGTGATGACCCGGCCAACTTTACCACGGCGGTCAACCGACTTCCTGCCCTCAAGGCCAGTGGGGTCAACATCATCTCCCCACCAATCAACTACCTGTTAGCCGTGGGAGGACCTAACAACGATACCGTTGTGCCATCTGATTATGCCATTACTGCCAAGAATGCGGGCCTTGAAATCATCTCTTGGTCGTTCGAGCGTTCTGGACCTCTGACTCGAGTCGCTGCAGACGACGATTATTACTACTCCTCGATTGCTCCCATCATGCATTACGACGGTCAGATGTATGAGGTCTTGGACGTACTGGGTCGGGAGATAGGGCTCAAAGCCATGTTCTCTGACTGGTCCGCCACCGTCACTTACTATGCTAACTGTTTCGGGTTCAAGGGGCCTGGAAATGAGTAAGCATGAGAACTAGACTAGACATTCATATGATTATCGAGGGAGAGCACGAGGGGAATGAGGCACGATGATATGATCAGTCGCGGATAATATAATAGACATTGTCTCATTACACTAAGGTTGCAAAGCCGGAACCACATTTTCAAGGTTCAGCCTCTTTCAACTAGACGGAGGAAAGACGTACTTGCAGTAAGTTGGTTCTGCAGCTGTAGCATTTGACCAAAATGCAGGACCGTGGCTTGAGTGGCTGGATATGGGTGAAAGTAGTCTAGAGCTTTGCAAGGGTGATACCATGCAATATTAATGTAATGATTGACTAGTATTGATACTATGAACTCGTAGAATTAGTTATCCCCAACAGCTCCGCCAACCCAGCATCCTCCAACGCCTTGATCACGTCAAGTTGAATGGTCACATTATTCGTCCGCAGCGCCTGCTCGTAATAGTTCAAATGCTGGCCATCGTACACGCTCCCGTTGGCCACGATGTCAACGGGCAGGATACCAGCCTTGTAGTCCGTGAAGATCAACCCGACCACAGCCGTCTGGTTGGTGACGGCGCGCATGTTGAACGTGTTGTTTCCCGGCTTCAAGAGGACATCGGGCAGTGTTGCTACTCCGACGGGGAGGCCGGCAACGGACATGGTCAGAGACACGTTGCCCATTTGGTAGGTGGCGATGGAGGGGTTGGGGATCATGACGGTGCCGTTCGCGTTGGCGCCGTCGGGCTGGCTGCTTGTTAGGATGGTGAAATCGGAGAGGGTTAGGCCGTTGAGACCGTTGAGACCTATGGTTGATGGGAAGGAGAAGATGTTAGATTGATTCATTGCCTGCAAATTGAACGGGCGAGCGCTTAAGGATACTGCTGGTGGGGATCTGCTAGGAGAGGGATTGAATCATGGAGTTTAGGCTTGAGTGTGAGTGTAAAAGTAGGTAGAAGTGAACAGGCATATTCCATCGAAGCATTTATTCGCAGAGAAGCAAGTTCAATGGTGATTGGAACATGGGCTAGGATAGGATTGGGTGGGAAACATGGGCAGAGTAGCAATGAAAGCCAATGGGAGCAGTGAAATCCGGCGAACACGCGATGTTGCGCAGACACAAACATAGCCCAGAGTATATGTCGTGGAACGGTAAAGGCGGGTAAAACCACGGTGGAGGTCAAGCAAGTAGAACGAAGTTGACAAGGATTGCCGGCAGAAACAAAAAGCCCGGCGGCATGCTTACCTTGGATGGTGATCTTCTTGTTATACTTGACGGTAGTCTTGGGCAGACTGCCATACTTCAAACCCCCTTTGCCTTTGAGGTAGATGCTGAACGTGTCGCTAAGAAGAACCTTCTTGACGTATTGGTTGAACTGGTCCATGTTTGCAATTCGCACTCTCTGGTTGATGTGTGCAACGCTACCGTTGGTGGCCTCGATGGCCGGAACGTTGATCCGAACAAACGCGTCGTCGCTATCAGGAAGACGTAGATCTGCGGTGAAAGGATCAAGGCCAGCTTTCATGCTGGAATGCGAGATGAACATGTTGTCCAATTGAAGGTCAAAGGAATCTGGTGCCGGGTTTAGAAGAGACATGGATTGAGGCTCGAGTTTGGCTTTGTTGATAGCATCTTGTGCTTTGTGCGGGTAGGCCACGTAGACACTGTAGAGGTGATTAGTCTTGAGGGCATACTCTATCGGATAGTCCATGCAGAAAAAGGGCAGCGGGGGGGCCACGGATTGTTAACCGAGTTCTCAGGATGAGGATGCCGTTCGAAATTAAGCGAAAGGCATCAAGCTGGGACATGACTCTGGTGTTGAGGAGTCGAGAGTCGAGACCACATACACTGGGAGAACCACCACCAGAACAACAATCACAAGAGCAATCAACCAGATCCACCAAAATCGAGCGCAGTGACGCTTCATTCTCTGCTTGAATGGCGGTTTGCTTCCCGGCCCGCTGGTGGCAGAAGGGGCTTCATCTTCGACGTAGACCTCTTTCCCGGCTCCTGTAGACATGGCTGAGATCTTTCCGATAGGACTTGAAACACAGGTAGTAATCAAACAGTAGAAAACGGAAAGACACAGAGACAAAGTAACTCAAAAAAGGCGAGAGCCTCGTGCGACAAAGAGGAGAGGCAGGAAAGAAGGGATTCCGGAAATTGACAGGGGCAGTTCGAGGGTTCATGAACGAGAGATGGATTTCTAAAGCAGAGACCAAGCAAGGGTACCTATGTATGGATGGCAGAGCGCCCCAACATCTTTTCATTTCTTTCGTTCGATTTGGTGTTCGATCCATCAATCGCCAGCGACTGTTAAAATTTTTCCAAACCACTCACTGAAGACCCGTTCAACGTTCAACAAAATCCCCCGCAAATTGGCAGCCGATCCACTTCAGCAAGGCACGCGACCAATATCGACTTGGTCAAAGCAAACGCTAGCTCCCCGCAAGTTTGTGGTGAGGCAAACCGTTTTTCTTTTCACATGTTGGAGGCATCGACAATGTCTGTTCTGCAGAGAAATAAAGACGAGCCGAGGAAGACAATGCACCACATGTCAAAACGGCGATTCTGAACGGGGATCTGAGCCTTGAAGGACCATCAGTTCCTAGTCAAAAAATCAGCTAAAGAGAGGAGAGTTGTTGTTTTGCTGTCACAGTACTAAAGAAAAAGGGGGTTTTGTGGGAGGGGACGAACAAGCCCAAACGTGCGCCGGCGCCAATGCTACCTACTAGACTACTACTGTAGGAGCGAAGTCGGTCCGGGGCAAATCAGATCACACGAATAGAAGAGTCAGGTTGGGGCCGGACGGCACTAACCCAGTCCGGCTTATCATCCGGGGTGACCACCAACTCCAACACAGGGAACAAATGGGAACCAAAGCAACCCTGACTTCTCCATCGCCAAACGATGATCCGGGGCCGTTTCGTTACGTTCAGATAAGACGGTTGACAGGCCAAGGGTCGAATCATCCGCGGTACTTCCCTTTCGACCTCTTCATCCCCAGATAAATGTCACATCGTGGGCGCTACCATATCACGATTCACTTGCGCCGGCGCACTATTGGATGTCCCCGACGGCTGAGGTCCACCACCCTGACTTTCGCACGGCTGGGGTCCCCAGACTCGGCATGAGAAAGTTGGACAAAGGTCTGGCTAGCCTGCTTGGCCCAGAAAGCTTGGATAGAGCAGTGAGGGGGGAGTCGCTGACATCTGTCGAACTTGCGTCTGGAGACACGACAGCCTCGGCATCGTGAGATCTTTGTGTCTTGGTATTTCCTGGTGTCGCTAAAAGATGAAGGGCTCTTTATGACACTTCTTGGTGACATGCATGTTGCTCCAAAGAGCCCTCCATCTTCTAGCGACAGTGCGACAGTGCGACACCAGGAAATACAAAGACACAGACAGTACTCCATCCGAAGGGTGCCGCAGTTCTGGAGGTCCGCGGGGACCCCATGATTATGGGTCGGGATCGATCACCTCACCTCACTTTTTGTCCCTCCAGACTGTGGCGTCTTTGCATGCCGAGAAGATCCGCCCCGGACCGGCATCAAACTCAACTGCAAGTTGGTATGTCAACCCCCATCATTAGCAAGAGGTATCTCCCAGCGCAACCACCTGCTTGCATCGGTCGTTCATTGTCACCCACCCATGACCGGTCTATCCGTCGCATTGGCGATGGTAGAGTAGTATCTGATCTAGTACTTGCAATGACCTTGCTTGGAAGTTGGAACAGACTCGACACCGAAGTTGGTATGCAGGAAGGGCGAAAACCACGACGGAAGCGCCGACGAGATGCTTCTCCAGTAAACCGTGAGTTCCGATGGCACCCCTTGTCCCAGCCTACGACCCTGGCCAACGATACGTTCACGACAGTACTATCTTACTGGAATGGCTCTTCTCTCACACCCCCATAAAGGCAACAGTCGAAATGCTACCTTTGCTTTCTTTCCCTGTCAAACTTGAACGGGCGATTTCCCAATCTCTGCTGATCGCATCCTTCGCCTACCTGCTGCTGGTGAATGGACCACTAACTAATTGCTTCATCAAAGTCAAGCTCGATCTCTGCAATCGAGATTCCTTGCTTGTTGGCAACATCAGAAAGCCAATTCATAATATTGTCAATGAGTTCAATATGACTGTGAGTCTTGTTTAGCTAGATCTCCATTGGAAGAAGGAGTGGCAGTTTCTCTCCAGTATCGTGTGGTTTTGGAACTCTTGTTGATCAACTTCAACGCTGATGACCATGACAACATCCTTTTCGTTGTATCGACTATGAATGAACTTGCCCATCGATCTGAGCGCTTCCACGACAAGGTCGATCAAACCCCATCTGGCCAAGGTGTGTCTCGACGTAATAGAGGTCATTTGGGTCGGTCAGGACCTCATATCTGCGCAATTGACTCACCTGGGTCAAGTTCTCCCCGTGGTCCGATCTCGTTCCTCAGATCCTATAGAATCTACTTTCCCCGTCTGCCATACCTTCTTTGGGAAGTGGCACGTTCTCGGTTGAGTGGTAAGAGATATCTGAGGTCCAGGCCCGAAAAGACGTCGTGCTCGCTAGAAAAAATGTCACCCGAACGAGTCGAAGAGACGTATGGAACGCTCTTCCGTTCATTTGGGAACGTATCCACCAAGAACTGGTGCTGATAGCGGCATCATCTTCAATGATTTCTCTCGGTGTAAAGAACAAGTCGAAAAGCATTGCTCACTAACAACAATTTCCAGGTTACTGGTTGCATGGTTCTTCAAAACTCCACTCAAACTAAGTATGCTCGGGGATGTGGGATACCAACTTGATTAGATCGAACCCTTTCCCAGTCGAACCTGCAGGCCTCAGATAGAGTGACCTGCAAGGTGAGAGGTAGACCCAGGCGAGGCTGGCTTGGTGAAATGCTTGCGGCGCTTGCCGATGGCTCCATGACGTCAAACGAGCGGACATGGATATAGCTTATACAGCCTGTTGCAGCTACCCCGGGCGGTTCAATGTCGCGATAGAAGCTCCCCGTGGTGGATGAGGGACGGTGTGCCTCACTAACATGGCTGCCAGTCGAGATGGCCGGGGTTTTGAGCGGAGGTATTCACCGTTTCAGCATAGCGCGGCCCAAAAACTAACTACACTTGGTTAGCAGTTCCCAGTTGTGGTAGCCCGTGGTCCGCCAGGGACATATGTGATCATATCCTCTCCTACACATCGAGTCTCACCGACGAGTCTACGGAGCACTCGGCTTTGGACGAGTCTCTCGACTAGTAGTGGTACACTCTACGAGATGATCAACCTAAGCAAGAGCTTACGTCCTCGACATGGGAAACAGGGAACAGGGAACAGCTAGCCTGCGGTGGAGCTACCCCATGGAGAACGAGGCTCCTCCTCCGCGATTCTAATTCTTTTGCTACACGCCTAATGCATGCCAGCCGTACCCTCTGAGATGGCGATCACCCAGACAATCCTTTGCGCATGTGACACTGTCAGTGTTCCAGCCATTTTGATATTCCTCGTCCGCCACTGCTTGACGATATACCTCGGAGGAGGAAGTCTTCTCCAGTTTGCATGTGAACCCCGGAATTTCGGGGCATCGAAGAGCATGTAAGTTTTGCGGAGGCCTAGGTGTGAGTCAACTTCTTCATCCGTCGTCCATGCACTTGCTCTGCCTTGCTGGATCATGGCCGACTGAATCTTGTCTCAGCGACACCATCCCTACTGTTTATAACTTCCGTCAAAAAGGAAAAGTAGCTCATGCGCATGACCAGGACATACTATGTCTCTCGATAATGCCAATCTCTTGGAAAAGGGTTACTGGGAGCCAGCGAAGTCGGAGCCCGAGCGAACTCTGGCACGAGCGAAACGACGCGTTCTCGAACTTGTGAGGCCTTCCAATGCCAGCAAGACAGCATTGCAGAACTCGAAGGCCAACCGAACTGCATACCTGGATGGGCTCAGGGGGTTTGCCGCGCTCCTGGTATATTTGGGGCATCATCAACTATGGGCACACGACGCTCTGAAAGCAGATCGAATCCTGGAAAACGCTTACGGCTACGACAATCAGTATTACTTTGCCTGTCTGCCAGTGGTGAGGATGTTTTTCTCGGGTGGCCACTTCGCAGTCACTGTCTTCTTCGTTCTCTCAGGATACGTTCTATCATGCAAGCCACTCACGATGATCCATGCCGGCGAATACATGAGGCTCGGGGATAATCTGGCGTCGGCGCTCTTCAGACGCTGGCTACGACTTCATATACCGGTCATATGCACGACCTTTTGTTACATGACCTCGTGGCATGTCTTCGGATATACTGCAGACCCTCTGCCTTATTCCACATACCTCGAGGACTTGTGGAACTGGTACGTTGAGTTCAAGAACTTCAGCTTCATTTTCACTACCGGCGGCAAGCCCTGGTTCAGCTACAACTTCCACGTATGGTCGATACCAATCGAATTCAAAGGCTCGATTCTGATTTATACGGCACTTCTAGCATTGTCGAGATGCACTCGAAATGCCCGGCTTTGGTGTGAACTAGGTCTGATCCTCTATTTCATGTATATTGTTGACGGCTGGTTTTGCTCGGTCTTCATGTCTGGAATGCTACTTGGTGATCTGGACCTATTGGCTGCCAGCGATAATCTGCCGCATCTCTTCTCAAATCTCGCTCGCTTCAAGAGCTTCATTTTCTACACCCTTTTTGTCGTTGGACTCTACCTTGGTGGTGTTCCGTCCTTCAGCGCGGATATCAATTACCTGAGAGAGTCTCCAGGCTGGGGTCTTCTGTCTCTCCTCAAACCACAGGCTGTCTACGACTATAAGTGGTTCTACCTGTTCTGGGCAGCAACATTTGTGGTGGCCTCCATCCAGCACATCCCGCGGCTGAAAGGGTTCTTCGAGACACGGTTCAACCAATACCTCGGCCGGATTTCGTTCGCCTTTTATCTCGTTCACGGCCCGATCCTGTGTTCACTCGGCGATAGGATCTATGCTGCTGCTGGCTGGATCAAGGAATCTCAGATCACGACTATCCCTGGCTGGATAGATCTCGTCCCTCTCCCAAAGATTGGGCCGTTTGGGTTGGAGTTAAGCTTCCTACTTCCGCAGCTTATCCTTCTTCCGGTTACGCTATGGGTAGCAGAGGTGGCTACAAGTCTTATTGACGAGCCAAGTGTCCTATTTTCGCAGTGGCTGTACCTGAAGACCCTTTCCCTGGTGAGCAGGCCGTGAGTCCATTGTGAACTCTACTGCCCGGGAGGGAATGACAACAAGTGGAAGGGCCTGGAAAGTAGGACTAGGTAAGAGGCACAGACATAGCCACATTGTCCATCGGCTTCGGGATCGAGGATATAGGAACGGTTGGGATTTATGTTATCGCTGGAGACCTGCTCAAGGGTATCAATATCTGCTAGACTATGCTTCTGTCGCACGAACTGGATCGCCGCAGTTGACAACAGGTCATTTGTGAGTTTCGGCTTCGAAAGAGTCTTCGGTAGGATATCTGAGGGCGGTGAGTGAGCTGCTCCAAAAGCCAGTGTAGGAGAAAGCAGCGAGCCCCATCTGAGTGCCATAGATGACCAAGAAGTCTGAAGCCGATCTATATTCTGCTAAAAAGACCTTGAGGAGTAGCAAGCTTGGTCGAAAGCGCCAGACAACCACCGACCAAACACATAGCGCCGCTGAACATAGAGACTTCGAAGAACTCTCCATACTGATTGACGAAGACGCCATTCACCGGAGGCCCTATCAGACCCCCCAGCGCACTGATAGACATGCCCATGCCCATGTAAGTGCCCATATCGGCCGGGTTCTCGCAGCAGATCGAGAACGCAGCAGAGGCGCCTGAGATGATGCTTCCAGACGCAAAGCCAAAGACGACCGAGTAGACGATCAGCACGGCATTCGTCCTGGCCAGGTTCATACAGAATACGACAACGGCCGTGCCCAAGCTTCCCAGCGCGAAGACATTCAGCCGGCCATATTTGTCCGCGAGAACACCGGGGATGATACGTCCAAAAGTCGACGCGGCATTGAGGATCGCCAACAAGTATCCCGCCAGCGTGGGGTCCATGCCTCGCGTGACGGCGTAGGTGGGCAGGTAGAACAAGGGAGTGAACATTCCCAGGAACGTGAAGAGCAGAGAGACTATCAGCAAGACATATCTCGGGTCTTTGTACGCCGTGGGGATCCAGAACGACGTCGCTCGAGAAGGCAGGCGTGCTTTGACAGTCACCAGGGCAAAGGCCATCATGGGCATGACGATGAACCCAACCACGCGAACAGACCATCCGAAGCCCAGAGCTGAATTGTTCAGCATCTTCGACAGGGCGATGGGGATCACGATCCCGCCGATCGACGAGCCGGACACGACAACCCCGAGCGCTGCGGCGCGTTTCTTGTCGAAGTACTGCGACACAGCTGCGAAGGCTGGGAATTGTAGGAGACCCATGACGATGCCCTGCAAGATGCCCTGCACGAGCATGATCTGCCAGTATGTCTTGCAGAGGCTGAGCATCATCATGGCCAAAACGTAGACGACCGCGGCTGGTCGGATGACCTATAGTAGTTGGGGAGTCAGTCAATTAATGATGCTGCGCCACATTGATATCTGTCTTCTGGACAGATAGCTGGATGGGATCCGAAAGATGGGATGCGATGGATGAATACATGAGTAGATTAGTAGGGAAATCAACATACCTTTGCGCCAAAACGATCAAATAATGGGCCCCCAACCATCCCTGCTGCAAATTGCAGAAAAGCCGAAAGCGATCCAATCCAGGCTACAGTGTCTGGAGAGTATCCCCGCAGTTGATGTGTCAAGTAGTACTGCTCGAATGTGCCGAATGAGTTCGAAAAGCCTAGACAGCAGAAAAAGAGGCAGCCTCCCCCAAGGGCCACGAGCCATGCTGTCGCACCGCCATCAGGTGCTGGGCCGAAGTCATGAGGTTTGGACGGGGATGTGTCTTGCTCGGCTTGGTCAAGAGGGTGTTTTTGGGGTTCCGCCGAATCATTTGAAAGTCTCTCAGGGTTCTGGGAGTGCTCTTTCTTAGCGTCCAGTGAAGGAGGAGAAGGAGTCTGATACTCTTTTTCTTCGCTCGACATGGCACATCAACGACGAGGAGTGAGGTCGGAGTCTCTGCGAAGGAAAAGGGGAACGTGACGGGTTTTATATGATGAAATAAACGGACGTGGAGCATGGCAACGGCGGGCATGAACGCAGGAGATGTCAATCCTTACAATGTATTTATATTATTAGACTTCCTGTTTTGTTCGTTTCGACGTTGACAGAGTACCGGACTGGAGAGGCTGGAGATTGCGGGCTTTGTGTTTGATTGATCTTCAGACCTTCCCAGATCTTCATGCATGGGGGTTTTGGAATTACGTTAAGATGGCGTGTTTGGCCCCTGTGATGTGATCTGCAGCATCTGCATCGGGGGAATGGCGGGTTCAACTAATATGCAGCGCAGTTTCCGATGCCGACGCCGACTTCAACCGGAGTCCGGTCTGATTAGGGACGCAGATGTTCGCTTCCATCAGCCCTGTTTTGACTTTCGTCTCTTACTGTGTCGGTGGACCAGTGTTGCCGGAGAGTTAGGACTTGAGGCAGCACCGATGGTACGGAAAGTGTGGTGACCAATGGAATTTATACAGCCAGCCTCCTGGGAAAGGGATGCCAGCCTTGCGATATATAACCCTAACCCTAAGGCTGCTCCAAGCTTGGCTAAAACCCCTAAGCCGCATGTCCACTACACTATAGATCGTTCAAAAAGTCAGATTATCAGTGTAAGGTAAGTGATAGGTACTCCAAAACTCGGGTTGACAGACAATCAATCTCATCTCCTACAGTACCAAGCCAAACCGGGCATTTCCGATCTTCACAGGTAATATAATCTCGAAATCAACTCCTATGGTAATCATTCCAATATGAATGCTCCGCTTTGACCGGCGGCAAGGGTGGAAGCTCGCCATCATAATGCACCTTAAACGTGCACGGGAAGACGAAGTACGAGCCTTGGTCTTCGCGCATGTAGACGTAGAATCCTCCTGGACGAGGGACCTAGTGAACGGGAGAAACGAAAAATAATTAGCAAATTTGCTGAGACAAACAGATCATGAAGCACGTCACATTCTCTCCAGTCAGGCTGCAGAGTGCTGTGGGTTAAAAGGATTGACTGGACTAACCTTTTTCAATTGTCCCTGTGGCCCAGGGGCTCTTCTGAGATTCTGGAGTTTCCCCACCGTCCTCAACATGGCAGTCAAGGCCACCATACTAGCCTCCTTGCCTAGACAGGTGTGTTCTCCGACTCCGTAGTGGATGTACGAGTCGAGCGGTCTATCAAGTCGCACTTGGTCCGGGTCCGGAAAGATATTGGGGTCTCGCGCAGCACCGACGAAACTGCAGAAAACTTTGTCACCCGGCTTGACCGTGACAGGGCGTCTACGTTTCTGGCCTGTTTCTTGACTTTTTCCTTTTCCTCTTCCGTCTTCTTCAACCTCGTCTACTGTGTATTCGTCATTGAAGACATGATTCACCTCGCTCCGGCGATAACTGCCAAACGTCCCAATCAAGCGGATGCCTTCGTTGACATAGCGAAGCAGCAGCTGGTCAGACTCTTCTGTATTGGTTCTTGCCAAGCGTTGGATCTCCGGTAGATGCTTGCCGCCCTCTTCACCCAAGTAATAGTCCATGATCTGTGTGAAGACCTGCGACTGATTGGGCACCATGGCGCACGCCGTTGGCAGGATATGGCTGAACGCGATATCCGAAGTGGTCATCCCGGTTGTCTCGCTCAGTCGGCGGATCATGTGGATGCCGTAGTCGGCCAGAGCGTTATCATTCTCTCGCCAGCCGTCGACCAGCTTGGCCACAAACGATGTGGCCGTCACAGTCTTCACATTGGCTTCGATCAATGTACCAAGCATAGTGGACAGTTTCTTCGCCACCATCCGCAGTGGGAAGGATTTCGTCGGCTCAAAGTCGAAGAAGATGGCTGTGAAGATCACACTCATGGCCATCCAGAGCTCCTGTTCGGAGAAGATGCCTTTGGGATTCTCGGCTGTTTTGAGCGGAAGCGCGAATATGTTTGCGGCAAAGTGGACGTGAGCAAGGTTGCCAACATCTCGTGTTAGGTCGACTTGGTTGATGCCAGCAATCTTGCAGCTCTTCTCATGTAGCAACCGAAGCGTGATGTATTCGTAGAAGTGCTTGACATGCTCGTGCCATTTGTCACGGTAGATGAGTTGATGCATGGTCTCGCGCTGCTTGCGATGGAAGACAGTATCGCCCCCGAGGCAGAATTTCTCGCCGCCTTCGCCCATAACGAAGCCGAGTCCGTCGTTCCACATGACTGTGAAGTCCTTGGGGCGCTCGAGAAGGTATTTGGCACTTTTGTAAGAGGTCAGATTCACTCTTGTTGGGATATATGCCGGTGGACTCCAATCATAGTCGTGGTAGCGACCCAGGTGCTGCATGATCTTTGCATTTTCGCTTGGTATAGTCATGGGGTCTGGACACCGTTAGTAATGGAATACCGCTTTAGATGTGAGGACATATCACTTACAATGAGCGTAGATACTGCTTGGTTTGAAATAGTCCGGCAAGGCCCGAAGCATGAGCTTGTAGAAAACACATCCCTGGTTCACACTCATATCGATGGCAACCTCATTGTACCCCCAGCTGGTCAGGCCTTTGGGACCGTAATCGAGCGTGTAGAATCTGTCGCCTCGAACGAGGGAAACAGCGTCGGACAGTACAACACGGGAGATCGTGTGAGTAGGGCAAATACCTACTCCAGGAACCATTGGTTCTTTGTATTCCTCAATGGCCAGGCCCGGGTACAGCTCGATGTAATCGGGATGCTCGTAAAGATGTTTCAACTGCTCTGCTACGTAAGGATCTGGGTTGACTTCTTCGAAGGTGTCGTACGTCTTGAGGCCGAAAAACTTTCTATACTCATTCAGCGTGCACAGATTCCAGTAGCGGGACTGATTGATGCCCAAGATGGTGATGGCTCGCATTGACTTCGGGATGTTACGAGCTCCAAATGCTCCTGAAACTTGCTCGACTCCTGTCCGCATGATCTGGGCGAGATCTGCATCCTCAAACTTCCCACTTGCATTTCTCTTCAGGTGAGCAAATGGTCTTTGTTGAGGATCTTCGGGTAGCTCGTGGTCATACTTCCCCAATCCGACCATCAGCTCTTGGAGCGATACTTCATCGGGTGGCTTTCCGAACAGTTCCTTGTAGACTGCTTCCGTCCAGGCCTCATCCAACTCCCCAACGCACGAGTGCCAACGGTAGGATAAGCTGAACTCTGCGCTAACCTGGTTGCCGACACCCCGAGGCGTTCCATCGTCACCGAATGTCTTGGCTCTGTCCAAACGTGGGTCTAAAGTCCAAGTACTGTTTGTACGGTTCAGATTCACGATTGTCCGGAGGTAGTCGTGCAAGGTTATGTTGATGTACAAGCCACAGGTGATGAGCCTTCCTGTTTGGAACAGGTCATTGTCGTACTTCTTCCACGCAAGCCTTGCTGCATCGCCAGACAGGCGAGGAGACGGCTTGTCGAATCTGCCGCTCTCATTGATGAGTGACAATTGTTCCACCACGTAGTTGTGGAAACGATTTAGCATGATCAACATGACACCGCACGCCGGCGGGAAAGCTAGTAGCCGTTCTTCGGCGAAACAATCGGGCTTAATTCTGCCCTGCTCAAAAGTCCTCATCATGTCTTGGTCCGGTTGAGTATCACCGTATAGTATTGAGAGGTCCAGATAGCTCGAAGTTTTGCTAATACTATAATCGCGATGATCGGTCTGGAAGAGATCTGAGAGTTGTCAATTAGCAAAGGATTACCACTCAAAATATCACCATACCGTGTATGATCAGCGATGCCCAGTTGAAGAATATACTCGATACCTTGTTCGGATTGGGCTTGAACTCCTCTCGAGCCAAGAGGGAATCGAACAGCAGTCCGGGGTCAGGCAATGCTCCGGGCTGGACAACTTCTGGATTCACTGATCTCGCATATGGTGTGTTTGCAGCCCCGAGCTGAGGAAAGATGAAAGAGTTATTGGATCCATCCGCAGAGCGATACCGGTACTTGTCTCCCATATATGACATGGGGGGATGTTGCAACGAATTCCATAAGACGTCCAGTAACTTGCTGGTAAGGTTGACTCGAGTGGACGAGCGATCAGGAAGGGCAGCCACCAATTGCATTACCTCCTCCATATGCATCTGTCGGTCATCGACCGGCTCCCCACTCAAGAAATCCTCGACAAGATGGGTCGCAGTTTTGAGATCATTAAGTCGTAGGTGAGACAGATCGGTCAAAATTCCCGAGGGTTCCTCCTTCTCAAGGTACTGTCCACTGCCTGACTGAGTCGGGAGTGGACGTCGGGAAGCGTGGATCAAGTTTGCAAACTCTTCGAAGAGATTTTCTACATCTTTCTGTGTTGCTGGAGAGTTTACTTCTCCATTGGACGGCCTGGGTGGTGGGACAGTGGTCAATGGTCTGGAGGAAGGCGAGGGCAGAACACCTCTCGTCTTCTCAAGACTTTGTCCAATGGAACTACCAACAGTTTGAGAATTGCTGGTTTGGTCCCCGATCACCAAAGGAGCCGCCTTCTCAGTCACAACCGTCAAAACTCGATTCACGTCATTTCTGTCGGGCTTCGCAGTCTTATTGCTCTTGAACTTCGACGATAGTCTCCGGAGTAGAGGCATGGTTGTGAACTGCGCAAAAGGCCGAATAAACTTGATGAGTGGATGTCCGTAGGGGGGGGAGCGCTCGAAAAGCCACAGATATTGTGAAAATAGAGGCAGCAGCGATGGCAGGAGGGTATCTCTCAAAGAATGGTTCTTGACTGGCCGACGACGATTCAGCTGAAGTGACGGTTGACGTCAAAACGGAGAATGCCTGGGTGATGAAGCCCGACTTTAGCTGGGAAGCAACATTGAAGGTTCATCAGGCGATGATTCTGAGTTGAGGCAAAGTTCGGTCGGCATCAGCTTCAAACTCTATCACGTAACAGGATATTGCAGGGTTGACGTATGCGAAGGAAGGCATGATCAGAGCATTCCCTCGGATATTCGCTCCCATGTCCGAGTCAGATGCAGCCCTTGTTCAGCACCACTCCGGCACAGGACTCGTGCAACACTTTGAGATGGAGTCCAGCTCTTGTAGAGCACAATCGCATGCGTGGTACAACAGCGGACAGTGTACTTGGTGGTGTAGTGAATAGTCCGAGGCGGTCAAGGGGACATTCCATCCAATAACCCGTCAGTAGAAGTCCAATACTGCTTGAACTCATCAGTCCTAACCGGTTGCAATTTAGAAGTCACAGGGCAGACTTCTATTTTGCTTTACGTAGATTTCAACCATAGCAGGCATATTGTAATCGGTCCACACAAACCGGGGTTTAGAGACCGAGTCTGGCTGCGTTTAGAGCAATATCGGCATTGCTGGAGCATGCTGAACATGTGGGACAAAGTGTGTGGTGGTTGCGACAGTTGTGCAGGTGGGTTTTCCTCAAGTTCTGAACGATGCTCCGTCTGTAACATCACTCATAACCGTGTCGGTCCATTTGGTGAGCCCATTGGCATCGATTATATGCACCCAACAACGAAGCGGACAGTCAGGCCGGGCCATACCCCGTGAAATCTCATTCATGGGGTAGCATAGGTCCACATGAACAAGCAGAGCTTGTCCGATGGAAACGACAATGAGGAGCATCGTGATACTGTAGGTGGCACAGCAATTGTGTGGAGCATGGCGTGGATGGTTAAGGCCATCAGCAGCATATGAAACTCCCCACCTCGAATTGCAAACTGGACCATCTCATATGTTGATGGGTTACACAGACTTAAAAGTTGTCGCTGAACCGTTGACGCCTCGGGACGCTCTCTCGTGAGAGGACGTCTTTCAACCATTCTTCAAATGTCACAGCACGAGTGGTGCAACCATAGCACACCCTAGAGGCCAACTGGCTGAACGATCGGGCGCTCGGCGATACCCAAGACAGGTCAGGCGGCGACAATGGACGGCCAAGTAAAGGATGTTCATAGATGACAGGAGAACCATTGATCATCGACCGCAGATGGTAGGTCCACGTCTGCATTGAAAGTAAATGCCGATATCGTTGGTGAAACCCTTTGGCTGAGGTATGTGTGCATAGATGGTTGAAGTCCAGACCAGGGCACATCAAATATGCACATGCTCAGCAACCATCAAAATCATGTGGACGGACGAGGAGAGTCCGAGTCTGCTTTCGAAACAATGCTGTTGTTGAAGAAAATCGAGACACCTCACTGCGAGAAGGGTGCTGGCTATTCGAGTCGCTCATCTCTTGCGTCTTGGTCTTCCAGCAAACAGTCTTTTATCCACTTGCCAATATCGCCAATGGCCTTTGAGCACAACAACTTGAACCGACGGAAGAACGTCTTCGTTCTGTGCTTTGATGTATGCGAGAATGCTGAATGTCGCTCCAGCTATACCAGCCGTTGATAATGATGTCTGCAGGGCACTGGAAACAAGTTCAGCGGCACCGACGCTGACAGCAATATCCTCAAGCTTTACCGCATGCTCGATCGATCCGATGCCTCAATGTACACGTTTTATCAGCCCGGCATTGGCACATATGTGACTTCCCATTCGGTAAGAAAAGTTGAAAATAGCGACGAGAAATGAGTATGGCCTTGCCCCACTGACTTGATTTGTGATAGATGCAAACCACGTCCATGTTCGGTCGAATCCGTTCTGCATACCTGAAGGCCAAGGACTCGGCCGTCGGTTCGTCTTTTGCGGATCATGTTATGGGCGGCTACCAGTTCCTCATGAGGTACTATAGCCCCGAAGATGACTTGTATTTCTTTGGTTTCAGCCGAGGAGCATACACAGCACGCTTCCTTGCCGAGATGCTCGATCATATCGGTCTGCTCAGTGCTGGAAACGAAGAGTTGATCAGGTTCGCATGGAAGACGTACGCCAAGTGGGCCTGTAGGAGGAACGATGGTACTGAAAAGGCGATCAGGGATGAGAAAGAGCAGTATGCATTCATGCGAGGATTTCGTCAGACGTTGTAAGTGAACATATCATGAATGTGGAGGCAGGTAGAAAGGGATTTGACATCAGCCACAGTAGTAGGCCGGTCCGGAGAATCCGTTTCCTGGGGCTCTTCGATACAGTAAACTCGGTACCACGGTTCGAGTCAGCATGGATGGCACGTACCAAGTTTCCTTACACTGCACGTTCCTCTGCCAAAGTGATTCGCCATGCAGTTTCAATCGACGAGCGACGAGCGAAGTTCCGTCAGGACCTCATCGGCGCCACTCACCAGCGTCCAGGAGCGGACAACAAGAGCCACGAGATGCATCAGTACGGGTCTGACTTCAACCACATAAATAAGAAGCTGAACGAAGCGAATGAGGGCGAGGGCGAGGGCGAGGGCGAACGTAGAGGACTTCTTAGGAGTAATTCGGGCTCGAGAGCAGTGATCGACCCTGGCTCTGGAACAACAGTTCCACCATCTCCAGAGGAGAATGAAGGTCATGGCCAAGATCAGAGCCAACGGGGCCGTCTTTTGGTACCATCAAGTCAAGCAAGGACACAGATCTCGTCAGATAGTCTAGCAGCACCCGCTTACACTCCAAGCACCGAAGACCTACAATCGACAAGCGGCAAATCCGATCGACAACATAACGACAGACGTCTCCGTCGCCGGTGGTCTGAGAACCGTCAGACCCAAGACATCCAGGAGGTATGGTTCTCTGGCGGACATGGCGATGTCGGCGGTGGATGGTCAAAGGTCCACCACGAGGAGAAGATGCTCAGCCATGTACCGCTGGTGTGGATGGTTCTGGAAGCAGAAAGGGCAGGTCTGAGATTTGATCCCAGGTGAGTTCACGAGGTGGTGGCCCTTTTATTCAGACCCCTCCTCTTCTTCCTGATCTTGCGCCCAGTACATCACCATCTTATCACCACAACCAGTTATTTATCAAGAACATGTCTCTGACTTTATGACTCTTTGTCTGTTTCACTTGCAGTAAGATGGCGGACTGTTCCTGCCTGCCTGATAAGCTTGGCGAATGTGGTGAGCGGCTCAGAGACCACGTTTGCTCGAAGCATTTCCTCCAGCACCTGGAAGATTGCTCTTCTCACGGCTTGGTACATGATTGCCTCGAGATCGACCACGGCTTGACCTGGGGCGATGTCTTTTTTTGGAGAATCATGGAGTACTTGCCTTTCCGAAGGATGGACCTGCATCATGGCAAATGGCGAGCAATCCGTTGGTAAGCGCCCTTCAAGTTGTGACTCTTCGATCTCAAGCATGCATTTCCTTTGTGGGACCAGCTGGCAATCATCCGATTCGTAAGACCGGTGAGGCTGGGTTGTGACCAACGTTCACAGTAACATGGTATGAAGTTGGTGATAGTAACTTGGGTGCTAATCTGTCCTCTTGTCCCAAGGCCTCTTCCCATGGGCGAGACCCGCGATATCCCTGCAGATGCGCACATTCATAACTCTGTCATCAAGCGTATGCAGGCCTGCACAGACTACCGGCCTGGCAATCTCATTGTGGGCGGCGGCGGTCGAGGTGTCCGCAAGGCCCCTGAAAAGTACGGCATAGGTGAATGGGTACCTCATTCGTTCGAGGGAGACCCGGTTAGAGAAACGCTGGTTCGTGAGCACTCCCCGGAAGATGATCGGAAAGAGTCTAGGCTGTCGAGGCCAGAAAGGCAGAAAATCAGGCACGAGGGAAAGCAGTGCGAGAAGAATGCTGGAGAATGTTGAGGAATGGTGGGGTGGTGAGGTGGTGAGGTGGTAAGAGGGGATGAGGAGAAGGTGCGGTGCGGTGTTTGCCAATGGTTAGGGTTAGGGTTGCGTATGGTTCTTCAAATTGACATATCTTGCCTTCTTCCAGTTGCTCTCACCTCCACCATCTATCTTCTATCCCTTTGGTGTCGAACAACCATTTTTCTACCTGACCTCTACTTCTAATGACACCTTTGGCAGTGATGATATCCCGGTCACTCAAGCGCCGAAGCAATTCCGGAAGACCCCTGCTCGCCAACCTGACTCCGCAGGAGAATCTCCTCTTCGAGAAGACAGTTGCCCAGGTGCCTAAATCGACGCGCCGGCCGCGTGATCAAACTCATACTACTAGACTTGATGCTTGTGTCTTCGTTTTTCGCAGTGCGGCAGAGCTACACGGTGGGAAAGACCCCAGCAATGAGGCTTTGCTTATCTCGTACGCCGGCTTGAGCTTTCTCCCCTAGCCACTTTCCACTTCCCGCTCTGCCATGTTTGGGTTCTTCTCCGGTTGAGACAATGTCGAGATTACGCTCCAGAGGTCATACAATTCAAGGGCAGTATATACGACTCATACAGGAATGCGGGGCATGACATGTTTTGTGGACCAACTACACGGCTCTTTCCCGATCTTGTGGAAGGGAAGCGCAAAGATATGAATGTGATACAACTTGCTACGGACCATATTACGCTGCTGACGTCGACAAGCTTTGTGGCTGTCCTGGCCGCAAGTGTAGCTGATAGCTGCCGGAGCATCGAAGCGGCGGGTCATTGTCGGCCGACATGAGCAGGGTATCAATCCAGAAACCTTTCCACTACTGGCCGTTGAAGTCGATCACTCCGCAGAAAGATGGTGATCATCCCCCGTCTTCCCCACAAGATGGTCACGACAACATAAGAACTCTAGCCGGTTGAAGTATGTTGCCGGTGGCCGCAAGCACTCTCTCCGCACTCAGATGCCGTCGGCGGTGCCTCAACAACCTCACAAACAAGCAATAGGAGGGCGCCACCTTCTCCGTACTTGGGACGTCAAATGTGGGTGGAACCCTAGCCACCCACTTCGACTGTAATCCCAGTTTGCCCCCAACTGGAAGAATGCAACATGTTATATCAGATGTCAGTCAGCGTGCCATTGCATTGACTACCCGGGGAATGAAACGATTGGTGGCAATCCTCTATCTTCCCTGTTGTACAGCATGAATCCCCGGTCCTCCACACACTTCAAAAGTCGTTCTCCAGATATGCGGAGGTTAGCAGGGGCAAGATGTCAAGAGATATAAAGCCCTTGTGATCGTTCATGCTCCTGCGTCCGCTGTTGCCTTCACCTCATCGGTACTTTCTCCTTGGATTTTGCTCTTACTGTGCATACGCGCTGAGGACAGCCCAATCTGTCAAGATGGCCATCAAACTTCCCAAGATCTACAACACCTACTTCGTGGCCTTCATTGCCACTGTAGGAGGGATGCTCTTCGGGTTCGATATATCGTCCATGAGCGCCATCATCGGCACCAAACAATACAACGATTTCTTCGACAAGCCTGCTGGGGTCACCCAGGGCGCAATCGGTTCAGCCTTGGCTGCCGGATCGGTCGTGGGCTCCATCATTGCAGGCCCAGTGTCGAACAGGATTGGTCGACGAGATTCGATTATGTTCGCCACTTTCTGGTGGCTACTCGGGACCGCCGTTCAGACTGGCACAAGTGGAATCGGTTCGCTGATCGCCGGTCGCGTCCTCAACGGAGTCTGTGTAGGCATCACCAGCTCTCAGGTGCCTGTATACCTGGCCGAAATATCCCGCAAGGAGAAGCGAGGCGGCATTATCATCATCCAGCAACTGGCCATTGGTGAGTCCATAATCCTGAAAGTTGCACACAGCTTATACTGGTCTAGAATGGGGTATCTTGATCATGTACTTCATCGGCTACGGATGCAGTTTCATTGATGGTCCAGCCTCGTTCCGGACCGCTTGGGGCATCCAATTTGTCCCTTGTGTTTTCCTCATATGCGGTCTGCCTTTCCTTCCCCGATCCCCTCGCTGGTTGGCAAAGGTCGACCGCATTGATGAAGCCATCCATGTTCTCGCCAAAATCCAAGCCAACGGCAACGTCAACGATCCCCTCGTAGTCGCAGAATGGGAGGATATCACGCAGACCCTCGCTGCCGAGCGTACTGCTGCCCAGGGTTGGCGCAAATTTGTGGTGAATGGAATGTGGAAAAGAACACTGGCGGGCTTCACGGTGCAAATGTGGCAACAAAATAGTGGAGCCAACGTTATGACTTATGTCGCCCTCCCCGACCATCGTCTGTGGAAGACTTTCTGACCCTGGCGCAGTACGTTGTATACATCTTCATGATGGCGGGCCTCACCGGCAACATCAACTTGATCGCCTCGGGCGTACAATACGCCCTGTTCATCGTCTTTACGACTGTCATGTTCTTCTACATTGACCGGACCGGCCGACGACCTCTTTTGATCTACGGCGCGCTGGCGATGGGTGCTTGCCACTTTGTGGTGGGCGGGATCCTGTCTGCTGGAGAGAGTGTCCCAGATGGCGTTGGCGGCAACCCCAACGTCTTGATCCGGGTGGAGGGAGCCAAGGCCAATGCGGTTATTGCCTTCTCCTACCTTCTCATCATTGTCTACGCCATGACCTTGGCCCCAGTCGCCTGGGTTTACGCTGCGGAAGTCTGGAGCTTGGAAACGCGTGCCACTGGTATGGGCATTGCTGCTCTCGGCAATTGGCTGTTCAACTTCGCGTTGGGCCTATACATCCCTCCTGGTTTCCAAAACATCAAATGGGGCATGTTCATTGTGTTTGGATGCATGTGCATCCTCGGTGCGATTCAATTCTATTTCACATATCCGGAGACATGCAACAAGTCCCTGGAGGAGATTGAAGAGATGTTCTCGCCTAATGGACCACGACCATGGCATACCAAACCAGGCCAGTCGAGATTGGACCGACTTGTTGATGTTGCTCGGGAGAAACATTATACGGTGGAAGACATTCGACAGAAATCTGTCTCTGGCCAACATGGCACCCACGTCGAGATTGCCGAGGATAACGAGAAGGCTGTTCAGCAACTCGGCCAGCACTTCGAAGAGACCGTCAAGAAGGCGTGAGAATCAACAAGAGCCTTGAACGATACCATTTCAGGCCGGCCAGAAGGGAACATCCGCGAAGCAGGGTGATAATAGCCTATAATTGGCTAGGAGAACTAGGAGGATGAGCATACCGTCGGACTATCGTTGAGTTGGAGAAATAAAGGCTTCGCGACAGATCGCAGAAGCTTGTTCCAGGAGATCAATGCATGTGGAACAAGGGCAAGAACATACGATACAAGAGAGGCAAGTCACTCATTGATAAGCAATTGTACGTCTATCTCACCCGAGAACATGATATGTATTCAGGTGGTATGAGGACCTCATTGCAATAGAGACCTAATATAAGGCTCGGAGTTTTTCGACACCTCGATGAACGACACAGGGCTTTTTTGAACCATTGGGATAATAAAAAGTCCTCTTGATCTCCTACAACTGTGCAGTTGAAAGAGGCAGTATACCTTAATAGTACCAGAGGAGCTGGTGGTCCTGTATATGGTTCGTAATTATCATGAGGGTGCATGCCTTGTACAAGTGTCAGACAATAAGTTATTCAAAGAGCAGCGCCCTTGCCGGCACCACATTGAGGGTATAAAATGCTGTCTTTACAATAACTCTACAGTATGGTCTTGGAGAATATTACAGTTTGCGGGACTCGAGTTGGTACATTGTTCATCCCTTTCTGGCTTCTAGATCGCTCTCCCTGATGACTATATAACTATGGTCTCTGCTTGGTGGGGATTTGAACTTGGACAATAATGGGACGTGGTCCATTGACTGGTCATACTGTTATGTTCTCTTGCAATCCTTGTGTAATGTCTCTCGGTGGGGTTCACTTTCCCCGGTTTTCAATCCCGCACGAATTTCTGGGCAGCCAACAAATCAATAATAACCATCATCATCAACGTCCGTCTTACCCTCGAATCGCTCTCAGCCGCAACATAGCTCTTCGCGAAATTCGTCTGCCAGGAAAAAGACCCTTAGGTACAGGTGTCGCATTACCCGGCGCATTGGCGCAAGCGAAGTAGCCCCTACACCTATCAGGCAAGCTGTTTTGGCCTCAACATGCCACTTTCGCATGTATGATGTCCACCAGGGAATGAAATCCTTGACCTGAAATGGGGACCAAGAAAGCAGGCCGACAAAGGACTCCGGCCCCTTCCCCCTGCCCGAGATGTGGACGCTTCTTCGCAAGGAATGATAGCTTGAGTCGCCATTTGAAGACTCACAGCGGCCACCTGGAAGAACGGCCATTCCACCGGATCATCCATGACAAGTTTCGTGCCTGCAACCATTGCAGGCGTGCCAAGATACGCTGCACAGGCAGCTTACCTTGCGCAAGGTGTGAACATCTCAAACAGGAGTGTCAGTATGATCAGAAGCGACAGAGCCAATCGACAGCTTGGACAACGAGCTCCTCCTCAACTCCGCCGCCACGGAAGACCGAACAACGTTCGCTATCATCCACGATAGAATCCCCGGCACAATCTCTCGTCGAGGAACCAACAACAGAGGTACCACCGCCACTTGAGACAATCGAGAAGCTACCCATCGAAGCAACGAAGACCCCCCAGGAAGTAGTCGGCCCGGCCATTTCCTCCCCAGACAGCACGGCGGCGTTGCTCCATCTCAGTCTGGCCTCGGATCACGCAACACGAGCGGTACTATTCAACGAAGGAAAGGACTTTCCTATCGTCAATTCAACATATGTGTCTCCCACACTCCATGTCCTAGATCCATACAGCTACAAGTTGCCATCGATTGCCGGCTCTGTCGAAGCGCCGACTCCAAGCAGCCAGCCGGTCGTACAGTGCAGATATGCGGTTCTACATTACCTGGTACCGTTTCTCGACCGAGAGCTAGGATCCAATCTGGCCTGTGATCTGCTTGATACCTACTTCTCCAGCGCTTTCTCCAGCCGCATGCATCCGACTTGCCATTACATCCACAATTTCATCCTGCGACGGTGCGATGTCCTGAACCCTCTCCAACCGCGGCAGACACACCCAGGATTGCTCGCTAGCATGCTTTTTGTCGCCGCGTTAAGCGACAAAGCTCTTGGCTTGTTCAGCGGCCCAGAAGAGAGGGACCGAGTGTGCAAGTATCTCAGTCTCCTGACCTACAGGCTGCTCAACCCATCTCGCTATGAACCACTCCTCAGTCGTGAAGACCTGGGACTTCCTCCTGCTCTAGGCTCGGACCCTGGATGGACGAATGATGATCTGCGACAAGCATTGGATCCGGAAATGCAGACAGATGCGTTTCCGATCACCTGGGGGACTGACTACATCATTGCATTGATCCACGTTTCCTCGGTCATTTCTGGAAGTGAGAACAAGGCTGCGAGCATTAGATGGTAACTCTACCCAAATTCCCTGGACTTTATTCGTTTCAACTGACTGATATCGCTTAGGTGGAACGTCGCGTTCAACCTCGCTCGGGATCTGAAGCTCAACCAGGAAGTGGAGTCGTTCATCCTGTCACCAGAAACAGAGGATGGCTATCCTACATGGAATTGCAGATGCTCAATGAGCAACGACGCCAGCAGCGACATCATGAACGAGGTCCATCGAGAGGAGCGACGCCGGACGTGGTGGCTGTTGTTCTTGATGGATCGACATCTGGCTCTTTGTTACAACAGACCCCTTGCCCTACTAGAAGCCGAGTGTAAAGACTTATTGCTTCCTCTCGACGACATGACGTGGCAATCTGGCTTACAGCCTCATAGCCACGGTACCAGCCCAGATGGTCCAAGATGCATGTTGTTGCCGTCAGATACCGGGAGACTGCAGGGCCCTCCAAACATCTGTTCAGGGACTGGTCTTTTTGAGTTTTACCTGCCGCTGATGACCATAACCGGCCACCTTCTCGACTATAATCGGGCGAAGAACAACCCCGTACTGGCGTCAGCAGGCTCACCGATGTGGACAATTCAAGAGCGGCGAATCTTGCGGGAGCTCGATCAGTACCAAGCCACTTTGGATCACAGTACCAGTCGACCGGCCATGATTCCGGCATCCGATAAAGAGCCTCAGTCGCCTTGGACGACGTCTCCAACAGCACCTCCGGTGGAGGAGTCTGAAGCGACACACCTCGCCAAAACAGTGTCTGCATACGCCACGCATGTCGTCTGTGTTCTGAGGATCCTGGTCGGCAGTAAATGGGACCCGGTATGTCTCTTCGAAGACGCCGATTTCTGGACCTCGTCACCAGGATTCAAGGACTCGATGTCGCATACAATGGCGGCCTCGGAATGCGTGACGCAAATCCTGGAGCATGACCCGGATGTCAGCTTCATGCCTTACTTCTTCGGGATCCAACTTCTACACGGGAGTCTGCTGTTACTGCTGGTGGCGTACCGGCTCCAGGGGAATTCAGGGACAGCTATTCTAGCAGCCTGCGAGGCCGTCATCCGGGCCACAGAGGCTTGTTTCGTGACTCTCCCGACCGACTATCAGCGACAGTTCCGCAACGTGATGAGAGCCGCCATTGCTTTGGCGAAAGGCAGAAGAAATAATCCGGTCGACACGGAGAAACAGTTGACATTTGTCATTGCGAGATACAGGTGGTCCAGAAATGGAGCTGGACTGGCTCGATGAGAGATGTCCTAACACGTACAGACCGCGCCGCAGTCACTACATGCCACGAATATCACCGGTGCACACTTTTGCCAGCCACCAATCTTTCCGACTTTTCTCCACAAGGAGCCATCGGAGAGAGCATGATGGGCTTGCTCAGTTGCCGCCAGTTTGTGGGAAAAGGGTCCAAATCCTGCGCTGACAACGGTAGTAGTCGTCCATGGGGGGAGGGGTGGCAGCAGACGTTGCATTCAAGAAGATCTACCGTAAGACCACCAACCCCAGACGACGCTAGTGTCTTCGTTCATTACGTACCCCCTATCTGTACAGCCTCGTCGTGGCTTTGGACACCCGAACCGCGTCCGGCCCCAATGTAAGGTCCAGCTGAAGCTTCTCCTCTCCAGCTCACAATATACTTGACAGGACTGGACTACATGGCGACTCCAGTTTCGGTGAGGGAAGCGGAGCATTGATGCATGTCGTCCCTGCCCAGTGCGGCAAACTGCCATATGGATAATGGACTTCTTGTAAAATGTCCTAGTCAGCGTTCATACGCTTCATGTACAGCCAAATTCCACAATCAAATTCCAGAAGCTTTCCTCCCTCAGCAGCAGCAAATATGCAACTTCAATGAGCCGAGCCCGAGGTATTCCGCACAACATCTTGAAAATAGTGTTATTTTATACGGCTCTATCGAGCATCGATTTAGAAAATAGGAAACCTTTCGCTGTGGCCCCAATCTTTACAGCTCTGACGTTGGAACAATAGAGCCATCTTTTATTTCACTTCATGAACACAAACTTAGATGCCTCGGAGCTTGAAGTTTGAGCCTCGGTTCGCGTCGTTCATCGTTAGCTATTCCTTTGCCCAGCCATTTGCGAACCATTCTGACTAGCAGCCCAGGGATCCGAGATTGTGGGGACGCCAATCATGACCTCGCCCTTTGCAGTCTGGCGTCACCCAATTTCGCCGACCACGCGGAGGTTAACCAATCCGCCAGGACTTCTTGAGCACTTCGTGCAGAGGAGGCCTGGCTTGGCCTACGTTGACGAGTGACCAGTGGGCAGAGAGCAAGAGTAGCCAGTGACGCGACGAGAACCCAGTGACTGTAGCTTCCAGCTGTGAGCCACAAGTCTGCTGAGTCGAAGGTAAGTCGGAACATGGAGCAAAAGCTGGAGAGGATCTTGGATCAGCTATTGACCTCCATTCGAAGTCGGGAAAGGTTAATAAGGGCAGAGAGAAATGCCCCGAAGACCGGCCCAGGGACAAGGTTGGATACTGTCAAAGCGCTGTTATGTGTCAGTTTGTTCTCCACTTCCTTACGCCCGATCAACTGGTTCTCTGACTAGACAGCCGCGGTCATGAGTATATATAATATGTATACGGTGGGCTTGGACCTTCTTTTTCTCTCCGCTTGGATTTGGGAACCATATCTCAAGACCTGGAAGCACGACCATCCAAGTGCCAGCGTTGTTCCAGCTTCCGACAGTGGCTCGGCGAAAGAAACGAGACACCTAAGCAAGGTTACCAGCGTTCCTTCTGCATCCTCTCGCCCGGCCTCTTCATCCTGTCTTGCACCAGGGCTCCAGTGGAAGGTCGTTCTTTACATTCTTACGGGAAGCGAATCTTGCATAAACAGGATTGTCTAACGTGAAGACGCCGTGGGCCTGGCGACACTGGCAACCACTGGTCACAGCAAAGTGGTCGGTTTCCATAAGCATAAGGCAGCATAAAACAGATCGCAAGTCAGCAAGAACTGAGACACAAAGTCAACCATCAATCTTGGACAGGGCTTCATTCATTTCGATTCGACCCGTAGGTCTCGATAACCTTTCATCATGTCCAACACAACTCCCGAACACCAATCCCAAGCTCAAGCTCAACTTCAGAGACAGTTCAAATCCCCGACCCATCCGTCTGTGATCCGTGTGGTACAACAACCAGGCTCGTTTGCCTCGTACTCCGAATCGACAACGACACAGCCCCCTGGGGCTCTGGTGGCGCGTCTCACAAGTCCACCGTTGACATTTGTCCCCGGAAAGAGCTGGTCGACCGTGCAAGTGTCCGAGACTCAGCACATCGAGCTGAACTGCGACTTCTTATATCTCAACCACAGCTGCGAGCCGAGCCTGGAGCTGCACGTGGTCCCCGACGGCGGGGATCTGGATAATGCCAAACCAGTGATCGAAGTGAGGGTTGCCGCTAGGAGGGACGAGCATGGAAATCCCCAGGGGATCAAGCCAGGCGACGAATTGACCTTTTTCTACCCCAGTACTGAGTGGATCATGGATCAGCCTTTTGAATGTCGATGCGCGACCAAGAGCTGTAAAGGCTGGATCAGTGGTGCGAGGGATATGACGCCGGATCAGTTGCGAGGGTACTTTTTGAACGCTCACATCGAGGACCTGAGGAGTATTCCGAGACAAGAAGCTGGGGGGAAGGACTAGTCAGAAAACAGAGAGGGATGAAGACAACTTCTCTTATCAGGAAAAACAGGGGAAGGGGGAATGGAGGGCGCTGGCTAGTGTTTGAGGACTCGAGCGCACGGAATGGTCTGCAAGAACTGAACGTGTCTGGGTGAATAGTTGGAATCGAGGACAAGGTGCTTGCTCAATGGTGCAAGTTGAGTTGAGCCCTTGGACAAGGTGATATTGGACGTTTTGAGTTGCATCAATGGGGCTGAATGGCGCTGGCTTGCGGGCTATGTGTCTTGATGCCCTTGACGATATAAAAGTTGGTGTAAGACACAACCGGTTCATGAAAGATATTCATATAATCAACGTTGTGGATGACCTACTGTGTGTGTATTCTGTCTAAGGAAGAAAGAAATTCGAGAACAAGGCTACATTACATGCCTCATCGAGCATGTCCATGCTGACTACGCGCCGATAAGCCTGCTCCGCCGTATTTCATCTACGGTCTGCGGCGCGGCAACACGCGCAACCTCGGCTTCCGATTTCCATACTGGAAGTGCATGCGACGTCGAGAGACATTCTTACATATGAGTGCCGTTACAAACCTCACTGTGAAGGTCTCCCGACGACCGACCATGCACTGCGCAGGAACATCCTCATCTTCATCCTCGTACTTCCTGGTCTCCTGAGCTCGCCGCTCACGGTTCACTACTCTCCCATTTCCTAGGGGAACCGTGTATTCGTCTCGCCCTGGGACGACGATGTCGTCCCCGCCAACCACTGGCCCAGGGCCAATGGAATACCCATTCGCCCCGTCTCCAGACATACTACGCACGCATGAAAAGGACGCCTACATGATCGCGCAAGTCTCCTCGGAAGCATCGACGATCCTACGTGCTCTGCTCGGCGCGAGAGTGGCACACAAGTACTCCACGGCGACGAACCACCTGAGTGAACTCATATATCTAAGTCTAACGACGCTGCTGGGCAATCGCACACTAGGCGAGGAATACTGCGACGTGATCCAAGTCGAATCCGACACGTTACGGCTAGCAGGGCTGGGGCGACGGGTCGGATACGTCGCCAGCGTGGTGTTTGCGCCATGGGCGTTGGGAAAGACCCTGCCCGCGCTGCGACGGAGGCTGAGAGGGAAATTGGAGTGGAATATCGAATATGCTGAGAAGCATAGCAACAACAAAAACAAAAACAACAGCCATCCCCGAAGCGTCCAGCTCCAGAAATATATCCTTGAGAACCTCGACACTCTGACCTCGCCCAATCCGATATACGCTCTCAGCCTGGCGACGTTCTATTTCACGGGCGCGTACTATCATATCTCGAAACGCATATTCGGCCTGCGCTACATCTTCACCAAACAGATCAAGCCGGACGAGCAACGCGTCGGATACGAGGTTCTTGGGGTATTGCTCGTTCTTCAGCTGGCTGTGCAGGCGGCTTTGCATGTCCGCGAAACATACCTTGAAGCCACGGGCGAAGGGTCAGACGTTACGGCTGCAGCTTTCATCAACAGCAGCAACAGCGACGACAAACGGGCAAGTCGTCTTGATGGTGACGATGTGGGTATTGGCAATGGTAGCGGCGGCGGCAGATTCACCACTTCGTCCACCTATCTTGGCCACGGGATTGAAGCACCCATCCATTCCCACTCGAAATCTGCTCTAGACGAGTCCGATCCCTCATCAGGCCAAGCACAACTGCTAGCCGGCACTGATGTCGGCATCACTACTCAACATGTCCCCCGCGGTCTCGCAAGCACCACGTCGACTCCGGTCCTCCCCAACGGTCAGGCACGATATGACCTCAACGACCCGGAGCTGATGGCCTGGATCCCGGACGGGCAACAGCGCAAATGTACGCTGTGTCTCGAACCGCTGCGGGATCCGAGCGCCACGACGTGCGGACACGTCTTTTGCTGGACTTGTGTGCAGGACTGGGTCAAGGAGAAGGCCGAGTGTCCGCTGTGTAGGCAGAGCGTTCTTGCTCAGAAGATCCTGCCGCTACGGGGGACTCGGTAAAACTCTCTAGATAATGAATGATGAATTGAACACAACTTATTTCAGTGCACACTGTGGCATGTCAGACTCTCAAGAAATGAAGAACGCAAGGAGTGACATCAAGGTTTGTAGTGAGCAGTTCGTGGAAGAAGGCACCTCGGGCGACTCTTTCGCTATACTAGGTATGCTACGCTAAAGGTCTTCACGCCTCTCGTTATATGGACAAGTCACTCCCTGAGGAAGATCACAATGCAGAAGACCCTTCCAAGTCCAAAGCCAACTCCAAAGCGCACCCAACAGACCCAGAAGGTTATTGTTCCCAATGCTCATATGCTCAGACCGACACCATCTATCATTACCCTATACCGGGACGGTTTCCTTTTTGGCCACCTTGGGAATCGCGTCATCTTCGGCCTCCTCTTCGCTGATCAGGCCCTCGAGTTCGAATTCCTCGGCATCCCGTACCCGTTGGTTTTCTGTGACGCGACTTCGAGGGAGCCTTACAGACCCATTAGTCGGAGCGGAGAGGGCGGTGCCATTGGTGAGAGGGACGTGCGGAAGAACCGAGAGTTTCCTCAAATGGCCCTGGCCCTGGCCCTGGCCGGATGCCGCTACAGAAGCGCTCGGATTCCTGGATAAGCTGCCAGGGGGATGATGCGAGGGCCGGGTGCCGTTGCTTTCGTCCTCAGGCCAGGCGTGTGACGCGTAGATGTACAGCAGGATGTTGACGAAGAGATACAGGAGGAAGGCGATCGAGTAGAGGATCAAGATGTAGCTGACGTGGGTGACGTCGGCGTCAGATAAGAAATGCATTTGTTCCTCCGTGGCACCCATGAATAGAAATCCGGATGCGTAGAGAAGCTATAGACAGGGTGTCAGTCAGCGTGAGATCGATCGAGGATGGACGTATGCCAGAAATAAAGAGGGCAGGGTGTGTCAAACCTACAAAGGGCGGAAGATGTTGCCAACTGTTGACCTCGCCGGCGCCTCTACTGTCCCTGAGGAGGAAGGAGATCTCGACGATTCTGGCGGCGCCGGCGGCCATCAGCGTATATCCGAACACGGTGTGGACCATGGTGCTCAGCGGCAGGTCTTGCGGATGGGCACTCATGGCCCAGCCGGTCATGAAGATGACGATGCCGGGCAACAGGTTTCGCTTCGGACGACCGGTTCGCGACCGAGACAGCCAGACGCCCAACAAGCCGGCGCACCACCAGACAATGCCCATGCTAGTGTGTTGGAGATCGTTCTTGACCCACGGATGGCCCCAGCGATGCTCGGTGAAGGTGTTGACGCAGCCCCAGGCAGCGATGACGGTGCTGTCGAAGAACTCTTGACTGCGGCCCGTCCGTCTCAGCCAGGCCTGGCCGACCAGCAGCAGCAGCGTCATGATGATTCCGTACGCGATGAACGCCGAGCCCATGATGAAGTGCGCCACACATTGCCCGAGGTGGTCGCCGCGACAATAGCCCATCGCGACGATCCCGCCGAACAGCATCTGCGCCCACGACACGATGGGCATCAACTTGCCCACCCAGCCGTGCACCAGCACCACGCCGCGCCGCCCGGACTTGCCGACCTTGCCGCCGAAGATTCGGCCCACCCATCCAGGCTTCTGCTCGAGATGGAGTTTCAAGCCAACGCCCAGTCCGACCTGCACCACCAGCATCAAGACCAGACTGTTGGCGAAACTCGCGTGGATGTTGGGGTGCTTGAACTGCCGGCCGCGGTGCATATGGCCCAGGAAATATGCCACCGTCGCGATCACGGTGCCCACGACCTGCACGGGGACGTGCCATCGACTTCTCACTATCCCCAGGACCATGCCGTAGGGGAATATGATGCCAAACGACAAAATCATCAGCAGGATATGCGTCCAGAGCCTGGAATCCAGCGGATCCGGCGATACCGCCTCTCCCTCGGGGATTTTATCTGTATGGCCTCCATGAGCCGAGGCGCTGCTTGCGAATAGAATCGTCAAGAGGGAGGATAGGAGGATAGGTTCTCGACGAGAGGACGGTAGGGGACGCAGGATGGACATGGTGGCGGTCGTTTGCGAGGAAATGAATCCAACAGGCGGAGGTGGCCGGGCAATCAGGAGACGCTCATGACAAGCTCAGCAGCTAAGTGAAAGTGTTCGGCAAGTGGCTGAGGAGGTCAAAAGATGAGATCTGATGGCTTTCACGTAGTAGTAGGAAGGATGTTGTACATTTCTGGCATAAACAGTCAATCAATCAATTCAGTGTAGAAGCAGCGGCAAAGATTCGCGGCCACTTTTAATCCATCCATCAAATCAATTCATCAATCAATCAATCAATCAATCATTCGTTCAATCCGGTACCAACGCCGTCTCCACCATCTGCGAAAAATGGAGATATAGGGGAACTGGATGTGGTCTGACCAACTTCCACATGGTGATGGGTCAATTGCCTGCTACACGTATTTTAATAGTATCTTATAGTACACTTCCTCTCTCTGTATGAGATGAGGTCTGTTACTGAGGTATATACCGTTGTTTGTCCCAGCCGACCACTAGTAGAGGGCAAAAGAGTTGTTATTAGAGCAAAGGCAGAAGCATCATTAGTCCTTCTAATCTAGTAGCCAACTGATCTAGCAATACGCCTCTATCAAAGGTATCCAATGTTCCGAGGACTTTCAGCCGTGGTTGAACACGTTCAGCTGCTCGATGTCGCATGCCGGCGAGTTCTTCTTCGATCGTCCACACTGTGCGCAAAACAAGGATTGAACAAGACAAAGCTCCTTGAATGACCGACATGCCTCCTCGTCTACCCTTCCCTCCTCGCATTGCTTCACGTGTTTGTAGCATTTGATGTTGCTCCGGACACACTCAAGCTTGGTCTTGAACCTGCCCAGCTTGCCGCAGAATCCATCGCTGAGCACGAGGCAGCCCTGGTCGGCCGTCGATGATGGACTCGTCCAGCCAGGCGAACGATACCAGCCTTCAGGTCCATCTTCGAGACACTCTCCAACAGTGACGGCTTTCGCAGCTGTTAGTGGATGGCGCAAATAAACCCAAAGAAACATTCCACACACCTCTCCATCCTCTTTGCGACACCCGCTTCAAGACGTGCCTCGTCAGATCAATGGCCGATGCTCGAATCGTGTCGTGCTGGATGAGTAACATCCTGCCCTCATTGACCTCCACCGTCTGCAACACACGATCAAAAGCTGCGGTCATGGAGGTAAGGTTGTCCTTGTGCATCCAGTCAGTGCTGTCAAAAGAGTATGAGATAACATGATATCCAAGACCCCTCATATCTCCCAAACACTCTGTCTGGTTACTGCAGCGCAGGTACGGAGGTCGCATATACGTCGGGTATACGTTCAGAATGTTGGCCAATGCCCGCTCGTTCTTGAGCATTTCCAGCCTCCGAGATTCCCATGACGCTTTGTCGAGATCGGCGTGAGACCAGGTATGGGAAGCAATCTGATGCCCTTCCTGGGCCATGCGTTTTATGGTGTCGGTCCACGTCGGAGTCAGATCAATTTCACCTTTGCCGTTGTTGTTGCCAGACACAAAGAAGGTAGCCTTTGCCCCTGCTTCTTCAAGAATGTCGAGAAGCTCCTTGGTGTTTTCAGACGGTCCATCGTCATATGTCAATGCAATCACTCGTGGCATTCTACAGTTGGAAATGACACTGCCGTATGGGACCACACCTATTTGTGGGCGGTCATCCACAGACATGTTGTATCCAGCAGGCATCACATCTGAATCACAGCGACCGAAGTCGCTCTGGCAGATATTCGGCATTGCACAGTATTCTTTTCCAAGCCCCTGTGCCATGTTAGCGGGTCTCATTGGCCGGCACCGAAGGCGACTGACACAGAAGCCAGCTTGGGAGCAGCATTGTGGGTATTTGCATTTCCTGTCCCCATGTTCCCTTCCACAGGTATTGTCCCGAGGGTGATCGGAGTCGACTCGACCTGACAACGTAGTCGGAGTCGGAAGTGGGCGGACGGCGTTGGAAAGACTGGCTGCGACGACTGCGATGGACGACGGGCTGGAAGGCGCATGGAGTGGCAACGGGTAGTGACCGAAGCCATCCACCCTGCAGACAATGAGCACGAGGATGAAGGTTAAATGCATAATGCTGAAAATGCGGTCGTACTTATGCGGATGAGCGAGCTTGGTTGAGAAATGTGGTAGACCGAGGATTCCGGTGATCTAGAATAATAGACACGACTTTTCGGACGACGAGTACCATGTCTAGCACCTGCCTCTCGCCAACTGCGAGTACGGGCAGGCGTAATTCCCAGGCTTACAACTCCTTCCGTTCTTCATTAGGCGTGCCTGGGAGAGAATGAAAGGCTGAATCCGTAGCATCCTGTGTCGCAGCGGGCGATTCGACCTGATCACTCTCACCCTCATGTTCCTCTTCAGCATCGTGTGTCTCTTCAACCTCCTGGTTCTCTTCAACCTCATGATTCTCTTCAACCTCCTGATTCTCTTCAACCTCCTGTTTCTCTTCAGCCTCCTCTTTCTCTTCAGCCTCACGCTTCTCTTCAGTACTCCCGTTCAACGAAATCCTGTCAAACCCATCGACTGGAGGTTGGGAGTCCGAAGGCGGCGTAGGTGACACAACCCGGCCTGGATTCCGCGGTGGTAATGCCGGGGGCACACGCTTTGGTACTTCCACCACTCTGGCTCGTGCCACCATCGGGACTGCCGTCTGGATCTCGGCGTCCGAGTCCACATCTGAGAAGGATGCTCCTTGTTCTTGGTGAGAGCCGTGTCGATTTTCATCATCATCCACATTCTGGCTGTGTTGGATCGAGTCTCGATGGGGGCTGCTCCCAGCACCTTGCGGCTCGTCTTCGTCGGTCTGAGTACCTCGATCGATGCTGGCGAGACTGTGGGTGCTGTCTCTCCAATTCCGACTCCTGACTGAGCCATCCACACTCCTGCGCGAGAAGTGTGCAAAGACAGGGCTGGTCGGGGCGGGTCTGAACTCAAACACTTCAGCGCTCGGCCTCTGATGTGTTCCGGCCTCTCGAATGATCAGTCCTTCGGCTTCCAGAGCCTTCACGCCGTATGGATCGGGATCGTCCTCGGCGGGGATGCCAAAGATACCTGTTCAAAATATCCATTTAGCATGGAAGACACAAAACGCTGCTGGGAATCTTACCTTCCGAGACCAGTTCCATGTCGCTGGGAGCGAGCCCTTCTGGAAGCAGGCTATCATCAACTTCATCACCCTGTGCGGCTTTCAGCGTGTCCAGGAGCACTTGATATTGCTCGACCGGCGGATGGTGAAGCTTTCCCGCAAGGATGTCGGCCACTCCCACACGCTCCCCGTAAAACTTTGCATTTTCGTCTGTTCGCTCGATCACAATGTTTCCCTCGAGGGCAACACCCGCATACAGGCCCCGGCTTTTAACATATGACCAGATGGGAGCCTGGCGCTTGTGAATCTCCGTATCTAGCATGCCTCCCAATCCCACAGGACCGGCCGCGACACCGACCTCGGTGCCCAGGGTGCACCTTAATTTCATGAAGGCTTCTAGAGCTTTGTATGAGTTGATGACCAGGACTGTGTCGTATATATCGACTCCCGCAAGGAAGCCAAAGGAGATGTTCTGCGTCTGGATACCGCTGGGCGCACTCCATTCTCCGGTCTCTGGGTGTCTCGCAACCAGCACGCCGGCACCACCAGACCCTCCAAAGAGCCATCCGGTGCGCATGGTGGTGTAGATGGCCAAGCCGACACACTGCTTGATGACCTTGCTGGGGATCTTGGTGAGCACTCTTTGTTTGCCTTGGGGGATGCCGTCTGCGGTGGCCTTGCGATTCTCCACCAACTTGTCTTGCTTCTGATCGACCTGCTCATAGAACCCATCTTTGCAGAATCCGCGAAGGATGCGGGCAGCCTTCTCAGATTCCTTGTCCATTGTGGTCGGCCAGAAGGCTTCTGAACCGACTTTGTTGGATAGACGATTGACCGGGGCTCCCAGCTTGTCGACCACAGCATAAGCCTTGTTGAAGCCAGGTTTGAGAGCTTTTTCATAAGCGGTGCTCGAGTAATCCTTCGTTTTATCCCACAGGCTAGGGCCCGTAGAGGCCCTGTTTGCGGACGCGCTCGATGCGTCCGCCATGATGCGCTGTGCCGCAGTCGAAGAGATTGTTCAAAGGTGGAGGAAATCGGGCGCACGTTGCGATTTTTCGCTAGGACAAGCTAGGAGGAGGACTGCAGGTTGCTTTTCGCATGTCGTCGGAACACTTTGGCGTGTAGTATGGCAGTGAAGTGTAAAGGGAGGATGAATTGAAGTTTGATCCTTCAGCCGCGCAAGCGCTTGCGAGTCTATGGCTTTCTAGTAATCCGGTCGTCGCCGGATAATCGAATGGGCAGGATACCGAGTTGCGGGCAAAGGCACCTAAACTTAGCTGCAAAGATCTGACCCTGGATTGACACTATTCTGTCCAGCAACGTCATTTATTGAGATAGAGAGAGAGCACACGCACACAAGCAGTTATCATGCTCTCCGGGTTATGGCCAGGGGTTATATGCTCCCAAGGCTTCCCCAGCGGTGTCTGCTCCCAGCTGTGGCAGCTGTGGCAGGGGGTGCATGCTGCGATAAGTACTACGTAAAGGCCTTATTAGCCTAGGGTCTTCGTTAGATAGACATTTTATAGGCTTCTTCCGCCTATCTTCTCAGCCACCTCGGCTGTATTCTCGCTTCATCCCTGCGGGCAGTCATGATGAAAAGTCCAGGATCATCCCAAAGGATGATTTCATTCTTATCTTCTCTGCCAGCGGTCTACATTTGCATCGTGATTCTCAGCTTCGAATTCAGATTGACTATCCAAGTGGAAGAAGACGTTCTGTGTCGACACATCGCCTGCGCGATTAAACAACGCCAGCAACATGCCGCCCATTCCGCCTCTATTCGTCCTCCCCGTGCCGCCATCCGTGGCGACCTCATCTACTCAGAACCAGCAAGGAGAATTCATCTGTACTCAACCCTCCCCTCAAGTCTATCTTCTCTCCTTCTCTTACCCGCCGGACAACCGGCTCACGCCAGCATTCAATCAATCATTCCTTCTGGCCCTTGATATCATCGAGCATCGATTACCCCGTGGGGTCGTCATCACCACATCCACCATCAGCAAGTTCTACTCCAATGGCTTGGACTTTGAAAACGCCATACGAGATCCCACCTTTTTCCCCAGCAGCCTGTTCCCACTATGGAGGCGCCTTGTTACCTACCCAATGCCAACGGTGGCCCTGATGAACGGGCACGCGTTTGCTGGCGGGTTGATGACGGCTATGATGCATGACTATCGCATCATGAATCCACATAAGGGCTTCGTGTGCCTGAACGAGCTCGACTTCGGGGCGGCTTTGCAACCTGCCATGGCCTCAGTCTTTCGAGTGAAGCTGAACATGACCACTTTCAGAAACATGGTCCTCGAGAGCAGGAGGTTCCCGGCTCTGGAAGCGCTGAAGGAAGGGATCATCGACGGCGTCGGTGACGTCGACGAGACATTGGCCTTTATAGGAGAGATGAAGCTCACTCAAAAGGCCCAGGGCGCGTCTTACGGCAAGATCAAGGAAGAGATGTACCGGGAGGTCGTCAAAGACTTGGACGAGGGGCCAGATACACCCAAGACACTGACTGCTCGAGACCTGGACCGCAATCGCAGGGACTCGGAGGCGAAGAAGAGAGTCGACGAGTATCAAGCTGTGCTGCGCAGAGCCAAACTTTGAAATCAGGGTGTGCCTCCCGAAGTAGGGCTCATTTGAGGAGACCAAAGCATTTCTGGGACAGGTATACCTATGAGCCATTGTGAAACAGTTTCACGATGGCCCTTCTGACCATCCCAATATTCTACAACGACGACGATAGGTATGTTTCCTCACTCTGGCGCGTGAGGTTGGGAGAACCCAACGAACGAATCATTTGGCACTCTCTTGTCTACAATGCCGTCTATTGATAGGCGGTGATGATACCGTAGGGTCCAGGCTGCCGGAGGCGTGGATGAGGCGAGGAGGGCATGGTCATGGTCAGGTATCGCGTCCTGGACATTGCGAACGGTGCTCTCCCGAGAAAGTTTGCTGTCGTATTCGGATCGGGTGCGCAATAACAAGAGATTATGCGGACCCTAGATACGCTGTTGAATACTTACCTAGATGTTGGGATGTGATTTGGAAAATTGGCTTCCTGGTCTACCTGCTCCGCGTTAGCCCTGGCCCTTGATGCCGAATGAACTTTCGTCACTACCTTCAGGTTGGTGATGAATGAGTCAACCAACTCTGCATGGGATTAGTATCCGGTGTCACCCTCGAGCTCCAGCCATATGACTCAAGGCTAAGAAGACATGGTGATTCATGCAACGAACGCGAAAACCAATCGTCACGACAAACAACTTGTTACTGCCGCTATGGGAACAGGCATCCTCGATCAGGGTGCTGCACAAATACGAACTTCAATGAGTTATGCAGAATTAATGCTGGTGAGGGAAGGCTCTAGGCACCAGCTCGCTTAACCATGCCTGGTAAGAGATGCAAACGTACCACCAAAAACCACGGTTTCCCCAACGCTCATGCGCCAGCCGGCTGAAGGCTCCCGGACACTCTCTCCACGTTGCCGAAGGCTTCGCGGGCTTAGGGGCCACCAAGCTCCGGCACGCACAGGCGGTTACAGGGTCTCAGCGGGCTCCTAAGCCCTACAGGCGAATGAAAATGGCCTAAATTTAACTATGTGAATCTTGATCTGGTGCACAGCGGACCCTCTGTGCCCGGGGGCACAATAGGCCGTCTCGTACTACTTCGTGAACATTACCGAGATGGTCGTAGTACCGCAGCCAACACTCCACTGGCAGCGCTGTCACGCTGTCATGCTGGTGTGTTCGCCTTCCCTGGGGGTGTTGTTACCTCCCAGAGGGTCGCCTTCGTGAAGTCTCACAGCCTGGACTCGGACTTCATATCTTTTGACTCATACCTGATCTTTTGACTCATACCTGATCTTTTGACTTGCTCTCAAGCATAATTCCGGCTCCGTCTTTCGTTTCATCGTTGCCTGTCGTTTTGCACATACTTTACTTTCTTTATTTCTATCCTCCAACACCTACCTAGTACGAATGAATATAGACGGACCGCTGTCTGCACGCATCCCCATCTCCTATCGATAGACGTACAATCCGAGTCTGCGATCAGGGCATTTCCTGCAAGCCTGTTCTCCTTTTCCGAAACCTGAGACGCCCCAAGAATGGCACGCTGAACCTGTGTTGTAGCGGGCATATTCCTATCCACGTTATCGATAGTCGCCGTACATCATGAACCCAAGCGGACAGGGCGAATTGCCTGCGGGGGTGGCCGCCGCTGAAGAGAACATGGAAGAGAAACAAAGATCGGAACTGGGCATTACCACGAAGCAGGAGAAGAACACTGAGCTACCGGCCATCTCTGAGAAGCAGCCGGCCACACCTGTCCCTGATACTCCCACGTCTCCTACTGCCATCTCGCCGTCGTCACAGTCTGGCGATTCAGATATCGGGGCCGGCCTCAACAAGTATGATTCGAAGATCGTCCAGGTTCGTGAGGTGCCTGACGGTGACGCCGCGTTAGCACACCTACCGGAGAACGAGCGAGCCGTGTTGAAGCGACAGTTGTTTACTCCGGATGTCAACGTCACCTACACGGCTCTATATCGCTACGCCACTGCGTGGGATCTGGTCTTCATTGTCATCGCAGCCATCTCAGCAATTGGTGCAGGAGTGGTCCAACCGTTGATGACGGTCGTTTTCGGAAACTTGAGTGGCACTTTTCAAGGCCTTATTCTGGGAACCCTCTCAGGGTCGTTCAATTCCACTTTGGACCGATATGTGCTATATTTCATCTATCTCGCCATTGGCGAGTTCTGCCTGGTCTACATCTCCACCGTTCTGTTCATTTACACCGGCGAACACATTACCGCAAAGGTTCGAGAACAATACCTCAGGGCGATCTTGCGGCAGAACATTGGGTATTTTGACAAACTAGGCGCCGGCGAAGTCACCACCCGTATCACCTCGGACACCAACCTTATCCAGGAAGGCATCAGTGAGAAGGTGGGATTGACGTTGACTGGTGTCGCTGCCTTCTTCTCCGCGTTCGTCATCGGATTCGTCAAATTCTGGAAATTGACCCTCATCTGCATGTCCACCGTTGTGGCGATTGTGCTGATCATGGGCCTCGGGGGGCGGAAGATGGCCGCATGGAACAAGAAGTCTCTGGCCTCATACGCCGTTGGAGGCTCCGTGGCCGAGGAAGTCCTCGCATCGATCCGCAACGCCGTTGCATTTGGAACGCAGGATAAATTGGCAAAGCAGTACAACGTGCATCTCCTTGAGGCCCGACGCTGGGGCATTCGTAGCAAGAGTACCCTAGGCTGCATGATCGGGGCTCTGCTCTGCATCATCTTCTTGAACTACGGTCTGGCGTTCTGGATGGGCTCGCGGTTTTTGGTCGGTGGCGAAACCAACCTCTCTCACATTCTTACCATCATTCTAGCCGTCATGATTGGCGCTTTTTCCTTTGGCAACGTTGGGCCAAACATCCAGCACTTTGCTGCCGGTGTCGCCGCTGCCGCAAAAATCTACGCCACAATAGACAGAGACTCTCCGCTGGATCCGTTGTCTGAAGAAGGCGAGAGATTGGACCACGTGGAGGGTACCGTCGAGCTGCGGCACATCAAGCACATCTACCCCTCGCGCCCAGAAGTCGTGGTGATGGAAGATGTCAGCCTCCTAATTCCGGCGGGCAAAACCACCGCTCTTGTCGGCGCTTCCGGATCTGGAAAGTCCACCATTGTCGGACTAGTCGAGCGTTTCTACGACCCCGTAGGAGGTACAGTCCTACTGGATGGCCACGAGATCAACACGCTGAATCTGCATTGGCTGCGACAGCAAATCTCATTGGTGCAGCAAGAACCCATTCTTTTCAGTCAGACCATCAAAGAGAACATAAGAAATGGTCTCATCGGTTCGAAATATGAGGCCGAATCAGAAGAACAGCAGACGCAACGCATCGTTGAAGCAGCCAAAAAGGCAAACGCTCACGACTTCATCATGTCACTTACGGATGGTTACGAGACCCATGTCGGCGAGCGTGGGTTCCTGCTCTCTGGAGGTCAAAAACAACGTGTTGCAATAGCCAGAGCTATTGTCAGTGATCCAAAGATCTTGTTGCTCGATGAGGCTACATCGGCCTTGGACACCAAGTCCGAAGGGGTCGTGCAACATGCCCTGGATGAGGCTGCCAAGGGCCGGACCACTATTGTGATCGCTCATCGTCTTTCGACCATCAAGACCGCAGACAATATTGTGGTGATGCAGAACGGCCGAATCATCGAGCAAGGTACTCATGACGAATTGCTTGCACTTGGGAAGGCGTACTACAGCCTGGTGTCGGCGCAGCGCATCACCAGCGAACACGATGATGAAGCGGCAAAAGAAACTGACACTAGTGAAGAAGGACTGACGAAGATTCAATCATCGAGGTCCGGTAGCGCAGCAATGGCCGCTCCTGAAGATGTCAAACTGGCTCTGGGACGGACTAAGAGTCAAAAGTCCGTGTCCTCCAAGGTCCTCGCGGACAAGAAGTCGGAGACAGAAAACAAGTATTCCCTGTTGACACTGGTCAAGTTCATGTTATCATTCAACCGCACGGAATGGCACATCATGTGTGTCGCACTGGTCTTCTCCTGCATTGCAGGCGCTGCCCAACCGGTACAGGGGATCTTCTTTGCCAAATCCATCGTTTCCCTATCTCGACCGCTCAGTGAGCGACATCAGATCCGTCACGACGTCGACTTCTGGGCATTGATGTATCTCATGCTTGCATTCGTGACTCTTCTGGCCATGGTCACGCAAGGCACTCTCTTCGCATATTGCAGCGAAAGCCTGATCCAGCGTGCTCGTGATGGTGCCTTTAGAAGATTTCTGAGACAAGACATCTCATTCTTCGATGAAGACCAGAACTCAACCGGTGCTCTGACCTCGTTTCTGTCTACCGAGGCGACGCACCTGGCATCGATCTCTGGGGCGACATTGGGGACACTGTTGAACTGCACCACAACGCTGGTGGTGGCAGTCGTGATAGCCCTTGCCATTGGCTGGAAGCTGGCACTGGTCTGTATGTGCGCGTTACCGGTCATTCTGGGAACTGGATTTATCAGGTTCTGGATTCTAGCCAAATTCTCTGCCATTGCTCAGAAGTCCTACGAGAAGTCCGCCGGCTACGCTTGCGAACACACTAATGCCATCCGAACTGTGGCCTCTCTCACCACAGAGCGTCAGATCTATGCCGAGTATCAGAACCAACTAAACACACAGCTACGCGCCTCTCTCAGATCTAATCTGCGCAACTCCTCGCTTTATGCGGCCTCGCAGTCGGCAATGTTCCTCGCCTTTGCGCTGGGCTTCTGGTACGGTGGAACACTCATGGCTCGGGGCGAATACACGATGTTCCAGTTCTTCATTGTATTCTCGGAAATCATCTTTGGCGCGCAGTCGGCAGGGACGGTGTTTTCCTTCGCTGGAGACATGTCGCACGCCAAAAATGCAGCAGCCGCATTGAAGACGTTGTACGATCGCCAACCAACCATCGACCCATGGTCGGAGGATGGTGAACATATCCAGCAAATTCATGGTAATATCGAGTTCAAAGATGTTCATTTTCGATACCCAACACGCCCTGAAGTGCCGGTTCTTCGGGGTCTGAACCTGACGGTCAGACCGGGCCAATATGTTGCTCTTGTCGGAGCATCCGGTAAGTCATTGCACGCGCATGACCCCTTACAGATCTAACACATGCCAGGCTGCGGCAAATCGACCACAATCGCCCTGCTGGAACGATTCTACGACCCACTCGCTGGGGGAGTTTACATCGATGGCAAGGCAATTTCCTCACTCAATCTCAACGACTACCGGTCACATCTAGCACTGGTGTCGCAAGAACCGACGCTGTACCAAGGCACCATCAAGGACAACGTTTTGCTTGGTGCGGACCGGGGGGCAGTCAGTGATGAACGTGTCATTCAGGCTTGCAAAGACGCCAACATCTATGATTTCATCATGTCACTGCCGTGAGTGTTCACTTTCGTGACCGATTTGTGCATTGGAGTAGCTGACTCGAGATAGGGACGGATTCGCGACTGATGTTGGTAGCAAAGCTGCCTTGCTGTCTGGTGGACAGAAACAGCGTATTGCCATTGCTCGTGCCCTGCTTCGCAACCCCAAAGTTCTTCTTCTAGATGAAGCAACGTCTGCTTTAGACTCTGAGTCTGAAAAGGTGGTGCAGGCCGCCCTTGACGACGCTGCCAAGGGCAGAACGACCATTGCTGTCGCTCATCGACTCAGCACCATACAGAAAGCTGACATGATTTACGTCTTTGATAAAGGCGTTATCGCGGAATATGGCACACATAATGAGCTGATGGCTATCCATGGACGCTACCGAGAGTTGGTCAGTCTACAAAACTTGGAGAAGAGACAGTGAAGCATGCCGTTTCGTCTGAAAAGTTTTGGGCGCAAGGAATTGTGAGGGTCAGCATGGATGGACTTACTTCCGACCTCCAGTGGCACCAGAACGTATCGAATTTGGTGAGACGGCCCTCCTTGCTGGACATGACAGCATGACATATTGTCAATCGACGGAGAAGTGGGACGCATGTTTTGGCCGGCAGGATGGATTTCGATGTGATTCATACACAGCATAGAAACGGAGTACCGCTGTCCACAGGCACCATTGTCCTGGACTGGCCGATGCCGGGTCCGCTCAAAACCACTCATCTCAGCATAGCTCGGCTCGAGTTATTCACTTTTATACCATTCATCTGTACCATATTTTGGGGCACGAACTTCGGCTCTCGTAGTTTATGAGTTCTGGTAGTCCATTTGCCTCCGGCCCTTCTTCAATAGTCGCCCTTGCTGTCTGGATTCTTCGGCTTTTCAATCATTCTCGTTCAACCCTCGCTCCTCCATGACCTTGACAAGGCGTCGGCCTTCCTTCTCTGCAATGAGAGACAACATGCCCATGGCGATGTCTTTGATCTTGTTGTACTCTTTTAACAAGGATATGTGCCGGGAGAATATGGCGTTGGCATGGTTCAGTGCTTCTGCTTCTTCTACTTCTGTCTCTGCTTGTGCTTCTGCTGGTTGCTTTTCGTCGTCAGGATCATCTGTGCTCAACGAAGAGGATCTTGCGGAATCATGCTGAGACTCTGGATTCGGCGACACAGTTTGAGTCGTCTTCCTTGTTTGTGAATGAAATGATTCAAGTTTGCAAATTTGCTGGAGGACGGTTGACAATTGCTCCCTGGTTGATGCTATGTTGGTTTCCAGCGTATCGATTGAAGTCCTTGGTTTGGTGCCTCGTGGCCGCGTCGCCGGATAATGCGATGCCGCATTGTTAGACATTTAGATCTCTGCTATGGGCACTGTATTCTTTGAACGGCTAGGTAGTTGGTCGCCCTCAGATCCTAGCACAGTTTTGCTGTACGAGTGGATATGCTTCAGGGGATATTATCTCTGTTTCTGGAGAAGAGAATGGACTTGGAAAATAGTGATTTCGGGTGTGAATACTTCACTGTAGCTGTTTCCTCTTCAGATCGATTTTCTTGAGGAGATTCCTCATCATAGCACTTCGATGTGCTTCTCTTTGCTATTGTTCACGGGACAGTGGTACTTGTCAACAATCAGGACCCAGGTAATGAGCATCAGTAGGTCGTATACAGGAAAGGCTGAGCCTTGCTTGCATCTGGACGCTGTGTTCAGGTCAGACAGAAGCATATCACGAGGGAATAGGCGCCTTCATGGTGACTAGAAATAAAAAGATGTCTGTCAGACCAATCTTTTTTTCTCATTATGTCAGCAGCCTTGGCGGTCGGCGTGCATATCCAAACTGCGAGCCACTGGCATGTCATGGTCTTCGATTTGTATCAATACAACTGTTCACGCTAGAGGGGATCCTGGTGCATGCAATACAATTTGCCGACGTGCTTTCTCTGATGGCGACCTTTGCAAACCCTCCTGACCGTTGATCCGACTTCTTCTTCCTGCCTAGGCACGCGCCGTTGACCATGTTCACCTTCACTCCCTTGCTAGGGGCGCAGTGCGACTCCCGAGCCTCGCAGTCCATTCTCGAGCTAGATGGTGGGATCAAGATTCTGGTGGACGTTGGATGGGATGAGCGCTTCGATACTCGTCAATTAACCGAGATAGAAAAGCAAGCTTCGACTCTGTCCTTCATTCTCCTCACTCATCCTACCACTTCCCACATTGGTGCCTTTGCACATTGCTGCAAACATATTCCTGTGTTTTCTCAGATTCCTATCTATGCTACACCACCTGTAATTGCGTTCGGCCGAACTCTGCTGCAAGACCTCTACTCCTCATCCCCGCTCGCTGCGACGTTCATCCCGGGCTCAGGTTCACCGGAAGACGGGTCGAGTACGGACGACAAATCGCGAACGAATATCCTCCGCCAGGCTCCCACGTTCGAAGAAATCAACAAGTACTTCCAGCTGATCTCACCATTGAAATACTCGCAACCACTTCAACCAACGGCGTCTCAATTCTCCGCGCCCATCGAGGGGCTCACCTTGACTGCATACAATGCTGGACATACGCTGGGAGGCACAATATGGCATATACAGCATGGGATGGAATCGATCGTCTACGCGGTGGACTGGAACCAAGCAAGAGAGAACGTGGTGGCGGGTGCGGCATGGTTTGGTGGGGTCGGAGGCGCCGAGGTCATCGAACAACTACGCAAGCCTAGTGCTCTTGTGTGCAGCAGTGTTGGCGCGACTAGGGTAGTATTGTCGGGCGGCCGCAAAGCTCGGGATGATGCTCTCCTAGGCCACATCAAAAGCAGTATAGCCAAGGGCGGAACGGTACTCATACCCACGGATTCAAGCGCTCGAGTGCTGGAGTTGGCCTGGCTACTGGAGAAGGTGTGGTCGGATCCAGCACATTCTCCCTATTTGAGGAATGCAAAAGTGTACATGGCAAGCAGGTCCGCTAACGCGACGCTCCGCCACGCTAGGAGTCTGCTAGAGTGGATGGACGACAGTATTGTTCGGGAGTTTGAGGGAGAGGACGACAACCCCACCGCGCAAAACCAGAGACGAGGTTTCGGCGGTAGGGCTAACGGGACAGCAAAGCCATCTCGACCTTTTGAATTTCAAAATGTCAAGATCGTGGAGCGGAAACACCAGCTGGAGAAGATGCTGAAAGTGGAAGGCCCGCGGGTCATCCTTGCGAGCGACGTCACTTTGGATTGGGGCTTTTCACGGTCTCTGTTGGAGCATGTCGTGCAGAGACCGGAGAATCTTCTGATCCTGACCGAAAGATTGAACGTGGCATCTCAGTCTGATAGTCCCGGTCAGACTTTCTGGAAGTGGTTCGATGAGCGACAGGACGGCGTAGCCCTCGAACGAGCCGAAGGCACTGGCCAACTGGAGCAGGTTCACAGCGGCGGAAGAATGCTGAAGCTGAAGAATGCAGAAAAGGTCCCTCTCAGCACACGGGAGAATCAAAGATACCAGCAGTACATGGCAACCCAGAGGCAGATCCAGGAGTCGCTTGCAGCAACCGACAGAGATCAAGCAGTTGCAGACGACAATATGGACGATGAATCGAGCTCCTCGTCATCGGACGAATCAGACGATGAGCAACAGGGTCGAGTGTTGAATGTCTCTGCTGCTCTGGGCCACGGAGCTCGGAACAAGCTTGCATTGACCGATGAAGACCTGGGAGTCAGCATTTTGCTGCGCAAAAAGGGGGTTTACGACTTCGACGTGCGGAACAAGAAAGGTCGGAATGCTGTATTCCCTTACAGTCACTCACGGAGGCGTGGCGATGAGTTTGGAGATTTCATCAAACCGGAAGACTTTCTGCGGGAGGAAGAGAAGGAAGAACAAAACGCGCTCGATGAGGCCAGGGCGGGAGGCACGCTGGGTCAGAAGCGGAAATGGGATGACGCAAACAATGCGAAGGAGGCCCAAGCAAAACGAGCTCGGGGACACGCGCCGAAAACTGCGACAGCGGGCGACTCGGATGATGACTCGGATTCGGCGACCTCGGATGTTGACGACGAAGTTGAATCGGAAGGTATCCAGGGCCCGGCAAAGGTTGTGTACTCGACTACAGAAGTGACCGTCAATGCCAGGTTGGCATTTGTTGATTTTGCTGGACTACATGACCAGCGCAGTCTGCAAATGTTGATCCCATTGATCGGCCCTAAGAAATTGATCCTCGTGGGAGGCACCGATTCCGAAACGCTGGCTTTGGCTTCAGACTGCAAGGAGCTCCTCGGCATGAAGGTGTCCGGTGCAGATGAGCAAACTTCGAGCGAGATCTTCACGCCCAATATAGGCCAGACGGTTGACGCCAGTGTTGACACGAATGCCTGGATAGTGAAACTAAGTCGTGCCCTGGTCAAGACACTGCGCTGGCAGACTGTCAAGAATATGGGAGTGGTAACGGTGCAAGGCCAGCTCAAAGCCGAGCTCGACCAGGAGGTGGACGTACAGGATGATCCATCGGTGAAAAAGCAGAAGCTGGACACCGACGCAGCGCGCCAAACACAATCAGCACCATCACTACCTGTTGTGCCTGTCCTCGACGTGTTGCCAGCCAGTCTGGCAGCTTCCACAAGATCCGTGACCCAGCCTATCCACGTTGGTGATCTGCGACTGGCTGATCTACGACGGATCATAGCCATGGATGGTCACGTAGCGGAATTCCGGGGTGAAGGTACTCTGTTGGTGGATGGCATGGTTGCAGTGAAGAAACTTGGAACGGGAAAAATCATTGTGGAAGGCATCCCAGTCAGCGGAGTTCCCATGACTCCAAATCTGGCAGACAGCTATACGCGAGTGAAGCAGAAAGTCTACGAAGGTCTTGCTGTTGTTGCGGCAGGCTAGACACGGAGGAGTCGACAGAAACATGGTCACGATCGCCTTTTCGTTTGCATTTCCTCCTGCCATGCAGACTCTCCCTCCATCTTGCCGCTGTCATAAGGCAACAAAAGCCGTTGACTATATTATCGCGTTTGTGCCGCTGAATCGGAGCAACAAACAACAGTCGTTTACCGGGTCACCATAGCCAGAGTCATGGTCTATGACACCGATACGATCGAGGAGATAGTGCTGAACGAAGCAAATAGGCCATGGTCCTCACCCTTTAAATATGTCCTGTTTCTCCTTTCATCGTTTGATTCTCACACACACCAAGCAATCAAGAAAGCTCACTCTGCCCGTTTCCCTGTCTCCCCGAGTTGAGAAAAGCCATTTGAGGTGCCTCGAGTCTATCCGATGGCGTGTCCAGCTCCATTCTTGATGCCATTCGCCATGTCCGCACCGCCTCCTCCGCCTCCGTCAGGACTGATCGGAAAGACAGAATACCACTATTTCACCAAAGATGGCGGACCCCCCAATAAAGGGGCGGCTCCCTGCGGACCTCCGTCGTCTGGAGGAGCAGGCCTACCGCCGCCGTATTCATTCATGCCTCCTCCTCCTCAAGCACCCGCCAATCCTGGACCCAGCGGTCCATTCTTCATTCCACCGACCTCTGGGTTCCCCGGCGCAGTGTGTTTCCCCGGTGGTGGACCTGCACCACAACCTCCACCACCTCCATCAGCAGGAGCCGTTTGGTTTCAGCCACCTCCCCCTCCGGCTCCTCCAGCTCCGCCTGCTGCAGCAGCTCCGCCCCCGCCCCCTCCTGATTATCTAGGCGCAGTGGCTCACGCGGCTGCACAATCACCCGAGCCTCCCGTCAGTGGGAACCGAGTCAAAGATCGTCTCGTGGTAGTCACGGACAGTGGGACCGGATACGTGGCATCGAAGCAGAACGCGACGTTCCACCTCTTCACGTACAACGTGCTGGACAAGTACGCCGTCAACGCCAACAACCAGTTCTACATACCTCCCCTCGCATGCGAGCCGTTCCGGGTGATGACGGCGTCGTGTTCCATGCCGATCGAAGAGCTCATCGAGCAACTGGACTGCGTCAAGGATGCGCCGGCGGGATATCCGCGCTACGCCATTGGGCTGGCGGAGGCACTGGACGTGGGCAATGGCTGGTTTCAGATTGGGACCAAGTTCTTCCTCGACGAGCCGCATTCGTCCATGACTATCAAGCAGACTTGGGGGGAGAGTGTTGGCGAGGCCGGCGAGTCTCGGCCACGATATCTGATTCGGCTGCCGTAAGATGGACCCGGACCCGTTCGTGCCCTTGACATTTGTTCTGGTTATTCCGTTTGCTGATCGATTGCTTTTGTTTCTTCCAGGGGCAAACGCGCGGGCGCTTAACTGAGCGGGTGCGAGAGCAGCGCTGTACAGTGCCACTGGTCTGTGATACAGAATAGGGTTCACAGTATCACCATGTGATGGATGGTTTCTTCTTCTACACTTGTTTTGGGATGGGGGACGAAACATCCGATTGCACGTTAGTATCCTGTCTTGACACTACCGGCTACTCTTGCGAGTCTTATAGGGCATTTGGGCATGGGTCTGCAAGAGACACAGTGGCTTGCTTGTTTTAGCAAGATGTATGTGAACCGCAAGATCATATCATCCATACCTAAGGTACTCAGGTCCCTAGACTCTTGTAGCGAGATATCAGGCCCGGTTGCAGCGACTGTCGGCCGATTGGCTCTGCGGCAGGACATACCGTTTACAGCTTAGCTCCAGACTCAAAATCAATGACTTCGGTCTTGGTGCGAACCAATCACAAGCGAGTATAACTTACTTTCCTATTTGGGCCAAATCTGCCAGTTTCTAGTTTCTTGTTTCTCGTCCCTCTTTTCTCTTTCCTGCCTCTCTCGGATCTTCTGGACCCTTGTGCAATGACTTGGTATCTGTGAGAGGGTGGCTGTTATGTCTTCTGTTGTCCCAACGCCCCTCACTCCGCGCAGACTGGTGGGTTTCTGTTCATTGATGTGCTGGAGATGCCCGAACACGGTTGGTTAGAGCTTTATCGCTGGTGGGTCTTGATCCTATGCGCCTGTCGGATGTGACGGTGATTGGCTGAATGGTGCTATTCCTCCTCTGCTGTTCAAGTTGTCTCTTATCATCTTGGACGGACCCGACGGGGTATATAAACACCAACGTACATATAAAGCCCCGTCCCAGCCTCGAGTCCTCCCACCATCCCCCTCCTTTCCACATCCTTGTCACAATTTGGAGCTCTCCCACCTGCATCATTCTTCAGCGCTCTTCCCTATCGACCTGATCTCCTCGTCGGCCGTCTCCACCATGGCTGCCGCCGCCCAAGACTTCTCCTCGGCGACGCCCTCCGTGGCAAAAGCCGACATCTTCCACCCCCTATGCCCTTTGACGGGCGCCGAGATCACCACGACCGCGAACCTGGTCCGATCGGTCTGGCCGTCCAACGTCGATCTGCGTTTCAAGGTCGTCACCCTCGATGAGCCGCCCAAGAAGCAGATGGTTTCTTATCTGGAGGCCGAACATAGTGGGGCGCCGCTGCCTCAGATCCCGCGGAAGGCTTTTGTGTCCTATTACATTCGCAACACGGTAAGTCTCTAGTAACCCCCTAAAGTCTGATTTCGACGGGAAAGGGGGATTGTCTCTGGCCGGCAATCATTCATTTGTGGTCGATGTCTTGTCTGGTCGATAGGTGTTATCTATGTAAAAGAGAAGAGGATGCTTCCGTCTGGGTTGTCTATGTTGGATGGGAGTTCTGCCTCTTGCGAAGATCTGCTCTTTAATGAGACTCTTTTGATCGTCGGGAACAACTGGATTTCCCAAAGTCATTCCCTGTGCGTCAAGGCCAAACGCTGACTGATCATGTCTACTTCAGGACCGCTTCCATGAAGCCGTCGTCAACCTCTCCGCCGGCAAGGTCGAAAGCAATGTCCGCTTGGGCCCCAACGTGCACGGCAATGGAGACTATGACGAGATCTTGCAAGTGGAGAAAGCCGCGTTGGAAGACGAGGGCGTCAAGGCTGCTCTCGCCAAATTGAAACTGCCAGAAGGCACTGCCATCACTGCCGATCCATGGATTTATGGTACGACCTCACATTCTCTATCTCCCATTACACCACGCTTGTCCACTATTCTGCACTGTCGCTTCACAACATTGTGATTCGACCAAATCGGCGACTTTCCGCAGTAGCAAGGCTAATTCCAGTATGCAGGCTCCGATGGCGTCAACGACGACGAAAGACTCTTCCAAGTCTTCATGTACATGCGTGACCCTGCCAACCCCGGCGAATTGGACTCGAACCACTATGCCTTCCCACTGCCCTTCTCACCCGTGGTTGAATGCAACACGTTCAAAGTTATCCGGCTCGACTATCTGCCCACGGGCGCGGACAACACGATCCACGAGCTCCGGCCGTACGAACCGGTCCCGCCCAACGAATACCTCCCGGAAGCGCAACCATCGCTTCGCAAAGACCTCAAGCCTCTGCGCGTGCTGCAGCCGGAAGGAGCGTCGTTCACGCTGACCCCAGCCGGCGAGACGGGTCATGTGGTCGAATGGCAAAAGTGGTCGTTCCGCGTCGGCTACAACCAACGCGAGGGCATGGTTCTGTACGACGTGCGCTACGACACGCGGCCTCTGTTCTACCGACTGTCCCTGTCGGACATGAACATCCCGTACGCGGACCCACGGCACCCGTTCCACAAGAAGGCCGCCTACGACCTGGGCGACGCCGGCGCGGGCGCCATGGCCAACAACCTCAAACTGGGCTGCGACTGTCTCGGACACATCCAGTACCTGACGGCGGTGATTACGGACGACAAAGGCCTCCCCGTGCCGCTGGAGAACTGCGTGTGCGTGCACGAACAAGACGCCGGGATCGGGTGGAAACACACCAACTACCGCACGGGGCGGGCGGCCGTGGTGCGCAACCGCGAGCTCGTGCTGCAGAGCATCATCACCGTGTCCAACTACGAATACATCCTGGCGTTCATGTTCAACCAAGCCGGAGAAGTGATCTACGAGGTACGCGCCACGGGGATCCTGTCGACGCAGCCGATCGACCACGAGCTCGACAAGGTCGGCGTGCCCTTCGGCACGGTCGTGCACCCGGGCGTGCTGGCGGCGCACCACCAGCACATTTTCTCGCTGCGCATCGACCCCATGCTCGAGGGCCACGCGAACCGGCTGGTCTACGACGAGGCGCACGCCATGCCGCTCGACAAGGACTGGAACCCGCACGGCGTCGGGTACACGGTGGCGGAGACGGTCGTCGAGCGCGCCGGCGGCCTGGATCTCAACGCCGACGCAAACCGCACCTTCAAGATCCAGAACCCGGCCGTGCGCAACCCAGTCAACGGCAAGCCCGTCGCCTACAAGATCCACGCCCCGCCGTTCCAGAAGCTGCTGGCCCATCCGTCCTCGTACCACTTTAAGCGCGCCGAGTTCGCCGACCACAACATCTACGTCACCACCCACCGCGACCGCGAACTCTACGCCGGCGGATGGTATACCAACCAGTCGCGCGGCGGGACCGGCGTGCGCAGCTTCGCCGCCCGCAACGACAGCGTCAAGGACACCGACATCGTCGTCTGGGTCCAGTTCGGCATCAACCATGTCCCCCGCATCGAGGATTTCCCCGTCATGCCCTGCGAGATCCTCAAGGTCAGCTTGAAACCCGTCAACTTCTTCGATCGCAACCCGGCCCTCGACGTCCCCCCGTCCGAGCAGAGCTTCAACCAGTCCACCCTGGCCACCAACATGCATCATCAACCCGCGCTGGAGGCCACCGTCGGCAAGGATGGCGCTTGCTGTGGGCCGGCCGAGCAGCCGGGCAAGAGTAGATTGTGAAGTAAAAGTAGGGAAACGGTCAGAGATGCCGAGACCACATGTTTCGAATGAACAACAGGTGTTAAGTGAGGCTACTACTCTCTTGGACGTATCTATCTTTCTCTCGCGCCAAAAAAGGATGCGGGATACAAGATAGCGAGAATAGGAAATAGGGAAAACTAGACCATGCAACATACATACATGCAAGCAAGCTCCCCATCCGACCCCGAAGCCACGTTAGGGGTAGTAGCTCAGCGTAGGGCCATGGACCACCTCTCCCCTAGCAGATATCCTGAGTGAATGAAAATATAATGTATGTTTTTTGGAACTGCGCATGAAACCGTCGTAAGGGAAGGGCAATCCTGTCCTGGTAACCTTTTTCCAAGTCCCACATCTCATATCCCTTGTCACATAGTCGATAATCCATGCTCATATTCTGTATATACATTCTTCAAGTCTCCAGAACACCAGACCGCTCACAAGAAAAGAAGAACGAGCTAATCGATCGCCTGGCAGACGCCGTGACACAAGCCCGTCTACAAGAAATTGTCATCATTGTCGCCATTTCCATTTCCATTGCCCAGACCTCGTGAGTTCTCACTCCTGTTGTGAGGATCAGGACTTCTCGGCGGCGGCATGTACGGCATCGATATCCTGTTGTTATTGCCGTTATTGTCATATCCGCGACTGGGCTGCTGGCCGGACGGGCGTGGTCGAGAATCAGGATATGGAGCGGAAGAGCCAACGCCGGTGTCTTGGACGCCGCTCATTCCTGGTTGTGATTGGTATTGTTGTTGTTGATATTGAGGTTGATAGTATTGATGCATTTGTGGAGGGTATTGTTGGTTCGAGGAAGGATGAAGATAAGGTGGGTATTGCCGCTGCTGCTGTGGATGCGGCTGCTGATAGTGCGGTTGGCGCGACGGATACATCGCCGCTTCGTCGAGAGTCGATGTCGCGAGCCCGATGTCGCTGGTCTCGTAATAATCATGACGCGGCCGGTTGCTGAACTCGTCACTCAAGTCACTGTCCATCCTGGCCACGGGCGGGCGGGACATAGGCATTCCCTGACTGTTGGCCAGTAGATTGTCGCCTTCTCCGCCCTCTGTTCCTCCGTCAACACCACCCGCATTAATAGTGGCAGCAGAATAACGAGGAGGTCGAGCTGGGACACCATTACCGCCAACGCCAACACCGCCACTGCTCATGCCACCATTGTAAGCAGTAGGAGTGTTGAACATGGAACTTGACGACCCCAATTTCTGACCCTCGGCGTCCAAGTTGTCAGTACTAGCACTCCCTTGAGTATTCTTTCTGGTAAGGTCATAACTCGGATCCATGTGCCGGTGCTTGCGTCCCTGGAATAGCCACCTCGCTGCACGGCCGGTGGCCTTCAACATGTCCCAACCATTGAACGCGTCAAAGATGGCCTTGATCCCCAAAAAGCCGCCCTTGTATGCGCGCTCGCCTTCACCTGCGATGGTCTCGGCCATGTACTCCTTCGAACCCAACGTGTAGGGTTTCCAACTGAACGCCCAGATGTGGAAGACGGCAAAAATGGCCATTTCAATGCACAATAACAGAGCCGGAATGCCGACTTTGATATCCGGCGCCTGGACATGCTTGGTCGCTTTGATGGCGCCGGCACTAGTGAGAAACGAGATGCAGATGGTCTGCCAGAAGCTGAGAAAGATGACGAGTTTGATGGCGAGGACTTTGATCAACGGTTTGTGTTGTCGGATGTCGTTTTTGATCTGCACGTAGAACTGGATCAGGCAGTACATGGCGACAGTGACTGCCACGGACTCGAACACCATAACCCAGATATGTGAAAAGGCGGGGTTTAGAGACTCCAGACAGTATCTGTCCATGGCCTGGGTGATGACGGCCACAATGGTAAAGAAGACCCGGATGAAACAGTACTGGAAAATGGAGACCCAAATGACCTGTCACCCAGTTAGTACGAGATTCAAAGCAGAAAGGCTCTCGCGACCTACATTGAACCAGGTTAGACCGCTTCTAGGGGTCCGTAACCAACCATTCTCCGCTCCGCCGGTACATTTCTGGAGGTATTTCATGGGCCACACCCATTTCTTCGGGGTGATGGTGCGGAAGTAGACCTTTTGCTGGTGCAGATCCGGAGCGACGTATGCGCAGAGTAGGCTGAAGAAAGAAGCGATCGCGAATGCCTCGTAACAGTCGCGAATGACTTCGAAATACACGCTGTGGTTGTAGAAGTAATATGACAGGAAAGACACGGCGGCGTAAACTGGGACCATGAACAGAATACGGATAATGTGTCTTTGCTCCCACGGTTTGAGATAATGTGTCGCGTGCATGAAGATCAAGAAGAAGGAGACCAGGATGGCGATGATGGTGAAGCCACCGCCGATCCATTCCCCAAGCTGATGGAAAGTGTAGTCGTCCCAGAGAGGATCTTCGCTAATTGTCATATCCTCCAACGTGGTATTACATACTGGCCAACCCATATTGGCGCAGGTGAGGGTGTGTTCTCTTCAACAAAGTCCGGCGGTCCAGGAAAAAAAGCGTCGCAGTCGTCAGGAACTCGTCGGCATCGCTCTCAACGGCCACCGCGTTGGAGAAAGGTGAGGAAAAGGTCGATCGGCACCAGGCCTAGCGACGGGGAAGCGGACGGAGGAGGATAATTATCCCAGATTCACAAAACGTAGGTCTGAATAAGGGAGGGGACTACTTCAGGTCCCTGAGAGGCGAGGTGCGCGGCCTGTATAAGCGCAGTGCGGTAGTGAGCGGAAAGAGGCTGGCTAAAGAGAGTACTCTGTAGTCGCTGCTCTCGTGTCTCGCGAGGAATCGATCGATTGTACGCAGTATACTATGTTCAAAGGAGCGTGTGGCCGAGGGTGAGTTGTGAACAAAGATGTGGGACAAACTGCGCCGCAAAGATGACGGGGGCCCTTTTGATCAAGACTGTGAATGGGACAAAGACGAGGTTGTTCCTCTTTTGCAGCGCCTTGTTCCCCCTTCAGCGCGTGCATCTGCAGATCATCAGAAGGCAGGGGTTCGAAAGGCGACTCGCGGCTGTGGGACGCTGGACGCCGGGCGCCGGATACTGAGTATGGAAACTCGAGACTGGATAGTGGATGTTATACACCCAATCCACGCAGCTGAAACCCCCCGAACTTATGCGACAGACCCTGACATCTGGCAGCTGGCGAGTCATCAACTGGTAGGTGGCTGGGTAAGGGACGAAGTTGATGCTGCTGAGTGGCTGAGATGGAGACGGTGGGAACCCTGGTCAGAGTCAAGAATTCAAGTTGGGTTAAGCTCATTTAAGGCCGCCAAGGCCCTGCGGCCCTGAATCCTTATTTTAGATCCTAATCACTGAACTAGTACCATTACAGATTAGTACAGTACTAATACTTCGGCGACCTTATACAGAGCATAAACTCTGTATAAGGTAGCAGAGCTGATGTACTGCCGGCCAGGTGTGATCCTCCACCAGCCATTGATTGCGCAAGCCCTCGGGTCTTGATTACAGCGAGTTTATTTCCATGCCATCGCTTATTTCCCACCTCTTAACCCATACGGACACAGGAGAGATACCACGGTCTTGTCAATGGACGGGATATATTCATCTGTCACGAAATATTTGACGCTTCTCTTCCCTAACCATGCCCTGGGGTATCTTGTGAATGCGGCCTCTCAGGCCGGCGACAATGATACAATCATATGTATATATACACCTTGCTTTTCCTTGACTTTCGTTGTGTGCCAATCCCACGCCGTCGTCATGCCCGTAGTCATGTGAACCAGAGTTGAACTGGTCCGAGACTCATTCCGTCCGTCCGTCTCGTCTTGCCCGTCTAACAGCGCTTCGGTTACCAAACTCCCGCTACCAAGCGGTGAGATCTTCAACCTCTGCCTCTCCAAAAGTGCTGCTCTTGGTCATCTTGCCCACACCGTCTTCGACGTCCCCATCCTCGCCGTCAGCAAGACCCGGCCTGTTCATGATATCCGGCAGATTCTCGCGGAAGAAAGCAAGCAGATAGTTGTTCACCTGCTCAAACTGCAACAAAAATGCATCATGCCCTTCAGGACTTTCGATCTTGCCCAACTTCGCATTAGGAATACACTTGGCCAGTTCCTCCTGTTCGGCGAAGGTGAAGAGGCCGTCAGACTCGATTCCCAAGACCAGCGTTGGCTGTTCAATCTGCGCCAGGGCTTCCTTGACACTCGGGGCGCGGTTGCGGGAGACGTCGTGGGTGTCGAGTTTGCGGGTGATCGCGATGTAGCAATTGGCATCGAACCGTTTGACAAACTTATTCCCCTGGTATCGCAAGTAGGACTGCGCCGAGAAGTAGTGGTGGGTCGGACGGGACTTGTTTTGGCGGACAACGGGAACAGGAACAGCGAACTCCGTGGTACCGTTGAATTGGGGATCATTGAAGGTCATCGAGGTCTCCTGCACAGCAGTCAAATCCGATTGTGACTGTGATTCAGAGAGAGTTCCACTGCGAGAGGAAGGGCGCGAGTCCCGCGGTCCTCTGGCTCGCTTGTTGCCGTCGTTGTGAATCGTCCAATGTTGGTTCTGGGCCTGTGGAGGGCTGGTATTTTCCTGGTTGATTGACGGCTGTTTCGACAGATCAGGAGTGTTCCGACCAAACCGAGCCTCAAAGGAGTCGCGACTTCGATAGGTAAGAAGGGCGGACATGCGAGCTGCGCCTAGTCCTGCGGTGGGAGGGTCATCAAATGAATAGTATCCGTCCTCATACTTTGGATCAGAATAGATCGCTTGACGCTGCGCCTCACCCCAGCTGATCCCCCATGCACTATGACTTGCGGATGTAGCGATGGGCGCGATGCACCGCACATAATCTTTGCCGAAATAAGCATATTCCAGGGCCAGCATACCTCCCATCGAACCGCCTACCACGCATGCGATCTGCCGCACTCCGAGATGGTCGAGGACAATTTTATGGATACTATCAAGTGTGGTCAGCTTCAGCAGTCATTTGACACCCTGCAAGAACTTACTTCACATCATCTCTTATCGTTGTCAGAGGGAATTCTGGGCCATATCTCTCAAGCGCCGGATCTCCATCTTTGTAAGTCACAGGACTGGCACTGCCGTATGGACTTCCGAGACTGTTCAAGCAGACAATAAAAAATCTGGAAACATCGAAGGCCCGGCCTGGTCCTCCTAGTAAAGGCCCCCACCAGTCCGCAACATCGGCGCTGCCACTCAAGGCATGACATATTACCAAAGCATTGTCCCCATTTTCCGCGAGTTGACCTCGTGTGGTAAATGCGACAGGTGCGTTCTTGAGAACAACGCCGGATTCGAGGGTGAAGGTGGGGATGATCGCATACTGTTGGTCGGAAACAAGTTTGGCGAAAGGGTTTTCAGGTTGCTCTTTGACAATCTCTACGGGATTTAGTAGCCGTTGACTCACAATCGAGGTGGAAGAGAATGGAATTGGGGGCGGAGGGCATTGGGTCTGCGTGGGAATACTGACGGAGTTTCGTCTTGCTATGGACGTCGCCGTTCTTGCTTGTAGACGACATTGTGAGGCTCAGTTTGGTTCGAAGTCTTGCAATCCTTGCGATCCGGAAATAAGTGTCGGTATAGAGGCAGATGCAAGAGATTAGGTGAGGTCCATCTGTCGGTCTTGCGTTTCCCTGAATGACTGAACGCTAAGTACTGTGAGTCAACTGTGCGATGGGAGAATGTAGATGAGGTGCAGCAATGACTGTCCATGGATCCAAGTCGCAGATTGAGAAGGCCAAAATTACAACACGGTCTGACAACAAGGAGTTCTCCATCACAGGGGCCATGCGCCCTTTCAATGGCTGCATGGCGTGGTAACTCTGTTCGTCAGACGTGCGATAATTATTTTATGACTGTGTCGCCGTTAGAGCGCCAGCACACCATTATCATTGGCGACACAGGATTTATACTGCACGTGACATCCTCAGCCTTGCTGAGCCCCACTTTCAAGATACAGCGTCGTGCCAGCAGTCGAGCGTGTAGAGCACAAAGATCCCTTCGTTCTGAGACTATAACGACAAAAGCTATGGTACATTCGAGACACGACATTCTACGTGCACTGTCCAATACTCAGGATATGTAGTGTTGAATATGTTATATGCGACGGACAGCAACGACCCCTACAAAGAAGAAGTCTGTCTCTCTTTTGACTGGCCGCGGCGAGTCTAACCGTCCATCTATCAACCGGAGCGCGGTCTTCAAATTATTTTATGTTTCGCGAGCTGGAATCAGCGCTGACTATCTACCTACCCTGTCTGGTGGCGGTACGGTCAGCGGCCATACTTTTTCTTAAGCAGACATCTCAATCAGAGAGAATCTTTTCTTCACATCTCAATTCCAATACGGCGCCTTCAGCCCCGTCAAACTATTCAATATGCTTTCGTGGTCGCCAGTATCTTCCTTCTTCCGCTGTCCACTCAGCTCCATTTGAATGGCGCGGTGGATGTGGACAAGCCAATCCACATAACTCTGGGCCTCATTGTTGCGGTCTTCCACAAGCATTCGAGCGTACTCAAACTCCGAGCCGTCCAGTCCTTGTCGGGCCAGGGTAAAGGTGGCGGCTTTGCTGCCTCGAATCGTCGACATGTATTGCAGCAAATTGCGCACCTGAGCATTTAGTCGGGTCTCCAGCACAGGAAGTTCATTCATCATCGGGTCGAGATCTTGTAGGCTTGTGACTCCTGCACCAAAGAGATCCTCTAGCAGGTTGGGAGACACCTGAGCATGGAACCACATCAGGACAACCTGTCCATTGTCCACCAAATATACTCCACCCTCGTCGACACGGGCAAAGGACGCGCGAACTGTCGGTGGAACCACTAGCTGCGATGTCTCCGGATGGGCAAAGCAGTCCTCCGGATTCAGATTATGGATAGCGTAAATTCGGGGATAGAGGTAGAGTGCCGTCTCGGTCACTCCAGATGACCTCATCATTCGAGCCGAGTGCACACGACGGTCGGTTGGTTCGACGCCGCCTATGAAATGTTATTAGCTGGAACCTGAATAAACCACACAGAAATAACATACCTTTGAAAGCTCGGGTCTTTATCAGTGCCAAAGTGTACATGGCGAACTCCTTGAGGTGCTCTGGAAGGACCAGCTGCCCTGGTGGATGCGATCCCGAAAAGTTCTTTCGATATCCAGCAAGAATGTCAATGGTTTTCTCCGTGATACTGGCCCGGATATCTTTCAGAGACCGTTCTGGAACCTTTTGAGAAGCTTCTTTGGCCATGATGTTGACGACTGCATCTTGATCAACAGTGCGCATCGTTTCCGCCGCTCCTTCGTTGACCCCCGCAACGATGTTGATGCATCTCACTCTTCTTTGGCCAGTGGCTGAAGTGTATAGAAGGGCTGCTTGGAAGTGAGCATCCAACTTGGTATCCAACTTGCCATCATAGGAGAAAGTCACGCCGATGGCTTTATCAGCATCGATCGTGCCGATTTCTAAATCTGCGCCAAAGGTGTGTTGAAGGAAAGAGCCGTAATACGATGACACTTGAAGGCCGTTGGAGCATCGCACCTTCATCAATGCTTGGTAGCCTGTCTCTCGTTGGACCGAGTGTGTGATCTCGGTCTGCAGCTTCAAAGAGTCACGTGGCGCCACGAAGTTTGGATAGAAGAACATTTCTCCGCCGGTCAAGCGCGACATATGGCCTATTGTGGCAACATCCATATATCCACCACTAGCGGCGGCGAGGAAAAAGTCGACACCGATACCCGCTGTGACCATGGCACCAGCAGTCTTCTTCCAGCCAGGATGCTCGGTTGTGAACAATCGCCTCTCAGCATCCGTATCACGGCCTTTGCCATCATCACGCAGGTGCAATCTACCTGGGCCCCAAGTCGGCAGTGTAGACAACGAGCAGATGATCTTGCCGCCTGTAGAGGACAGAGCAGCCAATGCGGCGTTCAATGTGGGTAATAGAGCGGGTTCGGGGTTCTTGACGGCTGAAAACATGGTCGGTATAGACTGGAGAAGAGAAGTGATCACACTCTTCGACTCTTGTGGATCAACAAACAGTCCTTCTGCCAGAGGCACAAAAGGATCGTCAAGATCGGTCATCACCATCATTTGCGCCGAGTCAAGCCCGGGCGTAAGATTGTAATAATGTACTTCTTTGTCATAAGTGACGATGCCAACTCTGGCTCCGATAGGCAGCTTGCCAGCTGGAACTGTGTCGTCTTCTGAGTCAACGTCATCTCTGTCGTGGCCGTAGAGTGCGTCCAGTATGCCAGCGCATACGGACTCGAGAAATCCGCGGTTGATCGCTTCCTGCGTAACGTCGATGAGAAACAACCACCGCATCGGCATGGGCTCCTTGGTGTAGTATTCTTTGGGTACAAGAAATTCCACAGTTCCCATCATGAGCTCCGGTCGTTGTGACCGGTCGACCCGTACTCCTGCCATGTCTGTGGGCGCGAAATATTCCGGTGCCACTTCGTTGGGGAAGTTACACATGTTACAAACGAATCTGCTTCCACCAGATCTGAAAGTCATGAACGGGTTGATATAGGTCCTGCACCTTCGACAACGAGGGGGTCCAGCCTCGCCAAAATCAAGGACAGGGATTGGTTGCTCTCCTTCTTGCAATGGAGCAAAGGGTTGAAGGACCATCCCTAATGGGAGTCCGGTCGACGCAAGCGCCTCGGCTGTCGAGGGTATGTTGTTGATGGTCAGACGTGCGAATTTTGGAGAGGAATTACCTTGGTCGATGGCCGTAAAAGCGACAGCGGCCGGAGGTGGCAGATGCTTCTCCATGGTAGGATGAACATTTTGCTGATAGTATAGCGTCGCGATGTCCCGCGACCTGGCCACACTAGGAATCTGCTCTGGGTCGACCCGGCCCTGAGTTGCCACGGCCTCTTCTCCCATCCGTAGTTTATCTGCTGAATTTACATACGCAGTTTGCGGCGGCTGGCCAGGTATGCCGGATCCGACTTGAGGCCCAGCACCAAGGAACTGAGATCCTCCTGTAGTGCCTGGAGGCTCATTGTCCAGGTTTGATGACGGCGCAGGCGCGGCCGCTATGTCATGGTATGCATGCCTCTCTTTCTTTCTATGAGACCGTATAGGTGCAGCCGACATATCCAATCCTCCCAGCTGGGAAGCAAGGCCATTCATAACATCTGACTGTACAGGCACTTGCCCCGGGACTTGCCCGGAGTAAGGCAGCTGCTGCGCATTGGCGTATACCTGTTGGGCATTGGGAGTCGTGCCTTGGAATTGGTAACCTGGCTGCGGGCTGACCGAGGGAGGATAGTGAGGAACGTTCGACTGTGCTCGGGGGTCATTGAGTCTTGGATCCTGGTTGACTTGGTATGACTGCCCAGTGCCTCCTCCGTAGTGTGCGCCGTACTCGGTCATTGTTGTAGCATAAGAAAGCAATCAGGGAATTGACAGTCTGCGCTTCATAGTGATTCGGGGGAACAAACAGGAGATGTTTGATGGCTTAGAATCGGGATCGCTTTTTGGAGTTGTAGCAGGCTTGTGGTACCTCAATCGATGTATAAAAGGAACACAGCACACTGTTCAAGCGAGCTCTCAAGGTTGACCACCTATGTCAGTCGAACTCGAATTGGACAAAGTTCCCCGGAGTCTCGTCGGTCGCGAGTTGGAGAGAAGTGTCAAGTTCAAGTGGCACGAGTGAATCTGAAAACGGACTTGTCTGACGCCACGTGTAACAGCGGGAATTTGAGGAAAATGGTGGACGACTTTTCAGTCAGACAACCCTTATGTTTACGGCTGCTGCTTGGCGCGTTGAGACGCCAGATTCAAGTTCAGCTCCCCAAGTCTATATCTCTTGTTCATGGAAGCGTAGAACCGCCGCGTCGCAAGCACCGAGATCATTATAATACCTGACGAGGGAATAAGTGTCGAAGGTTCTGACGGTCCCAAAAGCATCAATCAATTCAAAGCACAGCAGACTAGTGGGAGTTCAGATCCCGAGGCTTGCTTCGTTACAGAATCCTCTCCCTCTCTCCCATGTTTGTTTGCCGTTTGAACAGGAACATGTCATTCGATCACCATGAAACTATCTGCTGGCCCTCACGGTCCGCGCCTGATCCGTTTGCTCTCACTAGCAGCTCTAGAGCCACCTCTAGGTCCGCCGTTGCCATGACCAGGCCCTCCGCTCCCGTAAGGGGGACCTTCGTCTCCTCTGCCGTGCTTCCGCGCCGATAATTGATCATCCCTCGGTGGCCCGGATCTTGCGTATCCTCCCCTTCTGTCGTCATTGTCTTGGGAGTAATTGTCTCGGCGACTTGTTCTCTCATCCCGCCTGGAAGAGTCGGTTGTCCCGTGTCTATCATCTCTCGCATCCCGACCATCTCTCTCGCCTCTATAGTCGCGGTCACCACGAGCCTCATCGTGCCGGCTTGAATGGCGAGACGACCTCCTGTCCGATCCCCGTTCGTCAACCAGTTCGCTCCTGCGATCTCGAGTGCTATCGTGTCGGGATAAGGATGGTCTCGTAGCGACTGGTACATCGTTTGGATTAGAGGATGCAAACAGGTCTTGTTGTGTCGGATAGCCATTCGAGCTTGGCCCGCCTGGTGGTGGTGGTGGGGGAGGGGGTGCCATGTGTGACCCAAATGTAGAGCTGTTTTGTCGCATGCCTCCTCTTCCTCGAATCGATGTACCAGCCTGAGCCAGCGTATTGTTGACGGCTGCGAGAGGATGACGATTGTTGCGCCCACTGGGTCCGCCCATATCTCCCCCGTGTGGCCCGCCAGGGGGTCCCCTAGTCGTGGGCGAAGGTCCAGACGGAGCGCCCGGAGGAGCATTACCTCTGGGTCCGGCCGGTGCACCACTTGGGTGGTTCTGCTGTTGACTCTGCGTTGTTCGGGCCGCGTCGCCCCCGGCCGGTTCGATCTGATTGACACGTGACGGATGGACACCCACGGCATCAACTGAAGTGCTCGGCGTAGATGGTGCTTCATTGTATGAGCTGGTCCGTCCGTGCCTCCTCGAAGGACCTGTTGGGGTGGGTCGGTCAGGGAAGGAAGACGGAGACGGCTGTGTATTCAGCGGAGCGGCTCTCATCTTTGATCCTGCCCCAGGACCCGGTCTGCTTCGGGGACCCGAAGGTACATCCAACTCCGCAGAGCGTTCTCCACCCATTGCGCTTGTTGGTCTCTGTGAGGACTCCTGCTCAAGTCGACCATGCTGCATGTCAATTGGCGGCCCTTGCCGTGATTCCCTCTTGTACCCGCCAGGTCCATTGGACCGGCCATTTAAAGAAGGTTCCGCAGAAGCTGACGTGTAAGGGGCTTGTCGTCCAGTTGACGGATCTGACCGCGGACTTGCGTAGGATCGCTCGTCCATATCGCGTCGGGAAAATGACCGCCGGTCATCATCCCTCCGTGGAGAGCCTGGGCGCGATGATCTCGATGGCCTATCGTGAGAGTTGCCCTTCGGCGAGGGGAGATGTCGTGGCTCTGAACCGCTCTCGATCAGTGCAGCACGTGCCGGATTGATGGCGACTTGTGACGAGTGGGCAGGAGGGTCCTTGATCTGAGGAGCGGCCGCGTCAAAGCCAGCCTGTTCGCCAGGTGGTGGGGCTCGTCCTCTGGGAGTTCCATCTCTGCCATCTCTCTCACGTTCGGCGGGTGGAGGTCGAACAGCTGGGCGCTCTCGATCTGGCATCGGTACACGATCATAGGGGCCACCTCGTTGAGGTTCCCGACCATAGCCGCGATCATCCCTACCGGCATGCGACGGACCATCGGGGCGCTCATATCTGCGAGAATGCCTGTCGTAGTCATCGAAGGGAGGCTCTGGGCCACGAAAACCCGCCCTCACTTCCCGACTGTGGCTGGTTCGCGCTTCGGGCATCAACCTTCCAGCATCTCCAGGTTGTCGGGCTGATACACGAGGGCCTTCTCGGTGACCGTTGCGTCCGTCAGCAGGCTCTGGGCGGCTGGGAAGACTTGCAGGAAGAGGCCGCGGTAATGGAGGAGGTGATATCCGTCTGGATTGACCATATGGCCTGCTCGAGTCTGCGCGCGGAGTCCTCACATCCCGTTTCGCCGGTGCAATTGGTTCAATTTCTTGAGGCGCCGGTGTAGCAGCGCCATTGGAGGGGGACGGTCTCGAAATTTCGCCGGACGGGGCTTGGAAGCCTGGTTTGGAAGGCTCAACAGAGGCGTGGGACTTGTGAGTCCGGTCGGAACTGTCAGGCTCCTCTCTGACCACATTTGCCCTATCTTCCGTCTTCGCTGGGACATCGGCCATAACAATGTCCTTTGTCTCATTTCCGGCCTCGCTCTTCACTGACGGGTTCTCCGTTGAGTTTGCGTTCTTTGAAATCTCCATCTTGGCCGGGGGACCATTCTGGTCATGCTCGCCAGCCTTCTCTTGACCTTGACGAAAAGCCTGCGGGATCATCCATGCTTTTTCTCTTCTGTGTAAGGCACCGAGCAGAGCTTGCGATGATACCTTCAGGTCTTCCTTGTCGGATTCGTTCAATTTGTCAACAGCTTTCTGAAGGCCGGTCCCGTGCCAATTGACTGCCGGATACACTGCAGACACAATGCGCAGAACAGATATAGCATTCCGGACATGCATGTATTCCGGAGAGGTGAGACACTTCTGGAGCGCTGCGAATATGTTGCCATGCCATTTATAGAGCACTCTCCGGAAGCTCTCGAAATCCAGCAGAGACACGACTTTCCCACTCTCCACCTTCATAGCGAAGCCCGGTAGGTTTTTCTTGCTACCCCATGCCTCCCTCTCGTAGATTGTTCTCGACCCATGCCAGCGCGAAAGGTCCTTGAGAATCTCATTGAGAAATCTGCCAAGATTGTCTGCCTCTTTCGACGTACACATGAATATCAGGGACACAAGTCGAGATGGTCTGAAAATTAAGTCATAGAAACCGAGTGTACGAAAATTCGGCGTACCAGCTCCGTGAAGGAATTTGACAAGTTTGAAGCAGAAATAGGCATCCAAAGGCGAGAAAAGAATCCGAGGGAGAAAGCAGTGTTCCATGAGTGCCGTGTTAAGCTGCTTGTCCATCCTTGCTTTTCCGTGGAACCATTGGTCCTTTTCGCGTTGCAGGCGAGCTTTGCTCTCAGCAAACGCTTTCAGGTGCTGCTTGTTCTCCACTAGTAGCTTGTCGATGAGCTCTGTGATCTCTTTCTTTGCCATTTCTTTCTTTCTTGTCCCGGATAAGCTCACATCCGAACGGTCTGCGGAGATCGCAGCAATCTTCTTGTGCTGGCGTGATAGCTCGTCCTCATATGACTTGCCAGGAATGGTGATGTCGTACAGCGACAATTGCCAAAAGGTGGTATAGAAGCCGGTGCCAATGACCTCGACGACGTCCCCAGGCACAACAGGCGAAATGGCGGTCATGACATCCTTCATGACAGGATGCCAGCGATCTTCTGGCGGAGCTTCGGAATGGTTCGGCGTCCTGCTGCTTGAATCAAGCTCCAGAGCAGAGCCAATTGTGTCGCTTGCGGTCGGCGAATCACTCGCAACTTGTTCTGACTCGACAGCTTCGCCATCTTCTTCAGAACCTGCATTGATCTGATCCGCCATTTCAACGTCACCATTGGCCTCTTTAGTCACCCCAGCTTCATCCGGGCGTATATCTTTGGAGTGGTCTCGGTCGTACTCGGCCATTTGTCTGGTAATGATTGGGCGGCTGATCCAGAAGGCCACCTCGGGATGGATCTCGTAGTCAATGAGCAAGCTCACCGCGTCTGGGATAATGGCTTTGAAGTCCTCAAATGGGAGATTCCATCGTAAAAGTTCGAGGTACTGCACCATGACTCGATGAACCTCGTCATAGGTGTTGCCAACGGCCTTTAAAGGTACGTCGGCTTCCTCAAATACACAAGCTTGCCGCTGTTGAGCCATTGAGATCAGAAACTTTGCGGCCAGGCCTGTCTCCTGTAAGGATCTCACTAATCGTTCCGAGGTCTTTTTGGAATCATGCCGCCGATCCAGTAGCTGCAGAATCGTTTGCGATTGGAGTAGTGGCCCGCCTCCCATGGCTTGTAGCTGGGCGTCGTTGTAGTTTGTATCGGTCGCAATCCCTGCCATGGAGACTGTGATTTGCTCCAGCATTTTCAAATCTGTCTTATTTCCCTGTTCGAGTTGCTCGAAGACATATTGCAAGATTGGGCCAGGCTTCATCATGCCGTATCGTTTGTAGATCTTTCCGGCAAATTGAGCAAGAGCCGAAAGCCAGCGGCTTGTAAAGATGCCTCCTTCTTGTATCCGGCTTCTCCCTGCCTTAGCCATCGAGCTCACAATTGCCCATGTAAGGACATCATAGCCGAGGTCAGTGAAGTAACGGGCACCTTCCACAAATACCTCTGCAATGCTGTCGTAGACTTCGATCTGTGTCAGAGCAGTTGTAATGACGACGTGGGGATTTGCAAACGCAATCTTGGCCAACAACCGTGCCATAGGCCGTACGTTCGTGTTTGAGATGCGTTTGAGGATGTCCTTAGTTTCAGCCTTGGCCTGATCGAATGCAGCTTTGACGTCTGGGTTGCGGGATGTCCTACCCGTCAACCACTCCAAGTACATCAGATAACGGGTGCTGACCGGGAAGTTGCTGATGAGTTCAAAAACCTCATTCACAACACCAGCATTTGACTTTGTCAAGCTGAGAGCCGGAAGGAGGATCCGTTGGCTGAGATCCAACCAGCGAGAGCGAGATTGCTCGGTCTTGTTGGTCTGTAGATCGTGCTTGCCGATGCGGGTGATCTTGAGGAGAAGAGCTGGATCCTGCCCTATTTTGACCCCAACGAGTGGTAACAGGGTCTCACAGAGTGTGAAAACGTCTTCAACAGTCTGACAGACCGGAATGTTGTCGCTCCATTCGTCCCAATAGAATCGGTAATCGGTGCCATCAGCACTGTCAGTCTTGTCGAGCAGTGCCCAACGCAATACTTTCCGCTCAGGAGTCTCAACGAGCCTGACCTGACCCTTCTGTAGGCCTGGCAAGTCGGTCTCATACGTCGGTTTCGGGACATGAAGGCTAGGGCGATCTTGGAGAGGTCGTACTTCGCCGTATACCTTACTCAGGCAATGGTGCAGGATGCGGTGGATGTACTCCGGTAGCTCAGGGAACAGTTCGATCAGCCATGGAAATTTGCCTAAGATGAAAAGCGCATCCGGCAGGGCCCCAATTGCGAGTAAGCTCTTCAACAAGAGTACCTTCTGATCTGCGGGGCCGGTCGCATCTTTGACGGCTGGCTTTTGGGCCTCGTGCTCTTTGGAGGGGGTGCTAGCACGTGTCGTCGAATCCTTGAGGCGAGAGTTGCCGGGTAGAGTATCGTCGGCCAGAGCACCCGCCATCAACAGTGCGTTCTTCATTCCTGCTCCTGGTCTCGCGGCTCGCTCTCTTTCCGCCTTCTCTTTGAGCTTTTGTTGCTTCAGATCTTCCATCTCGTCATCTGTCCTCCATATGTGGGCATAAAGGTCCTTTAGTGAGATAAAGCCAATCTTGATCAGAAGGGCAGCAAGGTATATGAGATGATCCGGAAGCACGTCAGTTTCATCTCGTGCGGGAGACGATGAGTAGAATCTCAGCTTGAATCCCAGAAGTTGCGCAGCATCCCGGTTTCCTCCCGGAGGAAGAGTGCCCGTCTGTTGGACCCACTGCACCAATAGTTCATCACCTGATGATGCTGCAAGATCAATTTGGTCCTGGGTGACTTGCGATCTGCCAAGAAGATAGAACGCTTGAAGGCCTTGTTCGCGCGCCTGAGGCCAAAAGTCCTGATCACGAGCATCGGCATCTGCTGCAACAAGCTGCTTCTGCTCTTCAGTGAGGTGCCATTCAGCACAGCCTGGGTATGCCCAGAGAGGCAGTCCTGTAAGCACTGGCCTCACCTTTCCCAGGCCTGACGACCGTGGCCACCAGGGACTGGCACGGAGGAATTTGACGAAGAAGCGGAATTGTTTGACAAGGACTGCTCCAAAAACGTCGAGAACAACGTCCAGACTCCGACCAACATCAAGATCAAAGGCGCCGATCATAGCCTTGACTTTTTCGACCGTGTCCTCGACTACCTCGGCAGTAGGAGGCTCGTTGCCGCTCGTTGTGAACAGTTCCGTCATCAGTTTCGCAAATCCTTCGGATTCTTCCCTCATCAGATTGAAATTGGCTTGTCGATACAACAGATTAGTTTGTTTCCGTATACCCATCCGGTTGAAGGTGTTCCTGATCAGATCCAGCTTCTCGAGCAACGGCGCATCTAGTTCGAGGCGTAACAAGCCAGGGGATAGTCCGGTTGAGATCAGGAAAGCTGACAAGCGATCAACCGGCATGGTGCTGTCTCCTTCAAAGATCACAGATATCGAATCCAGCAGTGTAGCCTGCGATGGTGTTGTAGGAGAGGCCGCCGCAATATCGCCTGTCGCGTTCTCATTGTCGAGGATCTCTTTGACCAAGGAACCAGCATCCGACGGAGTGAGTCTTCCATAAACAACTGAGTGTACGAGCTCCTGCATAATGGCCGCAAGAGTGGTTCCCTCGTCCTCTTGCTGTGCGCCTAAACCCTGTTGTAACACATTCTCCTTTCCTCCCGTCTGCCATGAATCACAAATCTCCTTGGTGAGATACGTGTAGTAGTAGGGATGAGACTCCGGGGGAGGACTCGTAAGGGGGATATCGGTAACGTCGAACTGTTGGCTGACCGCCATGGCGCCGTTGGTGCTGTTCGATTCCAGGTCTGCAGAAGGTGTCTTCATCGGTGTAGCAGGTATATCGCCAGGGTTGTTCACTGGGCTAGACGAGGTATTTCCGCCTCTGCCACCCCTGCTGAATCGCCTTCCACCCCTGCCTCGTGTCGGTGTATACTCGCGCTCATTACCCGATCCCTGGTAGGAGCCCTGGTGGGCTAGATTCAGGCTGCCAGGCCGATGCGGCGAGGGACGCGAATACTGCTGGTCATCTGAGTATGTTCTATCCCCTCTCTTTCTCTTCGCCCCGGCTGGAGGGGGCATCACTCTCAACTGCCACAAGCTGCGACCTTGGCAAGGAAGTGGTAGATCTTATTGTGAAGTCGATCATGAGTTGTAGTGAGGCATTGGGGGTGTCGAAAGATGGTGCAATTCTGAGGTGGGGCGTGTAGCTTGCCACCGCGAAAAGGGCGATCTAGAAGCTATCAATATGCCTAATGTAGAGATGGGCATCAATTGATCAAATCGATGGTGGTTTTTGTTCTGGAGGCCGTGTGTTGCAATGCCGCAGCGAGGGTCAGGAACTTTGCTGTTTGGCGAAGGGAATCCGCGACGCAGTCACCTGACTGCACTTGGCATTGCTATGCACCACAGTATGATGGCATCACGCTAATTATTAATAACCCCAGCTCGCCGGATCTGCTGCCGTCGACGACATCTTCATGAACCCAATCTTCACTTCAATTGAAAGCTTCCGCTGATCCTCATTCGTCTCCAATAGATTCAATCTAACGACAGTGCTACCGACCGACTCAAGTAGTAGCTTTTCTGACGCAGCTCCAAGAATGGCTCCTAAACTGTTGATGTATGGTAATACTAGGCTCCGTCGGATTACAGAACTGACTTGAATGTTAGCACCGGTGCCACAGGCTATATAGGCGGCGATTTCCTCTATCTAGTCTCTCAGGAGCACCCAGACTGGGAAATAAGCTGCCTTGTTCGAAACAGTGACAAGGGCGCCAAAGTTGCCGCAGCATATCCCAAAGTGCGGCTCGTCTACGGCGATCTGGACGCTACAGAGATCATCGAGGCGGCCGCTGCCAATGCCGATATTGTCTACCACTTTGCACACGCTGACCACGAGCCATCTGCCCGTGCTATTGCTAAAGGCCTTGCTCGTCGAGAGGGCGATGGGCCTGGCTATTGGATTCACACTTCAGGTGCAGGGATTCTAGGCGTTGAAACCATTCAGCTGGCGGACTACGGCAATCTATTGGAGAAGGTCTATGACGATTGGGACAAAATTCAGGAACTTAAGTCTCTTCCAGACGAGGCTCCTCATCGCAATGTCGACAAAATAGTGTTGGCGTCCTACTCTGACAAGGTCAAGACTGCCATTGTCTCCCCTTCTACCATCTACGGACCTGGCAGAGGGCCGGACAATACCCGTTCGGTGCAAGTTCCCGGAGCAGTTGAAGCATTCTTGAAACACAAGAAAGCATTCAAAGTGGGGAAGGGTCATAATGTATGGCACTATGTCCACATCAACGACTTGTCAAAGCTCTACCTCTTGCTTGGTGAAGCTGCAGTGAATGGAGGGCCTCCAGCCACCTGGAACGAGGAAGGATATTATTTGGCAGAGAACGGAGAATTCGTCTGGGGCGACTTGATCCAGGAGCTGGCGGATGCCGCGCACAAGAAGGGTGTCCTGCCAGACTCCGAGGTGGAAAGCCTGACCCCGGATGAGACGGGAAGATTGCTCCCATTCGGCCCGGTCTCAATCGGCACTAACTCGAGAGGTATATCCATTCGTGCCAAGAAGCTATTAGGATGGAAGCCTACGATGCCGAGCATTCATGACGAAGTGGCTAATGCTGTGGAGATTGAGGCTCGTCGCCTCGGGCTCATCAAAGGCCACGCAGAGCTTGTGCAGGAATGAGACATTAGGTCCCACCCCTTCCTGCTTCAGACATCGACCCCATGAATGGGTTTCACGATGTTTCCAATACTCTGTTAATAGGCAGTGAAGGCGCGGGATGTACATCCTATTCTTCCACCTCCACCTGCAAGGCTGCGGCTGGATCTCTGATATACAATAAAAAATATGCTGCGGCACTTCACAGGATGTTGCATGGGCTGTTAAGCGAGTAAGGTCGTGTTCAGTAGACAAATCCAGTCATAATATCTTGTAAGGGTGTATAAACATCCGAGCACCGAGTTTGTTTCATCAGTGGGAGTCACTGTGAGACTTTCGCAGCACAATAACAAACTCCCTCCGAGGTCGTACTATTATTACACCTCCAATGTCCTTGAAGCTGTGGCCCTGAACCTTCCACGCCTGTTCAAAACGGATGTGAGAGAGAAAAATCAGTCCCCAGTTGAACAACGAGCAGAGAGAGGTTGGGCTCGTCATCCAGGTAAATATTTAAGCTGCACTGGCACTTGCGTTAAGGTAGCTGAGACCACCACCCAGGACCACTGTAACGATAAGAGTAGGCAAGCCGGAAGATGGCAAGGAGTGGACGGAAAAGATGGGTTATCTAGTCAAGACTGATGTTCAATGTGTTTCTTCCTCCCACGACTCCACCGACTCGACGTTTGCCATCACAGTCAAGAGCAGAGCTGCCCCTCCCGTCTTTTCCTGGGCCATCAAAACGACAACAACTTTTGTCTTTTGTGCATCAGGGGCTTTGAGACTTCATGTGAGAGGTGAGCCAAGTGGCAAGGATCTCCCCAGCACTCTTCCGAGAATTGGTTTCACCATGGGCGTCTCGTCCACATTTAATACCGCCATATTGTTTGGCCGTGGTCCTGGAGAGTCCTACAAAGACAAAAAGCTTTCTCAACTCTACGGTAATTACACCGTTAATATCGAGGAGCTATGGGTGGATTATGAAATTACACAGGAGAGTTCGAACCGCACGGATACCCGCTGGGTCAGATTGAGCTCGACTTCTGACCCAGATATCTCCCTGAGGGCACATTTTGGAGAGCAAGAGGGGTTTGGCTTCTGCGCGACACACCATCAGGTCAACGATGTTGACAAGGCACGACATCCTTTTGAGTTGAAGAAGAGCAAGAAAGATTGGGTGATCTTGAGACTGGATACAAACCATCACGGGCTCGGGACAGCCAGCTAAGACACTCGAGAAGATGCGCTCACGACGGCGAATATTGAGTTCGATATTCACCTTGGAAGAGGACTCCGTCAATCATGGATCAACTGCCAGCTTCTGCTCTCGAACTCACCATTGATGCATTGAGGGAATGAGGTCCAGTCCCCACTCTGCTCGGCAGATACCGACGGCCCGGAGCGCTGAGTAGATTAGCGTCTCTATCACGCTAGATTGCCGGCTGCACACAAGCGGCAACATCTTCGCCCTAAAGGGAAAGGCGCAAACAATCTTATGTCATACCTTGGCAATCGCTTTGATATCATCGGCGGCCTCGTCGCACTCAAACCATCCCATTCCAGCACATTTGCTATCTATAGCCCTCCACCATGATCAAAGGTAGCTGCGCTTGCGGGCGCATCCAGTATCAAACCCAGGCCCAACCTCTGTCCGTCGATGCCTGCCACTGCGGCACTTGCCAGAAGGCGGGCGGCCCCTTCTTGGGATTTGCAGACTTTCCAGTCTCGGAGCTGCAGTGGACTCATCAGCCACCAGACATGTGGACGCGCAGTGAGATTGCAGATCGAGGGTACTGCAATGTCTGCGGCTCGAGTTTGTCGATGCAGTACCGGTTTCAGGATGTGATTGGGATAACGTTAGGGACGATCCAGGCAGGGACGTCTCTGCCTCGATTGGGAACGCACATCTTCTTGAAGGAAAAGGCGCCGTGGTTTGTCCTTCCAGACGACGGTGCACAGAGATGGGACGAATTCCCTCCCGAATTCCAGCAGAAGCTGGATCAATGGAACCAGGGGCGGCGGAAGTCCGAACGTCCAGAGTAGTGATGCTTGACAAGAGAGAAGGGGCGCTATCGTCTTTGAGCGGGCTGGTCAACAATGACAGTATCAGCAGAGGCAAAGAAAGATGAATGAGCTATGCAGTGTGATGGATGAGCAAACTTGGCGGACGGAATGACTGCGGGAACAAACGCAAGGCTTTGCACACTGCGCTGAAGACTACAACACCGGTGCTGCGTTTTGAGTGAATGCTTTCTTTCTACCTCACCTACCCTCACTTGGACTTCATTTGCGCTGGACTTTCACCCACTTCCACTACCTCTCTCTACCCATACCTCCACCTTGAAATACTATCGCGATCATCCTTCCTTCGCGGACAATCTCCTACCTTCATACACGCAGAGCATCATTCATCCGGAAAGTGCCCAACGATGCCAGAGGGTCTGCCAAAAGCGCCGTTCCTGGCGCCCACGCAGCCAAAGCACTTCCGATCTTCGTCAAGCATGGCCTTGTCAAGACTTCGTGCACAACCTCAATCGCAAGTCTGGAACGCCTCTGGCTCTCGCCACGCCAGCAATCCCATTGTTCGCAGCCCTCTCCAGCAGTCGTTCCCGGCGTATCCAAACCCAGGATCAGAGGAAGACACAACCTTCGATCAGGTCATGCAAGAGACGCCGTCCCGTCGCAGCCGTCGCAGTGAACAAGGAACTCGTCCGCGAGGCGAATCACGATCCTCATCTGTCCCGATCATCGTCCGCCCTCTCGAAGACGCCGCGCAGTCTGACGCTGGTGCCCAGCTGCAAGCTGGCAGCCGACCTTACTCACGCGCTTTTTCACCGATCCCCCGAACCCGAGGCCGCGCGAACGAGACCATCACCAATGCCAACGCCAATCCTCTGAACCCAAACGCGAAACGCTCCGTCAAACACCTTACATGCTTTTGGTGGTGGGAAAAGGGCGAATGCCGCTTCTCCGAGGAAGAATGTCTCTACGCACACCATGATACAGGTCATTACACTCTTGCTCCACGCCAGGTCATTCCTGGAGAACCAGCCAAAGCCGGCAAATCGCTCGAGCGTGCCCTCAACAAACTCGCAATCGTCAATCGATCCTCTGCTTCCTTGTCGTCGCTTGCAACCGCCAATGCTTACAATCACGGTCACGGCCATGGCCCAGCACACATCACTACCACCAACAATGCATCTGACGCCAATCCTCGCCCAGCAACACCTCATGACAATGGGGTTGCACGCAGCCGGTCCAACACCCCCTCGCCACTAGAAATCGGACAGGCGCATGCCCAGGCTCAAGCCGAAGCGACCCAACAGCTCAAAACTGACAATGACTTTCTCCGCAGCCTGGTCCAGGAAACTCAACGCGAGAAGCGCGCTCTCGTCGACACCATCGAGGTCCTTCAGAACGACAAGAATCAGCTCCAATCCCGAATCGAGGCCATGTCCAACGAGCGCGGCAACCTACTGTACGAGCGAGATGTCTTACAAGCCACGATCAAGAAATTGCAATTCGCCAACACTGCCAATACTTCAACTGCCAGCAGCAACAATACTAACACTAACGCCAGTACCATGTCCCTGCGCTCTCCTTCTACCGGCACTGGAGGCTTCGGTCTGGGCTTGAGCCAGCAGAGTCCATGGGGCGCCATTGGGAGCCGTCGTCCGAGTCCTGCGGAGAATAGATGTACTGGCATGCAGCAGGCTCAGCGATCGGCCAGCGATGGAGCTGCGGATTTCAAGAATGTGAATATGTTGAACAACAATCATCCCCTGAACAATAGCACCAACAATGCTGGTGGCTTCATGGATAACCATCGACTACGTTCATACACACCACCAGGAGCGCCAGCTTTGAACCCAGCGGCAAAGCCTTACACGAGTGAAACCACGGCCGACGAAGACGACCAGCTCGACAACGACCTCAGCTCCTTCGACACCGGCAATGAATTCGAAGGCGAGAATTTGAAGAGCGTCTTGAGAAGCCTTGGACCCAGCTTTTAGGGCAATGCATTACTACAGCAAGTCGGATGTCTGCCGACGACCGGCCCAGTTCAATTGTCTTGAGACGATCAACGCCTTCCTCTGATCACCCGGCGATATCCTGGAAAGCGATGGACAAGAGGCATTCACAATGTGGACGGAGGCACTGACGGTCGGGAGGATTACATCTCACCTCAAGACAAGGCGAAACCGAAGAAAGACGTTGCATGCGCGCGAAAATTGTAAGGTTCATGGCAAACCATTCCAGTTCGCGTGGCTTGTTACCCCTGCTTTTCTTTACTGCTTTTCTTTACTGCTTTTCCGCACAAACTCCTGTTGACCAGCGCGACAGCCATAATACTTCCTACGGCTTCAGTGTTGTTCGACAATGGCGACATGAAAACTGCATCCACAACGAAGTACTGGTATCGGGTTCGATGAATAGCGTTGATCCATAGCTCCATGCCCCCCTGACAACTACAGCGATCAGACTGGCCGAGGAGCTAAACTTTGCTGGACGGCTATACAATGGGGGGATTTTTGTTGTGAGCTTGGATAGAGACCTCAATAGTGATTCTATCCTGCAAAATTCATTCTCTGCTGGCGTGATGTTTGCAACTGCAGTGTCTCTGTGCATGATAACAAAAGCTTTAGATCTAAAACGTGCTTTGCGCCAACCGACTCGCCGCGTTCCTAGCATCGACGCGATCATCTCCTTCATCCTCTTGGACGCGCTCCAAGCTTGCGCTTCCTGTTGCACTTCGAGGGCGGCCACGTAGTGATCCATCACCATTGGCAGGGGTGTCGTCTACCTCTGGGATACCCCCGGCGCCGAAGCTTCCACTCAGGCTGCGAGTCATGGCCTCTCTGCTCCTAGGAACGCCACTCCATGCGTCACCTTTGGAGCTTTGGCTGCTGGCCAGACTGACTCGGCGGATCGTAGGATGGTTTTCACGCCCTAACCTGCTCAGCCCGCCTGATGCGTCGATGGCTCGAATATCGGGCCTGACCGATTCCAGCGTTGCCAAAGTTCGGCGTTCAGCTTCGATCTGGCGTAGGACGTATTCCCGGAGAGAAAACAAAAACTCGCTGGAGGTTCGCTCAAACCATCTACGCTTTTCAAGCAGCAAGTTCGCAGTAACCCGCTGCGTTTTAGACCGGAGATAGTTCTCCTGGCTGATGGCTTCGTCGAGTGCCGAGATGGCCTCATCGACCTTGTCCCGGCGGACATTAGAGCTGCTCTTCAATCGCTGGACTGCAGTCTCTTTGCTCCGCCGGGATGCCTCGGCTTGAAGCAGCTCACGTAATAGAATATGTCTATTGGTCAAGGTCTCTTTCACGATGAAGGCATCGGAAGAGTGGTAAGCAAGGGAGTCACCCAAAGTGGTAGCTTCAGCAGTCCCCTGCGCCGCATGGTAATCACCACACGTCTGTATGATACGGCCGAGTTTGCGGTATGCTGTAGCGAGACCGGGATGGGTCTCCTGGACATGCATTTGGCCCATTTTCTCGCCAAGAGCGGACTCTGAAAGACCAAGAGCTGTTGCTGGTTAGCAGTAGGCATGGCAAACATAGTCAAATACGTACCTCTCCTAGCTTTGACAACCTTCTCCAGCTTCTGGCTCGTGTCCAAGGTGCCCAAATAAAAGAGCTTGACGATTGGTCGAGAGAGCTGCAGCTCCGGAGTGTCGTCCGGAGGAGGCGCAAATTGCTTCAACACCTTGCGTCTTACACCCGTAGCGGGCTGTTTCATCCTCACTACAGGCGAATAACCAAAATCGCTCTCGACGAAGAATACCATCTCCTCGTCACGCATAAGAACATCGTTACTGCAAACCACATTCAACCATCTCTGAATGTTCGCCTTGATCCTGGCTTCATCTTCATCGGTCCCTGCACCTGCGGAGGTGATGCTGGGAGGCACAGCAGGCACCAGTGCTTCTGGGTTAGACGAGATCAAGTGATCCGCGAGTTTAATGAACTCCGAGTGCGTCCGACGGACATCGCGGAATTGGGTGGTTCGGAACTTGGGTAGATTTGTCTGCGACGACCGTCAGCAGGTGGTTTGAGCGGAGATATGGGAAGTAGAGCTTACATAAACGTCGAACCTGATGACCGGGTCTTTACGCCCTGTTCTCTCCAGAGCAGTCACCTTGGCCTGTAGTTTATACTGCGGCACCGGTCTCTGCTGTTGCGTGCCATGATATCTGGCCGCTCCGGCTCGTTGTTGCGATTGCCCAGTGTATGGTTGGTGAGCTGCAGATGCCTGATTATCCTGCTGGGTGTTCGGGTATGTCTGCGATTGTTCAGGGGACTCTTGGCCTGACTGAGCTTGTGGCGTGTCTGCTGCCGGCGTCGCTGCGGATTCATTGGGCTGGGAGAGGTAAGGACTGTCTGGGATACTGTCTTGCGATTGATTGTAAGAATGTCCTTGACCTGGAGCGGGGGATTCTGGTGACTCGGCTGCGGGAGCAGGGAAACTTCGATCCGCCCGTGGTGATGCTGAGCCCCAAGGTGACGGCCCCTGAAGAGCATCGGCTTCGCTAGAGACCACAGAGTAATCCATCGTGGAAGGACAGTTGCAGCAGGGACCTGTAAGGGATGGGTCGGCGAGCGAGGTCGACTATGCGGAGAGATGGCGCATGCCTAGGGGTGTTGGTGTAGTCTGGAGGATGTCGGGGAGGACGCTCGGCGACAGGTGTTGTCGTTTGCAAGGAACGTAAGAGAGATTGCGCTGCAGGAGGGAGCCTCTGTCCGTGATATAACACCTACCTAGCTAAGGTATGTAGCTAGAAGTATTGGAGGTTTGGATGCTCAACACAGCAATAACACCAGCCTTCCACTTCCACCGCAGGTCGAACGAGACGGAGACGCAGTCGCTTGCTCCAGCCTTGGCGGTTTATAGGGATGCTCCTCCGTATTACTTACCTATTCGAGATGTCGGCTGTCAGACGAGTCGTTAACCCTACGTCTGGCTGCGATGATGCCCGGTCAGACAACAAACATATCTGACCACCAAAATACCGCATCGACGTCGCCATCATGATTTTGCTATATCAACTTTTCATCTTCACAAATACCTGTTGAACGACTCAGTCACTCATTTATTCTTTCTTCGCATTTGAGCATTGATCTTCAGAATTGGCAGGTCCTTCGAAGTCTTGGGTATTATTGAAAAAGTTCGGCTTCTTGGGGGGATGGTAGTCGTTCATGGTCGGGCGTTTTCACTCTCCACTCCAATCGTCCGTTTAATATCAATTCAGTCCCGCTCCACGCTGCGGACTCATGCATCTCTACGCGGATTATGTTCGTCATGCCGACTCTCTGCAGTTGCGGTTGCAACCGCGCCCACGAAGAGCTCCGATGGATCACGAATCAGGAACATCGGCATCATAGCACATATCGATGCTGGCAAGACCACCACCACTGAGCGTATGCTCTACTACAGCGGTCATACTCGACGGATTGGGGACGTCGATGACGGCTCTACTGTCACCGACTTCCTACCTGCCGAGCGTGCCAGAGGAATCACTATCCAATCCGCCGCAATCACCTTCGAATGGCCCCCAGCGCTAGCAGGACTGCAGTCAACCCCTGAAGACATTGGCGGAGACACTTCTGAGACGCAGCCTCGGTCGCGGTTTACCCACAACATCAATCTAATCGATACACCTGGACATGCCGACTTTACTTTTGAAGTACGACGGTCGTTGCGAATCTTAGATGGCGCGGTTTGCATTCTTGACGGGGTCGCGGGCGTCGAGGCACAGACCGAACAGGTGTGGGCTCAAGCTGCTGAATGGAATATCCCTAGGATAGTTTATATTAACAAACTAGATCGCGATGGCGCTGCTTTTGGACGAACTGTTCGTGAGATCGGCTCACGCTTGGGCGGCTGGCCCGCTGTCTGTCAGATCCCGTGGTTCGAGGGTGGGAAAGGTCGCTTTACCGGGGTTGGCGACGTCATCAACCTGGAAGGACTTTTGTATGAGAACGGCGGGGACGGAAAAGAAATCAAGCGCTATCGACTTTCTCAGCTGGAGCAGGAGTATCCAGATATGGCCCAAGAACTGCGCAGTGCCAGAGCAGCCTTGGTCGAGCTCCTGAGCGAACACGACGATCAGCTGGTCGAGGCATTCTTCGAAGCAGAGGAGGATCATTTGAACATTACGCCCTCTCAGTTGCTGGACAGTCTGAGACGTTGTCTTCTGGCTCCTCATAGCACGATCATTCCCGTCTTCGCCGGGGCCAGTTTCCGCAACATTGGCGTTCAGCCACTGTTGGATGCTGTCACAAACCTGTTGCCGAGTCCTCTTGAACGCCCAGACCCCGACGTCAGTGTCGGTTCTAGCTCAGGAGGATTGTCGCAATTGATCCGAGGTGACCTGGAGTTTCGAAAAGACACAAACACAGCAGCCAAGCTCAAAAAGAAAGGGCAAACTTCCGACCCCCTAGCCATCGGCAATGCTCTGCAGGGCTGTGCTTTGGCTTTCAAAGTGGTCAACGACCCACGTAAGGGTGTGCTGGTCTATATTCGAGTGTATTCGGGCTCGATAGACCGCAATGGCCTGCTCTATAACACCAACCTTCAGAGCTCGGAGCGCGCCACCACGTTACTACGCATGTACGCCAATGAATCTGTGCCTGTACAAGCCCTGCACGCTGGCGAGATCGGGGTCATTGCTGGTTCGAAATATGCTCGAACAGGGGATACTCTGATCTCATACTCCGGGAACAAAGCCACCCCACCAGAGCCATTGAACAAGTTACAGCTGAGACCCATCAAAGTGCCTCCTCCCGTCTTTTTCGCAGCACTCGAGCCCAACAGCCTACGAGAGGAGAAGGACATGCATGAGAAGCTGGCGTTACTGCTCCGAGAAGACCCAAGTCTGCAAGTATCCCAGGACGAAGATACGGGCCAGACTCAAATCAGTGGCATGGGCGAGTTGCATCTTGAAATCGCTGCCGACAGACTCGTGAACGACCTCAAAGCCAAAGCGCGAATGGGAAAGATCGCCATCGGCTATCGGGAGACCTTGCCTGAAGCATCTATGTCCGTCACAAAAGTCCTGGAGGGTGAGCGGGCAGCTACAAAAGGAAAAGCGGGGTGTACGGCCCTGGTCGAACCCCTACCAGACGATGAGGATACTTCCTTGACTGTTCCGGATGATGCCTTCAGCTATGAACAAGATGGAAACCTGGTGGTGGTTGAGACGCCAACGCTGGACGAAAAAGGAAGACCGCTAACATCGGACGACGTGGCCTTACCCGCCAACCTAACAGTTCCGGAGATTCAAACGGCGTATCTCAACGGGGCACTTGCAGCATTGAGCCGTGGTCCATCCTATTCATTTCCGTTGCGCAACACCAAAGTCACGCTCACGCTACGTCCGGAAGAGCACATCTTTGGGTCCGAGACAACGTACGCATCTCTCACCGCCGCAGCCCGGCTTGCCACAAACGCCGCATTCAGAGATGCTACCAAAAACACAGCAAGTATTTTGATGGAACCGGTGATGAACGTCGACATCAGTGTCGACGAGGCTAGTCTGGGAAATGTCATTCAGGATATTTCCTCCAGTCGTGGTGGCCAGATCGTTTCTCTTGGAGACCATGAGGACGGAGCTTCCGCATCGGATAATAGTACGAAAAGAATCGATGTGAGCAAGATCTATGCTCCCAAGGATCCATTCGAGTCAGGATCCTCTCGCTCAGGGGAGGACCATCACCGGCTGAACTTGCAGCGAACCGTCAAAGCAAGAGTGCCCCTCAAGGAGATGGTAGGGTATCTGAAGCATTTGCGCAGTATGACAGGGGGGCGAGGGACGTTCGTCATGAGCGTAGACCGATTCGAGAAGATTACAGGACCACGGGAGAAGGCAGTCATCCAGGAACTGCTTGGTGGCTTTGTATAAAAGAGTTTGTCGTGGCAGATGTCAGTTGAGGACCTTGCGGTAGTAGTGGAGTGGCCAGGGGGTTTGTTTCCTCGAGTGGTCAACGCTCAACAGCGACATATTGTAGTTTTATTGCCTCGAGGACCACGAATAACATCATCCAACTCTATTTACACTTATTTTTACACAAGAGATACACAATTCTACATTCCACTACATTTTCCGTCTCTTCCTTCGTTCATCTATAGACTCGAGCTGCCATTAGCACGCGCCCGCAGACATGAATTCCTGAGGGAACACTGAGCGAGCGGCCTTAACACCACGAACACCTGCGCGTGCGCCCCTCACCACCACCAAACATCTGGAAGAAAGAGACTGTCCTCAAGATGGCTTCCAAGGCCATGTGGGAAGTCGACCCGGAGACAAGGAGCAAGGTGAACTTCTGCCCGCAAGAACACTCGCCTGGTCTGCAATCCAGTCTGACTCGAGTCGTGTGTAGCTCGCGCAACTAGGGAAGAAAGAAGGCGCAGGGAACGACCGCTGCTGCGACTGCGGTGCGCCGTCACCACAATGGGTACGTGCTATGAGCGGAAGAACCATCTTACGCTCCCTATCCTATCCCGTTGTAATGTGCCATTCGTTCTGACTCTGTGGGTGATGGTTGTCCGCAGGCTTCTCCCAAGTTCTCGACCTTCATCTGTCTACAATGCGCCGGCGTGCACCGCGGGCTAGGCGTGCACGTGTCGTTTGTGCGCTCGATTTCGATGGACGCATTCAAGCAGAACGAGATCCTGCGCATGCAATACGGCGGCAACAAGGCGTGGCAGGACTTCTACACCAAGAACGCGGCGATCCCCTTTGACGAAGCGACGATCAAAGAACGCTACGACAGCGAGATCGGGGAGGAGTGGAAAGAGCGGCTCACGGCACAAGTGGAAGACAGGGAATTCGACAAGGCTGCCTTCCTGAAGGAAAGACAGGCCATCCTGCAGAAACAGGCGAGTCGCTCGGCCACGCCGGCCGGCGCAGTCAGGAACAACAGCGTCGCTAGTGGCGGTAGTCGCACATCCTCCCCAGCGCCGGGCAAGCCCCGGATCACAGCGGAGCAAAAGGCCCAAAATGAAGCGTATTTCTCCAGGATGGGCGAGGCCAATGCTACGAGGCCTGAACATCTACCGCCCAGTCAGGGCGGGAAATATGCTGGCTTCGGCAGTGCGCCGTCGGAGCCGCAGCAGTCGCAGGGCGGCGGGGCGCTGCCCAGCGCCGACGAGTTCTCCAAGGACCCTGTGGCGGCTTTGACAAAGGGCTTTGGCTGGCTCAGTGCCGCCGTCGGCAAGCAGGCCAAGGTCGTGAATGAGGCTTATATCCAGCCTACGGCGAAGAATGTAAGTTCCTGTCATGTCATGTCATGTCATTGTCTTCTCCGTCCCGTGGCCTAGTCGAAAAGTAAAAAAGTACCTGTTCTAATCATCTTCACGGGGCGTTTCCAGCTTGCCTCGACAGATTTTGCCGCCCAAGCTCGCCAAGCTGCTCTCGCAGCAGGCTCGGGTCTCCAGAGTGGCACGAAGGGTGTGGCCGAGTCGTTCAACAAGTTCATAGAAGGACAGGACGAAAGGGCCAGCGCGGCCGCATCCGCGAGGCAGGCCGAGCCTGAGCGCAAGGACTTCTGGGATGCCTTTGGTGTGTCTTCGGAGCCCCCCAAGGCCAGCTCCAGCATTGGCACCAGTGCGATGAAGAAGACGCCGCTCGCAAACCCGCCCAAGAAGAACAAGGAGGATGGCTGGGGCGATGACTGGTAGAAGAGGCCGCCATGACACTCGGAAGCGCAACAGCCGTAAAGACAATGATTTCCAACGGCGAGCGCCCGGATAGCAGCGTCATCACAGGATGTCATATATGGCGAGGCTCCAACGGCAACATTCCCGGATTGACCGTCGGCAGCGTTGAGCATACAGCGTGGCCGCACTGATTGCCGATGGCTCTGGTCTTTCCCCTGGCCGCGAGACGGTCAAGAACCGAGAAACAGGATTTCGCAATAACGGCAAAGCCAGATGCTAGCTGATCCGCTTGTCGGTCTGACTAGGAGAACAGCAAGAATGACAAAAACAACAATGGGATGTGTACTTGGAGGATCGTTTTTTGCATCAGCCTTTGGTAATATATACACTCAGTCTTGGGGAAGAATGACCCTAGCTGGAGATCTGAAGAAGACTCTCAAGCAAGCTCCAGATGTCAAGTTTCATAACTGCACTCATACACATATTTCCGCCCAAGCTGAAGTAAAATGAACGGTCTGTGTGACATTGCATCAGGTCACCTTGTCGCAAAGGCTGTTTGTTTCCCTGGAAGTCCATAGACATCATCTCGCCATACCACCGCGCCATGAATCACCTCCTCTCCCTCTGAAACCGCCCCTGGGACGACCCCCAACCAAACGGTCCTGCCCTCGTCGTCCGTAACCAAACTCCGGCCCTTTGTCGACCCATTCCTCCCTTCCTTTGTACTGTTCGAAGCTGTATCTTTTCATCCCTTCGTCTCCGCTGCGACCCAAATTAGCATATCCGACACGAAGATTGCGGAACATGTCCAATCTCTCTGCAGCCACTGATTCCGGGACAGGCTTGTAATACAATTTCGGCTTGGTGGTCGTGTATTGGAACAGCTCATCCAGCGCCTTGAAGCCTCTGCCTGTGGATTCTGCATTTTTGGGGCCGGTAGGAGGTTGGCGTACACGATCACGCTCACGCTCACGATCTCTGTCTCGATCTTGACCAAGCTCGCGAGGAACAAATGCTGCACGATCCGGATGAACACCTGCAGGAAGTGGTTCGGGTCCTGGTCTATCGATCGACGTTGACATCCTAGAGCTGCGGCTGGGCGCCAGAGGGTGCTGGGGCTTGTTGGCGTCAACTTCTTGCAAGACTGCTTCGACCCCATCATCGCGATCTTCGTACACGACCTCAAATCGCCGGCCACCGCCACCTCGACCTCCGAAGCCACCACCTGTTTCTTGGTCGATCCACGACTGGACTTTTTCGTCGGGAACGAAGTCGACGAAAAGGGGCTCGCGCATGCTTTCGTTGGGATAGCGGATGTCGTGCATGGCGGAGCGGACTCGAGATGCGGCTGCAACAGACGTGAACGAGATAAAGGCATGGGTGCGGATGCTGTCAAGATAGAACAGCGTGATCGGATCAGAGTTGTCGGTAGAAGAGCGCGATTTTGCTGATGATGCAACGTGGCTCCGGAGTGAAGGGATGTGAAGTGGGCGCTTGAAATTGCGGATGTAGATGCTCGACGTGGCTGGATGTATCGCAGGAGGAACATCTCGATCTTCAGAAGGGCTTCTGGATCTGCGCGGTGATTCCGGAAGTCGCTTGCGTTCCTCAGGGGTGGTGTCTTGCGCTTGCTGCAGAGATTCCGTGGTCATGGTCATATCCTCTCCCGGCTGTTCAACGATGACTTCTGCTGGAGGACCTCCATTCGTGGCCTCGCCTCGAATCTGTTTTGCACTCTCGGTCGCTGACTTCATTTGCTCCAGTTCAGAGAGTTGTTCCACAGTCACATCTTCTCCATCCATACTCAGTCTGGCTTTTTTGCGCGCGACATCTTCTTCCGACGGGACTGGTGTTGCGCTTCGTTTCCTTCGTTTTCTTTCCTCGTCTGCTAGATCACTAGATTGAGCAGAGTCCAGCAAAGGTTGGTGGGCCGGGTCAGCGGATGGTTGCAAGGCGGTCTTCTGGCCAGGGCTAGCTGGTTCAGCAACCGCCGCTGGCTCTCGCTCGATCCCATCATCCGTGCCCGCATCTTGTTTCGTATTTAGATTGGCTGCGTCTGTTTCATTTTTGGTTTCCTTGGTCTGCTTCTCAAGCTCTTCGGATTCCGGAACAAGAGGAACATCCTTCTGACCTCCAGAGTCCGCTGAGATCTGCTCCTTTGTCTCAAGCTCTTGCGCGGAGGAAGAAGCCGGTTGTATGTCTTGAGGTTGTTGATCTTCCTGTCGCAACTCTTGTGGCTTGTCATCCTCTACATCATGCGGTCCCTGGGGCTTCTGCTCAGTCTCGTCCGAAGAGGGTAAGGCTCCGTCGTGCTCCTTTCTGTTGTCGCCGTTTGGTTGTGCCGGGGCTTGTTCTTCTGCGCCTGCATCCTCGGCGTCGTCACTCACAGATTCTGGCTGTGCCGAATTCTGCGCCTCGTGCTCTTCCAATTTATCGATATATTGTTGCTTCAATTTGAGACCGGTAAGGGGAATCCCGCGTGCCTTGAGTTCATCCTTCAGGTCCGTGACCTTCAATTTGCTCCAATCCGTCATGCTGGAAGACCTGCGAGGCACAGATGATAATTGGGGTTTCTAGGGATGCCTTGGGACGCGACTTTCCATTATTTTGTAACTTGCGACGTGTGGGAAATGCCAGGGTGCTTTCAATGCAGCCTCGTTTCGTGGATTGCGACGCGACAGACACTAGGTAGAATCCCTTGCGATAGAAAATGAGGATGACGTAGCCTTGGCATTGATTCTCACGTGATAGATTGCTGCTCACGTGACCGTATGGTTTGTTATGATCCTCAACTTCAACTTCAGCTTCAACTTCACTCCATCCACTGTAGACACTCAGTGACATAGTCCATCGTATCTTGCAGCCTCAAAAACAATGTGTCAGTCCGTGGAGATGTCACATTCTTCGACCCATATTTTGGCATCGATTGACGCCCACGGCTTACGGACAAGACGCCTGGTGATGTGACATCTGCTCGGTCGGTCCTATGCGTGCCATCCCTGGGCGATACCTCTGAAGCCCGTCACTAAGGTGACCAAGCCATGAGATACAGGAGACAGTGGTCTACCCTAACATCGTGTCTCGAATATGCCACTGGACCCTCATGGAGGAGATTTATTCACCCCTTGGACACCTCCTCACTCATCTATAAATGTCCCACGTGGAAGGATCTTGAGAACAAAAGTTGCACACGGCGGTACGATGCCTGCCAGATGGTCTCATCCTTCTACAAAGCTAGCTGCTGGCTTGACACTTCTCTGTGGTCCGCTTGAGTTTTCTCGCTCGGATACTACCGACACTGGGCCAACACCGTCTTAGGCGTTTCGGCCCCTGGACAGGGGTCCTCCTGGCCTTCCACGTGAAACCACATTCCATACGGCGTCTGCCTCATGTCGAAGTGTCCCAAACGACCACTCGGTTGGGACCTCTTGCTGTCAATGTCCCTCAATCATATTCTCCTGCTTCAATGTCATCTTGAGGCAGCAGACGCTCCCCGCCGGGAATTTGATGACGCCACTTCCATGTCTGACGCTGCTCACTTTCCCGCTTATCGGTGCTTGGGAGTTTTGTTGATGTAACTTGGCAGCAATGCATCAACCTTGTCGCGACAGACTCGCCTCCAGAATACTAGGTGCACCTGAGATGGACCTCCCCCTTTACCACCGAAAGCTTCATTTCCCGCCTGGACAGGGACGGTATCACAAGTGATGTTGAGTATAAGAGATAAATATCTCCGTCGATACCAAAGCCATATGCTCTACCATCCTAACACACAATCGTCGTTCTCTCCTTATCTTTGTCTGCTTCCTACCGCTGGTCGGTCCGTTCATTTCCAGTTCTTGCGAGCTAGTCTCTCTTTTGCCTCTCATCCACTCGCATTCCAGTCATTACCTGATTTCTTTCGCCGAATCAACGACCAACAACCAACATGTTGTCAAGCAAGACTATTCTTGCACTGACAGTTGTCGTGGCCGTGGCTCAGGCCCGTTTCGGCCAGGAACAAATCCCGATCCCCGCCATTGCCGCTGTGCAAGGCGGTGCTCCTGGTGTTGCGCAAACTATTGCTGGCGCTGCCGTCAGCGACATACTCGCAGCGACCAATGCCTGTGACAAGCTCAAGCGCGGTGATCAGATCATTGCGGAGCTTGGTAGCGGAGCTGATGCGGTGGCTGCTGCCATCGGCATCGTGGCCGCCGAGAAGAACTTCAACCCTTTCACCCAATCGATTCCTACCATCTGCGACGATCCGACCTTGCCGACCACGGATGTTCTGCGGGGTATCACGCCCCTGATCGACCCAGCTGTTGGTGGTTCAGATATTGCCAATGCTCTATCTGCCCAGACTGTGAAAACACCGCTTGATGCCACCGGCAAGAGCGTAGCGGATCTGCTGGCCGAGAACGGCTTCACCAACTTTACGACACAAGACGCCGCTGGCAACACAGGGACTGCGCCGGCTGCGGACGGTGCTGTCGCAGTCAATGCCACTTCGGCAGCGACGGCAGCTGCCACCAGCGCAGTGGTGGAATGTGGCGCTGTACCCCCCACAGGTGAGCAACAGCCCTTCTGTCCACGCAAGGTCAACCATGACATTAACGACAATCTGTCCATTAGCTTCAACGACCGACACTGCGAACACTACCATCTCCACCGCGGCTGCCACTGCTACTGCCGCGGTCACCAGTGCTGCCGCAAGCGGAGGTGCCGTTCAGGCTTCGACCGTCGCCGGAGCAGACTTCGGCCTATGTGTGCCCACGATGAAATTTGAAGGCGGTCTCGGCGGCCGCCCAGCGACCGAGTTCACTTTCCTGCCTATCGACCCGTTGTGCGCTCAGGGGCAGCAAGAGGCCTTGAATCCAAGTACGTGATGAATCAACATGTGGACAAACTCATTTCGTTACTAACCATCATTACCATCATCTAGACATCATTACCAACCGCATCTGCGACCAATTGACCAACGTGTGCGAGTCCAATGACGCAGCTAAATCGCTGTGCCGAGATGCTCAGTCTCAGATCCAGGCTCTGGGCACTCGCAACAAGGCTACTGCAGATACCTGGAACAGTCTGCTTGGATTCGCAGGGGCAGTCACCAACCCGGACGGTGGTGCAGCTGAGCCTCCTGCGACAACAATGATGGCTCGATCGTTCAGAGCATAGCGTCGACAAACATGGCTTTGACGTTCTCAGCTCGGAAGCCCCCATCCTATCTCCTAGACACACCAGGACCATTCAAGATGGGACTGTGTTTGTCGCCGATGAGAACCGCCAGATGCCAAAATACAAGATAGGTAGAGGGTATTCAAGAAGTAAGAAAAACTGAGAGCGAAGGGGACATGACATGGCAATTCAATTCTCCCAAACCATGTATTTTTTACAGAGGGCGATATCAAGCTTCTGAAAGCATCAATGTGTTCAACGGATCATGAGACACCCTTTATGAAGGACAAGAATACTACCAACCATGGAACTCTGCTGTACTTCGCTGTATACTAAATAACGCTGATTCTGAGACATCTAACTCATCCGCCTTTGGACGAGGGCAATGCTGTCCTGTGAGTGCTCGCCCTTAATAGACGACCATGATTGGTTCAGTAGTAGATCAGCCAATGAAGATGCAACGCCTCTTAACAGCAGCACTCATTGACTCCACCGGTACGAGCCCGCTCTAGCCTTGTTAGGAGCCCACCCCCGTCTGCCCTGCCCAGCCTTGCCAGAAACGCCTACTCTGTACTTACTACTCTGTATGTGCAGATGAGCATCTATCTGACCAAGCATGCAACTTTGGTTTGCTTGGCTGACATGCTAAGCTGGCATGTATGTACATCAAGGTAGGTGAGCTGTTGAGCGCGGCTTAGCGGGTCAAGTCAAGTAACGCAAACGCCCGCCAGACCTCGAGCCTCACACGAGCAAACTCTACCGGTTTCTACTCACTGACTAGCCAGTCAACCTTCCTGCTCGCGACTCGCCCGGCAACCCTGATTCGGACCAGAATTTTGCTCTAATGGTGTAATGAAAGGTTCAAGCACCCATGGAACAGCAAGAAGCTATCGCCTGTTTGCCTCGGTGACCCTATGACGTTGCGGCTTCAATACAATGGATGGTGGCTGAGTTGTCGAGATCGGATCAAGGACTGTCACTAAACCACACGTCCCTCATAACACGGGGAATTTCTCAACACTCGAGCCAACCTCTCTGCAAACCTACGGGCAAGTGACATCGAATCAAATCATGCCGAACAAAGCATAGTCCAATCTTTGTTACAGAAGACAACTCGAAGCCGTTGGCAGCTTGGAACTTGGCATTTCCATGATACTATTACTATCTGTAAGGTTACCCCCTGTGAAAAAATGACTCATTTGTCAAGGGCAAAAATATACAGCAGAGCCCGGGTATAAATCTCAGCAATTCCCCCTCAACCTCCGGTCAGTCTACAGATCCTTCGTCGCCTTCATCGACTGGTGGGGATTGAACCCACCAATACATGTTCCTTTGAAGGATGATGATGAACCCAGCTCTTGAGAGGCACTTCGTGTCGACTGGTAAGTCTGACTTCAAACACCGCTAGTGGGCTGCAGGGAGACGACAAAAGTCGACGGAAGGGGGGTATATCTGGAGCAAATTGAGGCTGGTTTGTTTGCTGAAGCTCCCTCTGAAACCATGTCAGCATAAGAACTATACTGGAGTCTGGTGACTCGTGGTGTGCTGACCTATCTTGAGTGCTTGAATGCCCGTGATGGTCATCAGTACGATGAAGCACGAAGAAAGAACTGGACAGTAACGTCGACACCGATATGATGTATGGAGCAGCAATGCAAAGGACTGTGGCAGGGGAAAAGACCAATAAACCAGGGACAACGATGCAAAAGGCGTTGGGAGTTCTGGCGAGGGTGGTGCATGAAGAGACGAAGAAGAGCAGCAGAGGTCGAGTCGAAATTTAAGGAGCGGCCAGACTTTGTTCTACGGCAGCATCACAAGAAGGAAGAACCAGGTAATGTATTTCATTTCCCAGCACGGTAATGAGGAAGAAACAACATCAGAGTTGGCAGCGCAGTTACAAGAGATATGACCATCGACGACCCCCTACCCTCGTCTCTAATGCACCTGCCTACCACAAGCCCCCAGTCAAAAGGACAATAACCTCTCATCCGTGATCAGGGAATACATCGAGGCACCCTCCACGAAAAAGGCAGGAGCGACCAACTCCCAACCGAGAGAACGGAACCTGTCACAAAATGTGGCTCGAGGGACCCCACGACCCAAACGTTGTAGGTGACCGGGCAGGGAGATACTCATACAAGCGCTTGTGATAGCGATGGAAGAATGTCCGGAATGCTTCTCCCTGGAATATTGCTCCAGGAGGCGCCGAAATACACATCTAAAAGTTCTATAAAGGCTATTGATTTGCCTTCACTACTTCCTGCCTCCCTGTCGGTATTGAAGAACATCATAACAGCATATACAGTCCGCCCAGCCCCGACACGTCACACCAAAATTGCCGCCAAAGAAGAGTATAGAGGAAGAGCATAAAGACTGAGAGCGTATACAACGCATTCGGGGCGATTGCAGACAAGGGCTCCGCGAAAAAAGAATACCTGGAGAAAGGGCGGAAGGACTTACAGATTTCTGGTAGGAGAACGATATGAGCATGACTATGGGGATGTAGCGAGTACAATACTAGTAGTGAACGAATGGATTGATGGTCGTTGACCGGCGTGATCCATTACTCTATCATAACACCAAGCTAGATTCAGGGGGTGAGGCAACACGTGTCGAAGACACACATCTAGGTAGGTATATATATCCAGATATACACCGGGATTCATCGAGTATAGACGTCTTCCACTAATGGCAGGAATTGGATGAATAGTTCTATTCATATGTACAACTTCGACACCTCTTGCGTTGAGACCCAAGGAGTCTGTCAGTCTCAATGCTATGGACGTCCTGATGATGCCTGAGCGCCCGCTATCCATAGTCATGGCGCCAGCCTCCCGGTCCTGCTCATATGTGCAATATTATATACCGCGCCACCATTTTATCGTCCGTACTGTATAAGAAAGACTCAGGCACCATCCCATCATGGACACCAGTTCAAGCAAGCAAACGCTCCACCTTCTTTATGCACCATTGACGCCAAACACAAGTACCAGAATTGCCTCCCCGCTGGCCATGGAAGCATTTCAACATTTCTCTCATCAGCAGGAATCATCAATCAATCTCCTGTCCTGCCATGCTTTCTTCGCTAATCCGTACAGTGAATCGAAATCACCGCTCGTTTGGCACATTGACCTGAAGTGCCCATCTTCTTTTTGAAGCAGTTCCCAGGGGTCAGCATACTCCACCACTTCGCCTTTATCGAGAACCAGTACCCGGTCATAGTCAATGATTGTTTGCAGGCGGTGCGCAATGGTCAAAATAGTATTGTTCTTCAACTCCCGTAGAGTGTCTTGGATCTTGGAATCTGTGGCATAATCAATGGAAGCTGTTGCTTCGTCCATGACCAGCACCTTCGGGGCTTTCAACAGAGCCCTTGCCAGGCAAAGAAGTTGACGCTGTCCCTGTGACAAATTGGAGCCAGATTCGGCTATAGGCGACGAGAGATCTCGGAAGATATTTTTGTTGTCTTTCGAGTTACTTGCAAAGCGGACCAGTGTCGAGCTCGATTTCATCGTGCCATTCACTGAGGGCAACCCTTGACTGTCCGGACTCGAGTTCTCACGGAGTGTCGGTGACCTGCTAGTGGCTTCCATTGGGGTGGCCGACCCCGACTGTTCTGGACTTCCATGGGCGCCCGGGATCAATTGCACCCGTCGAAGTGCGTTCAAAACTTCCTCGTCGGTGAAAAGCTCAAAGGGATCTAGATTACTCCTCAATGTGCCGGCAAACAGTGTTGGATCTTGAGGAACAATGGTGATGGCTTCACGGAGATCCTGGAGTCCAATAAGTCCAATGTCCACGTTGTCGATCAAAATCTTGCCCTCGTCGGCTTCAAGTCCTCGAAAGAGAGCTAGTGCGAGAGAACTCTTGCCTGCGCCTGTCCGACCAACTATGCCAATCTTGTGTCCGGGCTCGATGCGGATAGACAAATGTTTGATCACCGGTTCGAGGTCGGGACGATATCTAGTGCTGTATCCGATGAATTCTATAGCTCCCTGGCTTGGCCAGTTGGGCGGTGGCCTCGTATCTGGGATACTCGCGGGCGCCTCTTGTTCAATGTCGATATATTCTTGTAAGCGTTCCACGGCATTCATGTTTTGTTCGTTGGCTGCATAAAGTCGAACAAGCCAGAGAACATTCTGAGTGAATGTAATGGCATATGACAGGGCCAATCCCGCAGCCCCAGGATCGATGCTGCCTGCATTCACAATCAGAAACATGGCAGAAAAGAAGGAAACCAGAGCTCCTGCAATGTCGATCCGGAACGCGAGCCATCTGTTGGTCGCCCATAAGTAGATGAATGGACGATTGTGCGTGTTCACTCGCGTGTTGCTCTCCTGAATAAAACGAGACTCGTCGCCGTAGGCTCGGATCGTCACCACTCCTGTCAGTGTCTCACCGAAATGCTGGAAAAGTGGACTCCGCTGCACTGCTTCAATCCGCTTCAAATCCCGGGACGATCGGATGTACAGCCATCCTGTTACAACATACAGGATGGTGATGAAGGAGCCCGGTATCAGGAAACCGGGAGTGATCACCGAGATCAGAATAACGATGGTAAGAACGGAAGCGGCGCTATGAAGAAGGCCAATTGCCACCGGAGCTACTTCCTGGTCCAGAGCTTGGATGTCCTTGGAGAATCGATTTGTCAACTGCCCAAGAGGCGTCGAATCGAAGAAGCGGAACTTGGCCCGAAGTATGCTCGTCAGCAGCTTCTCGTGGATATACCAAGAGGCCCGCTGAGAACCCCAGAAGAGTATAATCTCCCGGGAGAAGCAGATGGACACGTATACAGCGCCAATGATCGCATAGACTCCCAGGTAGTACCCTGCATTGACGTCGGAGATTGTGTGAGTGATCCCGGCCTTGCTCGCATTGACTGCGGTTTCTGGCATTCGAATATTCGAAGATCCGAAGTTCGATGCTGAAGCTAACCCTTTCATTTGGTGGAATGCGTGGATCGCTGCATGAGCAGTATGCGTGCCCTGGAGATGGTAGGCATTGGCCCATTCCCGAATCCATAGGTTAGTTGCCACAGAGCCGATTTGGGTGGCGATGAAACCAAAGGCAGCGACAATCCAGTAGTGCCAAGGGCCCATCGCCTGAAGGTACATCTTTATCGTTGACATTTTGACACTGCCTGTAGCTTTGGCTTCGAGTCGATAATCAATGAATGGTTTGTCAGGTTTATTAGCCCTCGCCTTGGCCTTGTTAGAGCCTTTTGCACCTGAATCAGGAGGTAGAGGACCGTTTCCACCGGACAACTTGGAAGTTTCTTCTTCTAGATTCGAAGGCACTCGTGAAGGTGGCTGGGAGTTGGCTCGCGACACCGGTCGTGATCTCAGAAGCTCGTCTCCAAGTATGCCAGTTCCGGCGATTTCTTGTGGCGTGCCCTGAGCAGCTATCTTGCCATTCTCTAGAACAACCACCCGATTTGCAAATGGCACCGTCAACGCGACATTGTGGGACACCAGTATGCAGGTGCGGTGTACCATCAGGGGCCCAGTAAGTGCTTTCTCGAAAATGTGCTTCGCTGTATGCGCGTCGACCGCGCTCAGGCAATCATCAAGGAGCAGATGTTTGGAATTGGAGTATATGGCCCTTGCCAGTGAGATCCTCTGTTTCTGGCCTCCGGAGAGAGTGATTCCCTTCTCGCCAACCAAGGTTTGGTCTCCCGCGTCGAGGATTTCCAAGTCGCGTTCGAGGGCACAGATTGAAATTATTTCGAGATAGCGGTCTTCATCGTAAGGACTCGCAAACAAGATGTTCTCCTTGATGGTTGCATTTACCAACCATGCTTGCTGCGCGCAGTAAGCAACGCTGTCGGTTAGGCCGGTGCTTGGATCAGGACGCAACTCTTGCCGGGGGACTCCACCAGGGATATAGACGTTCCCATTGAGAAGCTGCATCTCTCCGAGCAAAGCCATGAGAAGAGATGTCTTCCCAGATCCAGTCGGGCCTGCAATGACACTGAGCTGGCCTATTTCAAACTCCACGCTGATGTTAATAAGCCGGAACGCTTCTGAGACTTCGGGCCCGGTCACTCCCCATGTCAATGTGGCGTCGTCGAGAGCGATTCGAGTGCACGGAACGCTGAATCGCCTACTCTGGCGCAGCTGCACGTATTTCTCCGTTTCCGCCTCATCAAGGAACTTTTCGACGCGATCAACCGACACCTTAGACTCTTGCACATGAGCTACCATGTCTGCAAGCTGATCCAGAGGCACACGGAGCAGCGAGAACATTGACAGTGCCGGGAAAGCAACAGAAGGAACGAGGGGCCGTTTCTCAACCCGCGTATAGATGAGGAACGAAGTGAAGGTGATGACGATCGGAACGCCGCTCCAGATAGTCGCAGCAGAAGCCCAAAGAATATATTTCCGCCACAGCGCGTCCAACTCGATCTTCCTTTTCTCATTGACGCTGTTTTGGAACCGTCGTTCCCAAGCAAAATATTTGATGATTCTGATGTTCTGGAGAACCTCATTTGTCACATGGATCCTGGCATCAGTCGCCGCCATGATCTTCTTCTGCGCCGCTTGGAACGATTTCGCAATGTAGAGGTTCAGAGGGAGGATAAGAATCATCAGCACGATTCCGGCAAATGAGCTGAACCCCAAAACCTTGTACAGCAAGCTCACGGCCATAATCAGCTGAACAGGGACGGCAGCCCAAAGAAAATGTAGATATGCGCAAACGTCAGCAACTTTGAAGGAGTCAACAGACATCAGGTTGATGACTGTGCCGTTTTTAGCTTGAGAGCTGCTGGCCTTCTTAAGGTTGGAGCCCGCTGTGGCTTCACTTTGATGGCGACTCCTCATGGTCTTCCAGGATGACTTTACTTTTGCCCAGAACGCCTGCGTATCCTTGGCCTTCTCTTGTTCGACATCCGCATCCGTGCTTGCCGCTGCCTTCCGTCTCAGGGTCTTGGAATAAATCTCGCCCACGATGATAGCTCTTAGCCGAATGGAGATCTTTCGACCGATCCAGAGAGCTTGCCCATCACCGATGGCTTGCACTGCGCCAGTGGCAAAGAGGAGGATAACGTACAGCCATGCCGCGCTGGTAGGAATGGCGTCGGTGTGCTCTAGATACTCCAGGACAGCTTTGAGAAGCAAGGTCGGAAGAAACATAAACACACTGGCAAGCATACACCACGCGCCTTGGATGAGAAGCTGGGATTTGAAATGCAGCAAGAGTCGAACTGCAAGCGAGTGCGTCCTTTGGATCTGTCGGAAATGAGCGAGGACGACGTCTGCCTTGTCAGATGGTGACACGTTCCACACATCAGAGAGCTCCAAAGGCTTCTTGAATCCCCTCCAGACGATGGGATCTACCCAGGCGAAAGTAGTCAAGGACAGGAGGCTAGCCAGCGGTTCCCGGGACGGCTCAATGCCATCCTCATACTCAAGTATGACACCTTTGTTTCCTCTCCGAGAGCACAATACAATCAAAACCAAGATGCTCGTGATAGCAAAAGATGCTATTGTCAATAGCTGGAAGAGGCGACTAAGCGGATGGATGAATGAGGACCGGAAGACCCAAACCAGGAGTAGCCACTGGATGATATAAAGGGCTGCGCTGTGTGTCCAAAGACCTTTGACCGGAGGTTCCCATGTTGTCGTTGAAGACACCAGGCGAACTCCTGCAAGGATGGCCAGGTAGACAGACACGAGGGTCTCCCCTATGGCTGCGTGCCGGCTCCCAGCTGCCGAGTGAACGAGGGCGACGATATTGACAGCCAACTGTCCTAAAACTAACAGAAACTCGGCCGTCACAAGAAAGATTTCACCGGTCGGCTTGTCCACGTCTTTCAACGAGTGGCCGCCACGACTGAAAGTCTTTTGCAGGGTAAGTCGGGTCAAACTGTCCACGTCTCCGTCTGTCGAGTCGTCTTCGTCTTCATCTTCATCTTCGCTGATGTCCACTAAGAGGTTGCGGGTAGATTCGTGATGTCGTCGCTGTTTAGATATGCGACGTCCGAGCCGGAACAGCAGAAGCAGCGCCGATGTAGCACATGCCAGCAGAGGAAATAGAGTCTCGAGATAACTATTCGAAGATGATTAGGCACATTCCTGCAAAAGGTACAGCTGGGACATACTCTGCTTCGAAGCAAGGACTCAAGTCGTCGACCCGCCATATGGGACTTTTGCAATGGCCGAACATGGCTGCAGAGACTGCACAATTGAACCACCAAGCCTCAATCACAGCAAGGGCAGCTTGACGCACTCATGTCTTGGGCAATAGGTCGAGATTACCAATAAGTATCAGGATGGTCCACTCCTAAAGACGCAGGCACAAACAAAGTCCTCCAGCAAATATAAAGCAATGAAGAGATGGAAGACATGGGGCAGACTGCGATTGTTGTCTAACTCTGTAGAGTGTTAAGTTTAAATGTCTGGAGTCAATCTGCGGGCACGCCAAACACGGACACTGACAGCAGGAGGCATATTGCTGGACCTGCCCTCGACTCAACGCCAGCATTACGGTATCGTCGATACAGGTCTTATCAAATCACATTGAGGTGCTGCACCAAACAAGAGGTACCTTACCCGGAAAACACGTAATACTCTGTAAGGTATTTTATGAGGGCCCTAAAAGGTACCCTGGCAGGTACCCGTCAAGGCGAGTGTCAAGGCGAGTGCCAGTGCGTCATTTCAGGCTTGTTAGGCGCAGTGACCGCCCGGAACTCACCCCCAAGTGTCATACACTGGCAGTGTGTCAAAGTCGCGCAATTAGTTGGCGGCTAGTGTCTACTAGTATTACTCGTGCTACTTACTCACTGGGTTGGGAGGTCGGTGATTGAATCCGATTTCGCTCCCCTTTGAGAGGGACTCATCCGTCACCGCCACCGTCCCAACCCGACAACGCACCTGAACATGTAATCCTAAACTGCTCCTTACCTATGATAAACACATCGGCCCTTTATTCTGAGATCAGAAACTCCTAATTCTCATATCACCCTTCCTCAGTCCTGGATCCCGACCACGCCTCCTGAGTTAACTTGACCTACTGCCTGCTCTCGCCCTTCCCAAGGCGCCTTCTCCAAACGTAACATCGACGGTGTGAATCATGTCCAGTCAATAGCAGTTGCCATAAGTCGTGCACTTGAAGAACGCTGGCAGCGAGAACGCGTCTTCGCAAGAACAACAACAAGACTGTCCATTCACCATACCGCACCGCAGCCTTATCTTGCCCAAACTCATACCCGGTCACCCTTCCCATCCATATCCGGGTCGGTCTCACCTACGCCACCACCTGCCCTTCGCATCAACCTGTCCGACCTGCCACCACCGACCAGGCGAATCGAATAGCCCAGCATGTCACAGGCAGTTTTGATGAAAGAGTACAAGGCTTTGGCCAAAGAGAAATGGGTTCAGATCGACGTAAGTGATGCGGCCTCATCAACCCTTCCAGGCGGCGCGGTGGCTGACAAGTATCAGATTGACGAGGAGAACATCTACCGCTGGAACTTGGCACTGATGGTCCTCAATCCCGATTCTCTCTATTACGGCGGCTACTTCAAGGCTCAGATGAACTTCCCCAAGGACTATCCATACAAGCCTCCCGGTAGGTGGTAGATCGGCACTTGAAGACGGGGGCCAGAAGACTGATAGTCGCAGATTTCCGGTTTAACAAGCCACTATGGCATCCCAACATTTACGCGGACGGTCGCTTGTGTATCTCGATCCTTCATGCGCCTGGCGAGGATATTATGTCTGGGGAGAGTGCTGGCGAGCGTTGGTCCCCTGCCCAGCGTGTCGAATCCGTCCTGATCTCCATTCTTTCTCTTCTTGACGACGCCGAGATCTCCTCTCCTGCCAATGTCGATGCAAGCGTGATGCTGAGAGATGACATGGAGGCATTCAAGGCCCGAGTCAGACAAGATGTTGAAGCCTCGAAGAAAGACATCCCAGAAGGATTTGTTCTGCCCACGCATGAGTCTACGAAGCCAGTTATCGACAAAATCGACGACGACTTCTGGAATGACAGCGAAGGGGAGGACATTGACTTTGACGATTTCGAAGATGATGCAGTCAACGGAAGCGAATCAGATGAGGCGTTGAACAACGATTCGGAGGATGATGAGTATTATGACGACGACGACGACGACGATGACACCGAACATGTCAAGGGCAAGGCCAAGGCCAGGGAAGACCGACTCGATTCGGAGATGACGGAGCCGGATTCATGAGAAGCGTTGATCGCACGCAAGGAGTTTCATGGCGTTCCATACTAGCATGGAGAAGGCATATTGCTGATCATCAAGCACTCTGCTTGGAGGCACTGCTCATTTTCCAATCAGGCGTGCTCTCCTGTGGGCTCAGCGATGGCGCAACGGATCGGCGTACCGAGGCGCAGGGGATGCCGGGATTCTTCCATTGCGGGCATGCATTTAGAGCGTTGGGGTACCGCATGATATGCACGCGGAGTTTGCTGAATAGTGCTTAACAGTTTTCCAATGCGATACCTGACACTTTTCTGGTCTTGACTTCGGGCTGTTGGCTAGAGCGCGTTGCGTAGCCCGTCTCTGCTGCGGTGGCCACAAGCCGAACTTGAACAAATCTTGGACATGGGAACCGAACCTCACCTAGACCGGTGCACTCGGTCCTCTTACCGACCAACGTCTCACTGGACTACCATTTTCAGTATCTCAGCAACACATCTCTCCGGTTGTTCCTGGTTGACCCAGTGTCCAGAGTCCTCCACCAGTACGGTGCCCTTATACATGCCCGGCTGCACACTCTTCCCAGACTCCATGGCCTCTATGGCGCCCGGTTCTTGATAAGTCCCCCAGTCACGTTTCCCGGCGACGAAAAGGGTCGGGACCGAGATCTTTGCGCCGGACCAGGTCTCCATATCCGACGCGATCGCCGGCTGCGTCTGGACCCTGTACCAATTCAGGCCGCCCTGGAAGGTTGTACGGCTCCATTCTCCGACGTACACGGCCAGTTCAGGGTCTGGTAGCCAACGCGATGAGCGGTCGGAGACAAGCTGAGGATCCTCCATCTCCATGTCCCGTGCTACGGCCTGGCGCATGGTATCCGCCAGATCCATAATGTAGTAGCGTGGCAGTTGCTGCAACTCGTCGGCGGTCCATCCTTTTAGCGGATGGGGATCGTTACCGTTCCAATCTCCAGACTTCAGATGGAAGTAGCCGCGCAAAAATGTATGCAACGCGGCCCCTGTTGGGTATGTCATTTCGGCATTGGCCGAGGAAGTGCAGTAGTACCACTTGTAATGCTTCCTTGGCCGAGGTAGTTGGGAAAGCGCTACTTGCATGTCCAGCGGAGCTGGAGGCGGTTCAGAAGGCCGCCCATAGGACGGAGATATGGACAGGGGAACCTGAGGAGGTCCTTTGGTCGGGTGTGACATGGCCACCAGGCGCTTGAACATGTCTGGCCTTGACAATGCGCAGAAGCTTGCCGTCACGGCGCCGAAATTGTGTCCTACTACACAAGCCACGGTTGAATATCCTAAAGCCTGGACGAGAGCAACAGCGTCCTTGATCAGGTTCAAAGGACGAAACGATAGTGCTTCGAGGGGTTTACGCGAGAACGTGCGCCCATATCCTCGCTGATCGAAGGCTACAGCATGGTAGCCTTGCGCTGAGAGAAGAGGCAGGATCTTGCGCCATGAGTATGCAATTTCTGGGAAACCGTGGATCAAGAGGATCAATTCAGGTTTGGGACCTGTTGGGTCGATATCTGCGGGGAGTGACTCGAGGATGTGGAAGACCAGGCTGTGGGGACTGGTGTCCACGAAGCGGGCTCTGATGCCAGGAGGGAGGTCAATGGAAGGGAGTGTTGTTGGATCCGTCGCGTCGGCGGGGGAGTCTTGATGTGTATAAGCCATGCCGGAGATGGCCAAGATGCGACAAGCAAAGTAGACAGGTCCACGGCCTGGAGACTCTGGATACACAACCCGAGATCCTGCAATATTGGAATAGAATGCGGGGGAACTCGTTTAGATTAGGGACGTGCTGTGGTGATTTGACTTACCACGCACATACAAGACACGAACTCAAGTGTGCAGGCTCACGATACACTCTTTGGTGCACTCTGGGTTACTCGCCGGTCCCGATGGTACCACGAAGGACGAGGTCTCGAAGAGAAGTTGGGTTGGTGAGAGTGTTGTAGATATACTACCTAGTAGTAGTAGGTAACATCCAACTTGATGCAGTACAGAGGATTGCGTAAGCCTGGAGAATTATACGCACTGGCCAGTGTCTGACGAGAAAGACGGCCATTTGAAATCCAAGTTCCCGATGAGGTCACTGCTCCATGCTAAAACCCCAGTCAGACGAACGACATTATTCTGGCCGCTATTAGGATCACGTGCTGTGGCAACCAGCAAGGCTCGCTGACGTTTAATTTGATCGCTTGGGCTTCATGACGTAAATGGACGGGCTTCAAGTGGGACTGAGGGAGAACAACAATCTCCCGTGTTGATTGGATGGCAAGTCAAGTACGTACCACACACTTCAGCTGAACTTGCTGACACTGGCAGTGGCAGCGGCAGTGGCAGTACGTAGCTTGGTAGCATGTAGCATCTCCGGCCAACGCTGCACAGACCCCAGAGAAACAATCAAGCTGAGCCACATTTCCCTGGATCTCGCTCCCATGGTTTCTTGAGCTACTACTACTACCACTACCACTACTACACTACTACTACTAGTATCACTCACCACACCTCATCACAACACATTTTGCGGGTGCCACGACACACAAACATTCCTCCCGCCTTCATTCGATCTCTTGTCCATATCCTCTTCTTTTCATCTTCTGCAGCCATCCCCAGAGCAGTCAGCTTCGTACAAGCGGACATGGGGGGAGATATCATCTTTCATCCCTGCCAACCCGCAGCGCGATAGGCATCATCGTCATTCTGCTGCCAAACTTGTTTTCTCTCTTTCGGGGCAATTCGCAACCCATTCCATTGAAGTGGACAATTGTCGCTCATAGTCGCCAACATGAGTCTCTTCCACAGGCGCAGCAGGTCTGCTTCGGCCTCTGTAAGTCCAGCTCCTGTCCCATGCATTCAACCCCGGTCTCGTCCTATTCTGCATGTGCTGACCATTCTTTTCCACAGCGGCCACAGGCTCCTGCATCTGCCTCTGCGCACAAGGCTGCGACCCAAGCATTCCTGGCTAGCCAAACCTCACACGGCAATCTGTCAGCTTCTGCCGCGGCGGCCGCCCTACGGAGCATGACCCCGACTCCAACGCAGGTCGAACATGTCCAGACAAAACGTACAGTACAGAGACAATCGTCTCTGGGGCCTGTGTCAGGAGCTGGTCGAGGGAGGTCAAGAGGCGGTCTACAGAGGCAATCCAGTGCTGGTTCCATGACCGAGAGGACCTTTAGGACCCCATCCCCATCACCCTCGAGGCCGGCGTCGCGAGCGAAACTTGTCGAGCATCCTCCCCTTCCAAACATCCCACAACAATACGCGAGCAATACAACGGTGCAAGGAAAGAAGAAGGTTCGCTCGGCTAGTCAGGGCCCGCCTCCCCCGCGCGTCCTGTCTCCGCCGTTGACGCGACCAGGGGCCAGAGGGCAGAGCCTGGATCGATCGCGACAGCCTGAGCAACCGACACAAGCGGCGAGAAAGAAGAATCTGGCTCCGGTCAATGAGATCGAACGTACGGATAGCAGTAATTCTATCAACTTCTCGAGGCCATTGTCGCCACGGCCTCAGTCACCCGGCGGTCAATCGTTATCACTGTCAAATGGTGAACATGCGTCGGCAAGCCTGCTGACTAAATCCATATCTCCAGCTAAAGCTGAGGATATCCAGTACGGCCTATTAGAGACCGCCAATCATCCTGTGAAGAAAAAGAAGAAAAAGGCCGTTCCAGGGGCAGCCGAAGGCAGTCATTTACAAGGCGGTACCATGGCCAGTAGACCGGTGGTTACGCCTCTTGAACCTGGCCCGGAAGAAGAATTCGAGGGTTCAGAGGAACAGCTGGCCCCAGTAAAAAAGAAGAAGAAGAAGAAGACCGTGGCCGTGGCCGTGGAACCGAGCGCACAACCTGCTCCGTCCGATACATCATCTCGCGCCGACTCCGACTCCGATTCAGGCGTTGCCGGCGCAAGGGAACGGCGGGCGAGTAGGGCCTCGGGAATGTTGATGAAGCAACCGTCGATCGTGCGAGAAGACTGGGAAGGCGAACAGAACGAGGGCATTAGTCCTAGGGGGATTCAACAACCATCAGAAGATACCCTTGACTCTGTCAACGGCGGCCAAACCCCGCAGAGTAAACGCGCGGGCAATGCAGCCAATGTGTCCAGGAAGATCGAAGAGCCAACGGTACCTCCCAAGACTGTAAATCAGCTGGTAACCTCCAGTTCGAACATGCAGGACGGGCGGGCAACATCCCCTGACACATCAGGTAACCTCCAGGTTGTTGACCGGAAACCTACAAGAGGCACTTCTCTCAGTCCTTCAAGATCCACAAGGTTTTCAGACAGGCTGTCTTCCGACCTCGCAGCAGGCCAAAAGCACGAGCCGCCTCCGCGATCAGTATCCCCTGCCAAACCTGCACTCAAGCATCATTCCCCAGCGCCTGGGAGGTCTGTCAACGACCCCTATGCTCGCGGCTCTAGTGTCACCCCGAGCGAGGCCTCGGACATCTCTAGTATTTCTGCCGACGGCACCTCAAGACGCAAGAAGTCGGCCAGGGTCAGCTTCGACTCGCAACCAGAAATCGTCGGCGCCGCTCCTACCGCTGCTAGTTGGGTGCCTGTGGGGAGAAACAAACCAGCCCTCAACACAATCACCTCCAATGATGACATGGACGACTTGATGAAGCCGCGACCTCAACTTCCCTCATTTGGCAGTATTCGAGGTCAGAATCCCCCCGACACGAACGAGCAAACTGCTGCATCGGTTCTGAGGTCGTCAGCAAGCCCTACTGGGTCGGACAACAACGCATACGAAACAAAAGGTGTGTCCAGCGACCATGCAGTCGGCGCAATACTGGCCCAACAGGCTCAAGAATCTTCACATGCTCAGTTCAAACCGCAGTCAGTCGAGCCCCTGCCTCCTCAAGTCACCTCCGTCGAGGGTCAGGTCTCCTTCTCTGAGTCAGAAAGTGAAAGTTCAGAAGACGAGGAGACGTCCAGCAGCGGTGTATCGCCTGAAAAGGACGAGGCCCCGAGACATACAGAGCATAACGATGAGCAGTCGTCAGCTGTCGTTCAGCAACCAACGTCGACTGCTCAGTCAGCTCCTCAATCAGAGCTGCCAACCTTATCTCTCTCTCCGCCCACGCCTGCCCTGGAACAAGGCAGATCGGATGATGACTGGGTCGTCGATGTGCCAGGCGGCTTTCCGGACTACAATGAAACCACTGCTTCGTCTGAAGCTTCCAAAGGGAAGGCGCCGAGTGGCGCCGAGAATGCTACGGCTTCTACAGGTCTTGGCGTAGATTCAACCAGTGATGAATCGGCATCGGACAATGACAGTATCTACAGCGATGCAGCAGAAGATCCTTCCGAGCTGGATGGAACTGGTTTCGGTTCCATTGATGCTATTGTCGACAGTCCTATTGTTTCGCGGCCAACCGCATTGGCTACTATACCGGAGAGTCCGCCAGCCCGCACTGCAGATCTCCAACCTCCCGAACCAGTACGCACAGCATCTTGGGAAGAGGCACAGGCACGATGGACCCATATACTGGAGCAAACCCGACAAGGTCCACCCTCGGGCGCACCTGTTTACAACCAGGTTACACAACAGCAAGGCCGCCAGGAATTTTCGCAACAACCGGCCAAACCACAGGTCTCTGAGCCTCGAAGAAAAAAGAAGACCCAGGCTGCCATTGCTGCTGCTGCATCGGCCCCTGGCATGGCCGCTGCTGGTCAATCGCCAACAGTATCTCCAGCACGAAGGAGGAAGAAGCAAGCAGCCGCCCATTCGGCGGTTGATCAACCCAACTCTGCAGCCGCGGCAGCGGCTGCTGCTGCACCCTACAGGCAGTCTATGAGGGCCAGTCCAGCTCCAGAACCCGAGGCAGGATTTCGTAAGTCTATGCGGAGCCCCAATCATCATTTCGCACCAGATTCAGCGCCGAGACCACAGCAACGACGGCCACCACAGGCGGCATCGTCTGGCATGGCACAACAACCTCGCGGGGCGCTGCAAAAGAAGCACATACCTGCGGCAGCAGCAACAGTAACGCCAGCCACAGCTTTGGCGCAACGGCTACCGCCCGTTCCGGTAGCCATGACCAACGACAGTGACTCGGATAGCTCGTTCCGAAAGCGAAGACGACGTAGAGCAGTCACGGAGAGTCAGCATACTATGCGGAGGAGCATGCGAGGTGCTACCGACCCAACGATGCGAGACAATGGTCGCAGCCAAATCCGTTCTCTTTCGCCGGAAGGCCGTCGACCATTCTCCGCTGGTGGCTCGCGAACTACCATGAGAACGTCAATGAGGGGATCCATGGACAGTGGCGTGCCATCCCTTCGCCCCTCGATCGAGACTAAGCGGCCGTCTTCGTTGTTTGGGCGAGGACAGAAAAGTCCGCAACTCGTCCCTCTTGCAGGACCTACGCAGAAGCACCGATCGCGAACCGCGGATTCCGACGATGAGGACGACGTCCCACGGATGAGCAAGTTCCGCTCAAGGTTTGGAGACGACAGTGACGATGAGCCCGACACGACGCGGTTCACACCTGTTCGAGGCATTCCCCGTCGGGGAAATGATAGCGATTCCACCGATCTGGAAGACAGCTCAGAGGACGAGAAGCGGCCCGCCCAAGCTCCCCTCAGACTCCAGATCCCCTCGAACGGCGCCCCAGTACCTGGCGAAGAGCCCTTATCTCCAAATACTGAGAAGAAACGTGGTTTGTTTGGGATGTTCCGTGGCAAGAAGCACAAGGACGACGCATCCTCGATTGTAGCCGATTCTCCTCCACGAGCCCCTAAGATGGATGCAAGCAAGCCATCACAGTTGGGGTTCGCATCTGCGGCGGAGCGCGATCGCATTATCGAACAGACGCGGGCCAAGCTTGAGGCGGCCAAAGACCAGGATCTCACCCAGTCGCCACAAACACATGGCAAATTGCAACGTCGACATCAAGCTCACAGAATGATGAGCGACTCTTGGCCTCTACCTCCCAACCTACCGGCCGACAGCGGAAAGATTCGTCCTAGCACCTCGGACGGGGCCCCTTTCCGAAATGGATCGGCCAGGCTTAATCAAGGGAGTATGAGAGCGAAAGAGCCACTACCACCAATTGGGAGGAGCGGAAAGAAGAAGAAGTTCCCCATGTTGCGCAAGGCCTTTGGGCTGAAAGATTAGTATTGCTTCTGACTCCAATGCGCCATGCAAATGATACCACCGTTTCGCTTTGTGGCTTTTCTTTATTTCCGTGACCTGTGCCATCTGCGGATATTTCCTTTTTGATGGCTGGGCATGACTGTACGAGATGGAGGAAGTGGGAAAAGATAGGTCATGCTCTAAAATTGTGTTCTAGACCAGGACCTACACTATGTACCTAGGTCCTTGGGAATCTTTCTTTCGCGATACATAATACGACAGGGAGGGGAGGCAGACGGTCTGTCACAGCGGCGGCTGACTGATAATTAATGATAGTATGAATAGTTGAAGGGACCATAGTCACCAAGTTATGCTTTCCTTTGCTCTCCCTTCTTTTGTATGAGCGGATGCATTGGGACTCTGCACTATAGTACGTAGTAGGTAGCAATAAAGGTGTCGGAGAATTCTCCCATCCATCGCCCAACAAGCCGGGCCACACTGCTCCGGTTGGGGCGACGACAATGCTTAGTATTTCCTGGTATCTCGGCGACGTTGGCTGCTGTGGCCGGATCTAGCAAACGGAAGCCTGGGGTGTATGCTTGAGAGTGACCAAGCATCCGGCTTACTCACCTCCGACGGTTGAGGTAAGCCCTTCGATACAAAGAAGCGATTCGGCGGGGGCGGGCGACCCGGGATCGTATTGTGAGGGTCATTCGAAGCATGTGTGAAGAGAGGGTGGCCACTACTGGCTCGCAGAAGTGGCTGGAGCGGGACTATGGTCTGATGCATATAGACGCATGATTCAATCATGACACTGGGAGCGAGGCAAAGTGGTACTCTATTACTCCAAGTCTGTACCTACATCTGTTAGGAAATCGCCGGGGCGCAGGGGGGAGGGGAGGAGATTGAGGATTCTTCACCGGGTTTCCTTTTCAGCGGGCGGCGCACTGTGGCTGCATTGAGCGCAGGCCGAGCGCAGGTTGAGCGCAGGCCGCCCGCCCGCCAATTGCACAGTCACTGCCCCACCTCACCACTGCCCGCCTTCGTCACCCCCAAGAAATTGAACAGCAGTACGTAGTAGGTACCTAAGATACCTCCTAAGTGACGGACACAGCTGCGCCATTTAAACCAATTCAAAACACCTTCCCGCTTCATCCCAAAAGATCTTTGCCTTCAAACACAACTCACCGACCATTCCTTATTTCTTGACTCAGAACTCTACTCATCATCCAGTCTACTATTCCTACCAAACAAATCTATCCAACATGACTTCCTCTCTCGACCAGCTCAAAGCCACTGGCACTGTATGTTCATCACCCCGCCATTCCGCAATGCTCCCGTACAGGAATTTCAGCAAGCTCACAACGTGAACAGACTGTCGTCTGCGACTCCGGCGACTTCATCAGTATGCCTCCCCCAGTCTCTTCGCTTGGTCTCTTACTGACCAACTGGCAGCCATCAAGAAGTACCAGCCTCAAGATGCCACCACCAACCCTTCCCTCATTCTCGCCGCCTCCAAGAAGCCTGACTATGCCGAGTTGATGGACAACGCCGTTCAGTATGGCAAGTCACACGTACGTTGATCTCTAAATCCGCACGAATCCGATAATAACTCTTGTCGTTTAGGGCAAGACAATGGACGAGAAGGTTGATGCCGCACTCGACCGACTGTTGGTCGAGTTCGGCAAGGAAATCTTGAAGATTGTTCCAGGCAAAGTCTCGACCGAGGTTGACGCGCGATTCTCTTTCGACACCCAAGCCTCCGTCGACAAGGCTCGCCACATCATCGAGGTAAGTTTACGTTCGACGTCATCCCGGAACACAGAGAAGTGACCGTATGCAGCTTTACAAGTCCATCGGCATTGACAAGTCCCGTATCTTGATCAAGATTGCCTCCACCTGGGAAGGCATCAAGGCCGCGGAGATCCTGCAGAAGGAAGGCATTAACTGTAACCTAACCCTCATGTTCTCCATCACCCAGGCTATCGCTGCCGCCGAGGCCGGTGCCTTCCTGATTTCGCCCTTCGTCGGCCGTATCCTCGATTGGTACAAGGCTGCCATGAAGAAGGATTTCTCTCCCTCGGAAGACCCAGGTGTCAAGAGCGTGCAGACCATCTTCAACTACTACAAGAAGCACGGCTACAAGACCATCGTCATGGGCGCATCATTCCGAAATGTCGGTGAGATCACCGAACTGGCCGGCTGCGACTACCTCACCATCTCCCCCAACTTGCTTGAGGACTTGTACAACTCAACCGACAAGGTCGAGAAGAAGCTCGATGCCTCTGCTGCCGCCAAACTTGACATTCCCAAGAAGACCTACATCAACGACGAGCCCACTTTCCGCTTCGACTTCAACGAGGAACAAATGGCCGTTGAGAAGCTCCGAGAAGGTATCAGCAAGTTTGCTGCTGATGCAGTCACTCTGAAGGGTATCCTCCGGGAGAAGATTGAGAAGGCTTAATTGGGTTAACCAACATGCACGAATCGCTCGACGAGTTCCGGTTAATCAAGCAATTGCTTGAATAGGTTCCATCAGTCTGTTCCCTTCGGATGAGAAATGAAATTCCTTTCTCAAACATCAGGAGTCAGTCTATGTGATTGGTTTGGGTTCGTACATAGCACCATAACTACCTACCTACTATGGATCGTGAATAGAATCTTTTTGACAGATCCTCTTGCTTTCCGGATGATGTCTAACACACGTTACTCGAAACATTCTGGGATTAAATTGTGGTGGCGAGATAGTGCGTCATATGTGTCACCATAGTGATAAGGTAGTGACGGTCGGATCAAAGCGGACGGCGTCTTTCTGTCTGACAAGTGTCATGTATTATTATCACACATTGGAAGACTTACAGCACTGTTATTAGCACCTGCTCCAGGTATCAATAAGTAAACTCCATCCTTACGGCTCATCGTCATACCTTCCCCTTTGGAAGTGGTTAACCCGCTAGTCCTTCTAAGTTGTGGATCCGAGAGCCGGTGTTCAAGTGCAACTGAAACCAACTTTCCAATCCCAACTTGAATCTGGCTCCTCTGCAAACCAGGGCGATCATATTCTATGGTCGACCCAGAGGTCCAATGGCCTACCATATAAACGGTCCCCGGTGACTACAGTATGTTATCGTCGCCGGCGCGCTGACACCGACCTGCCCATCTCAGCCTGCGGCGGTCCGTCAACCTGCGCCATGAAATCGATGCGACCTGGGGAAGCCAACAAGCGAGGAAACGTTGCGACCGCGCGGATTGTGCCAGCACTTCTACTCGGGATCATCGGCTACTCGTCGTGGGTCGTGACGAAGCGTGTCTGCATCGACTATCTCTTCCATCCACGCGCTCGAGCTTCTGGGACCGTCCATGCGCAGACCGGCGACGCCATTGCCATTCTTACCATATTTTATCTACTGCTACTTATCACTCTGACTTGTTTTGGCCGGCTGCTGCAGACGATCGTGACCAACCCAGGCTTCGTCCCACGCGGGGCGCAGTGGTATATTGAGAAGGAGAGGCGTCTTCGCGAAGCGCAGAGTGCAGGACATAAAGAGGAGGCACTGGAATACGGCGCAACCGAGGGCTATACGCCGTCACAGCTTCGCCGGGATCGACAACGAGAGGATTTCCCGGTCCAGGACTTCTGGCACAAGGATGTTTTCGTGTGTGGATGGGACGGCCGTCCCCCGTTCTGCTCGACCTGCTACAACTATAAACCGGACCGAGCGCACCACTGCCGCGAACTCGGGCGCTGCGTGTTGAAGATGGATCACTTTTGCCCCTGGGTCGGTGGCATCGTCTCCGAGACCTCTTTCAAGTACTTTATCCAATTCACTTTCTGGGCCGCTCTTTTTTGTCTGGACATCTTGGTGGTCATGGCGTATTACTTTGCGCAGCGTCGCCGGGACGAGGGGTTCATTAATGTCCATTGGATTCTGGCTTTGGCCTTTGCTTCTCTCTTCTTCATTTTCAGCGCAGGCATGTGTGGATCCAGCCTACAGTTCGCATTCGTCAACTCGTCCACCATCGAGAATCTCACGCGCAGAACCAAGGTTTGGTACTTGGCCGTGTACCTTCCCACACGGGTGTTGGAGGGATATCAGTCGTCGGGTCGGACTGATCTGCGATTGATTGAATATCCACGGCCGCCGTCGGAGCAACTGCAACTCCTCCAGCAGCACGGTGCGAAAGTGAACGACAGTCAGCAGAGCGTTGCTTGGGAAGGCTGGAGTCCGAGCGATCCTACGATTCCAGTCGCGGCTCATCATCAACAAACAACACGGCCTGCTGTGTCTATAAGTGCTGTGACGCCAGGCGAGAATGATCCTAGACCGCCACAGTCACAGCCAGACTGCTCCTTCTCTCCAGGTGGGCCGGTGCGCGTCGAGAAGCGCACATTCTCCATCCTCGAGACCGCTCCCGGTGCAAACCCTTTCGACATCGGGCCGTTGAATAACTTCAAGGAGGTCATGGGCTACACTGTGCTTGACTGGTTTCTGCCTCTCCGTCCATCTCCGTTGGTGGACCATAGCGATCCAACCAGCATGTATAAACTCGGTCCTGTCGTGGCGCGGATGAAGAACAAAGCGGGCATAACCGATGGACTTCATGAGATGGATCCTGAAGATGATCCTACTCGGCACGGCGAGAGTGGCAAGGAACAGACAAGACAGAAACGAGGCAAGAGGAGGCATCGAAGGACGAGGAGGTCACAGGCCAGTGTGGACCATGCTGCCAGAGGGGTCGAAGTTTGAATCCGACGAGGCAAATATCCTTAGGTAGAGAAGCCGCTCATTCGCATTTTTGTGCCCTATAGACGAGGACGAACGAGCCCTTTTCTCTATCCTGTCCTATCCTACCATAATACCAGCATAACCTTCAATACTGCTTCTGGATCTTGGTACAGAAACATCGACTGTCTGCGTAGAATCTCGGACATGATGTTGCCAGCGTACCGTACGGCCAAATTAAAATGCCAGCTGTAACTCGACCACTTCCCTAAACTTTTGATGGCAAACACTAAGCTGCTCGGAAGATGGTCATTCGATACGCGCAACGGCGACCCTATCATGAGTGGAAATTGGAAGATGTGATCCAGAATATTACCCACGGCCAGCATGGTGCCGTGTGGTGCCGTATGAGTGGCTCGTCCGATGAACTCCCCTTGAAATTGCGTCTCGTTGATGCAGCACAAGCCACCACCAGCAGTAACAGAGTGTCTTGTCCCCATGGGACACTGGATAGATAGAGCAAAGATTAAATTGAAGCCCGTTGGCTTGGGCCCGCCTCCGCTTTCGCTCCCACTTCCAAGTTTGGAACATGGTTTGTTGGTCGAGGTGGTCTCTGGTGACAATATCCCATATATTCGATTTTCTGGGAGTCGACTCGACGGCAGCAAAGAATTCCTGAGGGGTGGGAGCCGAGTTGCGTCAAGGCCACGCCTCTTTCCTGGAAGCAGCATGTGAGCATTGTGCACCGTCCCGAGAATCTGATACAGCGAGAAGGGGCCCACGGTGTCCGGCGTCATTGGTCAAGGTGGCCCAGATCTCATCCTACTCGCATCAAAGCATTCTTTTCCTCGCTCATCATGCACAAAATCAACCCACATGACAGATCTCAACACTCGCTGTGCCTGTAGCCACGTATCAACGCCGGTAAGCACGACAGCCTTGTCGAGCCAGACGGTCTGCCAGCTGTCCGATTCCGAACAACGCTCTTGGTACGCCACCAGGTGCCTTAGGATCAACAGCCACAGTAGCACCAGCGGTGGCAGTGGCACCTCATTTGCAGAGACTTGACACAGTCTGAGCAGAGCAGCGTCGAAGAGATTGCAAAGGCGTTCATAAGGCCGCTCCAGATACTGCCGTGTCAAAAACAGGGTGGAGCAGTAGACCAGCAAGCCGATCCGGATCATGTCTTGCAAAAGGTCGTCTTCAAAAGAGAGACGCGTGAGTCGGTATAGAATGGAGACCATCATCTCGTTGTAGACGTCAGGCGAGAGCTTCCGGGTCGTCTGGTAGGCGAGGTTGCTCAGGCAGCTGAAGGCATGAATGTCTTTCCAGCAGTTCCCCAATTTCGGGTCAAGTTTGTTGACCACGACGTCGACCTGGGCCCCATCTGTCCCGTGGTTGCACTTCACTAGACCGCGATTGGCGAGAAAGCAGTCCCATGAGATTCCTGTTTGGAAGAGTCGTGCGCGGCTTCCCATCCGCAACGCGAGTCCTAGATCGGCCCTATTTTCTGATCAGAATCAGATGTTTTCCTATTTCTGCAAAACAAAACAGTAGCCCGAGTTGACCTCGGTCCACGGATATGGAGCAAGCGAGTCTGAGGGAGCCTTACCGGCAAACCTTGACTTGCACATTATTGTGTGTGTTCAGAGACCGCAGGCCGCCCTTGAGGTTGACGATCGTGAGCAGACCCTCCACATGGCTCTGCGCGGCGGCAAGATCCCCCGTGATCTCTGCAGCCATGGCTAAGGTGACAATGACCATGACGGTCGAGTCGGCTAAGACTGAATCCCGCTGGCCATGCTCGAAGGCGTTGATCCGTGCCTGAAGATGCTGTAGGGTTTGTGCGTAGTGAAACGCCGCGATGCGGCTGACGTGGCCATCGGGCGAGATCCCGTCCACAAACGCCCGCAGCGAGAACATCATGGAATGTAAACAGCAGATGTCGCTGATTATGTAGGGGAACCATCCCCGCTCTACGGGATGGACATGGAGACAGATATCATACGGATACGCTCCCATCTGGTCGAGGTTGAGGACTGTCGAGGATGGTCAATCGTGTGGCTTTCCTCAGCAGCCACCTTGACTGTGTTCGGGCTGGGTGGAAGTAGGGCTGGGGCTGGGGCTGTGTCGATTGAGGACTAGTACTTACGTTTTACCAGCTCCTGGATCATGGCTGGCTCAATCCCGGCTGGCAATTGTAACGCGGCAAGGTCTCCACCTACACGTCTGGGACCGGGCATAGAAAGAACCGCGTGTTCTGCCCTTTCCGACCTGAGGTCCTTCGTTTGCAGGCTACGCTCTGGATCGATCCACGACGACAGGTGAGCCGGTTTCCGCCGTTTCCACTGATCCTTGGTTGCGTGACTGGTGATCGCTGTGCGATCTCGCTCGTTCCGGGCTTCGCCAGATGTGCTGACAATGAATTGAAACCCGGCGGCATCTGGTCAAGCATCTCGTGCACAAATTAGCTCAGTAGCATGGTAGAGAGATGTTGGAGCTGTCGCGATTTGGGACCAACGGGAACGCACATCTCATCCTCCCCATTGCGCCGGCGGGAGAGACTGTTCGGGCGGATCGTCCAGATACAGAAAGCCCACAGGGCTTGGCTGCAATCACTCCAGCCGCAAGATCGGAGCCTAGGCTGCTCTCTCAGATGTTTCATATCATCGGTGGGTAAGACGATAAAGAGAAGGACAGAAAAACGAGTCCTCGATGATGGAAGAGTTGATATGCTAGCAGTGCAAGGAGGAGGTTGTCCACGGACCAATCACCGATTGAGCTGGTGTGCAGACCCACTGCACATAAGTGCCAAGCCAGATGAGATTCCCTCTTCGAGCCTAGCCTGACCTCAGTCTGGACATCATCCGTTTCCCCCTTATCATGCTGCCTGCTACTGGTAGAGGATGGCGAGGCATTTTCAATACCCTTTGCTCCATACGCCGTACCCGAGCTTATTTCCGCGCCCAAAGTGCAATGAGTCTTGATGGGGATGATCTCCCACAAGAGCTAAGGCGTATGAGAATGCCATGGCTGCGAATACGGTGTTTGTGGGACAAATGCTGCCCGGAGTTAGTGCTTGTCCACGGACGGGGACGCACTCATGCCCATAAATAGTGCACATAGTGCATCTAAGTGGCTGTCATGATGAGGCTGTGAACATATAACAATGGCCACTTTCCCGCTCTTCTCTCAACCTCCAGTACCTCGAATTCTGCTGCATGTTCTACCGTTGCTTCAAGTGTCCAGTTAGACTTACTTCTCCTGCAAGACGCAGCTGTCTCAAGGAAACACTTTCGGCAACAGCAAGTCAACGAATATGTCGCCGGATACCAGAAATCCCACGCTGGTGCCCTCCAAAGACCAGCCTCCCCTTCCCTCTAACTTCAGCCCAGTCTTCCTCCGGAACCAGTTCTGGACCAAGATCGAGCTTCCCACAAGACAAAAGTATCCCGACGTGTCCGGAACAAGTGCAATAATCACAGGGTCAAACACGGGGCTGGGGTTTGAGGCGGCGCGTCAGCTCCTGTCCCTTGGTCTATCCCATCTGGTGATGGGGGTTCGATCTCTCACGACAGGCACGGCAGCGGCCACAAGGCTACAGACAGCAAATCCGACGGCAAAGATCAATGTGTGGCAGCTAGACATGGAATCGTACGACTCCATCCAGGCCTTCGCTGCCAAGTGCCAGGACAATCTCTCACGGATCGACATGGTTATTCTGAACGCCGGCATATCACCGTTGGAATTCAAGACTCTCCCAGCCACCGGTCATGAGAGGACCATCCAGACCAATCACATCAGTACCGTGTTACTGGCCATCCTAATGCTTCCGATCATGAAAAGCAAGTCGAAAGATCGAGGTCCAACTCCAAGTCCACCCGTACTTACGGTCGTCAATTCCGTTACGGCACATCTATGCAAGTTTCCCAACAGAGGCAGGCGGCCCCTCTTGCCTTCTTTCGATGACACAGCTATCACCCCTTTCGATGGTCAAGAGAGATACAGTGTTTCCAAGTTGCTGTGCCAGCTCTTCATCGTCAAGTTGGCGGAGCTGGTCGATCCGAACGACGTCATCATCAACATGGTCGACCCTGGCCTCACCAAAGGCACATCTCTGTTCCGTGAACTCTCCGGAGCGGTCGCAATCGTGGCGAAAGCCTTTTTCTCTCTCGCTGGAAGACCAGTGAGGAGGGGCGCGGCTACTTACGTCGACGCCGGCCTCGGACACGGCAAAGAATCCCACGGCTGTTTTCTGATGAATTGCCAGATTGCTCCGTAAGCTATATTACCTTGGTGGAGTACCCATTTTAGGAGTTGAAGCGCTGACATGTTTCAACCACCCTCAGACTTGCTTGCTGGTATTACACCGATGGAGAGATTTTGTCAGACGTCATCTGGAAAGAGACGCTTCAGGAACTCGACTTCGCTGGCGCGGAACAAATCGTCTCCTCGATGTCGTCTCTGAAATGAAGGCGGCCGCCCAGTATATAAGAGACGCCGTCTCCCAGCGACGCTCTTACAGAGATTGCCACGGCAGATCCAGGCTCGCTGGGACCTACGTCCAAGAAGACCTGAACTCCAAGCACTTGTGCTACAGCGGGTAGTCTTGGACATGTAGTTGATATCTTGTTATGTGCCGGGAGGGCGCCGGCGCTATAACAAAGACACCATGGTTATCGACTGCGAGACATTACCTCACGAGAGACCCTGTAGAGACCCTGACTCTGACGAACGAGATGGAGGAAAACCGAGTAGCAAAGAGAATATTCGTCCACGATGGACATCTACCCTTTACAAGATTGTGATAACGACAGTTTCTTCGAGGGTACGTATGACATATAGAATTCGTCGCACCACAGGCAAGAACGAATGACCTGGAACCCTAGTAGATCCTCGCCCTTGTAGATCCTCGGATCTACACACCAGCACAAGTATCCCCTGGTCTCACTGGACCGTGAAACAATTTGGTTGCTACATATTGCAAGAATTGTTATGGTGATAAACCAGAAGGATGTGGTAGAAAGGCAAGACCATATAACCCATGCTCTTCTTTTGTCTGACTTCGCGCTGGAGGACCGACGGTAGTGACGGGTGAGTGACTGGACACACTGAGCTTGTTATATCGAAAACGGGGTATCTGAAGTAGCGACTGTGACATCCTTGAGTGCTGTGTACCTGGAAAGAATTGGGGGCCTTTAATAGAAAAGCCTGCCCCTGTGCTTATGAAAAGAGAGGATTTCGGACACAGGCAGGGAGACTGAGGCTGTGGTAAATGACTACCACGAGGGATGATATGACTTGATCTGTGCCGTATCAGAATTGGTGTGAATTGTGATAGTCCAGAATCCATATGTTGTCTTCAAAAGGAGTGTGTCGATACAAACGAAAGAGTGAATGTTGTCGGTATCAAACCGATTGTTGCTCCATGTTGGTCAGATTCTTTCCATGTTGGAGACTTCACTGCTTGATTAGAGGATCGGGCGTGGCTTGTTGCTAGGATCCGTGAAAATGATGTTGATCATGGCTGTATTGTCAACAGAGAGCACACGTTGTATCTGGTTTCAAGAATGAACAGGAGACCGGCAAGTTGGAACAATATGCAGTATGCCCCTAAGGCCACCAGCCTCGCCGCCCCCTATCATGGGCTCAACGGGATGTTCGACAATAGCCACACCTTGTATGGTCGCACCCTACGCATTTTCTGGGTGCTAAATCTGGATTGTTGAGGTAGTCACATTTGTGACAGTTCCACCATCCTGCCATTGATGGCCTGCTGCAGAGGCGGGGAGGCCCCTTGTTGTAAGTGAGAGGGCCCCCAGGCCAGATCCAAAATGCCGCAGAAGGATTTGGCAAGGATGGAACCTCTGGCATATAAGACTCTGAGTCGATGTTCCGGCTTCCACCATGCCGACTGGCGGTACGGCATGGCGTGATGGAAGACTTCGTAGGAGGGTCAATATCGTTATCGACCTTGCACTGGAAGCATTTTTTGTGATTGCATTCGAGGCACTTCTCGGTAAGGGCAATCTGGTAAGGCCTTGCGTTGCATAGGTGGCATTGCCAGAGGCGTGGCATCTCGATATCTCAAACAAGCAAACACAGTACGGTGTTGACTCTTACAACGGAGTGTAAACGTGTGTAGAAGGCACAGCCCAACCAACCTGAAAGATGATGAAATAAGAAACAGACGTAGGGAAAGGAGAGTGAGGTTGATACTTCTTAGCAAGCAACGTTTCGAAGAGAGCATGCATGTCGAAAAGCATATATAGATGCAACGCATGATCGTAAGGAAGAGCTGGCTTTGGAACTTTGGCGCAATCACTCCAAAAGTTCCATTCATAAGGACCAGTGAATGTAACCCACTTCCCTGATGGCAGAAAAGTAGAATGGCAAGAGGTACCTTTGTAGGAGCATATAGACACGTAGGACAGAACATGACTCTGCTTCTGCATCTCAAACAGTGACAAACACTGGTACCTTTGTAATGAAATGCCTACCTCTGCCCCTCGCTGTGGCGGAGAGTAGTCGTTGGTTTGCAAGTTGATATACGCCAACACTTCTCATGCAGGGTTCGAGGGACGAAGCAATCCGAGCCCAGCTTGGACGATTCTCGACGTACTGGGATTTTGTTGTTGTCAGGACCGAGAACGTGAACAAGGTTTCGGTCCCACCGGCTTTTCCGTATATAACGGAGTTCCAAATGTACCTTGCAGCACTCGAAAGCTGTGGCCATATGGACAGACTCCTGGGACCCTTGACGCAGTCCAACCAGTCCATGACTGCGTAGAAAACACCACTTTAGATGATGGAAAAGCGTTCGTGCCAGCATCTCGGACGTGGTACATTTTTGTGGATCTGGAGGGTGTGATCAACTGGCCTCGGGCTGGCCGAGTCAAACACTTGGAACATCAACACCATTTGGGACTGTGAAAGTCAGATTGACCGTGTAGCAAGGTAAACAGCCTCACACCTTGCCTTGGGGCGTGTCATGAGAATAACCCTTGACTTTGTCAGAATCCAGATGACAGAATGTCCACGCAGGGAGTCAGCAAGTGACGGAAGCAACCTGGTGGAAGGCTGTATGGCAGACATCGGCGGCAAGGAGCCATTGCGGTTACGCCCAAGGCGACTTGAATCCCGAACAAAATTCCCGCAGGGTTAAGTATGAGAAGGATACCTGGTACTTTTCGGTGGGCTCTGTCATGGCGCGGGCGGGCCCCCCGGCGCATAACAAGATATCAACCACAGGTCCAGATTCCCAAGCATAAGTACTTGGAATTCAAGTCTTTCTCGGGGCGGACCCCCCCCCCCCCCCCAACGATTCTGGACCTGTTCGGGACAATTTCATCATGGCAGGAAGGAAGGGAGAGTAGGGTGTGGAATGGGAGGAAGCGCGTGGTGGTAAAGAAAGCTATACACCTAACCCTGTGAATATGCCCTTCAGATCAGCCCCGGCGTTTATTTGGACACCGAACATCAAAAGATGGGACTGTCAGGAAGCATTTGCTGACGGTGAACATACCGCATGACTTGTTGTCGCCGACTTTCGGTAAAACAGCACATGCAGCAGGGAGCAGACTTCCGGCCTTTCGTGGAACTTACGTCGACAAGGTCCCCCTTGAGGTGGTGAGATGGTGCATGGTAATTTTGTGCTCATGCTGCTCGCATGCCCTTGCTGGCTTCAGCCACTCAGAAGGCCTTCAGCAGCTGCAAGTTACGTTTGTCAAGAGCAGGCGGGTCTTTTGTTCAGCGTCCGACCTGATAGAGGGGAGACTCGGAGTTCATGTGTCAATCTGTTTGCTGGGCATCGGTTGACGCCCAAGGCAGAACGCCTGACAGGCAACTCCTGAAGACCTCGCATCGGAACTGAGATGTACCCTGTCCAAATCATTGTTACCAATAACCACGATCGAAAAAAAAACGACGACGGCCACGATCCAGAGCGGACGGTCGCGGAAAAAGTGGCACAGAGGTAGCGGTTGGGCATCACTCATATCCGATCGGCATTCTTCTGGCAGCAAAGAGAGACATAAGACAGGTTGATTGGGCAGGACAGGCGGTGCTATGTCCGAGGCGAACTGTGCACCAACAGGTGGAGGACAAGGCAACCGTGTTCGATCGCGTGAGTCGAGGAGGCTCGGGCGGCTGTGTGTTCTGTATAGGTAGTAAGCGAGATGACCATTATAGCGATAATGGCCCGAATCAAAGGCGGCAAGATGTTACAGGAAAACAAAACAGAGACGCGGCCGATACACCGCAGGGAGTTTGTCAAAGCAAGCAGAGCGCAGGCAGGGAACACTCGTGAAACGTGCCCAGGTAGTTGAGGACATCAACAATCCAGGTAGGTAATGCTACTATAGGCGATGCAGATGGTGAACTGGTGGAGGGACGAATACTTGGTGGAGGTGCTTGAGAGATGCCTAGCAGTTCCGGCAAGGTACTAACTACCTAGGTATGTACCTAAGTACAGGACTAGGACCCCTTAGACATACTACTACTTACTTAGTAGGTACCTACTAAGTGCTCCTGAATTGCTTGGGGAGAAAATGCATGACGTCGATCACTACAGCAGTATCATAGGTATCCGGTACCTACTAATACGTAGTATATAGGCCCCCCTAGGTAGGTTGGTACCTATAGCGACCCCTGGAGGCATTTAATCCAACTCACAATAAACCTCTCTGTTGGTGTTGACTGCAAGCTGTCTCTTCGGGCTGTCAAAGCCCCTTCCATCATCTCACCACCTACTATTATACTAGTATATTGTTTGTTGTTGTTCCTCACCTACGCACCCCGTCGACTCCCATGCATCAACGACCTTCCCTCCACGGGGCGCCTCACTGGAGTCGGTTGTGCTACTTACTCGCTTTATCTTTTGCTGATCGAGCCGACTGATCCTGGTCAGGCGCGTCAATACATCCCGGAAGGTACTAGATTCTGAGTTCATATATCATTATTTCAACCCCTCACAAACCCTTCGCCGCCCGCCCTGAGGGATTGAGTCCTGCATCTTTACTTGAGCCCTCGTCTACCTTGTCCTCTTCTTGTTTTGTCAAAGTCTTACCAGACTCAGTGTGCTCCCTCGCTCGTAACCTACGCTGATCGAGTTCTGTCCAGTCGGACGAACCGAAGCATCATTCCCGCCTGCAACCTGCAACCTTGGACCACGCAATTTACCTCTGTCAACTCCATGTCCTGACCACCGCAGTTCACAGCAGAAGCCCATTTGGGTATCCTCGCCATGGCGGAAAACCGGTATCGTCCAAGTTCACCTCCCGGACGCCGATATGCTGACCCCCGTGCGTCTACCGGCATGGTGTTCTCGTCTTCGTTCGATCCCCGCTATTCTACGCAGCCACGAAGCGTGGTCGATTCTCTGCCGGTTGCGCGACATGGGAGCGTTTACGCAACACAAGGCGTGGCGAGGAAGACATTTCTTGATGACAGTCATCCTGGCGGAGGATCTACAATTAGGACCGAGTACACTGTCCGTCCAAGGAACAACTCAACAATCGGCTCCGAGTCTCGCAGACCCGTCAGCGCATTCATATCCAGACCTCCCTCACCTCCACGTGTTCGGCCAACTGTTGTCACCAGCTCAACACGTGATGACCCAAGAATTCCTGCCATAGTTTCTGCGGGTGGTGACAGATACCTTGTGCCCGCCGCATCACATCCTCGACATCATCATAGACATTCAAGCGCAACGAGGGCGGAACAGGACCGCCTGGGTCCTGGGAGAGGTCATCGACAACCGGAATATCATCGCCGTGGTGGCTACAATGTCCCATTACAAGGTGAAGGCTTTTCCTACACTACGCCGAAGGAGCACTTCCTACAGGAGTCGTCCAGGCCTCCACAGAGGACCGAAAGTTACAGCAGGCGGGAGCGACCGACCAGTGTAATTGACCTTCCGGAATACAGACTCCCGTCGAGAAGGGACGGCCCGCCCCCTTCTTCTACTCGTGTGCTCGATAGGATCGAAAGATCTGATCCCTACCGTGGTAGCGCTGCCCGCATTCACGACTACGAAGACCGCCCAGCCGAGATTGTGTCTCGGCAGCGATCGACAAGGGCACCAGTTGTACATCACTATCGGGACGATGGCTATGCCTCAGCCCGGGAGGAGCTCGATCCGCGTATTGCACCAAAGCGACACGGACCCGTCGATGACGATGAAAGAGCCCTCAAAGCCAAATACCGTGATGATCGGGAAAGGGAGCTCGTACGTGCGCCACCACGCGAGTCAGAGCGCGTCCGGGATCGAGAAAGAGAAAGAGAGAGAGAGAGAGACAGAGACAGAGATAGAGAGAATGACCGAGACAGAGACAGAGACCGTGACCGAGATAGATTGCGAGAAATTGATAGAAATGTACGAGGAGGTGAGGAACGTCGGCCACCTCGAAGTCGTGAGGACAGTCCAGAACATCCAGGCCCGCGAAAAGGTCTTGCCGCAGCCGCGGGTTTGGCTGCCGCGGGTGCGCTCGCCGGCGCAGCTGTCAAGAATGTGAAGAACACTCAAGATGACTCTGGGAGTGATGATCATCAAGATCGTAAACACCGGAGAAGGAGACATCATCATGCCAACGACGCACCCAGTCCAGACGAACTCGCGGGCCGTATCGAGCGCGATCTCACTTTGAAGAACGGGGATCGCTCATCTCATGATCGGCGGAGGGATGACGGCAGGGCTGGGGATGCCGAGAGTGGCCGTGAGGACCAGTCTGATCCCAGGAAACGACACCGCCGGCGACACCGCGATAGAAGTCGCCGCGGGGATGAATCGGATACAACGGATGAAACTGGGGCCAGAGAACGTCGTGAACGGCAGACCGAGACCGAGAGAGATGCTGACTTGCGCGAGCCTCCTCGCTCGCGCCACGATAGGGCACCGTCCCGTGATGCTGCCAGAGATGAAACTGCCGCTCTGGACCAACACACTGTCCCGCCAAGCAATGAAGAAGATGGCCGCTCCCGACGCGTTCAACTCGTGGAGCCTACGGAAAAGAAGGAGGAGTTCAGGCCAAAGGGTATACTCAAGCCACCTCGCGAAGTACCTTTCCCCGAAGACCCGCATCCTGAGCGTGAGGGTGTGGCCCCTCTCAAGGACGCAACCAAGGACGGAATACCGCCACAGGCCCGCTGGACCAAGATCAGTCGTGCCCTGGTGAATCCGGAGGCTCTGGAAAAGGCACATGAAAGATTCGAAGAAAGAGATGACTACGTGATCGTGTTGCGTGTGGTGTCCAGGGAAGAGATCATGAAGTTCGCGGAAAGGACCAAGGAGATCAGAGGTATGTTCTCCTTTCAATCATCCGACCCTTGCGTCCCTTCATCATCCGAACCCAATTCTCCGTGCTAACGACGTGTTGTAGAAGCTCGTGAGCGACAATGGCAAGCCGAACTTGAACAGCGTCGCCGCCGACGCAAGGAGGCGCGTGGGTACAGTGATAGCAGTGACGGCGACAGCGATGGTGGACGGCGACCACGGCTAGCGATCGATCAGGCTCCGCTCATCCAAGGAGATCCTAGGGCATACTTTACACAGCAGCAACTGAGGGACCATGCCGTGCCTGTGAGTATTCCAGGACAGACCGGTGTGGCTCCGCCTCAAGTTGCTGCGCCCGTCGCGGCGCGCCCACCACCGCAGACGCACGAAATACCAATCCCCGACATCCGAGTCGAGCCTCATACTGCCCATTATTCGACGAACGTTTGAAGTTAGTCTGGCTTACAAGACTCGAGATGTCCTCTTGGATCTTGTGGAATCCCGTATCCCCAAACCAAGGGCAGACCTCGGAAGACCAGGACCAGTGCGTCAGTCTTGTGAGCGATCGAAGATGCGAAAATTTATGTGAACTGGAGATATCATCTTAGCGTTCGGCCATATGTTCTTCGATTTAATGAAGAGATCCATCCTTTATAGAACGCCGGATCAGGTGCACAGTCTCTTATTGCTCGGCTCTCCTTCACGTTTGACGACCCATAAGACGAACTATCCTTTCTTTCTTTATTGGCCTTCTCTTAAGTCACGTGGATCTGAAGTTCATGTCAACCACATTATCTTCCGTCTATGGGTTGTCTATGTCGGAGGGAGGACGCCCGCGAAAACCCAGTAGAAGTTGCAACACGGGCCACGTCTCGAGGGCCATCACTATGGAGTTCATACTCTGACACGTTTTCACAAGTCAAGTAGTGGAAACAATCCGATTGTTCCAACTCAAAAGATCGGACCTGATTCCTGGTGGAGAAGGAACTTTTGAGAAGAGATCATCCGACTTTTCCAGGTGTTCGAGGCCGAACCGGGTTGCCGACGACCAGGTAGAAAGAAGTGTAACGACGAGGAATCCACCGATCCGAAACGTCTCCATAAGCGAAATCCACATGGTAGAACTAACAATATGTTGTGGGCACCTATCACCCACCATCAGACCACATGAAGAGAGATCTCCTATATTCGATAAGCCAGGACGTCGCCTTTACCCTGTACAGTGTTATATATTGATTCTTCTTTTTGTCTTTCTTTCTTGTCGCCCTTCACGGCATGCCAACTAGTACTGTGAGCCTCCAAGACAAGAAGTTCACGGGCAATAATGAAGAGGAGAAACGAAAGACGACGGTTGCCCGAATGGATGCGTGGAGAATAAGAATCAGGCCCGGGCTTTTTTCGACCGGCTGACGGCCGACGGCGCACGCCAGACTCGGGAGGGCGAGTGGGATCGGAAGAAAAGGACAGCCTGTGGGACGGCTCGAGTGCCTGCCACTTCGTTCTAATAGACGGTCGACGGTTCGCTGTCAAAAATTTCCCATGGGAAGTTTGAACAAGAAAAAGAGGCTCCCTCGACCCGGTGGTGTCAGTAGTAGTGGTAGTATGTAGGTAGCCTTCCCTCCCTTTGCGGATGAAGCCGTTGGTTGGATCCCGTGCCATGTTCGGATTGCTTTTATGTGGAAACACATTGGCTGGGGGCCAGTCCTGCGATCATGTGCAGGATACTGGGGACTGGAGGCTTTACAGACATGCAGATGCCAGAAGATGGATATTCTGAGACAAAAGGCCTTACATACTGGCGATCCTTGCACCCTCGGCCTCCTCAGTTTTTCCTGAAAGCCAACGACCACTGACCAACGACCAACGTGGCAGAGACAATAAAATCGTACTCCTCAGGACCAACGTTTCGACTTCCTTCTTTTTGAGTTCTGGCTGCTTTCTAAAGTAGCACTTCCAGGCCTTGGGCAATGAGCAGGGGACCACACCTTTTCGTCCGAGAAACCATATGAAACAACAACATATCTCTTACGCGCCCTTTCAGAGATAGCCTTGGAGGAGAGGAAGTAATTCATATTTATATTGTCGCTATACCTAGATTAAGTTGCTGTTTGCTCCGTTGCACACCTGGCCTTTCTGTTGTCGCCTTTGGTTTCTCCTCTGCAATCGTCCGTGGCAGAGGGAAGAGCCAGACTTGGAAGAGATCAGACTGATTCATCACTTTCTGTCCATCGTCATGCCATACGGCCTCATCGACCGAGCCACAGACCTTGTTGGCCGCCCTCATTCATATTGTCGACATCGTTTGCGATGCGAAGCACATCAGGAGTTTGCTAGAGCCCAGAGGTACGTACCTACATTAAATGAAGGCTCTCAGTGCTCACTAACTTCGTCCACCACAAGACAGTTATATTATATATTCACTGTAAACGCTTCACAAAGAGCCGCGTTCCTCGAGAGAATATTTTCATCACAACCATGCGTTGGAATAAAATACCGACCATCACTTTCACACTGCCGAAAGAAAGACGTGCAATACGTCTCTGAAAGATCTCCATAGAGACTACATCTCATCGATGCACTGGCAGATTCCATTTGTCCGATCCGAAGACAACATCCCCAAGGGCCTCGATGGCGCCCTCCAACTAGGCAGCATCGACTATCTCGATACCCCTAAGTCTCTGGAAGGTGTTGTTGAGAAATTCGACGATGACTTCGAGTTGGAGCCTGAGGAGTCAGGACCTGAAGACACTTGATGCGCTGCACAAGAGATTCAGGATCAATGATCCCAGCAAATCACTCAAGAGGCAGATTGACTTCCATTAAGATGACTCGGCAAGAGGTTTGTATCCATGGGGCCATGTCGAGAAGACATGACCTCGACCAGCAGAGATGAGCTATTTCGAGATGAAACCTCACTGTACGCTTGGGCTTCCAAATGACTATCAAGCCAGGTCATGTCCTACATATCTAAGGTATAGCAGAACAGGTACCTTCCAATACCGTATCGTTTGCAAGAGACTGACTGCTTTTGAGAGAGGTCAATGACGTCCAAGTTCTTCAATGATCATCAGTCAATATAAGACTACCTAGATAGACACATGGCTCTCCTTGCCTGTATACCCAATCACCAAGCAACTGTTATGTCCTAGGGACTGTGTTAAGCTTCAAGCTCTGCTGTGAAGACAACCTGATCATCAAGATTTACTTTACTACTATCGACGACAGATATTCGGCGGAGATAGCAAGATATGTCGACATAACATATCACAAGAGATAGTCCTTCGTACATTTGACCCACCACCTCTGTCCACCGCCAACTACGTCGTCGCCAGGAGTAAGAGGATGGCGTGGAAATTCTCCTACCGCATGGCAGTAGCAGTGGGAGGCATGTTTCACGTATTAGAACATACAAAACCGTGCCTGAAGATCTCATTTCCAAGCCCAAATGGAGCAAAGGATACATCTACCAGGGACACGCGAATGACAGCTCTCATTCACAAGCAAAAACCCCCCTGAATACTGCAGTTATCTATAGATATCCGGGGGACACTCATTCCGTGATTTGATATACTTTAGCCATTGTTGATCTCCTTCTACTGTCCAGTGCAGTGATTGACTTTGACTTTGGCTTTGCCCGCCCTGGCCCCGGATGCCCTGCAGATGTCTCGAGGCCCGTTGGATTCCAGGGGAGAAGAGTCGATTGGGGTGATTGATACACGATACACGAAACATGATCCTGATCCTGATCCTGATCCTGATCCCTGATCCGTTATTTGTTCCTTGTCAGGTTCGGACCCCGACAGATCGGAGGCTCTTTGGGCTTAAGGTTTCCGCGATCTTGCCTGCAACTTCGTCTGTCTTGGACGCGGGCCGGTAGGTGCTAGCCTCTAAGTACGTATACAGACCAGATATCCGTAGTGTCTTGCTCAGGGGCTGCAGATCGCCGACACGCATGTCCTGTGTTCTGAGCCGTCTCTGGTCTCTGCTTGTAAGTTGTGGTCGATACGCAACGTCGATCACGGACTTCCATTTAGTACGGTACGTAGTTATTGATTGTTATCAATATCGGGTTAGGTATAAGGAGTGGACGTCAGATAGCAAGGGGGTCCTGGTCCTGCGGACTTGCTCCAGCCCCTGCTGGGCAAGGTCTAATATAAACCCCCGGGGCGGCTTCGGCCATGTCTTTTACTTCAAGTGATCGTCCCAAATCTCCGGAAACATTATGCGGACCTACTCTATACCTAGATACCCTCGGAGTATGACCTGGGTTATTACACAATGTAGACCACTTGTGTTGACGGGCTACTAAGTACCTGTAGGTACCTAAAGTACTATTGTTCTTTGATATGCCGAGTGTTCGGACAACCGTCTGATATTGGAGTCTTTTAAATGTCCTCCGTACTACTAGACTCTAGTAAGACTGTAAGTAGGTAGGTAAAGGCTTCAACTTCAAAGGCCGGCCCTGTATGATGCGGCGGAGTAACAGATAAACAGATACCCGCCTCGTTGTTCATTGTTGCAAGCTACATATTTTCCGGCTGATGGCACCAGTCAACCGAGAAGCGAGCGAGAAGGCTCCATCCTTCACGATCACAACAAGGTTCGCACTACGAGCCACTTGCACTCTGCACACTGCACGGGGGTCGAGCGCGTAGGCGATTCGGCGGACATTTCGTGACGAGCCCAACGCAACCCGCCACGGCCCACGGGACACATGACCACCTTGCAGCAGCAGCAGCAGCAGCAGCGTGCCAGTGGGAAAAGGGAAAAGGTCGAGAGATTGAAATCACGTACATCCCGCGCCGGCTATTGGTCTCATGCCATGACCGATGGCCAACAGATGCCCGTCAAGTTGTGAAGCTTTCACCGGTGGAAGGCCGTTTCAACGGATGCCGCCCTCTAGAGAACTGTCGACTTGTTGCTTCTGTCTACTCGGCCAGAGCTGAAGTGGCTTGTTGTCCGTGAAGTCTGGACGCTGGCCACATTGGAAATGGCGTAGAGTTGAGCCAATGAGGCATTGAGACATTGAATTCCAAGAAGCGCACTGCATGCAATGCATCTAGCGCTTTGGCAGTCTAGAACTCGAGACCACAACGGCTATTGCAACTGATCAATGCAGTGGGCCATAGCTGGGTCGAAGAAGGCCCTGCATCTGAGATGTTGGACTTGAGGCTGGTTTCTACCAGGTTGCGCGCGGGACATAGCAAAGAGCACCCACTCAGTCACCCTGCAATCAACGCGCGTGAAGACCACCGAACCGTGGCTGCATATCCGAGATGATTGCCATCCGACATGAGGAGACAGCTTCACCTCACTTCACTTTTCGGTTGGAAACTTGGCTCAGAACTTGCTCTCTTTGCATCCGAACCGGAAATAATAATTGTGGCCGTCATGTGCGGTTTCAGGGAAATTCGGTGATCGAAGGAGCAGAAGAAGCCGAGATTAGTTAC